AACGATACCGACGTGATGAAAAACGATGCATGGAAGACATTTTTTGCAACTAAACCGCACCCTACCAATACCCTTCATCTCGGTGTTTCCGACGCGGATCCGCGAAATCGTTCTACGAAATATTTTCCCATTGAAAAATACCAAGCCGAGATCCAGGACCATGATGAGAAGCTTCCAGAAATGCTATTCAGTAGAGCTGGGGAACCAGTAGGATCTACAGACGGTAAAACAATTATTGTATATGTGCCTTTGCCGGGCAAGAAATGGTTTGACACAAGGTAGATAGTCTGGGATGAGTTGCAGGCTGGTCTTTGGTTGCCGTCAAGCATGGTGGCACCTCGACAAACCCGTGGGATATCAAGGAGGGTAAAAGTTGGATAGCATATTGTAGCTGGTCTTCAATAAATGTGACTTCTCTTAGGGTCCTTTATGCTTACACGAGCCCCTTTACCCAGAGTTCTCGTTGGGGTGTACTTTGGTCGCTCCCTTCTTTATTAATATTATGTACTGGTTGTGCCTAAGTGAGTGAAGTGATGGCCGTCTCTTCGCCTCCCCTCTGACCCTTACACGCCCTCCGTAACACAGATTGATCTTTGGCTTCCGTATTATGCTGGAACTGTTATTTTGCCACAGGTCGCCGATACCGCAGGTCTGCCGCCTGAAATATTGGCACTGGGGCTGCCTCTGACTTGCCTGTTTCTGTTTGTAGGCACACAAGAGGCGTGGAAAGGCTCATATTTGTGCTGTGCATGTCAAGCTTGGTCATGCGTGAAATATAGATACCTACAGTATCGTTAAATAATATGCCACATCCCTCAAGCTTCTGAGTTATTTACAACAATCAACTTATGCGTATGGTTGCAAGTCGATTTCCCCAGAAGTCTCACACCACTGAACCGAAACAACTATATCGGTCTGGTTCCATCCATGACACAGAAGATAAATCTAGGGAGCTACATTGAGAGAAGGATGTAGGTTGAAGGTTTGTCCAAAGGAAAGAGTCTGATTATTTGCACAAAAGAGAGAACACCGGGGGGGTGGGATACCCTGTGATGGTAAATGCGAGCACGGCAGGGTAGTTGTGAGCACAGGGGCATGTGGTTCGAATTCTCGGGAGCCATACTACTGCGCCTTGACAGGGGTGTGTTTCCCGTGTCACACCATCCCATGTTCATACCTTATCTTATTCTCTCATCCCGTCGCACCAATGGGATCCCGGCCTCATATGGCGGCCGGTTCGTTTCGAGTTGGGCCTGGGCGGGCGCATGGGCTGGTCGCCGGCCTTGTTTGTGGCCGGAGCGGCCAAATGTTTCAAGTCCGGGCTGCCGGTTTGACGTGCGCCGGCCTTGGCTGTTCTCATCCTAAGAATTCCGCGGCTGCGAGCCTTGGGGTGAGCCAACCTGGGCAGGGGGCGCAGCCAGGGCTGCATCCGTTCTTCATCCCAAGTGTTTTGGATGGCTTGAGTCCTTGACTGTCCGCTCTTGCTGTTGCGGGAAGCCAGACACAATCATCATCACTTACATTTTATATCTATATTTCATCCTGCTACCACTTCTTCTGTCACCTAAGATCCTCGCGAACCTTCACTTTGAAAGTATGGCTACAAAAGCAGCAGTCCCGGCAACAAAGCGATACCCGCGCTCTGCACTCTCAAAAGCCTTCCAGCAAGCATTCCGTCACATCTGACACGCCGACGACGGGCAGTCTGTCAGTGTAGAACAGGAATACGGCTTTATCGAAGACCGCAAACCCCGCAAGCAGCGTGGAGGCTGCGCCAGCACATAAAGCGCCCGGCGAAAGCTATAGAGCTATGCCCATTGATTGCTAGATACCGTCTACCAAGGAGATCCTTGGCGAATATGATACAAGCGTGGGATTTTTTTGTACTCGGGAAGTATCAACCGCTATTCGTCTTGTACCGAGATATTTTATCCAGTATCTAGGTATTAGCGCTTAAGTAGCCGGTTTATAGCAACTTCTCGGACTGATTCGAATCAATAGGGAGTGGATGGGAAAAAAGCCATTCTTATTTTCGAGAACCAGATTCGTGAAATCAAACATACAGATCCCATTCTTCTGCATGAGTTGAGGCCAAGATTTGGCACTATGGTGATACTCTTGGCCCGAAGGATAAGTCAGGTGGTCTGCTTATGGAACACCCCTGGATTTGGAACAAGGTTTGTCATCAAGGACTTGCCGCTCGCCACCCAACTCACCTATTTCAATCGCTTGCAACTCGACCAATTCTGCTTCAATACTTATCTTCTTTTCTCCATTCAATTGAGAAATGAAAGATGAAGCGATATACTCAGTTGGATTTGCAGAATGCGCTGGCAGAGTATGCAGAAACCGGCTTACTCCGTAGCTCTGCTGAAAAAATCACGGCATCCCCCCTACTACTCTCTTTAATCGGGTTCGTGGTTCCGAGCCAGCCTCCAAGGCCCAAATTCTTAATCAAAAGCTTTCTCCGGCTATGGAAGAACGCTTAACCGAATGGATTCTATTCCAAGGGTCGCTCGGTCACCCTCCAAACCACGCCCAAATTCGGAAACTAGCTAGAAGAATGCTCGAAGATAACGAGACCCTCGGAAAACGCTGGACTAGCCGGTTTTTGGCTAGAAATCCATCTACTTCTACAATTAGGCCTCGGAGAATCCATGCAAACCGTGCTGATCGAGCCTGTGAGGCCGTTATCCGGCCTTGGTTTGACTATTTGAAGCCTCCAGGCGTGGAGGCTATTCCAGCCAAGCATAGGTATAATATGGATGAAACTGGCATTGCTTCTGGCATTGGAGATAACGGCCTGGTTGTTGGATCTAAGGAAAGAAAGAAATTCCAGAAAAAGAAGAAAGGAGACCGAATTTGGACCTCGATTATCGAATGTATTTCCGCTGACGGCTGGTATTTGAACCCAGTCGTCATTTTCAAAGGTGGAAGCCTTCAACAACAATGGTATCCACGCGATTTACAGCCATTTAAGGGCTGGAAGTGGAAACCCACTGAAAACGGCTGATCTGACGATGATACTGCCGTCGCATGGCTCCGCAATATCTTTCTTCCAGAGACTCGGCCAGCTACCCCCTCGGAGAAGCGCCTCCTTATTTTAGATGGCCACGGTAGTCATACCACCGAAGAATTCATGTGGCTAGCCTTTTCTAATAACGTACAATTGTTATTTCTACCAGCCCACACCTCCCACGTTCTCCAGCCCCTGGATTTATCGGTTTTCGGCCCTCTAAAAGCCCGGTACAGAGCCAAGCATAACGAGGTTGTTTCCGGCTTCGACGAAGGCACTATTGCTGAAAAGAGGGCCTTCCTAGAATGCTACCGGCAAGCCAGGGTCTATGGAATGACTGAATCTAATATCAAAGCCGGCTGGAAAGCTACAGGCCTCTGGCCGGTCAGCCTCAGGAAGCCCCTAAGCAACGGCCTTGTTATTAATAATTCTAACGGCGACTTTGGTCAACTGACCTCTACGGTTTCTATAGACCTTCAAGAGGTCCATAACCCCATTCTAAATAAGAATTCGGAGGGCCGGCCTATATGGTTTACCCCTAAAAAGCCGAAGGATTTCCGTATTCAGGGGCAGGTTTTTCTAGCCGGCCAGAAACGGACTGCCAACGACCGACTTTTCATACGCAAGGCCGCAAAAGCCTTCGATTACGTGGTTTTCCAACTAGCCAATACGGCGCATCAATTGGAGGCTGCAGAAAAAAGCCTAGAACGCACAAGAGGCGGAAAGAGAAGGAAGGTCCAAGTCGACCCTAATACGCAGTTCGCTGGAATTGAGGAGGTTCGTGCCTCACAGAGAGAGGCTGGCAGAGAGGACCTTGGTTATTCTGAAAGAGAAGAATCAGGAGAATCCGATACTGAAGACTTCATCATTGTAGCTAATTAATTGACAAAGTTGTTGGCAATTGAAGTTTGTGGTGTTGTGCGGGGTCCGATTCAGGGGCTGTTCCATAGGCAGGGGTGTTCCAAAAGTCCCCCACCTGACTTATCATAATCTGTTTGACTAGGCGAAACCCCAATGAGATGAGCAGCAGCGCTTTTTGTGACTTGGCCTGCTGGATTGTGGCGATGGGAGTATTATGGGGATCTGAGAAATTAGAATTCGGTAGGTAGGTATGGTAAGGTACAAGATCACTTCAGCTGCATGGATCCGTCCCAAGCTGACCTACCTGTCTTCACCAGCCCTCAAACTGCCGCCCACCCCAACTCTGTTGGTACGGACCATTTAGTCGGGTTGGAAACACGGTGGGTGTCTCTTTTGCTTTGCCATGATACCATTTTGTCGTTTTCTTTGCTTGGGGGCCTTTTCCGCGACCTTTATTAGTGCATGTTTTGATCGTTACACAACGCCCACGTGCTGCTGGCCTACCTATAAGCCTGGTAAGGCGCCTGAGAGCGGGGGATCCGCCGTGCATCTCCAGGCGCAAACAACGGGCCGCAAGTTCTTTCTTTCGACACAGCACAGATGTCTCAAATGTCTGGATATTGCCGACTAAAAACCGGTACCTGCATGCACCTGATGTGTATGCATTGTATACGTTGGGTAAACATGCAGTCGGGAATAGGCCCAAGGCTCCAAGACAAGGCATGGCCAGCGGGTTCAAAGGCTGGGGTAAGAATCCCAGGCAGCCACTGCAGGGGCTGTTATTAGTGGCACGAGAGTGCACCGTTGGTAGGGGACCCCTGTTTGCATTCTTTCTGGAAGGACCCGGATGCGGTGTAGAATGTGGGGTGAACCTGGCGGTAAGCGCAGTCCAGTTCCTTGGATCCCTGTTTTAGTCTTCCCCAATTCCTTCTTTCTTCTCCCAGTTACAAAAAGGTGTCGACCAGGCCCAAGATACCCAAGCCTGTCTGTAATTCTTGTCATCTTGCGCCAAATCCAGCCGACACCGCCCTCCTCTTCTCGATTAGCCCAGGCACGGAGCCAACACCTACCGCCTCTGCGACTGCGTCCATTGCGCCAATTCGCAAGGTCGAGAATACCCAACATGTCACCGAACGCGTCCGAGGGCAATGCAAAGGCTAATGGCGCTGCCGAGAGCATTAAGTCGGTCCCTGGTAGGCTGTACGAAACCTAACTGCACCTTCCTCTGCTGACCGCCCGCCTCCCAAAGATGTTGCGAGCGTGCCGAACCCGAACAGCTCTATCATCGGCCCTTGGACAGTGGACAAAGCCCTAGGCGCGGATCCAGCAGCGCGGCCCGCCGAAGGTTCGGCCTCACCATTGCCGTACTTCCACCTTCTGGAACGCCTCAAGACGATGAAGCGCGAGGGATGGCGGCGATTTGGTATTCGGAAGTAAGCAGCTACTTCCCGTCTCTGTGTGGTAAAGAACTTTCACTAACTTCACCCGCGCACAGCGGAGAGTCGATCGCCGATCACATGTACCGCATGTCCCTCATGACTATGCTCGCCCCGCCGGCTCTCGCCGCGAAGCTGGACATGGCGAAGTGCATGAGAATGTGCCTGATCCATGACATGGCAGAGTCGGTTGTCGGCGACATCACGCCGGTCGACGGCGTGTCGAAGCCCGAAAAGAGCCGGCGCGAGGCCACGACCATGGACTACATCACGGGAGGACTACTGGGCAAGGTCGACGGCGGCAGCGCTGGCCAAGACATCCGCGCCATCTGGCAGGAATACGAGGATTCCGAGACGCCGGAGAGCCACTTTGTCCATGACATTGACAAGATAGAACTCCTCCTACAGATGGTCGAGTACGAGAAGCGCGGCGAGGGGAAGCTGGACCTCGGCGAGTTCACGTATGTCGGGACCAAGATCGTCCTAGATGACATCAAGATCTGGGCCGCGGAGCTGCTCAAGGAGCGCGAGGCCTTCTGGGACGGACATGCGCACATCAAGGGCGATGAGGGCGTCGCGGGCGGTGTCGCCCCCGACCACAGAAAGATGCAAGACGAATACTACTCTAAGTAATTGTGCATAGGCGGGTACGGCCGGCGTCTCTGGGGATGAGTTCCATCCTTTTACGACGCGACGACGATCCGACGGCTTTGGACTTTGGGACTGGCGCTTTCAACATTTGGTGATTCGCACCGCACGGTGTTCTAGACAGATTGATGGGCAACTATCCTAAATACCCACCGGGGGCTAAGAATGGGATATATTACGGCGTGCAGGCACAACAGATGATGCAAAACACAATGTTTTCTTGTATGTACCTCCAGTTTGCCGTTTGCTTTTAGGCCGCGGTGACCTGGTTTTGGCTTGTCGAGAAGAACCCCGCCAACTTCAGCCGCCGCAGTCCTGCTGCATGTTGTATTTGTTGCACCCCCCTACCAGCATCTGCCGCTAACTGGCTGGGCAACCGTACGCGCGGAGTCGAATCTCATTGACTAGATTGCTCTGGCTTCTTGTAATTTTGGAAGAAGAGGCAACCTATCTGGCTCGTGGGTGGTGATTTGATGACAAAAATCAAGCGCCTCCCAAGTTCTCCGCTAAAACTTCCACCGCGACTAGATCTTGCGAAACTACTGAGTAGCCGAGATCCATTCCCCGGGGCGCACCACGTGAAGAAAAGCGTCGTGGCTCGCATAAGCTGCGCTACGTCACGACGAGTTTACAGCGACTCAATTGGCTGAAACGACCCTTGAGTTGAAGGCGACAGCTGCCCGCACTTTTTGGGTTGAAGCATCAAAGGCACTGACCACCTTGCCCCTCACCGCTTCCCTGAAGCTTGCTAACGGGGAAGCTTGGCTCGTTTAGCTGCCTAATGCCTGGAGCTCCCCACTTCACCGTCGCAACCCTGTGGCTGCTCAGGACGATTCACGCGCCAACGCATTCAGCATCGTGACCCGTCACCACCTCTGCAATCAGAGCTGCGAAAGCATTGAATCCCAGCCTGATTGGAAGCAAGACGGGAGATGCGCTACCGAAGAGTGTTTCGGTCATGTTGATGCAGAGAGGCGTGGGCTGCTGCAAAGAAGAAAGTCAACCCAAGACCCACACCGCGGACAACACCGGACAACACAACACACCACCAGCACACCTCGGCGCAAGCCCCAACGCTTTACCCAACCGACAACGCAACTTCTACGTCTTGCCCGACTCGGGTGTGCCCTTGCGCTGGGCTGCTCCGGGATTGACACGTCGGTCGGAGCCCAAAACCGGGCTAAGGTCAAAACCACCAGCGACGGCGTCCTCGAGCCGGGTCCTTCCCTCCCCCTTTTGCCCACCATGTCCTTCGCAACAGAGTTTCACGTGCCCGGCGCATACCACTTCGATACAACGGCCAGACCGCATCCTGCACTAAGCGCTGGCATTTTCCTACCGCCCATATCGCCTTCAGCCTCTAGCTACAACCTAGCTAAGTCCACCGGTAGCCTCTATTCCGACGTTTCAATGTCAACGACGCCCGGTAACAATACGGTGAAACGGAAGCGTGTGACTACGCGGGAGTCCACCCCGGTGGAGTGGAACATGAACATGGATGGCTCCAATGACGGAAAGGAGGAGGAGAAGTCGGTGTCTGCTGGTCGACAGGTCAGATATACTCTGGCAGGCCAGCTGAATGCTACTCCCCTGGGAGCTCCAAATGGAGCCGAGAATGGCCTGTTGGAAGACAGTGTGTACTCGGACATTGACTACAGGAGAGCCTTGGGCCCGAACCGAGATCGCGACGAGATCGAATCGCCCTCCATTCGACTCGCCGGCAGGCACTTCAATCCCGAGGAACCCGAGACGTCCAGCTCGCCAGGATGGAGCGCCCTCGCCTTCCATACCATAGGGGATGTGATGGGCAAAGTGTGGGAGTTTTGCAAGACCGGAGCGTTTCGGGGATTTCACGCCGGAGGGGGCGAGGGATACGAATTCAGCGGCTCGACAGTGGCTTCGCAGACCGGCAAGCCTTGGGGGGACGGGAACAGCATGTCGACGCCCCAGACCGATCCGACTCTCACGGACCATTACCAAGAAAGCATACCCGGACAGTTTCCCCAGCCGAGTATGGCATCGTATTCTCCCGAACACCACGAAAAGGCCACAACACTCGAGTCGGCGCCCAGGCCCGCTGTCAAGCGCAGACAGGTTAGCGCGAACGACGAGCTGCGGAAAAACTGGGTCATGGTCGACGAGCCACGCGACCAGAAAGCGCGCGCATTTGGCGCCGAGGTCTCCAAAGCACCACTGAGACCCGCCGCATCACACAATCACCGGAGCTCGGGGTCGGGGTACTACATGCAGACGGCAGCTAGCACCAGCCGGCGCATCAGCGTACCTACTTCGAGGATCAGCAGCGGGTCCGGCGGCACGATAGGCACGCTCCCTCGGAACAGCCGCACATCGCTCCGGATATCGCACGCGGGATCGCCTAGTCTCACAGCTCGCGCGCCCGCAAGTTACGCACAGCCAAGGTCCCCCGTCTCTCGGTCGTCACCCAGCCGGATACCCGTGCCGGCCGCGCCGGGCGGACTGACACTCAAGACGAGCTACTCGTTTGCATTTCCCGCATCCAGCGCATCGCGCCCTTCGAGCCGCCAGAGCCGAGTAAATTCCCCAGTTCCACCGTCGCCCACGAAATCATTAGCGCGAGGCCACCACCGTAGTCAGAGCAGCGCGTCGGCCGCGTCTACGGGGCGCCGCAGCAGAGCGCCCGTGGACAAGCTCGATCCCCAGGACATCGAGGCGAGTCCGCGACTCGACGCCGAAGCGAAGCACCTGGCACAAAAGAAGCTGGCGGTTGAGCGGGAGACGGATGCACGCGTCGACGCCTTCAACGCCCGATTACTCAACATGATCAGACAAGGAAAGGAAGCGCTCGGGACGACGGTAGAGGTCCTCGGCGATGACGACGGCGGCGGCGGCGCGGATGGTCGAGTGGGCTGGGAGGATGACGATGACGATGACTGACCGCCGACTAACCCCCCCTGGCAGCTGCTGGCAGAAGCGTGTCGGCCGTACATATATCGCATCGCCCTGGTCCCCCACAATACCCCCTTTCCCCCCTCCCTCAGCCATGGAATTGCTTTTGCTGTTCTGGGGTTTTGAGTGCTAACGTGCTCCTTTGTAGCCAGCCACCCGCTTCTCCCGGAACCGGCGTGAACTGACGAGTACTGACGAGTATTACTTTCTACTTCTCTTCACTTCGTAATTTCGGGGTGGTATGTTACACCCTTCCGCCCACTCCCCGCGTTGGTTTTTCATGAACGCTTGCCAGAAGCGATGCTATTTCCTCTTATATTTTCTATCTGACGACGACGACGTTCCTTGTTGCCTGCAGGTATCGGGGCCTTTATATATGTAATCATAGCTACCAACTCCTCTCGCTCCCGAGCTAGAGACTGATATATCGATCGGCTGTTTGCTCCGAATGTGGTGTTTTCTCGCCAGGATGGGGACAGTTCGTCTTGGTGCTCTTGGAAGGACACAGGACAAAGGCAGAAGAAGGGTGTCGTTTTTCTCTTCTTCTCATGTATTTACTTTTATATTGTACAAAAACGATGGGCAGGAACGTTTGACGACGGAAGAGACGGTCAGGGAGCGTGTCTTTGTTTTCAGTTTTACATCTTGTTTTGTAACGAAACGATTCGACCACGGGAACAAATATATACTGCGTCAGAGAAAGCTATTCCGTCTTGTTGTTGCAATTGACGGCTCGGGTGAAATGGGGAAGCTCATTATCTGGAACGAGGGTGTGACGGCAGGGTTCGGCTGATAGGTGCTGGGGGGGAGTGAACTTGTAGTTGTTTTAAAGAGGAAAAAGGATAGAGAATGCATCAAATACTCGGATGTGCCAAATGGCCATCAAACAGTGTTCGAGTCGAGTTACGTATCGAGAAAATTCCTCAGGTTCACCGTGACCGCCGTCCCGTGACAGACTGAATGTGATGGAGAGGATGCCCCTTTAATTTGCAAATAAGCAGTTTTGAAGACCAGATGAAATATGCTATGTTTTTTAAGGCAATGCCAAAAATAACCAGTATTAAAAAAAAACCAAAAAAGAATGACGAATTCTTCCGCTCTCTGGAGAACTCGACATCGCTAGGTTGGACAAGCTGGGAATCGAACCCAGGACCTTTCGCAGAAAGATAGAATTTGCCCAGACACAACCTCGTGAAGAGGATGGCTCGTGGGAAATGCTAAGCGAACGCTCTACCAACTGAGCCACACGCCCTACTTGGATTGTTTGATGGAGACGGCGAGGCATATTCGGCCTCTAGTAGTGGGTATGCTTGCGAGGAGGCGGCCCCCGAGGTGGAGATGGCGATGGCTCCTGATGGTCAATGGTGGAGATGGAACGTGCTCTGCGGTAGAATTAAAGCATCAGCCCGGGCTCGGATTGGGTTTGGGTTTCCTTGGCGAGTCATGTATAGAGCAGGAGCTCTATGTGGTACCGTGAGTTTTGCTTATTTGTGATAGTGAACTCCCTCCGCCAAGAGACAGTCTAAACTTTGCTGGTCTTTGTAAAAAGAAATAGAAACGCAGTCGCTAGAAACAGACGAAATAAGCAAACGGTCCAAATCCCGCCGAAACATATAAAAGACAATTTACTCCCCTGTGCTGTCCCCTGAGCAAGATACAGAGGCAGCACTTTGTATTAGCACTGCATAGCATAGCATGCTGGGTTGCCCTGCCGAGTTCATGTTTTATGCTTTTCCCCCGCTCATCATTTTTCATTGCTCGTAGCATCCAGAGACCCGTCCTTCTTATAAGGTTGCCGGGGGCCGCCAAATAGGCTGGATGGTGGAGTCGTCGCTTCCGACGCAGCTAGTTCTGTCTGGTTTTGCGGCGCAGAAGCCGGAGCCTCCGCTCTTTCGTCACCACCCGGTAAGCCCACTTTACCTCGCCTCCGAGAATCTTTCCGGTCGCCCCACTGAAGCGGACCGTCAAAGCCGAGACAGCGGCCGCAGCGCCAGCGCAGGAAGGGCTTCTCCATGCTGCCGCACTCGCGGCAGTGCATGCCGCACAGATAGCGGTCACAGTCGGGGACGCGACAGACGGGGTTCCACGTGCAATCCTGGCCTAGGTGGGCGTCGCCGCAGCGACACTTTTTCAGCCGGCATTCGCGGCCGCTGTGACCACGCAGCCCGCACATGCAACATCGGGATTTACAGAGCATGGCGTTGGGGTGCTGGAAACTGCCTCGTGGAGCGCCGTTGCCACAGCTCCGGCTGCAGGCAATGCCGCACCGGGCGGCGACGTGGAAGGTCGGGAAGGGCACGCATTTGCATCGGTTCTGCCGAGCGACGGGGCAATCCGACGCCACATGGGGCTGCTGGTTGTGAATAGGGTGGTCGTAAGATTCGAGCCATGGGACATCCGCGTACTTTTGAATGTCAGGCCTGGCCTTTGGGTTCGGCGCGCCGCAATGGCCACACGGCGAGTGGCACTCAAGTGTTCCATGGCTCATCTTGGCGCAGTTTCCGCATCGCGGAGGTGGCAAGGATCCCGCATCGCTCTTACTGGCTGGCAATTTCGGCATTCCAGAAGAGTTCGGAGGGGGTTCTTGGGCTGCTTTTGCATTGAGGTTGCGACTCTGTGCTGCACCCGGCTCGTCGCCGCCGCCATAAATGTCAAACATGTCCCTGATGCGGGACCGGCTGAGGCTGCGCCTCCTAGATCTCCTGTCGAGCTCTGCGAGAGACAGACGCGGGCACAAGATCTCGAGTTTGATACGTTTTCTAGGACCATCCACGAAAGGGAGTTTCATCGTGACGAAGCTTCCAGGGGGTGGCTCGCTGCCGCATCGCCTGTGAGAGCGGCCATATCGCTCCTCCAACAGCGGTGCCAGGCCAGGCCACAAACCCCAGTAACCGTCACGGACATAAATAGGGCTTATACAGGGCACCTGGCTTCCAGCAGCATTAGAGACAAGGAGCTTAGCAGATTCCAAAGCAGGGTGAGGAAAGCCTCTCCGGGTTTCCCACACGGGCTGCATGATGAAGTGACTGCTGCGATGGTTTCCCAACGTTACCGGCATATTCAAGATGGCGCTTTCCGTTGCCAAGACTGCCCGGCGCATGAGGCCGAAAACGCCGAGGAAGCCGGCGACGCCTAAACCTCGCCGGGCGCCATGACAGCCCACAGCGTAGTAGTCAAGTTCTCGGCGTATCTTGGGAGTATAGACTCCCCCGTCGTAGAGTGGCAGCTGGTCTCGCACTGCTAGTTGGGGCCGTAGGCGTTGCATGTGTTGCGTGTCTTGTGCAGCCCATTGCGTCAAACCCTCCTGGGAAGCCTTGCCATCCACCGGGCTCCAAAGACTTTCTTGAGGGGGTCGGAGGAGTGCAAGCCAGAACTTGAGGGCTAAGTCGTCGGTCTCGAGGTAATGGCGCATCACCAGGTCCAGCACCTGGTCGCCAACGGTGGGCGGCTTGTTCGCGGGCCCTTCGACGATCACCCTGACCTGCCTGCAGTTGCAGCGCCAGGTATGGCCGTCTGTGGGAATCATGACGACGAGAGGCTCTCGGTAGGACCGACCGACTTCCGAGTACGTTGTGGAAAGCAGCTTCTGAAGAAGCGCGAGGTCGAGCCCAAGCTGGGAATCTTCAGCCTTGATCTGGCCGAAGGTCGGCGGGAACTTGATCCAGCTATCGTACACGTCGGCGGATAGCCGCGGGGGGCTGGCACTCGTGTGGTTGGACATATATTCGGCCATGATACGGTGGACCAAGATGTCGCGTGCCGTCAGGCGGTGGTGGTAGCGATCGAAACGGGTGCCGGGGATGTCGAGCGGATAATGGCGTGGGGGAGGGGTGGCATTTCTGGCGGCCGACCGTTTTTCCGCCGCGGCCCAGCTTGCGGCGCTCCCGTCGCCCTTGCTGGCCATGGCGGCGGCCGATCAGGTAATTCTGCGGGAATGGCAAATAATCGAGAGGCGGTTGGTGGCGACAGCGGGAGCGCACGGCTGCGATTGTGTTCGTTGGAACAAGTCGGGGTGCCAAGGTAGCTTCGGTGTTGAGGGTCGTTGTACGGAGCAGGTACCTAGGTAGTGGGGTAGTACCCGACTGTATGGAGTAGGTAAGCTAGGCACCCTAGGTGGCACCGCTAGCGGGTACAGTACACTAGATTACGGCACCTGAACCTAAGCCTCGGGACTTTTACCCTGGGTCTATAGTGGGTTCGTAAGGAAGGTGTGACATGATCATGGTGCGGGGAGCCTCCTTCCCCAACCTAGGTAGCTAGGAGTAAGCCACTGCGCAGCATCTCAGCGAGACTTCCTCAAACTTCCACTCTGTCTATTCCGTCACCTCCTGTTGGGATTTAAGCTCAACAATGATCATTCGTCACGCCACCAAACAACTCAATTGACCATTTGCCATTCGGCAACAAGTAAGGTAGGTACCTAAACACCTCACGCGATAGGAATACTCCAGATACTTTGAGACTTCAGTATTTCATTTCCGCTACCATCTATCATGTATCCCTATCGTCCCGCGAGCCGTCGACGCCGATCCTCTTCCGCCCTCCCAGGCCCGCCATGTCGCCAAACTCGTACTTGAGACGCATGTCTACCACCCTGCGGTCCCGCTCTTTCTTACCCAGCGCGCCGAGCCCCTCGAGGGTACAGATGATGGACGAGTCGTGGACATAGAACATGGCGCCGGCAATGGTGCTGGGATCTACGGGGAGGTGCGGCCACTTCACGAGGAAGCCGCCGGCGACGACGAGCCACATAACGGTGAGGATGGCCATGGCGAGCCATGTACACACCATGTGCGTCATCCACGTCTGCGTTACCCGGAACGGCACGTTGCTGAGCAGCAACGGCAGGAACTCGGACAGGATCGCCGTGAATGCCACCGTCACCAGGTACCTGTGCCGCCGCCGCGCCGCGCTCAAGATGCCCGAGAAGGCGTTAAGCGGCGGCGACAGCACCACCGAACGCCCTGCTGGCTGCGGCCCCTGCGAAAGGAGCTGATATGGGCTCAACACGGCCATGCCTACCCGTTACTTGTGTCAGTCTCAGGCCTCTGCTCAAGTCTCTCTGTTTTGGCGGTTCAATAAAACTCACTGGTAAAGAACGAACTCCAGAAAAACGTGATGCAGATGCCGACGAGCGTGAACAGCGCACGCACCCCAAAGCTCGACGTATCCATGAACTGCTCAAACGGAGTATCGTCCCACGTGTTGTTGTAGTACAGAATCACCACCATCAGGCCCGTCAGCAGCACGAGGAATGCGGCTCTCCCTTTGTACGAGAGCATCAAGAACGGCAGGTGGTGCTCCGTCTTATGCCTCGTCTCCTCCGCGGCATCAGTCTGCTGCCGCCGTACCCCTACGATGCCCGGCCCGCTGCCGTCCGATTCCTGCGAGTCGTCTTCCTCGCGGATCATGACCCCATACTCTGAGACGCCATGGTCGTTGACAAAATGACCAAGCACGAACATGTGCCCGGTAAGGGCCTTGACGAGCTCGCTGTGTTTGACCCTCCCGCGGCGGCCCGTTGGCAGTGACGCAAAGAGCGCCCTGACATCAGGGTTAGTCGCCAGAGCAGCCACTCCGGCAATGGTCCAGGGGTTTGCGGCCACTCCAGAACGCCAGCGACGCAGCAGCACAAGCAAAATGAGCACGATGAGCAGCGTCATGAAGGCCAGCAGCACTACCACCGCGCGTGCGGGTGCCAGGAACACGCCGAGCGTCATGGCGCAGCCGCGGAAATCCGTTGCCGAGCAGCTCCCATGCAGCTTGAGCGCGATGGCTTCGGGCGACAGCGTCACGATGGCCACCGAGCATATTGTTAGCAGCGTCGTCAGGAACACGAGCGGCGCCTGGCTGCCTTCGGCCAGCGACCGCATGCTCGACGAGACGCCATGGATCCCGCCCGTCCGCAGGCACAGCGACTCGCTAGCCGCCGCGCCTCCCCGTCTGGCACCGTACGCGAGCGCATGCCAAGGCTGGTACTGCTTGGCGGCCAGGTCGATCATGCGCACCGGGATCGTCAGCATGACGCTGAGGATGGGCGGCAGGAAGAAGCCGATGAAATACTCGAGCCGCGAGAGCGAGTAGACCTCGACGACGATCTGCGATTCCGCCGGCGGCTGCGTTCCCGTCCCCGGTTCTGGCTCTGGCTTTCCGCTGGGGCGTACTACCACCGGGTATTCGGTGACTGTGGCGGTAGGCACGCCGGCCGAGTTCCGGAGGGTTGTGACGATGGGCGTGGCCAGAGCGCTGGTCGTTATTGTTGCTGTCGGGGCGCCGTCTGCGCCGAATAGCGTGACCACGGTTGGCGTCGAAAATGGCGGCCTCGTGACGGTTGCTGTGGGCATGCCGTTAGCACCAGTCAGCGTCACAACTGCTGGCGCCGTCTCGTACGCCACGATTCCGCCGCCGCCGTCGATCGTCGCAACCACTTCATAGCCGGTCACCGCCACCGCGGCCAGTGTTTTGATGCTGGTGAACGAGCTCACGCGGCTCTTCACGGTCGACAGCGTCGTGAAAGTGCGGACAGCCCCGCTGACAGTGGACAGGGTGGTGAAGGTGCTCACCACCTCGCGCAGCGTTGTCTCGGCCGTCATCGTCTCTACCACCCCGTTCAGCGTGGTCGTCGCTATGAAGGTGCTCGGTGTGCCGTTGGGGCCCGTGGTGGTGTCCATAAACGTGCTGACGACCCCGTTGCGCGTCGTCAGAGCCGTGACGGTGCTTATAACGTTGCTCAGTGTCTTTACGCCCGTCACTGTCACTACGATGTTCTTGAGCGTTGTCGTCCCCGTCACCGTCGCCACCACGTCTTTGACTGTGGTCAATCGGGCCACGGTCGTAACGACGGCGCTGCGCGTGGTCGGCACCGTGGCAGTCACGATCAACTTGTCGGCCGAGCTTGGAAGGCTGATGGGCCCAGGGTTGGCCGGGTGCTTGGGAGATGGCGTGTAGTTGGGGGGAATCGATTTCGTGACCGTCACCTCGCCGGGCTCACCGTACTTGGACGTGTCGGTGACGAACCCCGCTGTCTTTGACGATTTTGTCTTGTCATCGCCGGTAAGTTTTGTCTTGGGGTCGGGGTCAGACCATGCTTCCGAGCCTCCTATTACGCCGGGCGGTAGGAAGGGAACTGGCTCCGCCGTCGTGCCCGGATACGACGCAATAGAGCTCGACGCCGGTACGGTGCTGCTTGGCACGGGCTTCATAATCTCCCACTCTGTCGACTCGTAGCCACTAGGTATCGATTTTGATGCCGTCGGTTCGCTGGCTGCGGAGCTGCTTGGGTAGGGCGCAAAACCTCCGCCCTTACCGGGATCCGGCTTGCCCTTTGGCGCTTCGCTGACCGAACTGCTCGGATATGGCGCAAAGCCTCCGTCTTTGCCGGGGTCGGGCGTCCCTTTGGGTGCTTCGCCGGTCGAACTGCTTGGATACGGCGCAAAGCCTCCGCCCTTGTCAAGATCAGGCTTGCCTTTTGGCACTTCGCTGACCGAACTGCTCTGGTACGGCGCGAAGCCTCCATCTTTACCAGGGTCGGGCTTCCCTTTAGGTGTTGTGCTTGCCACACTGCTTAGGTCAGGCGCGAAATCACCTTCAACCGTTGAAGCAGGCTCCCCTTCCTGTTCGTCGATTGAAGAGATGCTGCTAATGGTAGCCTTTGGCTGGCCCTTTGGTGTCGCGCCGGAGAGGAAAGAAGTGGCAGCGCTCGTGACGGAGGGCGCGCCTTTCGGGGCAACAGTCTCGGCCTCCTGCCTTCTCGCAATGAACGGAGATGTATCGCCGCCGGTACTCGCCGGGCTGTTCCCCCCTGAATCCGACCCGGACCCAGGAACCAGAGCACGGTCGACCTCGGGTGGTAAGAGATGGCAGGCCGATACTACCAGAGCGATGAGTGCTATCATGGCGACAGCCACGCCGATGAGGAATGGCCATCGCAGTGGCAGCGGCTTGTAGTTTGGCAGGTCCCGCTGAACGGGCGGCGTATTCTTATCATCGTGCTCGGCCGTGTCATCGTCGTCTTCTAGAACCTCAGTTTTATCGTCGAGGTTGAGGAATGTCACCTGCGCAACCGGAAATGTGCTTTCTTCCTTTCCCTGCTGCTGAGGGCCGTAGTATGACATGGCGAGTTACTCAACCCCTGCCGAGACATAGCCAAACAAACAATCACCGAGACTGCTTCATGGTTTCTGGCGCCGTCAACTTGGGATCTATCGAATAGATATCCCTTGAAAGGGTGCGGGGAGGGCGGGGCATCATCGAAGCACATAAAGAGTCACCGACAGGGCAGCCATGGTTTATCAGGTGGGTCTTCTACAGACGAGTCTTGATGCTACCCTACAGTGAGCTCCGTCGCGGGGAGCTTTTGTTCCTCGGCTTGGCATTTAACAGGGCTGGAGATCGGCCTCGGTGAGGATATACAACATGACAATCATCGGCCCTTGAGCTCATTGGCTCCGTGCCGTCCGGGGATGCTGAGGGGCGGACGCCATTGGCCCGGCTCGGGTCAGCACAGCCACGCCGGACCTGGGTAATCTCGACGAGCTGAAAGGCGAGCATCTTGGTCGTCCAATCGGGTTTTTCACCTCCCAGCTCCTGAACCTATCACGCAAAAGTACCCCCCGCATCTTGGGTCGGAATGAGGGGGGACACGGACAAAAGATACGGCGTGCGTCTCGTTTTTCCTTCTAAATTTACAGCCACACTTATCACTTGGGTGGGTAGTATTACGCTTTTTGCTGCGAGCCTTGCCAACCACCACCGCCAATAGCTGCGAGAAGCGGAGTGCGTGAATATTCACTCGCACCTCAGAATGCAACCGCACCCGCAAACGTCGTATTGCCACGAGGACCCGACTTGAAACTTGTTTCCCCACTGGGAGGCTTGCCAATGCGAAACCAGAGCCTTATCGTTTTGCGCCGCCTACGTACCTGATTTACCTCGGCGTACAACCACGTGGGTGATGCGGTGAGCGGTGAGCGGTGAGCAGTGAAGTTGATTGGGTGCTATAACGAGTGTCCAGTAGCTGCCAGTCTGCGCCTTGGTTCGCCGAAGACAGCCAGGTACCGACCTACATTCCTAGGTTGTAGCTTGGCCACGCGTCCGGGTTGCTTCCGCGGCTCTCCCACGTGCTGTGGCATGCGCCGCATCCTGCATGTCGTGGGACAGGCATCCTGTTGAGGACTTTTGGCAGATAACCAGTAGCCGTGACAAAAGTACTCCGCCGTCATTCTAACTCACCGCGTACTCACTTTACGGGTCTGTAAGTAGTTAAATGCGGAGCGTCTACCGAGGCTTCTCCTCTATCTACCTAGCTCTGCTGTATTACGCCGCTAGGTCAGGACATTTTATGCCGAGCGTCCACTTTGGAAATGATTCTCGAAGTAAGCTCGCTGTTCTCGGCATATGAATGGGCCCTGTCTTACGGTCGAGCTCGAACGGGTGGCGTCGGCTAGTCCCGTCCACCCGCGTGGCTGAAACCTTTGGCGTTCTAAGGCACACTACGGGATGTTCGTGAAGGCCTCAGGAGATATACACACTAGAAGGGTTCAGCGCGATGAAATACACGAGACGAGCACCTGCATTTATTCTGCGCGGGATCATCAGATAGCGGGAAGCTGCTCTCTGCCTCCATTCACAGAGGTCTAGGTGCATGTAGAGCGCTCTTCTTACGATCACCTACTTACCTGCATCATCACGTTATAGCCTAGAAGTTCCCTTTTCATACCACTGTAGCAAGTGCATGACGACCGCGAGGGCAGAAACCCCACAAAGCCCTGCCAGCGGAAAACAGGCCAGCCTAGTCCAGTAGCTCGGCGGTACATTCCTTAGTTCCGAGACGAGGGAGGAGGTAACGGACCGGATAGATAGATAAGGTGCCTGGTTGATAGAATTCTGAACTTTTCTCGTGAGATGTCGTCTAGTCTGGCAGTGTACCTGGCTCCTACAGGGAATTTCTAGGAGGCCCGGGCACCTGCTTCCTTCGCCCTGAAATTCAGTCTAACCTCATATTATCCACAGGGGAAGAGAAAAGAGCCGCGATGACATGCACCTGCGAGGAGCCCAGGTCCTCGCACCGACGCACAGTCCGTCGTCGTCCGAGCTATGAGTGCCGGCGGCGGTATTCGTCCACAATGAGGCGAGGTAGGTGGCCCACCTCTATCTCCCCGTGTAGTCTCGTTTGTGTATGAAAAATCGAAAGGGGACCGCAATACGTGTTGTGCTTTTGGTCACGTCTGATCGATGCTCCACATCTGCCCCCTAGGGACGGGCTGGGCTAGAAGGGAAGTGAAGTTGCGGCAGGCCCTGGTACTTGTGCCACGCTCTCTAGCCCGATATGGCGTTCATCTTTTCCTATTTGTGCACGTTTTATACGTAGCAGAAGTCTTTTAATCAAGTAGGAAAGAAACCATGGTGGGATGTCACTGACGCTATTTGAGCCTTGAAAAGCTGGCTCTTCTGGTCCCTAAGAACGAAATCTCCGGCGCCCCCTTGGGCCACTCTTGTTTTACGGGCCCTCTACGAGAACATGAGGGCTTACAAAGAAGCTTATCAAACCCGGTTTTAGTAGTGAGCGTAAAAGATTAGACCGCGAACAGACGGACGATGGAGTGCGTAACGAACCTCACCGAGTCTGGCCAAGAAGGTCTACGACGAAGGCTATCGGCCCCAGAATCCTGGCGATTGTCAAGACGTCAAAACTCGACCCGTGTCACGGCACAGTTGGACATATTTTGGATTTCCCAACCACGGACCAACAGCGCAGTAGCTGCAAAAGTAAACTCACATGTCCGACAAGACTCTCCAGGGCTCAGGTCGGCGCCGTGAATGCCCTCAAGCATCCGCCGTCTGCGCAGCCACCACCACCACCACCACAATCGGAGCGATCCGTAGCTGCACACAGATATCTGATCAACTTCGACCCTGGAGCTCCTCGCGTCAATCTTCTGGCCGAGTTACCCAATAGGCCTTGAAGCGGTAGTCAAAAGACAGAAGGGTGATCGCTCCCAAATTCATCCAAGACCACTGCTTTCTCCACCAAAGCGTCAGCAAGGATCCAAGATGGCCGCCCCTCCACCCAACTGCTGCTCCTTCTTCGGACAGTCCGTCGCTGTCGCATCACATTCACCACTCCTTCACCATGGCAAAGATTATGGAGGAGGATTAGGACCTGTGTATGAGGCAGAACCCGACAGGCATGCAATTATCTTGACGTCGATGGCAAAACATGTCTCCTACCTACAAGAGGATCGAGAGTTTCGCTAACGCGTTCGGACGTTTCGAATGCCGAACATGATATGAAGGAAATCTATTTCCACACAGACAACCTGTACCGCGGTCTGAACTGCTGTTTTTGGCGGAGCGCGTGGCCTCAAGTCTCAGCGGTCTAGGCCACCTCAATAAGTATATATCAGGCGGGGCACATGTCCTCTCAGCACTCGCACAGTACTAAACCCCTGCCCACACATAAGCGCTGTACACCTCCGATCCTTAGCGGTCGGCGGGAAGCCGAACCTTTGGCGGTTCACACTATAACGATGAGCATTTTCATTGCTGATCTCCTAACTACTTTCGCCCTTTTCTCTGCGGGTACTTGTGGTTTAGTGATAATATGGGTAAGCCAGCTTGAAGGCCATTCTCAAAGTGTTTAACGTCCTATCCTCGGCGCCTGAAGCGTGCTTACTCAGTGGCGCACGAGATGGGTGATGCTGGTCGGGTTGGTGATGATGGGTTGAGGCTGATTCGTTCTATGGTCGGTCTGCATCCAGACGGCCTGTAGCCATTGCGAACTATATCGTTGCCCGTACCGCTTTGCAAATTCGGGGACCAATTCTTGTCATCCGAGGGCGGCTTTCCTCCAAGGAAGGAGACGGTAGCACAGGCTTCCCAACTCCCCTGGCAGTAACAGAAGCAAGTGAAGCGCTGATTAATACAATAATCTATTAAGAAAGCACGAGAAGATTTCCTCGGGCGCAGCACCGAGTGCAAGTGAATTGAACGTAGCCCCCAGGACCCCTAGAAGGGGCAAAGATAGAAGAAAAGAAGCAGAGGTAAATAATTCAGAGCGCAAAAAGCTAGAGCCATAACCTTATAACATTACCACGCTATTGTTAAGTTAACCAACGCCCTAGGAGATGCTCCCCGTTACACTCTGTAGCGTGTCTCTCCCTCTCTCTGGTAAATCCAACTACAGGGTATGCTAAACTCGGCAGCAACGAGCTCTACTGCGCTTCGCCCGTTATATGTATTTGAACCTAGTGCAATCGCTGGAATGGCTGGAAGATTCACCCTTTTCCCTACGTTCTCTAACATATTGAGCACACTATTACAAACCACTCGACTGTTAGGGTCGTCTGTCTGTAAGGGAGCACGGGCTCCACAGAATGCTGGGGTTGGTAATTATGAAGATAGAACAAAGGGCAAGCTCCTATCGCACGGGTAATACAGTCAAATCGGAATGCCACTCAAAGTGTATGAGTGCAGTGAATGTGTAATGCTTGCTTGAAGAACCAAGCAAGAACTATCTAAGACCGTGGACACGATCGTCGTATATATCTATCTACGTAACCAATAACAGTGGTTCTGTTGTCCCGTGGTCCCGCGTCCGGGTCACCGCCCGACCGGACCTGTCCCGCGTCCCCGAGCTCCAGAGCTCGGAACCCTGGAACGCTCCTGATTGGCCCACGCCAAAAAGTGCATGCCCCCCCACCTTTGTGCATAACCACAGGGAATCCACCGGGATTCGTGACACACACCTTGTAGTCCTTGCGACTGGTTTAGGGTGTCCTGCCCCAGTACCCCACATAGCATTCTGACTAGTGACTGCTAGGGTGGAGTTAGGCTATGTAGACTCCATTAACTGGTCGGTAGTCTATTGAAGGGCTTATTTTACAAGACGTTTATTTGGGAAGTCGCTTAGAGATATCGAGATTGACCGTTTTCGGGGTGATTTACTAGCAATACTTCGTTGTAGAAGCTTAATGATCTCTTGGTAGCCTTTAGCTGAGGCGGCTTGTAGAGCGTTGCCGTAAAAGCCGCCCTGCACGTTGACGTCCGCATCCTTAGCTAGGAGTAGCTTGACGATCTCTTGATGGCCTTCAGCTGAGGCGGCTTGTAGCGCGTTACCGCAAAAGCCGCCCTGCGCGTTGACATCCGCGTCCTTAGCTAGGAGTAGCTTGACGATCTCTTGATGGCCTTCAGCTGAGGCGGCTTGTAGAGCGTTGCCATTCTCGCCGCCCTGCGCGTTGACGTCAGCGTTCTTAGCTAGGAGTAGCTTGACGATCTCTTGATGGCCTCTAGCTGAGGCGGCTTGTAGAGCGTTGCCGTAATAGCCGCCCTGCGCGTTGACGTCCGCGTTCTTAGCTAGGAGTAGCTTGACGATCTCCTGATGGCCTTGAGCTGAGGCGGCTTGTAGAGCGTTGCCGTAATAGCCGCCCTGCGCGTTAACGTCCGCTCCCTTTGTAATAAAATATTGCGCCACTAGAGCGAGCCCCGTTAGGCAGGTATAGTAGAGCTGTGACCCTTCTGGTCGGTGGTAGGGGTATTCAAACCGTGCCTTACTATCTTGATATAGGCGCCTCCATCGCTGGAAAGTTATTTCGTCTTCTAAGAACCTGATTATTACTCGAACTATCTCTTCCGAACTTTTAACCGAAGCTGCATGGCTTGTCCATACTTCTGCCGCAAATTGGGCCAAAGGGAAATTCCACTCGATTTCCTCATAGTTGCCCTCGATGTCCGTTAGATATGTTAAGCATGTCTGTGTGATGGAAATGTTGGCGCTTGTAATCTTGAGTTGATTATTGTTGAGCAGGTACTCTTTGACCAAAAAATGGGCAAGATGTAGTTCCTTATCAGTGGCCTGAACGACTGCCACTAGGCTGGGACAGTAGTCTAAGACGTCAGTCTCGCAAAATAGTCGACGCTTTTTATTAAACCCTCGCGACTCGTTTCCGATCTGCGTTGCTATAACCTCAACAGCCTCGGCTAACTTGAGAGGTCGCTCGGAGTGTAGTAGAAATTGGAGGAGACGTATCTCATCACTTTTGAGCTCTGGCGGTATGCTTTCAATCATGCGCCGGTATGTCTCATCCAGATTCAGCGGCAATGATGTGAGAGCTTTCTCCATACCTGCCTCGTGACGACATCTACTCAGGCTCTCCAACTGACAGAAAGCCCACCTGAACCTAAATATAGCGTCAGCAAGCCATCAAGATATTAATCGAAAGTAGCAATAGCTTACATCCCGTCGGCCCCCTGCCCAACCTTTGTCCGAATCTGCTCAAGGAGACTTTGCGACAATCTCTTGTCCTGAAAATCACGTCGTTGCGAAAGCTGTGCTGTGACGTACAATTGGATATCGGCGTTAACAGCCCGCTTGTCGAGCACTAAGCAGTTTTCTTTGCCTATGAAAGAGGTAATGCCGCGTAGAAATTCGGATTCAGGCCGGCTGGTACAAAGCAGCTGGACGTGGCCCAACTCTGGCCTGGACACCACGTCGTTAAGAGACAGGAGAAGTTCATCCTTCGTCGTCGATTCGTCCAAGGCGTCTATAACGATAGAAACCTGATTCTGGGCTGCAAGCATCTTATACACAACGTCCGAGAGTATCTTTGTGGCAGGTTGGTCCAGGCCATCCTGGTGTGCTTGGAATGTGGCATCTAGGACCGCAGAACCAGTCCCATACTGGTAGAGTTGGAAGGCAAGTGACCGCAGCATACCATCTACGGTCTGCTTTTTCGTATCGCTAAAATCAAAGAAGAAGCTGAGGACAAAATGGTCCTTTTCCTGGGCAAGATGGTCCAGGACGGTTGCGCTGAGAACCGTCTTGCCGCATCCCGCGAGTCCATATAGCCATATATGTCGACGCGATCCCGAGTACCATGACTGGAAGACTAGGTTTTCCAGGAGCCATGCGCCTGTCCCCTCGTGGCGGAGCTTTCTCGCGTGATTGACGTTTGTAGACGGGTCGGGAGGACAAAGCCAGCGCTTGATCTTTTCTATCCGAAGGTCAGACTTGATGGAGTCAGCTGCAGCCTTCGTTGCAATTGTGGTCTGCTGCACGCTATTAATTTTCTTTTCAACTACGCTCAGGACGTATTCGAAGTTAGTTTCATTCGGTTCCGTATATTTGCCCAACCTGCTAGACGATGTGCAGAACTAACCCGATTGGAGCACCTCTAATGCCCTCTTAGTCTCCTGGACCTCCGTAGCTGGCACGTACTCTAGGAGCTCCTTGGCATACGCAGCGGCGGTGGCGGAAGCGTAACGTTGCCAACGATCATTCTTGTGAGAGTCGGCGTAGTCGCAGATCCCACGCACGACAAGACAGGGGAAGTGGTTCATCAGGCCGGCGGCTTCCATCTCAAAGCAAATGCAATCCTCGCCAACCTCAGCAACCATCCGATCGCGTATAGCAGCATCTTTGACGAGTGTATTGCCAGATGCGATGATCCCGTAATGGATCTCGGGGTCGGTAGTGTCTCGAGGGTCGCGTTGAACCTCTTCGGCTACGTCACAGCCTCGACAGTCCAGCCCAGGGACATGGTCGTACATTGTCTGGAAGAGATGGTCGTTGTCAAATCCTTGGTGGACGTAACCAGGGTTCTTCTTAGACCCCTTGCCCATCTTGGGGTTTTTGTCCAGCATCTCTCGAAGAAAGTCGGGAACCTTGGAATTTTTCCGCTCATGAGAGGCATGGATGCTGGCAAGTGCATTGAGGAGGACCGTCGGAGGCCGTCCGAGGAAGCCTTCGCGCTCACGCTTGTCACCAGACTTTGCCTTGAACAAGTCGTACTGACAGACGCCGCCCGTAGTGCTATTAGGCTGGCTCACAACAATGTCACCGAGGCGGATGTCGTGGCCCTCGTCCGGTCTAGCGATGCCGCCGCCAATGCCGACCAAAAGGGCAACGCGGATGGATGGTAGCGAGGCAAGCAAGCTCGAGGCGGTAGTTGCAGCCGAGGTGGTCCCATAGACTCCTGCGGCAAGGGAGGTAATGACGATGTTGTGCTCTCCCACGCAACCCCAGCTATAGACGTTGGCGTCGTTCTGGTGTCTGACGAAGCCAGTCGGAGTTGAATTTTCCTCGTCGAGCATGGTCTCTGCAGCGGCCCGTTCGATGGGAAGGGCAGCGATCCAGGCGATCGCATATGAGTCGGGGCTGTCGAGAGCCTTGCGGGATGTCATGGTGTAAGTTTGCGCGCGATTTGGCGAGATCGGCGGGGAGTGATTGCGTGTTATATGACTCGGCCAGGTGTGTTTGGCAATCTGGAAGCTACTTGTTGAAAGGCAGACCCTGTGGTAGGATATCGATCTTATCACCGTTAATGGCAGACTTGAGCTTTGCTAGGTCTTGTAGAAGGACGGCCGCAATCGCCGCTAATGCAAGTTGGCCCTCAGCGCTTGCACCCTCTCGGTAGTTGGTGGTTAGCCCCATGCCAAGAAGGTGTCGGTGAGCAGGGGGTCATGGAGTCACGTGTAACTAGGCCAATAGGGGACTAAGCTGTGTGGGTGGTGCACGGATCACACCTTCTTTCCTGCTGTGGTGGCATCGGGGGAACACTGAGCAATCAGAAAACGACAGTCCCGACCACGGCATGTATTCCAGCTGGGCAGAACAAAGTCATTACTACAGTCCTGTCGATATCGGTCTAGCGTTCCGTGCAGATCAGTCAGGGAGCAGGAAGTTCAGACGGATGTCGTCCGACGAGGAAACTATGAATGCATTCGCCCGTACCACATTCTACAGACATTGTGCCCGAGCTCATGTTCGCTGCCAAGACAAGGCACATCCTGTTCCACTGTCGAACCCCGCCAGCATTGTGACGGCAAATGCGAGCCAGCTGCATCTGCGCTCTAGTACCTCTAACCTGACTTAGAGAATGCCGTGACTGGAATGATTGATCTTGAAAGGCTGTTTGGGACAGCGTCAAGCTCGACAAGTGTTGAATGAGGCTAATGGATAATGGATACCATGAAACAATACGTCACCGCCCGATTACGCAGCAGTCTGTCCAGCAACCGCACAGCTACTGCATTCTCCGCATTCTCCAGGCAAACGAGTGGTCTAGCTCAGTCTGGTTCATTATTTAATGCGTCATAGATGCTGGAGTACCTAGGGGGTCAGCACATGCCAGGACCTACTTCTCGAGTAACGAAACCCGAATAATAAAGAAATGCCAAGTCCATTGTTATAGACTATACTAGTTTCTTCCTTTGTTCACCTATATCGGTTTGAAAAGAATCAGCCAAGATTAGGTAGGCAGAATAATCTAGCGAGATCTGTGAGGTTTCTGTCTTATTCTTACATACCATGCCTATCTGAACAGCAGAGACCCAGAAGCGCTGAGTGGGCAAGTCGAAGCCCAAGCCCCGGGCCATCCTTCGCGAGGCCTGGCCAGGAATGGCCGAGGGGCACTGGCCGGACCTGGCCCAGGCCAAGCTCTGGATGCGTGACCGGTCGCCGGGCAAGACGCGCCTGGCCAAAGGGGATGACGTCCGCGATGTGTACATGTAAGTTTTAATCATTTCCTTCCTCACTCGTTGCCTTTCTTGGCTTTTTCTGTTTGTTTCTTTGCTTTATCAAGCCATGAAACATATCTTTGCCCAAAGAGAATTAACAAACATTCGGCCCAAACAATTTCTCTTCCTCATTCTTCTCTTTTTAATTTTAGTTTTCTACCCTTCTAGTTTTTTTTCCCCATTCTTTCCTTGACTTCGTTTTTATATTTCTATTTCCTTCTTCCCATGTCCCGTTGAATAAGACTAGTCTTGAAATAAACCTTTACCATTACCTAATACAAGAACATACTTCTCTTCTTCATTAGGATGCCCTACATCAACCTCGAGGACTTGTCGGCCCGTGAGCCACTCCTCGTCATGGTCAACGCCCGGGCCTGGAACAAACCGCACCGCCGGAGAAGTGCTGGCATACGGGATTGGCACTCGCACGGGTGCCTTAGAACTTCCGGCCATGGAGCCAATGTTGATGATGTTCCGGGGCCGAACGACGGCTAACACATACGGCCAGATCTACACATACAGTGGGGGCGAGGCCGACCTCGACGTATGGTCGTTTTCGTACCAGGCCCAGCGAGTGGGCGACGGCCTGAACTGCCTGCGGATCCAGGCACGAATCTACCACTTCCTCGTCCGGTGCTGCTACACCCTCATGCAGGGAAAGGAAGCGTCGCTGTCCTCCATGGCGCTGGAGGAAGGAAATCGCGAGCCGGAAGCCCCTGTGCCATCAGCCAACAAGCCGGAGACCTCGAAAACGTCTCTGGCCGTGTAGACGCTCGAGGGAGCGTACCGGCCTCCCGCCCCGTGGATCTCACCCACATGGAGCTACTCGTGCGCACCAAGCTGGCCGAGGCCGAGGACCGGCTGTTGTCCCTCGTGAGGACCCTGGATTTTTCGCCCACGCGCTTTTTGAGGAGCGAGAGCACCGGCCAGAACACGTGCTCGACAAGAACGGGAAACCCAGCCCTCTCATCGCGTCGACTAAGCCATCCTTCTGGTCGGTAATTTTCGGTCGACCATGGCTCTGCATTTCGACACGGCAGAGTTCTGGCGATCTCTCCACAGCCGTGTCGTCAAGCTCAAGGAGCTTATGGACAAGCACGCACGCAGTATCGATGCCCACCATCTCCCCGAGGACCTCGCGAAGCAGTTTGCCGTCGTGCTCAACTTCCTCAACGAGATGTTGATCAAGTTCTACCTCACCTTAACATGCCGTTGCGTGGGTGAACCCAAGCTTCGGGCGCAGTATGTGCGAACAACAGACGTCAGGCCGGACCAACCAGTCCGCTGCAGCCCCATCAGCCTCCATCCGGCCGATCAGACACAGGCGCAGTACGACTTGATCTCTCACGTAGGGCTCATGACCAACGAGCAACGTTCCAAATTCACCATCAAGAGGGTGGTGGACAGCTTCGACCGAGTGCAGGAGACCAAACCAGAAGCAAACAAGCTGCTCACATCATACCTGGCGGACCGCATTGCCGACGTGTCCGTCATCAGCGAGTGCATAGACGCCATCACGAAGTATGTGCCGTGGACTGAGAGCTTTGGCATCGCCATCAAGACACCAGAGGACGAGCTGAGCTATAACGCCGCCGAGGACATAAAGTACCTGGCCAACTTCATCTTGCCCGACTCGAACTGGGACGGGATATCGCGGGCCTCGGCGCGCCAACGCGCAACAAGTTCGACTACCCGGTGCACCTCAAGCGCACGCCCGACACCGTGGCGGCCATGGCCAGGGCCGAGACCAACCTTGACACATTCTGGAACAAGTACATCAATCGTGCCAATGCCATGCACAACACCCAACGCCACTACTTCTCGCCGGGCACGCGGGCCCTGATAGCACAGCCTCACCGGACAGGCGGCTCGTCAAGCTCAGGTGCGGACAGCGAGGATCTCGTCAGCGCCATCGCGGAGCTGCTGATCGGAGCCTCACACCACGGCACGTCCAACTCTGCTGGCGCCTCCTCCGGCAGGAATAGGGTCCCTCACATATGCCCCCCCTCGTCGACTCTAGCCGCCGGCGACAAGCGCGCGCGCAAGGTACTCGACGTGCTGTTCCCCTCGGCGGTCAAAGGCATCGCCGCGGTTGGCTCGGGCGAGACCAAATGGAGCGACTTTGAGTACATCATGATCAAGGCGGGCTTTATGCTCGAGAAGCAGCGGGTGTCGGGCTGGCTGTTCACCCCGGATTGGAGGTGCTCGACATGCGCGGGCAACCCAATCATGTTCTCCGAGCCATATCCAGAGGGCAAGATCGACATTGTCATGGCGCGTCACATTGGACGTCGCTTAGCCAAGGCGTATGGATGGCGCCGCGACATGCTTTTGCAGGGCTGATTGATTCAGTGGGGATTCCGATTCACGACATGAGACTATGAGTCGGGCTTAGTTTCTCGTCTTCTTCTCTCTCTGGCTCTGGCTTTCGTTTCAAGCATGATGGGTAGATTCAGGGCTTTTTATTTCTGGGCAGGGCGTAGTGGTCTTTTTTCGGGCGTTCTTCTTCTTAAATGGTTTCTTTAAAAGGGGAATGGGAGGTTTACTTTTTCATGGGCGGCGGTGTTTTGGGAGGACTGGGTCATAGCAGGCGTTCGGGTTGGTTTCCAGGTTGCTGGTAATTATTATATTACCTTATTAATACCCGACTTGAGTAGACTAGACCTAGCAGTATAAGAAGGAGCAGTGGAGGTGCATATCCCAAACCCAGAGTCATCATGCCACCCAAAGTTCTGTTTGCGAAAGCAGCGTTGTATTGTCGTTGAATGATGTGGATACTGTTCAGCGGCGGCTTCCTCTTATACTTAGATCCCGAAGCACGCCATCGAGATTAGGGCCTAGCCCCGCAGATTCAGGGGTGCAGCACTGCAGTCAACCGTATATAATCAACTGTAATTGGTTGTAGAACTAGTAAACTCTAGCGGGCTCATCCGTTGGATTGCTCTGAAATCCTCCCGTTTTCCAAACCCAAACCAAAACTCAAGCCGATGCACGGACGGATCTCAGGTTTATTCTAAACGCTCTTGCTTCATTCGCCATTGAGTTTTGCAAAGAGCGGTCGCAGCCTGATGCAACGTTAACACCGGCGGGGCTGCATACGGTACTACAGTTCCATTTAAGTGAGCTGACGAGATTGCATCCTCCTCTTGCGTCAATTTAGCGCCACCACCGGCCAAAACGGTCACCGAAGCACGACGCGAGCCTTATGCCAAACCATGAGCCCTCCTCGCCGGAGGCCTTGGAGGAGCAGTCCTTGCTTGCTGGACACGACAGCAGGAGGACCGAACCCTTCTCACAAACTATCGCGAGTTCACCGCTTCCCAGCCCCCCGAGTGCACGTCCTACAGGAACCCGCTCTCCTCCCGACGCCGACGGCGACGACGGCGACGACGGCGACGACGACGATAACAACACAAATACCAACAACGCCAAGTCGGTCAACACACGAGGCGAGGCTGGCTACGGCGCCACCAACATGTCCAACGCCGCCGCATTGAACGGCCACCGCTACCCCGAACCCGACTCAGACTCGCTCCGAAATTTCAACAACGACAATGCCGACTTCGTAACAACCACCGAAGCCCGCCATCTACAGCGCGGGCTGGCTCAGCGTCATTTGTCCATGCTAGGCATCGCCGGTTCTATCGGCACGGGCCTGTTTTTGGGTCTCGGCTTCGCGGTCCAGACGGGCGGCCCGCTCGGTGCCCTTCTCGGGTACGCCGTCATCGGCCTGATCGTTTGCGCGGTGCAGTTTGCCCTTGGCGAGGTGGCCGCCCTACTCCCCGTGACGGGCTCATTCGTACGCCACGCCGAGTTCCTCGTCGACCCCGCCCTGGGGGTCGCCATCGGCTGGAACCTCGTCTACGGCAACATGCTGTCCATCCCCTCCGAGATCACGGCCATCTGCGTGCTCTTCCAGTACTGGACCGACATCAACTCGTCTCTCTTCATCATCGTCTTCATTCTCCTAACCGTCGCCGTCGGCCTCACCCTGGTGCGTGTCTTTGGCGAGGTCGAGTTCGTCTTCGCCCTGCTCAAGATCATGCTCGTCGTCTTCCTCGTCATCCTGGGGCTCGTCATCAACCTCGGCGGCATCCCCGGCACCGAGCGCATCGGCTTCCGGTACTGGCAGGACCCGGGGCCCTTCGTCGAGTACATCGCGACGGGCAACTGGGGCAAGTTCCTGGGCTTCTGGAGCGTGACGACGGGCGCCGTCTTCTCCTTCGCCGGCGTTGAGTCACTAGCCATGGCGGCCGCCGAGACGCGCAACCCGCGCCGCGCCATCCCGCGCGCCTGCAAGCGCGTCTTTGTGCGCATAATCATCTTCTACCTTGCCGCCGTGCTCGTCGTCGGCATGCTCGTCGCCAGCAACGACCCGAACTTGGGGGGCGACGGCTCCGAGGTCGCTCAGAGCCCCTTTGTGCTCGCCGCCTCGGCCGCCGGCATCCCCGCTATCCCGTCCGTCGTCAACGCCGTCGTCATCACCTCGGCCTGGTCCGCCTCCAACCAGGGCCTCCTGGCCGGCACGCGCGTGCTGTACGGCCTCGCCCTCAAGGGCCAGGCGCCCAAGATCTTCTTGCGCACGACCTCGTGGGGCACGCCCTACATGTGCGTGCTGCTGTTCACCGTCTTCATGTTCCTCAGCTTCATGAGCCTTTCCGAGGGCGCCCAGACCGTCTTTTGGTGGCTCGTCCGGCTAACGGCCGCCGGCGTGCTGGTCTCGTGGTCCGCCATCCTCCTCAACCATATCCGCTTGATGCAAGCCATGAAGCGGCAGAAGATTGATTTCGACCGGCTGCCGTGGCACAACTGGTGGACTAGTAGGTCCAAGCCCAACCCCCGTGTGAAGAACTAACTTGTGATTTGCGTTCGTGACAAGGAGGATTGGAAGTGTGCCAGCGTGCTGACAGTTTATGTGCGCGTCTGACAGTCTACAGCTCGCCTGCTGCGCTTTTTATGTGCATTCTGGTCCTTTTCACCAGTGGCTTCAGCGTCTTCACGGCGGGCAACTGGGACCCTGCGACGTTTGTGTCGTCGTATCTGTAAGTTTGTTTTCCGAGTGGCTTACTGGTTTTTTCGGATGAGTGGCAAGAAGTTGTTTGATTGTCTATCAACTAACTCGACTGTGTTACCACTTAGGGATATACCCTTGGTGCTGATCGCCTACTTCGCATGGAAGTTCATCATAAAGACTAAGGTCGTATCGCTCGACGAAATTGCCCTCGACGAGGCCTTTGACCAGGCCGAGCAGTACGTGGAAGAGCCCGAGGGCAAGCGCCGCGGCTGGATTAGAACAGTCAGCTGGATTTGGGATTAGACTCGAACACGGCTGAAATGACGATTGGACAATGACATATACAACATATACAGATGGCGGCTCTCTGGGTATATCTAGACTAACAGGGGTGATTAATGATTTGCGTTCTTTGTCTACTATTTGGAATAATTTGGTGGTAGTAACTACACGGTTTCTGGATGTGGAGTCTTCAAGCCAATCGAGTGCAGCAGAAAAAAGAGAAGAAAAATGAGGCAATTTCTGCTCTTTCCGTAAACTACGAAAACGGCCTTACTATGGCTTTGAACTGATTCACTACCACCACCGTAGTTCTTTCCGATCACTTAAGATCCCGGTCGCTAACCTGCTCCGGAGGTTTCGTGCAACAATTTGAAGTTCACTTAGCCCTCATCCTTTGAGACATCTCTTCCAAGCCTCGAGATCATCGCCTCTGGCGTGATCATCATCCTTGTAAACAGGCACCCTCTTATAGTAATAACCCCCACCTTCGATCCTTCTAACGGCCTCAATAAAAAGGTCGTAGGTGGCATGGCCCGGTTCCCTTTCCTCGTTGAATTTGAAGTACTCCTAGAAATAGGAGTCATCCTTTGTCTTCTTTTCCAGTAACTTGTAAAGGAGTTAATTGATTGTGGGTGGTCAGCCTGGGCCAGAAAATAGGTGATACTGAGTAGAAAGGGTTGAGAAAAGGGGTGCTCTAACTGTTGGGTTTTTGCCAACTCGTGCGGGGAAATGTAGGCGGGCAGGTAGGTAAGGAGGCAAAAGAAAGGGGCAGGGAAAAGGGAAAAGGGAAAAGGGAAAAGGGAAAAGAATAGAAGAAAATTGAAGAGTCATAATTACATGAGAGTCCTGGACGTCCTTGACGTTAGTGCCTATTGGCATGATCTAGTAACAAACCGTTGGTACTTGCGGTGAATTATCCGAGCCAGACTTGTGGGGGATGACAACATGCTTCATCCAGTAGATGACGAGCTTTTTGCCATCGCCGTAAGAAGGGTTCAGTTGAGGTTTCTCAGGCAGCGCCAGCTGCTTGTTCCCTGTTCCTGTTTCCCTCCTGACGAGAGTAGCGGTCGCGCCCGCTTGAGCATTGCAGCTCGTAGAAGCGGACGCGATAGTCAGTTGTTGGGAAGAGACACTGCCTACATTCCCCTGACCTTCTTTGACCTCCTTTATTACCATGGTGATAGGATAGTCGAGAGGGGTACTTTGATGAATACAAGTTGAACTATAGAGACACAAGAATGAAACCTCACGCCATGGCCTGTGAGTGTGGCTGGCAATGGTGGCACTCCAAGTCCAGCTTCATCCAATGGGTTCACCCAAAAGCCTTCCTCTGCAATCGGAGCCACAGACGCCGCCAAGTCTGTTGGCCCGCGGCCACTGCTCAGGTCGCCAAACAGGAGGTTGTACGACGATGCGTCGAAACACATTATTTGCCAAATTGGGACGACTCGCAAAAGAGGTTGTTGTACAATGTGTGCATCGAAACACATTCTCTGGCATTATTTGCCGAATCGGGACACAGAAGAAAACAATACAGGAGATTGAGAACCAACAGCTGTGTAAGTAACGGGTCCGCAACCAATAGTCGAAGACGTGTGTGACCAACAGCTGCTTTGGAGGAGTGGAGGACCACCTACACAATAGCCGAGCTCGCGGCTTGTCTTACCTTCACTCTAGAGTATGTCAAACCAGCAGTGGCACCAGGCGGCATCATGGCCTTGCCGCCACGATGTGGAAGGTCAATAAGGCTAGTTAGACGACCAACCGGGCAGTCGCCGAAAGGATTTGAATTGCGGGCTGTGTCTTGGTGACGACGAGACCTAGTCTAGGCACGCGCGCCACGTGCAGTACAGTACCACAGACCAGTGGGATGAAGATAAAACGAGGCGCCACCCCCCCTTTCTCCTTTCCCTGCCAACCTCCGGGAGCAAAAAAGCCATTGATTGGTACCAAATTTACCTACAGAACAAAGTACCTTTGAATTTGCGCTCTTCATGAATCATGCGAGATGGCCTGAAGACAGCGATAGTGAGGTAGTCGGGTTAGACAGAATACGCTACCCATAACATGGAAGGTTGAGAAGTCGTAATCTTGAAAGTTGTCCTCTCGTGAGTCGACCCGCTAAGTGAATAGGCATGCGGAAACGCATGCGGGCGGACGATCGGTTTGGACTCCCGGGTCAGACATCAGTCGGCACATGCAAATTTGGACAGACAAATGACGAAATTGGTGCAAGACGTGATGATTTTGTTGGGTCAAGTTTTTTGCCTTCCCTGAAAAACTTGCTGGCCTATCTCCTTACCAACAGCCGCTTGCTCCTGCTGTCTTGTTGCCCCCCGGAAAACTTTTATATCCCCGTCCTGGTAATTAACACCGAGGGCTCTCCGAGGAAAAATAAGATGAAAAGAAAGAAGGTAAAAAAGAACCCTATTGGTAAACCTGCGCCGTGCCATGCTGTGTATTAAAAATGTAGATGGAAAAATGCTACCCAGTTGCAGATATAACCCTTTTCTCCTGTTGCTCTACTAGAAACCCGCACTCGTCCTGGTCGGCTGATGATATTTGCCTGACATATGTTTCTCGTGGGCGAGGGGGGTGCGGTAGATCCTCCGTTTCGGATTGCTTTGCTCAAGGTCTTCTGCTCCAAGTGTTGATGCTCACAACCTCTTCTTCTCGTTTGCAACGGATGCCTACTGGCACCAGCAGGCAGGCCATTGGCAGGATGCGCCAAGCTTGCAGTGGAAGCCCGAGTCGTTGCAGTAGGCCTGGACATTGCTCGCCGTGCACAAAGCTTCTGTCAAGCTGTCCCGGCAGCGGGGCGAGCCATAGTCTTGTGCCGAGGCTTTGGCGGTGGTGTTGCTGGCCGACGTCGTGGTCTTGACTCCGCCAGCCGCTGGGTCGGGCGAGGCCTCAACGGGTGCGGCGAGGGCTCCTGGAGCCGAGAGCAGCAGTGCGCCTGCAACGATGAGGCTGAGAATGGACTGGTGGAACAAGGTACAGGGGTTAGTGCATGTGTATTTCCAGGCACATGTGTGGCAAAGCAGGCGACCAGGTTAATGGGCCGAGAGAGAAGGGGTGGCGCCCGCGAAGCAGGGCCGTGGACTGCAGAGAACAAAAGGGGGCCACGATATAGATAGGAGATGGCGAGGGAAATGGCGACCAGAAGAAGGTACACTTGCTCTGCTGGGCTTGACCACACTGCTACTTACCTTCATATTCGCTGCGAGTGGCGGAATTGGTTCGGGGCCGGTAGGGTGAGTGATGGATCCCGGGAAAGGAGATCGACGAGGAATGGAGATCACTCGGTTGGGGTGAGTGGCGGTGTTAAGTATCTTTCTTGGCGCCCTGGTGATGAAGAGTTATAGGATTGAGGTCGGTAAGGGGGTTGGATGCCTTCCGGAGTGAGATTCCACAGCGATCGTGATCTAGGGGGGCTTGCTCAAGACTGGCTCAGGTCCGATCGGTGATGGCAGGACCGAGCGGGGGTCTTATACTATCTGAGTGGAAAGCCCGGTGGGAAAAGATCGGATAGAGTGGCGGAGAAAGGGGCTAGACGTCGTCCGTCAACCCCGGTGTCACGTTCTGGGTTCCAGTGCTTTCGTCTATCTAAGGAGGGGAATCTCGAGTCATCCCTCAAAGTCTTGGTCAGTCGCTTCTTCGGTGGTGGTGGCGTGTCGTACCGGATGCGACGAGAGTCAGCAGTCGATATCCAAAAATGCCTGAAGCGAGAGAGGCCCAGAAACCTAGATGACGGCGATTATACCAATCTCGGGCGGCCAAGACCGAACCGGGAAAGCAAAGGGCGCCACTCCTGGGATTTTAAAAAGGGCAAGTTGTAGTCGGCGGGCGGAGGGAGTGTGCGTATGTGTGTCGAGGGCAGGAAGAAGCAGAGACGGCCAACTCCCGAGATGTGTGACTGACTGCCTGCGGCGGCCGCTGCAATGGAATGCAACTCGGGCTACAGTTCAGGCGGGGGCTGATTGTGATGGTGGGTAACCTGGACCCTGGGTTTGGCTGCGGAAGGGTGGGATGGCCAGGAGGGGTGCATCCATGGATCCGAGGGCTAGAAGCGGAGGGATGGAGGGAAAGAGGCAAGTGACGAGCAGCCAGATGGCGGATCTCTGAGCGAGGCAAGAGCCTCAATTAAGGGGCGGGCAGTCCGGCGACACGCTAGCAACGCTCACGCAGGCCCCAGGCAGCTCGTTCCTGGGTATGGTTGCAGCGGGGTATGCACTGTGTGGTGGGCTAAAATGGAAGACACAATGGGTGACTGAGGTCGGGGTGGGCAGTAGGCATGGGGGTGGCACACGGGAGACGGGAGACGGGAGATGGGAGACGAAAGGAGCGAAGCTGGCCCTGGATCAGCAACAACCCGGCCTCCCTTCCCTCCAACTAACAGCTCTTTCACGGCGGGATGAGACGAGTCGCAGGCAGGAAGCAGCAAGCAGCAGGTCAGAGATAGCAGGCGAAGGCGCTGGCAGCGTGACTGGCAGGGTTTTAACTCGAAGCACTGGATGGAACGCCGCGTCCATTAAGTGGCAATCAAATGAATATTACCACCAATGCATACCGATTACACGACGTCGGCTCGCCCAGAAGTTGCGATCCACGGGTTATGAGTGCTATTATAGAACATCGCTTGGCCGTCTACGGCCAAGCGTGGCCAGACGCGGAGGCAAGCGAGCGCTGCCATGCTCCGTTCTCGATTTGAACGGGGGGAGGGATCAGGAACTAGCCCGTCGATCATGCCCCTCCCGTCTTCCATTCTCCATTCATCATTCTCCGCAACCTTCTTGCCCCATTGGGTTCTTGGGGTGTTCAACTTCAGCCGGCTCGGCCAATCAGCGGCGATTGCTTGCTGCGTTGCAGCACTACCGAGACAGAAGTTCAGAAGCTGTCGTCTGGGCCAAAGTCGAGTGCAAGAGCCGAATGGATCGCTCCAGACGGGGATCATGGCTTCTGGCTGGGGATGCAATAAGGGAGATAGGTGGAAAGATGGAGAGAGAGAGATGGGTGGCCAAGGCCAGTTCGGCTTGTGCAAATCCGCCGAATGAGACGCCGTCCCGGGGCCTGAAGCTCTTCTCAGCACTGGAGCCATGTTCCGTGTTGCGGTCCAATCGCCGCCCCGGACGGATAGTGCTCATTAATTTATCCGCATTCATCCGCACTCAAGCCCAGAGCAGAGACGCGAATTAATAAGTAGGGTGGCCAGCGCTGCGAGAACGTGGTCTGGATGTGCTGTGGATACACGCCCGTGTTTGCGCTCGCCCAGCCTCCAGTGGGAATCCCTGACAAAATTTATTCCTGGAGGCCCAGGCCTGTGCTTTTTCCCCATAGCTCAACGCAACACGAGGGGCGATGCGGAACGGGAGGGAATGCACGTCTCGATTCTTCTGGTTTGGTACCACGCCGACGGCGCTGTGCCAGTAGTCGGTTCCGAGCCGAGTCGGGATGGAGGAAAACTTGTCCTGTTCTATTAATACTGCATGAAAAACCGGGAAGGCTGGGCCTCGATATATTGTTGCGCTGCCTATATGACGACAGAGGGGGGCGTTTGCATTTATGCTGTGTTCGGAACGGCTAGCGCGCGTGCATTGCAGCGGGATATTGGGCCTCTCGAGGCAGTCCATCGATGGCCTGGCTATCTTCGGGTCTCCTGTGGCAAAAAGGGGTAAGACGAGCATGCCTTGCTCATCCCTTTGATTCCTTGTGACCACTTTTACCTCTAAGGTCGATCCCCGATTGCCTATGGTCCTCTAACATGAACACCAGGCTGAGGTGCTTATCTGGGTGGATTGAAACTCCCTCCCGGATTCAGCGGCTCGTAAAACCGTGTCCTCGTTCAATCCTCGATGTTCCCGACTTGGTCAAGGGTTAGTTAAATGTCCTGAGAGGAATGTATCTTTCTTTCGCCGGTCACGCGTCAGTCTGGTCGGCAGTTTGCACCTGGAACGAGATGTAGCAACTAAGGTGCCTTGGTGAAGATGGACAAGGAGGTTGAATGACCTCGTCCCGCTGCTGCGTCTAATCAGAGAATAATCAGCAGTTTGAAAGCTGCAGTGAATTCCCGGTCCGTGGGACGCAAAGGTAGTCCGAACAACAGCCGACAATTGAAAGAATGAGAACTCGATCATGAATCATGAATCATGAACAAAAATCAACGTTTGCCTCCCTTCCCGTAACTCAAAAGTGCCGCCCAAACTAACAGTGACTTGGTCCTCAGAGCCTACCGATGCTTCACTCGACAATTTCCCCTGTCCTCGCCGCCGGTCTTTAGGCAATCCAGACACACCCAAAGCTTCCAGCTCCAGGCCCCTCCGAGGGCCAGAGCCAACCGCTTGGCGAGATGGACCCCGTCGCCATATTGCATGCTGTCGCAGGCACACCGGTGGCGGGTGCACATCTCGAAGAAAAGCATTGGGTTGTCGCGTGCCTGGCCTGCCACGTCGAGAGCGCGGGTAATGATTGCCGAGAACGAGTCTGTCTCGTACTGGGGGCGCCAGGGGGACAGGTTGTAAAAGTCGAGCAGCGCCATGTAGTTGCCGATGGCAAGCGCTGCATTGGGGCATGTCGGACGAGTCTCGGGCTCCGGCCCGTAAAAGGCGAGCTGCGTCGTGACCTTCGAGACAGGCTCCATGAGCGCGTTGTGAATTTCCCGGCGCAGTCGGGCTTTCCGGCGGGCAATCTCGCCTGTCGTTGGAATTCAACAGAAGGTGTTCTGCCGTCAGCGTCTCTCACTATCCCCCTCGCATGCCATCATTGACTGGCTTGGACTTCTCAGACACAAAACTCAAATACGTACCGTGAAGGTCATGACGTAACAGCTCGTGGTCTGGAGGAATCGGCAGCTCCAGGCCGTACTCGGTCTCATCCTTCAGCAGCTGGCGGTGCATCAGGAGAATATCCCAGCTCAGCTGGGCGAACTGCATTGGCAGATCGAGAACGTATGCAAAGAGGAGCAAGTTGCAGCGGCCGAGCAGACCGGCATATTCGGGGTCTTCCCGACGCTCGGCAGCTCGCTGCAGCCACAAGACGCCGTAGGGCATCAAGGCAGGCGCGCAGTCGTACTTGTCAACCAGGCCGGCTAGCGAGAGCAAGTCAGCCGTCGCCGGCAGGAACGGGATGGCATCGGCGCGGTGGTGGATCACGTTTGCAAGAATGGCAAAGACCTTGCCGTCGTCTTCGGGCAGGGTGATTGGGAAGGGGCGTGGCGAGTCGCGAGCTCGGAACGCTTCGCCCTCGGCCATGGGGCTTCCGAGCATGGCGGAGAAGACGGGACTGACGAGACAGAGGACCGAAGACGAGACTCGGAGGTTTATCTCGTCGACTTCGTGCACGATATCGAGGCCCAGCTCTGTCGACGGCAAAGCCATACAGGCATCTTCAGTTGGGTCGACACGGCTGCAGGTAGCCGATGTAGGGGCTGGGCTCCATGGTTCGACTTCGGGCTGCTTCCCGCGAGGGGACTCGACGGATTCCGCGATAGGAGCGGGGAAGCAGAGAAGGACGTCGCCCTTGGGGTCGACGAGCTGCATCGTCGCCGCCATCAGTTCAACAGGAGCTGGTATCAGACAGCCATATCACTCTAGGTTGGAGTTGAAGTCGGCCAGTCCCGGAAACGTGAGATAAGGCGAGCAGCCAGGACGGGCAGAAGGCAGAACCTAAGATAGGTAGGTATGCAAAAGATACCTAGCTCGATAGGCCATGTGGGGTCCACATTAATAATGAGCTGGTGCAGCGCCAGCAAATGCATCGTGCTTTTGATCCAGTCGTCGGTGATCTTGCCTAGGGGCTTACATGATTGGGCTCCGACGTTCAGCCTCAAGATGCGGTGATGCACGTAAGAGGGGTGCGAGGCGCCCATTCCGACATTGGTGCCCGATCATTGTCGACCTACGGGAGCCGGGGGCCAAAAACGCGGCTGTTTCGTGTCTCGCAGCGTTGCAGCGGCCGTGGCGTGATTCCCATCAAATGGAGGTTCAACGAGCGATGGGGACCGGCTGGGCGTCTAAAACTCAATTAATGCGGGCAAGGGCGACGGGAAGGCCCCAAAACTGAGGCGCATCCGCCTCGTTTCCACACCGCACAACGGCGATAGGTCTTCCACAGGCGCAGGCACGATGCACCGATATGCACCTTCAGCCTTAAAAATGGGCAAGTGCCAATCAGGTCAGCAACTCGACACTTTTGTGCCACAGACATTATCAACGAACGCCCCAAGAATAACACCTCAATCCTATCTGATCACCAATAATACTAGCCCAGAGATTTAATATTAGCAATGTGATGAGAGTCAGGTTTCCCTGTTTTGTTCCTAGAGCATTCACAGGAAATCTTACACATAGTCTCCGTCTCAGGGGTCAGTGTTAGGGTTAGGGTATTGTGTCTCAGTCAGGTACCCCGCACTTGACAGCACCTAGCAAGGAAAGCCGTACCTGTGGAAGGGAGTCGTGGAAGTACCTGTGGAAAGATTGATGGACGTGACCTCCAAAATCGCGTGCGTCTCATCACGCTTCTCACCAGCTCAAAGTTCGAGCTATCCGAGTCTAGCCCGAAGCATTTAAATGACACGTCGTCTATAATAACACGCGGATAAAAAATCATTATGGAGTGTCATTGCCCCTATAGCCCAATTATAGCGCAGCAAGATTCGCGGTTCGAGCGTGTTAAAAACGACCGGCTTGGCTTCGAGATTCACAAGCTAGAACGTCTCCCCATGCTATTTTCACCCAGTGCCATGAACGTACCCGGGTGGCTGAAAGCACCGCCTCAGAAATACTGCTTCATAGACAATCACTTTGAAGATCTGGGTGCACCTTGGAAGGAGATGCCGATGTAGAGCTTGGACGCACTGCCGACTCAAGCCCGCATATCTCAGGCGATGAGTAGACTCAGTGGAGGTCCAAATCTTGAGAATGCGCACATGCGTGTTCCCCCTCACATGTTCTCTATGTGGTGCGTCAATTAGGCGAGTAGGTCCGGAGCAGGTAATGTGGTTGCCAGAGCGGCTTGACATAAGTCGATCCAATCTCGAATAGTTACAGTCTATAAATGTGGGCGGATTATGCAGTCATGACCGAATCCCAGTCCCTGAAGCGACAGAAAAAGTCTGCCTTACAGTCTGCGCAATTTATCTCATTAATAGCCCCGCCGGCGAGGACTGAGAGCAAGATGTTTAAGGTAGTGTCTACGAGAGATTGCCCTGCAACGGATCGCGGGTCGGCTGGTATCAGGCCCTTCCACCGGATAATTAATCGTTCATCGCCCCCAACGGTGGTAGCGCCGATAACGTACACTCATATATGGTGTATACACCATTTGATGGTCGGGAATAGCACCATGGACTCAAGTCTTCACAAATCTGGCGACCTGCTGTCAATATACCTACGTGCCTACCTGCTGGTCCGCTGATCTTCAGTATCCGGACGACAACAGCAGCCATATTAAGCACCTCAAAACTCGACTCGTCGTCAAAAGAATATCATATCTCTGATTATAACCACAAAGACGACATGCTCCGCCCTCCCCAGACGTACCAACTCTATTTTTTAGAGCGCGATACTTTAGCTCAAGACCCCATCCGAGCTGACTTTCCGAGGCAGCCCATCCTTCAGCCTCCGGGACATGCTCAGCCCGTTTCTTCACGGAAGCGGTTCAAGTGCTCTACGTCTAAGATTTGGGGGGTGTTGAGAGAAGGCAGCAGAGAAGCATGGCAAGACTTGAAGGTGACCAAGTGGCACCGGGCTGGCTGGGTGTTCTTCCTGGTCTGGGTCGGCTTCCTGTTTGGGACGTTAGTGTTCTCGACCCCCCAGAATGACCTGCTCCTGCTTGGTCTGTCAACCGCGCCATGTCAACCCGACGGTTCATTGAGCCCCTTTATGGACACGTATAAATGGTGGTCCGCGGATCAGGTTTTCCAGGTCACTATTGGGTTTGGGTCCCTTACGTTTGCGCAAGCAAAGGTGGTCGACATCGTTTGGGATATTGCGAGTTTTGCCAAGGCAGATTATCATGTTTTTACAGGGCCTGCTAACTCCTTTTCCACCAACAAGGCGGTTGGGCGACTTGGGCAAGCGATCATGGCCTATTTTTCGTGGAAGGTATTTGCCGACTACGTCACGACTTCCATGGCAGCGTCTCCGACCACATATTCGACTTATTGGATTATATATCTATGTCAAGAGCCTTCTGTGGCCTCTTGTCTCCGACTTATGCGCGACTTTTGGAGACGTCGTGTTTTGAAGTCGAAGCCGGCAATGGCTTTCATCTTGTTGGAAATAGCATATCTCTTGTCGTTTCCAACTCTAGTTGGCGCTATGACCGGCTACACCACAGCTAACCAATCCTTTGTCACGGGAGTTGACTCGTCGTTGATTCCATTCTCGGACTTCAGTGAAATACAGTTCATCATATACGATGGCTCCAGGATTGGGCTGTTAGATAACTATATGGTTACTTATTTTAGACGTAAAGGTAAGCCATCTGTGACTTTGTGATGCTGAACACCCACGTCATGACTCACAAATCTATAGGCTATCCCGCAACTCTAATGATGGACGGCTCTAACTAGGACGATGAGTGCTCTAGTAGCTATTTTCCAAAAAGCCTCGAAGCCACTTGTTTTTTCAAAGGCAATCTATCAGCTTGTAAGTTGAAAAGCCAGTTTGCGACATGCTTTCGAAGCCCTTGCATAGTCCGGCTCACGGGAGTTCTAAATGTCGATCATCAGATACCGCTACCTATGGGTTTTATGGCGTCAACCATTCCAATTCATTATAGCTGAATCAGACTCTTAAACCCCCAGTCCTTAACATCTCAGCTTTTTATATCCCACTCGTATACGACGAAAATTGGATAGATCCGTTCTCGCGTCAACTCTGAGATCCTCGAAGTCCATCCCAGGACCCTCACAACAGACACTTCAGCGACCGGCACGGCCAGACCTATTCGCTGGAATACATCAGCGCCACTGGCTCTTGCCAGCCTATTTCGGATCCGTGCGATGGTCTTTCAGACGACAAGGACAATTCCTATCCAACGATACGTATGGGGGTTTTCTTCATTCAACGCTTCACCAATACTGCCTCCTCCTAGTATGGTCCGTTGGGATATTCATCCTGTGGGTCAAAGCCCAGCGGGACCTCCCGCTTCCCGGGGAGGCCAAGGTGCCACGAGGTTGGAAAGCGTTGATCGAGCTTGCCAGTACAATGAAACTGGAACTAGACTCCGAGAACATCGACCCCGAAAAACTTACGGATGAACAGCTGAAAACCGAAATTTGCAATCGCCTCCGAGACGGGTCTGTTTCGCTCCAACATCCCCTCCAAAAGCATAACCACGAAATTGGGCACCGATTCGGGGAATTTGTTGCCTCCAATGCGTGGTGGCTTGTAACCTGGCTGGGGACTATGTCTTTAATGACAATTGTAATTCCTCATTCGCCAATAATGCTCCGCACCGTCTGGTGTACCCTCGGCGCTCTGGCCTTCGGGATATTCTGGGCGATTATTGTGGGGACGACGAGAAGGAGCAAAGCCGATGTTTTGGACATTAGTTGGACTGTGTATAGGAGTGGCCTTGCAGGTATATCATGCTAGGACGGGAAAATAGGGGTTTTCGTTTGAGGCATAGCATCTAAGTGAGACTAGGTTAGTAGATATTAAAGTCTTCACGGAAATACCCCTCGACCAACGTAACAAGAAAATTCTAGATCATGTCTTTTTACTCGGAGAAAAAAGTTGAGAGTAGGGAAAAGTGGAGAAATGAAAGAGGAACAAATGGCAAAGCAAGGCAACGGAGATAAAGAGCCAAGGAGAAAGGAATAGAAGGAATCACTAATAATATAAACAAAACACGCAGCAGCAATAGAAGTAACAGTAGCAATTATTAGCAGAAGGAGTGGGTAGGCATATTAAGAATGTAGCAATACGGAGTTGAATAACATCGTTAATGATTATTTATGTTTAATACGCGCCGTAGAGGTGTTTCAAGGATAAAATTAAACAGGAAGAAATAAAATAAGGACGGGAGATTAAGGAAAAGAGGAAAAGATCCAAATATATTAACAAGGTATATACAAATAGCTGTAATTATCGTTAGAGGGAGACGCGGAAAATAATAAAAAGTAAAAAGTAAAAAAAAGATAAGGAGATAAGGAATAGAAAGACCCAAGAATAACACCACTGAGATAGGCAACAGCAATAGCAATAAGCAACTGCTACTAGAAAGAGTAGTTAGGTATATCAATCACTAGTACTTAAGTCTATACCGTTAACAATTCTGATACGTGCCGGGTACTCGCCCTAATAACAGGGGCTATAAAAGCAAAAACAAATGAGAAGAAGTGAAATAGAGACAAGAAAATAAGGAAAAAAAAGAAAGACCCCCAAACAACATCAACAAACCACGCTAACATCAACAAACCACGCCAACACCAACAAACCACGCCAGCACCAACAAACCACGCCAACACCAAACCACGCCAACACCACACCAGCACTAAGAATCACCACAAGAAACGGTAGATATGCCGGTACAGGTACCTAGTAGTTTTATGCTTTTTAACAACAATCCTGATTTAGATCTGACACGCGCCCGGCAGCGGGGCCATAAAAATAAATATGTACACGTTATCTCTCGAGAAAGGAAGAGACCACGACTTCCCAACACGCGCAATCCTCCCGAATCTTGCTGCCCTCTCCATCGTATAATCCTTCCCAAGGCGAATGTAATACCCAACTGTTAGTGGCTGTCCATCCACCTATCCGCCCCTGCCAAAAGAGACAAAAAAAACTCTCAAAAGCGATTACCGGTAGAGCAAGCTCCCCTGTCGCTCGGCGCCAATGATGTTGTCCACCGAGGCCTTCAGTGCCCTGGTCACTCGTTGAGCATCAATCAAATCTGAAGCGTCGGCGGGAGCTCTTGCGCCCGCCGAGAGTTGAGCCAAGAACTCATCCATGCGTGTCAGCAGATCGCCGACCCAGCCGCCAATGGTACTGTCGCCGCCCCTACCTGCGGTGCCACGGCGCTCGACCTCGCGCACCCACGAATCGACAGCCGCGTTGATCCACTGAACGACGATTTTCCGCCGCTTTCCTGTGAACGGAGCCTCTTGGCCGTCGAAAATGCTCTCCAGCACACGCAGGATCAAGGGGTGGGGTACCCCCAACTGCAAGAAGATAAGAACAGGCCAGCACGGTTCGGCACCAACCGAGGCATCTTGGCCATTCTCGATGGCGTATGTGCAAACTAGGGGAAGCAGCACGTCAGCTGGAAAGATGAGGCTGTCGAGCGATGTGCGGTGGGCAATGTCCCGAATGTGTGATATAACAACCTCGTAAGGCTTCGGTGGTTGGCTGACGGGGGGTGCGTCGATGCCAGGTCTAACAGCACCTGAACGAACAGCCTGCCACTCCTGCTCGCGTTGCTCAATGTCATGATGAGTCTCGCTTATGAGGCTACTCCACGTGTCGATGATGGACCGGGGATTCTGGTAGTCCGCCGCGTGATAGATGAGGAGACACAGGTCAAAGTAGCCTGCTTGATCAGCGTACTCGTTATAAAGCTGGCAGCATGGTTAACAAAAAGAACAGTCAAGCCAAATGTACCAAAACTTACAGTGCTTAGACCCTGGATTGGTCCGTCCAGGGCTTGCTCGATCTCGTATATCTTCTCCGCGTGCATGCGGGGGTCTGCTTTCAACCGCTCAAGTAAGTCGTCCTGAATATGCGCAATCTCGAGAAGCTCCGTGACCTCGTGGTTGAGGAACTGTTGGTCCTGGCGGCTGATGCCAACGGTGTTAACACTGGCGTTGCCTTTGGCTCGGCTGAGAAGCGTGATACGATCCTTGATGCCAATGGGAAGTTCGGACTTTGCGAGATCCGCCTGGACCTTGGCGGCCTCAAAGAAGCGACTCCGGTGGGTGTAAAATCGGCAGAGAAGATCAGCGTGTTTGGCGTCGGTCTCTGCGAGGCGCTTCAAGTAAGTGATGACGTGCGGCGAGTCAATTGACAAAATCCGATCAGTCCATTCTTTTCCAATGTACCAGTCATAGAGGTCAAAGTGGAAGACTTCGTCAGTAGAGTTGTTGACAACGGCATATGCCTCTATCCGTTTCGTGGCCGTCAGGGTGAGCTTGCCGTCTACTAATTCGGGTTCGACCGCAGAAACAGCCTCGAGGCGGTCTAGCGTCTCGTGGATAAGAGCGTAACAAATCTTGCGCTGATCAAATGCCTTCTTCCGCGAATCGTTTGCCGGCTTGCTGTCGTTTACCCAGGAAAGGGCCGTATTGCCGCGGTCCTTCTCCCTTGCCACGGCCAAGCACAACGTGATTGCACCAGCGTAGTACTTCAACTCGATGTACTGCTCCACGGCGAGTCGCAGGTTTGCCGACGTGAGGCTGCCGGCAACCTTCTCGAACAGCCGTAGACTCTCAGCCAACAGTGTCCGAAGAGCGTTGGGATTATGTACCTGCTCACTAGCCCGCTGCAGTTGTTCCTGGGCCTTGAAGACGACGACATCATCAGGAGAGCAGAAACTGCCGCATCTTCTTCGCAGCGCGTCTGCCACTGTCTCAACATTTGCGCCGCTAGCAATATTGCGGTTAACGATGGCCTTGACTAGGACTTTTGCCAGCTCCTTCCCAGGACCCTGGGAGAAGAGGCTCTCGAAGGTCAAATCTTGAAGTTGTCTTTGAGTCGTGTCGTCTAGGCGGGTGTAAATATCGGTGACTCGCTCGTCAAAAAGCATCAAAACGAACGAAATACCCTCCGAAACGCTCTCCATCAGCTTCCGCAAACTATGGAGGGCCTGGTGCTCCTTCTGGAGTGCAATCTCGTCCTGCCTACTGGCGATACGCTCCGTGGGACCAGCGAGGCCTTGTATTATGCCCTTATTCGTCTCGAGGAACTTGCGCAGCCGCTCCACGTTTTCCTGAACTGTCACAAGCTTTGTGCTTGGGATGTTTGAAGTGACGGTCAGAGCCCCCTTGTCCTTGTCAATCTTGGCCTCAACGACCTTGGACTTCCATAGCATCCGGATAAGCCGTGTCAGGTACAGAGCCAGCGCGTCATGCCGAGACGAGAGCCGAACAGAGTCGGCCGTGATGGTATTTCCGTCAGTTTCTGCAAGTCTTGGCTGGCCACCAAAGTCGACAAAGGCAGACCGCGCACGATCCTCGGTTGCCTGGTCCAACACCTTGCTGGTACCGGTTCGAAGATCGCTCCCCTGACCACATGCGACTGCCAAGGCCGCGGCTATGGTTTCGACCCGGCCGTATTGGCTGATAAATTTTCGCATCTCCTTCTCTAGACCCTCGTCTCCTGCAGCGCCCCGAATGGCAGTAGCAAAAATGTCGACCAGCCTTCTCCGGCGAATGATTTGCACTCCAGTGTTAGTGAGTACGGCAAATTCGCCGGGGACCTGATCGAACTGAACAGCAAGCTCATTGCCAAAGCCAAGTGGCTGTTTGGCGGCGCCAAATGGCTTCGTTACCATGCCAATGTCCAGTGTCTTGCTGTTTTTCGGTAGCTCAATCCAGTTTCCTTGCTCGAAGTAACTCAACGCAGATGCGGGCGCAGTGGCCTTGATCCTGCCAGTGTCTGGAGTCGACACGAAGAGTATATCCCCACTCGCGACTTTCCGGACGCTATCAAAGAAATAACCCGGGGCAAATCGAAGGCCGAAAGTGCTGAGTTCAAGATGTCGCGAGCTGACATCCAATTCGGCAGGCTGGCCGGCCGGCCCCCTAGGCTGGTTCGGTTGCTGCTCCTTGGGTGGAAACTTGACAAACTGAACTTGCATGCTCTGTGGTGCAAGATTTGTTGTAGCGCCCATCATGTACGACGAAGGGCTGGTAGCGCTAAGAAACAAGCGGCAACCCGAGTTTGTGAGGGCCATGAGATGCAGCTTGGAAGCCTCTGTGGCGGCAATCGGGCTTAGTGCAACGATATCAATGCGATCGTTCAGCAAAGGAGATTTGTTCATCATGTGGGTGATGTCGCGAAGACAGCTGTTCTTGTCCTTTTCGATGACCTTGAACAGCTTTTCGGGCGACTCCATATGGTATGTCCGAATTGTGGACTTGTTGGATAGCGAGTAGAGAAGGTTCCGGGTGTCGTCAACGACGAGGCTGGTAAGATGCTCGTGTGCCCGTTGGCCGAAGGGGCCTGGTAGATTAGGGACGACCGAGGACCATCCGGGGTGCGTGTGATTAACCTTTCCACATCTGCTCGAAAACCACCGTTCCTCCTGCTGGTAGAAGAGCTCGTATATATCGGTATCGGTGTCCCCACCGAAGAAGATGCGACCCGAGGCTGTGCCTACGATGACACCGACATCGCTCCCGCCGCGGTGAACAGCCATTTTTGTCTGGTACAGCGTGACAGCCCTCGAGCCAGATGGGGTAGGCGTCGCCGAGAGACCGAGGAGGATGATCTCGGAAGTCGTGGCAACGACAAGGATATGTGTAATGGTCTTGACAAACACTCCGGCCTTTGGGGGAACAATGGCAACGGCCGTGATAGTGTGCACAGCATCCTCGAAGCCAATGAGCTCTGGATTGGGGTGTGAATAGTCCCAGAGGAAAAGGGAGCTGTCGATGGCGGCCCATGCGTAGCCAATCTCCGCGAACAGTCCCAGGCGCGTGTGGACCTCGCCCTTCTCGAGCCGCGTGAATATTTCGTCGGGGATCTGATACATCTGAACCCTCTGAAATGGCGCCCAAGCTGAGTCGGCATACTGCATATCATAGTCGGATGATGCGCCAACTGCAAGTGACATGTGATGTTAGCGTCACTTCGTCTTCGTGGATCGGCAGGATCACGGAGCAGGGTGAACACACGTCTGCAATAGGAATCAAGATCGGGAAAGCTCTCCTCAAGCTGCAAAGTCTGGTTGATTGACTGCGCAGCTTTTGTGATCGGAGGTACCTCGTCGCGGACCTGAGATGGCGTCGGCAGCGGCCCGCCTTGGGTAGGATCAGTAGCTAGAGGGCCTTGGGCCATGGCGTCGAGAGGTCCACTGAGGCTCGCCTTGACGGGCAGTGCGCCGAAGCCCGCTTGGTCGTTGAAGTTCACTCGATGGCGAGCGCCAGTATTGCCTCCGGGCGCGGGGGTGTTGAAGTATGCGCCAGGGACCTGGCGCATTGGGGTGGCGGGATTCATCCTGGCGGCGTCGACAGTTGTGCTTGCCGCTGAGGTGAGCTGGCGTGGAGGCCGGATGAAGCTCTCCTCTTGCCCGCTCGATCGTTCGATGGCTCGCTCGCCAACCGCAGGCTCCTCCCCGCCAGTCGTTTCTAGAGCAGAGGCTCGCAGGTCGTATCCTAGCGCCAAAACAATACCATTAAGTGAGAGAAGAAAAGAAGGTCTCAAAAAGCACGGCGGGAAGCCAACGCTGGAATCTGTTTGGTGGCACAGCTGCTGAGTGCGGTCTGAGGCTGCGAAACAGCTGCAGGGAAAGAGGCTGGCCGTAAACAATTTTTGGAGCGCAGGCATCTGTCCGTTCATTGGCTGGCAGAACGGCCCACATGCCAGAACGCGAACGCGCTTCCCGGGCAGGCACTGTACATCAGCGCTAAACTGGACTGGACCAAATTCTGCCCACCGCCTTCCTTTCATCACTATTGTGGTCATTCAATTCGGGGAAGACATTGCATGCAACGTCGCAGGCAGCATGCAAGTTGCAATATTCTCTTCAATTTGGTACAGTACTTGTTAGATACAAAAAAATGAGATTTGCTATTCGCCATATACTTAAAACTACCTAGGCACCTACGTGTCTATTCTGTAGACACCGTGCAAACCTTGCGGACAACCTCGCGGCAAAGGCCTTGCTTCACCGCTTTAGCTTGCCGACACTCTTCGGGAACCCGAAAGCGGATCAAGGATGCCATACCAAGGGTGGGGGGTTTAGATTAAGAGACGCCGAGCATTTGAGCTGAGTCGCAAGACCGCTTACGCCTTCTTCGCCTCTCTTGCGGCCTTTTTCAGCGCACGCTGGCGGATGTCGGCATGCATCTTCAGGTTGTACCAAATGGTGAGGCCGCTGGTCGCGCCGACAGTGCTCTCAACCACCCACTTGAACACGGCATGGCTCCACCAGGGCGTGTACGTGTTCGGGAAACCCTCGGCGCCGTCGAGACCAATCTTTCCCAACGCCGAGCGAACAAACTGCTTGGGGCTGGGGATGAGGGCGCTGGTGCGCCGAACCTTACTCATGGCGGTTGCGACAAGATAGCTGATGACGAACTGGACATCGACGCCGGCCGGCTTCAGCTCCTCGGCCAGCGACGCGCTCCAGTGCTGGAGGAACGCTTTGCTGCCGCTGTAGGTAGCAAGGTACGGGGTGGGCATGACACCGGCAAACGAGCCCATGGTCAGGATTAGGCCGTTCTTCCTCTGAGCGAGGATGGGTGCCACAACCTTTGTCGTCTTGAGAGTTCCGAGGCAGTTGATGGTGATGATGTTCTGGAGCTCGTCGCCGGCCGTCTGCAGGAACGGCACGGGGATGCTGTGCGACTGACCGACGTTGTTGATGAGGATGCCGACGTCCAGCCCTGCGATGAGCTTCGCGAGCCGCTCGTAGTCGGCATTGTTGTCCTTGGCGTAGTCCATAGCCAGTGTCTTTGTCTGCAGGTCTGCATACTTTTGCTCCAGCTCCTTGGCCAGCGTGTCGAGCTTAGACTGGGTGCGCGACACCAGAACCAAGTTGAACCCCTTCGCTGCCAGCTGTGTCGCGAACTCCTTGCCCAGCCCGTCGGACGCGCCGGTCACGATGGCCCAGGTGCCCTTCTTGCCATATTTCCGGAGCTGACCCGCGGGATCTGTCAGCCGTTTGCCCCTGAGTAGAGACCGCATAGGGTGCGGAGCGGGGCTGAGCTTACGTTTGTGCCGCTCAAGACAAAAGCGTTTAGCAGAAGCTGGAGGAAGCTGGTGGCTCCAGAGCTGATGTACAGAAGACCAATGCCAGCGAGCGCATACTGGACGGTCTGAGGGACCAAGGCCCAGAATTGGGCAATTTTGTCCATGGTTGTCGGGTCAGTTCTCGGCTGGCGGGTGTAGTGTTCTTGTTGTGAAAAGAAGTTGGGAATGCACTTGGGAGTGAGCTTAGATTTCTACCCGTACCTCGGAGGTGCTTGGCGGGTTTTCTGCAACCCATCAAAAATGAGACTGCCCCCACCTTATTGGCCAAGTCGCCAAAATGTCCCCAACATTTAAACATTGGCCAATAAGATGTCGAGCATCAGCTTCTTTCTTCACAGAGTTGGTTCGCGATCTGCCAAGGTCAGCGCTACGAAAATTGATGATCCAGTGCATCCGGAGCACTTGTTACTCCCCAACTCCGAGCTCTTTTGCGAGCCTCTGTCACAGTTTCAGGCCGGGCGCAAAGATTCCCGAGTGCTAGCCTCGGCAGCTTGCCGACAAATTTACCATAGTGCTGGAACGCATGCGGGTTCTGATTAAAACGGGGCGATCAGCTAATGCCTTCTGCTGGCCTTCAGTGGTCTAGAAACCCCGAACGGAGTTCCTTGCCATCCGCTTGCCAAGGTACTATTGGACGATTATTGGCACCTCAATAGGTACCTCGTACACGTACAGCAATGCCAAGCGCTAACTCTGTGTGCATTAGCGGCAGGTAATAATCTGTTAAGGGTCGGGATTGACATGGGATAGCCTGGCGATTTGACTTGACCGCCAAAAAGATGGATGTCGCGCGAGGAATTCCCAGCTGTTGGACTTGTTGGGAAGCTGCCCACCGCGCGCACTCCTCTCGCAAGACAACTTGCTCCGAATCACTGTGGCCTGTATAGCGAATCGCCAATCCAGTCTCCTCGGAATATCTTCCACGCGTTGAAACAGACTTTTTGCAAGAGACAATACCCAAGCCAGCCATGGATCAACTCAAGGAATTCCTACCGTCGGCTGAGAAGGGGTACCTCCCGTACTACCTGTTTTTCGTATGTGCTTCTCTTCCACTTCATCATTGCTGCAATATAGCGAGGTCAAATCGCGTGAAAATGCTGTGTTTTTTTAACATATGCCCCGCTCCCTGTGTAGATTGGCATCGTGGCCATGGGAAACTCGTTGCAGAATCTGGCGACATTGCACTACACGCGGCGCATCTACAATGGGCGCTTTGTGCCGAACCACGCGCTGGCCCCGAAAACTGAGCGCTTCAACCCCGAGGACAGCGTCAACGTGCTGAAGCCCGCCTCAGCCACGGGCAAGGACGCCGAGAAGGCAAAAGACCAGGTGACGCCGCTCACCGCCCGCGTCTTTGGCAACTACACCTTCCTGGCTGGTGTCATCCGTGTCTACGCCAGCTTCAGCCCCGAAAACGCATCCCTGTACCAGCTCGCTCTCCTGACCCACGGTGTTGCGGCGCTGTCTTTCACGAGCGAGCTGTTGATTTTCAAGACCATGAAGTTTACGGGTCCCCAAGGCTTCCCCTTTGCGGCTGCCTATCTGGGAGGACTCTGGATGACTCTGCAGTACAGCCACTATGTCCAGTAGTTGGCGGGCTTCACAGGAACGGGGATGGCCTAAGATGGACTAGGACGAAGGGAATTGTGTGTGCAAGATACAAAACGGTCCATGGACTGCCTAATATAGTTATTCTTCTTGCAGGAATCTAAACACACATACGAAGACTCGGCCTAAATCATTGCAGCGACTTGCGGTATAACTCTCCGCCGCAAGCCCTGAGCTTTGCGGCTGCCTGCTCGGGAGTGATGTCGCGCTGGGATTCGGCCAGCAGCTCATACCCGACTTGGAATTTCCGAACAGTGGCAGACCGGAGAAGCGGGGGGTAGAAGTGCATATGGAACCAGCTTGTCTCAGCCTCCTCTTCGGCGCAGTCCAGCGGTGCTTGGTGAATCCCAGAGCCTGTGGATCATCGATCGTCAGTCGCAACATATCACACCCCGTCTGTCGATAAATGCCACTCACTATAAGGGAAGCTTGTCTCGAATAGGTTGTCATATCGTCTCGTGATCTCCTGGATAGCTTCTGCAAACCTGACGGTCTCGTCGTCGGTCAGATCGACGAGGGCGCGCACATGTCGCTTCGCAATAACAAGAACCTCGAAGGGCCAGAAAGCCCACCAGGGGCAGACAATCAAAAAGCTCTCGTTTTGCCACACGACGCGCTCCTCTTTCTCCATCTCAAGTTTGGCGTAGTCTCCTAGAAGATGCCGGCCGTGGCTCCTATGGTACTGGCTCATCTGGTCTATCTCCTTGGCGGGCTCTTCGGGCAGGTTGCTCACCGTCCAGACTTGGCAGTGAGGGTGCGGGTTGGAGCAGCCCATGGCCGCACCCTTGTTCTCGAAGATCTGCATATAGCGCAGCTGTTGCTTCGGCTTCCCAACCTCTGCATCGGGGTTCACGGGGATCTGTTCCAGGGCGCGCGCAGCCTGCGCCTTGAGCGGATGGTATGTAGACATATGACTGGCGTAGATGCGCGTCCACGCTTGGATGGCGGGGACAATCTCCTCGGTCGTCATGTCGGCGAGCGTGGTGGCATGGTTTGCTGCGAAGGTGAGCACATAGCACCGGCCTGTAGCCGGCTGAGCCTGAAGCAGAAGCGAGGCAACGTCGTCCTCATTAGCAGCCGCCGGCTCGTATGCCTGTTGTTCCTCCTTGACGGCGCTGTAGTCATTGACAAAGGCAAATGTGTTCTTGTACTGTGGGTTCGAGTCCCCTTGCGCTCTCTTGTTCCCAGGACAGAGAAAGCACTGCGCATGCAAGTTAGAGAGAGCGAGCCCCGCGATTTTGTTTCATGCAGGCATTGCAGTCCCCACCCACCTTCGGGTCGTAGTCCGGCAGCTTGCTGTTGGACGGCGCCTCTTTCTGGCCCCTGGTTGACATTTCAGCTCAGTTTTCTTCCAACCAGGACACTTGGATTGGAACTCACTGCCATGGCCTCTTGGTCCGGTGTGGTGATACCAGCAGCCAAGCCCCGGTCAATGGGTTGAAGCGGCGGTGCGAAATGTCGTCGAGCACGGCGTCAGGCATCGTGAGACAACGAGTGAGACAGCAAGTGAAGAGTGTCTGCGGCAGCTGGAGTAAAAGGGATAGAAAATGAAGCGGCGTTTTTGTAGGAGGGGCTTATGGACACTAAAGGGGGAACGCGAAATTTCAAGCTCCGAGTATCGACGATGCCCCTCCAAGCAGTCGGGTCGCGCTTGCAAGTCGATGTCATGTCACCAGCAGCGGGGCAATAGAAAGATGGAGCAGCGGCAGACCTGCATCGGCGCTCCTCGGCGCTATTATAGTACCTGCCGCCGTTTCCACTAAGCAAAACCCATTGAGCTATGATGTGGCGTAGGAGTTACAAGTTATATTTTTGATAGGAACAACATTGATGGCTCATCAATATTCTCTTTGCTGCAACTGATATATGTCGAAGACTTCGTACTTTCACCAGGCGCGACGATAAGTGTGTTGGATTCGACTTGCAAATGAAAGCTAGATGTAGGGTTAGGGTTAGTCCTGCGGAGGAGAGCCCTTTCGAAAGTTGGATAAATGGAGACATAATGGTACACATATATAGAAGGACTTACTACCTAGGTAATTTTTAGGTAACTTTACAGCTGTACTCGAACCGTTCCCTACTGATAATTCTTCTCTCTGTACGCTTTGACAAGTCATAATGCTAGGTAGAAGTGGTCCAAATCGGTGAAATCGGACCCGAAAAGAGCACGGGCCACTTTCTGACAGCTTTGTTGCTTTCAGCCACTGACGGCTCCAGAAACGCCCGGTGCAACTTCGGAGGAAGAACCACCTCAGGTGTCCCATCGCTTTTCGCCTCAGAACACTGCACGGCGGGTCGCGATTGTCGCAGGTCAATTGACATCAACGCCATCACCAGCATCAGCATTCCATCAAATTCGTCAGCTTGAATCGCTGAATTTCATCAAGCGACGCGTCGCATTGTTTTTGCCCACTCATGCGCAGCTAATCGATCCCATTCAAGTATATTTTCCCCGCCAAATTTTGGCTCGCGCTGAGGTCCCCTCAACCCTGCCAGGACACTCGTCTCCGCACTCGCGCGCGACACCTAGCATGGGCGTCATCCGCAAGAAAACCGCCGCAAGAGGTGGTGAGGGCGGCGTTAAATACGTTTGTGATATATGCTCTAACGATATTACCTCAACTGTAAGTTCTTCCGTATTATTTGTCGCCCTTTTAATGTTCCCGCCGCCCCGCACTGCAGCCTTCCCCTCCATGGAGTCCTGGCGACGCATTATAGAGGAGAGGCTATAGAGCGGAGCAGTCAACCGCAATTTGTCGCAAGCACATACTAATGCTTCGTTTACATAGGTCCGGATCAGGTGCGCACACAGCGCCTGTAAAGAGTACGATCTTTGCGTGAAATGCTTTACAGAGGGGTCGTCGAGCAGTGCGCATGACCCTGCCACCCACGGGTTTCGTGTCATAGAGCAGAACTCGTTTCCAATCTTCGACCGAGAATGGGGCGCCGACGAAGAGCTTTTGCTCCTGGAGGGCGCCGAGATTTACGGGCTGGGCTCGTGGGCGGACATCGCAGATCATATTGGAGGCTACCGGCACAAGGATGAAGTCCGCGACCACTACCTCAAAGTCTTCGTCGACTCGCCAAAGTTCCCGCTGCCGGAAAGATGTAGCCCTCACGATATGGAACTGGCGAACGAGATTTCAAGAGAGGAGTTCCAGTCTCGCAAAAAACGACGGATCGAGGACCGCAGAGAGGCAGCAAAGAATGCGCCAGCCTTGCAGCCCAAAACAAAGCCAACAGCCAGTGTGCCGGCGTGCCACGAGATCCAGGGATACATGCCCGGCCGGTTAGAATTCGAGACGGAATACGCGAACGAGGCCGAGGAAGCGGTGCAGCTTATGCAGTTTGACCCCGGCGATGGGATCAATCCTCGCACGGGCGAGCTGGAGCCCGAGATGGAGCTCAAGCTCACGGTGATGGAGATATACAACTGCAGGCTGACGCAGCGCGCCGAGAGGAAGAAGGTCGTCTTCGAACACAACTTGCTCGACTATAGGGAGAATAGCAAAAGTGAAAAGAAGCGCTCGAAGGAGGAACGGGATCTTTTGAACAAGGCGAAGCCTTTTGCGCGGATGATGAACCGGGACGACTTTGAGCAGTTCTGCCAAGGGTTGATCGACGAACTCAACTTGCGACAAGCAATCTCGCAGCTCCAAGAATGGCGCACCAACGGTATCGGCGACCTACGAAGCGGCGAGAAGTACGAACAGGAGAAGGCCTTGCGCATACAAAAGGCGATACCACTAGGTTCTATGGACCGTGAGCGATTAGCCACGACACAGCGCAACAAGCAGCAGCCAGCCCCAGACCCCCCGAGTGGCGCTGCCCTACTTGTGGCCCCCGAGCTACCAATCCGATCTGCTGCAAACCCCAACGGTACTAACGGCGAATCGTCAAATAGTGGCAAGCCGGAGTTTCTGGTGAACGGAAACCATATCAATGGCGGGAGCGTGGTGGTTGCGAATGGCGCGACCCCTGCAAAACGAAAGTTCTCTCCGCCGCCGCTTCAGGGAATACAACCGATGCCGTTAAGCCAGGAAAACGCTCCAGATCTGCACCTCCTCACGCCAGACGAGGCGAAGCTGTGCGAGGTCCTCCGCGTCCAGCCGAGGCCATACTTGATGATCAAGGAGCAGATTCTCAAGGAGGCTGTCAAGGGAAATGGAAGCTTGAAGAAGAAGCAAGCCCGGGAGATTTGCCACCTTGACTCGCAGAAGGGTGGGAGGATATTCGATTTTATGGTAAACGCCGGTTGGGTTACCAAAGCGTAGTAATGTCTCCTTGAACTTGGACGTGCGCTATGGGGCGCGAGCTCGAAAGGCGTCATTTTGTTCTTTGTTTTAGGGCTGTTGGGCGTTTTCGGATTAAGCGATACCATCACGGAAAGGAACTGGCACACTGATGACTCGGCGCAGTAGCTGCTGCTTGAGCTAACAATTTTTTCTTCCGCATGCTCTATACAGCGTTGCAAAATACATTTTGTTCTATCTCTTCTGCTCACGAAGACTAGCGAAAGGAATCCAATGTATTACCTAGTCAGTAGGGCGCTGCTTCTGCCCCTTGTTGAGACTGGGAAGGACGGGAGGGGTCGAGGCTAACCACCTTCCAACACCGTCTTGGTTCTCCTGCAGGCCTAGAAGTCATGCCCATGGATGCCTGCCGCTAAATTTGTCATCGTTCAGTCTGTACATAGGAGCCGGCCTTTCATATTCCCGCTCCTCCCTTGTCCTTTACCCTCTTCCTTCTGTTGTCACCACCTACCCCCTTTCTTCTCGGACTCCCAAGTGTCTACTCAGACATCTCGCAATTACCCACAGTCGACCACACACACCGAGCTTCTGTTGCATCCATCACATAGCTTTACTTCACTGTATATCGTTGCATTTTCTTCGGCCCCTTAATGATGTACGAAAACACTGTTTACCTCGTCACCGGCGCAAATAGGGGTAAAAGAAAAAAAAAATCTCGAATTCTTCCCTCCCCTCTCACCCATCCTCTTCTAAGTCAATCTAGCTGCTCCTAACATTGTCGGCACAAACTCCTGCCGTCTTCCTCTTCTTCTCCTTCTGTTTTTTTACATCCCGAACCTGCCCTGCCACAACAGACTCTATTCCCATCCTTCCCACCATCAGCGCTTGCTAACCCCACGGCCACGTCGCCGCCACCCAGGCATCGGCCTCGCCATGGTCACCATGCTGCTGCAGCGGCCGCACACGACCGTCATCGCCACCTCGCGACGGCCGCCGCCGCAGGAGCACAGCGCTTCTTCTGCCACTAGCATTCCCGACGAACTACCCGCCCACGCCACGAGCACGCTGGTCCAGGTCCTGCTCAACGACAGCGACGCGACCATCAGCTCCGCCACGCTGCACGGCCGCCTGCGTGACACCCACAACATCGCGCGCCTCGACGTCGTTGTCGCCAACGCCGGCTCCTCGTCCGGCTTCCACGATATCCTGGCCACGGACCCGGATTTTGACCTGCTGCACGACTTTGTCGTTAATGCAGCTGGTCCGGCGAAGTTGTTTCGCGCCGTGTGGCCGCTGCTAGATCCTGAGGTCTCTGGTGCTAGGGGGGGTGTGGATGATGATGATGAGGAGGAGGATGGGGGGGGGCAGAGAAGAACAAAGTTTGTCCTGATTACTAGCTCGCTCGGCAGCATCGGATGCCTTGATGAGGAGAGCATGCCCTCGACGGCCTACGGCATGAGCAAGGCCGCGGCGAACTGGTTCGCTAAGAAGCTAAGCGTTGAGTTCCGTGACCGTGGGCTGCTGGTGGGAATTATTCATCCTGGGTAGGTGGTTCGTTGTTTCTTTTTTTCTTTTTCGGGGGCAGGTGTAGTCTTGCTCTGTTGCTCTTTTCCGTGTTGGGATCAATCCTCTGGCTGCTCTTGTGAGCGCAGTGCAGATGCAGCGTATGCACTCACTCAAAGTGGTGACTGCAAGTTGCCGTCAAGATCACTGCGTCCATTCGGTGACAACGGCCTCGTCATTTTCAAGGATCTTCTGCTTCAAGTTCAGGTTTATTTCTCCTTACTAGTCATGTACTACTAACCTAGCACGATTTACCTAGATTTGTCAAGACATCCATGGGTCAGGCCGTGGCTGATGCCATCGGCATGAAAGAGCCGCCCATGAGCGTCGAGGACAGCGCCAAGGGTGTCATTGAGCAGGTAAGAAACGCCACATGGCGGGCGGGCTTGCGGCCCTTTCCCGCCAATCAAGACACTGATTGCTGTTGGTTTACTAAATTGCTAACGGATTGTCTACCTACCTACCTCGGCACCTGAGAACAGATTGACACTTTGACACCCGAGAAGTCTGGCCAGTTTTTGAGATTCGATGGTGGGAAAATGCCTTGGTGAGAGCGACGAGACGGGCGTATCGTCGGCAAGGTATCTCTAAACTTCCTGGTGTTTCTATCTTCGTAGAGATTCCAGGGGGGTGTTGTCAAAGGTCTGCATTCCCATTTTGCAGCTGATTTATCGACCATATTGTATTGGTTTGGCCAGTTTAGTATTTCGAAGATTCTGTTGAAGAAGAGAAGCTATGCACAGAAAATCGACTCATTTGGTGACGCGGAATCCCTTATATCCCCTTTTCTTCAATTGTTTCAACGTGCATTGGTGTGATGAGACTCTAGTTTGCAGAAGTATGTCTCGCCGAGTTGTAAAGATTTTTTTTTCTCTTTCTCGGATTCCATTGCTCCTAGGAGATAAACCGAACTATACTTTACTCAAACTTGTATCCGTCGACTCATAAATATGGCCCCTTTATGGAGGTGGCTTGTTGGAACTTGGCGCTCTGAAGAGCATCTAAATGTGTTGCCTTAGCAACGTAACCCATGTTCATGATGGAGAAACGGTGCATATTTTACCTAAAAATCATCATGTTGGCTTCTTTACATCTACAGAAAAATGGTGCGTAAGCCGTGAAATTGGGTGGCGATGGCAGCTCAATATAAGCTGTCTTCTAGAATGCAGACCCTCTTGATGATTCGCAGGTGTACTCTGTATGCGCACACCATTGCCTGGTTCAAGCGGTTGACGGCTCAGCGGCCAGCGGTCCTGTATTCGCCCTGGCGGCCCGGAATTTGGATAAGTGGGGCAATGACGTTTGGTGTTTCCCAGCCAGGCTCCTTTTTGTGTGGGAGGGGGAGGGGATCGCCTTCCTCTCGTCAGATCTTCCCAGATTCAAGTCGTGATCTGCCGGGTTCTCCAGAATAACAACCCCTGGCCGACTACCTGGCTGCCGGAGGATTCGAGTACGGTCCCAAACTTGAGCAGGCGTGGGCGAGGAAACACAATGCCTTCCACACAATCCCCTCGACTCCCATTCGCCGGTTGACTTAAAACAGTCGTGGTGCTGGCGCTTCGCCGCACAGCACACAAGCTGCGAGAGACACAGGCGATGTCGCTCCCTTCCAGCCTTTTCAATGAAGGCGACAGTTGTAGCAACCGCCGCCGTGACGGGATTGAAGGGCTGCCGGCTCGAGACCTGTGGCCGTCAAATGAAACAAAGCGACATGCGCTGAGATTAGCCGTGCGCGAGCCGTTACCGTCGATCTGACCCTGAGGGGTCGCCAGTTGTAGGCTGTTCGGCCCTAATTCGAGGTCCTAAAACCTGGTTGACACGGCCGCACTCCCTCTTTCACCAACCGGGTCCGAGAAGAACAATCGACTTGGTTTTCACGATGTTGTGTTGCCAAGGTTGGATGGGCTAATTGTGTGGAGCGACGACGAAGAAATATCGTACGGCTTCGACATGTTTCTCAGTATTTATCTGCTGAGTTGTCTTGCCAAACAGAGGTGAAAGACCCTATTCAACGTCCGACGGGCGTCGCAAGATGTTCCGACGTTGGGGCTTCGATCAGATTTCAAGGGGCGCTGTGGGGGCCACTTTTCAGGGTCCACCTCCGTGAGAAGGGAGCCTTTTAGCGGCATCCCCACCTGCCCCGTCTCCTAGCCTTTGAAGGCCAAAGGTCTGGCCAGACATCTGGGGGGCCCACCTGCGACATCGTGTCGCAGTATGGAGAGCCGCTAGCCAATCGTGGCTGGAGATCGACGCACTCAACAGAAGTGTGCGTGCCAGTTGACATCACCAACGCAACGTTCCCTGGGCGGCATGCGGTCAGTAGTTCATGCTGGATTCGGGTGCGCCAATGACGCCAATGGCCATTTCGACGCTTGTACAAACACACGCGAGAAATACCGGGCGCAGAGCAAGTGCACCACAATGACTGCGGCCGGCTAGAGGAGTGGGACGCTTGGCAGATCAATAGGACAGGACTGGGAGGCAACCTGCAGCGATGGATGAGAAGCTACGTGTACCTTGAATACAAACTAATGCAACTGACGAATTGGTGGAGCTAGCTGAGTGAAAAAAAAGAGAGAGAGATAGAGAGAGAAGACGAGCTTGTTCTTGAGCCATTGCGCCATTAGATCGGATAGGCAAGTCAAAGTCTCGAGGCGCAGCCGCCAGTGAAGTGTACGTAGCGTCAAGTTGCGACAGCTCGCCGTTCCAGAAACCCCGCCTCGAAACATTGAACCGGTGATGATCGATAAGTCACTAACCCCTTACCGTGGGAGCGTGGATAAGATGGAGTCGCTGTCGACGCTGGACTCCACAGCGCCTTCCACTATAACTCGGTGTCTCCACGCCGTAACCTACAGCTGTCGTGTACTGCACAACAACTTCCTAGGTTGTTTTATCTGCAAAGAAATATGGAAAAATAGGCTGCTGGAGAGACCAGGACACCACAAAACGGGCATGTTAGGATCCAAGGAGGGAAAAAATGACGCAAGTGCGGCCGACGTGGGCAAGAATTGACGGAACGGGCAGACAATGGAACGGATTTCAGCCCGCACGTGTGTGCAGTGGCTTGACAGGGGGTTAAATGGAGCCGAGTTCAGTTTTGGTGAGCACTGGCCATGCCGTTACTGGGCCAGAACGCCAAGTACGAACACCCCCCACTCTTTTGGCCTCCACCGAGCTGCCACATTAGGGGCCTACACTACATGCAAGTCGTCTGCTTTCCTGGGCTTCCCTCCTAAAGTCGCTGGCAGTTGAGACACCAATCCACTCCCTTCGACCCGTCTTGCTCTGCATTGACTATACGATTCGTCTAATTCCTTTTTGGTTTGCGTTGCTGGCGCTGTCACGGCCTTCTGCTTTGCCCGTCTTGTCTCGTATCGTGCGCCCCTCTATTTGCGCCTCCATACTTTTTTTGCCCAGGATTGTTTGTTTTGTTGTTCGGGTCACAACATAGGTACCAAACAGCCCGTCTGTTATCGCTGCAACCAGGTGAGTTCCGCCTGTCTGGGACTCCGCTCTGCTTGCTTTGCCTCGACTACACATTGCTACACACCGCCGTGCCTAACCACAAGACTTTTAGTTATTGCCGCCAGACAATTCTAGCATTCGCAACCTCGACCTCGACCAGGCCGTGGGCCGTCACACTCAAACCGCTTATGTGCCACACCCTCCCGCTTGTCAACCAAAGGCGGCCACCCCCAGAGCCGACCTCCCCTTTGCTAAGCATCTCGTCTTGATCGCCAGCCCACTCGAATAGGACGGAGCGGTCAGATAAGCCCAGGTACCGTTCGGCGGCCATCCTCTGCCTCCTCTACCGGCCCAGCCCACTATTCGTATACATCCGCCCCTTCCGAGCCCCGACCTGAGCCTGGGCTGCCGCATCACAAATTCTCATGCTACCACGCTTAGCAACAACAAGCACTCTGCAACGTCCTACAACCAGGCTCCGGCCGCAACAAACGCTACCTTGGCAGTAGTCCCGCTCGCCGCACACGCCTAGGTTGCCACGGCAGTCCAACATCTCCGGCGGCGGCGACTTTGTCGCCGCGCGCGCTGCATTGCGCAACCATGGACCACGCCGTGCACATCCTCGAGACTGCGCACCACATCTACGCTCGCACCAATGCGACGGCCGTTCCCGAAGTGGCCGAGAGACCGCCCGTCTACAAGGCCATTGGCATATCGCTCGCTATCGGCTCCGGCCTCTTCATCGGCACGTCGTTCGTGCTGAAGAAGGTCGGCCTTATTAGGGCGAACGAGAAGTACAACGAGGTTGCGGGAGAAGGATATGGCTACCTGAAGAACCTCTACTGGTGGATGGGCATGTCCCTCATGATCTTGGGCGAGGGGCTCAATTTCGTTGCGTACGCCTTCACCGACGCCATCTTGGTCACGCCTCTCGGGGCCCTGTCCGTCGTCATCACCGCCGTCCTGTCGGCGATATTCCTCAAGGAGCGGCTGAGTATGGTCGGCAAGGTCGCCTGCTTCCTGTGTATCGTCGGCTCCATTGTCATCGTCATGAATGCGCCCCAGGAGTCCTCCGTCGCAAACATCCAGCAGATGCAGCACTTCGTCATCGCCCCCGGCTTCCTCAGCTACACCGGCGTTGTTCTCCTCGGCTCCGCCTTTACTGCTTTCTGGGTCGGCCCGAGATACGGCAAGAAGAACATGCTCGTGTACATCTCCATCTGCAGCTGGGTTGGCGGCCTGAGCGTCGTTGCCACTCAGGGGCTGGGGTCTGCCATCATTGCGCAGGCCTCGGGGACCCCCCAGTTCAACCAGTGGTTTCTCTACGTCCTGCTGGTATTCGTTATCTGTACGCTCCTGACGGAGATTGTCTTCCTGAACGTAAGTCCGAGTCTGTCAGGTCGTGGTGGCTGTGTGGCCATTGGGCATTTGCTGACCTAGATACAGAAAGCGCTTAACCTGTTCAATGCGGCCTTGGTCACTCCCACATATTATGTTTACTTTACCAGTACTACGATTATCACTTCGGCGATTCTATTCCAGGGTTTCAAGGGCACCGCAACATCCATCGTCACTGTGGTCGGTGGATTTCTTACTATTTGTTCAGGTGTTGTCTTGCTGCAGCTTTCCAAGTCGGCCAAGGACGTCCCCGACGCAGCCCTGTTCGCCGGAGACTTGGACCAGATCCAGACGATTGCGGAGCAAGAGCAGCCCGAGACGGAACCCAAGGCCGATGCCATCCGAGGAGCTGCCGCCATTGTCAGGAGGCTCTCCTCTGCAAGGCAGAAAATGGAGATAGACGAGCTAAAGCGCTTGCACGAGGAGAAGGTCAAGGAAAGCCTTGAACCAGTTTCGGAGAACGGCGCTGCGCCCGAGTTCGAGTGGGATGGGCTTCGGCGGAGGAGGACGATGCAGGGAAGCTTGAGGGCCAGATCTATGACATCGCCAAGCCCGTTTCTTTCGCCCATACCGCAACATCCACCACTGGGCTGGTCGCACATTCCCACAGAAGAGGAGCTTGCCGAGGCTGATAGGGCATCAACACCAGGCTTCTCGAGTTTTGTGGGTACGATCCGCAACCGAGCGCGCAGTGTTCTGCTGCCCGGCCACCCCGACTTCCGCCAGGACGCAACCAAAGTGCAGAGCCCGATGCACCCCGTGCAACTGACCGAAATATCGGTTTCAGCCCAAGGGTCCGGCGACAATCCCGCGACATACTACTCCATCAGACAGGCTTATAGGCAAGGCACGCCGGGGCGCGATCGCACCGTGAGCGGAGCTAGTGGCTCTAGCTCCGGGCGCCGGGTCCAGTTTGGCGGCGAACGTCGACACGATGACAATGGCTCTGTTCATGGCGGTACTTCCTATGCTCCCCCGACTCCTCCGCCTCACTCGGCCAAACGGCAGTTCTCGTTCCAGAACATTTTCAAGCGCCATCAATCCCACGACCAAGGCAGCGATGGAGCTCAAGAGGCTGGCCGGCCGGGCTCCGGCCGGCCAGTCCTGACCCCCAGGGGATATTCGCATCCTACAGCGAAAGGGGGAGTTAAAGGGGCGACGGAAGAGGAAATGCTGGGGCTCGTCAAAGGCGACTCCCGCCACTCGCAGTCAGCGCCCGTTCTCCAACGCTTTGAGGAAGAGGACGAGGAGGAAGACGAGGAGCCGGTGCTAGACGAAAAGCGTGCCGTGAAAGTGTATACGGAACGGATGCAGTCGCGGTACGGGCCAAGCATCACCCACACTCCGCCGAGGCGTGGAAGCAACGAAAAGATCGCTGCTTCAGACGAGGAAGCGGAGGTAGAGGAGGTCGAGACATACCAAGAACAGCGGGATCGACGGTTTAAGGAGAGGAGTCGCACCAGCAGCCAGCGCAGACGGCGTGACAGCGATACACCGCCGCCGCCTCCACCCCACAAATCGCCGCCAGGAGGGGGGCGAGATGGTGGAGCATTTATCTGATGCCTTTCTTTTTTGTGGTACGAGCAAGCAGGCGCGCTTATACCCACCTCGTCACAAACGAATAACGATAATGAACCGGAGCATTGTTTCTGCGAAAATTGTTTACGCGTTGCCTCTGCGGTCCCTGACAACTACCTAGCGATATCCTGTACATATTAACATTACAACGTTTTGCGGTACACACACACACACACACACGGGTTGGCGGTGTCGGTAGCCAGCAGGCCGATGGGGAAAAGGAAATGGACATAGCATGCATGCCGGAACTGGGTTCAGCTTTTAGACCTGGGTGCCTTGGAGGCATGCTGTGTGTGGTTCGCAGTGAAGCGGGCCACACAACACTACATATTCTTTGGATTGTATAATAGATCAGCATTCACGCGCGCGGGTATCATCAGGTGGTTGGGGGGAGGCAGCACATACGGGACCCCCCTCCCTTCCCCTGAAATGGATGGATGGATGGATGGGAAACAAACACACACCAACGGAAATTGGACATAGAATGGGAATGGGATAGGATTTTCATAAATGGGGGAAGGGTTGTTTTTTCTACTTGGTCTCTCTCTCTGCCGATAACGACGAGAAATAGATGATTGAACAGGCAGCACTACGTGGATATGGATGTGTGTGCCAGGTTGTGTACCTATTCACTGTTTTTGTTGTCGTAGCGTGTTGGGTAGTAGCGCATGATCATGATTTATTTCTTGCGAATTTATTGTGTTCTTGAGTGTGTGGTAAGTGTGTTGTGTGGTAAGTGTGTTGTGTGGTAAGTGTGTAGTGCCTTGTGGCGTGAACATGTCTATCTGTCTATCGGGTAGCTTGGGTGTGGAACCATGCGTCGTGAATAAGGGTGGCGGATAGGGGACAAATGTCAGAAAGAAGCGTGATTGGATAGTTTCCCCTGAGTAATGTCGAAGGTGTTTGGCTAGCATATGTGTCGTTGGGATTTTGAGATGCAATAGTTCTGGAGAGGAGAGTGAGTATTGAGATTAAAAGCGAAGAAAGAGAAAGACATGATTTGATGAGCCTGGAAGTTTATTATTTGTTAGTGACCCCTTTTCTCGCACAGATGCTCGTGTTTACATGTCTATGCCAGCTCTCGCGACCGTTCGCAGCCAGCATCCAGTTATGAGAGAAAGCCGCAGAGAAATAATTGAAGCCAAGGAGAATACTTGGAGACAGCATGCAAAAGAGGCCACGAACGCATTTTACACGCGGGTGGGAGACATGCGCTGGGTTTTAGCCTGTTATTGTTCGCTGCCCCTTCCGCGCTGCCTGTCCCGCCACAGGTGTCATGCCATCCACTGGCGTCATGCCGAGACCTTGCGAGCTAATAGATCTGGGCTATAGCTTGAGAGGGGACTAAAATTCGAACGGGAGGTGGTGAAAAGCAGACACGTAGTTGGTAACTTGTTCCCATACGTTGGACAGGCTGGCTGGGCGTGGTGATGGCGGCTCAGGAAACATACGTGTCTCAGAGGGATCAATAACATTCAAGTTATGCGCGGCAGAAACATGCAACAAACCTTGGACAGATAGAGCAGGGTACGAGGAAGGCAAGCTTTTTTTCCAGCCTCAAATCCTAAAACCAACTGTTCCCAGCCCGACCCCCGCGGGAGGTTCTTCTATTCCTGTCGACCAAGCGAGCAGGCCATTTCATCCCATATCGACAAAACTAAGAGACACGAGAGTGTGTGTGGATCGGCGTGATCGCCATGGCCTCGTTCATGCCTTCGTGGGAGGATAATGTCGGCGGCCGTCTCGGTGGCGTGGCCGCCGCCGCCGCCGCCGCCGATGGGCTGCCCTGGTTCAGTGTCTTCTTGGCTGCCTGCCTCGCCCTCGGGACTGCAGTGCTCTACCAGCGCATCTCTCGACTGGTTCGCGTCTGGCTAGGCAACGACGACCTGCACCGGTACTGATCTATTTTGATCTGCGCCAACCCGTTGAAGAAACTCTGGTTTGAGCTAGGCAACGAAAACCGAGAACAGCAGCTGCGCTGTACCTTGAGTAAAGATCACCAGAGAAGAGCTGCCCCGGGAGGCAGCCGTGGAAGCAAGCACCATGGGCGAAGGGCGACGGCAGCGCATCGACGGCAAGCCCACGATCAGGATCCTGATCCTCGGGGCGCCGGGGGTGGGCAAGAACTGTCTCGAGTCGAGGGTGAGTTGTGTTCCCCAGCTGCTCGGACGACCTGCTTGCTCGTAGCTAACCAGACCCCAAAACAACACAGCTCACCACCATGACGTACCCGCCCATCTACGACCCGGCCCTGACGCTCAACAGCCGGCGGTTCCTGACGCTGTCGCCACACCGGTCAGCGCACAGCGCCGCCGCGCAGGCCGCCCCAACGACGAGGCGCCTCGACACGTCGCACGGGAAGCCGCCGCCGCCGCCACTGCCGCCGCGGCGGCTGCCCGTTGATGATCCGGATATGGATGTGGCATCCGCTAGGGAGGAGGAGCATCCGCAGCCGCAGCCGCAGCCGCAGGAGCAAGAGGGGAGACAGCGAGCCGCTGGCAAAGACGACAGCCATAGCCACAGCCACGCCGACCGCCGGCCGGACTCTAGCAGCACGTTCTCGAACCCGGGCTCACTGCCGTCACGGCCACCCCCGCTACATCATCAAGAGCAAGACCAAGAAAAACAACCCGCCAACGACGCAGCCAATACAGCTACAGACCAATCCAAGACAGCCGCAGCAGCAGCCGAGGAAGCGACATACCTAGTCGAAGTAACCAACCACCCAGGACTACAGGACGCGCAGGCGCGGGCGCGGGCGCTGGCAGACCGCGCGGCCTATGACGCCGTGGTGCTGGTGTACGACGTGGGCAGCCGAGCGTCGTTTGACGCGGCGGCGCGGCTGCACGGCGAGATTCCGCTGCAGACGCGGCGGAGACGGCATTTTCAGAGGCACAGGAATAAGCGGAAAAGGGGCCATCGGCGAGATACTGATGATGGTTATGGGGGAGGAACAGGCGAGACGGTCGTCGCGCTAGTAGGCAACAAGAGCGACTACGACGACGGGTACGAAGACGCGACGTACTACGGCCGCCGGCGGTATGCAGCCCCCCAAGAAAATGACGAAGTGCGGCTGGCCAAGGAAGCAGCTCTCCAGAGCGCCGACATCGAGGAGCGCAGCCTCGTGCACCCACTGTACCGCTCGAGCCGCGTGTTTCTGTCGGAAGAGGACGACGCCGACGACGCGCCGCTGAGCCCGCGGTCGTTCTGGAGCGCGCCGGTGCCGTCCAACATTGTCCGCGGCGGCAGGCTGGTAGCGGCGGCGGGCGGGCGCGGTCGCGTGTCTGCGGGCGGGGGCGATCTCGCGCGGCGGTCTGTGTTTTCGGATGGCGGCGGAGGAGCAGGGGGAGGAGGTCTGGCGGGCTGGAACCGCGCGTCGGTGGTGTTCTCTGCGGCCGGGCGGCAGTCGCTAGAGCTGGTGCCCGAGGACCAGGACCAGCATGCGCCGCCGTCGCTACCCCCTCAGCGCGCACCGCCGCGGGCGCCGCCGCCCAGCGCGGTCGAGAACTGGATCAGGACGGGCAGTCCGGTGGTGCTCGGGGCGGGAGACGTGGCAGACAACGATGAACCGCCGCCGCTGCTGATGCCAGACGAAGGCACCCGAGCAGACTCGTCCGGCGGGAGCGACTCATCGTCGGCAGCCACGGCGGCAGCGAGGCGGCAAGTGTCGCGGTTCGAGGGTGAGATGCTCGCGCGGCGGCTACTGGTCAACGTGCCCTTCTACGAGACGAGCGCCAAGACGGGCGACTGCGTCGAGGACATGTTTGAGGCGATTGTGCGCGAGGTGCTGCGCGAGATGGGCGAGGACGGCCACGACCATGCTGAGAGCGCCCGCCAGGAGGATGTGAATATGCTGCTGGGCAGGGTGGTGCTGAGGAAGAGACATGCGACAAGCGGTGGCGGTGGCGGTGGCAGCAGCAGCGCCCCGGTGTCAGTCGCTAGCCAGGCCGACGAGGAGGATGGGGCGCGAAGCAGCAACAGCGCCGGCAAAGAGGACGCGGCGGTTTCCGAAGCGCCGTTCCCCCCGGGGGTGCCCACGCCGACGCGGCAGAGGCGGGAGAGCGTGCTGGCCAGGTTCAGGAGGGTGTTTGCCAAGAAGCCTGCCGTCATGGTGCACGATATTGCCGTCTAGGCACTCCGTGAGTAGATAGCTAGGAATGGAATGTACAGGTGCTATGTATGTGCCGTGGCCTCCAATTAGTGGCAGGCTTGGACTTGCAGTATTGGTTGCTCCTCCTTGCCGTTTACCAAACTGAAGCTATCTGGAATTTAGGGGGACGCTTTTGGTTATGAGACTTTATGTCCTTCATATCTTATCCCGCGCCGTTTACCATGCGCCATAAGTGTGCCAGTCATGTGCGTGTCTGAATCCATCCATGCTGTGCTAGGAGAAGGGAAAAGGAAATAGGGGTGAGGTATTTGTACAGGCGCCGGAGACAAGAGAAGAGAATATGAGAAACATAAAGTAGAGAGCCGTCCCGAGCCTGTAAAGACCTCCCCCGATTAGAAACCCAGCCCCGTAAACTCCGAAACCCCCTTTGTTATGCATGCTATCAATGTTTGGCCGAACCGATGTGCGCTAAGAGGTCATGTCGACGTGCTATCCCGGCCGGACGAGACGAGAACGAGACGAGAAGAGAGAGCGATTGGCGAGAGAGAGACTAAAGCATCCCATCAGTAGTCGGCGGCCCAGCCATTCTCTTCCAAGAATTGTTGGCAGGCATCCCTCAGCAGGAGGTTGGGCCGCAATTCATGGGGTTGGAGAGGCTCGCGGGATTGGGGGTCCGTCTGCGAGCGGCGGAGGTGCTCGAGGATGTGGGCCCGCTCGTACGACTTGCCCGATTTTGTCTGCTCAAAAAGTCAGTCTACATGTTCGACTTTTCTGTTCCGAGGAAGGTAACCGACCATGACGGGGTCGTGCATAACACAGAAAGAGATTTCGTCAATAGCCCAGTCGGGCACGGATCGGGCCTTTTGGTCCGAGTTGCGCGCGCGCTCGAAGACGTCCCGGATGACGCGCAGCTTTTCGTCATACTCCTTAATGACGTCTCTCTTGTGAGCATCGTCGATGACCATCTTAAGGACATCTTCTCGGTCGTGCTCAAAGAAAGCGAGAGTCTCGTTTTCGAGTGCCGAGGTTTCTCTCTTACGCTTGCGCTCACCCGCCTCCCACCTCTCGCGTTTGCACTGGAGTACTTGTGTCGTCACAGTCGTGAGGTTCTTGTCCTCGGTCTGCACGCACAGCTTGTGCGCCTCGAGTGCCGTACGTAGCGCCTCTTCATAATCTCCAAGCGCGAGGTATGCTTGTGATAGATAAAAGTAGGCCTTCATGCGGTCTGGCGCGAGTTTGAGACAGGCCATGCAATCGGCCACGGCGCCATCCAACAGGTTCATATGGAGCCGGGCCATGGCCCTGTTGGTATATAAAGCCGGCTCACTCGGGTCGGCGATCAGCCTGGAAGCCCCTTACGTTAGCCAATCCAGGCAAGTATAGTATGCATGCCCACGTGGACAAGAGTAAAGATCCTAGACGGGATGCTTCAAGCAAGCGTCCAGCGACGCATAGAAGACGTCGTGAACACCTTGGTACACGTATATGGAGATATGGATAACGTCGGTAGGGCTTAAATAAGAGTCCACGTGGGAAGAGACGGCACTAAGAAGCCTCTAGTAGGTATAGAGACGTATAGAAAAATGCAGCTTACGCTTTCGAGTACAAGGCCTCGGCCTTGACATAATTCTTGGCTCCAAAGGCTCGGTTTCCATCCTCCTTAAGGTGGCGAGCACGGGCGGGATCAGCCATGGCGGCGGGCTAAGGTTGGTCTGCGATCATGTTAGGTCCGAATATTCCAAGACCAAGATTGACAATTGTTCTTAACGGTTCGCGATAAAACTTACTCAAGCTTCTTCTAGCTCTATTTAGGGGGGGGGGGCTTCCCCCTTCACTAGCAGACTGCGGCTCGAGAGTTGGGCGTTGACAGGTGGGGAGGGCGATATGCGGTTGCCGCCCGAGGCAGCGCCACAGAGCGGAGCGCAGCGCGGCGTAGTGCAGCGTGGCAGGGGAGCTAAAGGGAAAGCGGCGAAGAACGGCCCCGCCTCACGCTTCGAGTTTGTCAAGACTAGTGACTCTACATAGGCGTAAACAGGATGCGAAGACGGAAAGAAAACAAAAAAAGGCTCGCGGCAAGGCTAGGAAGGCAGACGGTGGGAATTAGGGAGAGCGCAGGTATCGACGCCGTTAGGTGCTGTGAAGGTAGCCAGCCTCGTGGGTGCTGCTGCGATTTGGAATTAAGGTTAGGTTGGGCGGGGCAGGTCAAGGTAGGGTATGGAAGTGCTGTACATGTACGGGCTGCAGGTACTTCTTCCAAGAGAGCGCGACACCAAAGCCCCGTGACTTGCTGCTGCTAGGTGGGTAGGTTGGTTTTGGGGTATGCTCCCATTAGGATCTCCTTCCTTGACTCCTGTTGCCCGGCCTGCCGTCTGCAAGAACATCCAGGACGGTCGGATACCAACTACGAATACCGATGTCCGAAGTACGGATACGGTGAACAGTAGGCCGTTGAAAAGTGGGGCGCTTTGTCAACCCGGGAAGCTTCTGGAACACCTGGCTGCCATAACCGGCGTAGGCGTCGGTCACCCGAGGGTTTACTGATCGTCATTTAAGTGGTCATTTCTACGAGGCATATCACAACTTATGGCGATTGTTGACCCATGTACAGCCTCTTCGACTACCTACCTACCTACCTGACTTACGGATAGTCTGTTTAACCTGGAATCTCTACCAGGTGAATAGAAAGTGAACTCGATTCAGTCGCAAAGCTTGGTTCCCGTTCGGAAATTCAAGTGCAACGGATAATTAATCAGAACCATCGGGTTCTCATACCTTGAATCTTGTGCTTAAGTTTGATTTTCATTTCCTGCCACGCTCAGCTTTTGTCTTCCTTATGCCCGCAGGTTTCCCAATCCTCGGTGTGATTAGGTGACTTGGGTCTCGCCTAACAGTTGGGCTCTTGTCTGGTCGGCGAGGCGATGATGGATGTTTCGTGAATTCGTGCGGTTAGCTAGTTGTAGCCCTAAGCCGCGGATCACTCCTGTGTGGCGGTCGGATTATCGGATGTCCACCTTACTGAGCAACCTCATCCTTTCTATTTCTAGAACGTAGGGCAAGATCTAGTTCCGTGGAATGCTGAGGGTTCGCTTTAAAGTGACCCTGAAAACGACATATCAACTTGTAAGTTTGGTCTCGCTTTCTCGTTTTCTGAAGTGGCTCAAGTGCCATGTTCGGGAAATACAGCGTCTAGCTTGTTTAACGGGGCTACGGGCTATATTCATGACATTGCTTGGGCTGCCGGCGTGGAAGACCCTCGCTGCAGAACTCTCTTTGTCGTGCTTGTCAAAATGGACAAGCATGACGGCCTAGCTTGCTTCTCTGACGATGGAGCTATTCCGAGAAATGTGGTGCCGATCTTCCAGTTCTTGCGGGACTTCCAGGGTGGTAATGCGGCCTGCTCGCGCGCCAGTTCCCAATTACTATTGCGTACGCTATCTGTCATCACGGTTCACAAGTTACAGGGAGCTACGCTTGAGAGGGCTGTGCTTGACTTATCCGGGCAGGATTTCTCGTCGGGGCTTACTTATGTGGTTGTCTCACGCGTTACTAGTCTATAGGGCTCGATGTCGTCCTCTGGGCGGACATGTTCCGGTTTAAATGTCCAGCTTCCCTCAATCTCCTTTTCTATGTTTTAATACTAAATCTCTACTTACTCGCTTCAATAATGAGACAGATCTTTAGTCTTTTCCATAGGAAGTGCCGCCCTCTTTCTTCTACTACTCGGTCAGTTACAACTCCGGTGGTTGCCTCGCTTTTTATCCTCCTCGTTCGCACCACTGTCGCCAGTGGAAACCTCCAGCTATCGTCCGCGATGCCTGACGAGCAACGCCAAAAGGCCATCGGCCATCAGAACGACCCGAACGACAAGCAGCTAATGTTTACCATGACCGCCGAGATCGGGGGACAGAGTCTCAACTATCAGTTCGCCACCTGGCGCGTGTTTATAGATGGAACTATGTGCTTCAATATGGCGCTAGTTACCTTACCTATCCAAATCGTCGGACGCCTGTACCGACTCAGCCAGACCCGTCCCGTCGAAGTTACCATCGCGCTGCACGCCAGCTCATTTAACAGCGTCTAGGAACGCCTTATATGCGGTAAGTACGTCCTCCACCTCGATGCGGAAGGAAGATGCCCGAGGTGGGTTACGGATCCATACCTACGCCAGTGCGTCAACTACGAGATTATCCGCGTCTACTTGGGCCAAGTCGGGCATCCTCTCAACAGCGCCGCCATCATCGGTCATCGGTATCGGTTGAAAGGGTTTCAACCATTTCGCTAGCTCATAACATCTCATGGCTGCTCACCACACAGGAGGATGACGACATGTGTGGATTTTATGGCAAGTCAAGATCCCCGAAGCTGTCTCTGGCTTTACATGATATTGCTCCCTGGGGTATCCCACGGCCTGGATGTTTGTCCCATACGCAGCCAAATACGAATGCAGCAGGTTTCGTCACCGGCTGGTTAGGTAGGTAGGCATCTAGTAGGCTAAATCTAGAGAGGCATTCGAGCCAGGAGTGAAAAGCTATGGCGAAGTCCAGAAGTGGGAACCCGAGTCCACCCTATCTCATTATCCCCCTGGCGTACACTGAAATGCCTATCTGGATATCTCCCAGGCAGACCTTTTCGGGATAAACCGCTCCGGATACGCGGCTGCGTCACGCACATGCAGCCACCATGTAGTGATGATAGTGTTTGCTTCGTCCGGCTTGCAAAAGGCGTCAAGATATTCATGAAGGTTGCTGATCGGGGCACAATTGAGCTGCCTGCCGCTAGCGCGCCGACTAATCCCGGGTGCCGCGTCATGTCCGCCGTTTTCGTCCTGTCTCACTTTCATATGCTGCTGCAGGCTGCCGTCAAGCCACAGTTTTTAGCTAGGCGGGTGGCTACGTAGGTACCTATAAGTCTGGGGGTTTAGTAAGTGCAAGGGGCTGATTGGCTTTAACCCCTCCCGCTCAGCCGCCGTCTCCTCCCCTCGGCCTCCCCTCCTTCCTCAAAGGCAACCGCAAAGCATTGGCCGCTTGTCGACAACAAGAGAGGCACCAGCCATCCGCATCTAGCCCAAAAGCTCGGCCAGTCCCTGCACGAACAACTCAACTCGAGAAGCCGTCTTCTCGCAGCACAGCAAACAGAGGACAACAAAACAATTACAATGGTGCACTCAGCTGTTGACCTCAACAATCTCAACTGGCCTGACTACGATGCCTATGCGGCGTCGGCGAACCGGCAGTCGGGGTCGCGGCTGTTCAAGGCGCTGCCTGCCGAGGTGCGGCAGCTTATCTACGTCGAGTGCTGGCGGGCATCGGGTCTGCGCCAGCACGTCTTCCGCCGCAAGACACCGCTGCCGCCCGTGCTCCGCGATCGCGAAGGCCGCCTCGTCCGCCCAGAAGTAGACCCCTACCAGGCCGAAGAGGGCCTGTGGACCCGTGCCTCGTGCACCACGGACCCGTGCGCCGACGACGTCCGCTGGCCCAGGTTCTGCCGCGCCCGCCCCGGCCAGTCGGCCGACGCCTCCATGTGGGCTGCCCGCCTGCGCTCCGACTGGTGTCTGCATTGGTGTGCCCCCGTATTTCCATTATATATAACTATTTGTAAATGAATATATGTTTAGCTGACCCGGCAAAAAAGGGCCTGCGAGGAGGAAGACACGGGCCACGTCGACCACTACCGCCGGCAGAACCGGCTCAGCAGGATGCTGCAGCAGGACCTCTTCTGGAACACGCCCGCCGTCCACCGCCACTACGAGAGAGAAATCGAAGAGGCCCCCCCGTCCGACCCGCCGGCGCGTCGCTGGGCCGGCTTCCTGCCCGTCATGTTGACGTGCAAGCAGATGTGCGTCACCCCGTACTTTTCTCTCTGCACAAAGCTGACCCTCGGCACCCAAGGTACCTGGAGTCCGTGGCGTCCATCTACGCCAACGTGACCTTCGTGTTCACAGACCTGCAGGAGGCGGGCAGCTTCTTGAGCCTGTATGGGCAGCGGGAGCCGGAGCGCGGCGCGGTGCGGTCCGTCGAGTTGTGCGTTCGTATCATTAACGCGTTGACCGAGTTGTATTTCCCGCCGCGCCCCTCCAGGGCGGCCCCCGGAGCTATTGCCAACGACAACAACAATAACGACAACAACAACAATAACGACAACAACAACAACAACGACAACAACAACAACAACAATAACAATAACAATAACAATAACAATAACAATAACAACAACAACAACAATAACAACAACGGTGCCGTAATCGACAACCACGCTGCCGTCGTCAACGCCACCGCCACCGCCGCCACCACCATCGACGGCCTGGAGTACGAGTCCCAGGTCGTGTCCAAGTACGTGTCCATGGCCGTCAACCCGTGGGCGCGCGTGTGCGACCTGCTGGCCGGCATGGACAGCCTGCACGACGTGCGCATCTGGTTCGACACACGCGATCTGCGGCCGTGGTAAGCAAGTTCCTGCCTTTGCCTACCTACACGTATGCAGAGGGGGAGAGAGACCAAAGATTTACTGACACTTGCCCGCTCCTCCCTAGGCACAAGCGCGTGAGCGAGGCGCGCTTCTTTGCCCGGCTGCGCGACGTGCGCGTTAAGTCGCGCGACAAGCGGCGCTTCGTGCTGGCGCTGCCTGAGCTGCCGGCGGCGCAGGCCCAGCGCGCCTTCGACGCCAGCCACTGGCTCGAGGGCGACGCGGCCGAGAGCGTGCCTTTCTCTATCGAGCGCGGCCAGCGGCCCGTCAACTGGTCGGTGCATATGTTCTACCAGAACCCTCTCTTACCCATCGTTTACCAAAACCCCCACTTACCCATCATTTACCATGCCCCCCCACCCCCCAACGGATCACCCTAGCAGTGGATCACCCCTTTTACACCAAAACACTGTATCTTTGAGAAACAATACTGTACTCAATTGCGAAACTATTTACAAGCAAAATGTAGCGAAATGTAGCTAATTAACTACTCAATCCATATAACGTGCTGCCATACGAAGTGTACTGCTAGATCTTATTGCTCTCGTAGGCAACTCTTCTTCTTTAGCCTCTTCTTTAGCCTTATCTTTTATTATCTACGTCTTTCATTTGAGGTTCCGCTTGAGGCTTAACTTACGGCTCTACGGGAAGCTCGCCGCCTAATAGTGTAGTACCTAGGTCTATAAACCGCTTATTAGGATTGGGAATTTTCCTTCGTTTTTAGGGCCTATTACACCCTAATTAAGCCTCTAGGGCTTTAATACGGTATCACTTAAGCACTAGTTTGGTCTAAAAGCTTCTTAATAGTTACCGGGGCACCACATACCTAGATGGGATTGAAGTTGAAGCGCCCGAAATTATGATGAACGAATGTCAGAGACACTTGTTTGTACTTGCACAACCATGCGCATAGACGCAAAGAATCTAGTGATGTGTAGACATGAGACTGCCGATGTTGACCAGCTAGAACCTAGCCCTGAACACCTCAGACTTCAGTTCTAGACTACAAACTACGCACAAGATGTTCTGGGACAGCCTGCAGCCTACAGCCAATAAAAGTACTGTTGCCCAGATCTCCAGGCAACAGGCGTCTGTTTTGTCTGCTGGTGCAGCGGCAGCCTACGACACACGACACAGCTCAAGTCTCACTTGCAACGACCAAAGAGCGCTACTGTCAAGAAACTCTGGATATCCTCTACCGCTCTGTGTAACGTAACTAGGTACCTTAACCACCGCAGACCCATTTGTGCCTCGCTCACATGCAACTAAATACACATCACCACATAGCCACATAGCCTAACACACACACGCACACGCACACACACGTACACTACATCCGTCATGACCGACTCTTTTTCTTCTCCTTCCGCCCCTTTCACAAAACGGTTGTTTCGAGCCAGCCAAGTCAAAAGGAACAAAAAAAAAGAAAAAAGTTTTTCCAGAAACAGAAACAGACCGGACTACGCCACTGTCCGAGAGGAGAAATAGAGGAAAGCAAATAGAGGAATATATACAAGAGTATATCGGCAAGAGTGTAAGGGTGTTCTGGGAGGTAAAAGTTGGTTGTTGTTATATGGGATTTCTTCTTCCAGCGTAAAACAAGCTTCCAGGCCGACGGATAGAGATGTAGAGACGGTGAGAAGGTAAGGAGGACGGGGAAAACCGCCAGGGAACAAGTCTTAGAGGTAGGTGGTTGTTGTTGGCGAAAGAAAGAAGCATGGCAGATAGAAAAAGTGACAGGTTTCTCTTCTTGCCACCGTGTCGTGAAAACAATAGCGGTTCTTTTCCTCCGCCTCCCTTGTTTTGGTTCCGCGTCGCTGAAATGCGGTAAACAAACACAAACAAACCAAAATAAGACAAGACAATGGAGAGAAGATAAAAAACAAATTATCGACAAGATATTAAGAGCAGACAGCTCATTGCCGAGCGCCGGAAACGAGATCTTGCCGAAAAGAGCCATCCGGGGAGGCTGTACGAAAATAGTGGTCGTAAAAGAGTGACGAGAAGATTTGTTGTAAAAAAATAAAGATAAAAGATGGAGAGAGAAATACCCTTCTCGCAGAAAGCTAGACCCCTAACCCTGTGTTTTCGTGATAAAACAACAAGATAAACGCCGTGTGCTCCCAGAACCCCTTTTTCGTTGTGGGCGCCGTTGATGGCCTGGCCAAGAGGCTAAGAATAATCAGGTGTCACGTCGCCATTGTTTCGTAATGACCGCCCTGGAGCACTCAGTATGCCTGGCCGGGCTGGTACTGGGCCGAGGGAGATTCTGCAGGGTAGTAGTCCTGGCCCGGCTGGGTTGCTCCGGTAGGGGACGGTCCTCGGCCCGGGCCGTTGGGGCTTCTCGGGCGGCCCTGTTGAGGATTATAACGGGGACCTTGCGACTGTGGCTGGCCGTGGCCGGGGCCGGGGCTCATTGAACGGCCGGCGGGAGAGGCCGGGTGGTCACCGGCAGGTGAGTAAGACCGGGGGTAACCCTGCCCGGGCCCTTGCGTGGGCCGTCCAGACTGCTGCGGCCTCTGGTACTGGGTGTTCGGTGAGTAGCCTTGCTGGTTTTGAGACGGAGGATAACCGCCTGCCCCGCGAGCCGAGTTCACTGGCGGGCCGCGAGGAGCTCCAGGTCCAGGCCGCGGCTTTACAGGACGAGTTGACAAGCAGGTCCGCGGCACTACGCCCTGCTGAGACCGGTCTAGCCGGATGCAGAGGGCCTGTCGCAATATCTCGGTTAGCCATTTTGAGAGTACACATTTTTGGGAGATTCAAGTTAGCTTACCCAGCCATCATCATACTCGTGTAACAGGCGGACCAGCTGGCCCGCTACGAGGCCCATCTCATCCTCCAGAGTCGGCTTGAAGTCAAGTTGCACGCGGTGCACGGCAGATTGTGGTGGGCCGCCAGCTGCGGCAATGGCTGCGGCGCTCGTCGAAGGAGCGGGAGACTGGCCGGGAGCAACAGAGTGCATGCTGAATTCGGTTCCCGTCGGGCTAGGAGGCACAGCCGACAGCGCGGGCGGCGCCTTTGTGAGATCGAGTGGCTTGGAGAGGTCCTTGCGGATAGAGGCCTTGCGAGTCATGCCAGCAGCAGAAGCGGCGGCAGCGCCGCCTGCAACAGCCCCAACCGCGGCTGCGTCGGTCGAGTTCATGGTGCCGCCGATGGGAGATACCGGCTCCGGTTCAGGAGACTGGCCAGTCGCCGAAGCGAAGTCGTCGTCGTGGCCGATGGAGCTGACGGGACTGACGGGGAGGTCCTTGTTGGTCGCCGGTTCGGCAATCCGCTGGGAATCGTTGAACGGATTGGCAGGGTTCGCACTCGCGCCCGTGCCGGGACGGTCGTAGGGGGGTTTGGCGTTGTTCATGGCCGAGTTGGCCGCCGGACGCTCCCAGGCGGCAGCTCCTGCCGGCCGGGTACCGGGGGCCTCGGAGGGTGGGGTGACGGTCAGGGCAATGCCACGGCTATTTCTGCGCTCCGGATTGTTACTACCGAGGTTGGGGAGGAATTGGGTCACGGGCCGCAGGCTCAACCGCGGGGCCGTGACCGGGGTTCGGATGGCAGCCTTGTCTGAAAAGGGGTTATTTATCTTCTCGGCATGGTCGCGATGGCGCCTGTCTCTCTCCATCTGCCGTCTCCGGCGCTGGAAGAAGAACCACGCGCCGAGTGACACAAGCAGGACGCCTGCCAGCACACCGATAACAATTCCCGCCTTGGCGGCCGCGCTCGTCTCTCCGCCGCCACTGTCCGAGCTTGCGCTCGTTGTTGCTGCCGACTTGGACCCGCTCGAGGTCGCCGTCTGCGACTGCCGTACATCTTTAAATGTTGTGGTCGAGGGCTGCGTTGACGGCGCGAGGGCAAGCGTGCTATCCAGGGGAACAGACGAGATGGGCGAAATACCAGGGGGCAGCGTGTTTAGTGCCGTGTTGCCCGGCGGAATACTGACGCTAATGCTGGGTGTGGGGGCTTTTTGCTGCACCTGGTCGTTCTCAGGAGTCGTTGGTGTCGTCACCGCCTGCCCTGACGGCTTCGGTGTCGTCTTCGGGGATGGCGTCGGCGTCGGCGTCGGCGTCGGAGACCCCTTGCCTGTCACCGTTGACCCCTTGGAAACCGTTGTCCTATCCTTATCACCGCCAGGAGGGGCAGGGACAGTGGGGGTACCACTGTCGGTGGTCTGCGTGTCGGGAGCCGACCGGGTTTGACTCTGAGTCTGGGCCGGCGCCGATGTTGACGCAGTCTCGGACGACGCGGAGGTGGAAGGGGCTGACGTTGTTGACGTATCACCGGCATCGACAAAATTGGCGATGACGCTGCCAATTTCTTCGAAAATGTTGCGACGCTGGTGGGCCGCCGGCGCACCAAGTACGCCGTTGAGCCTCATGGCGTCGAAGGTATGGAGAATGTAAACGCAGCAATGCTAATAATGTTTGCAGTGGCGAATGGAAAGGAATCGCGATGCTTTGATCAGCGTGTCGGTGCCGGGTCTCGTGGAAAGTTGTATGGTATTGTGTTGTAATGAATGTGCGCGCTCGGCAGCAACGACTCGGTCGAGGTCTCTTCGGTAAAGGAAAGTAAGGTACCGTGTGCCTTTGTCGGCGGGTACTGGAAGAGGAAGAGAGAATGAATGTAAGAGCAAGTAACCAAGGCGAGTCCCCGTCTCAGCAGCTCATCGTCGCCGGGAAAAGGACTCGACACCGGAAGGCGGGAGAAGAAGAAGAAGGTCGTGTCGTAAGACAGAAGCGGACGGTGATGTTTGGGAGACGGAGAGACGGAGGGGAGGAACGTGTGCGTGCGTGCAAGAGAGCCCGCGAGTGAAGGGCGGAGCTGCGGAGGGCAGCCGCGGGTGGTCCCCTTCCTTTGGTCTCTGGGCCTGCGCTGCTCGACAGGGAGGGGAGGGGAGAACAAGCAAGTGTGCGGCCCGGATCTGGTCTTTGGAGAGTGTGACCAGGGGCATGGGGGCGTCCAGCGCGTGGGCTGTGCGGAGCGATGTGCAGCAGCAGCGCTGCAAGTGCAGAAGTAGGTGGGTATCCATCCCATCCTGTGCAATATCGAAATCTACACTACTCGGTCCGTGGTGCAACATCGACGGAACATCGCAAGCAGGCAGCAACAGTTAGCCAATTCCATCTCCAGTTCTCCATGATTCGCTCTCCATCGCTCGGCCGACTCCAACCAGCACTCCCAGCGCCGCAGAGACTGAGGCGAAACCGCTCTCCCTCCGTATCTGGGCGGCGGCACTGTGCTTCGACGGGCCTCTCCATCTCCAGTCAACGGCCCAGCGACGAGAGCGAGCGCCTGGTGGTCGCCCAATTTGTGGAGCGTATCCCGTCATGTTTCCTCCCATGGGTCCCCTGCCGGCACTATTTCAGGAACCAGTCGACAGTGATTGGCGGACCTGGCGATCTCCCAAGAAGCGAGATTACCTGAACAGGGAACCTGATTGGCCCACCTGAGGCCCGGCCGAGACGAAGATGGAGTGGGACAGGGGGCCGAAAAGGAAAGAGCGAGACGCAGGGGTGGGGGACGCTTTCCCTTCTCTTCACTCGCTCTCTGTCTCCCTTTTCGATTTCTTCCTCCCCCTCCCCCCCCCGCACCACCCGCGCCGTCGTACCGTCTGTTGGTTGATCGAAACCTCAGCCGCTTTCCGCTTCGCTTCTACAACATGTGGCCGTCGCGTGGGCTTTCTAGAAGTCAATGCAAGACGACGGGAGGCATGGGCAAAATAGAAAGAGCCGGCAGCCGACAACTGACTTCGTTAATATCAAGCTTCAGCCCTGAGCCGAACCCCCCAACACCAAGCAAGCCTACCCAGTCCACGTGTGCCCGTAGTCGGCACACTCCAATGTAAGTTTCACGGTTTTGGGCGCATCTCAGCGGCGCGCACAGCCAAAGGATTATGGGGCCACGCCGGTTATTCTCGTCATTAACATGATGACACTCAATAAGGCAATAGAGTAGTTAGTCGAGCAAGCTACTTAATCGGCCCCCTCGGACTCTTTACATTGTTCTCGTGTCCTTAGCTCAGCTCCCGGCTTGTTCCTTCAGCTCTGTCTGCAGCTCTGCGGCCCAGCCTCTCAGTTAGGACAATCCTGTTCCGATAGTCGCATGTAGTCATCAATCACGCCTGCTATTCGCCAACGGATTAGGCCACTGAAAGTTGAAGGCATTGGGTGGCGGCGGAGGGTATGGCGTCGAATGTGGCGCCGGTGGGTATGGCGCCGAATGTGGCGCCGGTGGGTATGGCGCCGAATGTGGCGGCGGAGGGTATGGCGCCAGATGTGGCGGCGGAGGCGGAGGGTATGGCGCCAAATGTGGCGGCGGAATGACGGCTGACGGCTGCGAGCCTGGACGAGGGTAAACTCCGCCGGCAGGAGGGTATGCAACGGGCCATTGCGGGTTGTAAGTCGGCTGGGCGCTATAGGGTGGCGGCGGGGGCAAATAAGGGCTGGCTGGGACGGACGGGACCAGAGCAGCCATATCCCTTCCTTGGGTTCGCGAATAGTGGTCGTCGTATTGGCGGCCTCGGCCGCGGGCGAAATGCCGCTCCTGGCCGCGGGTAGCTCCTTGATCGACGTCGTACGAGTCGGGAAAGCCCGACGAGACGGGCCTCGGCGGCAGCAAGGCTGGCGAACCCTGGCCAAAGTTGGAAGGTCTGACCAGTCGCTGATAGGGTCCGTCATCGGGGGCATCGAGGTCCCGCATCTCCCGATGGCCGCCCCGACCACCCCGACCACCACCCCTAGTTCCTCCTCCGCGCTTCTTAAGGCCACCCTTCTGTTCGCGCTTTGATTCCCTCTCATGCTTTCGCATCTTTTTGGCCTGTGCCTCTTTGTCGTCGTCCGAGAAATCCTGGTCGTCCTCCGGCGCAATTTCCTCGTCGTGGATATTGCTGGCATCCGTAAACTTCATCTTGCGGATCATCTCCGTCATGACGAAGATGGCGTGCTCTTGGGAAAAGAAGATTGGAGTTCCCGGCTCCAAGCCCAGTTCCTTGATCTCGTCCGTGGTTCCAAACATGACGAGATAATGTGGGTTCGCAACACTACCAATGACATCTGCCAGGGCGCCGATGACGCTCCTGTCCTCCTTGCAGAGGACAGAGCCCGAATCGAGGACTTGTGACTTGGCCGAGCTGCTTGGTTCGATGACGACAGTCTTTTCGACGATATGCTTGATTGTCCCGAATCGTACAATCTTCATGTCGTCCTTGATCTCGACATTGGGCTTCGGAGGGGCTGCGTCTTCGGCCACATGGCGAGATCGATTGCCAATGCCACCATTTGAGGGGTTAGCTGGGACACCAGAGCCCCGGCTCCGCGGCTGGGCGACCGAGTTGTCGTCTTCGTCGGACGACGAGCTGTCCGAACTGGAGGATTCCGATGATGACTCGTATGGCGACGAGTCCACCTCCCACTCTGGGTGCTCATCCTCTCCACCAAGGGCAGCTTCTAGTGCACGAGTGACGTCTGGGCTTGACCGAGTGTCGCTAACAATGGTCGAGGTGCCATCCGAACCTGCATCAGACTCCACCTTGATATGAGGGACGTCGGAGCCTGACTGAATGTCTCGGGCAACAAAAGTTGAGGTGCTATCGGAATGCATACTGACGAGATCGTCTGTGGCAGGCGATCGTGCCCTAATGAGGTCTTCCAGGTCTCAGACGCCTTTGTGGAAGAATGAAAATTAAGGTAGGTAGGTAGGTAGTACCTTAAAAGATTGATGGACCGCTTGCAAGAAAAGTTCTAGAAGGTCGAGAATAGTGGGGCCGGCTAGCTCCCCAAAATCCGAAGGTTTTGGCCAGATTCGGGGGAGCTGGGGCGGCTTGGTGCTGTTTCCTATCCCTAGGTAATAAGCCTTAAAGTGCCCCCTAGCGCCTTCCTAGAGCCCCACGAGCTGAAGTTTAGCTGCCCTCCCGCAGTGCCTGCCCGCTGGCTAACCCTTATTAGCTGGCCCTGAGCCGGGGAAAACAACCTGGACAGATTCCCCATCTTGGATCCTGCCAACGTCAACGTCATCGTTAGATCTGACCCTAGCTCCCTTCGCCCTCGACCCAAACACCAGCCCACGCCCGCCCCCTGAGGTGGCCGAGGGGACAGGGACTCCAAGGGCAACGACATACACAAACGCAGCAGAACATCCAATGGCGCCGCCCAGGGCCACAGGTGCTGCGAGCGCTGCCGAGCCAGCCGCATTTGTGCACCCCTCGGCCAAGCACGCGAAGAAGGCGTACGTCTGTCTTGCCTGTCTTCCCATTTTTGAATAGTGGCAGCTTCGGCTAACTGAGGCCTTCGCCGCCGTCTCGACAGAGCCATCAAGAACGCCTACGCCATTGAGCCCATCTCGGCCTTCTACGTGTTCCTCGCTGCGAGCCTCGCCGCCGCCGCCTTCGCCCCCATCCAGGACTGCGACGAGACCTTCAACTACTGGGAACCCGCCCACTACCTGAGCCATGGCTACGGCCTGCAGACCTGGGAGTACTCGCCCGACTACGCCATCCGCAGCTGGCTCTATATTGCCTTCCACGCCGTCGTCGCCAACGTCCGCCGCCTGCTTCCACGGTCGACCAAGGTCTATCTCCCTCCTCCCTCCTTCACACACAGCCAAGCCTGGAGCTGACCCCCCCGAGAGACACACAGGTTGCCGAGTTCTACTTCCTCCGCTACATGCTCGCCTTTGCGTGCGCCTTCTGCCAGACGCTGATGTGGCGCGCGACGTGCCTGGCGCTCAACCCGCGCGTCGGGCTGTTCTTCATCGCGGCCCTCGTGCTGAGTCCTGGCAGCTTCCACGCGAGCGCGGCGTTCCTGCCCTCGAGCTTCGCCATGTGCGCGGCCATGGCCGGCGCCGCGTGCTTTATGAACTGGCGCGGCGGGCTCAAGACCTCGCAGGGCATGTTCTGGTTCGCCGTCGGTGGCGTCCTGGGCTGGCCCTTTGCCGCCGCCTTGTGCGCCCCTTTCGTGCTCGAGGAGGCTCTGTTTGCTGTGCTGAGTGATCAGGAGAGGTTTTTCGAGTCTATCTTCCGCCTCACCCGCGGTGTCGTGTCGGCGCTGGTCCTCGTCGTACGTTTTTTTTTTCTTCTCTTTCTTTTCCCCCCCCTTTATGGTCAAGTACAGTTTGTTAATCTGCTGCCCAGGCCTTGGACACCTGCGTCAACACCTTCTTCTACCGCAAGGTCGAGGCCGTGGCGTGGAACATAGTCAAGTACAATATCTTCTCGGCGACTGGCGGGCCCGAGCTATACGGCACCGAGCCGTGGCACTTCTACTTCAAGAACCTAGCGCTCAACTTCAACGTGTGGTTCGTGCTGGCGCTCCTGTCACTACCACTATTCCTCTTCCAAAAGCTCCTGTCGCGGTCCTCGGGCCAGTCCTTCCAGTCGGGCCTGCGCACCGCCGTCTTCCTGTCGCCGTTCTACACGTGGCTGGCCATCTTCTCGCTGCAGCCGCACAAGGAGGAGCGCTTCATGTACCCGGCGTATCCGTTCCTGGCGCTCAACGCCGCGCTGGCGCTGCACACGCTGCTGGCCGCCTTCGGCCACGCCGACCCCAAGACGCTCGTGGGCAGGATCCCCGCCAGACTCAAGCTGGCCGCCGTGGCGCTGGGACTCGCCCTCGCCACCGCCCTCGGCCTCGCCCGCACCTACGGCCAATACTCGGGCTACGCGGCGCCTCTGGCACTGTATGACCCGCTGCTCGAGGGCGGCGTGGGCGGGCGCGGCGACACGGTGTGCTTCGGTAAGGAGTGGTACCGGTTCCCGGGGTCGTACTTCCTGCCGCGTGACATGCGCGCCAAGTTCGTGCGCTCCGAGTTCCGCGGCCTGCTGCCCGGCGAGTTCGCCGAGGCACGCACCGGCTTCGGCTTCTGGAGCGGCACCTGGCTGCCCGCCGCCGGCCTCAACGACCGCAATCGCGAGGACCTCGGCAAGTACGTCGACCTCGCCGCCTGCGCCTTCCTCGTCGACACCCAGTACCCCCACCGGCTCGAGACAGGAGGAGGGTTGCTGCCCCCCGGCGAGCCCGACTACGTCGCCGACCACGCCCGCTGGGACACGGTCAACTGCCTGCCCTTCCTCGACGCAGAAGCCACCCCATTTCTTGCCAGGGCCCTGTGGGTGCCGAACTGGTCGTTCATTCCAGAGCGTTTCCAGAGGAAATGGGGGCGCCACTGCCTGCTGCGTCAGAAGAAGTGACGGCAGAGCATAGTGGTGGTGGTGGCGGTGGTGGCGGTGGCGGCGGTACGCTGATGGTGATATTCAGCGGGCACGCAGTGTGTATGTGTGTGTCCATATACTAAAAATCTGGTGTATGTAGCGGACAGACGGTGTGGCATCTAGACGTGTCATATACGCACCTTATCTGGCTGTCTCTTGTTTAATAGGAATGGCTATTCGTCGAGATCTCTCTCTCTCTTTGTGTGTGTGTGTGTGTGTGTGTATGTGTGTTTTTGTGTTTGTGTGTGTTTGTGTGTGTTTGCTTCTGTCATGAGCTTCGTATTTTACAGCGAGCCGAATCACGAAAAGCGTGGAGACATTAGCTCAATCTCCACAGTCTGGGCGGCCGACGCGGGGTTGGAACCGAGCCTCACGTTTTTGCCTTGCTTGTCGGCAGGCTAGTTGCGTGGCTGGGCTCTCCGCTGCTGAGCCTTCAGCTGGTTGAGATTTATGTGTGGATGGGGCTGAACGTGGTTACAATAGACCTAAAGAAGACCGAGTGCTTGCTTCATTTTTTTTACCCCTTCATTTCTGAGTTAACTACTACCTAAAGGCATGCTGTGTTTACACTCACCCCTTTGGTGAATCCGTTCCCCGGGCTTGTTTCCGCATAATCAGACGGCTTTAATTATGCTGCTGTTATAACGCCGCCTAGTTCGGAACCGTGGACTCTAGCATGCGGTGGTGGTCGCTAAGATAGGGTAGGTAATTACCTTATCTGGGTACTACCAGCCATTAGTATTTGCCGAGGTAGTTGAGGGGTCAAGACTGCAGTTCGAGAAGGCGAGATGCTGTAGCATAACACACTTGGCGGAACTTGCTGATTAGTGTCTAGCTAATGTAGTTACCTAGTCAATTACCCGTGTAGAGTCTTCTCTCACTCTTAGTCAAGTACTCACTTGCTCGGCAACTAAAAGCCTATTGCAACTTGGCTACCAGAGCCGTTGCATCGACGTCAGCGACAAGCCTGTGATGCGTGGCCATGAAAGGTTTTGTGCCAGATGTAGATGTATTTATATATTATCATTAGGCAAGTCCAGTTTGCAAAGTATTCCGTACATCGTAGCTAACAATGGCTGCCGTTCAGCCTGTCCAGCTGTCTCTTGGTATCATATATATTTGCACAACATGCCCTGCTGCAACCCTCCTTTTCCCCTTGTGTCAGAGCGGTGCCAGCATCCGTCCCAGAAAAGAGTAGGTATTATATAACTCCAACGCCGCCATGAAATAATAAGAATGAAGTCTCGACATTGAAGACGCCACGGCAAAAGATGATTGACAAAAGAAACAGACTTCAAAGGAAGCCATAACAAGATGCTAGACCAAAATGCTGCCATAAACCATGCAAGTCGCTCATGCAAGTCGCTTGGGGATAACATAAATAATTCGGACTTTGGAGGCAGGCCGTCTGTCGCCTAGGCGGAGCTAGGCAAGAGACTCTTGCGCCCGTCGCGCCACCACAGAACAAGCAGGGCGAGAATGATGATGATGGCGTGCAGGCCCAGCAGGGTCCAGCCCGTCTCGGCCGTGTACTGGTTGCGCTGATTGTGCATCCATCGCTTGATGCGGGTTCGAAGCTGGCGGGCGTGGGCACAAGTTCTGGTGCCGTAAATAAGGCATCCCAGGCCGGGGCGCGACTCGCACTCGATGTGCTCTCTGCGTCGCTGCATGAGAAGGCTGTACGGGACCTCGGTTAGTTTTCTTGTTTCTGTCGGTTGTGTGACAAGAAAGAGAGAGAGATGCGAGAGAGTAATGTAAGGGCAAGAGAAAAACACGGGAAGAGAAACTCTTACCTGACACTCCCGCGGCAGAAGCGAAGGTCACTGCCTAGGTCGCAGCGGCGGTTGTTCGGGCACTCTAGGTGCAAGCGCCGGCGCTCGACAAGCCAGTCAACCTTGAGGCGGACGCCCGTGTCGACGAGGTGGTAAAAGTGGCGGTTCACAAACTTGAGCGACAGCGCGTCGGGGTAGATGAGCTGTTTGGAAATCATCAAATGGATCTCCGGAGGCAGAGTCATGAGAGTCGGGGCCGTGCCACTGTCTTCATCCGGCTCCGAACAGGGCCGCTTTTTGTTGCCCGCCGGCACGGGCGACACCCGGCGGAACAGCGATGTCATTGCTGTTGGTTGGGTGTGTGAGCCGGGGATAACGAGCAAGGTATGTACTTTAGCCGGGACGGGCAGTCAGGGCGCGCATGGGATTCGTGAAAGACCCAACGCGGACTGGACGGCCCAAGGACCAGTCACCTGCGAGAAAGAGGCACGACAATTTGAAATCGAGGAAAGGGTGCCACCAAACGAGACGAAACAGAGACAGCAGCGTTAGAGTCGGGGAGTGAAAAGGTTTAGTGGAAGGACCCAGAGCCGGAGCCAGAGCCAACACCAGAGCAGAGCCAACGCCAGAGCCAGGCCGGCAGAGACAAACTGGCTGATGAACTGGAAAGCCGTTGTGGATCTGTAGGCCCTTCTATTTGGCTGCCTTTCGGCTGAGGACAAGGACAACGACAGCCGATCTCGAAACGCGGCCCATGGAACCTGGCCCGATCAGGTACGGCCGGGCTGTTTGGGCCTGGTCTGCCCGGCTTCCGCGGTCTTGGTCTTTTGGGCTGGCTGGGCTGGGCTCAAGACTATGTGGTGGTGCGTGGCTTTAGAGGAGAGGACCGACTCACACGGTTTAGGCCTAGGATGTTATGGTTGGTGGCGCTCCAGCCAGGCAAGGCATCGAGAGAAATAGAAATAGTTCTGTGTGGGGCTCGGTCAAGGGCATAGTCACTCCATCACAGAATGCAGCAGGCGCCCTTTTGGAGTTCCTTCCGTTGATGGCTAAAGCAGTTCACACTTGCCCTCCCTGAAGTCTGGAGAGCTTCTCTGTAGGTAGACGGGACTGCAGTTGCGAATGCGAGGCCTGTGGCTGCTAATTCCAGCCTCCACTCCCCTGTGCCTGTCCTAGGCCCCTTGCCAATGGATGTCGTTCCGTACCAAGTCCGCGTTGATGCACGCCATCTCCAGGCAACCAAGCCAGAGACACGAACACGAGCTGTGTATTCCGTAGAAGGCAATCTGTTCACTGAGGGAAGTAGGCAGATGTCAAACCAAAAAGCCAAAAGAAGAATGCAGCCCGGGATACACACTAGGTTGTCAAATCCGAGCTATGGATTTCAGTGTTACGACTTAATTAGTGTAATAAGGCGGTCGTTGTTCGAGGCCAACTCGCCAGGTGTGACACAGTGGAGTGGATGGGCCCTGGGGATCGCCCCTGGGCTGCTCCGCCCGCAAGCCACTTGGCACCTAGGTACGGTACCCCGTACGGATCCGTGCCCTATACCTATTACTTGGCCTTTCACTCCGAGGACAAGGCCATTGGCAGACGCCTTCAAGGCAGACCAGCCAGGCACAAGCAAGGATCGATTCTGTAAACACGCAATGTAGGTAGGGTACCTTACCTTCGCTTGGGTTGTAAAAGTGGGTGGAAAGAATGAAACTCTGTAGGTAGCCTGCCTCGCCTACGGAGGCAGCCTTTCGACCCTTGCCAGGCAAAAGTTACCTTTGTGGTACTCGACTCGACAGGGCAGTCTGCACGTGAGCACGCTGCAGTGGAGGCAGGGAAGCTGCCTGGAAGACGCGAGGCTCCCATCTGCGACGGAGAAATGCACGCGTATTCGACAACAACCCCGCTGCCTCGCCGGCCCCCCTTCCTCTGGCCACCGCTTGCTCAGAATGGATCCCAATTTTATTTCGAAAGTCGAATAGCTGGCATGGCGACCCGTCTGCGGAATCGGAACAGCTACAGCTACAGCGACAGCGACAGCGACAGCCAAAGCGGCAGCGGCAGCGAGAGTGACTACAGCTACGGCTTGTCGCCGTCCGACGAGGACAAGCTCTGCGCCATCGTCGACTCCATCGCGCCGCCCCAAAGACCCTCCGCCACCCCAGAATCCTCCCAGCCCCGATCCCAACCCCGATCCCGACCTCCACCCGGGCCAAAGACGAGGACGAAGACGAAGACGAGAACGAGAACGAGAAATAGAACGAGATCGGGAACTGCCCCCCCTGCTTCTTCTGCAGCAGCTCCTCCTGTTGCTCCTCCGGCCATCGATGCCGCCCTCGCACCCTCCTACGAAGACGGCCTCGGCTTCGACATTGGAGAACTCGAACCCGGCGCCGACTTGAACCTTACCTCCCCCAACGCCGCCGCCTATAGCCATGGCCCGAGGCCTCGAGCTGCGGCAGATGTGTCGCGTCGCCACGGCCCTCTCGAGGAGCAGCCCAACGCGAGACTGGCGCCTCTCGTCGCTCCCGGCGACACCAACCTCGCTGCGTTCGTCGCCCAGACCAAGCCAAGGTCCATACCGACAGTGCTCTCAGGCGCGCACGCTAGCTACCCGGATCGTACGTGCAACTCCAAACCTTTCTCTCTCTCTCTCTCTCTCTCTCTCTCTCTCTCTCTCTCTCTCTCCCCTGCCCCTGGGGCCATGAGCTCGCAAGTTCCCAAAGTCCAAGTCTCGAGTCTAACTGGTGACTGATAAAGCGACTAGTAAGCAGCGCGCTGACGGACCAGTCGACATCTACCTCGGAGACACCGCCACCGCCACCGCCAGCGGTAGCCGACAACGCAGGCCCCGACTCACGGCCGCCGATGCTGCGGTTCCGCACGTTCCCGCACAAGCCCTTCTCCGTGTCTGACCTGACGGCGGGCGTGTGGTGCGAGCTGCAGTACTACTACACGCTGACGCGGCTGCCGGGCGGCCGCAAAACGCGCACGGCAGCCATGCGCGGCGGCACCAAGATCCACGAGAGGCTGGAGCGCCAGGTCTTCACCACGGTGCGCATCGACGTGGCCAAGAAAGAGGACGGCTTCGGGCTGCGGCTCTGGAACATTGTCGAGGGCCTGCGCTCGCTGCGCGACACGGGCCTGACGCGCGAGCTCGAGGTCTGGGGCCTCGTCGAGGGCAACGTTGTGAACGGCGTCATCGACGTGCTGAGCTACGAGAACCCCGACCCCGAGCTCGAGGAGGACGTGCTCAGCAGCCGCCGCCGCAGCCAGGGCTCCTCGTCATCACAAGAACAAGGCGGGACTGCCCCTTCTAGTAGTAGCAGCAACAAGCGCGAGGTGTTCGTCAGCGACGTCAAGACGCGCGGGTCGACGGCGCCGCCGTCGCAGGCGCAGGTGCGCGCGGCCACGATCCAGCTGTTCCTATACCACCGCTTCCTCGCCGACATGGCCTCGGACAAGCTCGACTACATGCGCATCTTTGCGCGCTACGGCCTCGACCCGGACGAGCCCTTTTCCGACGCCTTCATGGCCAACATCGACGCCCTGCACGACGAGGTCTTCCCGTCCGACGAGGACAAGTCGGCCTCGGACAGTGCTCCGGCCGTGTCCGAGATTTCTGCGCCAGCAGCAGCGGCCGCGGCGACAACAAGAGGCCACCCGTCCGTGGAAATCAACATGAGCACCCTCGGCGGCGCGAGCACGTCGTCGTCGTTCACGCGGTACGGTAGCCTGCGGGCGCTGCTGACGCTGCTTAAGTTCGAGCTGCATTTCACGTTTCCGCAGGGGGCCAGTACGCTAGGGCGAGTAGTGGCGGTCGAGTACCGGTACCGCGCATGGGGAGAGCGCCAGCAACAGAAACAACAACAACAACAAGACGGGTCCGTCATCTGCGTCAACACGTTCTACGTCGAGCCCGACATCCTCGACCAGTACCTGCGCGACACGATGCAGTGGTGGCGCGGTGAGCGCGAGCCGCGCGGCGTATCGCTCGAGGAGGCCTTCAAGTGCCGCTCGTGCGAGTTCGTCGGCGAGTGCGACTGGCGCATGAATCTCGACAACGAGGCCCTGCGCAAGGCACGCGCCGCACGCGCGGCTGCTGTGTCTGGCTCGCGCGCCTTTTCGCAGAAGAAGCTGGCTACGACGGACTGGTAGGCATGTGTCGTGCCATGCAAAATTGTCTAGGTATATATATCACGAGGAGCGGTGCAAACTATGGTGGTCTCGCGAGGAGATGCTGCGTCTGTGTTTTCTTATTTAGGCTGTTTCATTTACTATCTCGTTTAGAACACGCCTGTCATGATCCACCTGTTTCGATATTTACTCGATATTTGATACCATAGGCGGAAGGGCGAATGAATACTGGACTTGTCGTTATTGTTTTTCTGGTGTCGCTATATTTACAGAACAATTAGAATGGCCCCTGAGGATCTATTGTTGATGCTATCACGCCCATTTATTGAATACTACGGAGTAGCAAGGTACCTATTCTGTCCACTGCTGTTGTAAGGGCACTTTTGTTTTAAGGAGTAACATCCCCTATTCAGGCCGGCAACACACTGATGAGTCTTGGAGCTGGCTGCTCTGCATACAAACATTAGACATATAGCCCCTAGCATCGCCAATGCACTGCTTTCCTCAGATACTCGACGGTTAGCTTACAACCTTGCTTACCCCCCCAGGCGGTTACATACTTGTGGGGAAAATTCCGGTTTCCTAGAGTGTAAACAAGCCCCTTATATCACCGGTCCTCTCTCCCAAACCCCTTTTACGCCTCAGAAAACCACGGCAATGTTATCATTATAATAGTAGTAAAGAACGCGAGATATAACTAAATCGTTCCGCCGGGTATTGGCTTTTTTTTCGTGACCAACTTTGATTATTTATCGCATAACTAATCGTTAATAACTACCTATTTAATATACTTACGAAGTTCTTGGTGCACCTCCTTACCTTTGGAAGATTTTATGATATGTAGCCGCCTAGAGAGCTACAATAGTCTGCCGTCTGCCGTTACATAGTACTAAACCAAGGTAGCAAAAATCCCAAAAGCAAGCATGACAGGGCTAATAACGTCTCCGGCTCTAGCTTCCGCCGCGATCCCCTAGCGCAACAGAGACGGACAAGTCTTGTAACTGCCACTAGTCGGCACCCACTGGTTTTTGACGCACAGCGCTGTTACAGTTCTAAAAAAAACCACTGCTAGCTTTAACTAGGGAGCCGTTGGCGAACGGACTCCTGAACATAAAGATGGCGTCTCATAACTGCAAGTCTATTTGCGCACAGTTAGTAGGTATCGAGCAAGTTAGAAACACATAAGATAAGGAAGACGCCGTCAACTCGTAATATTTCCATCCGTTCACCCTAACCCGCTCCAACAGCTGGCTATTTTCCTTTCACAAACGACAAAGACGAATAGGCAGCAAATGCCGGCTGCCCTAAAACTGAGCCCCTCCGCTTGCTTAGTAGCTCCGCCCAAACATGCACCACTCCTCCGCTAGCCGGGTGCACTCCGGGTTCAGGCACTTTGTCTCGCCCTTGACCAGGCCCTCGGGCTGGTCAAACGGAATGCAGAGACTCTTCATTCCCATGGAAGGAGCCTTCTGCCCCTCAGGGGTATCGGGCTCCTCGTGCCCCTCGGTGAGCTTCTTGATCCTTTTCTCGCACTCAGGGAACAGGCAGTGGGGGATGATGACAACGTTCTTGGCGTCCAGGGCCGGAACAACCTCGTCCCACTTGGTAATCTTGACTCGGTGTTCCCTGAACGAGGCCTCAGCCTTGTTGTACATGTCCTGCTGGATGATCTCCAGGAGCTCGGGGATCTTGGTAGTCAGCTCCGAGATGGGGATGGTGCCCTTCTCACCCGTGTCTCTGCGGGCATAGCTGATGACGTCCTTTGCGGCGTCCTTGGGACCAAACTCGATCCGGAGGGGGACGCCCTTGAGCTCCCAGTCGTTGAACTTCCAGGCCGGGGTATAGCCATCCCGAAGGTCAACATCGGCGCGGATGCCGGCCTTCTTTATGACCTGGTACAGCTCCTCAAACTGCACAAGGTGCTTTTCCTTGTCCTCGGCCGTCATCTTGGCGGTAAGGCCGACGGGGATAAGGATCGTCTGGATCTTGGCAATGCGCGGGGGAAGGACGAGACCCTTGTCGTCTCCGTGGATCATGACCATGACACCAATGACACGGGTAGAGAGACCCCACGAGTTCTGCCACACGTGAATGTGCTTGCCCTTTTCCGCGGGGTCCTCCACCGTGATGTCGAACATCTTGGAGAAGTTCTGTCCGAGGCAGTGGGACGTGGCACCCTGGATGCCACGGCCGTTGGAGGGAATATACCCTTCTACCGTGGTTGTGTAGTAACCACCGGCGAACTTCTCCTCCTCAGTCTTCTTCCCCCGGACGACGGGAACGGCAAGCAGCTGCTCGTACACGCCCGCGTAAAACTCGAGAATCTGGAGTACCTCGACGCCGGCATCCTTCTCTGTCAGGTGTGCCGTGTGCCCTTCTTGCCAGAGGAATTCTCTCGCTCGGAGGAAAGGAGTGGTTTGCTTGGCCTCCCAACGCACGACCGAGTTCCACTGGTTCAGTCGGAGGGGGAGGTCTCTGTGGCTCCGAATCCACTTGGAGTAGTCTACGAAGGGTCAATTGCACGAACCACGTAGCACGCGACGCCAGGTGCAGGCTCGAGGGTCAACTTACAGGGGTACATGACAGCTTCAGAGGTCGGGCGCACTGCCACGGGGACCTCGAGATCCTTGTCGCCTCTGTCGCGTGTTAGTCCACGGCCACTCTAACCGAAACAATTGGGGGGGCAACTGACGCTTTTGTGACCCAGGCTAGCTCGGGGGCGAAGCCTTCGACGTGGGACTTTTCCTTCTCCAGCGACTTTTGCGACAAGAACATAGGGAAGTTGGTCTCCTCGACGCCCAAGCCCTCAATGCGCTCCTGGAACCACTTCTTGATGACGTTCCAGATGTGCATGGTGTTGGGGCGCATGATGAAGAAGCCCGAGATTTCCGTGTAGTACTCGATCAGCTCGGCCTTGAGAACGACCTCCTGGTACCACTGCGAGAAGTTCTCCGACTTGGACACGGTGATGCCGATGATGTCGTCCGTCTTCTTGCCGCCGATCACAGGGAGCGCAGCCTGCTTGGCCGCCTTCTCGGCCTTTGCAGCCGCCATCTTGGCCTGCTTCTCTGCCTTCTTCAGCGCGCTCTTGGACGTTTCCTTTGCTTCCTCCATGTTTGCTGTGGTTTCGGGGGGTACTCGGGGAGACAGCGAGGATTTCGAGGTAGTGGATTCTCGAATTGACAGATTTATGCCTAGTAGATTGTCCCGATCGAGTCAGCTTTGAGGGGGGGCCGTCTGAGTCAAAGTCGGATCGAGGGAGCACGGCTGCTTTTTTTGTGCCCCGCACCTGCGACAGGTGTTGAAGTGTCAAAACGAGGGGCATTGTGGGTCCGCAGACGTTGCTTCAGCCCAGACCCCGTCAGGCATTGTTGCAACTAGCCAATCAGTGCGAGGAAATATTATGTTTTGTGGGCCGAGAACCCGGGACGGGATTATCTCGCCTCCGGCAAAAAGTTCCTGACGGGCAAGCAGCTGCCTGTGGAGGACGGCCAGCAGGGTGAAGCTCGAAATTGCCTAGAACCGCATCAACAATCCCAAACCCGATTTTCGATCGCACCGCCCTGCTCTCCCCACCACCTCTCTTCCCGACGCTGCGATTACCGATAACGCCTCATCATGACCTCCTTATTTGACCAGCCGCGCAACGGGCAGCTATTTCTTGGTGGACAAAAGATCTCTGGAGCCGATATTCGAGACCAAAATGGCAAGTGAAGTGCGCGACTGGGGAGCCTGGCGACGGGGAGCCTTGGAAGTCTGCACATGTTGCGACTTCAAACTCGCACCAGCACTGCTAACTGTCCTCCAGTTCTAGCTACACAGGCCATCGCAAATGTCGTCAAGAGCTCGTTCGGCCCCAGCGGGCTGGACAAGATGATGGTGGATGATATCGGAGTGAGCCTAACCCCTCCACTAGAGTCTCTGAATGTACACATGTACACACATGCCCGGTGCATACGGCGCCTAACACGAACAGGACGTGACAGTGACAAACGATGGCGCCACCATTCTCAGCTTACTCGACGTCGAGCACCCGGCCGGCAAGATCTTGGTCGACCTGGCGCACCAGCAGGACAAGGAAGTGGGCGACGGCACGACGTCGGTGGTGCTCATCGCGGCCGAGCTGCTCCGGAGAGGAAACGAGCTCATGAAGAACCGGATACACCCCACCACCATCATCACGGGATACCGCCTGGCGCTCCGCGAGGCGGTCAAGTACATGAACGAGCACATCAGCATCAAGGTCGAGAACCTGGGGCGCGAGTCGCTGCTGAACATCGCCAAGACTTCCATGTCGAGCAAGGTCATCGGCGGAGACTCAGGGTTCTTCTCCAACATGGTGGTCGACGCCATGCAGGCCGTCAAGTCGACAAACAACAGGAACGAGGTCAAGTACCCGGTGAAGGCCGTCAACATCCTCAAGGCGCACGGCAAGGGTGCGCTGGAGTCTATACTTGTCAAGGGCTACGCGCTGAACTGCACGGTTGCTTCGCAGGCCATGACAACGCGGGTAACAGATGCTAAAATTGCCGTCTTGGACATGAACTTCCAAAAGGAGCGCATGAAGCTCGGCGTCCAGATCACCATCGACGACCCTCAGCAGCTGGAGCAGATCCGGGCGCGAGAGGCCGGCATGGTCCTAGAGCGGGTAGAGCTCATCCTGAAGGCGGGTGCAAACGTTATCCTCACAACAAAGGGCATCGACGACATGGTCATGAAGCTGTTCATCGAGAAGGGCGCCATGGCCGTGCGCCGATGCAAGAAGGAAGACCTGCGCCGGATCGCGAGAGCGACGGGCGCGACCATGCTCAGCACGCTCTCGGATCTAAACGGCGACGAGAAGTACGAGGCGTCGTATCTCGGACACGCCGAGGAGGTGTCGCAGGAGCGCATTTCGGACGACGAGTGCATATTGATCAAGGGCACCAAGGTGCACTCGTCGGCCTCCATCATCCTCCGCGGATCCAACGACTTCCAGCTCGACGAGATGGAGCGGTCGGTGCACGACAGCCTGTGCGCCGTCAAGCGGACGCTCGAGAGCGGCAGCATCGTGCCGGGCGGCGGCGCCGTCGAGACGGCCCTACACATTTACCTCGAGGAGTTCGCCGGCACGGTCGGGTCGAGGGAACAGCTCGCGATCGCCGAGTTTGCGCAGTCGCTGCTGGTTATCCCCAAGACGCTCGCAGTCAACGCAGCCAAGGATGCGTCGGAGCTGGTGGCGCAGCTGCGGTCTCGGCACGCGCTTTCGCAGCGCATCCAGGAGGGCGAGGCCAACGAGGACGAGAAGATCGTTGCGCGTAAGAAGGCGTACAAGAACTATGGGCTGGACTTGACCAAGGGCAAGGTGGTGGACGAGATCAAGGCGGGCGTGGTGGAGCCGAGCATGAGCAAGATTCGGCAACTGAAGAGCGCTGTGGAGGCGTGCATCAGCATCATGCGCATCGATACCCTGATTAAGTTGGATCCGGAGCAGAGACAGGAGGAGGACGACGGACACGACCACTAGACGGGGAGCGACAACGCTGTGGGGCTATAGAGTGAAACGAAAACAAGCGACGCAAGATAAGAGGCAGTTCCGGCCAGTGGATGGCTAATGAATGTATATGTAACCGGTCCGAGGCCTATATTTTGCATTCCCATGCGTTGAAAGCCACGTGCGGATAGCACGCTGCGGGCGTATAGTAACGCGGTTGAAGCCATCGCCGAGCTAATACTCTGTACCTGCGAATTAATTCAAGGCTTGTTTCAGTCACTTTATTGCTTCCTCACAGAACAAAGACAGCCCGTTTTCTGGGCGGCCTTGGGGGGGGAGGCCCATGATCGCCGATCAAGTGCGAGGACGGACGGCACCGCTGGATATCGTCGGCTTAAACGGGCAGCTCTTGCGGTCCGAGAGCCAGTCACCGCCCTAGACAATCCTTGTATTCCCGCCGGGTGCTCCGTATCCGGTCGGACGGAAGGCATGCAGTAAAAGATAGGTAATGAACGAATGCCATAAATGATTGATTGACACACCGTCACGCTGCGGAGGCCACGCGAGAAGTGCCTCATGACGTAAATCTGGGCTTCCTAGCTGCGTGCGTGCGTGCGGCTGCGGCTGCGGCTGCGGCATCTGACCTCGTGGCAGCCACCAATGGTTGTCGAGTTAGGAGCCCCCTTTTACGAAAGTCATCAACTGTCATATTCTCCATGTTTCTTGGTCTTGTTTCTTTTTATTCTGTCATGTCACGGAAACTCGGGGATGTGAATCCCATATCCGACATCCGGCCAACAGACAGACAGACAGACAGACGGCCCGCTCTCCCCGCTCACTACCTACCCACCTACCCTTTTTCTTCGACGAGGTGAGGTATGGTAGGCATAGTGCGGACGGGACTCCACTCCCTTGCTACACTGCACTGGCTTCCTTGCCTATGGTGCACACATGCCAGGAATCCGGGCTGTCGCATCCATTTCGATGGGTCTGAGGGGGTCGACGGACGGGTCCTGTGCGGCGTAGGTAGCCAGGCTGGTGGAGCGCCCGCCGGGTCGGTGGCCGGGTGGGCGGTGGTGTTGTGTGTTGTTTGTGCGCTTGTTGGCGCATGTTCGTTTCACCATCCACGAGCACGTAACGTCACGCCTTGCCTTGGAACCGAGCAAACGATGACAATAGGGCGTAGGTAGACCGACCGCTTTGGTCGGTTATTTCCTGGCGGTATAAATGGTCCGTAGCAATCCCGCTTCAACTGGAAGCCGCGTGACTTGTTCGTGTGTGTGTGTGTGTGTGTGCGTGTCCATGTTTTTCTTAGTGCAGCCATCTTTCTTATCGGGTTCTTCTTTTTAAAGTTAAAAGTTGCGGGTGCTTCCACCGACCGACTCGTGCTGACTCTCTTTGTCTCCCCCCTACTGGCGACATTTTTGACGGCTCACAAAGTTCTGACATGCCGGTAAAAGGTATCCGCGGATCCAAGCTGCCTGCGACTTAAGACGAAGAGGATATTCGCTACAGACCTGGTGTGTGCTTAGGAGCCGAATTGCAGACTTGGCTCCGAGAATTAACTTATAACATCAACAAAGCGCCCCTTCGGCCATTTTCGGCAGGCTTCGGCTCTTCTGTCTGCCCCCTTTTTTTTCTTCTTGCGACAGTAACACAGCCGACGTAACACAAACACAGCAGTCGAGAACAAGAAAGGGGCTCATCAACAACGAGAAGAAAAAAAGAAAAAAAGAAACTAAAATAAAATGGGCTCGTCATCAGAAACAGCCTCGAACCTGGCACTCCCGGACGCGTCGTCGCCGGAGCTCGTGCTGGCACACCCGACGGCGGCCGAGCGGCGGCACAACTGGACGCTGTCGCACGCCATGTGGGGGGGCCTGCTGACGCGGGAGCAGTACCTGGAGCGCGAGGCGCACCTGTCGTCGGCGCCGGCGCTGTCGCGGGACGGCGGGCTGACGACGTGGATCCTGACGCTGGCCGGCGCGCCGCCCGACGCTCGCCCCATCTTGTCGTCGTGCGAGACGCTGCGCAAGCGCGCCCTTGTCGCCGACGGGACTGCTTCTCGAGGAGGGGGCCAGGTTGTTGTGGTCGAGGACGGCGTCGCCCACGGCCTCGGCTCCGTCTTCACCGACTCGCGCTTCCGCGGCCGCGGCTACGCCGGCCGCATGATGCAGGAGGTGGGCAAGGCGCTGCGGTCGTGGCAGGTCGACGGCAAGGACGACGACGACGGCAAGGTCGCGGCGCGGGACGACGGCCGCCACGTCCTCTTCTCGGTGTTGTACAGCGACATTGGCAAGTCGTTCTATGCGCGCCGCGGCTGGGCGCCGTTTGAGAGCAGCCATGCGACGTTTCCGCCCTCTGCTGCTGCGGCTGCAGAGACCAACAGCACGGTATTGCGGCCCATCACGGATGCTGACGAGATCATGGAGCTGTGTATCATCGACGAGCGGTTGCTGCGAGCGAAGTTGGCGCGCCGCGCAGGGGCCGGCGGCAGGAAGTGCGTGGCGCTGGCGCCCGATGCCGAGACGATGATGTGGCACTTGGCGCGCGAGAAGTTCATCATGGGCCGCGTGTTCAGCGGGCAGACGCTGCCGACGGTGCGCGGGGCCGTGTACGGCAGCCCGGGGCGGCGCATCTGGGCGCTGTGGACGCGGTGGTACTACAAGGAGGGCAACCTGCTCAACGTCCTGCGGCTGGTCGTCGAGGACGAGCGCGACGAGGCCGACAGCAGCAGCAGCAGCAGCAGCAGCAGCTCGTACCTGGCCGAGGGCGTCGGGGCCATTTTGAGGCTGGCCCAGGCTGAGGCGGCCGCGTGGCGCTGCGAGGACGTGCAGCTGTGGAATCCCGACGCGAAGCTTAGGGGCTTGATCGAGCGCTCGGGAGTCGAGCACAAGTTTATCGACCGCGACAGCGCAAGCATTGCTAGCCTCATGTGGTACGGTGACGGGGACACTCGGGATATTGACTGGGTTGCCAATGAGAAGTTTGGCTGGTGCTGAAGAGTTTCTGTCGGGGCCGGAGGTTGGGTCAGGAGGTGTATCATTCAGGGGTAGCCCAGAAGAATGGCACTGGGTCAGTAGCTATGTGTTAATAGTCAATTAGAATGTTTCTACGAGTCTTTTGTGCTCGATATCGACTTGCAAGCGTTGATCTGTAGTGCTGCCTGAATCGATTGATCTCCTCCCTCGAGCCTAGGAGTTACCCCTGAGCTAGTCTAAGAACCTTAAACAAAGACAGCTTCGGCTGATGAGTAACATACTACTTCACTAATTATTAACATCAGGACGTTGTGAATCTTGTCCGACCTTCGAAATACCCTTTGTCCCGACATGTACATCTGTCGCCAGATGATCTCGGAGGACCTGTGATAATGCTCAGGAGAGATCACTTCAGGTAAGTCACAATATCCAGTGAACAAGTCTTTCACAGAGGATCACAAAGATATCTATCAACATCGTTTCATTTCGTCTGCTCAAGGAGGGACTTCCACAGTTAGATCTATCACAAAACTGTCAGCAGAGTATTTACTCGTCAGGGCTCCCAAACCGCCTCCTAATTACATCAAACAGCCACCCCTCCACTCTCCAGCCAACCCGGATTTTTCGCAGTCGCAAAAACACTTCTGGCTGCAGAATTTCTGGCAACCATGCCCGCGACGTTATGTAGTCCGTGACTGCCTATGGCAATGTGCTGGGGCATAATACTGCTGAATAAAAATAAAAGAATACAAAATGAAAAGAAAAGAATGAACAAAGACAATAATGAAAGAAATAACAAAAAGAGAAAGCAAAAAGAAAACAAACCCGAAAACAAAAGTAAACTTAAAATTAAACACCAAGCCCGCCATCGAATCTCTTTGCATTGTAGGTTGCCGCCGCCGCCGCCGCCGCCGCCGCAGTTGTCTTCCACGCCGTCCCACAGGCACTCAAGAAGTACCCCCCCTGTGTGCGGCTGGCACACAAGAGGTCGCCCCCCTGTGCGGCTGGCACACAAGAGGCGGCCCCTGTGTGTGTGACCTGCATACAAGAGACAACCGCTTGTTGTGTGGCTGGTACACAACAGGGCGGCCACTCTTCCAGGTGGTTTCCCCTAGCCTGAGAAACGGCCATTACATTCAAGGAAGGCAACAGGCGAGCAGAGTTACCCAACCCCGACTTGGGGGGTAAGTCGCGGCTGAAAGAAGGTGCTAGAATAGAGAAGCCTTGTTGACCAGTGGAGTGGCCGAAGGTAACGAGTTTGAACCTCGTGTAAAGCTTGGCCAGGTCGGTGGCGAGGAGGCCTCTAGCAGCTTCGTCTGCTGTGGGGGTTGCGACCATATAGCTGCTGTTGTCCAGAGTGCCAGGCAAAATGTATCTGTTTCGTCTGCTGACGCAGCAACAGCCCGTCGCATCGTCGACGGCCTCGGCCGGAACACCATGGTCGGCCCTGTCTATGATGTTGGCAACCATGTTGGCGTTCATGCCAACCAGTTCTGTGTTGGCGGTAGGTTTCCTTCTCCTTCCCTCGGACCGTGTCCGAGGCGCACATATACAGGAAAAGCGTGATGGATTGCTTGCAGGATCTGAGCCATCCGACCGCAGGCGAGAAACCCATGGCTTTCTCAAGCTGATCTAGTCCACGTTAGAATTTCTCGCCAACGCTGAGGCTAGCCCATTAAATCGGCCATTGGATCTGGGGCAACACACTCGACGGTGGGGCCTTGGCAAACAGTTGCCCGTCTCGTCGATATGTTTTCAACCCGCCCGCACAAGTGTATGTCGTTGGACCCAAGCTATCCGGGCCCGTGGACTAGTTTGATTTCTGCTTCGAGAGGCCACATGCTAAACTAGACAGAAAGTATTATTGTGTGGAAACTTGGCGGGCTGTTGCGTATCGAATGTGCTGCTCTGCGCTAGGAGATCTAGTTAGTAAATGGTTTCTCGCAAAGTTGGGTAGTTGGGGTCGGGTTTCTCTTACCTGTGTGTGGAAATGGCGTAGAAGGTTGGTCATTCATCCTCTAGGAAACATCAAGGCGAGGCAGGGAGGTTTCGAGGGAAAACGAGTAAAGTCGGGCTTGGTGAGGGATCCCGGTGTGTCAAGTTTGTGGTGGGACTCAGATTACCAGAGTTTCTCGGGATTCGACTCCCAGATCGATGCCGCAGAGTCCAGACGTTCTCCAATTGTCTGGTGCAGGAGAAGGCTCCTTGACATGGCTCGTTGACAGTCATGTTGGTATCTTCGGGCTGCTTAGATTCCACCAGACAGAGGGGCAGAGTTCTTCGTGGGGCTGGAAACTGCCGTTTGGTCGGAGACGGATCCGAAAGGAGAAAAATAAAAAAATGACAGGGGGCCGGAGAAGAGACTGGACCAAGTTGCTTTGGCGTTGAAGAGCTTTGGTGTTCGCCGACTCGTGTTGCCCAGGTTTCGAAAGTCCAGAAAAAGGCGAGTGGGAGAGTAGGAAAAGAGGACAGACACCCGACGGGACCGAAATCTTTTCTCCGACGGCAACAGCGGCTTACAAAATGGCGCGATGCACTTTCCCCCGCTAACTTCCCGAGACGAGGGAATGGAGAATGAAGAAGGAGTGGTAGAAATAGAAGGCAAGAACGGACCGAAAAGGGCCGTTTATCACTGGCAAGTGAAGCTGAGGAGAGGTGGCAAAGTTCGTGGCAGGCTTCATTTGGTGTGCCTAGGTACCTAGGGCTTCTGCCATTTCTGCCATACCAATGAAGTACAGTCCCCTTTATCAAACGTGCTAAGTGTGCCTTCCGTTTTTGTACCGCCCCAGTACTGCCTGCCTTCTAGACACCCCCGCCCCCCATGCTAGGTACTTTCAGACCACCTCCGGGCCTGGGGTGGATAGACTTGGTCTAGACCGCGATCGAATTTCATCCGAACTCCAAATCGTCCTTGAGTCGCAAGGATCGCTCTTGCAACTCCAGGAATAATGGCAACCACGGCGAGGGGCAGGATCTTCCCCTGTGGCTCCAGTCCTCGAAGTACCGAAACACCCGTTCTGTGGGATCAGTCAGTTCCATAGCCAGGAGCATGACACGCCGTCGAGCCTACCGTAGATGCCGATCCAGTTCCACATTTGAAAAACAACCGCAACGTAAAGTGGCAGACGCCATTCAGGGCTGACCTCATCGAGCATGCTCCTGCCCGCTCGGCCTCGGCTGAATGCTAGGAAGAAACCCAATGTTCCCCAAGAGCACTTGGCCGTTCCTTCGCCCCTCCACGAAGATCCCGAGTTAAAATTGGCAGCTGGCCTAGAACCGGCTCGTCGATGGTGTGATAGACCCAGGGGCTTGTCTGTCTCTTAGCTCGGTAGTTGTTGCCGAGTGAGCCTGTGTTCTGCCATCAATCAAGCTAACACCGACTTGTCTGTCTTCTCTATTTTGGAACCCGACGCCAAAAGTCGGCTAGCTGGCGCGGTGTGCCGACCCTTCCGCTTCCGCTTCACGATTTTCTTTTCCACGTTCGGGAACCCCTGCCCTCCTGGGTTCTTATCTGTTCTCCTCCGACCTGGGCCTTATTCCTCAGTTGCTGTGCAACTAGGCCGACACACAAGAGAACAACCTGGCGGAGTGTTGCGAGGGAATAAGTTTGATTTCGTCGGTTGCTATACTCCTGTGCTACGGGCTATCTATACGACCACACACTGCCAGATCACTTAGGAAAATACAAATCTAGGACGCCCGCCTTTGAAGCACGAGGCCTCATTTCCCATGATATCCCTCAGGAAACGTAATCATTATCCTATGCCTTTTATACTCACCCAAAAACACCCCCTTAAAACCCGCCGGTCCCTTGAACTCTCTTGATAGCCCCGACGACGCCCCTAGCCCAGCTGAACCTGCCGGGATCGACGCCAATAACACCCTCAGCCTCATTACCGTCGCCGTCGAGCCACAGGCCCTGCTCCTGGTCGAGGGCGCCGTAGATGTGCGTGTTCTGGTTGCGGCGCAGGGCGTCGGTCCAGGCGCGGCAAACGGCGGCGCTGTCGAGCATGACGTTGATCTCCTGCGAGTGGAACCACGACTGCGTGTCCTGGTTGCCGTTGCCCTGGATGCCGACGCGCTCGTCGACGATCATGAGCTTGATGTGGCAGCTGCGCTTCTTGTGCTCTTGTACTAGCGGCCGCGTCATGTCCTTGGCCACGTACCAGAAGTAGTGCAGCCGCTGCCGCGCCGCCGCGGACAGCGACTCGTACAGCTTGTGCGCCACCATCTCGTTGTGGCCGCCCTGCTTGGGCAGGAGCTCGCCCTGGACGTGGCCGTGGTCAGCTTTTGCTGTCCTTGCTCGACAGAAAATATATAGCAGGTATTGAGAGATCGAGGGAAGAAAGAAGGGTGTCAACTTACGGCGTCGTTGTAGCCGAGGCAGATGTAGCAGTACACGTCGACGCCTCGCTCGCAAGCCTCGCGGATGGCCGGGAGGACGGGCTCGGCGTTGAGCGTCGGCGACTGGATGAAGACGGACTTCTTGGCGTGGCGCAGCCCCGAGATCCAGGCGGCGTTCTGGGGGTTGGACACGGACTTGTGGGTCGGCGGGCCGTAGGGCGCGCGGTTGACGAGGGCCATGGGGAACGGCTCGTGGGCGGGATGGGCAATGTAGGGCGTCATCTCCTCGCCGGGTGGGCTCTTGGGGGCGTCGCCCTCGAACCCCTTGTTCACCGTGTGGTTGAGCAGCCGCGTCACTGCCTGCATGCGCGTCTCGTGCGGCTTGGGTGACACGGCCGTCTGCACGCGCGCTACCTCGCCGGCAATATCGACGTCGTAGTGCGGGTCCTCAGAGTCGTGCTCTGGGAGGGGGCTGTCTGGCGGAGTAGGTTCCTGCATCTGGTTTTGGGGGATGGACTGTTCGCCTTTGGCCAAGTACGTTTCGGCCTGCTTGTCGGCGGCTCCATTGGGGGCCTGGCTGCGGAGGCTACTCTTCTGCTCGTCGCCACCAGTAGCCTCCGCACCAGTCGGTTGGGGCTGAGTCGGATGGGGGTGGGTGCCCCCTTCTGTTGTCGATGGTCCGGTCAACGTGTCAGCCCGCGTCGTGTCGCTGCTCGCCGCAGGCACCGACGGATCAACAACCCCGGGCTCCCGTACTCTGCCATTCTCATGCCGCGACCCCCCCTTGACGGCAGAACCATTCGACTCCTCGCTGGGCCAAGATCCTAGACCTCCTTGGGCAGCGGGCGAGTTGGCGCTCGGCAAGGGGGGGTCCAGCTTCTTGTGCCACGAGATGAGGGCCATGTCGTACAGCGAGTCTACGATAGGACCCTCCAGGTGGACCAGCATCTCGAGATTGTCGTTGTCCTGGATGTTGTTGCTTTGCAGGAGGGCAATCTTGCGGTCGACCACCATGTACTTGGAGTGAAATGTGCCTAGGAGTGGCGTGTGGTAGTTCATGACCTCCATATCGATGTTTTGGATTTCGCAGGGCTGGGGCAGTTTGACATTCTTGCCGGTGAAGGCCTTCTCGGAGACGATGTAGTGTGGCTCGATCAGCTGCTTCGGGCTGCCCCGGTCATAGAGAACCTTTACGACGACCCTTGACCCGCGCTCGCCAGCTCGTCTGTCCAGCTCACGGATAGCGTCTGTGAGGAACTTGGAGGCGACGCTGTCCTGCCAGTAGTTAGTGGCGAGGAAGACCTCTCGCTCGGCCCTAACAATGACATTGGACATGTGGCGGACAATGTCAGGCACACTTTGGCAGCATAAATGACAACCTGTCAGCACAGGACTTGAACAACTAGCACGAAGCTAACACGAAGCTAATAAGTAAATGTTCAGACCAAACTTACACAGAGATGATGGTCAGGGGCATGACCCCACAGCTGCCCATGAGCGGCAGGCTCACCATGGCGGGGACAGGGCTGTCGTTGAGCGTGCACAGGGCGTCGTGGTATATCTGCAGGAAGAGCTCGCTGGGCTGCGTCGGCCCCCACTTGCCGCAGCTTGCAGCCGTCTGCAGGGCGTCCGCCTCAACCGGGCCCGGTTCGGGGGTTGCGGCGTCTTCGTCCTCGGCATCATCACGGGCCGCGGCTTTGAGGGCATGCTGGCCGTAAAGTCTTTCCCAGGCGTCGGCAGGCGCAAGGCCGGGTTCCCTGGCCAGGAGCGACGAGACCGTCTCGGTTGAGGTGCACAGCTTCACGACACGGTCGCTGATGCGGCCCAGGGTGTTTTGGTGTTCTGCCATGGCGGCGCCGTTGTTGGAACGGCAAGATAGGTAAACAAGCCCCTGACTGTGGTCCGTGGGACTGATTCCTCGACAGCGGCGTCGGGGATGATGAGGGGTTGGTACAATACACAAAGATAATACACAAAGATAATACACGAGTAAATAATATGAGTCTCGAGAACGGGCAGGTTGAGCACGGCAGTTAAGGTCTGAGTGGAGCCTGAGAAGGTGAATAGGCTTGGAGTGAAACCTAAGTGTTGTAAGCGTTTTGGTCTAGTCCAGATTCCAGAAGGGAGGACGACGTCCTGGGTCCGGTATATAAGGCCCAGAGATGCAAAGGCGGACAGCTGGCATGATGAGAATCAGCCCGGTGACACTTTGAGAGACTAGGGCAGGTGGCGTGGTGTAGAAAGGAGGCTTGGAGGAATAGTTGAGCTCAATAATAGGTGGATGATGGATGGTGACGAACCCGAAACCAAGTTTTGCCAAGCTTTTGCCAAGACGACGTAGCGCAAGGGCAGTTCTGGTCCCTGGGAAAAGCAGGGGGTGCTTGTTTCCGGGGAAGGCCTGGGGTGACGTGTCGATCCCTGTGGAATTGCCCTTCAGCAACAGCCGGCAGACCACGACAGAGACGGGAATAAAGGCAAAAAAAGAGGTCAAGGGTGTGAAGGATAGTCTGGTAATGTAAGGACATGAATTGATTGGCTTTTGCCTATCTTATGCCGGAAACGCGGGCGAATTCTCCGAGGTGAACTTGCCTGCCCTGCTGCTAACTTTTCCCCAGAGCTTCCCCTCCCCAACTCTCCTTGCCAGGGCTAAGATCATGGATGACGTCAGGCGTAGATGGCAGTGGCTAGCCCGCCAACTACTCGATACCTAAGCTTGCTGAGGTAGCGCTAGGCAAATGTGCGCGGCGAGCCGAACAATGAGGGAGAATTAATTGAACTAGTTACTTATCAACACCTTCTAGAGAGGGTCGACATGTCGTGTTTAATACACTATATGTTCAACTACATCTTTTATGTCTCCCTATCAAGTCGTGCAATCGGTTCCAGGGGGTCCAAATCACTTGACAATGCATCAGGTACCTATGGTAGATAGCATAGAGAATGTAATTCGTTAAGAAAACTGGTAGCGCTTGCGTAACATAGCATACATAGTATCCAGCCGGTGCTCGCTCTCAAATGTCGCCGTACTCTCACATGTCGCCGTATTGCGTGTATCCGCACTAAATAATCCCGCTGCTCCTGTATCGTGTGTGCCCAGAGCCTGCCATAACAAAACGAAACAACCTCGCTTCGAAAGCAGCCACATTAAATTACAGATCGCTCTTGTACGTCTCGGGCTCGTCGTCGGCCTTCTCCAGCTTGGCAAAGTCGGTAAAGGCCAGCTCGTACCCGAAGCCCAGGGTCAGGCGGGCGTGCTGGAGCATGTGGTCAAACGACAGGTACTTGATGAGGTCCTCGGTGCTGTGGATGTGGTCGTCCGAGTACTCGAAGGCCGACTCGATGACGAAGGCCGACGGGTAGCCGGCCTTGGACGCCGAGGCGTGGTCCGAGCAGGCGTAGCCGCACTTGGTCTCGACGAAGGGGATGTCGCAGTACTCGACAATGACCTTCTTGATGAACTCGGTCAGGTTGGGGTCGACGTAGTCGACAATAACACCGACGCTCTCAACCTTGCCGGCCGCCAGCGTCTTGGCCACGAAGCCCGTCATGTCCTGCTGCAGCATGGCCTTGATGTCGCGCCCGGCCTTCTCGTAGCTCGAGAAGATGGCCTGGCTGCCCAGCAGCCCGCCCTCCTCGGCGCTGTACCAGTGGAACTCGAGCGTGTTCTCCTGCTTGCCCTCGACGATGTCCGGGGACTGCAGCAGCACGCGGAAGGCCTCGAGGATGGTCACGGTGCCGCTGCCGTCGTCGTCGGCCCCCGGCGCCGCCAGGATGCTGGGCAGCCACAGGTTGATCGAGTCCTGGTGCGCCCCGATCACTACGGTCGAGTTGCTCTTGCCCGGAATGGTCGCGATGATGCTGTTCTGCCCCCACGAGTGCACAAAGTGCTGCGCGCTGACCGTCGCCTCGGCCCCCGCCGCGATGATGATGTTCTTGATCTGCCCCAGCAGCCACTCGCTCGACTGCCGGCCGTAGTCGGACTGCGATCCGTCCAGACGTGTCAGCTCGGCCCCTTAAATGCGTATGGCCTAAAGAAAAGGACAACTGAAATGCGCGCATCGTACCTTGTAGTAGCGCGTGTGGAACGACGAGAACTTGGTGAGGTGGTCTTCCATCTCCGTCTTGGACAGGTTGGCCAGCAGCGGCGCGACCTCATCCTGCAGCGTCGGCTTCTTGGGGAACTTGAAGACCTTCTTGGCCGCCGCCTTGCCGCCCGCCATGCCGAGCTTGGGGTGGTCGGTGATGTCGAAGAAGCGCTGGCCATTCTAGAGGAGAGAGCAGGACGGGTTAATTGGCTGCGGTGACGACGGAAGCGTGGGAAAGCTCGGGGTGGCTTACTCGGCGCAGCTCCCACTTCTCCTCCTCTGTGACCCATCTTGTCTCGCCGGGAGCGAGCTCGATCCAGTACTTCTGGGAGCTCTCGCCGTCCAGACTGACGTGGCTCTGGCTTGCTTCGGCTTTCTCGACGAACCGGGCGCTGACTGCAGGCAGCAGCACGGCAAGCAGGGACGCGCTCGAGACCTTCATGGTGGCTGTCGGGTGCTGTATCGATAGAGGCTGGTAGTGTCGTAGGTGTAGTGATGAATGTATTCGATGGGCGGTGGGAGAAGTCGAATGGAGGAGCTGGGAGCTTTCCCCGCGATCAAAGGAGAGCTGCCTGGTCTGTCGGCACCCGCCCCGGAGCCCGTCAGCCGCAGTCCGAAGCCAAGCCTTGGCGGATGATAGGCGTCTGACAGGGCAGATCTAGGCCCAATGGGGGGAGTGCAGGCGTCATTCCGCCCACCTGTTGCTGGGGCGGCAGGGCGGCAGGGCGGTTGTGGGGGTGGTGAAACGCACCTCTAAATCCGCGTCAGACGCTGATCTAAGAATCGGGGCCTTCCAAAAACGCCCCCTGACGGGGGCTGCAGGTCTCGAACATGTCATGTCCATCGAGGCAGATGAAATACATAGTACAGGGCACCCTTTCCGCAAATATTCAAATTTTAATTCTCTCGAACGCAGCCGATATCACCAAGGCCCTAGATGTTGCCTACTATGAAGTGCTGTTGCTGAGATGGAGGTCCAGCCCAACGGTGGGGAGGCACCTAACTAAGTTTGATCGTGCCTCGATAGAGCGGTGCTGCAGGAGATGCCCACACGCACTCCACTTGGCTTGCCCGATAACCACGATGCGCTGGGGAATCGAAGCAATGGACGAAACAATCGAAGGAAAGACGGCTCGCTGATTAATCCGATTCAATGCGAACCTAGCTTCGGAAGCTATCCAATTCCATTGCATTGGACTCAAGCCATGCCGTCTTCCCCGCACTCCTGGGTCTGGCGACATCCATTCCTTATCATGCCACACCTGTCCGCCCACCCAGCTCTGGCACCGGAGCTCCCTCCAATGACCTCAGCGGCCTTGACTTGATCCCCAAGAGCTTCCACTGTTTTCCTCGCACCAGCTCAACGGGAGCTACCAGACGAACAGCGAAGCAGCTCGGGGCAACCGAGCCGACAGCAACCATGAGCTCCGATTCCCTAGCCAAAGATGCTGGCGGTGGCGGCAGCGGCAGCAGCAGCAATAGCAACAAGAAGATCAATGATCTCATCAGCCGCGGCAACTGTGCGTGCAGCACCTAGTCTCCCTCCCTCCCTCCCTCCCTCCCTGCCTGCCTGCCTGCCTGCCTGCCTGCCTACCTTACTCCCTCCCTCCAGCCCTCCCCCTTGCTAGCCCCCTGAACCTATTCCCACCCGGTATCCGTATGTACAATACCTAGACACAATAACTGACTCCCAACCCCTGGAACACAGACAAATCCAACCCCGTCGGCACCGGCACCTTCATCGCCCTGCGCGCGCTCGACCCGCTCCTTCAATACAAGCTGCTCGCGGGCGGATGGGGGCGCTCGGCGCTCTCGGCGGTCGGCATACGCGCCGTGTCGCCGCTAGCGCAAGCAGCGACCTCGTCAGCCGTCACACTGGGCAGCGGACTGACGCTCCGTCTGTCGACGGCGCTCCTGCTCGCCATGGCGGCCGGCAGCTCGGCGAAGCAGATCTTCTGGGTCGCGGCCACGTGCCGCGAGGAGGTCACACCGGGCATGGCGGCGTCGGTGTCGGCGTACAACACGGTGGTCAACTCGCTGGCGGCATTCCTGTTCCTCGGCGCCGCGACGTCGTCTTATTCGTCGAAGGTTGTCAGGCTGTCGTCGTCCGTCGCGCTGCCGCTGCCCGCGCTGACCGGCGGGCTGCTGTACGTCGTCGGCATGGCGCTGGAGACGGCGTCCGAGGTGCAGCGCAAGCGGTTCAAGGACGCGCCGGCCAATGCCGGCAAGGTGTGCACGACGGGGCTGTGGGGCGCTGCGAGGCATATTAATTATGGCGGCTACACGCTGTGGCGCACCGGGTTCGCGCTGGCCGCCGGCGGGTGGACGGCCGGTCTGGGGGTGGCCGCATGGCATCTGTGGACGTTCGCGGCGCGCTCGATTGTCGTGCTCGACGAGTACATGGCCGGCCGCTATGGCGGGCAGTGGGATAAGTATAAGACGGACGTGCCGTATGTGCTGTTCCCGGGCATCTACTGATGATGCGTGTGGGTAGGCTGGCTGTGGGCGGAGCCGTGGCTGGAGTTGGAGAGGAAGGGAGTCTAGTTGTATTTTTATCACGTTGTGTCGTATGCGTGCCGGCGGACGTGCGTGTATATATATGTATATCCGATCCGCAAATGGCAGACTCTTGACAGGCACATTCACTGGCTCTGGATCTACGCAGTCGTACACGTAGTATGGGCAAACAACAGCGAGGTAGGTATCTTGGGTGTGGGTTTAAATCACAGCTAGCTACCGCCGCCGCCGCCGCCAGCGATGGCACATATCGCGCCTTCCGCAATGCTAATCCTCGGCACCAAAGCTAAATAACTACCCTGCTTACCTAGGTAAGTAGGCAGCTAGGTAGATAGGTATCCCGGCCAACGCACGCAACATGCCCTCCGTACGCTAGGAAAGAAAGCGCCGGCCCAAAATGCTCCCCGTCCCAATGCTGCTGCTCGCTCCGTTGCTCGACAGGAAACACGCCCTCCTTTTATTCCCCCTCTTTCCTCTCCTCAAACAGATGAACGCGACCAGGGGGTATCTAGCGGTATATACATAGGTAAGCAATGGGTGCGCGATGTCAAGGTGTCCATCATGCGTCGATGGTTAGTAGAGGTATATATATATACGGGTGTGTGTGGGTCGGTCACATGCTGTCCTCCATCTGGCGACTGCGCGTCTTGGCCCAGTTGTCGCGCTCCTCCTTGCCGCCGGCCGTCTCGAGGCCCATGCCGCGCTCGACCCACTGTTGGCTGCCCATCTCGGTCAGGCGCGACAGGGCGCGGGCGAAGGCGAAGGCCTCCTCGTCGCCGGTGAACAGGTTCGACTTGGACAGCTGCTCGACGTTGTGCTCGAGGTCGTCCATCATGTGGCTCATGACGTCCTCGACGGACCGCGCGGCGCCGCCGCTGTCGGCGGCGGCGGTGGCGCTGGCGGCCATGGACTCCAGCATCTCGGCGCGCGACACGAACAGCTCGGCCAGCGGCACCGCTGTTGTTAGTACCAGCTTCGCGTGCGACTCGTACACGGCGTCGATGAAGGTAATAAAGCGGCGCGCCAGGTCGCGCTGCCGGTACGTCATGCCCGGCACCTCGCTCACGACGAATGCGTCGTACGACCGCATCAGCTCCAGGTAGTCGGCGGCGCTGGTGGGGCGGCCGATCAGCTCGTCGAAGGTGAACCAGGCGCAGCGGCCGCTGACGCGCGGCACGACGATGTCGCGGCCCCACACGCGCTGGACTTCGGGGTGCGGCTCGGGCTGGTCCGGGTCGCCGAGGAAGCGGAACCACTTCTCGGCGTGCGAGGCGGCGTGGGCGTCGAGCGGGGCGTGGTAGACGCCCGACGGCGGGCGCGGGATCTTGCGGTAGTCGGTGGTGGAGTCGAGGTTGATGACGTGCAGGCGCTGCTTGAGCAGGTGGATGGCCGGCACGAACGAGTCGCGCTGGATGCCGTTCTTGTACAGCTCGTCGGGGTGGCGGTTGGACGTGGTGACGAGCACGACGCCGTGCGACATGAGGGCCTCGAGCAGGCGCCGCAGGATCATGGCGTCGGCCACGTCGGTGCACTGGAACTCGTCAAAGCACAGCACGTTGCCCTGCTCGGCGATGTCGGCGGCAACAAAGGGCACGGCGTCGATGTCGCTGCCGTACTGCTGCTTCATGCGGTGCAGCCGCCGGTGCACGTCCTGCATGAAGTTGTGGAAGTGGATGCGCGTCTTGGTCCGCACCGCCGCCGGCAGCGTGTCGTAGAAGAGGTCCATCAGCATCGTCTTGCCGCTGCCCACGTCGCCGTACAGGTACAGCCCGCGCGGCAGCCCGCTGGGGATCTTGCCCAGCGGCGTCTTGGACCCGCCGCCGAACCACGAGAGCAGCGACTTGGCCGGCTTGAGCGACTCGAGCGTCGGGTGCACCACGGGCGGCGCGCGGTAGTGCCGCAGCTCCTCGTGTAGGTGCTGCAGGCTCTGGATGATGCCTAGGAACAGAACGCGGGCTGGGTTAGTCTCTGCGCCGGGGCAAAAGACCTCGTGGTCATGGCACGCGTGTTTCGTCTTTCCTCACCTCTCTGGTGCTCATCATTGCGCAGAAGTCCGTCCCCCACGCGCTGGTCGTAGGCTTGTATGGGCCCCAGCTCCTCGGCGTCTGCTGCGACTGGACGTCAGATCAGATCAGAGAACCGGGATATATAAAGGGGAAGGGGTGGTTGCCGTAGCAGGCTGACCGTCTTCCACAGTCGCAGTAGCAACAGAGGCCCTTCTCCTAGTCTGGGCGGCCATGCCAAGGACGTTTGGCGACACGCTTCGGGCAGCCGGTCGGCTCATGCGCCCGAGGCCTAGCGAGACTGTCCCACATCGTACTTGGCTCGGAGCGGCGAGTCCGCACGTGGTGTAGAGGGTGCGCCGGCGCGCATAGCCGGCCGCGGTCTGGGCAGCGCGCGCTGTTCGGGCAATGGGCTGGGTGAGGCGCATTCTCGGGTTTTGTGTCTTGAGGGTTTGAGGAGGAGGGAGGAAACGGGCGAGGCAGGGTTGGTCGAGGTGGTGAGAGGGAGAAGGGGTTGAATTGTGTCTCCTTCAGAGCGCCAGACACATGGTCAGGGGCGCCAAGAAGGCGGCGGCGGTGTCACTGGCGGCGGTGTCACTGGGACGGCGAGGGATAGAATTCGGTCTCGTTCTCGTCTCGGTCTCGTTCTCGTCTCGGTCTCGTTCTCGTTCTCGGTCTCGGTCTCGTTCTCGGTCTCGGTCGCGGTCTCGGTCTCGAACTCGAAGTGTGCCGTAGATGTCGCCTGCATGAAGGTGCAAGGGAATAGTAGAGTAGGAGTTTCCAGGTCGGGTTGGTTGCTCTGTTGAGAGAGGCGCAGGTCGAGACGCAACGGCGTGCGTCAAAGTTAGCGCAGGCGGTCGGTAGGTGGTATGGTAGGTTGGGTTGTGTTGTGGGCCGAATATAGGGTTGAGTGCAGTTTGTTAGAACACACTCTGCGGAGACCAAAGCCAAAATGCCTCTTTCAAATTCTCGTGAGGAGAAGACCGGAGGTGCCCTCTTGGCACGTTCGGTTGCTTTGGCCTGAAGACGTCAGTCAGGAGGACGGACCCTTTGCGGGACTGATTAGCGGCTTTTATCGGATGTAGCCTGCCGCGGCACCCTGACCTGGCACACCCACAGCGCGGCAGCACGCAATTGGCATGCAGTGGCGTGGTCCAGCGATGCCGGGTGTGGGACGACTTTTCGTGCCAATATTCGTGCCAATGCTTGGCAGTTTACACAGTAGACTCGACAAGCTCTAGACCTTACTTAATGCAGGCTAAATTATCACTCAACGTCAGGTTGTTCAAGCCTCGGTGCACAGAGCAGGGCACATTTATTTATGATTTTGGTTTCCAACCTGGAAATAGTGTTTTCTGTTGGCCGGGTTCCTGGCCATGCGGCCGCAAAACTCTACAACAGCAACCTGCGGCGCACGACGTCAGACTCGGACACCTTGAGGATTATTAGTCTTCTTCGTATTGGGCCTCGGCAACTAGATTTGACCGCCGCACAACCCCTGCGGCTGGGTGCAGCGCCGCTGGATGGAATTCCGAGAATGCACCGACGCAGCCCATCTGATATTCGGGCTCCAACACCCCGGCCAATGCACTCGTTAGTATCGGGAGTCTCCGAGATCCGGGCAAGATAGATGGATAAGTGTGTCCAACCCTGCCTTGTGCGGCCCGCCGTGCATGTCGCTATCCGCTCGACATAATTACACCGCACAGCACTCAAAATCACGCCTCGGGATCTACAGAGCCGCTGCTAAACCCTCGGACACGGGAACGCCAGTGTCTTGGTGAACGGCATCTGTCAATTTTGGCTATCGGCCGTTGAACAGGACAATTTCTGCAGAGCCTCGCTCTTGAGTGCATGTGAATGAATTCAACTCGGCCGCTTTAATTCCTTCATTCACACTCAGTGCTTGGCACTTAAAACATGAGAATCACCCCGTTGGTCTAAGAATCAGTCAAATATTCATAACTCGGGCTCATTATCACACCAGGATAAGAAGAAAACAGAAAGGCGTTGTCAGCAATTGAGATGTGGCGGTAATTATGTGAGTGGTTGTTATCCAGGTCAATCGATTTCTTTACGTGAGATACTAGGTGAAAGCCACACACATCTGCAAAGCAACTTCAATTAATCTTCCCTCTTACTGCGCTTGTGCATCAATTATATCCAGCAATCTCCAGAAGCAGTTCGAGTGCGACACTATCAAAACACATTCACACCAAGATACTGTTTGGCAGGCAGTGAGTGAGTGGACACAATCTATTGTCTATATGAATGACTCTGGCATGCAAGTAGCGGAAGGGATATCTTTGGATTATTATCATCGAATTCCAAACACCAAAGCACATGGGTTTGGTCCAGCAAGAAAGCTGGCCGCCCACTTCCAAACAAAACCCACTCCCAAATAAAGCCCCCTAACTATGCAAAGACAGTCCCGCCTGTACAGTACATTTTCCCTTCCTTTTCCAAAACCTGCAGTCTTTCAAGTCCCGAATGATCAGACAGAAATGGTCGCCGAGACGGAGACTGGTCAAGCACTTGTCCAAGGCAGCTTGACGTATATACGAATAAAACTGGGCAGCAGCCCAAAGCGAGACACGAGCCCGACAGCGACGGAACTCAGATGAGGAGGACCGCAAAGACGCCGGCGGCGACAAGGCCAAAGAGGGGCGCACCCACGGAGACGGCGCCGCTGGGCTTGCTGCTGGTGGCGGCGGGAGGCTCCGAGGTGGTGCTGTTGCTGCCGCCAGTGGTACCCGTGCTGCCCGAGCCGCTCTGGGCGGCGACGACGCCGCCGGCCACGCCGCTGGTGGGGGAGGTGGCGTTGCCGACGAGCGCCTTGGCCAGGGTCTGGTAGGCCGACAGGGACCGGAGGGTGGTGGGGTTGATGACGCCGGCCATGCCGTTCTTGCAGTGCGAGCCCGTGTTCTGCGAGCAGTAGAAGACGATGGGGTCGGTCGAGTTGACGGTCAGGCGGAAGACTTGGCTCTGCGGGGCTGCGTTAGTCACGGGTCACAGGGTTTGGTTTCAGCGAGACAAGACGTACGTTGACGGCATTGGCGCCGGTGGGGAAGAAGCCCGAGAAGAAAGAGCCCTCGGCCGGCTTGCAGGGGTTGAGGAAGTCGCCGCCGACTACGCTGTGGTTCTTGGCGTAGAAGTTGAACTCGACCACGTCGCCGACCTTGGCGGTGATGCTGTTGGGGTCAAATGTGAGACCGCTCTTGCCCACGGCCACCTTGATGGTGTCGGCGCTAGCCTGCATGGCGAGGCCGGCGAGCAGGAGGAACTTTGTGATGGGAGACATGGCGGCAACGGGGTGCTTGGCTTGTGAGAGTGAGAGCGAGAGTGGGAGTGAGGCTGAGTAGAGAGATGAAGATGATCAAGGTGCTATGTTTGCAAGAGTGATGAAAGTCTCTGAGCAAGTTTGAGCGAGTATTATTTTGGGAGAGGAGTGGGTGGTGGCCGGGAAGCAGTATTATATCACATCGTCGGGTCTCTTTGTGCGGGCCTGCGGAGGGCGGACCACCAGTCGCGGGCCAAAGCAAGCTTAACTGTGACGGTCTGACCTGTTAAGCTGTGCCGTGGCGCGCAGTCCAAGGCAAGGCTGCTAGAACCTAGGAGTGCCACTGCCAGGTCGGGTCCCAGGGACCCCCGAAGCGGCGGCCGCTCCTGGTCGTTTGTTGCGAGAGAGCTGCACTTGCACTCCTTCCACGGCAGAGGATGAGACGGAGGGGCTGGGGCTCGAACATCTTCACACACCCTCACACAGGAGGAGGAGGTGCCCAACTGCCCATGCCATGCCATGCCATGCCGCCCAGGCTGGTTCAGCATCCATGTCGGGACCGGGCGGGACAGGGGTCCCGGTTTGGGCAAGGCGCGAGCCCAGTCGAACATGTCTCTCTTTGAGCTGGGACAAAAGAAGGACGGTGTGTTGCAATCTCACGTCAGGGCGGGTGTGGCAGGTAAGCTCTGCCACAAAAAGAACATAGCGTCGGGGGGAGGCCAATCCTAGCACTAATTCGGCCCTCGCGACTCTCATCTTTCCAGCACAAGTGCAGCACAGTTCCTTAAATAGAGAGTGTGTTTGCGCATCAAATATACCAACAGCTGACCGAGCAAGCTGTCGAAGACTCGACTCGACTCGACTCAGCTCGGCTCGACTCGACTCGACTTCGAGGGATGGAACTGGAAGGCATGCCTGGCTGAGCTTTGTGAGCTTGTGCAGCCTCGAAAATCGGGAGCCGTCGAATCCGAAACTGGAATGATTCACCTTCCCCAGAACCTTGGCGAAAGCTTGATTGTGCTAATTGCGGGATGGGTGCAATCTGCAGTCTGCATGGCAACCTGAGCGGGCGATTGAACTCGCGGCAGCTTGGACGCAGGTGCCAATGGAACAACAGCCCGGGCAGCTCCCTCCAGGCGTTTCCCGTTACTACTACACCAAAAATCCGCGGAAACAGAACCCGGCTCGTGCTGCACGTGCATGCAGCAGATTGAAACAAATCCGCGCCCTGTAAAACAAGGCGTCCATTGTTGGTCTGGGGCTCTGACGGGACTGCGAGTCTGAAGCAGTGCAGCGTGGCATTGCTGTGTTTCTCCTTGGCACACGGGCTGAGTCCCGTCGATGCCATTGGCCTGCGCCACTTGTGATTTGTTCAGATGCAAGGTGCCTTTGTCGCATAATTCTGACCAAGTTCCTGGCTCTAGAACCCCAAATGAATAGCACACCCCGGCTCAGGCTAAACTTGCCAACTTCCAAGTTTGGTCGCGGCACAATTGCTAATAAAAACTCGGTGGCCTTGTAATCCGCTCCGGACCACGTATAGACGGTACAGTGCAGGTCGGATTCCGCGTAAACTTTAGCCCGTCAACTTGCACAAGTCCTTCAACCCAGGGAATGGTTGTATGGGATTCGGACATTGTGCATATACGTGTAAACAAACCCCTTGACACGTTGACAACCCAGGTCAGGTCAGCAAAAGACCAAGCTAGGTAGGTGCGTACGGCCGTAGGTGACCAGTAAATATGGCGGGCTAATGCAGTCAGTAATCCATCCATCCGTCCTACCTCTTTCGGAGTTAGATTTCGTCCGATCTCGCCCTTCCCTCGGAGTCGATTAGCTTCCGTCCTCCATATCCGGTCCCCAGGCCGCGGAGATTGAGGGTTTCCATTTTCGCCATCCCGCGCTTCTGCAAAACACGCATCCGCGGTTGGAAACGAGACACGCCGGCACGCCAAGGCCCGAACCTGGCCCGAACTTCTGGAAGGCGGTGAATTATATCCAGTCCCATATCGTCCTCGTCAGACACCATGTCTGCTTTCCCATCCGTGATTTCACGATACCTGCTGAGCACACCGTGCAAACCGACTGGGTGCGTGTCCCGGGTGAAGCTAATTTCGTCAATTACGCGTAGTTACTGTGCAGCCGCGGCGTGCGGCCGTGATTTCTCAGCACCCCGTGGCCGTAACAGGGCCGGTCGCCGAAGTCTCCTTGGCAGCCTAAGTATTCCGTATTGCTGACACCCAAAAGTTCCCGCGGTTAATTACATTACCTACCTAGCAACAGAAGACAAGGGAAGCGAAAAATTTGGACGGTCAGATTTATCAACGTTATCCCTCCATCCCAGGACCCTGATTCATGGAAATCGCCTGTGCTATGTGAGGGTGGCTGTCCGGCCTGGGCTTTGTCGCTGATTGCCGCCGCGTCACCGTTGAAATTAAAATCTTCAGTCGAGACAGCGTTTGCAACTGAAAAAGACTTACGCGGACAAAAATATGTGGAAAACAGAGTCAGGAAGCGAGAGTTTCTTTGATCGTGCGCCAACAAAGCGCTGGTTCAGGGTGCTTCAAGTCTTGTGCCGCTTGGCTATGGAAGGTCCGATAATTGGTTGCCACACGACAAACATCAAGTCGGCATTCGAACGAGAAAGGGCTGCTTTGTTATCTAGAACCGCTTGATATTGTATCATTGTGAGTGGGTTCTCCGTTAGGTGTGGCGCTCGCGATGAGACTTCTATGGAACGCCTGATAACCTATTGAACCACACACTCGTGACGCGACAATGAAATGAAACGATTTTCATTCAAGTCCAGTTCTCAAACAAGATAGCCAATGGTGAAATCGTATTTCAAAGGGTAGGTCTGAGAGGGAATGGTCAAATGAAGCTCTCAGAGGGACAACTCACCTTCACTTATACACAAGCACAATAAACAGACGTAGGGACCAGTTAAACCGTTAATTAGGTACATAACTCATCATTAAACATATATCAACTACCAAAAATGCCTTACCTATGTATAAGTAAGTCACAACGGCTTCCGGTAGCGCCTTGGCGAGAGAAGCCTCCTTCTCTTGGCAGATGTAACGGGAAAGCTTGGTTCACTAGACCAGGGACCCGTTCTTGGCATTGCTCTCAAGATGTATCTCTATACTCGGCTCTGTACATGTGCTTTGGTTATTGTTACTCTTGAAAATGCATGTACAGAGTGGATATAACTAGGAATAAATGTGAGAGGGTGTGACGGTCCCAGAGCCAGGGAACCTCGTATCCAGTGGCGAGCAATGCCCGACCACCGCAGCGACCGATCAAATAACTAAATCACGATCACAAGACCCGTGCACCCTTTGGGGAAAAAACATGGCCTGGGCCGGGCCGGCCGGCCGGTCGAGTCAGGTCCGAATCGTGCGCCGCCGGCCCTCACAGCCTGTCGATCGGCCGTCTCAGCGGCCCGGAAAAGCAAGCTCGTGGACACACAAACTTGCAGATCTGCCTGGCCACGGCCTGTCACTGCTATGGAGATCGACCAACCAGCCTCGACACGCACCATTTCCCCGCGCAGGGCGCTGGGCGCAGGCGCCATGGGTTCCCTGAATTCTCCCAGTGGCGGTCAAATGCGGGTATATAGAAGCCGGAAGTCGAGAACCGACATGGACTGAGGAGCTCACAATTCAAAGCAACAAACTCACTTCTTGCTTGACACCCAGGCCTTTGATTACCAACACACAGAACCCCTTTCTGTCAGCCCAACAAGCTCCCAGCCCAGTAATGTTCGCCACGACAACGCCAGCTCACCTCCGCGGCCTCGCGAACCGGTACAGAGGCGTGCCCCTCGCGGTCGGCAACGAGCCGAACACCACCACCACTGCCGCAGCGTCCTCAGACTCGGCTGCCGCCTCCGAGCTCTCGCCTTACTCGTCGACCCGGCCGTTCCCCTGGCAAAAGCCACCACCACAGCAACGAGCCGCTGAGAAAAAAGAGACCCAAGACTCGCTCCTGCAAGACGCAGCAAACAGCAACACGAGACAAAACGCCAGCAAGGCAGGAAACGGCTTCAGCCGCACCGACATCTTCCCGCTACAGCAGCCGCCAGCGGCCCAGCTCACGTACAATACCTTCTCCTCTGCAGAAAGCAAGACCGCCTCTGCAGAAAGCAAGAGCAAGAAACCGCGCTCTGGCAGCGCTGCAAATGGAAATGCAACCGCAGACGCCAAGCGCGCGCACATCGACGAGATAGACATCGAAGAGCACGGGCACGGGCACGGGCACGGGCATACGTCGGACAAGCAGCGACCGAGTCTGAGCCCGCAGGGGCTAGCCGGCGCGGCGAGGTCAGTCCGCGCGCCGTGGAGCCTGGCTTGGCGGGCCGCGGCGGCTGTTCGCGAGAGCGAGGTAGAGGTGTCGCCGGCGGTGGCGCGGCGTCTTGGGCCGGAGGCTGTTTTCGTCGTTGAGAGCGGGTGGCGCGGCGTTCGAGGAGCAATGAGCGTGCTGCTTCTTGTGTTCCTCGTGCTTCTCTTCTTTCTGGTGGCGGCGGGCACGGCCATGGTGTTGGGGCTTGCTGTGGAGGAGCTTGGAGGGCCTCGGCTTGGTTTCTGGAGCCGTGAAGCTGCACGTACTGAGCCGTGTCGGTTTCCGGACCAGAAGTTCTGCCATATTGTTTTGGGGCTGGATAGGTGATGAGGTCGAGAAGGCATGAGTGGTCAAAGTTGAGGGGCAACGTGTATTATTTGTTTGTTTGAATACCTCTATCTCCTGCTCGACTTCTTCTTGACAGTGTCAATCAGACTGTCAATCTCCACCGCCTCTCCCTTGACCTTCTTGGGAGCTCTCTCGACTCTCTCGCTCGGCAATTCGTTGTGATCCGCCTTGCGCTTCTTCCGCCCCTCCTCCAACAGCTTCTTCATGCCGCTGGTGGCCTTGAATTTCGGGTTGGAGGGATCAATGGCGAACTCGTGGCTTTCAAACACGGCCTTGAACCGAGTATCCTCGACATCCATGTCAAAGTTCTCCTGCAGACCGCCTTGGTCTTCGCGGGCTTTCTTTCCCTTCTTCTTCTTCCCCTTTTGCTTCTCCAGGCGAGCAATCTCCTTCATGTCAAAATGATCGATATTAGCACCGCATTGAGTGTCGTCAGCCATGAGGAGCTCCAGTTGCGCCTTCTCGGCAGCCCTGGTGGCTTCTTCTGCCTCCTTAGCCGCGCGTTTCTTGAGCCGGTCCTCCTTCCGGACAGACGACTTGGAAGGCACCGGTTGCTCTGACGTGAAGAAGGGGTCATCGAAGCCAAGATCTCCGTCAGCTGTTGCCTCAGCCGCGCCATCCTCAGCCGCGGCTTCATTGTTAGCGCCTTCCCGCTTGGCGATCATTGCTGCCCTTCGAGCCTCCTTCTTCTCGCGTTCCTTGCGCTTGTACTTCTCGATTGTTGTCTCCCCGAGAGCAGGCCTCTTCGCCTCCTTTTCAGACAGCGCAGAAGTAAACGTGATCTGCATATCTCCAACAGGCGCGCTGGACTTGGTGCTCTTTTGGGTAGGCTCGACTCCAAGGCCCAGGGCCGCTCGCATCTTGCGTCTTGCGAGCTCCTTTTTGCTGAGCTTGGGCTCTTCAACTTCTTGGTCCTCTGCGGCCGACTCTGCCGTCGGTTCCGGCTCATCCTCCTCCTCCTCGCCGTCTTCTTCTTCCTCGCCCTCGCTGCCGCTGGCAAGATAGGCGCGGAGGTCGTTCTCCGCAATATCTGCGCGGCTGCCCGTGAAGGCCTTCTTAATGGACTCCTTCCTTGACACTTCCTCGGGGTGCATGTCCCAGGTGAGCTTCACCTTGGAATGCTGCAGAGCATCCGTCACAAAGTCGACGGGCTTGTACCCCTTAGGAACGGCGTCGCACTCATCCCGTGGCTCATCATCAAAAGTGACATCGTCTGGGATGAACCGCAGGTCAAGAAAGTTTGAGGACGATAGATACTCGCTGCCATCTGTCGCTTCGTAGATCTTGTGCGCGGTATTCGGATCAGAGCAAACTATGACAGCATAGTAGTATCGTAACCGGTCAAGCTGGTACGCCCGGAGGGCGTCGCTGTCAAAGTCTTGGTCGGTGCCTTCTTGCAGGAGCTCCTTCTTGATCTCATCGTCCGAGTCCACGTCTTCTTCATCCACATCCTCCTCGTCGTCGCTGTCTGACTCGGAGCCATCCTCATCCTCGGCCTCGGCCGACTTCTTGAAGATCTCCTTGGGGGGGCCCTCTAGCTCCTCGCGGTTCATGCGCTCTTTGCCAAACTCGCTGGGGTAGACGGAGATCTTCTCGATGCGCCCACCGACTGGCACGAAGCTCGAGAAGAGGGTCATCAGATCCACTGACTTGATGTGGTCCCAGTCAATGTTGACAACTGCTATCCTGTTCGTGACTTCGCCCGTCTCAACGCTCTGTTCGTCCCTGTGCAGGCGGATGCCCGGCCGGGATTCCTCCTCGCCTTCGTCTGGAAGCTCTTCTTGTTCCGATTCGGAATCTGAGTCGGACGAAGAGAAACCTCCACCACGGGCAGGGTCATATTTGGCGTCGGCCTCTTCGAGCTCACGGCGCACAACGTCGTCGTCCTCAACCTCGATGGCCTTTTCGTTGTCCTCATCCTCGTCGTCGTCCTCGTCTTCGTAAAGCTTTTGCAGAGCCTTCTTCTTAGTGTCCGTCTTCAACCTACGGCCGTAGCGATCCACCTTTGTGGTGGCGACGAACTCGTCATCCTTGAGGACGCCGGAGAAACGCTTGTCGAGCTTCGTCTTCAGGTTTCTCTTGGATGGCAATTGGTACCGCGGATCGCTCTCGAAGTTTGCGAATCGCGGGTCGGTAATGTGTTGGGGCGCCGCGCCATCGCGCTTGGAGTTTTTGCTCTTCGACATCGTTGTTTGGTATGGGTCGACGTCCAATGCAGGGTTACCAAGATGAGATTCGCGAACTTGACGAAAAGCTCGGCGTTGCGAGCGAGGGAAAATTTTAGTGGGGAACTAGATTCTGCCAAAGGCGGTGGCCCCAGGACCCCGCTGGGACGGCTACACACGCTAAGATATCTGCCCCGCTCTAACACTAACAACCACAAGGTGACAACTCCACCGCCCGTGCTCATGCTCCTTCATTCCCTGGGTATCGAATCCATGCTATTCATTTCCAAAATTAAAACGCCTTGTTGTGGTTTGCATCAAATTCCCATCCTAACGTGTTGACATTTGAGTCGATATTCCGAGTCGGACCTAGCAATCTGCATTTCGCGACGTCCACCATGTGCCAAACGCTCCCTACTGTAACCAGCTGTTAGCTTAGCTCTGACAGCTCGGAACAAAGGAGCCGGGATCCAGAATGACAGAAGGCCTTTGACTTGCGATTTACATCCCATTCCATGCCCAGACGCCAGCTCCCGCCACGAGGAGGACCATTGCGCACGCGATGGCCAAGGTGTTTTCTTTTCCCTTCGCTCGATCCGATGTGTGCTTCTCATCTTCCGAGTAAGGGTTGAGCCTTGTGTAGCTGTCCAGATTCATGGTTTCTGGGCGGGTCGATCCAGGCACCGGCGCAACAGACAGAGACGGTTGTTTGTATGGCAGGCTAATGTCATTAGCGAACGTGCAAGGCCCGCGGGTTATGATCAGGTAAAGTCGGCGGCGCGAGTGTCTGCCATGTGGCTAGAAGGGCAAGGCTCTCTCTATTTAGCTGCCTGCCAGAAATTAGATGCCAGCGGCTTTCACATGGAAGACACGGGGCAGTTTGCTGTTGTCATCCGGAGGAATGCGGCCGGTAGCCAACAGCCCACCTCGCGACCATTGTCCGCTTGCAGATTCCTTTAGTTCTCGGCCACGTGTAGAGACCCAAGCACCCAGCTGATGGCCGCGGAGTTGGCGGAGTGGGGTGCCGTGTCCGAACCAGTAGCATTTCCTGGAGAGAAATGTGTGGCATACCTCTATCGCCGGAAGCTGCCCGTCGCATTCACATTGCGGATTTGTGGGGTTTGCCTGATGCTCCCTGGATGCATATCTTACCTAACGAAGACGTTTGGCAGCTCTGATGCAGCAATGCACACCCAGCATCATGCAGAATCGTCCCATTAGAGCTAAGGTATCCGTAGTTCGACCTCCAATCGGGGCTTCGGGCGTTTGCCTGCCTGACTGTTCGAGGCGCGTTTTATCTTTCGGGTTTCCAACTTCTCGCCTGTGGGTATCACATGGGTCTGTTGCACCTATCGACACTCGGTCGTAGGAAATACTCAAGTGCTGGATAGCCTCATCCTCATCACATATGAAGTCGCTAGACGTACCTTTCAGTCACTGCTGTGCTTGAAATGAGACATTTACCCAGAATCCTAGGCAGGCTCTGCATGATGCCCGTCTCCAGGTTCACGTTTTACAACGAGGAATGCGAGCAAGAGAGTACATTATTGTCTGCACATTGTTTGTCATTGAAGACTTTTAAATGCGAAGAGCCGGTGGCTGCGGGCCGCACAAACTCGTGCTTCGATACGGATAGAAGGCATCCAATAACAAACGCCTATCCCGCAATGGGCCCTCGAGTGCCTGCCTTATTGTAACACGAAGCAATGCAGTGAGGCCGACCGCCAGCTGAGCCGGACTTGAATCCAAGCCTCCCTTGCTGCCTAAGTCAAACGATAAAAAAAGAAAATTCTCCGTTATCCTTTAGCATTCTCCGTCATCCTCGAGCATTCTTCCTCACCTAGCTCCCAACTTCCGACTCACAACTTCCGACTCCCAACTTCCGACTCGTCAACCCCAAGAATCAAAATCATAACGGCATTTAACTCAAACGATTATGGCCACGAGGGCCGCGCAAGCCACATCCATGTCGCCGACCGATCTCGCTGCCAACAAGGCAGTCGTCATCATCAACCACCCCACCGACCCGGCCGACGAAGATGACGAGAATACAAAGGCCAAAGATGATGCTGTCACCGTCGCCGACATGCCCGCCGTAGACTTGCCAGCCCCCGCTGAAGGCGGCGGTGCTAGAGGTGGTGGCGACAACGGCAACGGTACCACTGTGAATGGAGGCGGCGACGCGGGCGACAACCCGGACAAGGTAAGGCTGCCTTTCTGCCTCCCCAGTAACCCTATATGAACAGCGACATGCATACTGACAACTCGTTTTGCTTGCCTAGCACTGGGTCTTTAGGAACCCCGGTGCAGCGGCATGCCTGGCAGTCGCAGCCGGCAGCGTGGCCGTAGTTGCCGCTCCGGCGATCGTCACGGCGCCTCTCCTCGTGACCGCCGGCTTTGGCCCCGGTGGCATCATAGGAGGTGAGTGCTTTCCTACTTGATTAAAGCGGCCATTCTACCCCCATCCTGCATATTTTAAATAAAATATTCATCGGCCCGCCGTGTTTGAATCAACAATCAGGATCCATCGCAGCCGCCGCCCAAGCGGCTCTCGGGAACGTGGCTACGGGGAGCTTTTTCGCCTGCCTCACGAGCGCTGGAATGGGAGGCTACGGAGCAGCTGCCGTTGCCGGAGTCACCCAAGGCGTCGCGGCAGTGACGGCCGCCGGCGCCGGAGCTGCTGCCGTGAAACTGTCGAAACAGACGGCACAAGACGATGGGGATTCACCAGCAGCGGGAGCTTCGCCAGCCGTCGCGGCCGAGGAAGGTGGGATTTCGACAACAACTAGAATCTCAGCGGCGGCGGGAGCCTCAGTAGTAGCAGCTCTGCAGGCATCAAAAAGGGCTGAGGCTTAGAGAGCTGCGGCCAGGAAATCGAACCGGAGATGCAAACTGTGAACTATACTCGAAGACGGAAGGGCTTGTATTTGAGGGCAAAGCGGGTGGTTGATTTGACGAAACTGGGAGCCAAGTCTTGTGAAATATGGAATGCTTTGTAGGAGCACGGTTTCACATACGAGATAAACAGTGACGGATATCTATTCCTCTCCTTCCGCCTCTGTAGCATGCCAGCCGGTCCAACCGACCCGTTTAGTGGAAGCTCTTCAAACTTTGGCTGTCAGCAGTGGGCATGACAGCATTCTCTCCTTCGCCGGCAACTGGTGCTTGATCAACCCGGTCTTCAACCACTTAGTCAATGCCATATCTCTCACCGCCGCCGTCTGCTATTCGATCCCACCACTTCAGCGCAAACTTTTCGCCAGCAGGGCCTCCACATAAGGCATGCAGTGCAGCACAGTAAGGGAGTCCGCTGTAGCGTTGGTCTGGTGCCCATACACGAGAAACACGTGCTGAATGTGGTCGCTGCAGACATTGTCAGAATCGTCCTCTATAAAACTCTGGATCTTGCCATTCTTGCCTTGTTCAGAGAAGTACCAGTATCTGACAGCATGACTGCCGAAGTGATTTGAGTCTTGATTTATTAACCCGCCTAAGGGGAGCCAAATTTATGACGAACCGGGGCTCCAGTCATTTGGGGGTGGTCTACAGCCTTGCGGAAGCTGGATCGGCACGTTCACCGGACTGTTTTCGATAAAAGCGCCAGGGTGTGTCGGTAAGTCAAACGCAGAGTCCCGCTTGTTTAGGACGGAGCAGTTGAACTGCGCACGAGCCGCAGGAAGACGTATTTCTAGCTCTACCACAGCTTGGCTCGAGTTTTCCAGACTCACTTTAGCAAAGACGAGTTCGTCGAATGTCCATGCAGGAAATGAGAGGTTTTGAAACTGGATATTGCCGTTATATGGCTGGTAATCGTTGTCGTTCAATTGGTAGCCTTCGTCCGTATATCTACCCGAAAATCAAACCACTCAGTAACATAAGCTGATACTTCACGACCGTAGTTATACCCCGTAACTGTGTAAAGGCCACTCGAGATAACGGCTATGTTGCACGCGATCGAAGTTGACAGCGCATTGAATTGTCTGCTCAATAGGTCTAAAAGTACAGAAAAGAACGCTTCCTTATACTCATGGAGAGAGGGCAAGGGAGGCGTTGTAATCAGCCCGAAAGAGGGCATTCCGAATGAAATGAGGACATTCCGAGTCAAGAATGAAGAAAATAACAAAGAATGAAGGAAGCTCAGAGGCATATCAACCAGGGCCTGTCCAATTCCATGAAAAGTGGGTCAATTCCAGACGACAGGCTAGGAGTGGTTCCAGGGGTGCTGTCATCATTCGTGCTGCGAGCCCAAAATAACCCAGCCGAAGCGACTTGGAAAGCAGCTGGATAGTTGTTCCATAGGATGAATCAAAGAGAGGCAAAGCTGTGTGTTTCTCGCTGACTCGGAGTCGGTTGTATTAATATATGGTTCTTATTGCCACGTCCATCATGCTGTATTCCTGGCTCAGAAGGACCATATAAAGAGAGGGAACATACAACTATCTGTATCGGGTGTATCTCGTGTTATTATTATCAAATGCGGCCTTGATTCCGCGGTGGAAATTGGAATACAGGTGCCGTGGTCGGGACTGCCGTTCTCTGATTGCTCTGTTTTGCCTGCGCAACCCCTCCCCGCTTTCACAGCCCATTCCCACCCATTCTTCTAGGTCCATTACTTTGGCCCGTAGAAAGTAGAAGTCGTTTTCAGCTCCAGGCTTGGTCGATACCAGGCTGATTTCTGCAGCGATGGGGCAATCGACTCGGGGCGCTCATAGCGTGAGGATTCAGGTTGGGATGTCGGAGGAAGGATCAAGTAGTTTCCACGCTACGCAGGTGATGCGTGAATCCCAAGCCCATTTTTTGAAAACAGACCGCCTGCAGTGCTTTCGACCATCCGCAGACCGCTCCCCACCGCGCCCCCCGTGAGACCTCTTCATGGCTGAGGAGAAGTCTCCACGTCCAAATATCGAGAAATACATATTCTCGCCTGAGCTCGTCGAACTCGCGCGTGATCGCCTCCGCCACGACCCAGTCTCTTGATGTTCATGATAAAAATCTCTCGGGTTTGCTTGAGGGTCAAAGGCTTGTAGAGCAATGCGCTGTGGACGCGAGACTTGATGGCCTCATAGAGCTGGCCCGGCCGGTTCGTTGTCAAAACGAGGATGCCGTTGTAGTATTCCATGACTCGCAGAAAAACTGGCGAGCGAAAGATTGAGTCTCCAGGCGCTGGGAAGGGGGTCGAAAGGGGGCTGTGGTGGTTCGTTCAATTGCTCACCGGACACGACGGCATTCCTGCCCAAATCCGTCTTCTCCCGCTCCTCCAAGAACACGTCGGCTTCATCGAGTAGAAGGGTGCAATCCCAGACGTTTGCCAAATGGAAAATCTCGGTGAGCGACGACTCGACCGCGTCAGGCGTGGAGCCAAGATCTCCAGATGTATTGGAAAATAGGGGCTTCTGGTATTGTTGGGCCACGGCCTCGACGGTGGCTGTCTTGCCAACTCCCGGGGGGCCGTGCAGGAGAAAGACGAGGTTGCGGCCCTAGCCCGGAATTGGATCTTGGCTTGGAATGTCGCTCGTTTTCCTCGCCTGCTTGGTGTTGAAGTGGTCCGTCAGCAGACAGTGAATGACGCGTTTGTGATGGGGGTCAATCTGCAAAAGGCCTATGGAGTTGAAATGTTCCCGGTCCGTCTTGACCTCTCTGACGTCCAGGAAGACGAATTTGCGTTCAAGGAATGCGTAGCACAGAGACGCCGAGGAAGGAGGACGGTGTCGTCCTGTCGTGGTTTCTCCAAACCATCCGTCCCATAGGAATCTTGCCGCCCAAACACCGTCCCCTCAAGAAAGGCGATGTTGTCGCACGAAACGACAATATTGCGCCACTCGTACAGCAGCGCAGAGCGTGAGGGGCCCGACCACAGCAGAATGGGAATTGCTTTCCCATCCGCCGGTTGAGGCGAGGCCGTATTCGAATTTCCACATCACCTGGGTTGCCCGTGCTGCTGCTGTAGGCGTGCCGCCCAAAAGGATCGTTTAGAAGAGTCCAAGCCTTGTACGAGACATGCCTCTGCTCGATGCACTTGAAGTGCTGGCTCCAAAAACGGCTGTCCTCGATCAGGGCCTCGCTGTTTGGCGCGAACCCAATCGGGTACACCTCGAGGCTGCGAATGTCCTTTTCGCCATTGAAGTACTTCATCGAGATGGCCCACGGTACCGTCTTGTACGAAAAGCCGTCGTAGTCGATGAAAAAGGATCTTGCAATGGGCTCTGAGTCGGGGTCGGTTCCACGCATGGGAAGCTCCACGCCGCTGTCGTGTGGCTGGAATATTTCAAGTTTCTAGATGTTCTGGTAGATGGCGTTCTTGGGGAGAGGGTCCTTCATTCTTTGTTCAACGTCTTCAGCGGGACATGGAGCAGTTCGCCGGGCCGAAAGAGGTACCACAAGTCATCGTGTCGTATTCGGCAAGGATTTTCATGGCTGGCGTCGTCGAACTGGTTAGTTAGGGGGAAAGGTTGGTTTCGACAAACGAGATATAATTAACACTCCAGGTGCTTTATCTTGTTCAGGTCATCGTCAATCGATTGCTTCCAATTACAGCCTTCATGTGGGAGCCTAACATATCTCAGCTCCGATTATACACCAATCACTTAGTCCTACGTATGAGTTCACAACTGTTGCAAGATGAAGGATCGCGGAAATTGAAGCCACACTGTAGCTTAGCCAAACATGCATCATAATTTTTGTCCCTGTCAGTGTCGCACGACGCAGCCCCACAACTCTGCCTACTACATCGGAACTGTTCCGCGCTTCTTGTCGAGTCGTTTTCCGTCCGGTATCTACGGGGTGCAACCCAGTCTCTTGTCATTGGGTTAATAGACAGACAGGACAGCAACACAACTCCGCCTGACGCCTTGGTTGAATGGGAACTTGAGTGGTGCAACCACGGAAGTCGCGCAAGCCTAGTGGTAATATCAGCCTCGTTGGCTATGACTTCCAGAGACGGATGCCGCGTCATCCCGGTCCTAACGAAGGAGTGAAAAAGGAGTCTTGGCAATGCACGCTGCTGCCGTTCGGTTTCGTTTCGGGGGCCGATTGAGACTGAGGTGAGGAGTACATATAGCGCCAAAGGTTGGGGGTGGACAAATACTTGGCGGGGAAATATCGACAACGCATCGAGTATGATCTAGGAGGACATGATATTCTCGCATCCTGCCATCACACCAGCCCTCCCTATAGTTCTCACACCTGGTAAATATAATTAGGTGTCACTAACTTCACGCTGCTCTGAATTCCAGCTCTCCTTTATGACACTTGTAGTATGAGGAACGTGGGCGTGATAGTGGATAGGGTTGGGAGCGAAACTATTAATCCTAACACGAGGTTACCGCCTTTCTGGCTGCAGACAGCCGCCTTTCTGGCTGCAAACAACCCCACATCAGCACACCCTCATTAGCTGCAGCGGCTGCTCGTTGCGGGGCCCACAAGGGAGAGAGTAAGAGTGCACATGTGTGGTATTGACAAGCTTTCCTCAGCCCAGGCGGCTCCAGCTACGTAAATAGTGAAGGAAATGCTTATTACCTACCTGCCACCCTAGGCGTTCTCTTCCACATCTGCTCCGAAGCCCTAACTCTTGCAGCCCGTTTGCGGGTCCCGCACAAGGCCCCTTTGACATCAACAGTTCTGGTTCTTTGACCAAGCCGATACTCTAGGTGCTAAGTGAGGTCGAGTTTGTGGACACAGGCCTCTATAATCGCTACTCTTGCTGGCAAGACGTCGTTGGTGCCATTGAGACGGCCAGGGCGCGGGGCAATGCCAAAGCCGAGGAATCCTTTTTGGGCATGCGAGCCCGTTTGAGAAAGTCGGGCCCACAGGTTGCTGTTCTCGAATCGTTAATCACCATGATTCCGGACCAGGACGGTCTCAGCGTCCTACGGGGTGGCTTGACGACTTTATTCAAAGTCGGTATTTTTCTCCCTAGACTAGGTACCTTTCCCAGCTCGACGCTTCACCTACCTGCTCTTTCCCGCGCTGACCCGAGTCAATGTTGGGGAACAGCTTACTTTTTTACGGCTGGAGACGCGCAAAACATACTTGAAGCATTTGAAGTCATTCCCACTACGCTCATCGACGCTATACAAAGTAGCCAACGGTTTCCTGATGCTTTCGACCTTCGTGACGCCGTTGCACAGCTGTGTTACACTGTGACCGAGAACCTCGGCAAGTTGATCCAGGCCTTGCTTCGCAGCCACCCTGATAAGCACAGAGGCAAGCTCACATTTCCCAGTGCGCCCCGGCTTACTGTGTCTAACAACGGGCTGAGCAGTAAGACGGCTGCTAAACTAACCCCGATGTCCCTTCCGTCGCTCCCCCCTCCCCCGGGCCGCCGCCTCTAGTGACTCTAAAGGGTCTGCTAAAGTTGCTCGACGTGCCGGAGTGCGCCGCCGCCGACACGCTGGCCTCCATATCACGGTGTTTTAAGCTCAACGCGGGCAGCAAGAGCAAACACCTCATGAGAATGGAGCGCTTCCAGGACTGGCTTGCGGCACTGCCGCGAGACTCGGACCTGGTCTTAATCGATGGTCACTACCGTACCGCAGCCGCAGCCGCTAACAAGGTGTCTCTTATGTCGGCAATCTGCGCTTCTCTCTTCGAGGAACTGCAACGATCATCTAGCGGCGGGAACGGCTAGCTTGAACGTCTGCCCGTGAACTAGATCGCCTTGCTGCTCCGTCGCAGAGCTACGTCTGGTTGAGCTAGAGCTTGTTGTAGTACGAGATGTAGTGCAGATAGGCCCGGTAGATGCAGCTGTCGTTTGTGTCGTTCTTTAGGCAGTTGCACCACTGCTTGTTATCGTCGTCGGCGGCCGGGCTCCAGTCGATCTGGTTATAAGGGGTGTTAGCGAGGCGTGCTACCTCGTCCTTGGAGCAATCAAGGTTGCATGGCAGGTGGATGCCGTTGGCTAGGTTGGTAGGGTTCAGGTTCACAAGTAGCCTCGTACAACTATTGGGGAGATCACAGTCAACGGGCAGCGGCAGGGGGTAGTAGGGCGGGCAAATGCGATGGGACGAACGACGATGTACTGTAGCCGTATGTACAGGCCCGGCCTTCGCCGATACATCTTCCATGGGCAAAATAGGCGTGCGCGGAAGTACGCCCCATTCGCTGACACCCCTGTTGGTGACCGCGGCGGTCCTTGATCCGCGCTTAAGGGGATAGCTAGCTGAGACGTCTATGTATTGATTCAAGGGCGCCGTTGTTTAATATTCACATGACCCCCACCCCGTAGTTCCTCCGAGCCACTATTCTACTGCTTCACCATCCAGGCTATCCGAGACCAGGCTATTCGAGACATTCGTTCCAAGCCTTCATTTGAGCCAGTCCCTAAGGATATTTATACAGCCTTGATATTAATTTTGGCTACCTTGGCTAGGCTCGACAATCGGCTCATCTTGGAGCAGCAACAACTTTGAGAAAGCGCCCACTTAAGCAGTCGTATATGTTGGCGTGATGAATCATATGTACCGGCCCAATGATGTGCCGTCGTCTCCTCATGAGGTGATGAAGGGTAGCACGTTGATAGAATCTCCACTTGTCCGAGGCTGCAAAAAGCAGGTCTAGACTTTGCATTGCCTCGTAGTGAATCTTTCCCATTCGTGTGGGGGTGGCGTGCCGCCGTTCGTGGCTGGCTGGGCTTTTGAACCTAGCTAGACTGGCCGCCAATATTGGCTGGGCGTTATCTGTTCAGCCAGTCACAGGTACTGTAGCTGGCTATCAGTATAGCCAGACCTTATTGCAACATCAAGCCAAGAGCTTTGCTAGGGACCTTGAGACCGTGCTCCTCTCCTCTTGCAATCAAAGCTTGAGGTTATCTGCCGGACCATTGAGTATGGCCAGCCGAACGTGCACACTGTGGTTGTAATGTGGGTGGCTGACCTCTGGCCAGACCCTATTGGAATATCAAGCCAAGAACTTTGCTAGGGATCTTGAGACCGTGCTCCTCTCCTCTTTCAATCAGAGCTTGAGGCTATCTGCCGGACCATTGAGCATGGCCAGCCGAACGTGCACATCGTGGCTGTAATGTGGCTGGCTGACCTCTGGCCAGGCCATTGTAGAGCATCGTGCTGCAGCTTTGTCTGGGCGTCATCAAGTCGTGCCACCGTGCTCCCACTCTCTATTAGTCAAATTTTCAAGTCATACGGCTGATCATTGCATATGGGCTGGCTGGGTCCGGCAGAGGCCTTCTGGAGATCGAGCGTGGAGCCTTGGTGAGGACCATAAAAGCCTTGCATGCACCCTCTGTCGAGCCAAGTTCAAGTTATCTAGAACAAGGTCCGGTTTTCTGAGCAATCTCTGCACCTCTCCCCACACAGTATCACAACTAGCATATCAACCAACCCACCACTTTCCCTCCTTATCTTCACCATGTCCATCCTCGTTCCCCTCCTAGAGTCGGGCTTCACAGCCATCTATTACTCCAAGATCGGGATCCTGAAAGTCTTTGCCAGCGGCGAAATCCTCGGCTGGATCATCAATCCCCACCTCGAGCAAGCCCAAGACTTCGTCGAAGGCCTGAAGTTCTTGCTACTCAGCTCAGCCGGTAGCAGCGGTATCAAGCCGGCGCAGTCGCTCCAGGCCTCGATCGAGGTAAAAATCAATCCCCCAAACGGCCCCATCTACACCATTCCGGTGACGTGTGAGTCCGCCGATGGCAACTTTGGTATCCTCGCCACCGTGGATGACCAGAAGGTGGAGTACCCGCCGGCCGGCAGCAACTTCGTCTCCCTCGCAAAAGGCAGCGTCAATGCCGGCTACAATGAATACCAAGACACTTACCGTTTCCGCCAAGGGCGACGTGGCCGGCTGGATCCTTGGCCCCAGACTCTATCGCGACACTAACTGGGTCGGAGGCCTCAGGTTCGACCTCCGCGGCTACTCAGGTGGCGTCGGGCAACCACCGACGTAGCACCTCGAGGCCTCGATTGCTATAGAGATCCTCCTACCGCGGGAAGACTTCCAGAGCAGGGTTGTCACTTACCAGACCGAGGATGGCATCTTTGAGATCCCCATCGTGTACCACGACGTCAACAAGGACTCCGACGCGGCGACGGTGCAGAAGGAGCCGACCCCCGGGTCTATCCTCGTTCCCCTCCCAGAGTCCGGCTTCAAGGCCGTGTACGTTACCAAGACCAAGACCCTCACCGTCTTCGCCGGTAGGAAGGTCCCTAGATGATCCTGGACCCCCACCTCGAGCGGGATGTTCTCTTTGGAGGCTTGAAGTTCTCGCTCCGCGGTTTCCCGGGTGGGTTTCCCGAGACCTCAGAACAGGTCATCGAGACCTGGATCAAGCTGCACATCAGCTTACCAGCGGAGCATTTCCAGAGCGACACGGTCACTTGCCAGTCGGCGACCGGCACTTACCATGTCAATATCAACAGCGCCGGCCTTGATGGGCAGTCCAAGGACTCGTAAGTGGCTGTGGAACAGATGAACACTTCACACGGGACAGGTCACAATGTAATGAGGGATTCACCACATGAGGAGTTCATGTGGGGCGAAGATGTTCTTTCTGGGTAGTTGCAGTATCTTGCAATCGAGCTTTCATAATTTGGTCTGGAGGCGGAGCTAGAGATAGAAAGGATGACGTGATTTAGTTATCTACCTTTGATGGGCTGAAGTTTCGTGTCTAATTGTAGTGGCATACCGCTTATGCGAAAGGTCTGACGTTCTTTGAAAGCCGCTGTCAGAAAGAAGGCCATTTCGGTGACCATCGACGGCCGCTTCGGTGACCATCGACGGCCGCCTCGGCGACCGTTACGGCCATCTCGGTGACACTAAACAACAAGTATAAGAATAAGGTGTCTGGCATGCCACAAAAGACAGATCAATCAATCTACATCGTTTTCTCCCCATATCACATGCAGTGCAGTACTTCTGACAGCCGCTCTTGTTTCCTCGGGGTTAAACCTGCCTGTAAGGATAACCTTATTTAGCCCCCTGGCCCAACGTCCTCCACGGCTGGCCCTTTAAGTTCGCTGAGCTATCTATCTTTAATGTTCCCTTCGTTCGGCATCTGATTTCCCTCTGCTAAGCTGGGTTGTGTTTTATACCGAGCCTTGAGTCTTCCTCGGTCTTGGCCGAAGATCACGTCCTTGAATCTGGATGCGGCTGAGGAAAGGAAGTTGAGAAGACGAAGAAATTGGAAGGAATTTGTCGTCCTTGAACTTGGTTTACATAAGGAAATGTCGGACTGGTGGGGCGATGCCTAATGAGACCTCTTAGGGGGAAAGAGAGCCTCTTTTCCGGGACCCCCAAACCTGCCCAAAACATTCTTGATCGCTTCCTGTCGCCCAGATTTAAGCCACAACCGTGCCACAACGGAATTGAACTTTAAGGCCTCTACAACGCTCACTTCCTAGGACTACTAGATTTCCTTTGTTTAGTTAATACTTTTTGGGTATAAATAGGGCCTTCTTTCCCCCTGTCTTTAGACCTTTTTTAGACAGACAATTCAATGCGTTGTCAACTACGATCACGTGCAGCACTTCGCAAACCACGGCGAGGGGTGGTGTGCTTGACTAGGGCGTTGCGAGGGGAATGGATATGTGATGCAACAATCTCAACCACAGATGCCGGCTGCTACTCCTAGTGCGCTAGCTCTTCCTGCGCAACTCATACTCTGCCTCTAGCCAATTCGGCGAGTACGGCGAGTCGTTGACCCTGAACCGTACTCCACGGCCGACTGCATTCTCGTGGAGATGGAGGTGGCGTCCTGGATACAGCCTGGAGAGCAAGATTTGGTAGATCTTAGCGCGAATCTCGGGACGCAGACGCATGAAGGGAAAGGGCCTTTTGGTCGCCGAAGCGTGTCAGACTTGGATAGCAAATCGGTAACGGGGGCTCAGAGAACCTACCGAAGTGCGATTGCTGCCTCAGGTCGGCGTTGTGTTCTCTGCTGGGCGGAAATGTGTGTCGTGGAACCGTCGCGCAGAATGAGCGAGGGCAAATCGAATGAGCCAAAACCCTGCGTGTATTCGACGGCCCCTGTAGGCCCATAGTAGCTCTCTATGGCGATTTGCTAGGGACTCGTCGAGTTTGTCGAGCGCATCACCGTTTCGTCACGAGTGGTGAAGGGTGCTCCTCGACTCCAGTTCCCCGCCCGCGTGAAACTGCCCGATGGCTGCTAACCGAGCTTGGGGCACGTGCGTGAGACTCCCTCTCCTGCGGTGGGCAAATCCAATCAGCATGTTCAGCCAGGGACGTCTCGTCAACCCGAACCCGAACCCGGGCAGCTCTGGGCCCAGCGTTGGCACCAAATCAAACTACGCAAATCTGAGGCTCAATTTGCGTTAATTTGACCCACAAAATCGTCGATATGCGTGTTGGATTATTTGATTATTTGATTTGGCTTCGTTCGGGTAGCTTTGGCGGCAAAGTTCCGCTGCCCTGGGCTGGCATCCGTGGACCAGAAAAAAAAGCGCTGAATCCAGCCAACTACCCCCAGTCTTCAAACACATCAGAACTTACAAGGTTGGCCATAGTCAACTGCTGCGCTGAGCCCACGAAAAGCAGAGATCAATCGCCCTGAAAACCGCTTAGCCACCGGGATTGAAGCCGAACGAGCCCAAATCGAGGGCGCCTTCGATTTGCGTCCAGTTTGGGCCAGAAACGACCGATTTGCGTTGCTCCCAGAACCAGATTTGCGTATTTAATTCGGCTTTATTTAGTTTGGTGCCAACGCTGCTCTGGCCTTGAGCCCAACCCATCGAGAAAGCCGACCCGCTGAGCAACATGATGTCAAACAGGGGCGTAGTCGAGGAAGGCGATATTGTCCTTGTCAACAATCAGCAATTCTCTCGACCTAGCAGACAGCGGGTTTCTCACAGTAGTCGACAAGCTGCGGCTAGCGCGCGCGCGTGTCTCGCGTCATGCCGTGGATGGAAGAGGTCTGGCGTCTCGCTGACCTGACCTCTTTTCGGGCGAGTTAGGTTAGCCTACACTGCGGGCCGCGCCTTGCCGTTCCACACTCTGTGGTCATCTGTTAGTGAGTAAGCCAAGAGATCGTTTGCTCTGGTGGGGGGGAGAAATGGGGTGGCCAGGTACAGGGCACCAGTGCCCAAAATTAGCAAGTATAGTCGGGGTAGCCCGAAAAATGACTTCCCGCTCAGCGTAGCTCAGCCTAAGGCGGTAACTGCTCAGTTCCAAAGGAGGAAACGAGAATCCTTTCATTGGTTCTGGAGACGTGATAGGTTATTATTGAGAAGGAGATCTGGACGTATAAGGAGAAGCGAAGAAAAGATTCACTTTGGTGAGCAGGGTATCATGCCGCTAGTTTTCTGTCACCATCGGATAGTCACTGCCAGTGTACCAAGTCGGAGCGTATCATAGCCTAAGAGAGAGAAGGAAAGTAGAGTGCTGCCTGGTTCAGGGTGGATGTGCTTCTTCTTGCTAAGTGGCTATGGATAGAATATCTATATACCAGACGTGCCCAATACGTATAGCCAGTTCAGGATGCCCCCAGAAATGTCAGTGTGGCTTGCACAGAATGTGAGGGGCTGTGGCGTAGAAGCCAATGGATAACACTAAGCCTGTTGTACGCTCGTGTAGGTGCTCGATGCGTGGTGTTTGGGAGGCAGGTGAGTAGCATCAGCTCCTCTTCCGCCTTGTCATCCGCCGTCATTCCCGAGCCTTGAACTTTGTAACCCCATCCACTTTACAATCACAATCGTTGGTAGTTTTGTGACAGCGATGAGTGCTCAAAGCACGCTCTGACGACCACGGGTCTCGAAAGATGTCGGTAGGCTCCTCTATAAATAGAGAGAGCATACTCACAGGAGCGCCTAGGAAAACGGTTAGTCGTCGCCAAACACATGGTGTGAACGTAGCTGTGGTACATGGCATCTCCCCAGCAATTATGGCTGTGCCGCGCATGGTTTGGTTTGCTGGGTGTTTGGCGTCCATTGTTTCCCGGACCAAAGGTTGATGATGCTAATATAATGGGCACAGTAGGTCCTACGTCGTCGGACTCGAGCAATGGCTATTTTCATTCTTCAACACTCATCTTCGCGTTCTAGGCGGTTCTTATAGTGACTCTTTACCAGGATAGCGACATGGCCGAGTCTCTGCCTTGTTGCGCGCAACAGACAAGTGCCAGACCTCGCGAACAGGCGCCTTTGTCACACAGCGCAACATCCAGGAAACTAGAACTCGCAGTCATGGGTCATAGAAAAGAGACTGTCAGTTGCAGGACAAGCCAGGACAAGCCAGGACAAGCCAGGACAAGACAGCCAGGGCTCCTTCAAAAGTGACACGATGATTGAGGTTCGGAGACGTGTAGAAAACAATCACCCTGACTCAGACGCGATAAATAAATGACGCATTACGTCCGTCTTTCAGGTCCCCGGTGGCATCCAAAATTCGTAGAACACCATTTAGGCGCCCCGTAAGCTAAATCTCGTCACGCGTCATCCACTGCGCTGGGTCGGCGGCTCCATAGACGCATTAGCAAGCCGCCCAGACTCTTCCTCCGCCCAGCCCCCCAGCCACCTCCTCTCCCCGCGCGTGGGTAATCTAGGCCTTGTATTGAGGAACTTAACTGTCAACCAAACACTATATGCTCGTACCCCACAAGTTTGGGAGGTCATGGTAGGTCCCAAGAAACCGCGGGACACGGTCGGACATGCGTGGGCTTGAAAGGCATACTGGGGTGGCGCAGAGTCGAGGCGAGATGAGATCTAAAGCGCTTGACAGAGGATGAAGGGGACTTGAATGGGACATGCTTGCTAACGGGACATGCTTGCTAACGGGACATGCTTGTTAACGGGACATGCGATGGGACATGGCAGCCGTAGCTGGGACATAGCAAACCGCTAGCTGCGCCGCGATGCTGCACCCAGGACAAAGTAGCGGTGCGAAACGAACAAATCAGCGTCCGCCGCCTTAATTTCTGCCCTGCGGGCTGACATTCTCAGAGACACCCTGGCGCCGGCACGAGCCGCAGGGACTTGTGTTTCTTGTGGGGATTTGAAGCTCGCTTGTTTAAAACCGTGACTTGTGGGGGTGGGTTTGAAAAGGCGTGCCAGGCTTTGAAAATGCGAACCATCTATATATAGCCCGTCGCCTTGTTTCCAAGCCCGCCGCATATTGTGATTATTTTTCTATTTGCGCACGGTTTGCGGCTGCCTTACGCACTGCGGCAGCGCCTGATTTTCGCCCGACTACACCCGACTGCACCCAGTGGTAGTCTAAGGCGAGAGCCCTGCCCACCGCAAGAATGGCGTCGAACCCGAAAACCAGGCAACTCCTCCTCGACAAATGCCGCACAAAGTACTCCTGGATATCCGGTGTCGCACGCGGCACCCCACATGCCATCGGCAGGTACAAGAAAGACCTTGAAATTGCATTTGCGGAAATCAATGGCTTGATGGCTGGCATGCATTTCCAGGACCAAGCAGATATCAACTCGGTAACTAGCTACCAAATTCCATGGAGTCCGCCGAGGACGAGCAAGCTACTTGTTATTAACCCACCCTAGGAACACACGTACCCCAGCGAGATCTTCGATAGTGACCTACTCTCCTCCGAGCCCGTTACTGCCGTGGACGATCAACCCATGGCGTCCCAGTGGGCTGCCATCCGCAGCTTGAGAGAGGAAACCGCCTTTCACCACAAGCGATTCCAACAACTGGCAACTCACCTAAATGATCCCGTCATTTTCAAGTTGTTAGACATCTACCCAGATGCAAGGAGCATTCGTAGCGAAGGCGCTCAGCTTGTCATGGATGTGCTGAAGGGCTTCCAGCCGCGTAAGCTGTCGCTCGTGTTTGCATTCACCTGCTTTTCCTACTCCATCTCTCAGCTCCTTCACAAAAAAGGCCGTCTTGACAAGGCCGACATTCTTGCCGACATCAAAACATGGCGAGACATGATTTCAGATCCGAGAGAAAAACAAGCCTTCAACCGTCTTGCTCCGGAGCTGTGGCCCGAGGCAAAGGACCATCTTCACTTCATTGACATCCCCGAGCATCTTACGCGCGGCCTTGTCGTATCGGCCGATCCTTCTTCCCGACTTGCAGGTTATACCGGATCAGCGGAACCCCCAATTCCACAGCATCCGTATCTCCGACCACTCGGATCGACTTTTGCGGATCAAACCGGCAGCCTGGATTTCACGGACTGTTACAACTTCCACGACACAGCCCCGGATGCCAACCTCCAGGATATCGTCACCAACGAAGAGATTGTCCGGCTGCTAACACTATCCCACGAGGTAAACAACTATGCGGCCATCGGTGCCCCAGTCAGTCAGCCTCGGCATGAAGAGCCACCCGACACGGGCTGGCCACCGCCAATCGAGACCATGAACCCTACCTATCCTGGTCGCCTTTCGATACCATCAGTGAACATCTGCTCTCCAGGTGCGGAGAGTGAGTCTTCACAATTGGGTAACGACGAGTCAAAAGACCCAGATCTCAAGGAAACCATCGTGTTTCTTGTCGTCTTCACCTTCCTACAAGATATGGGTCAGCTCCTTTACATTCTCTCAGGCAGAAGTCTTACGTCTAGGTGCTATGAGCTCTATCGGGCAGAGCAAGAGGACCAAGTAGCATTCAACATGTCTGCCCAAGAAGCCTTCTTCAAACCCTGTTATCAAGATCGGAACTCCGGCTTCCCGGCTGCCATGGCCCTCCTCTCTGTAGCTGAGACCTTTACGAAAAACGGATATCTGAAAAGCATTGCCGAAATCAAGCACTACTTGGTTGGGTTCGCAGCTGTAAGGCCACTCTATGAGATGAGTTGCACTATCCGCCGTCACCTTCCGCTAACAAGGTTCTCTTAGGCAGTCTTTCCGCCGGGGGCGGCCTTTGAGCAATTTCTCTCCTCAATGTTACAGAGCGCTCTCGTGCCCGCGCAGGCTCCAGCCCTCAACGGAGCGAGGAAGCGGCAGATGTCGGCAGACGAGGAACTCTCCTCGCCAGAATACATCTCGTCACCAAGGGCTACGAAGTAAGCTATACGAAACCCCCTTCCAGAAGAATAGTAAGAAGAAAAAAGAGAAAAAGACCACATAGGGAGTAGACTAACCACCTTGAAAAGACGCAGTCGAGGGTGCAACTATGATGGGTGCAGTGCTACGTACAGTGATCTAAGCGCTCTCCGAAAGCACCAGATCCAAATACACGTAAAGCCACCTCCGATTCGGTGCGAATATGAGGACTGTGACTATGGGAGCCCGAGACGAGATCGGGTCCGCGCTCATTTTCTTAAACAACATCCCAACGTTGCGCTCCCGCAGAGCCTGCGTGACAAAGGAAGGCCGCCTCCCATCCGGCGACCCTCCGTCACTTAGATACGATTAGGAGATGTGATATTAAATCTATCCTCTACGTAGAGACTTTTAGCTAATGGCTACTAAACATGGTATTCTAGCGGGGAAATGCCTTGGGGAAGTAACCCTTATTACCCTTATATAATGATTGTCGTTGTGCTCAGAAGAAGGCTAATTGTAGAGATAAGGCTTATTAACGTAGGCCTTCCTCATATTGACCCGAGGGCCTAATTCTAATGTAGAGGTACGTGGTAAGCCCCCTTATGCTTCTCACGACATGAACGACAAGTTTAACAATCTCCCAACTGACACGGCCCACAAAAAGCAGATACCGATTTAGGACGATGAAGCATCACACGGGTGGCAGATCACAGCATGCCATTATCTTGACTCTGTGTGGATATAACGTCAACATGATACGACCGGCGTCTCCAAATCAAAGGGAAAGAACACTCATGAACTGAGGCGCACCACCGCTCTCCTGCATAGCCATCATTGCCAGCATCTGTGCTCCATCCACGCCCCCGAGGCCACATTGGTACACCGCCTCGCCGAACATGTGTAACTGCATAGGGAATAGCGGGTCACCGTAGTGCTCGCTGATTTCGTCCTTCTCAATGCAGTATCGCAACCCACACCATTCGTCGGGGTCCATGCCCAAGCGCTCACACGCAGCCTGCTTCCCAGGGCCCCACCACGCCGGTAGCAAGCCGGGCCGGGCGGCCGCCAGCCGCAGGAAGTGGCGGAAACTACTCAGACCATGGGGCGCCCCCGCATACATACCACCCGCAGTGTTCTGCTGATCATACACATAGTTATCCTCCATGCGCATCCGATAGGCATCGATGAGAAGCCAGTACACGTCCTTCTCTGGGCGGTTGTGAAGCCAGGTCCCACTGCTGAGGCGTGTGAATGGCTTATCAATAGGCTTCTCGAGGCCCCCGGGCGGTGATGTGGAGCTGCCACCAGCAGCGCGGGCAGCAAGATGAGGTTAGGGGCTGGTGGTGGCGCCTCCACCGGCTGCTGCAGATGGGGGCTCCGCATTCGCAGCTTGGGGGCCGGCTGCCTCGGCAGCGGGACTCTGGTCATGGCTGGCGCCGGCGTCGGCGTCGGCGTTGACCTGGGCTTGGTAAGCCGCCCATCTCTGTCGCTCGACGTCGGGCCAAGTATCGGAAATATAATAACTATCTTCGGCCCTCAGCAGTGAAGGACCGACTTCTGGTCCGATGGGTGGTTCGCTCAGGCGGACTGCGAGGAATCGGCGCGGAGATGCCCTCCGAAAGTAGGCTAGGTCCCGGCCCTGCTGATCTCTGATTGAACCCTTCTCGGGTTCTGCAAAATTCAAGTTAATATCGTACTCATCCACGACGGGGATTCCTAGGATGTTGCACAACGCCTTGGGAATATGGAGGACGTTGGTGAGGCGGAGGGTTGTGTGGGCGCTAGGGTCGGATCTGGACGGCCACCTCTTTGTGGGGAGTTCGACGGTGCCAATTCCCTCGACTAGCGAGCCGCCATTGAGAACAGATTTGAAGGGCGTATAGTCATCTCCAAACCAGCACCGATCCTTAGCCACACTGATGCGTGTCAATGTTAGCGAGGAACCCATGAGCAGCGAGGATACCGCCGAGGGGTGATGGGCGGCCAGGCTGGAACGAGTGTAGGGGAAGCCAAAGAGCCCAAGTGGGAACGTACTGGACATTGAAACCAGAGGCGAAAATCTAGTCTGGACATGGTAAAGGTGACTGGCTGCTGGCCATCTCCGATACGGCGAAATCGTGCACGCACTGATAATTTTTTTTTTCGTCGAGGCGAGGAAGAAAGAGGGATAAGAAGACGGTGAAATATACCTCCTTGGCGAGAAAGGTTGGGGGACGGAAGTGGGCGAAATGTGCATTGTTGGTGGGAAGGGCGGGGAACAGGGAAGGGTGGAGAAGAAAGAGGAGAAAGCATTTCTGGCGGGTGTCGCGCGGAAGCTGTGACTGGCTGGCTTGCTCGTCCTTGTCCTCGCACCTACAGTTAGGAGCTGTGGTGTTGCTGCCTTACTCCGAGGCCGGATCGTTAGTGCAAACCCGAAAGCAAATCGGAGATTTCTGGATCTCGAGCCGGACAGCAATGCCGTACTCGCGAGCAAAAGAAAAGCAAAGAAGGATTCCATAAGTAAGAATGGAATCTATAGAGCCACTAGGCGGTTTGTGCGATAGTAAATACGCCTAGGCGTAGTTGACTTGAGTGGAACTTTGCCTTTGACCTGGACGACGTAGTTGGCTGCTGATTTAAAGGCTTGAGGGAAAGCTGCAAGCAGATACGTCCAAATTTCCGTACGCCCAATGGCTTGACGTCGTGAGGCTCATCCATAAACCCAAGCCATAAAATACACTGTGTTTAGATGAATGATCGAGCATTTGCGAAAGTAGGTAAATGCCGGATATAATGATGTTAGTAATGTTGGCAGGCGTAACTTCAAGTGAAATGTTCTCAGTCGTGGTGTTTGCTATTTCTATTGACAGGCTAGGGACTAGGCCATCAAAGCCGGTTCTCACCTCCCAAACGGTAGCTGAGTAAGAAGTCCAACATAATAATACCAGGACATCGGTGGCGAAGCCGTAAAGCATCAGAAATACGCCGTCGGAATTGTCGTTGTATGTGACATCGGGGCATTTGGAAACAGTATCCAGCCAAATTCGAGGAGACGTATCGAATGGGGAAAGCCATCTCTACCACAAAATGGCGTGGAGATCATTATGGGGTGCAATATCCGTGATGGGAAAGAAAACGGGGTTTGAGTTGTGGCTAGCCAGTCTATTGTTGGGAGCGTGCTATTCGAAAGAATGGCATTGAAGGTCAGCCTCAAAAACAAACACATTTGCTGATATAATATCTTGGATATCTAATTGGTCACTTCTTAGCGATATATAGGCAGGTAGGTCTCTGTTCGGAATCCGGGGCCTTACTTTCGGGATCAGCAAGAGACTGAACAGCAAACTCGGGGGTGGTCCAAGCTGGGTATGACAAATTTTGGAATATCTCGTTCCAAGAGTCGAGCAAAGAGATCTTATAGGAATTTCAATCACGGCGGCGCAGATATCGGCATCATAAAGGAGGCACCCTTCTGAACTCGCTTGATAGCACCATGACTTGGGCGGTTTCGCTTCGAGTCTAGATATAATGACGTCACAATGCAATGCCACCGACCTCAACGGGAGGTAGCGACACAATCTCAATCTTGGGGGCTGTTTCATACATAGGATACCCGCAACACACACGCAAAACACACGTAACGGATGATCTGCCTTAATCAAGAGATAGACTAGCTGTCGCTCTGATGGTGGCTTTCACCCCCAGATACTGCACCGTCGGTAAATAGGTCAAGGTCTTGACTTGTGAGAAATTCACATCATGGCAGACCATAAAACTCTCTCGAAAATGGATAGACAGCATATATGAAGTTGAAAGAGTCTTGAGGTGTCATGCTTGATCTATCATCAAAAAAGTTCGCAACCTAAATTAAATGGACGACCATCCCTTCGCCCCCCTATTATTACGTGGTATATGTCCAGTCTATCCCTGAACCACCAAACCGTGGTTGTATGTACAACATTAAACATCCATGCAGCCCTCCCCAACGCTGCACAGCTCAAGATCAATTACCATTACGTTTAAAAGAGCATGGCGAAGACGACGGCGAGCGGGCCGGCCACACCAAACGACTTGCCCAGAGCGAATGCCTCGCTCGACTTGGAGGGCGAAGACGCGGCAGTCGTACCGGTGCCGGTGCCAGAGGAAGAGGGGGCGTCAGTCGTGGTTGTGGAAGCAGCTAATAAACGACACCAAAAATGTCAGCAAGGCGTGCGCTAGTGCATGCATACAGCAACATAACAAACTCGCTCCGAGGGCGGCATACTTCCGGACTTAGTGACGTTAAACTGCTTCGACTCGGCCAGCTGTCCGTTGTTGGCGTTGAGGATGCCGTAGGCCTTGATGCTGTACTTGTCGCCGGGGGCGGCGGCAAAGTTGGTGAGGTCGTACTGGCCCTTGCTCGTGGTGACGTTCTCGGCGATGGTGGTGCTGGTCTCGGCCGTGCTGGGCGGGTGGTTGATGAGGACGAGCTTGAAAAAGGCCGGGTCCGAGTCCACTGACGACCACTTGATCGTGTTCGTGGCCGACAGGTCCCACTTGTCGTTTTCGGTCGGCGACGTGATCTGGAGGGCTGGCGATGCGCAAACGGGCCGTGTTAGTGTAAGTCCCAATTGGGGCAAACAGCCCGGAGCTCTGGGGCCGCGCGCGATCGCGGCGGGTCGCCAATGAACAGCAGCCAAGCGCGTTTAAGCTTCCCACTTTCAGGGGTTCCAGGAGAGCTTACCACTGGCGGCACCTGCAAGGGCAGCGATGAGGGCAAAGGACTTCATTTTGACGGCGTCTTGGTTCCTGCAATCGAGTTCTGGAGATCTGGGTGATATTTGCAGACGAGAAGCAAAGTATTTGACGAGAACGAGAAACAGGGCAGAGAGAGTTGGCGTGCAAACAGAACAGCAGGCTCGCCCTTTTATTGCCAGATATTTCACGGCCAAGCGGGAGCAATTGGACCAGGATCATCCTGAGCGCTAGCTTGATTAGTGGGCTGTGCAACCTCCACCGCATGGCTCGGCGGACCCGACATTCAGGGCATCCACCTTTCAGCTCCAAACGGGCCGCAATGAGTGGCTCTGTGCTACCCACTTCAACGGCCTGCGGGCCAAATACGAGCTGGTGGGATGACAACTCGAGAAAACGGCTGCCATGTCACCGCACGGCCAGGGGTGTTGGCGTCGCATATGTCGATGACGAAACCTTAAAAAAAACACGTAGCCGAGAAGGAAAGGAAGGTACTCCATACGATATTTCACGTGCACTCCGTACAATACCTTTGCGATAATATTGAAAGAGGCAATTAATCTGTAGGGAGGGCTGAGACTGCGGTGTGGCAGTGATAGACGCCACCAACCAAGCGGCTGGGCACTTGCGGCCGCCAGCCCTGCGCTGGATCGGGTTATGGCCCATGACTGATCCGGGCGGCTGAGCGACCCTATCACATCAGACCTTGATTAGCGCCACCATCACCGTCATCGATACCATGGATACCGCCACTATCGCCTCACATCTACACTACTAACGTACCTGAGGAAATAGGTGCTTCTAAAGAAGGGAACTCAAGATAGACTACGAAGGAAATGAATAAGGCACCCATACTAAATAAAGGGTAAAAAGAGTAAAAAGAGTAAAAAGAGTAAAAAGGCAAAAAAAGGCTCGGCCCCGGGGGGGGGAATCGAACCCGGGCGTCCCTGGTATTCTCATCCCCGCCCCCGCAGGCCTACGAAAAACCCTGGCGTGGATGGGGGCCGGCAGGAATTTTTCATAGTTCGCAAGACATAGCAGAAGCGTCTGCTACTACCGCTTGACCACCCGCGATTCCTTACCCCAGGTGGGGGGCTAACTTGAAAGGATGTCCGCGAAACGGGAGCTATTTCCCCCTCTTGACTTTTACTTTCTCACTTTCACCTCATATTCGGTTTTTGCATATCGTATAATTTTTCAAATGAATTCCAGCTGGCTGTGCCCAGCCGCACTGCCAGCTGCTCCATCCGACATCCTCTTGAAAGACTTTGCTTGGTCTTTGGTCTCTTAACTAATATGTATACTCTTGCATCGCCCTGCTCAAGATAAAACTCTACATCCTATCCCATCAACACTGACGAATTGCATGCCCAATAACTGCACCGATCATTGAATCCGAATTCTACAAACACAGCCACGCCCACCGCTCCCGGTAAACATCTGCAGGAATCATGAGATATTGCGCCGACTCAGACGTCGAGAGCGCCGCAACCCCCAGGGGAATAGGGGGGCATGCGGCCTTGGCGCGCAAGAATGGCACTCCCTTCAAAAAATTGTAGGCGAGTTGCCCCAATCTTGTCTAGAGACGCTGACTTGGGGGTCATCAAGGCCGTAGTGTCGCCTAGATCTAAGCCACTTTGAGCCACATCCGAGTTGAACCTTAAGAAGGCCCTCCATGACGCTCACTCTCCATGACGCTCACTTCTTACTCTATGACACTCACTTCCTGCTAGTACTACTAGACTTCCTTTGTCCCTTTTTGGGTATAAAAGGGCTTTCTTTTCCTGTACTTCTAGACCTTTTTTAGACTGACAATTCATTGCGCTGTCAACTTCGATCGCGTGCAACACGTAGCGTACGCGTTGCGTCGGCCGCCGAATTGCAATGCGGGCTCGAGAAGATCAACGTCGTCGGACTCGAGATACGCATGGCAAGGCTTGCACAATCTCAGGGGGGCGACTAGTGTAATAATAAGAGCTACGACAGTGACTCTGCTATAGTCCCAGTTCCCATATGGGTGAGTGCTGGATAGAATATTGAAATGGTACTGTACCGACGTTTGCACAACCTCTCATCGACCGATTCCAACTAGACTTGGAACTCTGACTTACTCGCTCTCGGCTCCTCGCTAGACACCACACCCGCCAGGTCGACCGAGCCAACCTCCCCATCGATCAAATCAAAACCTCAGTACGACATCCATCGTCGTCCAGCCATTTGTCTCCATAGTTCTCGCGCTGAGCAATCGGGTCTAAGCTCGTGGGTGCCTGTGGATCCGACATGAGGCGGCGCGGGGGCATTTTCGATCCCTTTGACTGGAGCTGCAAGCCGGTCGGCTCCGTCTTTGCATGTGTAAGAGCTGGCATACTCGACGGAGCGCCCCAGCCGGCACGTTGTTCGTCGCTTGCATTCTCCAGGCTCGGGCTCGGGATGCTGTCCTGCGCGCACAGCTCCCGTGGGAACCCGCTGATGGATAAGATACGACTTGTGCTCGTTCGCGTCGAGCCGAATTCTTGCATGTAGTCCATCGGCTGCAGACACAGAGAGAGCCGCGTGGTGCTCGATTGCCATGCAGAATCGATGCGAAGCCTACACTCTAGCTCAAATAGGCCGCGGTCGCACATGTCGTTTATGGTCTCGGTGGAAATCAATATGTTGTGGTGCTTCTGGTCACTCGAGCCGAAGTTCTCCTGGAGGAAGAAGTGAGGTGTAAACTTGGACCCATGAGTGCAGTCACGAATGATTCGGCCTAGACCTTTGAGGTTCTGACTTCCTTCCTCGAAACGGCAGCGAATATTTCCTTCACAATGTTAGTAATGGGGCTCAAAGCTGAGTGTAACTTTGGGGGGGGGCCTCGATCTCGTCACTGGCGAGGAAACGTGATGAACGTCGAATGCTTACCAATACAAGTGTACTCCCCGGTCTCCCTATTCTGATAGCTTGTGCCATCCTTCTGGAAATAGAAGCAACTCGCAACGAGTCTATGTGCTACCTCAAGAATCAGTGGGTCCGCCCGCGCGCTCCGCACCGCCTGCAACTCCATAAGCTCGATATGTTCAACGTCGTCGAGCGCAGGCCGCTGGCCCGGGAAGGGGACATTGATCCGAATGTTCCGCCGATAGGGCTTTTCTGTGGGTGAAGCCTCGGCTTGGTGCTTGAATTTAGTCCAGAGCTCTTCGCAGTTCAGCTGGCTGTCAATGATATCGTGAGCGACTCGCCACATGTAGCCTAGACCAGAGGTAGACCCTTTGTGTTGCAGGGTCTCCAAGCGTGCCTGGTCATGGGGACCGAGAGATGAGAGCCCGTTGGATTGCGCACTTTTGGGGTTGCCGCTGAGACCGGTGCCCACAGACAAGAAGATGTCGGGCGGCATTTCGCTGACCTCGTCCCATATCAGTCGCCGTTCGGAGTCCGCAACCACGGCGGGGCAGTTATATTGAACGGCGCCATCAATGTATGCGGCCGTTGTAGCGTCATGTTGAAAGGGTTTGAAGTACATCGGCGCCGCTGCCGTAGCTCGCGTAGCTTCCCATACTTTAAGCTCGCAACCTGGATCGCTGGGGCGGAGGAATTTGTATGGCACTATGTAGAATTAGCTCTTACTTTCGGCCCGGAACCAGGTTTCTATGACTTACAGGCCTCACGCTTGCCCTGTGCGTTATAGTTCGATAGTACAACAGGCCGATTGTAGCTCGCACTTGTTGAGGTCACGGCGACTTTGACCGATGTTGAAGTCTCAGGTCTTGAACCCCCATACAGGAGACATTCTTCCTCAAAGACGGATTTCAGGGCATCTTCCAAAGGCTGTGTTCTGTAATAGCTTTTGTGGTTCAAGAAGGAGAGCGCCCTGAAAGGTCGGGCAGCACGCCGCGTGAACCCTTGCTTGCAAAGATTCTTGAAGAGATCGATGCAATTGACGACGCTGTACTGCTTGACACCCAAAGCCAGTGCGATGATTCCACCAGTGCTTGTCGTCCTGTCAGCGGAGAGGTGGAGAAGTCGTGTTCTAGGGGTTCTTTACCTAGTACCAACTATAAGATCAAAGAAGTTCTGGACTGGTATGTGTTCTCCGAGCCTCTGTTCGATTGCGCGAAGGATGACGAGTTCGACGATCCCTCGCACGCCCCCACTAGAACCATGTTAGTCCAGGCTCTTGCGTTGTGAGTGAGTTGTTAACCAGATACTTACCCATCTAGACATAGAACTCGCACGCCGGCCTCGTCAGGCTTGAACCTGATCTGGGCCGGCTTTGGCCAGCGGGTCTCAGAATGGTGGAGAGGACATGAATTCAGCTCAAAAATGCCCTGTCCAGCATCGTTTCCAAAGGCCTGAACACAATTCTTGCACAGCGTGTGACCGCAGGGCAGCTCGTTCTCTGGTATTTTGGCAACGCAGCAGAGACACGTTGCATAGCTTCGAAAACAAGAAACCGGGACATTGGCTTTGTAGAAATGTGCCATCACATTTTTGTGAATCGTGGGAAGGAGCGCCTTCTCATCCCGGTCGGCGCGTGCGGATTGTTGCTGCAACGAATTATCCAAGCCCTTGATGTTTTCGTCGATATGGTTGATCCATTGCGCAAAGAATTTGTCTTGATTAAAAGGTTGACGGTATTCTCCCTTGGAAAAGATCTTGCCGTTTCTCGCTTGATGACCCTTCGAATGCGAATTCTTGGTATTGCAACATCTGACGCCGCCCACACTTTCTGAGCAGCGAAGCACCTGTTCGCAGAACCTGTTAAATGCTTCTTTCAAAGGCTCGTAGTAGGTACTTCGGAGCAAGCTGGAATAAGTGCCTGGTTGACATCAGTTAGTTCGCCAATGATTACTCGAGGAGGTGAGACCATCAGCTAATTCACCTTGTGTATCGTCTCGCATAGCGTCGAGCATTATGCATGACGCCAATGGGCGCGTAACTTTGGTCAACAATGACCCTGGATCGCCGGCTGCATCCAGGTCCCTATAAAGCGACCAGATGAGGATGAGAACGTGGTCTGAGAAGTCCACAGGCATCTCTGCATGGCGCCGTGCCTCTTCTGCAAAATCGAAAGGCTCGTCCAATTTCTGCGAAAAGTGATCGTAGGCGGAATCGACGTATTGTGGCAACCTTTCAGCGTTGAGTAGCATACGAATCTTCTTCTTGTGGGCGTGTGACGCGGCACATTTCGACGAAATGACCTCCTGTAGTTTCCCGATTTGCTCGTCAATCAACATGTATCGGCCCTTGGACGGAATCCTGACGACAGTGACAGACGAGTAGTAGGACTCGAGAAGCTCTCTGGTGTTGCTGATCTTCTTGTCCACACGCAATTCAGCCAATCTGGCGACTATGTCTCGCAGACCAGTCACATGTTTGACCGAGTCCTTATAGTCGTCGAGCAGGACCGAAGTTGCGAATTCGGGGTCCCACTACTTCTCGTCAATTTCACTGTCAGTGGCGTTCAGGACGATGACGACGTGTGGCAGAGTGGGTTGGTTGATGGACTTGTCGATAGACATAGTCGCCCAGTTGACAAGTTGCTGCAAGACTTTGCTCTCGAATGTTCTGGTTCGAGTCAGTCAGATTGTTCCTGAGAGTTGTTGGATGGTAAGACAGTGGAGAGACAAATGCACAACGCACCTAACCTCTCTGAGCACGAATACCACGACATCCGAAAACGTGTAGAGGATCCGCGGAAACAGGGTAGTGACAGCGTATTCCCGAGACTGCAATTTATCATCCTTTGCCCATGCGAGGGTCTTCCGAATCAAAGTCCTGCCGCCCTCCTTGATTCTGCCCCCTCTCTTCGCTCTCTCGACCTTTTCGCGAACGATAAGACCTCGAGGGGCGTGCTCTCCTCCCGTCATACCCTCGCAATCGGCTAGAAAGATCGGCTTCTGGGAGTAATATGTCCCTGGATCAGAGTAGAGATGGACATCACCCGTCGTTGGCATATTGTCGCCAACCAGGCCGGGTACGGGGCAAGGCTGGTCGGCGATATCTTGCTGCGCCATGTCGCGCATGCGCCCTTGCTCGCGGCTGATGAGCATCTTGATGACGGTGCTCTTTCCGGCTCCTGCTCAGGGAAAAATCTGTCAGTCCTCAAGTCCGGTGGGCAATTATTCCATGAGTGGCGACTTACCCGTCTGACCGACGAAGGAAACCAACTGTGGGAAGCGCTCTGTGAACTCCCCAGTCTGACTCTCATGCAGAACTTCGACAAGACGGTTTGATGTGTGCAAGAAAGACTGGTTTGCGTCTTTATCTACACCGAACCACGTCGTGTCGATGTCACCTCCATGGCGGTCGGACTGTTCTTCTTCGGAAGCCTGGCCGAATATCCTTTGCAGCCGCCGAACAACTTCTTCGTCGACCCTTTCGTGGTGCCGGCCGTCGATGCCAACTTTCCCTGGCTTCATTGACTAGTCAGCTAGGAGCAAGAGAGCGAGGGATTAAAGCCACGTGTCTGAGTCTAGAGAGGCCAGAGGGAAGGGACAAGGTGAAAGGAGATCGTGGTGTGACACACCCGGTGCGGTCGCTGCTTTGGCCAGCAATCGTCGCAAAAGGAATCATCGCATTGAACACATTTCCAGGCCTTGACAGCACACCCACAATCGCAGCAGGGTGTGCGCCCAGAAGGTGTGAGTTCAACTGAGGCGACGCTCATGCTTAGAAGATTGGCCGCAGGCTGTTCAAGCATTATATCGCGACGGTCGGCAAGCCTTGGGTGGATTTTGAATGACTAAACTGGGCTCTGAATTGAAGTAGAATCTCTTGTGTGGGATGAGTCAGGTATGCTCTTGGGTCCAGCTCTAGGCTATCTTAGGAACGGGGCAGGTCTTATGGTGTAGGTCTCGTAGTGTAGGTCTTGACGAGGCTCTGGGAGCCTGGTGCGAGGAAGGACAGCCCGCATGCCGCAAGACGGCGGGATCGACACCCATTCTTCTGCTTCAGGCTAGGCCAGGTTTCTCGCTCATTCTTTCGCTGCCTCCCCCCTCCCCCCCTTCCTTTTTTTGTTTTAGATTTTTGATCGTGATGAAGAACAAGGCTGCGAGCCTTTTGATGAGCTGCCTATACCACCAAATCCTGACAAAATTTCAACTTCAATCCTAGACGCAACGACTTGCGGTGTGATTTTAAGCGGTGAATCGTATCTGAATTTTATACTTTCATATTAATCTATCACCGGGTACAGGAAATAGAAGAAGGAAGGAGACAGAAGACATGAAGTTATCTGGGAAAACAGCTTCAAACTCGCTTTCGGACCACAGTTCTCTTCTAGTAAGGCTTCTATGTCGTACAGTTGTGAACTGCTGCCGAAGTATTGACTGCAATATCAGTTGCATGAAGGTGTGCTCGGCTTTGTCATTACTGAGAAAGGAAGGTGATCCGTAAGGAGGACGAAAATACCAGTGATGGTGTGTAGGTAAGTCCCCCTGAAAACATGTTGAGGACCCAATTGCGCTGTTCAGATCTGGTCCGGGGGGGATGCACGCTGAACACCCTATCCAAGTCAAACCCCTCCAACTCTAGTCAGCCGTTACTTGGTCTGCGTAACCTGAAGTCGATAAGGGCTCAGCGCCGTGCCGGTTGTGCGCCTACCTCTATATATAGCGGTTTAAAGAAGGAACGTCCTATTAAGCTGTCGCCGCGAGGAGATAACGAGAGGAAGGTAAGGCGGAGTAGTCTTGGTACGAGAAAGGAAGGTGATCCGTAAGGAGGGCGACAATACCAGTGATGGTGTGTGGGTAACTCCCCCTGATAACATGTCGAGGATCTAATTGCGCTGTTTCAGATTTAGTCGGGCTGATACACGCTGACCACCCTATCCAAGTTCAACCCCTCCAACTCCAAGTTGTCATGGCACCGGCGTGCGCCTTCGGTAGAGCCTCGGCTAGTTGTGCCATGACGATGTCTTGAGGTGATATTTATTACCCCGGAGTAGTTGTACATGTACTTATTGAGGCGGCCTAGACTGCTGAAACTTGAGGCTACGTGCCCGCCAAAAATAGCAGTCCAGACCGCGGCACATGTTGTTTGTGTGGAAATCCTGCGCGTCAGTGGCATTTAGACTGACATCGCCCTATTCCGAACTGCACAGTGTCACTATGAGAATGTTTGATTATGCAATCAAGCGGCAAGATGCTCGGTACCACCATGCGTTCGTAGGCTCGAAAAATTTAGAGGTTGGCTGCTGGCGGACACTTTTCGGACACTTTGAACAAGGCTTGGCTGGCGATGAACAATGGTGTTGGCCATAATAGTGGGTCGGAAACTTCTCGGAAATATCCACAGATCCCAAATAGGAGGGTTCGGGCATGAGCACTAGGAATCAAAATAACATAAATACGCTCATTGATTCCTTTCCAGAATTCTTGGAATATTATCCTCAGTCTCAGAAGCATCCCGTTCTGTCATTTATTCTCCTTCTCTGCATCCCCCCGACCCTCAGCAAGTTGCCGACTAATACCAAGATGAACACCAAGACTGCCGAAAGAGAGCTGCAGAGGATCTTCAAAAATGTCCCCAGTGCATTTGGCAATTCTTGGTTTGAGACGTTGCTCGACCACTCCCGGCGGCTCAGCGAGCCGCTGGCAGCCCGAATGCTGAGCCAAATGGGTCTCGGCAAGGCGACATCGAAGCCCTTCAAGCTGTTCGACAACGCCTGCGGATCCGGCCCTGTCCCTTCAGAGCTGCATCGGCTGATTCCGCCTGCCGTTCTCGCGCAGAGTAGCATCCTCTGTGGCGATTTCTCAGAGCAAATGGTGCAGATGGTGCAAAAGAGAGCCGAGAGCGAGGCCTGGACAAATGTCGAGGCCAAGGTCATCGATGCGCAGGTGAGACGCGAAAGAGCTCACAGCCCACGCTGCTAAGTACTTCTCACTCACTCGGAAGACGATGCTAACATGCTGGTTTAAGAACAATGGCCTTGCAACAGCAAGCTTCACCCACGTTGCGACAAACATTGGCTTTCATTGCGTGCCCGATTCCAAAGCTGCACTTGATGGTACGCACAGTCCAGAGACCAGAGCCTAAGAGGTGGCAATTAAGGGGAAAAACGCTGACGGGTATAATCAACAGAGGCAATCCGCATCCTGGAGCCAGGCGGCATTCTCGGGTTTACCACTTGGAACCGGGAGCCTTCGTGGGCGGCCGAGCTGGACGGCGCGTTCGAGACATTTCCCTTCCAGGTGCCCCCACGGGAGTCGACTCTGCAGGCGACAGGATGGGGTGACTGGGGTGACGTCAACTGGGTCCGCGAGGCTTTGGTGGAGCGAGGCTTGGAAGATGTCCGGGTCGAGGTATTTGCGCAACTTAGTCGCGTGGACAGTGTGGAGCATTTCATCAGCTCTTTCACCATGAGCCTCAACTGGATCATGAGCAGCGTCTGGAGCGAGCAGTTGAGAAACGAGCACGGCCAGGAAGAGGTCCACGGACTGATTAAAAAATACCTGGAGCGCAAGTATCAAGGGCGCCCCTGGGAATTAACTTGGGTTTCTATCGTTGCGACTGGTCGGGTTGCAGGGCAGTAGGATGTACAGTACAGAGTAGAGTTTAAATTACGGAGATCAATGTACGGGGATCCATACGTAAATGACAGGACCCCGCCCGCGCCACGTTTTCCCGCAGCGCGCGGGATTGATTCGTGCAGACCACGTGACGAGAACCACAAAGTAACAGAGGGGGGGCCGATCTTCTGGCCTTCCTTTGGCACCCGAGGCTCTGGGGGGGCTGGGCAGCCCATCATCGCGCGACGACGCCGCGGGCGCCTTTCCGGGACTCCGCTGCGTGCTTCCGACTCCCGCTTGTTATCCGCTCTCTGAAAGCAGCTGCCAAAACGCAAAGGCAAGGTAAGCCGGCTGTGTGCTTGAGTGCAGCACTCGGAGCTTCTGCTTTCCATCCCACCCCTTAGGCCCTCAGCTTTGAGCCAATACCCGGGCGCGACCGAGGATAGTGCATGCAACAAAGCTGACATGCGCATCCTATTGTCGCAGCAGCAGCACAGAACCATGGCCGACCCTCTCGGTCTTCCGCCAAACCAGTTCGCCACCCTCCTGAATGCCTTCACGTCCATCGACCAACGACTCAGTCGCATCGAGGCCGGTCTGCGACTCAACAGCAGCAGCAGCAGCAGCAGCTTCAATTTCGCGCCCGCCGCTCCTGCTGTCCAAGTCCCCCCCCCGCCTCACAACGCACCGCCGCCCGTATCGCTGAACTCCGCCACGGGCCCAACCGCCATCGTCCCCGTCGCGTTCCGATCGCTGGAGCCGCCCCCGCAGGGCTACGCTATCTCGTCGCGGGCCACCATGCAGGAAGAGCTCGACCAGTGGACCATACCTCGCGGCTACAGCATGCGAATTGCCGGCGCAAAGGTCACTGGCAAGAAGAAGGTGCGCTGGGTGTGCTTCCGGGGCGGCGAGGCCCGCCATCACCGAGCCCCCGTCGACGCGTCAATCATTGAGCAGGCCAAAAATGAAGGCCGCCGAAAGCCTACCACCGACCGTCTCTCCAAGAAGTGCGGCTGTCTCTTCAAGTTCGAGGTCATCGAAACAACAAAGGGCTCCGACATATGGGTCCTGCACTACCCCAACGAAGAGCACAAAGTGCACAACCACGGCCCCTCGGACCAGACTTCGGACCCCAGGGCCAGGAAACTGCCCTCCTATATGTCTGCCGAGGTTGACCAGTGGCTGAGAGAAGGCTGGCAGGTGAGCAAGATACAAGAGGAGCTCAAGGGCCGGGGCTTCACCAACGTCCTCAACACTGATCTATATAATCGGAAACGCCTCCTAAAAAAGGACGAGGGCCACATGCTTGGCTAGAGATTGCTGAGACGGTGGCCGCTTTGTGCCGGCGTGTGCGAGAACATTTTGATGTCGTTGCCCTCATGAGAGTATTGGTCTAGCGATGACGATTTCCTACCATTATACCCAACTCGTGGCTGCCTGACTGCTAGCGACGTATGATTTATGACTAAGAGGGCGTTTTTTTGGTGGATTTTGCTTGGAGTGGAGGAGTTCTGGGCTCATCAAGATGAGAAGGGATACGTACTCGAAACGAATACGGTGCGCGAGTCACATCTTACCTGTTTCTTTCCCGAGGAATTCTTTGTTATGTTTTTGCCGTGCAGGAAACTGCGGGGAAGGAAGATAAATCTCATAACTCAGCATAGGGCATGGACAAATAGAAACTATTTACGAGAAGGTGCTAGATCAATTTCGCACTCCCGAACCACTAGACACCCGTTTGCACCATCTACGCAGCCCAATTGGCGGCCCTGAAAGAAACAGAACCGGAATACCAAAACCAACCGAGAAGGTTGAGCGGAAAAAGAAAGCTATGGAGTCGCTACCAGAATTAACGAAGTTCCCCACCCGCCACCCTGCAAGCTGCGCTTCGCTATCGCTTCCGCTGGTGGACCTCCTCGACGCGGTCCTGCCGCCGCCGCCGCGAGTGACGCTCAGCATCGGGTCCGGGCCGGGGCTTCTGGAGGCGCTGCTCCTCTTCCACCACCCGCACCGCGCCAGCGCAAACCCCGTATCCTTGTACGGCGTGGAGGTGGACACGCCCGGCTGCGCGGCCCCGGTCAACCGCTTCCTGCCGGAACCGAACGTTGCAGTTGTCCCGGGCACGTGGGCGGTGGCGAGGGAGGCTGCTGCTGAAGCTGCTGAGGGCCTGCTGTTCGTGTATCCGCGCCAGCCGGCCCTCATGAGAACGTATCTACTGCGCCGCGCAAACGTGCACGTCGCAGTTTGGATCGGGCCCAAGTGTGATTTGGACGAGTTCACGGCGCCGCTGAGGGAGTGGGGAATAGAGGACGTGAATTTTGGGGGCAGGTTCCCTGTGTTGGTTGAGGAGGGAGAGGCTGCCGTTGTCTTTCGGCGGAGGGGTCTTTCAGCGGCGGCCAGCTAAGGCCGAAGCCTCACTTCAACACCGCTTTCTGGCCATCGCCATGCCCTGGAAATATGATGAGTGTGGCTTGTCATCTCGCTCAGCTGGCTTTGGCCGCCGGTGCTGGTGGCCGGAGGGCTAGTGTCGAAATCATTTACGAAGCTTGCACATGTCTTGAAATATGGATGCCCCTTTTGTTTCCTGTCCTATTTCAATTTTCTCCTTCCGATTGTTGCCATTTCAATCTAATATCTGCCCCTTGTATCCGGGTTAGGGTTAACTGTGCTTTCACACCACTGCGAGACCCCACCTCGAAAGGCTTATCTTATCGGCCACTCAACAGGTCACCTAAAATTCCATGTGCCACCACCTGTGGTTAGCGAACAATCGCGACCCTGGCATCCCAGTGACTGCGAAGTGAATCCCCATCCTTTGGGCGTTGCGCTAGATACCGATACCGGGAAGCATTATATATTATATACAACTCCCGCCACGAAGCACAATATCTCCAGTGGTGCGCGGCGAGCCTGTCCGAAGCATTGGTTGTCACTAGCCTCTGGCTCTGCGATTTGGCGCCCGTCGCGCCCTTCCAAGCTCGACGCGACGCCGCCCGGCTAGCCATCTAGCCACAATCAACCCCCCCGCGACCGAGAGGAGTGCTCTTCACCCGAACCGCAACCCCCCGAGATGGCGCCGCAGTCAGGCAGACCGCCAGGGCCGGCGAACAATGACCAAACCTCCGACGACGGAACCCCGATTGGGCCGCCGTCGGGGCTGTCCTCGATCCCCACCCAGTACATTTCCGAACAGAGCCTCCGACAAATGCTCAAGAGTATTGCCTACGACGAAGCGCGCGAAGACACATACCGCCTCAAGGGTGTCCAGTTAATAGACAGCGTTCGGGGAAGCCTACATTTGTATGTGGCAACCTCATTCCGGCCTGCCCGTGCATTGGCAGCCCACTGACGCTCCTTTCTCTAGGCCCGTGAAGACATTTGACACTGCGGCGGTTTACTACCACAAATTTCGCATACGATTCCCTAGTTCGGAATACAACTACGAGGATGTCGCCTTGGCGTCCTTGTTCGTTGCTTGCAAGGTCGAGGATACCATCAAGAAGTCCAAAGAGATTCTCTGCGCCGCCCACAACCTGCGGCAGCCCCACGACAACAAGACAGCGGATGATAAGGTGTGCATGTATGGCAGCATTGGCAGAAGATGTATGCTAACTCGCGACTCTAGGCATTTGAGTCTCCGTCCAGATTCACTGTTGGGCTAGAACGCCACATCCTCGAGACGATAGGGTTTGACTTCCGAGTACAATACCCGCAGAAACTCTTGATAAAAATGGTGAGGTCCATGTTCTCGCCGCGCGGCAACGAGGGAACAGAAGATGGGCAAAATTTCCTCCGCGTGGCGTACGACATGTCCATCGATGTCTACAAGACATTTGCTCCCATCAAGCAGTCCACCTTTACTCTTGTCTTGGCCATCCTCGAGCTCACTGCCCTCTTCACCGGCAAAGGCTCCGAGGCCGTCAACCGGTTCAAGGGATCGCAGTGGCACTCAAGTAAAGCCTCAATTCTGGAAACGATGCTGGATCTTCTGAACCTGTACACCCAGTTTCCCAGGTCTACCAAGGTTGGCGCCAGGTTCAATTTGAACAAGCTGATGGACGTTAAGATCGACCTCAACAAGATGGTGTCAAAAGAAGGGAACCAGCGATACTACCCTTGGTGCGACCGATGTGCGCAGGACGCGTTGGAAGCAAATCCAGTCACACCAGGCTCGGCTACGTCACCAGCGACTAATAATTCCTTGTCGGGCAGCAGCACAGTGAAGCGGAAGGTTACGGCCAGTGAAGGGACTCTGCGTTTTGTCTTTGACGCCGAGCTGGCGCGCAAAGAGCGAGACTTGATTGCAGAATACCACAATAACGAGTACGAAGAATACGAGGTCCAGGTGGAGGAGCCGATCCGGGAGACCGAGTCTCGCCACTCGAGCCGCAGCAGCCATAACCACTCGCACCGGAACCACGGCAGCCACAACAGCCACAATGACAACCACGGATGGTCGCCCTACCAGCGCAGCCGACACGGGAGCCATCAAAGCGACCGTCCCAAGGGCCGCAAGACCTATGCCTACTATTGAGCTTATATTGTGCGTCTAGTGCCGCGTCGGTGGGCCTTTTATGTTTACAGGACCTCGGAGTTTCGGGCGGGCCGTGATACCCAGTGCAACTTCGCTTAGTGCTGTCAATACAACTCTCTCTCAGCATTCCCCATTTCCCAATCACGGGCTTGCAGAACTATCCTTGGTGGTGCCACCTGAAACAGCTTTTGCCGATAACCCGGCTCCGTGTCTCTGTGCGAGAAGATGCAATACCTAATATTGGATACGTGACTAGTTCCACTGTCTATGTTCAGCTTGCTCACTGGGTGTCGAGACGGAAAGCTCAACCCCTCTCTTCTTGAATGAGGCAACGAGCTCGGAAATCAGCTCTTCTACATCAGTTTTCCACACAAAGCGCATATCGCCAAAGATCGGAGATGTGACTCTGGTCGCTCTCAGCGTCTTTAGCCGAGTATCGCATTCGGCCAAGAGGGTAGTCAACATCTGAGCCATGAATATCTCGGGTCCAAGGTCATTGACAAGGGGCGGGTAATAGTCGTGACCGGCTACGCACCAGAAGTCAATGATGTGGATGGTGACGAGTGACTCCGGGAGCAAGCCCATGTCGAAAGCCCTCTCGGGTGTTTGCCGACCGAAAAGAAAGGGGGACTCTGCGACCAAGTGTTTAAGTCGTTTCATCTTCCCCAGGACCAAGAATAGTTCACCCCCGACATCTTGGAGCTCCCAGGTTTCTCCTGGAGGGCTGGTAATGTGTAGCACCTCGAGAGTGTCGGCCAGCGCAGCCATGCCGGCCGTAAAGTGTGCATCTACGACCGGCAGCGGGAACATCATCCGGGTTCCGAATAATTCGGCGTAAAGGGCCGTAAGCTGAGGGAAGATGGCGGCCATATAATGTATCGTCTCGTTGGGTTCGGAGGCGGAACGGAGGACAATCTGTTTAACCCTGTTGTTGGTTATCTTGGGGTGGCTCCGCCAGGGCATTCCGCCCCTGACCTCGATACTCTCCAGCAACGGGCAGTTGAACAGCAGCGGCCACAATGTACGAAATAAATGCCCGCGATTCAAGGAATGTCTTCTGAAGCAATCGATAGACGCGCTTCGCAGATTTCCCAAGAATCGGTATGGCAGGGGCGCCTGCGGATTGTGCAGAAGGTCCTGGGCACAAAGCCATTCGGATTCGCCGAAGGCTGAAAATACGAACTCAACTCTGGGAGTAAGCGCCAGCAAGGCTCCAGCAATGTATCCTGAACCTCTTAAATACTCGGTCCCTAAGTGCCGGCCCAGAATCTTGTCCCCGTCGCCATTGTCTTGAATATTCTCGCCCGGCCAGTCGGGATGTTCTCGCAACAGTTCTGACATCCACGTATCGCCCGCCAGCAGCGCTGCCATTGCTGTCGCAGCCGTGGACTTCAGCGGTGGGTGTCTCCCGTCCGTAACGGCACTGTATAGCATTGTCCTCCTGGCTCTGCGCGTTCTGCCGGCCTAGACAACCCCGCGAACAAACGGCCGCGGCAGCGGAACCGTCGCCAGTGTGCGGAACAGGCAGAGCAGCTGCCTGCGGTTCTTGGCTACGGCCACCCTGTACAGAAGCAGCGTAGCAATGCGGTTGAAGTGCCGGCTCGTCCGGCAGACGCGGGCGAGCGTCCAGCTGCCCTCCCTGTACGGCTCCGTGAGCTACGGCCGATCGGCGCTTGGCCAGGTGTAGGCGACGGGAGCGACGGTGGTCACGGTCCCGGCAGGCACGTACTGCTCAAACACCGCTGCCTGTAGCTCCACCGGGAGCGACAGAAAGCGGAAGCCCGACATGGCGAACGAGCTGTAGCGACGAGACGGCTCTGGGTTTGGGACTAAATCTACTTTAATGCGCGGAGAGCTTGATGCTGGAAGTCTAGATTTGAAGATGGATGGGTCTCTTTTGCCTGGTGCGTTTCCATGTGTGAACATACTGTACTTGTACTTTAGGCACACCACTCGGAATTGCCCAGGCAGTTCTGTCCGGCGGATGGGTGTCATGCACGCTAGACTGACTCCGATGCAAAGACACCGCAGCGATTGGTTGGTTTTATGCTGGCTGCGCTTTTTATGGACATCCATTGTTTCCAAACGCATCAAAATTAGATGCGACTAGTGAGCTTCATCGAGGGATTCTCAAGCAAATCTGAGAATGAATTCAGGGGGTCTTTAACAGACTCTACATCCAAGTTCAGAGAAGTGCAAACTAGGTCTTGCATAAGAGGTTTGCTGAAAGGGCTAAGACAGATGGGGCACTATGCATCCCAAACAACGAGATATGAAAGAGAGGATGAAGATTGTACAACGGAGGGTATTAGAGCACGACAGGGTCCGTTACTGATCGGTCTCTGTTGTTTCAATCAATCAGATCCGACACCGGAGTAGGTAATCTCTTTGACTTGTTGAGAGTTGGCGGCCTGGGACGTTCACTGTTTGATGAAGGTATGTTGTTGGTCAGTTTCCAAATGAAGCGGCCATGACACTGGTCCACCAGATCGTGCTTGAAGATGAATTACAAAGACAACGCATAATCAGTAGCGCACATATATATATCGTCATTCAATGTAATTACAGGTTCACAATTAAGCCGTAAGATTGATTGTCAGCCCAAAGACCGGGCCGCAGAGTGAAAGAGTTAATCATCTCGACGGCAACCCCCCAAGCCACAAATTACAATTACCCAACTCTCTGAGTTCAAGTACCATAGACCCGAATTTTAGAACCCCCAGCAGAGTCTTTGAGGCTACATCTTGGTAGGCCTAGATTCAATGCTTTTATCCAACGGCTCGAGAATGTCGAAAGACTGTTAACTAACTGCGAACTTCTCACCACGACCAGGGCCGTCACTACCTAGACCCCTGATACAGCCAAGAATACCCTATCAAAGGCATGTTGGAAACTATTTCGTCCAAAGTCACTATTGTTTCACCTTGACTCGAACTCGGGGGAAACCGCCGCGTAGGACCCTAACCCTAATTTAGAGTTTCGGCTGTCTTGCGATTTTGTGCGACATTTCTCTCTCAACTCCCGACTGCTAGTGTTTGTTGGTTGGGATCTGGTCGCTTTCAACTTTCCAGGCCTGCCATTAAACCTACGACCTGCACCAATCTCTCGAGTTTTGAGTACCCGCCAGCCTTCTTTCTTGCGTTGTTATATCCACGGCGGTTCTCAGAATAGAATTAATTGCTAGATTCACAACCGGAAATTCAACAGTCACTCAACGTTTCCTTGACAATGACCATCAACGCCCCCTCGGAGGCAGCCGCGCCGGCGGTGACAGTGGCCGCGCATCTACAGGCAGCCCTTCCGCAGGACGGCAGCCGGTCCGAGCTCGTCGCCTCGGTCATCCCGTCGCTGCTCGAGTGCGTGGCCGACATCTCGCGCGCCCTGCGCGGCGCCCAACACGTGTCGCGCGTCGGCACCGCCAACACCTTTGGCGACGACCAGCTGAACGTCGACGTCGTCGCCGAGGGCCTCGTACGCGCCGCCCTCGCGAGGTGTCCATCCGTATGGACTGCCAGCAGCGAGGAGGACCCCGTCGAGCGTGCCGTGAGGCCGCCAGCCGAGCAGAGTTCCGAGCTGGCGGAGCAGTACACGGTCGCCTTTGACCCACTCGACGGCAGCTCTATTATCGCGCCGAACTGGTATGTCCTGTTTATCTTTTTTTTTCCAGCGAAGGTTCATTTGCCAGCTCTTCGGCGCTGTTTCAGAGTCTAAATCTTTTGATTACCCAAGCCAGCAACTGGAGAGAGTTGTCTGGAATATTCATCTCAAGTTTCTGAAACAGAACAGGAATCTAACACGTATCTATGCAGGACTGTGGGCACCATTTTGGGCATCTGGGACGGCAAGTCGGCGCTGGGTCAAGCGCCCGCCACAAAGCAGGTCGCTGCAGTACTCGGCGTGTACGGACCGCGCACGACGGCCATCGTGGCGCTGCGAGTCAAGGGCACGAAGCCGTCATGCTTCGAAGTCGGCCTGACGGGCGAGTCGTCATGGGAGCTGGTCCGGCCCAGCGTGTTGCTGCCGGCGGGCCGCATGGACGTCGCCATGGCGGCGGCGTCGGCGACCAAGGTCAAGTATTTTTCACCAGCCAATCTGCGCGCGGCGTCCGAGGACGAGAACTACCGCGGGCTCGTCGAGCACTACATCCGCCAGCGCTACACGCTGCGCTACAGCGGCGGGCTCGTGCCTGACGTTGTCCACGCCCTCTCCAAGGGCAACGGCGTCTACCTGTCGCCCGTCGCGCCGGGGAGCAAGGCCAAGCTGCGCCGCCTGTACGAGCTGTGCCCCCTCGCCCTCATCGTCGAATGCGCCGGCGGCCGCGCCCTCGACGCTTCGACGGCCTGGGATACCCTGCACGTGCCAGTCATGAACTGCAACGAGACGGCCGGGCTCGTCTGCGGCACCGACGTCGAGGTCGAGCTGGCCATCAAGACCCTCCTCATCGGGAGGGTCGGATTTAAAGTGGACGTTCCGCCAAAGGTCGTAGCAGACGGTTCTCCTCTAGAAGTTCTGCTGAGTCGCCAGCAGGGATGATGACTGAGCGTTGCTGCTGGCGGTGAATTTCACGCTTGTCGAGATCAGAGATCCCCATGTAGCATGTTACCAGGCAGGGGCGTAGCCTCAGGTCATGTTCGTATGAGAATCACGATTCCTTAATTACCTTACCTTGTGCTTATTCTAGACCTAGATGGCGGGACTCGGCTGGCTTTGTGTCTAGATTTACACATTGGTATTCGCTCTGCTTTGGGCCGCTGAAATGTCTATATCGATGATTTTGTTACTGATGAAGTTCTGTGCTTCTCATCTTCAAGAACGAAAGTATAATCGTCAACCACGTCTAAAGACCGGAAGATAGATACTGGGATACCACTAGGCAAGGCGTTCCTCTTCCGTTTACAGATCCATATCTTGGCCGGGGTCATCACAAACCAAGCAATTCCCCAACAGATCCCTGTCCCGGTTGCGACGTGGAGCAATGAACGCGGCGCCAATACGACACAAGGAACAGCTAGCATATTTATTCCACTAATCCGTCCCCAAGACGAGGGCCGCCAAGGCCACAGATGACCCCATATAGTGCAGACACAATTAATCCGCCACATAGCGCAGGATATATTTTCCAGGGCCCAGTTTCTCTCGCCTCATTTAGCGTGGCCATATGCACACTTCTCTCGCAAGCGGTAGTACCAGACAAGGCAATATAGGGAAGACTTTAGCCACACGACGATGTCCACCACCGCGGCCGTCTAATAAGGCTAAATACAAGCAACCTACCCCAGACTATCCCCCCGAATAGTGCCCGTGCCAGACCTACCTTAGCTGGTCGGAAAGAAACCCGTGGGGAAGACATTGCGGAAGGGAAGGAACGGAAATTCTGTATACCTATATTAGTCTGCAGGTGCAACACTGCAGCTGCGGGCATTCCCTGGAAATGCCGTCCGCCTCGGTAGATGATTCTTGGCTCGGGCGTATAAAGATGCTGTGGCGCCCAAGGTGTTGACTGCGTACCGGGTTCCTGCAGCCTGAGGAGATACAATATTGCCCCTTTTCTTTCGCCCCTTTTTTCTCTCGTCCCCGGTACTCGGATCGGTGGTTGCGGCTGCGGTAGGCAGGGGATCGCCCGGACAGCTACGTCAGTGTGTTGGCCTAGTTGTAGATAATACGGTGCGGGACAAAGAGCTGTCGACTTCGGAGAGCTGTGCCCCTTTTCTTAGAAGAGAAAGGAAATGGCGTCGGCAAGAACGCACCCTCTCAGAGGTCTCGCCGTGGCCCTGCTGCTGTCACTATCATGCCTGGCACTAAGCACGGGCGCAAGGTCCATCGACACAACAGTACCTGCCGCTGACATCGCGAAGCGCGCAGACCCCTCCCTGGCGGGCTACCTGGGCGTCTTCTTCCTCGGCGCGGACCCGTACGTGTACTTCTACCTCAGCAGCGGCAACGACCCGGTCGCGTTCAAGGCGCTCAACCGCGGCGCGCCCGTCATGCGGCCGACCAAGGGCACCGGCGGCGTGCGCGACCCGTCCATCATCGCCGGCAGCGGCGCCGACGCGGGCAAGAAGTGGTACATTATCGGGACCGACTTGAATATTGGCAAGGTAACCAGGTTGTCTTGTGGGGTTTTGGTTAGGAAGGAGGGAGAGGGTCTTGTGATATTGTGACCTATTAACTAACACACGCGCGTGGCAGACAACGTGGGACGCGTCGCAGCGGACGGGGTCCAAGGGCATCTTTGTGTGGGAGAGCACGGATCTGCTAACGTGGACCAACGAGCGGCTGGTCACGGTTGAGGACAGCACTGCCGGCATGGTGTGGGCGCCCGACGCCATCTGGGATCCCGCCAAGGGTGAGTTCCGATCATCCCGCACCACGTAGACTAGCAGCCTGGCAGTGCTAACCCATGCACACAAAAAACAGAACAGTACCTCGTCCACTGGGCATCCAAGTTCGTACGTGTCTCCGGCCGCTACCCAAAGCCACGCCCAGAGACTAACACCCCCTCCCGTCCCAGTACCCAACCTCCGACACGCGCCACACGGGCTCGCCGTCCAACATCCGCATCCGGTACGCGCACACGCGGGACTTTGTCACCTTCACCACACCGCAGACCCTGATCGACAAGGCGCTGACGGACGTGATTGACCTGTCGATCCTCCAAATCAACGCCACATCATACGTGCGCTTCCTCAAGGACGAGAGCAAGAAGAACGTGTTCGCCGAGGTGTCATCCTCAGGACTGTTCGGGGCGTGGACGCGGCCGGGCGGGTCCGGCGCGTACATCGCCAGCGGCGTCGAGGGCCCCGCAGCGTTTTGGGACAACGAGGTCCCCGGCAAGGCGCACTTGCTACTGGACTTTTACGGCGGGGATGGGTACCGGCCGTATGAGAGCACGGTGCCGGGGAGCAATAGCGCGTGGACGGCGAGTAGTCGCTCTGCGTTCCCGGCGAACCTGCGCCACGGCAGCGTGCTGCCCGTCACGCAGCCGCTGTACGACGCGCTGAGGGCTAAGTGGGCGTGAGGTTTAGGCCTGAGGATGTGCTGCATGAAACGGTAAAATAAGGAACCAAGTCAAGTCAAGTGGAGACGGATAGTGTGTTCAAAATTGTTTTTTGTATATATATTCCAAACATGCGTTGCCTTGTGGCTGTTGACGCAAATATAACCAAATTAAAAAGGGGCGCGCCAATATCACAGCCCCCGCCGACCCCTTTTGTCTAACGCCATGCAATTTCATTCAAAGCTCGCCAAAAAAAAAAAAGAAAAGATGACCCAAAAAGAGAAAAGTAGGAAAACACCTCGACGCCAGACATGATAGCCATACCATTATTGCTCGCTCGTTCCCCATTACCGGCCCAAACTAGACATTACACCGGGTGGTCCAAATACCTAGACAAAGCCACCCCAGCTCACGGCTGGCTGACCCAGACAATCTCGGGGCCGGCAACGGTGACGCCGGGCACGTCCTTCATGGCGACGTCCTTTTTGCTAACAACAGCAATCCAGACGTGGCCGTACAGGTCAGCCGGGACGGTGGTGGTCTTGTCGGCGGCGAGCGGGGTGAACTCGAGGTCGCCCCAGGCGCCCATCCAGGCGACCCACTTGTCGCCGGAGGCGGAGCTGTCGAAGGAGACGGTAATGGCCGTGGTGCGCGACTGGTCGGGCGTCACCTGTTTGTCGGTGACGGTCAGGGCCGGGTAGGGCGAGCCGGGCATGCCCGAGATCTTGGTCGGGCAGTTGGGGTCCGACACGTAGTTGGTAATGACGTAGCTCCACGCGAGCTGGACGGGCATGACGGCCTCGCGCGGCGCGGCGGCGGCCAGGTGGTTCTGCATCATGTTGATGACAGCGGTCATGCGGCCCTTAGAGCCGATAGTCGAGGCTAGCGGCGCTAGCAGGTACGAGTCGGACAGCGGTACCTGGGTGATGCCGTCAATTAGCGCGCCGATCGCGAGGAGATTCAGCTTGAGGGCGGCGGCTAGGAAGTCGTCGACGCTGGTCGTCGGCAGCTTGAAAGAGCACTGGTTTCCCAGCGGCTTCTTGAAGTGCGTCAGGCAGTCGGAGGTGGTGCTGCGCTGCACGAGCGTCTGCGCCGCCATGCTGCCGAGCGTGTTCACGATGGCGCGGGGGTACACGCTTGACCACGAGCCGTTGTCGAGCCGGCTGTGCATCTCGAACAGGAGGTTCGCCTGCACGTCCTCGATGAAGAGCAGGAACGCCAAGAGCGCCACCGACGTGTCCGTGATGGAAGAGCCCCAGCCGTAGTTGCTGGGCTGGCTGCCGCCGGCCATGCCGTAGTAGTAGGGGTCTATCGGTGTTCCCGGCGCAGGCACTGAGGCATTGCCAGCGGCAGGGTTGGCAGGCGGGGGAATGGTGGCATCTTGGAGCGAGTTTCCGTTAAAGCTGGTAATGACGGTCCCGTTGACGGTGATAGTGCCGCCCAGGGGAGCCTGGGGGGGAATGGTGCTTGGGGGAGCAGTGGCAGCCTTGGCAATGTAGGCCTCGAGGGTCTTGGCGCCAGATGTAGCGCTACAGTTTGCGTGTCAGTACTTGGGTTTGAGGAGAGACGCTTGTACAAGACTTACGCGTTGATGCTGCCAACCATGCCCTTTTGGCAGTGGGTTCCGACAATCTGGCCGCAGTAGAACCAGATTGGGTTGGTGTCGGGAACGACGATGTCAAAGGTGACGCCCGACGGAGAGACAGCCGTGGGGATGAAACCGCTGCTGAAGCCCTTGTCAAGAGGCTGGCACGGGCTGTCGAAGCTGGACTGGGTGACGGTGTGGTTCTTGGGGTTGTAGCTGAACTCGATCACAGTCCGCGGCGGGGCCGTGATGTTGTTCGGCGAGTATGTCAGGGTCCCGTTGAAGCCAACGATGACGCTCAGCTTGCGCAGTCCGCCGACGGGGAGTCCATCAGGGGGTGAGCCGCTGGGAGTGGACGCCTTGAGGGCAAGATCGCTGAATGCTTGGAACGTGTTTGTGCCCGAGGTTGGTCTGCTTGCGTGTTAGTGGATTTGTCTGTCTGTCTGTCTGTCTGTCTGTCTGTCTGTCTGTCTGTCTGTCTGTCTCGACTATTAACTCACGCATTGATGGCGTGCACCATGCCTTTCTGGCAATGGTCGCCGTTGGTTTGCCCGCAGTAGGCCCATATGGGCTTGGTGTCGTTGATGGTGATGGTGAAGGTTGTGGGCGAGGCGCTGCCGTCGGTGGCGGGATTCGGAGTGAAGGCCGAGAAGAAGCCGCCGCCAGCCAGAGGCTGGCAGGGCTGGGCAAAGCTCGACTGGGTTACCGAGTGGTTCTTTGCAAAGAAGGAATATGTCACCGTGTCGCCCGGCGCAGCGCTCAACGTCGGAGGGTCAAACACCAGCTTTGCGTCTTTGCCGACTGTGACCTGGTGGTTGACTCCGGCGTAAGCAGCAACCGCCGCCGCCAGAAGCGGCAGCGAGAGCAGCGAGGGCGCTATCGAGAAGCGCATCTTGCCTTGCTCCTCTAGCTCGAGTTTGTGATGGGATGGAAGGAGGCTTTGGTGTTGTCTTGAAGTGTCAATAACACAAACACACGTTGGAGTCTTGGAAGAGCTATCCGTAAAGAGGTGGGTAACCAAGAGATAAAAAAAAAAAGGTAGCTTTAGAGCTTGGGGGCGGTCATTTTTAATAAGGATCAGGATCGCGGGCATGGGCCGTCAGCAAGTAGCAAAACATTCATAGGTCCATACGGTTACAGTACGTACATGCGCAGTACATACAGGACGGGATCGTCCCTCTGGTGCCGGCGGTGTCGTGTGTTTCCGTGGCTGGATTGGATGGATGCAAGTCAAAGTCGGCCAAGACCCAAGGGTACCCCTGCAACCTGGGACTAGTGCGCGTCGACCGACAAACAAAGTTACAGGGGGGTGACTGCTATTTCGGGCTGGCCAATCCGCTAGGCCATCGGCCTGCCACACGCCCGCTCCCGGATCGCGGGAGAAAAGCGTTCCCCTTCCATCCAAAGTGGCTGAGCGGCCGTTGTTCTCAACCCGTACCGTACAAGCGACCGCCTCCCGCACAAGTTCTCGACTGCGCGAGTGGTGGCTGCCGATCCTGCGCCTTGGCATCTAATGTCCTGACCTTTATTTTAGCGTATTTTGTTCCCAATACTGTCAAAGTAGGGCCGCTAACTCTGAACGGCAGCCAGCAAGCCAGTCCAGGCCCATCTCACAGCGACCCTCTCTGAAGTGTCTCAGCCTCACGGATCGAGAGTCCCCGCAAACTGACGGCGCCACCACGGCGACCAAAGATTTTGACGGGCCGAGCGACTTGGGGATGCCGAGCCAGACCAGACCTCCCGCTTTGGTGACCGCACCTCCCTACCGGTCAGTCAGAGTTCGTATCGTTGAAACACGCCCGAGTCCCGAACGGAATGTCGGTCGGGCAGCTGACAAGCTCAACTACCTTTCTCTCTAGTTGTCTAGCCCCCACGGAACCTTGATACAAAAGTTCTCCCGGGGCCGCCTGTCGCGGGTTTTCGCCAGTCAGAGTCAGAGCCAGACAGCGCATCCATGTCCGTCTTCGTCTTGTTGCCTGCCTGTGGCATAACTCGCAGACTAAGATTAGTATGACCATGATTATAATTATCATTACTGTGAAGGGCCAACGGTGAAATTTCCCTGCTTATCCGCCTCCGCCGCCGCTAGCGGGTAAGCGCTTGACCACAATAGCACAATGCAACGCTTTAGCCGCGCCCTGTTTTGTCCCTCCCAGTCCCAGACAGACCCAACCCAACCTCCACCCATCGCCAAGTTCCAACCCGGCAGTGTTTGGGGCGCCCACCCACTGTTGGAGCACTCGGCGCTGCACTGCAACCGTACAACGAGCGTTGGGCACGCGTGCCACACGGCTGCATGTGTAGGAAGTAAAGTGCACACGGCTAGTCCATGCTTACTTACATGCAATACATATTACAGTATTGTACCATGATGACACCCTGCTGCTGGTGGATGCCCTACACACTGGCGGCCTGTCATCGCCTGCCGTGGCCTGCCGTGGCCTCTGCCTGTCCCAGACCCAAACTCCCCGGCTCAGTTAAATTTCCCTCTTGCCGGGAGTCACGTCTTCCGTGGTCTTCAGCCCCCTTCCCTCCCCTACCCTCCCCTCCCCTATCTTCCCTGAGGACCCTGGCAGGCAGTACATACTTAGTATAGACGTCGCCCTCCACAGGCCCTTATCCCGACTGACGGTATATCCCTGCGACGCTCGTACTGACCCGTACTGGCAGCAGCTCGCTCAAATACCCCACACTGCCCAATCGTCGTGACAAGGGCTGGTCTGTCCGTCCCATCCGCTCTCTTTCTTCTTTAGGCCTTTAATTTCTCGGCCTCGAATATAACCTGTCGAGAAAGCGCGCTCCCGTCTCCGGAAACATCATAGACCTCGCGAGTTCCTTTGCTTTCTGTTGTTTCCCTTCAGGTTTCTCTGTCTGGTCCCCTATCCCGTCGCAAACATGGCGCGCTTCCCCCTGCTCAACTTCCTGCCCGCTGTCTTCTCTCTCTTCTCCTTCGCCTTGATCCTCGTCGTGCTTCTTGCCGGAGTGAACAACACATTATCGAATGTCTTCTTCCTCAAGGTCAGTTGTTCCACCGTGCGCCGGCAAAGTATCTGGCGAACCCCTACTAACTGAAGCCCCCAGACCGACACAACCAATCTCAAAGTGCCCCCAAAGCTCGGGAACTCGACCTTCCTCGCCGGCCTCTCGGCGGTCTCGGGCACCGACTTCGTAGGCCAAGACGCCACCGCAGCCTCCCTCGGGCTCGCCAACACGTACACGATCGGCGTGCTGGCCGTGTGCGGGCACTTCGCAGACGGCTCCGTGTCGTGCTCGCGGCCGCAGTTCAACTTCTGGTTCAACCCGGCGACAGACCTGCGGCTCGACAGCACGTCGCTGCAGGGGAACTACCCGCCGGGCTACCTGAGCGCCATCTCGGACTACTCGCGGCTTAACCGGTTCCTGCCGGGCGCCTACGTGACATCTGCGCTCTTCGTGTGGGCCGCATCGCTCGCGGCCTGCTGCTCGGCGGCCCTGGCCGCCGTCGTCAGCGTCATCGCCACGGTGGTGCTGCTCGCCGCCAGCATCGGCGGCATCGTCATCTTCAAGCACCTCAACGACGCCATCAACGGCAACTTCGCCGCCTCGGGCCTCAGCAGCTCCCTTGGCAGCATCCCCACCGCCCTCAGCTTCGTCGCCTTCGCCTTCGCCCTGCTGAGCTCCATCGTCTACGTCATCCGCGCCCGCGACGAGAGCTCCGGCCGCGGCAGGCGGCGCGGCGGCGGCGGCGTCGAGGCTCGCAGCGTCGGCGGCCCCGAAAGCGGCTACGGCCCCGCTGGCCCCGCGACCGCCATCCCCGGCGAGAAGCCCTCCGGCGCTCGCGGCCTGTTGAGCCGCCTGCCGCTCGTCGGCGGCATGGGGCAGCAGCGCTACACGCAGATCGAGAAGCAGCAGGACGCCGCCTCTCAAAAGGAGCCCATGCTCGCCGCCGCCGGCGGGTCTCCTGATGGCATCCGCCCCAAGCGCCTCGAGGAGGACTGGGCGGCGCCCGATGACTTCTCTGCCAATAACAATAGCAACAACGGCAGCGGCCAGCCCGGTGCCCGCTCCGCGGCCCCGCCCGGTATCCCTTTTCTCAGCCTCGGCGGCAACAAGCCCGTCAAGGACCTGAACACGGCGTACGAGCCGTACAGCAGCACCACGACGGGTACGGCGCAATAGGGTGAAGCATGGTAGTTGGTTGGTGTGGTTAATGGCATGGTCGGGTTTCTTCCTGTGGTGTTTTTGTTGTCTTTCTTTTTATTGTTAGGTATTCTGACTTGGGGGCTTGGGCGGCGGCGGCGTTTTGGCTCTCCCTACAGTCCGCGATGGCGGCGCGAGCGTTGTTTTAATACCATTTTAAAGGGGGAAAATATATAAATAACTAAACAATAACTCTTTCGGTACCGTTTAACGGTTTGACTTTGCGCAGTGCCGCGGCATATGTTTAGTTGTGCTCATAATGGCTTTTACGTGGCGATGGGTATAAGCCATCTCACTTTGTTGGTGGATTTACACGCTGAAAGTCGCTGCTAGAGTAGACGGAGGAAAATATATAAGCAAATAATCGCGGAAACTTGAAGAGGTTTTTGGTGCAGTAATGCTTTTGCTTCACTCCAGGTTGTTGCCATGGTAGCTTCGCATTTGCAGGTTGTTGTGAACGGGTTACGTTCCCGGTAATTTCTCCAGAGCTTTATAGGCATATCATATACCGAACCCTATTTACTTCCAAGCGCTGGTGGAGATATTGCGTAACACTATGTCTATAGACTAAAGTACATGCTGTCATAATCCAAAAGCTCACATAACCAATTCCAGGCGGCTTCGTCCGTCGAACGCACCATCCAGTCCCAACAGTTGACCTCGGGCCACTCGTCCTCCTTGCATCTCTCCATCTCCCACGGGTCTCGCAACGTGCTCCGCCAGCCTAGGGTGGGGGGCGCGTCAATGTGCCACTCTACCTCAGATCTCGGAAAGCGCGCCACCTCCCTGAATCTGTCCTTCCTTGCCACCTGCTGCTGTTCCCATTCAGCCAGCTCGCCTTCATATCCCTCAGCCACGATCTCTCGACGCTCGGGCTGCACCGCCTCTGCCTCTTCCTGGCAGGCGTAGATGAAGTCGGCCAGATCGTGGTCCATGGAGCGAATGGGCAGGCCGAGCGCTCTTGGCAACCGGTAAGCGGCGCTCGGCGGCACGTCTCCCGCCAGCGTCAGCAAGGAGAGGTTCGGGAAGCCCCCTTCCTCGAGAAGATCCAGGAACCTGCTCGCCAAGGCAACGCAGTGCTGCTGCAGGTCCTTGAGATTGTTGTGGTCCCACTTTTCGCTTTCCTCGAAGCGCGGGATGTAGTCGGGATCAAACCGGTAGCATGTGTCGAAGACGATTTTCTGGTGCTGCAGCTGCAGGCAATGTTTCTTGAGAATCTCCAGCATACGGGGCCAGCCCCACGACTGCCACTCCCTCCCCTCTATCAGCTCTATATCACCGGGGTAGAATCCGGATCTCTCGGAGCATGACCACGGCGAGGGCGGGTACACGACGTCGTCCAGTCTCCGCCGGTTCGGGCAGTAGCAGTTGAACTGGATCTCGACCTCCTTCACGAGGTCCAGGTGCGTGTGGTACTTCAGCTTGTACAAGGCCGTCCTGGGCCGCAGCTCGAGAGTGCGGTACCGCCTCGGGCGCGCCTCGCGCCTGATCTGCCTGCAGGTTCGCAGCAGTCCGGCGCCGGCGTGCTCATGCTCGCGCCACGATACGAAACGCCTCTTGCTGAATGCCAGGTCGTAGATCTTGTCACGAATCTCCCGGGGGAAGTCCAGGAAGCCGATCTTTGGTTCCATCTTGACCTCGGGCTCAGGCTCGGGTTCCAATGTCATTGTCTCCAAAATCTCGTCTGACTTCCAGCGGTCGTCGTCCGGGTCGTAACGCCAGTTGTCGGTCTTGTCCCCGAGATCGGTGCGACGATGTACCCACAGGTTCCAGTTATACTCCTTAGGAAACGTGGGATTAACCAAGGTGGCGGATATGAGATCGTAAAAGTAGCCGTCAGAGACACCAGGTTGCACCTCAGGTTGTATTTTCCAAGAGAGCCCCTTTTCGAGATGGTACGCAAGTTCCTTGGGCACATTGGTGAGAATAATCTCCCTGCAGAAGGTATAAGAGAGGAGGAAGTCGGGCAGATATCCGAGTAATCCGTCCAGATATTCGCAGGAGCGCGACTCGTCTCGGCAACAGGAAATCAGTTGCACCCGAATGGTCTTCAAGTTGACCCTGTTCTTAAGCAAAAGTTCGAGCGCCAGTCCCCAGCCACGTGTCACCTCGTCCCACATGTTTTCGGCGTTGTCGCAGCTGCTCATGCCACCACATACGAACTCAAGTGAAAGGTCTCGAATATGGCGGATATGGGGGCCGGCCATGTTTTGTATATAGTTCCACTGAAAGTATGGATGGGAAATGACAACATCCCGGTAGATAGCAGCGGATGCCTCTTCATAAATACGCCACGAGACAAGGAGCAACTCTTGGTCGGTGCTGGACGCGATTCTATGTCTGCGCTCCAGGGCCTGCGGCCCGTATTCGGGAATCCATCACTTTCCCACGTAAAATATGCGTTCATCTCCACGGAAAAAATGGTGGTAGATTTTCTCCCGCACATTGTAGGGGAGGCCAAAAAAGGCCAACTTCCGCTGCTTCTCTGCCATAGCAGTCGCTGATGAAGGGGCCAGGAGCGCCAAAGTCTGTCCAACTTTCTCTGGTGCTGACTGGACGTCCATTTTCGTGGATTTGGAGGCCTCGGTTGTTATTAAGTACACTAATGGTTGTAGTGTATATAGACGCTTTATACTAACAGAATGTTAGACAGACTATGGATTAGGTTTAGATATGTGCAGGAAAATTGGGGTTCGAAATGGTAGTATAAAAGTATAGTACCTAGGTATCCGCAAAGAAAGATTGCTGAGTGAATGGAATTCCCGGAGTAGGTAGGTAGTCATATGCGGTAGCGACTGGCGACGCAATGATGCGGTTGGCGAGATTGCTTGCGCCGTGTGATGCTTGTGCCGTCTGATATGCGCTGCAGGAGGCAGGCTGAGCTAGAGACAAGTATGAGTCAAAGAATCAGAGTGTGCGCGGCAGCGGTCGAAGAATACCAAATAGCAAGCAAGGTTGTATGAGAGAGTAGAGAAAGGAGTAGAGGAGGGGAGTAGAGAAGTAGGAGTAGAGGGTAGAGGTGGTGGACGGTAAAGAAGTAAAAACGGTAGAAGTAGCGCAGAAGAGAAGTAAAATAAGTGAGCGAGGGGCAGACGTGGTAGGGGGGAGCAACGAGCCTGGAAGCCTGTGTGATATAGTCAGTTGCGTAACAGACTGGACGGAGGTCGAGGCCTATCTACTCAAATTTGCAGACGGAACGGAGAGGGAACTTACGTCTAGCGATAGGGCAATCCCCGTATTGGAAGACGTCAATGCGACAGGAATGGAGAAGGTAATGGATATACTCGATCGCCGAAGAGGGCTATGATGGGTAGGCCAGAAAGGTATCCGGCCTGTTGCTGGGGCCGCCAGACGATCTTATGGGGTCGTGACGTCGAGGAGAATTAGGTTGTAGGTTGAGAGTTGGAAGTTGAGAGTTGAGAGTTGAGGGTTGAGGGTTGAGGGTTGAGGGTTGAGAGTTGAGGGTTGAGGGTTGAAGGTTGCATAAAGAAGCTGGAGAAAAAACTAAACGAAAAAGTTACGTAGAGGAGAAAGTCGAGAAAGGGTCACGATGACTTCATGGCCGATGGGGCGGGGCAGACCCTACTCTAGATGTACATGAGATTGTATGCCCAACAGATGATTGTTACCAGACGAGAGAGAATACGAACACGCTAAATTTGAATCTTGATTGTTCCGCCAGCGGCTTCATTGAATAATTACTGTTCAGTCGTTACTGCAGTTTGAAATCTGCATTAGTCTTCTCCCAGCCTTTGGGCGTCTCGTCCATCGATGCCACTTTCTCCGACAACTTAATCTTCAGGCTCTTTGCTCTCTCCGTACACAATTCATACATGGTTGTCAAGTTGAACAACAGGGTGTGCGAGGAACAGCCCGAGTCCACCAAGCTCTCGAGTAGAGTTTTGCCCTGAAATGCGTTAGCGCCCAGCAGACGGGAATGGCCGCGACTAAAAGAAAGATTAACATACCTCCCGCATCCTCCCCACATATAGCAGGCAAACCGCCATGTTAACCCCAATCATCTCGTCGTCCGACTGCTCTTTTAACTCTCTCCAGCGTGCTAGTGCCGCCACATACTCGCCGTCCGCCATGTCACACAGAGCGGCTATCGTCTGTTCGACAACCTCGTCCACCCGCCCGGGTTTCATGCACCGCCGGGCGGCCTCGACATCTCCCAGATGGAGCCACAGCAGCGCTTTGGCCGTCGCCATCTTCCCGTCCCCTCGGTCCTTGAGCGATGCAAGATGATGGGCGGCGCCAGTGAGGTCGTCCATCTCAATCAGCGCGCCGACGACCCTGATACCGAGATCCGCGAGCCTGTCCTTCCAGAGCTCGCGGGCCGAGTTGTCATGGCGCGCAGTTGCCTCGGCCAGGCGATCGCGGGCCTCCCGCGCCAGCTCGTAGTAGCTCATGACGGCACGCCGGGGGTCCCCAAAGCCCATAGCCTGGAGCCTGACGTTGATGACGCGCAGCTCCCAGGGAACAAGATGCAGACCCGTGGCCTCGTCGACGTAGAAGGAGCTGTTGAGGTCTTCGAGCGTCTTCACCTCCTGCGCTGCAATGGGCGTAGCATCAATGAGCGTCAGACAGGCGAAGCGCGTGTACAAGAGTTCAAAGATGAGGACGTGGTCCGATGGGTCGGGCGGCGCGAGGCCACCGGCGCCAGTGAGAGCCTGCGTGGCAGAGATGGCAGCCGCGCGATACTGGCCCCGCGCCAGCAGATCTGGGATCGACGTGTCGGGGGAGGGCTGCTTGGGTGAGTTGCGGAAGGAGGGAGGGACATTGAGGGGCGTCAGGGGATGGTAAATCTCAGGGCGGAGAAGATAGGAGAAGTCCTTGGGACGTGGTGTCATGCGCCTGGGAACCGGCGAGTGAGCCGCCGACCGCGAAAGCGGGGAGGCGAGGCCGGGGCTTCTTGCCGGGCCCAATAGAGCCATTCTCTGGGATTGTTGAGGCGATAGGGGCGATGGCAGAGGCCCTCTGGGTCAATGTCAGGAAAGCGCAGACCCCAGGCCGACACATCTGGGCAGGAGCGTTGCCAGAAACGGAAGGATGAAGGCACTCACTGGTCCATGTCAAGCGGCCCTTTGGTCGAGGAGCGCGGACGTGTTGCTGGGAAGTGGGAAATTAGCTTCGGTGCCTGAACCTTAAAACCCAAGCCTGGCCAACCAACTGCACTCGGAACAGGCGAGAACGAAGCTTGGACGCTGTCGCGACTGCCACTTGGCTACCTCAGCTGCCGTGCGTCCACGGTGTCGCTAATCACCCGGCGCTTCCCCAACCCATGCCCCAACCCGATCACCCCCTTCCAAAAGACAGCGACATACCTTTGACGCCAGATTTTGTCCGGGCATGGCCCTTTGGGTCCTTTAGAGGATCCATGGTCGAGACTGCCTCACTTGGTAAGCTGATGCTTGTTGGATTGGTCGTCGTGGGAATGCGCCAACGCCGTTTGAAGGAATGACGTTGAGAAAGGTGGGTCCAGACTGTGGCAGGCAGCTGTGGGCAGCTGTCAAGCCTTCAATGGCCTAGCACAGCTGCCTGAAGAGGTTTGAGGGAGGCGGACCTGAGGTCGATGTGGAACAGTTGCCAGATTTTATTTACATTGCAATCTCATTATGCGGGTTATTCATCTTGTGCCCGCTCATTAACACGCCCGGTGCACCAGTGATCTAGTGATTCCGTGAAGCTTGTCTGGCTTGTCTGCCGATGAACATGTTCAACGCCATGCGCCCTCGCCTCGTCCTCCGCCTCGCCCTCCTCATCTGTTACGGGGATCGTGATTCTATATATCCTGCTACTCTCCAAATCGGTTTCTGGTTCGTTCGTCGTATTGGCCGAAGCTCTTCGGCATTCCAATGCCGGTGTTGCGTTATCCTTTGTTGCATCCGCCCTCCAATCTCTATTGCCGGGATGCCAGCCGTCCGACGTTGTAAGATGAACGTTTGACTTCCTGACAACCTTCGCTATCAGTTCTGCCATGTTCATTTCGATGTGGAGCTTGACTAAGTATGCCAGGGGGTGGGCTTGTATATAACTGTAGTACCTTTCCTTGTCAGCGCGTCATGCATGGGTGGCGGAATGGACAGCAGAAGGGAAGGGGGGAGGCTGCTAACACAGTATCGTCGGGAAGAGACATAGTGGCGATTATCAACACCTGGCCATGGCATCATGTTAGCTGTGTCGGAATTGGACATTGCCCTCGAGGGTGTGTGGGGGCCATGCTTACATCGATCAAGAGCGACACACAAACTATGGACAGGTTGAAGCGGTAGACGCGCTTGTATTTTGTCAGGCCGTTGGCAATGAGCTTGGATCGCACGAGCCACATAAAGTATGCGTTAAGACTTCCGTCGATGATCAGGAAGAGCCCTTTCTCGATACGATCCCTTGATTGGTTACGAGTTAATACTTATCCTTTTGCTCATACTAAATACGAACAGGGAACTGGAATCTCACCATATTTTGTTGGCTTCAATGAACCAATCGTTGATCTGGAGGCGCGCGGGAATCCAGATGCAGAACACGCTGATGTTGATGAATCCTATGGCAATGCCTACTCCCCATTTGAGCCTCCTGGACTTTTCGGGGTTGTACATTATGAGAGAGACTCGGTTCGCCAGGATCTCCATCAAGCACTGGACCTGAGAAGCCGTCAGAATGTCCGTCGAGACGCTCTAGCTACGGCGGGGCCGGGAGTCTTGTACTGACCTGAACCGTCCACATGACGACTAGACAGGGATAGGCATGACGTTAGCACTGGTCTTGGCCAAGGGCGGTCATACAAGAGATAATAAAAACGGGAAAGGGGTGGGAGAGCTTACGTATGCCCATGAAATACCAAAAACTGCAAAAAATGGTTAGCAAAACAACGCTGGCCAGAGAGGAATTGAAGCCTTCAACATACCTCGGCTTGATGACACCGATGAGATAAAGCCAGCTACAAATGGAAATAATGATACAGCTAGCCCACTCCAGCCAAATCATGACAATGTATGCGCTGAGTCTGTGCGACCGTGACCATAGAGACTTGCGTGTCCATGAGCGGTACGTCTGTCGGAATCCCTTGGCAAAGGTGAAGATTCCAATGGAGAGCGAGAACCCCCAGAAAAACGTCGCTATCAGGATGTCCTCGTAGCGCGGGGTGGCAACCTTGAACCAAGGTGGGAGTAGATTTCCCTTCATGCTGTTTGCTTGGCGTTGTGTGGGTGTGGTGTCTGCATCCCGGTGTGCGTCATGTCTCGCTCAGCCGCCGAGATGCTAGAGCTCTGATGCTAGATCGAGATCGGGTCGAGGAAGCAAATGTGAGAGTCCTAGAAAAACTTATCGTCTACTTCATCATAATAATATGGTGCAAATTCGCATGGTAAAAGAACGAAAGAAACGAGAGAGAAGATTTAAACAGCAAGACAAATGCTTTAAGGGCCGTGGCTCGCTCTGACTTAAAATGGCCTAGAACTGTAGCGAATCTCAGACCAAGGGCTCGCCAGCCTATGTTCAGCGCGTCATCACGCCATTCTTCGAGCTCGTTCTCGACCTGAGCACCCAATTGTGACGCGAAACGTTCCAAAAGATTCCAGGGTATCCATGAATATAAAGCTGGAGAGGTTGTCGGCCCCAAGCGCACCGACTTTATAGAACCCCGACGGACGTCCGAAAATCACCGAGCGCCTAGAATAGAGTTTAAGGTCGTCAAATAGCAGCGTTGAACCTGTAACTCCACACCGTTTCGCGGGGCAATCTGGTGGAGACACGAACCACACTCCTGCATCTCGGCACAGTTTAAGGTTCGACATATCGTTGCAAGACAAGCATCAAGTTTTTGTCGTAAGGACCCAATCTCCGCAGATTGGCGCCTGATCCACAATAGCTTTATCAGCGTTCTAAGCAAAGAGATAGCAAAGCCTGAGGCCTGGATACTGAGAGCTATTCTATTTCCATTGGACACATCCACTCTAGCTTGAGGTGTGTGACCGAACGTCAACATAGAAGTCTTGCCGTCTGTTCATCGTAAAGTCTCACACTTGAATGATTGATGTTAGCTACCTTCGAGCCGATTACCATCCTAGAAACTCGCCAATCTGAAAACCCGAGTGTTTACTATGACCCAGGCTCTCAACGGACCCTCATTTGACATGGTTTGAAAGAGGTTGAGGTGAAGAATCAAGGACTCGAGATGCCTTCTGAACTGTTTACCAGTGGCTGAGAGATAACATGGAAGACAATTCATTGACCTGAGATAATGGCAATAATTTACGGTGAGCACGTTCCAACCTCATGAGCAAATCTTCAAATAACCGCACCTCAAAGAGTAATTCCAGTTAGTCTAATTGATCCATGTGAATAGTGTACCAATGAAAGTTGGCGAATACAAATCAACCACAAATCTAATATCAGGGAAGTCCTTTTTTGTACTCTACATAAGATATTCTATAATTACAAGTCTTCTAAAGAGTAAAAAACCCAAACGTGTCATATAAATCGTCATAAACCCAAAAGCCTACATCTCTCTTCTTCATCCACCCCAACCTCAACACTCCCCAGCGACCCGCGCTGACTACTCGCCCCGCCGCTGGGCCTCATACATCTTCATGGCCTGCTCCAGGCCCTCCAGGCTCGAGCGGTCGCCGTACGCATCGGCGAGCAGCGACTCGCGGCGCCTCCTCTCGGCCTCGGCCTGTTCCGCGGCTACCGACATGGCGAGGTGCTTGTCGATTTGCGCGTCGCGGTACGCGGCGACGCCGTAGCCGACGCCGACGAGGGCGACGATGGGTGGTATCCTTTCCTCGCCGAACAGGTCCAAAGTCAGCTACCCCTAAATAGGGAGAATCCAAGAGTTGATGGGGGAGGTCTGGAGGAGGGCGGCAAAGATGAAAGGGGAGGGCAAACCATTTCATCCCCTGTCCGCGGGAGGCATTGTGCAGGTACGGGAGGTAGCTTGGGTGCACCCGGGCCGAGGTAGAGAGCAGGCGTGCTCCCGGTGTCGGACGGCTGGCCATGGCGAAGACTGGTGGTGGTTTTGAACGATTTGAAACGTGTCGCTTGGTGTAGTAGGCCAAGGGAGATCTTGGGACGCCAAAGGAACGCGCCAGCATTTGTGTTTGATGGCAGAGAGGAGGGGAAGATGGGAGGGAGAAGGTCTCCGAAAGCGGCAGTGTATCAGAATTGCATCTGGAGACAGCCTGCTTTTTGTGTACTGCCAAATGTGCACATAAAAAGGGGGCGAGAGCGAGAATGAGTCAACGCAAAGCCCAATTCAGGGCGGCATAAGGAAAATCGCGAGGACGGCTGTGCGAGTGGTGTGTGAGCCACGTGGGGGGGTGATCAGAAGCTCAAGGACCTCCAACGGCGCTGGCCGCATCGGCAGGCTGTGGTTCGACGGTGTGCACATGCTGCGGGGCAAAGGAAGCTAAAGCCTGGGGTGCACAACCGAGGCAGCCCGCCAAACAGCCCACCCATGCCGGGCGTACCCTCGGGCGACCGTTTCCCCACACCTGACTGATGGCCCCCGAATCCCCTGATTGGCGTGCGATTCTCGGGGCCGATCGCGCCGCGGGGGCCTAAAAACCCTCGTCAACTGTTGTCCAGATGAGAAATTGAGAAGACGAAAGGCCGTTGTGGCTTCGGCCTTTGTAAGCTGGGCCACCGCTCAAGCACTGCAACACGCACAGCTGATGTGGTATAAAACCTGGCTCTAAGACGCTCTAGTTATTCTTTTCCTTTTCTCTGTATCCCACCTCTAGGCCTCTGGGCCCAGGCCCCCATGCCCTAGCACCAACAAGACTTCAGCGGCCGAACTCAAAATGCCGCCCGCAGCCCCTTGCCTCACCTCGTTAGCCCCCGTTCCACAATTCGTCGCGCCAACTCACGACCGACCTCGGCAACGCGACGACAACCCGAAACGAGCGATATCGACGTCTTCGGACACACGCCGAGATAACCAAGTTTAGCAACTTAAACTCACGGCCAAGGGGGTTCTGAGGTAAATATCCCGTTGTTGAGTAACATACTGACCGACCACGGGGGGCTCGACATGCAATGATGGGATGGTCTCCGGAGCATATTTTGGATTGGAATGGCGGTTTCAAGTTACATCATCCGTGGTGCGCAGCGGCAAGGCCGGCGCGGAGTCAAGGTTTTCACTCAGGTCACGAGGGCGGATGCCACCATCGAGAGGGAGCTTTTCGGGGGTTCATACAGAAAGCGTCGGCGCGGTTATACGGTATCGAGTTGCGAGTTTCGGTTTCGTCTATTCTAATTAGTTGCACCTGCCGGGAAATGCTCGAGTCGGCGCGGCTCGGCGATGCGACAGCGGGCGGACGGATTGGTCGATTCACTTTGGACCACGACGGGGACGAGACGCTACACGCCTATATCTCCTAGCATAGCAATCAACTTTCCGAGAGTGCATCAAGAATCGACTTCCAGGGAACTACTCACTCGTCAGTATATACTAACGGATACACTAACCAAGCAGCTCGGGAGTGGGCCGTTTGTCCAAAACCGGCAATAAGGGCTTCGGTTTATACCTACCTTACCTGACGGATTATGCCCGCACGGCAGCTGCATTATGCAGAACTCGCTCGTCAAACCGAGAGCCGTCCAGTCAAGGCCGGCCAAATTTGCCGATCTGTGGAGATGCCGAGATAGCATAGCGACATTGCGACCTGGGAAGCTGTGTGGCATACACACCCTCCTCTCCAAAAGTAGCATGCCTCAACCCGCTCATGCTGAGGAAATTCGAGAGCCATCTGCCATACCCGCTCGTTAAGCGGCCAAGAGACTGCGACCCCGGAGTTAGGTGCATCGATACATCCCTCGAAGCCGCCCTTTGCCAGACGGATGGCGGATCACTCGCCCCCTTACACACGCCATTGGGTACAGGCTATGCTTGCGACACGGCCACGGACGTCTGATATTAAGCGAACGTGCCGCCGGAGTGGCACACATATATTAACCAATATGCCAATCATATACCCACCGGTCATCCGTTGCAGGTTCTTGGCGGTAAAGTTGTGGCATCTTTTTCATCCGTTATCCATTCCAGACGGTCGTCACATCTTTTTCTCCGTCGTCGTCCCAACCCGGCTACGATCTCCATTCCAGCGGAATAAGCAAACAAACCCCAGCATAGACCGCCTGACGTGTAGCTCACTGAGATTGAGTTTGCCCTAGGTCTAGGCCGCTCTGTACGAATTAGATTCCGCCTTTCCGATTGGCCGCACGAGTAATGAACAATCTCGACCGAGATGTCGAGCCGCTTTCACGAATCCATGGCAGCGGCCACGGACGCCGCACCGATAAAGATGCCGTCCCCAAAGAGCAGCTCGCCCAAGTTGTCGCCGCCCAAAACTGAGAACGACGACGGCAGGCCCGACGACGTGATCGAAGCCGAGGACGGGCTCGTCGAGGAGGACGAGTTTCTCGCCGAGGGCTGGGACGCCTCGTCGTCAAACGCATCGACATCCGTCACGTCGAGCGTTTACCAGCACGCCTACGAGAATGGGCGGCGCTACCACGCCTACAAACACGGCCGATATCCGATCCCGAACGACGACCTCGAGCAGAGCAGAGAAGACATGAAGCACGCCATGATGATGGAACTGACAGTGCGCCCACCCCCCTCCATCTTGATTAACCAAAGTTACTTCCATCGAAGCTAATGCAGGCACTGCGGTCACGAATCAGGACGGCAAATTGTTCCTCGCGCCCATCGGCGACAACCCGCGGAAAATCATCGACATTGGCACCGGCACGGGCATGTGGGCCATCGAGATGGGAGACCACTTCCCCGGCGCCGAGATCCTCGGCCTCGACCTGTCGCCGATCCAGCCGCAATGGGTGCCGCCCAATGTGCGCTTCATAATAGACGACGTCGAGGACGAGTGGGCGAGCGGGTCCGGGTGGGACTTTGCGCACTTTCGGACCATGGCGCTGGTCCTGCGGGATCTGCAGAAGGCCGTCGACCAGACTTTTCGGTATGTCCTCTCGAGGTTTCCATTCTGATTTTCTAAATTGTCACTTCTTTACTCCATCTTCGATTCCGCAAGTGCGGGATGTCGATGGTTGGAGGCCCCAAGGGGGAGAAATAATCAAAAGGAAAAGAGTAAAAAAGAAAACAACAGCAAGGAAGGAAACTAACTGCTGGGGCGTTGCCGCCCGACACGCGAAACACAGCCACCTCAAGCCCGGCGGGTGGGTCGAGTTCCAAGAGTCGTACGGCATGCCCTTCTGCGACGACGGCAGCATGGACGAGGAGCGCGACGTCATGAAGCAGTACTTTGCGCTGTGCGGCGAGGCCATGGCGCGCTTCGGCCTGCAGCTCGACCTGGGCTCGCGCGTCGGCGAGTACCTGGAGCGCGCGGGCTTTGTTAATGTCGCGTGCGTGCGCAAGAAGCTGCCCGTGGGCACGTGGCCGCGCGACAAGACTCTGCGCCTTATTGGTCTTTACGTGCGCGAGGCGCTCGCGCAGTCGACGGCGTCGCTTGTGAAGGTCTTTGCGGGTATCGGCATGTCCGAGACGGAGCGCGAAGTCTGGGCCGCAAGGGTCCGCGAAACGGCTAGAGATAGTAGCATTCACCGGTACTGCTATTACTATTTCTGGTACGGGCAGAAGCCTGAGGAGAGCGACGGTGCATAGTTTAGTGGGTCGGGGGGGTTGGGTTGGAGAGTCGAAAAGAGGTGGGAGTGTCTGTTGATATTCGGCATCAACGGCAGCGGAATGGGAGGGACGGGGAAGGACGGCAACGCAAAGTATGTAGCACGGGCGGATGCCATGCCACACAACACACAGAGTGCTGGCAAATGAAGCCCAACACACAATCAATATCGACACAATATTCAAGCATTTTCAAGCATTTTCACTTCCCTTTTGAGTGATTCACGTAATTAGGTACAGGGCCAACCAATCAGTCCATTCCAGCTCTTATTACGAGTTAAATGGCACAATCACTGTTTTTTCTCTTTCTTTCATGTTACTATCTTGATACGTGAACCACCCGGCGACTGAAATATTTCCTCACAAAGAAACCAAGTGCATCACCAAAACCGAACCAACGAGCGGTATTCAAACCACATCCAGTTACAACACTACTCTTGTTCTCTGATCTCTCTTCAAAGCCAGCTCTACCTATGCAGTATGTACTGACTGCCTTAATACTCCTCCTCGGCAGTAGGGGTCTTAGCCGGCGGGGGAGGGGCGCGGGTCGGACGAGGAGGAAGCGGCTGCTTGCTCGGGGTCGGAGACGGGAGGGGCTTGCCGGCGCTCCGGGTGGGGCGGGGCGGATGTGGTGCCTTGGAGGGGCGCGGGGCCTTGGTGGGATGAGGGTGAGGAGCCTTGGTGGGGTGGGGCGGCTTCAGCTCCGCGCGAGCCTCGATGGCGGCATATTCCTCGACCTCGTCGGGCACGGCCCGGGGGGGAGGGGGGCCGCGAGACGGCGGCCGGGGAGCCCGCGTGGGAGGCGGCCGGGGAGCCCGCGTGGGAGGCGGCCGAGGAGCCCGCGTAGGAGTCGGGCGAGGAACGCCTCCGGTTGGACGAGGCCCGCGGGACGGGACCGCGGCCGTGGGGTGGGGAGGAGGGCCGCGGTGGTGTCCCGTGGCCGTCGGCTTGGGGCGGGCGTCAACTTCAGCCCCCTGAGCGACAGGGACAGCAACGACTTGCTGGATGGCCGCGATAGCGGCCAAGAGAGCAACGAAGATGCGAGTCATTTTGATAGAGTCTGCATAGACGACGGGAGGCTTTTGGATAGGTGATGAAGTTGCTGGCTGGTTGATGTGCCTGGCTTGAGCGAGAACTAGACTCGGACGTCATGGTGGGCTGGCTTTTATACATGGATGCATTGAGCGGAAGCGAGGTTGGTAGCTTCTGTCATAAGCTCTTCACGCCGCGCCTTCACGTTCAGAGACTACTTGAAACCCGTAGACCCTTGCTTTGCTTTGTTGCCATCTCAGGCGGAGGAGACAAAGGTCAACAACGGCAGCAAACCAAGGCCGCAGATATTGAAGGTGCAACGTCAGGTAGATGGTGTGACGAGGCTTTTTGAGCACATCAGCCGGGCCACTGATGACCCAATGAGTGCTTTTCTCAGTGTAGGACACAAGGCCCCCTCCCGCTGGTGTCGGGGTCAAAGCTGCGGGCCCCCAAGGTGAATGGAAGAATCGACCTATTACCCCCGGACGCTGCGTATAGATTGACTCCTCAATATGCAGCCCGTGTTAGTAACGTCGTTCCCGGTAATATAGGGGATGAGGATGCGATGGGCTATATGCCTGCCCAACCAGAGCGGCGGGGTTATCATGTTGGCTCTGACGCCGGTGCCGTCCCTCATATAGCCAGATTTGAGCCTGGCTTTTGCCCTCCAGGTGTGTGCTGTGTCTTTTTTTAGACCACATAGGACCGTCAACCCGGTCAGCCATGGGAAGTGTTCGAGACCGTACGGGTCACAGTCCTGGATTTCGCTCGCTCCCATTGCCCAAGCCTTGGGGTCAGGGCAGCTCCTCAATCATGAACTGATAAGACATGTTGGTAAGTCTTGGCATCGATTTAGCCAGTCAATTGCCGGTGATGCAGTATACTTACATTTCAATACCAAGCCCTCGTAGTGGGGCCATTGTAACCACAGGAATTGAGGTCGACGTAAGCTTATCGAAAGGAGGCGAGATAGAGACTCTTGTCTGCCCTGAAATCTGGGCCAAGATAGGGTTGGTTGGGTCGGGATGTCAGGACTAAACCACGCCACGGCACCACCAATGGGCGTCGGTGCCGGCCAGACAGAGTGTGTTTCTGCCCTCAATACCAATGCGGGGGTCGCATCGTGAATCTAGATGCGGCATCGGCTACCAGACGACTTGATCAAGGGGCTAGTGCAGTTTTCTGGAAAGTTCGACGGTGTGGGCGTGAACAAGTGACGTGATTGTGCGAACCATTGGACCATCTCGTAATCGAGATTCGAGTTGACGTCGTCAATCGCGGACAACAACTCTCCGCGGCATGCCGTGGAGAAGATAAGCCAGAAACTGGAGAAGGAGCCGTGTGTGTTTGTTTTCACGATCGCTTCGATGCAGCTTGAGGAGGTCCGGACCTTAGCGAGGTTGCAAAAGGCTAAATTCCAAACAACCCAGCCCTCTCTCGCTAATGTCGCCATGGTCTCTCCCCACATTCCGGGGACAGCGGACTTTCGGACCGGAGCGGCAGCCCAGCGAAGACAAGGCAACCAGGGGAGGCGGCGATCTGGGGAATATCCTTGCCAACGTTGCACACCACCAAAAAGGCAACCACACCGAACCAAGGCCAAAGAGTAAAGCCCGATATAAACGAGAGCTTCGAGTGTGGTCAGCGTAGCTGCATTTGTGAACAAAGCGCTAATGAATTAAGAGAGCGCTGACATTCGATAGGTTTGAGAGGACAATTCCTGGTTCTAGTCTAGCATAACACCGCTTAATATAAAGTAATTGAAGTCATATGCCGAGTTTATCGGACTTATCATGAAGAGTAAGGTCCGAAATGATTAGGTTAGACGCTCGAAAGCTGAGGGCAGATACTGGCAGTGTGCGAGGCGTGATGCGCCGATTCTGTATTGCTCCCATGCTCGGGAACAAGAGAACCATAAGGAATAGTATCAATGGCCCAGTAGGTACGGCTCCCATCGGCTGCCGATACAAGCCGCGGTGCAGTTGCAGCACCATTAGTTCAGGCTTTCATGTACCTTTTTTTGCAGATTAATATTATTACGGTCCGAATACATGGACGATTTCTACGGTCCGAGTAGCCCGACTCTCTCTATATGATTGGACACCATCCATCACAAATGAACCGTAGCGGGGCACACGGCAGACCTCTTCAGCGAATATCTACCCAAGTATTAAGGCACATTGATGATAAACCGGGAAACACTGTTGGGCGAGTCCCCAAATCTGCGAGTCCCCAAATCTGCGAGTCCCCAAATCTGCGCTACTCAACAGGCATTTATGGTGCAATCATACTTATCCCTTTTAATTTGTGGCTGGAGTTCTTCGCCTAATAATTAATTCCAAAACCATCTCGGCCCCTGGACTGAACGAGAACCTTTTGCCAAAACTAGAACTAGGAATGGTCCCTTAATTATTATGAGAAGACGCAGGGTTCTGAGACCATTATTGAACACCAAACTATTGAACTGTTTCTGGAACTGTAAATATTGGCAAGAACAGACATTCACATGCATTGAAGACTCATGGCACCAATCAGTGCACGATCCGAACCAACATGGTAACACAAGCTGCAAGCAAGGTCCATTCCCCAGACGCTAGGCAGAGGTAGAGAGGCAACAAGACCGTCCGTTCTGTCGCTAAGGCTCGTGGCTGTTGCGTTGATTGCTTCCCAAGCCTGAATACGGGGGATGATTTCGGAAAACCAATGACGTGACTACATACTGTTGGCCAACAAGGCACTGTTCTAGCCCTCCCAACTAAGGTAGCTGCATTGGCTCACCAAAATTATAGGGGGATGGGGGGTCGAAGGCTGGATGGATACCTTGCATCCGCAATTATCTGAGCCTCCAGGCCTTCTATTCTACGTCTCTGTTCAACTTATTCATGCTGTCACCTGGACAATCGAACCAAGATCAAATACGAAACGATGGCCGACGCCGGTAGCCACTCCTCGGGAGAGTACAGTGGTGTTATCGAGGAGGCTAGTTTTAGCAAGAGCGGCAAGGCTGACGGCATGGCCGCTGTAACTTCATTTGGCAAAAGCGTCTAGGACGTCGGGAAGGTTACGAAGGAGAGCAGAGAGAGACCAAAGGAGAAGGAAAAGACAGAGGAAGAAGAAAAGAAGAAGGGCTAAAGCAACTGATGGTGAGGAGACTGTGGTCACGGGTACCTTTCTGGAAGACTTGGCAGTTCTGGTTACTACCACGCTCTCGAACCCATTTCTTGCAGTTGCAACCTGGAAGGCAATCCGACGTCATCCTACTCCTTAACAGCTACCTCTTTGTTGAACAAACGCCAAAGATCCTCCATATAACGTTCCTTATCGGCAAGCTGCTTCTGAACATTCCCCGGATTTTCACACCAAAATTCTGAACCGACCTTCTTCGCTTCCAGAGACGGATATCCTGAGGGGCAGATTTGGCGCGGAAGAACGTACAAGGCGTTCATAGAGTCCATACAGAACCAAAACTACACTCCTTTTGACTCCCACATATCGTGCATGGCCCTCGCAACTGAGATGTCATGATCTGCCGCAATCTTGTGCTCTTCATCCTCCAATACATGCAAAAACCCTTGCCACGCCATATTAAACTCAGAAAATTGCTCTTCTGTTGTTATTCCGTCAATATCACATCCGGTAAGTCAGTGGGTACCGCGCGAGCATCTCAGCAGGCAGAGCGCAGACCCACTCAAGGTCAATTAAACACGTAATGTTCCATTCTTGGTCCACGAATATGTTGCTTGCATGTAGATCAGTAAACTGGAGAAGGAATGGGCCGTTACGCCATTCCCGTCTACTATAACGGTGGGAGATGGCCTGCAATAAAGTTTTAAACGCTATTTGACCCCGGCAATCCTCTTCATCATCGACCGCGTTTGGCTGGCTGAGGAACCGATGGTCATGAAAGGTCAGTATATCCGATCCTCGTTATCGCTCTGGTCGCTATCATTTGACTCGTCGCCGTTATTTAGCTCGTCGCTCGACTGGAAAATAGCGAAACTGACGGTACGGTTACGAGTACGCCTGGCTGGTATTATAGGCTTAGCTGGTATCATACGCTTGGCTGATGTTACACGCTTGGCTGGTGTTATACGCATGGTTGGAGTCGCGACTTTAATAGTACAGGGGTCGAGCTATACTACGAGTCCTTTCCAGAACTTATCGTATACGCGTTTGCCGTCATGTAAGGAAAGAGCACCCCAAGCACCTGTCAACGTGCGCACCCTTGCGCGCGCCCACCACCTGGCACCAACTGGCCAGACTGCTGCCGGCTGGCATGAGCCACTAAGCCAACGCAGGGCGCCCTGCCTTCACAAGCACACCCGGGACCGAGCCCCTGAGCATGTATATAAACAGTGGCCCTCGCCCCCTTCCTTTGCGAGGGCCAGGTTGAAGTCTTACCCCAATACCAGTCATTGCTCGCCCTCTCTGTTGCCTCCATTGTGACCACCTTGATCCGGCGTACCTGCCTTTTCAGGGCTTGCTGCGATGAGAGACTTGGGGTGAGCTGCTTGCTCTTATCTCATTCTCATTCCGTCTTGTTGGATTTTAATCATAAGGCGACTTACCTGAGCCCTTCTACAGGGTTAGGAAGTATGGCATGCCATTTGACACTCCTGCGGGTGGGTGCTTCGTTTTGTTTTCAGTAAATTTCAATTAGAGCAACCAATGATGTTGAACAGGGAAGGAGCTGATTAGCACCTGGAATTCCACCTGAGTCACAATAGCACTGGCACTCCACGCTGACAGACTGTTACGGTTGATCGCGACTTCCCACGGAATTGAAATATCAATAACAGCAGAGTTTTCCCGCCTACAGTTCTTTGGTGGAACATTGAGATAATTAGGATTCTGGACCTTCCTTCACAGTTCATCTCTCCTCCAAGTTGGAGAGAAAACCTGAGGCACTCGGGCCACTGGGTGCTTCTATTTTGCGGTTGGCGACTTGCAAGCCCATGTTCTATTCTTATTCTCTCACTGCCTGTGCTTCAGAGCATGCCTCAGCGCGCTCTCGTCGTCACGGCGACTGCCTTAGAAGCTTCCCGTCTTCCTTCCATTATGTTAATCAACACGAAGAAGGATGCTTGAGTTTGCGATTGGGTACCATCCTACCAAGGCAGATATTGAGGTATCTATGCAAAAATCTGTGATAGAGACGAAGACCAAGTACACACTCCCGCTCAAGCAAGGAAGGAGCTATTCAATTATGGGAGACGTGACGTCATCCGAACCAACCGCTCACATTTCGTTGGCCAGTGCCATCCGCAAAACCAGGAGTATTATGGCACAAATCACTTGCTTCTGCTTGGGATTTGTCAACAAACTCGTCATCCAAGACGCCGACAAGTCCCTCTGACCAACTCTAGCCTCGCGATAGGACTGGATTGAAACAGCTTTGGCTGGCGCTTAAGGTAACATGCGATAGCGCGCTCGCAATGCATCTCACATGGAAGTGGAAGCCACTTTGACGAAACCTTTACTTGAAGTGAAACGTCGCCACAGCCATAAACCAACCAAGTCAGCTCGGTCAAAAGGGTGTCAAAGCGCTCCTACATATTCGGGTCTAATTATTCAAGAGTAACCACCATTTAGTCTAAACGAAGCCACCCGCTACGTCCATAGTCTGTTTCTAATCTCCAACTAGCGGCTGCAGGCACACATAGCGACCCATCTTCATCACAGAAATGGACAAAGTAGGGTTGCCGTCGGCGACACGCTGCTGCAAAGAGGAAAACGACGGCTTAGACCTCTCAGGGTCTCTACAAACATGTTGCCGCCCACAACAACAGCCCTCGGCTGCGCCGCTTCAAGAGCCGTAGGTTCCCGAACTCATGCTGGTCGGTGATGTACGATTTAGGAGAAAGGAATCTTGCAACGTTACGATTGTCGGTCGCCGTCGGGAGATGGATCGTGAACACACGACCACACGGCCCCTTATCGCTTGTCACGGCACACGGGTTCGGTGATAAGACGAGGGCCTAGCGGCCACGGCCAGGTTCGAGGCTGGCAAAGGTCGCATCCAAGGCCACCCCCTTTCTCCCCTCTGCGTCGAAGTGGCACGCGTGTGCCTGGAAGCACGGGGGACCTGGGCGCGTGGTGACCAACACGCGCGTTAATTACCTGCATGCGGTTGCAGCAGATGCGGTTTGGGGTGTGAGAGCGTTGGAGCATGGTCGGTCTGCTAGTCCGCAACAGGAAGCTGCATCGGCCCTGTAAGGGGGTCACTCGGCACTGCACCCAAGATCTGAAGGGAACACCCGCAGGCAACCTCATTCCGTCACTACTCTCAGCTCCAGACCGACGTCCGATTAGACTTTGTCTCAAAGAGAGGCAATATGGCCGAGATTGTGTGCATTCGATGCCGCATTTTGGTAGCAACAAGGAGGCTCTAATCTCCACTCTGCACCACATGAGCAGCCCGGAGTTTTAATCTCCCACACCACCAACGCTCGAATGCCATTGGCAGCACACCCTACGGGCTATGGAATAGCGGAATAAGCCCAATTTTGTGGGCACAACAGAAACTCGAATCACGGCCATGAACTCTCGGCACACCTGCTCACCACGCTCCGCGGCCCAGGAAATTCATATCCGCCGAGGCGGGTCAGGAATTAATTTGCAATGAAAAATAAGATACAGCCCGCCACAAGCACCTGCTAACAACCCAAGCTATCACTTTCAGTTGGAGCTACTACACTGCACGTTTGCTCAAGAATGCACCCCTAATGCCCCGGAGATTAGGGGTCTCTTGGGGCCCAGTCAACCCACCCTCATTCCGCACTTCCCTCCCATCCATGAATGTTTGCTCTCCGCCGAAGGATGGGTCGACCCGCCGAGATGGTCGTGAACCTTGGCATGAGGGCACCATCTGCCCAATGGTAGCCGCCAGAGTCACGTAGCCATGAAAGCGGCATGTGCCTCAATTCCAGTCCTACCCTCGCTGAAGCCCCCAGTGGGCGATGTGATTCGATTCCAAAGGCCTGCAACGTCACAAGCCCGGCACTCGAACCCCCATGGGCCATGCCCGGGACAGGCGGCACGGGTTTTCGAAGACATCGCCAATATCCGTAGGGTAAGAAATTCGATATTCCTTTTTTGCTATATTATACCACATGGCTCTGCCGCCCTGGGTGTTTTGGATGAAGGCGATGGAAGACGGATAGAAGCTCAGAAACGTCTTTCGCTAACATTCAGGCTAAACTGCCCTCGTTCTTTTTTCTCATTTTGGCAGCGTATTACATACGTTGACCCGTCCATTCCTTGGCTCTTTTCTTCTTCTTCTTTTTGTCCGACATGGTGTCATCGGCTCTCGGCCTCGGGGCCCTCTGCGGCCTCATCTTCTCTTTGCCTGGAGCGCTGGCTGGTTTCAGTTCGTCTGCGAACAACAATATTGAAATCTACTGGGGTTCGTATGCGCTCATACAGGCACTCTCTGCATCTAAAAAAACCTCAGCTAACTCTCCTACGATAGGTCAAAATTCTGTCAATCGAGTGGGCGGTCAGCAACGTCTCTCGGCGTACTGCTCTAGTATGTGGCAGTCGCTTTATTAAAGATCTTCCCATTCACATGACTTCCCCATGATGCAGATCTCCAATGTGAATGAGAGATCGTTTTCTCACACGTGAACAGACACGCCGCTCAATGTCATTCCTTTGGCCTTCCTGAACGTCATCAAAAATCCCACTTCGGTCAATTTTGCCAATGCTGGCGACAACTGCACCGTCTTTGCCGGGACGCAACTGCTAAGCTGCCCTCAGATTGAGTGAGTACCTTATTCGAGACAGAACCAATGAGTGAAATCCCATTAACTGTTTCCCCTACCCCTTTCACAGGGCAGACATCAAGACATGCCAGGCAGCGGGTAAGACCATCACGCTCTCGATCGGCGGCGCGACGTACACCGAGGGCGGCTTCACGTCGAGCAGCGAGGCGTCGACGTGGGCCGACAACCTGTGGGCCATGTTCGGCCCCGTGCAGAGCGGCAGCAGCGCGCTACGGCCCTTCGGCACAGCAGTCGTCGACGGCTTCGACCTCGACCTCGAGGCCACCTCGCAGAACATGGGTCCCTTTGCCGTGCAGCTGCGGAACCGCATGAACTCCGCCACGGCAGCCGGCGGCAAGAAGTACTTCCTGTCGGCGGCGCCGCAGTGCCCCTTTCCCGACGCCGCCATGGGAGCCATGCTGGACGCCGTCGTGTTCGATTACGTGTCAGTCCAGTTCTACAACAACTACTGCGGGGCCACATCGTTCGTGCCGGGCGCCGCGACGCAGAACAACTTCAACTTCGCGACCTGGGACACGTGGGCGCGCAGCAAGACGCCCCCCGTCAAGGTGCTGCTGGGCTTGCCGGGCAGCACGAGCGCGGCCGGGTCGGGCTACGTATCGGGCAGCCAGCTCTCGGCCGTCATCGCCTACTGCAAGCAGTTCTCGACCTTTGGCGGCGTCATGTTCTGGGACATGAGCCAGGTCTACAGCAACTCGGGCTTCCTCGACAGCGTCGTGTCCTACCTCGGCGGCAGCAACCCGCCGCCGCCGCCCCCGCCGACGTCGACCACGGCCCCGCCCCCGCCCACGACGCTCATGACCGTTACGAGGACCTCGAGCACCCCGACCCCGACCCCGACTGGCACGCTAGTCCAGCAGTGGGGACAGTGTGGCGGCATTGGATACACCGGCTCTACGCAGTGCGCACCGCCGTATTCGTGCAACTATCTGAGTCAATGGTGGGCTCAGTGCCAGTGAGATGCAGCGAGTCCGACGAATAGATGTAGATTCTATCTAGAGTCGCGAGGTAGAGGTCCCGTTTCTTCTTTTATTCTCAACTACCCTTGTATTAACGCTTTGTTCGTTTCCCTTCTTCACTTCAACATTTCTTTTGTTGTATTTTATTGATATTTTTCTGGACTTCTTCATTTCCTTGTCTTCTCTTCATTCTTTTACCATTCTTCACCCCCTTTTTCTGCTGTAAATATTCTCTTTCACCAGCTGCGCACTGAGCTACTCTACATGTTTTTCATTTGTATCATCGCTGCCTTCAGGCTGTACATATTATTGTTTGTCTTGCTTTCAAATATGTAACTATTTCAATATTTTTTATATATTGTCAAGTCTGTTGCTGAGCCATCGATCTATTGTTCCTAGGTTGGGTAATTTTCACCTGAATGCTATGAGTCTAGACATTACACCAGCTCTACTTACCTAATTAGAATTAAGTTTTCTTTACGTTATTCCGTAACTATATCCGATCTCACATCACAGACTTTAAACGGCGCGAAAATGTCAAGATTACCCAGAAATTACTCTCCTAGCCAAGTCTAGCACCACGTCTTCTTAAGAATCAGCGCCAATCAAAATGACAAAAGTTATTGGTTATAAGCTAGCCTCAAACTCCGTCAAGAGTCGGCGCATCCTCTCCTTTTCCGCCTCACCGCCGAATATAGAATCTACCGCCCTCTTGCTGAGCTTCAACAGATCCGCGCGCCCGAGACTAAAGTGCTCCGCGGCTAGGAGATATTCGTTCGAGACGGAACTGCGGAATATGCCAACGTCGTCCGTCTAGAGCGTTCAACGAGCAAGGACCAGTTAGCAAACACTTTTAATCCCTCACCTCTTGATTTCGGAGTGAGTGAGTACAAGGGAAGAGAACGACGCACGCAGAGGCTGATGGAGCAGCCCGTGTCCTTCCAGTAGCCAAAGTGGTGATCAGCAAACCCGCCCGGGATGAGCTTGGCGTGCACGTTGCACGAGAGGCACAGCTCGAGCCCAATATCGCGGCGCGCGATCTCGTCACGAAAATCGTCAGGAACGTGGATGACGTGGCCTAACCGGTCGGGCCGGAAGCCGAGCAGCGCCTGCAGCTCGCGGCGCGTCGCCGACTCGGAGATCTCGGCAAAGTGCAGCGTCACCTTCAGGCCGGCCTCGCGCGCCCGCGCAAACGCCTCGCCAAACGCCGCCACGTCGCCCATGGCCGGGTTGCCGCACAGGTCGACGCCGACGACGCCGCGGGCCTGGAACTGCACCGCCAGCTCCACCGTCTGCATCGCCTGCGCGGCCGTGTTGCGCCGGTCGACGGACAGGATCAGGTACGTCGGCATCATGTCTGGTTCCGAGCCGGCGCTGGCGGCAAACTCGTCGAGGCAGCTCAGCACGGTCGACACGTACGTCTCCTTGGTCACGCCCGCGGCGACGTTCTCGCGCGGCGTTGTGCGGAGCTCCAGGTAGCGTACCCCGTCGTCGCGGAAGTCCCGCAGCACCTGCAGCGTGGCGCGGCGGATGGCGGCGACGCTGCTGCACAGGTCGTAGATGTAGCTGTCGAAGAGCGGAAAGAAGCTGCCCCAAAGTTCGCCACACAGGAGAGGAGTTAGATGAGATGAGATGAGATGGGTGTTTTTCTTTGAGGGGGGGGGGCTGGCAAATAATACTGACGTGACGACATCATAAGACACCTTGTCCAGCGGCAAGGCGACCAGAGGGTCTTCCATTGAAAAGGACGCGTCGCTGTCCTTTCTCGCCTGCCATATCTCATGCAGCGTCGTGACGCTGATACTGCCAGTGAGATGAGCATGCAGCTAGCAGGCAATCAAGCAATATTCAGTCAGCTGTAGTCTAGCTTCATTTAGCCTGAGACTCCCGACGTACCTCGACTTTTGGAAGACCCTTGGTGAAGGCTATGTTGACTGCCATTGTGTTGTTATTGGTGACGGTGAGATTTGGGCTGCTGAGCTTGGATGAGCGGAGATAAGTACAGGCCACTCTCGCAAGTACCTCCTCACTCGCTGCTTGAGGAGAAGCTAGAAGCACGGGTGGAGACTCAGCACTCACCGCTTTTACTAATTGGCACTAATGGATACGAAGTTGGCTTCGGTACGACGTACGAACTGGAGTTCAGCAAATATACCAAAGGTACACTGAAAAGGTGCATTCGAGGTATTCGGGCATAGACACCAGCTTATTATGACTATCAACAACAATATCATCCCTCTAGCCTTTGTTGTGTATTCAATAGTAAGTTACCGTAGAGTCAGGAATCAAGGGTTGTTATTACTGCCCATCTAATTACCATTTTTGACTTGACTCGACGTTACAATAGCAAAGGTCTACTGACCGTCATCTCAAAGAGCCCCCGATGAACTGTTAAATGCTAACACCAGATTCAGATTCATTCAGCCGAGTACTCGGAAAGGTTCTTTTTCACAGCCCAACCCTTAACTCGGATATATCCAACACAAATAACATTCTCATTTTGACCTCAATCCATTAAAGGCTGGAGAGCGCTTGAACTGTGGAGGATGTTGTTATCAGGCTGAACTCAGGGGTAACACAGCTAGGTCTCAAACGAAGATGATACGGTCACTGATCAATATTAAGAGAGCGATTTTGCTCGGGATGAGGCCGAAACATCAACGTGTAGCATGCTCAAGTACCAAAGACGCCGGGACAATACTATATTCAGATACATGGCGTATGAGATAAGCCCCGGAATTGGCTCAAGCCTTGAGAGAGCGCGTCTTGGCACTTTTGCCATCAGCAATCTCTTCCTCCTCGTCCTCCCACTTGCCGTCCTCTTCGAGCTTGGCATTGACTTGCTCTTCCGCGTCACCCTCCAGGCCCTCACTGTCGAACCCATTGTCGTACATGTCGCTATCGTAATCGTCCATGTCCTCGTCCTCGTCATCCCCCTTTGTCTTGGCGCTGTTTGGTTTCCTGCTGTCGGCCTTTTCCTTCCGTTTCTTCTCCACGTTCTCCTTCTGCTGCTTCTTGCGGGCTTCCTTCTCTTTTAGGCGCTTCTCCCACCTCTGCTCCATTTCCTTCATCTCCTGCCTGGACTTGACCTTGTATTCGTGCCACAAGATCTTGCCTGAGCATATTCCCTCCTCGACCTTGGTCATGCGCAGGCGCATGCGGGGCCCGAGCTCTACCAGCTTTACTGCACGGCGCTCGACATTGTCATTCCTATCCGCATCCTCGGTCGACTCTAACAGCGCCGCAGTGGCCCTGGCCTTTGCGCTCAGGACCTTCCTCGGCCCGCTCTCGAGGATCTCGACTTCAGCGTCCGTGTCAGCCTCGCTTCCACTTGTACCGTCCGTCATATAGCCGTCCCCGTTTGCACCACCAATCATGAACTCCGAGATGTCCTGGAGGCTGCCAAGGTTGGGAAGACCGCCCTTTCCACCCTTCCGGGTCTTTATCAGCTTTTCCGCCGCATCCAACCGTTTCAATGGCTTCGAAAGCCCAGCCGTCTTGGTGGTGATAGCGTAGTGCCGGAAATTCACAACGAACGATCCATCGTCCTCGGAAGATGCCTCTCGGCTGAGCAGCAATACCCTCCGTATTGACTTGAGAGGCGTTGCCTGTGGGTTGATTGGGGGAAAGAGTGACTGGAAGGCGGTGGTGATGAGGGACTCGAGATGCCTCGGAACTTTGGATTTGGCATCCGAGGTGGGCGTCGTGAAGTTGTTCATGACCAGCTGCAATACCTGTTAGCTTTGACCGGCTGGGTGTATAGGCATGGAGGGGCAATGCATACCAGTGGGGGGGTGAGATATTCTTTTCCACCGCCCAGAGGGCGCCTTTGGGCCCTCATTACGTCTTTGCTGAGCGAGTATTTCTCTACTCGGAAATGGAATGTAGGGCCACGGGGCGCAATGGCGAGCCGCAGATTCGTGTTTCCCGTCTCTGATCTGGAAAACAGCATGAGGTGGGTGACCCCAAGCGGTCCGCACATGGTAACGTAGTCGCGAAGCCGATTGGCCTTTCTCTCCCTCAACCGCGATGCTGTGCCGGGCTCCATGACGCGCCGGACGTCGGTGGCTAGCTGACTGACACTCGTTCCGACCTCGCCAGCGCCAATGCGAATAACCATGCTCTTCGGGTTGCGCGTGTCGGCATGGCCGTTGACCACTGCCGGCGTGGCAGGGTTATTTGCGCCCGCATGGGTTCGTCTTTTTGTTCGTCTCTTGGCCATGTTTGCGGGTGGTTGGGGGATATATGGACAGCAATGTTGTCCTGTCCTCGAAACCTGTGCTAAAGTTTTAGGATTTAGGAACGATCTAGTCTCTCCCGCCTACCAATCTGATTCCAGGCCCGGCAGAAAAAATTCAGTGGAGCATGCTTATCGCAGCAGCCCCACCTCTGATAAGGCCAAAAAGTTTGGGAACTAAACACCATCTTCGAGGTTCACGAACTCTGGCGCCGAGAGGAAACAAGGTTTGGCAATCAAGTTAACCTGATAAATGCACAACAAAATGTCGACAAAGCGCAGGAAGACCTCGCACGAGGATAAACCGCTGAATGACTCGGCTGGTTCTTCTGCTCCCAAGCCAAAGAAGTCGGCGTCCAAGCCTGCACCGCCTACACAGATGGAACAATTACCGCCATCAGCGGCAGCACACTCTCCGCCACCGAGTTCCGAGGCCGAGTCTGCCACAATCGACAACATGTCCAGACAGGGGAATGGCGACGAAACGGCCCCGGCGACGTTTAAGGACTTGGTAGGCTATTGCTCTCTTTCCTGCCTCGCCTAAACCGGTGTGCTAACGGGTGCCCAGGGAATCGTCGACTCGCTGTGCGAAGCCTGCGACCGGCTCGGGTACAAGAAACCGACCCCGATCCAGGAGCAATCGATCCCTCTCGCGCTGCAAGACCGCGACATAATTGGCATTGCCGAAACCGGTAGCGGCAAGACGGTCGCCTTCGCCCTGCCAATCCTTCAGGCCCTCCTCGAGAAGCCCCAGGCCATGTTCGCCCTGGTGCTCGCGCCAACAAGAGAGCTGGCTGCCCAGATTGCGCAAGCGTTTGAGGCATTGGGATCCCTGATATCTCTCCGGTGCGCCCTCATTTTGGGAGGCATGGATATGGTGCAGCAGGCCATTGCGCTGGGAAAGAAGCCCCACGTTATCGTTGCGACACCTGGAAGGTGATTTACTACCACCAATTATCAGTTGTAGCAATACCATGACTAACCTGTGCCCTAGACTTTTGGACCACTTGGAAAAGACCAAGGGTTTCAGTCTGTAAGTTGACTTGCGAGGGCCTACATCATCTCTCGAGATGTGTCTCAAGACTGGCCCATACTTCCCCTTCTAGTCGCTATGACAAGCCGTACAGGAATGCACAAATTCTAACCCCTCAACTTTAGCCGCAACCTTCGCTATCTGGTAATGGACGAGGCAGATCGGTAAGTTGCTCTTTGGCGTCATCTGCTCTGGGCTATCCTACTAACAGAGACCGCTAGACTTCTGGACATGGACTTCGGCCCCATTCTCGAGAAAGTCCTCAAGTTCCTACCCAGGGAGCGCAGGACATTTCTCTTCTCGGCGACCATGTCTAACAAGGTCGAGAGCCTGCAGAGAGCCAGTCTGAAGGACCCTCTCAAGGTCAGCATCTCCAGCTCAAAGTACGCCACCGTGTCGACGCTGGTCCAGAACTACATCTTTATCCCGCACAAGCACAAGGACACGTATCTGGTGTATCTGTGCAACGAGTTCACCGGCAAGACAATCATCATCTTCACCCGCACGGTTCTAGAGACCCAACGGATAGCCATCCTGCTCCGCACGCTCGGCATGGGCGCCATCCCGCTCCACGGCGGCCTGTCCCAGTCGGCCCGCTTGGGCGCACTGAACAAGTTCCGTGCCGGCTCGCGCGAGATCCTCGTGGCGACAGATGTTGCTGCCCGTGGTCTTGATATCCCCAACGTTGACTGCGTCCTCAACTTTGACTTGCCCGGCGACTCCAAAACATACGTGCATCGCGTCGGCCGAACGGCTCGTGCCGGCAAGTCGGGCAAGGCGCTGAGCATAGTCACGCAATAGTAAGTCTATGCACCCCCACCTCAGATCATCGTGGAGGAGCAAAAGCTGACCTTGGCCATAGCGACCTGGAGACGTGGCTCCGCATCGAGACGGCCCTTGGGACAAAGCTCCTAGAGTATCCCCACGAGAAGGACGAGGTGATGGTGTTCAAGGGACGGGTGGAGGAGGCCCAACTTCATGCAAGGAACGAGATGAAGCTACTGATTGATGACCGTGGCAACAGGGGTTCTACGCTTAAAGGCCACAGGAAGAGAGGGCCGCCTACGGGGGCAGGCCGAGACCACATGGACGCCGAGGAGGGCTAGCCGAGGCGGTTGTGGGGGGGGGGGGGGGGGTGGTTGGGAAAGGAGATAATGAGCAAAAACCCGGAAGGCGCCGACATTTACATTACGTATCAGGCAAGGATGACTAATGCACATTTTCACCGTAAAAAGTATTGGAACAATACGTTCTCGGCGGTGCCACCCCGTTGATATTTATATTTGTTGAGAAAGAGCGCAGGTATCCCCCGATGCTGAAATGGCCAGTTATACTACAGGCGAGGACGAGACGCGCAGAGCTCCCTATTGGTCTTCAATTACTTTGTACAGTTGAACGGAACCCCTCACCTCACTCCGCACCTTCGGTAAGGACTCTGGTCCAATCAAACTTGCGCCAGCGCTTCCTGAACCCGTCCATCCTGTCGTCGCTCCTGGTCCACCTGCCCTGGCGCTTGATGACGTCGGGCTCGCAGTCGAGCATACCGCCGATGATCTCGCGCGCGAAGAGGTCGCCCCTGGGCCAGCGCTCGGCGTCCTCGACGATGTGGCCGAGGCCGCCGTCGATGGTGAACCAGGCGTGGAAGTAGGGCATCTCCTTAGCGATGCTACGGCGGAAGGCCATCTTGCCGAGCCCGTCCTGGCGCGCGCGCTTGCCCGTGTCGATGATCTTTTTGTGCTGCGACCACTCCTCGTCGGCCGACAGCATGGCCTCGCGGAAGAAGGCCGGCGCCGTCTCGCCGAGCTCGTACGGGATCGGCACCACCACCAGCGCCGCGTGCAGCCGCCGCTGCGGAGCCGCCGCGTTCTCGTAGAAGATCACGTCGCGGCCTTGGTCATGGTACAGCCGCGTGAGGCTCTTCATGAAGTTGCGGATCTCTTCCCACTCGTCGTCGTCGCATTCCAGCAGGTTGGTCCGGTGGCTGATGGGCACGATGATGGCGCCACCCTCCGCACCGGTGAGCTCGGGCGCCGTGGGAAGGGTGAGGTAGACTCTCGTCGCTAGGGAAATTATGGGCGCAGCGGGGAGGTCCTGGGGTGGGGGGCGATCCTCGTGGTGGCAGAGGGGGCAGGTGTCGAGAATGCGGTTCAGCTTCTTGTACTCGGAAACAGCGACGTTCTTGAGGCTCGCCTCGTTCTTGTGGACGCGCTTGGCCAGCTTCTCGGCGTTCTCGTCCATGTATTCCAGGTCGTTGTCGAACTTTCCGTCCTTGGCTATCCGCTCGGCCAGGCGCATGCCCTCGCCACCAGCTTGGCCCCGTGTGCGACGTTCCTCGCGTACCATGTCGTCGATGCTCATGTCTTCGTTTTCTTCAACATTGCCCCTTTCGAGACCGCGCTTGTTGATGATGGCCTTCACCTCGCCGCGGGAACCAGCCAACAGACGGCTGTTAGAAGCGTCAAGGACGATCGCATTAGTGGCTGCAGCGCCCGAGCTAAATGCGGCGTGGGCCGCATTGTACTCCTTTTCGAGCTTTGCGATGTCAGGGGCGTTCCGCAGTTTCGCTTTCATGAGCTGCGCGCGCATGCGGTTGAGAGCCGACTGATCCAGAGGCGCCGCTGGGCGAACCATGTCCTCCACGACTATGCCTTGTTGAGGAGGCGGAGAATCATGCCGACGAGAATTTTCCTTGTGCTCCTGAAGACGGACATTCGCGATCCGCTCTTCGTAGAGGTCGCCCGCGGGCTTTTCCTTGCCGACATATCCTTCCCCATACACACGCCTCCTGTCCACTTCAATCTTCTCTTCCCTAGCCTCGTCAAATTCTTCCAAGCTGCCAAATCTTTCAATAGCAACTACGTCGACTGGGCGATTTGTCTGCTCCGCAGCTGTGTAGACCGCCTTCAGTTTTGTCATCCTCCATTGAGAGCCTTCGTCGCCGAACTTGTAAGAGACCTGCTGCTTGGCGGAACTGTCCAAGTCCTCAACCGATGTCCGCCCGTCTAGCTCGGCGAGCCCAGTATTAAGCTCACGCTTGTGCAGTTGACGTTTGGGCTCTTCCTTTTGGGGCGGCGGGTTCTTTTTCTTCGCACCCCTTTGCACGTAGTCGACGTCGAGGGCTGACGGGGCAGACATCCACGAGTCTCGGACGAGAGGCGCGGCGAGGCGCGGGTCGTCTGTCGGGGTCCTCTCTTCGTCCGGCAAGGGCAAGTCTTCTTTGGGATCAGACTGCTTCAAATCTTTGACCTCCTTAGTGCGATCGCGGTCCCTCGAGCCTTCTCTGGACCGGTGTCTGTGCCTATGGCGATGGCCAGACTCGCCCTCTTCGCCGTCGCGCGTGCGCCGAGACCGCTTGTGGCGATGGCCGTCATCGTCACCGGGCTCATAGTCGCGGGACCGATGGTTCCCGTGGCGTTCGCGGTCTCTGTCGCCGCCGTCTCTGGGCCTTTCATGGCGGTGGTGCTTGGACTTCCGGTCGCGTCGTTCCTCTTTGGCCTGAGCGGCACGCTCTCGCTCCGCCTTTTCAGCCGCAATCGACTTCTCAAAGTCCTCGAGGCTGTCCATCCTGGCGGCGCGACAAGGAGCTAGGTACGGATACGGGTGCGCTTTCTGAGCTTGTGCCGTGGCTTAGCGAATGTCGCTCAATTCTGTGTTCAGTTGGAGTGACGTATTTCTCAGTTATGTAATCGTCCTGTCAAGCGGCCCAAGCTATACGGATAGCTCAGGGCCCACAAGCCCCACACAGTGCCTAGAAGCCCAACCCCACCCGCAGTTGGCCGTCACGCTAAACGATAGAATGCTTCGATGGGATGGAATACGCCAGTGTCAAATGTTCATGCGCCTCTGCTGTGAGACAGAATACAGTATATTGGTTAGGGGCAAGCAGTACGCTGCGCAGCTCCTGCTCGGCCACCACATGTCGAATTCAGCTCCCCAAATGCGCCAAATCAAACACATCCCGCGCCCGTTTTCCTCTTCGCCGTGTGTGCTTCCTCCCCCTGAGGGCGGCGGGCGGCGAGTGTGGCTCAGTGGCGGAAGCAAGGCCATCCGCTTCCGATTAGCGGTTTGGCTCCCGCCCCGTTGTGTTCCGGTCCCCAAGCTTATTATTTTTCGTATTAGTACTTTCTACTTGCTGGTGTTTGGTCCCTGGTGACCCGGACGAGCTGCTGACGCCCAAAGAAAAAAAACACCCCCCGAAAAACGCCTCGACGAAGCCAGAGGCCGATCGGATACCTGCCTTGGGGGGTGGGTGGTTATAAATACCTTACGCTAAACATTTCCGGAACCCGGGGCCGGCCGTGCTCTGCAACGGTCAACCAGGGGAGGCATCCCCCCCTAGGGGATAGACTAACTAACGGCCGCTAATTATAACAAGCAGCAGTTGAGGTGAGTGCGAGAGCCCCCACGGGATATCAATTATTTAGGACAAAAAGGCCGGACTTCAAATGAGTCGCGATCAGGATGGTGGTGGGCGTCAGCGACTGCCCCATTACATATTTACATCCCAGTATTCCTGCGGAGGAGACTCGGATTCCATTCGGTGTTTGGCGGTTTTGCGCCGCTTGTGTGTAACCTTCCAGAAAGAAAGTGTCGATGTGCGTTCCTTGATCGAGTAACACACGCGAGCCAAGCTCCCGAATCCCCCCCCCCAATCTTGGGTTAATATCGGATTTCTTACTTGACGCTGACCGGGCGGAGATGCTACCTCACTCCCACCCAATGGGCCAAAAGGCCACTCTCATCAATCTCACCCACCGCACAATCGAATATAGCCAAGTCAGACCATTGCCCGATATTCCAGGCCTGGTCGTGCCACCCACTGGGCTGGGACTCGTCTGTCTGTCTGGGCGGGCGGGCGGGCCGGGGTACCAATCCCCCATATCATATCACGGCCATGACACCGGCACTCAGCGTGCCGACACAAACCACCCCGAACTTGGAGTAGGACGAGCGAGGCCGCGACCCAGCCGCCCGGCCAAGGCAAAGGAACTACCTGGCTGCCAACCAGGACCACCACGCCGCGCAGGAAGGTAGACATGGAACAAAGTGCTCTTTTCTCGTCTTGGTGCTTTGCCTTTAGTTTGCATGTTCATGGTTGGGACACGCCCTTTGTTGGATCATCACAACAAGCGCTTGCCGCGAAATAAATGAATTGAACAGCAAGGTTGATGATCAAGTGATTAGTGAGTGAGTGGCCCCATGGGCGGTCATCTGTTGGATCCATCCATCGTCCGATTCCTCCTGCGACTTGTATGCATGTTGGGGGGGAAAGGTTCTGCCCCTAAAAATGGCATAGTCTTGACAGATACATTGTCGTTTACAGTGATGTTAGGTTTTATTCTAGGTCCCATATTCCGAAGACTCATGGAGCTTCCTCCCCTCCCAATAGCGAGTCCATATTTTGAGAGGAGGAAGAGAGCCCCGGTCTGGTTGTCGTACCCAAGCGTACGTTTCCATTCTGCCATGGCTGATCGGCGGCTCGCTATTCATAGAATAAATAAAAAAAACCTGCGGGGGTGTCGTGGCAGCAGCAGCCACCAGCTGCAAGAGCAGGACCAGGACCTGCATCAGTACCTAAAATCCGGGTTGTGCGGAAGGATTTCTGTGCGAGAGACGACCCCCCTCACGCCTGCCTGCCTGCCTGCCTGCCTGCCTTCTACTGCAGCCATTCTGCAAGCCGATTTGGCATGGTATGCAAAGTGTGGCCAGTGACCTCTTTTCTGTGCCGCAGACTTGCCTTTCGACGCACGAGAACGCGGACGTCCTGTTGGCAAACAACCCCTGATCCTGGACCATTCGTCCAAAATAAGGCTGCCAACGTCAAATGCTCATTCAGTTCAGTCTAGCCTTCCGAGGCAGCGATTTATTCGCAAACGGTGACTCGGTAGAGATGAAATCACAAGACGATAATGACAAAAAGGGTATGGATTTACTATGTAGCCTATTGCCTCAGTATCAAAACGCCGCATAATGCTTCCATTTGAGCGTCTCTCGCCGTTGTAACTCTAAGCCTCGTAGCAAGAAATTGATTAAGAAACTCTCCGGGTATACATTGGATGAAAGAAAAAGAGAAAAAATAACCCCCCCATCACACCCCTCTTAAAAAATACACCAGTCCCAGATATCCAACAGCTCCCTGCTTCGTACTGAGGATGATTACTGGGCGTAATTATATCTCTGCGCCAATTGCCCGCGCCCATACTGCGGCTGGGGCGGCCCTTTGGCATAGTCGGCTGGGTTGTACGGGGCGTGCTGAGGTGACTGCTTGTTCTGCGGGTCGAGCTTCTTCAGGGCATCGTCGCGGTGTTCCTCGAACGTCTCTTGGTGAGGCGCGAGGCCAGAGGAGAATTTGTTATCCAACCCAGGGGACTGGAAGCCACTGCCAGTCGACGATGTCGAGGCTGGTCGTGAATTAGGCGCTGACGACCACTGGCCGGACAGCGATAAGTCCGGACTATTCCGCACACCGAGTTGTGAGGGCTCGGATACGTTGGAAAAGGTTGATTGCCGGTTTGGAGGCTGTAGTTGTTGCTGATACGGTTGTGAAGCATATTGTTGCTGTTGATACTGCTGCTGCTGTGGTTGTTGCTGATAATTTTGCTGTGGATATTGCTGTTGCTGATGTTGCGGATACTGTTGCTGTTGATATTGATGTTGTGGTGGTGATTGTTGTTGCTGCTGTTGCTGCTGTTGCTGCTGTTGCTGCTGTTGCTGCTGTTGCTGCTGAGATGGCGACTGTTGTTGCTGCCAAGACGATGGTCGAGACGGTGGCCGTTGCTGCTGCAGCTGCTGTGGCAGGGGTGATGGCTGAAGACTGCTAGATGCATGATAAAAGTCCCCAGGCATTTCTACAGCAAATTGAAGGGAGGAAACGGGCTCTGCAGCGGCCATTTCTACCGGGCCGTTCGGGGTGCCATAGCCAAACGGAGCTGGCTGTTGGCTGTAACCACTGCGTGGTGGCTGGGATCCAGCAGTTCCGGGCCTGTATGCCAACTGCCCCGGCTGTGCTGATTGCGGGCGAGGAATCTGGTAAACCACGTCTGGTGACTGAGTCGGCGGTGGCGGTGTGGCAGTGGTGGTGGTGCCGGAAATCGAAGGCGAATAATGGAGACTCATGGGAGATGGAAGAGGTGACCTGACCGTGTTCCTCCTGTCGGCTGGGTTGACGGTTTTAAGCTTGCCGTCAGATATCATTGCCTGGAGCACGCCCGCGTCCAACAGCTCGGCCTTCTTGATGATGCGCTGCACCATCTCGCCGCCGGCTTTCTTCAGCTGCGACTTGACAAAGCTGAGGACGGTGATGTTGCACTTGATCTCAATGTCTTCTCTCAGGTACAGCCCGTCGGCGGGAGCGCCAAGCGCCTTGAGACCAATCTCGGGAACCTCGGGGTTCTCAAAGCCCGGCTGGTTACCGGCGATGCGATACGTGTTCCGCAGATCTACGTTCATGGGGGCGTAGATGTGGGTTTGCAGGCCCCACGGCATGTCGTGGAAGCAGCCGTTGAACTTGATGATGGAGGCGCCCATCTTCCCGATGCCAGGCATAAACGTGATGCGCTCCGTGATCTCGTACCACGTCGAGTAGTATTCATCCGTCTCGGCATTTTGCGGGGCCGCGATGGGCTTGTGATCGAGCACAAGCGGGTTCAGTGTTATGACCTCGGAGTGCGAGTGGAGAATGTCGATGGCCAGCTGGCGCGGGATGAAGCCTGGAATGGGCGTGATCAGGGTGAACGAGTCCTTCTTTCGTAGCATTGTGAACGGCTCGTTGCAAGCGCAACGATGTGAGACTCGGGAGAAAGACGGGATGGCAGCCCGAGAAATGAGCTCGAGAATTTGGCGGAAATGCTCCTTACAATCCGGGGATGGGATGAAGATGGTACTTAGGGGGGTAGGTCATAAGGATGAAAGAGGAAGGAAAGGAGAGGGGCAGGGCAGGGAAGGGCAGCTTTGGGGGCATTGGGGTAAATGAAAGAAGCCAGGCTGGGTCAGTCACCACTATTTGGCTGGGCAGGGCATTTGGCTTCCGGTCCGGCTGGTTAACAGGACTATACGTGTATTAATTAAGGATTACCACCACTACCACCACCACTATGGACCGCTTGTATCCCTAGACTTGGGTCTAGCACTTTAAGGTCGGGTCTGTGCCGACAGGACAGTGGAGGCGGCTGGTTGCCCTCCCTGGTCGGGCATTGGTGTTGGAACTTGGGAATCCCGATGGACTTCACTGAACGATCTAACACTGCTGGGGCTTTCCCCCGCGCAGCCCCCGGCGACCCTTCGTCCCGCTCCCAGGGCAGATGATGACGTGAGCTGGGCAGCTTCTTCCAAAGAAACGCGCAATCGCCACCCCACCCGGTTGACCGTTGCCCACACCCAGACAAAGATTGTCGAATAAAGCAAGAGCACCACGTCCTGAGGTTGTGATCAGCTAGCCACTCGCACCAGAGACCAAAGAGCTCAACCAATGCCAGGCGCCAGACCAGAACCGAAGCTCGGAACGGTCCCAGCCCCAGAGCGATGGACTAATGACGGCGGTGCACTGGTGGGTTGGCTGGCGGGATTCTAAACAACTGGGGAGTTGATTCTAGGCGGGCGTGCAGGTGCTAGGTGCTAGGTGTAGGTGGGGGAAACCCGCCTTGCCCGCCCTCGCCTTTTCCCAGGTGCACCGTCCGAAACAGGCTGGCTCGAGTGGTCCTGGCCCAGATGCGCACTGTGACCATTGATTGTCAGGTCAGTGCGGCAAGCTCGCTTCCGTCGAGCTGGAGAAATCCAAGCGCCCCTTTGCATGGCGGGTGATCGATCATTGGAAGACAATGAAAGGAGATACGAGCCCTTTTAAAACAAAGGCGACAGAGCGTGTCAAAAGAGAACGGGTGCGACAGGATTGCACAGTAGGCACACGTGCATCCAAAGTTATAAATAGGAATGGGGGGTTTGAATCGACACGAAGTCGCCCTATAAGGCTGGACAGCACAGATTGCCCCTCTGTGGACCACATCCATTATGAAGAGCGCTGGCTTGGCCATGCCTGATGTACGAAGGTACTAGTGTGTAGGCTGTAAAGTGCGGTACCAGGCTATACGGCTGCATACACAGTATTTTTCTGCCCTGGAAATACAACCCGGAAGAATTGGTGCTCGGTCTAAAGACTGAATTGACTGTCTCATTCAGGAAGTTCTTTTTATTAGTACGGAGTACTCTGGTCTTATTTGGGCGTAAATTGGCCACGATGCAAGTAAAGATGAAAAAGTTCCGGTAAAGATTTCAAGGGAAAGGTAAGTTTTGTCTGTCTCTTTTTTCCGATGTTCTAATTGGTGCAGTCATCTGAAACAACGGTCGAAGTTAACGTTTATAACGATAGCTAGTGGATCACGCAGTCGTAGACCGACAAAGGAAGCTGGCATCTGACAGGGCCTTCAACCTAATTCATTTACCGGCCGCTGGTCAGTTATCGATTATGTCATACTCGAGGGCGGCGGCCTCTCATATGCGCAAAACATGTAGCTTCTGAATTAACACGGCGCTTACACGGGGCAAGACTACTTCGTGACGCCACACCAAATGCACCGACGGAAGCTCCTCAGCTCCGGCGCCGTGAAAATGGCCTGCTCGGCGGGCGCTACGGCCGTGTCGATCGCACACGCGTTGATGCAGCGGCCTGGCTACTTCATCAGCTCCCCCGCGTGCCCCAAGGGAGGGTGGGCTCGATCCGCTACATCTGTTGCCCAGCCCTACCGTGTCCATGCCAAAGAACGGCGCGTGGAACGGCGCACCCGGCCGTAGTGAGATCGGCTGTGATCCGTGTCCCTTGGCGGCTCGTACGCCTTGTCTGAGCCGTTCTGCGGGCGTACTGCTGCCCTAGCTAACGGCAACACGCCGCAGAACTACTCGTCGACGTTCGGCATGGGATTTGATCCGCAGGGGGACCTACCCACGGTGTGCCCCTCCACCCAGGTGCGGTGCTGTACACGGCTCCTATGGACCCGCCCAACCCGTATGCGGAGAGGGACAACGACGTTCACCTCGACTGCTCGGCATACCAGCCGCTCCCCGGACAAGACAACGAGGGGAATGGTCCGTCGATCCGGCCGGGGTACCTCTGAACGGCCCACGACGTGGAGACGGGAGCCGACATCTTGTGGGCGTACTAAGACAACTACGGAAACGACCATGGCCAAGCCTCGCCTAACGAAGCCTACGGAGGGGATCCGTACAGTTTCATCATGCCCGATGGCCCTCCGGGCTCCGTCGACGCGTCGTTTGCATCCTCGTACACGATGGAGCTGTTGTTGGAACACATGCCGCCGTCAAGCGGTCGCTACTCACGAGCAATCGGACGCGGATCGAGATGACACACGGCCGAGATCAATTAGCAGCACCAGCAGGTCGACACATGCTACCGGCTCGGCCATGCTGATGTATACTAGCCGGAGGACGGGACGGCCGCGCCGGTCCTGTGGAACCTGGTTGGCGACACGCCCGACACGGTCGCTGCAGGCCCGGTGCCCGAGTTCCAGGCGGCCGTCACCCCGTCAGTCGACCTCGACGTCAAGGTGACGCCCGAGGCTCGCCTGGGGATCCAGATTCGCGTCGGCTCGTCGTTCGGCCTCACGCTGGTGAACAAGCAGATGATCGGCTACGGCATCTATCTGCTGCATAACATTGGCTGCGGGGGCTAGGCCAAAATCGTCGAGTCCACGTAGAGCGTGCAGCCGCGCAGCCTGTTCGCGAGCCCCAACATCATCACCCTGTACACCAACGGCGGTGTCGCCTCCACCACTCTCAAGCGCGACGTACTGCCGCTTCTCGCTGGAGACCTAGAGCGGGGCATTCTCAACAGCGCGAACGGCTAGGAGCTCGGGGGTTGCAGGATTCGGGACGATCCTCACGCTAGCGCGCATCGTAGGCATGGACGACGACGTAGTCTGGACTGCAACCTGTTCTCGCCCCAACAGGTGCTGGAAGTCAGCCTGCAGAACTTGTTCAATACGCGGGGGCCTAGCAGGAACGAGCTGGCGCTGACATGGGGCCCGTCTGGCAGCAGTCGACCTAGGGCATGTGAAACTCCATACTGGGCACGATTTCGACGAACATCGCTTCGGCGCCCAACTGGAAGTTGTTGGGGTCGTCGTCGTCTGCTTCTGGTACTGGTTGAACACTAACCTCGGACAGTGACCCCGGCTCTCACCTTATATGTACCCGGCGCAGATCTCGCAAGCAAGTAGCTTCTCGTCGGCTTTTTATGAACCCAATGCGGCCGGACATTTCGGGGGGCTACTGGGTGAGGCGCAGCTTCACCATGGGACTGGCTGAGTCGTCGAGGCCAACGCCGCTGCCAGGGGCGCCCAGACGACCTCCTCTTGGTTGAATTCCAGGCAGAGCAGCCCGATCGCCACCAATATATATATATAGTCTGCGCCATCACAAGTTTGGCCACAATGACATCTACCAGTCCTCTGTCTGCAACGGGTGGCGTTTTAGCGGGACGTTCAGCAGTCCTGCCTGAAAGACACACGCACGTGTCGTTGGCGCTAAAAAGAACAACGGATGGAACACGCCCGTGCCCGAACGGAGCATAAAATGGGACTCGGTAGGCACGAGGGCAGGGATAATGGCCAATCAATCCCAAGCTATCGTAAAGATATTATTAACCTAAACCGTTACGTTGGAACGCCGTTGGAGCGCAGGAGCGTTTGGGTCATGCTATCATAATGCTACCGTCAGGGGCCAGACAAGTCAGGCAGAAACATCTGAAGATCAGAATATTGAGAGTGAGCCATTCGCGCATAGCGGGGAGCCTTCACACTAATAAATCAGCACTGGAGCCACTACTGACCGTTTTTGCAGTGCTCGGAACCCGTCCCTTGCGCCAGCTGTTGAGCCTCATATCCACCACCCTGGGCCTAGGAGTCAAGCAGGTGGCCAGTTTGACCCTACCAGGTATTTGGGCCGACAGGGCACCTATTTATCCGCATCCGCAGAAGATGGGATGGCTCATTTCCAGAGGGCTGAGATTACTCAGCTCAGCTCAAAGCGAGACTGCGAGAGGCTCTCTCCCGTGGTGCGGCCCCCAAATTAGCTCCATGTACGATGAACGGGGCCCCTGTCGCCATAATCCGTAATTTGGCCACGGTATTTTCAGAGCCCCCAACTGGTCAAGTTCAGGGGCTGAGTGTGGGTGGTGGCTTAGATAAGAGCCAGCCTTTCCTTGGCGCTTTTCCCCTTACCAAGACAAAAAAAATCAGGCAACGGATTGGTTGGTCCAGCGGGATGTGTGATTCGGCCCTGTCTACTGATGAAGGGGGGTGGGAGGCAAGCCGTAAACCTGAGTCCTCCCTCCCCCGCTGCCTTTCCTCCTCCGCGCCCGTCCCGACCGCGTCTTCGCGCCCGTCCCGTCGCAACACCACGGGGAATAAGCCGACGACGACGAGCAACCCTCTGAGCACTTAAACACGACAGCACCATGCGCCTAGGCTTGGGCGCTAGCGGATCCTGCGCCGGCGACGCCGTGCGCTCAATGCCCACCAGGGTTTGGATCATCAGTTTGGCCAGCCTCTTCGTTATCACCTTGCCTTTCATATACCATTCGCATCTCCCTCCTTTATCTTGGTCAAAACATCATCCTCATCCCCATCCCCATCCCCATCCCCATCCGCCCCCGCATCCGCCCCCGCCCCCGCCCCCGGACCCGGAGGGTGGGCCGCCTCCTCCCGCGCCTCCGGTGACGGCCCCTACCGGAAAGGATGGGCTGAAAATCTGGGAGCCTCCAGACATGGATCCCCTCGTTCACGGCATCCACGCTTCGGACGGCATCAAGCGGAAGCCAACTTATCCGCTAATCCCCTTCCCGCCCTCGCCCATGACCAACCCTCCCCAAAGAGACGATATACAGCGTCCGTGGCTCGGGGCTGTCATTTGCGCTGCGTGGGATATCGAGCGGCGCATGTTGATTCGCTACACCTGGATGAAGCTCTTCAAGAACGTTCCTATGGACCACCGATTCGTCGTTTCTAACCCCGGGCCACACTGGACCGACATTATCAGCCAGGAAAACAAGACCTACGGTGATATGATTGTTTTAGAACACCTCCCCGAAGACGACTTCACCGCGAATACGGTCAAGACGATCGAGTTTTACCGCTGGCTTGTCGACAACAACCAAAGGTACGAGTTCGTTTCCAAGATGGATACCGACTTGTTCGTCAACGCCCGCGCCATGTACGACCAGAAGCTTCTGCCGCGGTTAGAATCTACCCCCGCGGGGCTCAGAGCGACTGTCAACTACACGACCATTGGGCAATTCTACTACGACTCGTACCACCACGCCTCGTTTCCGCACGGGGCCATCTACACGGTCACCTGGGACGTCGTCGAGCTGCTGCCCAAGCTCCAGGACCAGTACCACATCATCGCGGGAGAGGACGTAACCATGGCTTGGCTGCTGATGAAGGGCAAGCAAAAGGTGACCATGGTGGTCCTCAGCGAGGCCGAGAAGTTCGAGTTCGACCGCACCGACATGCGGCCGACCCCCCCGGGGTGGGGAAGGACGCCCTGGGCGCGCGAAGGGACCGACGTCACCTCGAGCTGGCACGCTATGCACGGCTCCAACATCCTCGCCATCCACCAGCTCAAGAAGGACGACGACTGGCTCATGGTGACGCAGGAATTCAACGAGACCGGCGTCAAGGAGATGCCGCCTTACCCCAAGGACCAGCCCAACGATGACGGCCCCAAGCCCAGCTACCCGCGGCCTTACTGGACACAGATCCCCGACGACTATTGGGAGGTTGACTACGATGGCACGTTTCTGTGCAACGGCATATGGAAGCTGGAGCCTGGTGTGGGGAGGGATATGAAGAAAAAGGAGTAATTTTGTTCGCATATAATAGATTTTTAGACGAGCGCGAACCGGTGGCGTCATAACATCCAGAACTCTCATAAAGATTCTAGGTCTTTGTATTTTGTATCTTGTATCTTAATTAAATCACCTTCCTTGTTCCCTCATACTCTCTCTCTTTCCACCTCACAGTTGACGAGGCAGGTAGGTATTGAACCGGTGCCTCCGGGACACCACAGCGCCCGCACCACCCTGGCCCAAGACTCATCAGGTCTGTGCTGCGCGGCACTCTCAACAGCAACGAAACCGGGGGGGAGAGAGTCAAAGAAAGAGTCGGTCTCTTCGGACCATATCCTCTGTGCTCGCAGGATCTGACACCACGCACCTGAAACCCTAACCCCAGCGGGGACTTTTTGCTTCATCAATTCCACAGTTCAATCAAGGCCCAATGCCACACTGCAGCTCCACCAACAAAGCAGCTAGAGCTGCACTAAGACAGGTCTCCAAAACGCTTCCCACTAGTACTGAGAAAGAATAGCTCGAGTCCCGCGTCCAACCCGGGGCCTCGTGCAATGCTAGCTGGGCGAAAATCCCGGGCCGCGGGCCCTCCGCCGCCATCGACAATCCTCGCGCTCGATACCAGCGGCGCCGACACGATCGACGCCGGTTTTGTGACCGGGGACAAGACCGACGGCTCCAAAGACATACATCGGGTCCGACGTGAAAAATTGCTGGGATTTTAACGAATCAACCTTCCGCCGGCTGGCTGGTCGGGAAGGGATCATGGTCTAATCCCCAAGAAAACCCTTTCCCATGCATTTCCAAGAGAGTGAGTGATAGGCCCCGAGGATTCCCATACCAGGAACTTCAGGAACTTCAGGAGCTACCCAGGCATGTACCACCTCCTATTTTTGTCCATGCAACCCGGGCTGGGCGCACAAGAGGGAAACAATACCAGCTCCGGTACCTTGCTATGCGACACCGAAATAGGGGGCACCGGAAAGCGCTAGATAGTAGTTGGAGTCGAGTGCGCAATGAATGAGTGTAACCGACCCGAAAGTCGTAGGTCTTCTCAATACACAGTGGGCGGTGGCGTACTGTACAGTTGCGTAAAGTCGGCGGGAAAGCCCCACAACTAACTATGCACAACACCTACCTTACCCTCCGAATCTGCGACCCCACATTAGAGCCATAACCCCGCCAATGATGGTTTAGTTTCTGGCCGTTTTAACCAGGCAATGCAGAAGCTAACTCCTCAGCATCCCTCCACATATCCAAAATCGTCTGCGCGGTTTGACAAAAAAAAATGGCATCACCTTCGGCGCCAGCGCCCAGCAGCGATGCCGGGAACAAGCCGTCTCAGCCTGTCGCCATTGTGTGCGTTGGCATGGCCGGGTCGGGCAAGACGACGTTTATGCAGCAGATCAACGCCCACCTCCACGGCAAGAAGGAGCCGCCTTATGTGATCAACCTCGACCCAGCGGTAACGCACGCGCCGTTTGAGAGCAACATCGACATCCGCGACTCGGTCAATTACAAGGAAGTGATGAAGCAGTACAATCTGGGGCCGAACGGAGGCATCCTGACGTCGCTGAATCTCTTCGCGACGAAAGTCGACCAGGTCGTGGACCTGCTGGAGAAGAGGACGACGCCCGACCCGGCGAACCCGGCGCGCAAGCCAATCACAAACATCATAGTCGACACGCCCGGCCAGATCGAGGTGTTCGTGTGGTCTGCGTCGGGAACCATCCTGCTCGAGTCGCTGGCCTCGTCCTTCCCTACTGTCATCGCATATATTATCGATACGCCGCGCACGAGTTCGACGTCGACGTTTATGAGCAACATGCTCTACGCGTGCAGCATCTTGTACAAGACGAAGCTCCCCATGATCCTCGTGTTCAACAAGACCGACGTGAAGGACGCGTCGTTTGCCAAGGAGTGGATGACGGACTACGACGCCTTCCAGGCCGCGCTGAACGAAGACGAGATGAACAACGCCTTTGGCGGCCAAGAGGGCGGGGACGGCATGGGTTCGGGGAGCGGCTACATGGGCAGTCTGCTGAACAGCATGAGCCTCATGCTGGAGGAGTTCTATACACATCTGAGCATGGTCGCCGTTAGTTCGCTCTACGGCACTGGAATCGACGAGTTTTTCGAGGCAGTCAAGGAAAAGGCGGAAGAGTTCAAGCGCGACTACCAGCCAGAGCTCGAGAAGAGGCGCGATGAGAGGGAAGAAAACAAGAAGAAGGCGAGAGAGCGGGAGCTGGACAAGATGATGAAGGGCATGTCGATGGGTGGCGGCTCGAAGGATGTGACAGTGGGCGACATTATGGAGGACGACCAGGGTTTAGATGCTATCAGCACCGACGAAAGTAACGATGACGATGACGATGACGATGACGACGAAGAAGCCGGCGATGGTCTACAGAACAGATACGAGGCTGCCATGCAGGAAGACTCGGTTGCCACAGACGCGAGTTTTGCTAAGTATCTCTTTACGCAGCAAGGATAAAAAGGGTTAAAAGTGTTGGGAGAACGACTTTATCGGGTATGGTAGGGACTGGGGCATTAATGGCATTCTCGGCGTTTGGACAGACATGATATCATGATGGGGACTGTAAGAGTTAGGCCTAGACTACATGAAAGGACAAGACTAAAAAGCTTGCCCGCTGCCCCCGAAATTCGTTTCCCCGAACGCCTCGACGAAGAACATGTTCATAGTGATAAGACAATCATCGCAACCCCGTCTCACCACCCCCCCCCCCACAAAAAAAAAAGGTCTCTGTTTCATCCATTATCCATTGGGTTATTACTCAAGCGCTTGCGAGCGCCCGGTTATGGCACGGCACGACTAAGAGACTGATTTGCGAAGCTGAATAATAAGCCGTGCCCCGTCGTCTGAGATATTGCCTGCCTGCCCGTACTACCGCGCCTCGAACTGTACCATTCTGTAGAGAAAACATGGGTAGTCAGCTACCTCAGCCTCGTGACTGCCATTGCGCGGTGGCTGCAAAACAAAACAACGTCTCTCTCACCTCTTGGTGCGCTCCTTGTAGAGCACGCGGGCGCCGCACTTTTGGCAGCGGATGGGAGCGCCCTTCTCGAGCGGCACGCGCACCGCGCAGTCGCCGCAGATGTAGAACATGGTCGACACGCTGTTGTCGGGGATGAACTCGCGCGTCGGGAACGCCGCGCTGCCGCCAAACGTCGGCGAGTTGCCCGTGGGCACCTGGTAGCTCTCGCGAGACATGACGAACGACAAGTTTTGGTGAGAGATGGATGGATAGATCTTGCGCTTCGGCTGCAATGGCGATGTATTGCGATGTGCTGCTGCTGCTGCTGCTATTGCGTTCGGTTGGAGAGCTCGGATCTGTCTATCTGGATGTCGGGCGAGATGGGTGAAGCAAGCGGTGGTGGTGGGGGGAATGATGAGAGGCGGGTTGCGGGATCCGGCGGGGGCGGCTTGAAAGAAAAAAGGCGGCACGCTGTGGCAGAATCGCGCGCTAAGTTTTAACCAGCTGCGAGGTCGAAGGGAAGGGGTCCAAGCTGCGTATTACACGTCACGTGCCCCATTCGGAACGCCGAGCTAGGTACCACTAGGTTGGATAGGGCAAGAAGTTAATATTAGAGCAACAACCAAGGAGAGGCGCCTTGGCAATTACGAGATAGCAAGCCTGTCGGGCGCGTCTAATCCCTGTGCCGAGGCTGCTGTGACTATTTCTGTGAATGCTCGGGTCTGCAATGGCTTTTCTACCCTGACGGAAAGAGCTGTTCCGTACCTTACTTATCACGCAACACCACGGGGCATTGACCACCCTCTCTAACAATACCTACGGATACTGCACTAAAATGATGGCGCCGCCATCCGCAGCAGCAGCCCAGTCGGCCTTTGATCCCGGCCTGCACCACGCCCACGACTCGGCATCGTGCCCCTTTTGCCGAATAGCGGTCATCTATGGCCCGTACGACCCGGCCGACCCGCCAGCGGCCGAGTCCGACGCGCTGAACCCGGACGCCAGCGCACCCAACCCCGCGACGTTCGTCGTGCTGTCGACGCCGCTGCTGGTCGCCTTCCTGGACATCATGCCGCTGTCGCGCGGCCACGTCCTGCTGTGCCCGCGCGAGCACCGGCCGAAGCTCACCGACGTCACGGCCGCCGAGGCGCAGGAGATGGGCGGCTACCTCCGCGTGCTGTCGGCCGCGGTCGCCCAGGCCACGGGCGTGCGCGACTGGAACGTGGTGCAGAACAATGGCGCGGCGGCTGCGCAGGTCGTGCCCCACTGCCACTTCCACATAATACCGCGCCCGGAGCTGCGCGACAAGAGGAGCGAGCGGTTTACGGCCACCATGTTCGGGCGCGGTACGCGCGAGGATCTGGACGAGGACGAGGCGGCGCCACTGGCCGAGCGCATCAGAGAGGCCGTCGCCGAACTCCTTCACGGCGAAGCGCCGCCCGACAGCAGCAAGCCAAAGTTGTAGTAATGGCACCTTGCTTCTTCGCCACTTAGAACACTTCACTTTTTACGACTAGCCGTTGTACCCGCAGCTGGGCTCGTGATATGCAGCTGTTCTGGAAATCACGTATGTTTACTTCCGCCCATAAATTACGGGATGAAAAGATCCTAATTTGGTGTGTATGCCTAGTCTAGCGTGTAAAGCGAATCCGTACTATCTAATATTCTCGAATTCCCCAAACAGCTCCAATGGACATATCCCCAGCCGAATCAATACGTGCCAAACCCTTTAGGTGCTCTTCTGACAGCTCGATCACTCGTCGTCGCCATAGAAGACGGTGACCGGCAGCCAGCCATCCTGGCAGACCTTGAAGCGGTCCGGGATGGCGTCAATCTTGGCCACCTCGTCGTCGCTGAGGCTCCAGCCATCGAGATCATAGTTTGCCTCGACGCGCGACGTCGTCACGCTCTTGGGCAGGACGCTCCAGCCCTTCTGCAGCCCCCACACGAGCAGGATCTGCTGCGGCGTGCGACCCTTGGCCTTTGCGATCGCGTTGATCGTCTCGTTGCTATACAGCGGCGAGTCGCTGCTGCCCAGCGGGGAGTAGCCCGAGGTATGGATGCCGTGGGTGTTGTTGTAGGCGACCAGCTTGGGGGATGGGTTGCCCGGGTGAAGCTCGATCTGGTTCACCGCGGGGACAATCTACACGTGGCCAGCGCCTGGTCAGTTTCTGTGCGATGGTCTGCTGTGCAGCAGCGTGGTTGGCCTGAAATTGCCTCGGGCTTCGAGGGAGGGGGAGATGTGCAACGCACCTTGCAGCTGGGGTCATTCAACAACTTCTCGAGATTCTTGATGCCAAAGTTGCTAACGCCAATGTTTCTGACCTTGCCGGTGCCAACCAGCTTCTGCATCTCGCGCCAAGTGTCGACAAAGTCCCAGTCCACATAGGCCTTGCCCTCGTGGTCCGGGTCCAACGAGCACGGCCAGTGCATCAGGTACAAATCGACGTAGCTGGTGCCCAGGTTCTTGAGCGACTGGTCGATCCCTTCGGCCACGCGCTTGTGCCATGGGTTGTCCAGCTTTGTGGTCAGCCAGATCTCCTCGCGTGGCACGCCCGACGCGCGGATGCCTTCGCCGACCTCCTTCTCGTTGCCGTAGGCGAACGCAGTATCGATGTGGCGATAGCCGGCTCTCGGGGCAGCCTCGACAGCCTTCTCAACCTGGCCGGGCTTGGATTGCCAGGTACCCAGGCCGATGCCGGGGATGGAGTCGCCCGAGTTGAGCTTGAAGGTTTTCCTGGGACATCAAGTTAGCAGGTAAGTGGCCAAATCAGGAGGCCGAGCGAAGGTGCAGTAGCGGTTCACTTACGCTGTGTTCTTTACGGCGGCCATGATTTCTTTTCTGCTGTACCGAGTATATTTCACTGGTATATCTATCGTTGGAGTTGGGCTGGGGGAGAGATATAGTTTTAGGACGTTGGTGCTTTTGGAAAGAAAATAAATTCAGAGCTTCCAGATTTCTCTACGGGAATAAAGAGGACGGAATCTGCGTGGCAATGAAGAGAGAGAGAGAGAGCTGTTACTTCCAGAAAGAAAGGCCCCCAGCCTATGACGTTCTGTCGAGACGCCAACACCGTACAATGTTCGCCGCAACTGTGCCCCGCACTTAGGATACCTAGCATATGATATCGGTGTGGCGAGTGCAGTGATCAAATAGACTAACCTAGAACTTACTAAGGCATGCAGTTTAGGTAAAAGAGACGAAGCCCAGTTATATTCAAGAACAAAAGTCGGTTCCAAGTGGACGCGGGGTGAACTGTGCTATAATACGGACACTGTAACATAATCTCACAAATACTGGAGCCCAGAGAGGAAACCGCGCGAGCTGGCTGCTCAAAGGCAAGACGAATGTGAGGCTTCCACAAAGGTACTTTAGGTAGAGAACCCAAGTGGCATGGAGCAACATTGTATCAAAATTCCATTCTGCTTGTTTAGGAGTCTGCAGCGAAGATTTGTGCAAGGCTTATAAACGAGGATGGAATTGGGAATCGCTTCCATCTTACGCTGCCGCTTACCCCTGATTGCCTGCAAAATCCAACACTCGAGAGGATGAGGGAGCGGGGCTTCGGGAGGCGTCACACGAAATGCTGGAACTTGGACGGATTTACAGTGCTTGGGTTCGATCTGGTTAGGGTACGGATACTGTACCCTCCATCCTCATTGCAAGACGACTACGAAGGAATTATATTATTACACACGACTGATATAGGGAGGCCAAAAGACACGAGTAAAATTGAGTGATGAAATTTTTTCCCGAAGATTGAGAAAACCCTTCGCCAGCTAGCGCTGCAAAAACAACTTGCTAAGAGGTAGAAACAGGCAACGAGCTACATTGAAACTGCTCGTCGCCTCTCGTTCTGACCACGTACTCAATCAACCATCTGTACCACTGCTCCTGAAGGTGGCACATAACGCCGCGTAGTGATGGGTCAGGTCGAGGACATTCTGTGGCAGGCTCGTGGCCTGTACAATGCTCCTCACCTTCACGGCCCCCTCGTCCTCGATCAACATCCGGACCGTGTGGAGCAATTCGGGCGAGAACTCGCTGTACCATCTGTACTGCCACGTAACTAGCCGGATTGTTGCGGCAATTGTCTCCCGCGTGTTCTTGTTCTTCTCAAACACCCGCAATATTCCCGTCAACGCCTTGGGACTGAACCGCAGAGACAGACAAGCCCGGTACGCCTCTACGGCTTCGTCGATATGCTGCAGTCGCTCGGCGAGGCTGCCGAGAATCTCCCATTCCTCGGCCGACTTCTTGTACTGCATGCTTTGCGCACGATATTGCGCCATCTGTGTCCTCCAGATAGTGTAAACACGGAGATCTTCGTAGAGAACCATGAATAAACTGTCCAGCCAGCGTTCACAGAGTCGCTTATTGTTCAGGCGCGAGAAATGCTCATCAATGTCACCCTATATCGGAGAGTTAGTGACGTGTCCAGGCTAGGTCAAAAAGCTCTCTACGGGTGTGAAAAAATGCGCAGGCCGAGACTCGGGTATTGCGATAAGTTGGAGCTGTAGGCACTCACATTCTCGCCGTCCTTCTTGACCTCTTCCGGATCCATGGCGCTGGACGGCCTCTCCAGATCAGCGGCCTTCCCATTGGCGACAAGAGTGGGCGCCATAGATGCGCTGTCGGCCTCTTTAAGCGTATCGTTGTCCTTCTCCGCGTCCTCTTCCCCTTCGCCATCAGAGGCATCGCCATTGGTGGCAGGATCCGGAGTTCCGCGGAGTGCATCGGTGCTAGCGTTGCGTTTCGCGGGATACGCCTGCTGCACCGTCTCCTGCTTCTCGCTCCGGTACTCATCTTCCATGACGAAAACATTGCTGCGAATTTTCAACAGCTGGTCCCATCCGATCTTGGCTGTCATCTCGGTCAAAATGCCATATGCCTGTTTAAAGGTCCCTCGATACGCGGACGCGCGGAGATTGAGGAGATTCGGGTCAACCTGCTCTAAGTATCTTGATTCGGGCTCGCTGTCGATCTCGTCTAGCCTCGTCTCGGGGAGGGTGGGGAGAAGAACGTCCTTAGGCTCAGGCATGATAGGGGCGTCCTTGTCCTGGTAGGTAAACATGGGGCAAGAGTTGAGAATCGTGAGGGCATTCTCCCAGTCTTCCATGGCAACATAGACCTGGGCAAGTCTCGCCCACGTCCCAAATTCACTTGGTGCGGCGATAGTACTCCGGTCCGCGCAGCCGAGGGCCATGCGCAACCTCTCCTCCTTTTGTTCCGGCGTCGCTGCAATCTCGGCCTTCTTCAGCAAAAACTCTGCCTGGGTGTCGAGCATCACGTAATCCATGGGGTGTTCCTTGAGAGCTTCGTGGAGAACGCGAACCCCTTCAACTTCCTCATTGCCCATGAACAAGACCTTGGCTAGCAGCGAGGCTACTTCAACATTCTGCGAGCGAAGCTTTTCAAAGAGGTTGATTCCCGATGCATAACGGCCAGTTGTGTGAAAATACTTCAAAATGCCGGTTGTCAGGTGGTTGGAAACGGCATTGGGAACTTGCACAACCGCATCAGAACCAAGCTGCCAGCCTGCGAACACGTGTCAGTGAGAGCCACGAGCGAAGTTGGTGCGCCACATCCCCCTTACCCCTGAAGAATAGCTGCTCGGCAGAGCTGAGGAATCGATGCTCAGTCTCGGTGCTAGTGACAGGGTTGAATCGCCTGACACCCATAATCTTTTTAATTGTGTCGCCACTGCCGTCGTCGGCATACGAATAGGCTCGAAGTACACTGCAGAGATATGTCTCGAGCCAGAGCTCGTCGGTCGCCTTCCGCTTCTCGCCTCGCTCATCAATGCAGTAGCTTTCGACGGAACCGGGGAAGGGAGCATGCACGCGCATGTCAACTCGAGAGAATGCATTGTAGCAGCTAGTTGGCAGCATCAGCAGTTGCATCAATGTTTAGATCGGCACGAAGGGAGAAAAGACACCTACCAGTAAGTTCCCTCGACGGTTTTGGCAGTCGCCCCCTGCCCGAACTCCTTATACGTCAAGGTGTTCACATAGGCAGCAAGACTCGCCGAGGACGATGCGTCTACGCCGGTAACATGATGGTAAACACCGATCTTTACGTCATGTTAGCCAACTATAGGAACGGTAGCATCAGGGCTCAAGCCAGCGCGAACCTGCTTTGTTGGATTCCTCAGAGGTTGCTTCAACAGGTGAACGAGATCGGGGGGGCCAAGCTCGCGCAAAGCGATCAAAGACTCGGTGCGGGCATCAATGGCTTCGTGGATAACCTCTTCGGTGATCCTGAGCAAAGGCATATTGTTAGCTACTCAGCCTTATGCGATGACGACGATGGTGAATGCGTACTCGGGGACAGCTGGCGCAACCATTGCAACGATGGGTGGGCCGCCGCGTGGCGGGATTGGTGATGGATGGAGAGCTGCGATGGGGTGCGAGATTGTAAACTCGAAGGGACCAAGGTTGCCGATCTATTGGCAATGAGACATTTGCGCGCGGCCGGTTACTGGCTTCGCGCTTCCTGCTGCGAGCTAGGCGATGCCGTCCAACGTCTTGATCGGACCCCGTTCCTGCGGAATTTGTGTTCGCAGCTCTGTGTCCTGGCCTAGCCAGATGTGTCAGGTCCAGGTCTGGCAGCTTGCTTGCTTAGTGCTGCACTACACTGCCTGGCTGCACAAAGATACATACAGAACGCACGGACTAGTTAAGAAAGCTGAACCGTGCGTGCTGTTAAGGTACCCTTACCAATTGAAGCGATATCAGGTCGCGGCCGCGCCCCACCGATAGTACACGCCCTGGCTTACAACGGTTCGGGCGTTTCTACACCTCAGTCGAGGAACATTCAGCATTTAACTTTTAGTTCAATTCAACACGGGGCTAACATCGACGTTCCCACCGCGGGATTAAACGTCGCTGTTCCTTTCTCTTCGGTACCCCCTGTTGCGAAGAAAATATATGCATTTTAACAATTTGGCAACATGGTAGGCACATGGGATGCCGTTCGTCGCGACACTGACGTTTTGCTAACGCGACGCTCTCCCCAGCCAGCTTTCTTAGCCATCAATGTCGAGCCTGAGGACAATGTCGACGAGGAGGTCGATACAACTCGGGAACTTCAGGTTTGTGCGTCCGTGCAGTTTGCCGGTCCAGCCGCTCACAGGTGGATCCCACCCAGGTCGACGATTCTTTCAAATTATTCCAGACTGCCCTCAAGCTTCACGCGCAAGGGCCCCGGTTCTTCGACGAAGCCTCCGATGCCTACGATGCGCTATTCGAGTCCGAGATCTTCAAGTACCCCGAGGCAAAGACTGAGTACGAGCGCAACGAGAGGCGGCCAGATGGAACGTTCGTCGTAGAACCCGTGTTTGCGCCCGGCGCCGACGTAGCCCAAGCCGACGTCGACGGAATCGGCTCTCTTCTTCCTCAGGCCTTATATCTGTCATACAAGAATCATGGCCAGTTTGTTGTGGACCGCATCAAACATAGGGTGCGCACGGCACCACACACAGCCGCAAAAGCCGTCTTTAACACCCCAGAAGTCCAGGAGGACGCACACAAAGCCCTGGAGGACTTCAACGCCGCCCTTGACCGCGATCCGTCAGATGCAGAACTATGGCGGAAAACTGCTCGCGTTGCTGCTTTCCTCAAGAGCACTCGCATCAGTCGGTATAGTTTGGAGGCAGCCGTCGAGCTCGACGATGACCCGGCAGTTGTGGAGGTTGAACCGCCGTCTTTGGCTGAGGGCTTTGCTGGAGAGCAGCTTAAAGAACAGCTGGAGGTTTTGGACGACAAAATGGCTTTGACCCACCCCGCAATAGTTCCTTTTCGTGAGAGAGGTTTGCTGCCGCAACTGAAGCGATTCCTGGATCCCATGCCATTCCTCCCTAATCCAACAAAGTCAGTAGCTATCACGAAGGAGCAGTCGGATCCTGTCGCAGCGCCTCGCCTAGTCCTTGACATCTCGAGCTACTCTTGGGCCGAATTGGGCATGGCCTTGGTTCGTTTTGTCGACGAACACGGGTTGTCCGGGCAAGCTGTTCTCATTCAGGGTCCTATTATGGTTTTCGAGAACGACGTCCAAATGGAGATTGATAAACAACTACAGCCCTTGGATTCCTCTCCACCCCGGATCAGGATAGCAGATACTACTACAACGGAAGAAACCTCTGCCGAAAACCCCAAAGATGCTGACTCCATTGTGAAAGAACCAAAGTCGGCGACTGTCGAGGGCGTCACTCCCAGGGACCAGCGTCTCCCAGAGCGGAGCAACTCACTCCCCTCAAGAAAACGCTCACAGTCGGTGGCAGGCTTGGCGGATGCGCAAGATGAAGAAAATGCCGATACTAAGAGAAGCAAGCGAACGAGACGTCGAGATACGGCAGCCGAGGAGGCCATGGATCCTGCTACTCTTCTCGCGACCCAGTTACAGCCTTTTCAGGCTGCTGATCAGAATCTCTTCCAGACCACAAAGAACCTCCTCGAAAACCTAGGGGTGACAGATCGGGTCACTCTTGACAGACTCGCCGAAGTCCTTGATTCATGTGCCTCGGATGACCGGACAGGCAAAATCCAAAACGTATCAACAAGAGATCTGCGTGATGCTATTGTGAAATTTGACGACGACACCGCAAAGGTCCTGCTAGGGGACGGAGAGTCTTTTGCGCCTAGCCTCTCTGGGTTCCTCGAGCACGCAAAGGCCGGTTCTCAGCGAACTGTCGAGCCTCCGGCTTTCGATGACACGCGAAGCGTGCGGAGCTTTGTGGAAAAGTCGAATGCAGGATGGAACACGGTACATGACATTGCATACTTGTATGCAGTGGCTATGGTTCAGAGTTACGAGCACCTCAAGTGGTCCGAGCAGATGAAGACTTCTATGGCCCAAGTTATCAGCCACCTTGATGGAAGCATCTATGAGAGAGTTCTACATGAGCTCGAGGTGTGCCAGACGGGCGGACAGGAGGAGATGCTCAACGACATCATCAGCCTCATCCACATGCTACTCGAGCTTCACCTAGATGTTTACGAGCGCATTACGAATCCTAACAGCGTAGTTGACCAAATCACGAGGATTGAAATGCGAGAGAGGCTCGAGAGATGGCTTCACCTCACCACTAATGTCAGCCGCCGTCACGTACAGAATCCGGACGATTCATTCTCACTTCGTCTTCTCTGGGCTGCAGCCTGTTCTACGACGGTCGCGAAAGACATAGCGCGCGACCACATCCTCACCTGCTGGTACAGCTTACGCGATTACCTTGCCGGGTCCCCTGCTGCCGACATCAGCCTGCCAAATAATACCATCATGTCCGAAATCTCATCGGGTGCTGCAGACCGTGAGATATCCAAGTTGACGACGATGGACTTCTTTTTGGGCCTGTTCCAAGAAGACATGGGAGATCCCGCGTCTGTCATTGAAACTCTGGAGCCCGTTCTGAATCCCGACTCGGTCGCAATCAATCCAGCTGTGCCCGAGACCAACGGGACCAACGGGGACAGCGGCAAGCATAAAACGGTCGGACAACCTATCAAGGAGGTTGCAAGCCAGGGCCTTCAAGACCTCTGGAGGTTTCTGCAGGGAAGCAGCACTGAGCTACGTCTGCTCCTTTGGGCAAGGCTCGGAGAGGCATACGGAAAAATCGAGTACGCCACAAAGCAGTTTTCCTGCCTGCTGCGGAGTATCGAGACAATTGTCGCCGACTTTGAGCGCGACGATTACATCAATACCCCCCCAGAGTCCCGAAAAGGTCTTTTCATGACAATGTTGAAGGCCCTCGACCAACTCGTTATTGACTCGTTGTATCTGGCCTTGAACGACAACAGCTCGTTTGACATCGTCGATGAAGATCACTTGCGGTCTACTCTGTCTGCCCTGGCAAAAGTCAACTGCCTTTTGCACGTGGCGGCAATGTACGAGGACGAGGTTCGTATCGGGATGACCCAGGCCGCTGCGTCTGGGTCAATGTTCACGTCATTCCTCACCAAGCTTCGTGAGATGCAGGTCAGGACATGGTCTCTCCAGTACACGGTACTGAAAGTCGGCGTCAACCAGCACCCGGCAATCTTTTCAAGGCCTGAAAACGACCTTGCCGATTACCTAGCAGCGGTCCATCAGGTGCTGGGCTTGCGGAAATGCTGCAAGTCTTCCAACAAGATCTTCCTCAAAATGATGCGCATTGAGCTTCTTAAGCAGAAGAACATCGAGAACTGGGAGGACTATCTAGGCCAAGTTCTCTATGATCTTCACGGCCTCAAAATCGGGGTTGGAGTCTGGGAGGTCCAGGACCACGGTTGCCCCCCCGAGACATTGAAACAGAAACAGGCCATGGCGCTCGTTGAGAAGATTACCGTCCTTGCGAACAGGATGACAATGAAGGATCTGCTCAAGTCAGACCTAAAGACAACGATCGAGCACATGCAACAAGCCATTGGATCGAGCAAGTCTACTCCTCAGATGATGCTTAACCTCCGCAACTTTACAGAGTACCTGAAGACTGCAATCCACCCCTTGCACCTATATCAAGCCCTCACCGGCAATATCGATCTAGATGCCATCACAATCAACACGCCGGAGAGTGCCCCTGCCAAACAGGGCTGGTTTTTCTTGCAAGGCATGATTGCCCTCACCAAATTCAAGGGAGTAGACCTCAATAGGCGACAGACGCCGGGCGCTACTGACGACCTGCGTATCGGTGCGACATTCTTGCGGCTCCAGCTTCAGTTTACGCCGGATCGGTGGGATGCGTGGTTCCGCCTTGCCGAGTGCTTTGACTACGAATTGGATGAAGCTGTTCTCTGGACTGCCGACAAGATGAACAAGGACCGGGCTGACTTGGTCAAATTTCAGCGGAACTCAATCCACTGCTATACTCTGGCGCTATCGCATTCATATGCATGGGCTTCGGACCCTTTTGCCTTCACGGCCTCGGAAGACGATGCGGATGCACTATTCGACATGTACCACGAGTTTGGCATGCGAATGTATGCATCCAGCCGCGAGCCATTCGCAATGGAACCCTTCAAGCACGAAGACCAGGAGCGGTTCTTCATTGAAACAATGGGTGCTGGAACATACAAGAAGATCTTGCACAACCAAATGTCGGACTACCAAGTCTGGAAGTTCGCAGCCAACCTATTCAAGAAGGCCATGGCGGGCAAGCCAAAAGAGTGGAAGAACCCTTACATGGTAGCAAAATGCCTTTGGAAGATGTACCAAAAGCCATTGGATGCTCTCGACCAGAAGAACCGACTAAGCCGCCCGACGATGCAAACCGTGCTGGATGCTCTCGAGAAAACCGTCGAGGTCGCCTGGGCGTTACCAAAACCACGCCACGGCCAGTATCCCATTCTGGAACCACATTACAAGGTTCTTTCTGTGGTCTACAAGCTCGTTAGGCGCGGCGATCTCACTGCCCAAGAGGGCGCCAAAATCTTACAACGCCAGCCATACGCCCCCGATCACAGCTCGGAAGTCACGATCGGTGATGCTGATGAATGGGAAGCATATGTGATTAGATCATTGCGTTACTTGCGCGACAAGGACAAGTCAAACTGGCAGCATCGTTTTATCATGCGCCATGCCCGCATTCTCTTCGACGAAGCCGATGTCGAGGGCGATGGCGGGGGATACGTCGCCGCCAAAGCCGCTTTCGCAGTTCTGCGCGAGAACATGTTCACCAAGACAATGGTAATGAACGTCTGGAAGTGCGACGCCGAGCGGCCCGGTCGCCACCATGTCTACACCGAACAGTACATACGTTTTGCGGTTCGGCTGCTTGCCGTTATGAACGACCGAACCAACCTCGAAGCGGTGCTGCGCCGGATACGCAAGAAGGGTATTGACTTCTATCATTTCAACGAGCTGTGGCAATCTTGCGTCTTGATATATGTGAAACTCCTCCGCCAGACCTACGATATTCCCTTGACGGAAGAGGAAGCGTTTAAGAGCCTTACCCCAGAGGAGTTCGACGTCCTCGGCGAGAAAATCACCGAGTGGGCCACGAAGACAGAGGCTGAAGGCCACAACGCGCTCAGCGCCATGAGAGAAGCAGTGGAGCTCAAGAAGCTGAATGCCAACCTAATGAAAGCCGGGCCGATTGACGATCTAATTGCGGACTGCTACTCGGCCATCTACCTCGAACTCAAGTCCGAGTTACCTGGATCGGAGGTCGCCCAAATCAAGGACGAGCGCAACCAAGGGCAGGATGAGGGACCACGGACCGATGACAACACAGAGGCCAAGGGCAAGCTTCTGAACGGACTTCTGGGCGCTCACGACCGGGAGTCTACTGTGTTGGGTTCTCTTCGAAGCTGTTCGGAGCAGCCGGAGAAGGCAGACAAGCCCCTCTCATTTACTGGAGAAGCTGCACCACGAGTAGGACGACGAGCCGGTGTCAGGCGTGCGGATATTCTCCGCAAGGCCGAGCAAGCGGTCGCCCGCTCCGCCGAAGGGCCGCCCAAATCTGCTGGCGGCGCCAACGGGGCCAGCACAAAGTCTCGCTCCCGACTCGGCTCTACCTCTAGTGGCAGGAATGGTCATTCTGCTGGAGAAGAGGAGAATGGCGGTAGCGGCAGTGATAGCGATACCGGGGACGGGAACGCTCAGCATCCCGAAGATGAGGATGTAGAGATGAGGGATGCAGACGGTGACGACAGGCATGGCAGTGCCCACGAGAACGGGCACGACGACAATGGCAGCGAGATTTCAAGCCCGCCAAGAAGCGTTCATGATTCGGCAGACGATGAGAGCGACCTTAGCGACGTCCCTGCCGACTACGAGGATGACATACCACCGTCATTGCTATTTCCGAACCTCCGGAAGAGCGTGGAAATGAGCATCGCTGCCGAGACGGCTGCTGACGATAGCTCCAACCAGAGCACTGCCGATGAGGGCGAAGAGGGTGAAGAAGGCGAAGAGGGTGAAGAAGTTGAGGAGGCCGAAGAACTTGAGGAGGATGAAGAAGGCGAAGAGGCCGAAGAGGCCGAAGAAGCCGAAGTTCCTGGTGAGGTCGAGGTGGCTGATAGCGCTGGCGACGACGATGAAGCCGAGATTGAGATCGAGGTTGGGGGCGAGATCAAGGCTGGGAGCGAGATTGAGGCTGACGAAGGTAGCGAAGTCGAAGACGAAGACGACGAAGAGATAGGAGAAGCTGAAGAGGCGGAAGAGGAAGAAGAGGAAGAAGATGGAGAGGAGGGGGAGGAGGCAGAAGAGGTTGACGATGGGGAAGATGAAGAGGGAGAGGATGAGGGTGAAGAGGAAGAAGAACCAGAGCGTCGTCTGGGCTCGCCGATGGAGGACGAAGGTGACACTAGTGCGAGCGAATAGCGGACTTTGCATGAGCTGAGAAATGATTTTACGGCGCAAAAGGGGGTAACCGGTGTCTGTATATCAATATAAACAATGGGCAATCGGTTGGGTGGGACCTAGTAAAGGGCCGGGCAGACTACAGCGTTTGGGGCAAGGCGTTCATTCTGAAGCGTATTTCATCTACTATTAGGTTTTATCGGTATTTCATGAATATAGAGCCGTGGCTGATGTTTCACTCATGTAATCCTGCGCAGCTGTTGTGGTTCCATGTTAAGGCATTGGCACCCTGTCTCGACCGGGTAGGTGAGGTACAATTCGCCTTAGCCGAGTGTTTCGGATTTTCTTGCCCTGCTCTACTAATTATGATATGAGCAACTAGTAAATTGTGTGGGGGTTGTGAGGATTCAATCTTCCGGTAGTTCGCACAGATGATGGAATGGGGTGCGTCAATGAGCTTAGTCACCATTTGCCTCACTAGTATCCCTGTCAGGCTGGCCGGCCCCAAGGGACCCAAGCTCCAGTCCCATGCTCTTTAGGTTGCTTGGATCACTGCCCCGCCTCGGCCGCCCCACCTTGGGCCTGACCCCTCCACCTGCTGCGGCCTTGGATATGGCAGGTGGAAGGCTGCCATATTGCAGCCATCTTTCCCTAGAAACTCTTGCCTCGGCTTTCCTTTTCCCCAGTTAACTCTCGACCACCTAAAGATTTGGAATCTTCTAGGGGGATTGAATTTTTTTCTTTTCACATTCTAATTATTACCCCAACGTTGTGTCGTCACCCCATCCCCAAAGTTCAGGTATCCGAGCTCGAGGAAGGCAGACAAACTGGCTGGAGCTTCCCAACACCATCTTCACCGAGCTACCTACGCGTCGAACCCTTCCGCTACACAACATCTGACAGCCTAGAAAGGAAAGTACCATCGTGGTAAGAGCAACCCCAGGTGGTACGAAAAGTCACATAAATACTTCAAAATGGCGTCGCAAAAACGCATTGCCAAGGTAAGCAAGCAAGCCTTCCCAGCCACCAATACTCAGCCTCCCCCAAGGTTCTCTCTCTCTTGGCGTTATTTCTTGCAGCCTTCTAATCGTTGCCATGTGTCTTGTTTCCGAAACAAACAGGAACTGAACGAGTGCATGAGCAGCCCGCCCGAGGGCATGACGGTGGAGCTGGCGGACGACGAGGACGTGCACAAGTGGCACGTCACGCTGGCGGGGCCGCCGGGCAGCGTGTACTCGGAGGGCAAGTTTGGGGTCGTGGTGTCGCTGCCGAGCGAGTACCCGTTCAAGCCGCCGACGGTGACCTTCGCGACGCGCATCTACCACCCCAACGTGACCAACGACACCCTGGGCAACATCTGCCTGGCGGCGCTCAAGCCCGAGGCCTGGAAGCCCGCGACCAAGCTGCGCGCCGTGCTCGAGGCGGTGCGCTCGCTGCTCGTCGAGCCCCAGCCCGACGACCCGCTCGAAGGCCGCATCGCCGACGAGTACCGCAACGACCGCGGCGAGTTCGAAAAGAACGTCCGCGCCTACATCCAGCGCTATGCCAAGGGCGCCGCCAAGTTCGATGCCGCTCCCCCCACCGCCGCCGCCGGTGCGCCCGGCAACTCGAATGAGTAGCGCAGACAGGTCTACATACATGCAGCCAGCTGCAGAGGGCGATTTCAGAAAGAAGAAGAAAAATGTCATAAATTAATGTAGCATCATGCTACGCGCACAGATGGCCAGGCCCGGCCAGACATACGAGAAAGCTGGAGTGAGCAGTGGTGGGGAACAGGAACAGGAACGGGAACGGGAACGTGAACGGGGATGGGAATGGGAAAGGGCGTTTATGCCCAAGAGTGGCTGGGCTCTTTCACACACACATTTTGGAGCGAAACATGGAGTTTACTTTTTTCATGCACACATCATTCTTGTCTCATAGTTGATTCCGGGGACGCATCGGCTAGCACTAGGTTTTTTTTTCCCTCCCACCTCGCCATCTTCGACTGATAAATACTACCTAGGTATATCGTAGGTCAAAGACGCGACTAGTATCGATTGAGCGGTATTCTGAACGTGCGAGATGGCCTTTAAGGTGAGGTATCGTATGACGACATGTTCTACGGTGATATATAATGTCATTTGCAAAAGACTTCGAACAGCAATAAAGTGGGAGTTCCGGAGTCTTCAATATGTTTGTCTTCTCCGTCCAAGATCTAAAGATGCTTCAGAGCACATGTATCTATGGGTTTTATTGTCGGCCGAAATGCAAATAAAGGTAAATAGGGTATATATCGTTGCTAACTAGGTCATCTAGCATAACCGCCATATCTAGGATGTATTTCCCCTGCCGCCCTCTTGTCTATACTTGATATATATGACCTTGGCCAACTCCCTAATTTTGCTTTCCAACTCCCACACTATCTTTTCGCCAACCATCTCTGGCTTGACGAGAGCCTATATCTGTCATGTGAACCCCCTCCCGCTGTCCACCGTAATGCTGGTTTCCCTCGCAATGCGCTGATAACTCCCAAGAACAAAAGAAAAGAAAGAAAGAACCCCCCCCGTAGATACATTGATGTTACATGCAATATACATCCAAACCGTCCCTGTTTTGGTGAGCTGCGGTCATAACAATATCATGAAGAAAGAAACAGGACCGGACCCCTGTGTGGCCAGTACTCTCTTATAGCAAATGCAAGAGGTAATCAATGTCGTGAAAAGAAATACTGAGATGCCTGACATGGCGCGGGAAAAGGAGCTTCGCCATCTGCTTGGTTCATGGCACTAGAGTAAAGGTTGAGACGGGCCGAGGCTTGCTCTACATGACCTCGGCTGCCCTGGCTTGCTCGCGGTCCTTCTTTCGACCGAACAGCGTTCCCTTACGACGGACTTCGAGAGCTTCCATGTCGGTAGCGAGGTCCAGCCCAGCAGCGGCGGTGGTTCCCGACCTCGAACCATTGCCGGTAGACTCCTGGTCTGCTTTCCATTTCCGAATGCCGGCACGCCGCTCTTCCCGTTTCTCTTCGACGACCTCCTGGCTCAGATGGCCGATTCCGTTGCGCCGCTTGTAGCAAGCCTCCATGAGCGCATTGCAGTCAATCAGCCGTCGTGGGAACGTTTGCACAACGCCGAACATCTCCATAGGGTCGGCGACAGCCTTAATCTCGGGCTCGGCCAGCTTGAAGATGGTTAGAGCAATCCGGAACAATGTGCGAGAACCCTCGTAAAAGAAGACATCCCACACACGCAAGACAGTCTCGGTGGGCAAGGTTCCAATAAAACATGACATGAACCAAGCTGTCATGCAAAGCGTGATTGGCGGCAAGCGGTTGGGGTCGTTGGCGCTGGGGTCAGATTTGGTTCCGCCGTCTTTCCGGCGCCTTCCCTTGCTCTTTTTGCTTGAACCTCCCTCGATCTCGTCGCCGCCAATTTGCTTCCACACTCCGGGCAGAGAGTCTTTTAACGCAAGCATCAGCACGCCCAGGTCAACCTTGGAGCCCTCCAAGCTCATCTCGTGAGTTCCTGGAAGATAAACGCGCGTGATGACGTTAAGAAGCCAGAAAGACTGCTCTTCGGTCTCGATAAAGAGAAGGAGCATGCCGGCAATGAAATTCAGCGACTGGCAATACCCGATACGTGGGTTGTAGAGGGCAAAGGCGTTGAGAACACGACGCAACGATGTGATCATCTCAGGTTCGGAAGCCGCCTCGGACGGCTCTGCGTCCGCGCCCTGGCTTGCGTTTGCCGGCCGCGCTGGATGCTGTGGTCTGAATCGTACATTATCGGGGAACGTACGGTACAAATCCTTTTCGATGTCTTCTATGATGAGGGGCTTCACCTCACTGGTCTGGCCAGGGATTCTGCCAGAGCCAGTCGGGTCCAACGCAGCTCGCTTTACCAGTTCGTCGTAGACACCTCGGTGTTTAGCCATAATGGCTGGCCCGCCGGCGTAGTAAAACCACGCGGCGCCCCGCCAGTCAGGCGGTATGCCCTTTCGTACAAAACGTTTCGTCCTTGCGCTTCGCGGAGGAAACCTGTTCGGCTGGCCCGTCATGAGAGAGTTTTCTTTCAGAAGCGCAATCCACTTCTTGCGGCGGCGAGACAAGTACTCGGTGTATGAAGCGTCCCAGGCATCGAATTGCTGTTGGGTGACATTAACACTTGCCTTCCGAAACCCGTAGCGATCACGGCTGTCTGGGTCCTCTGGAGGCTCGGGCACAGTCTGTGGATTTGGCGAAGGGGTGGCCGCGCGAGGGTGTATGTTGATCACGCCATTCGGCGCTGCTAAAGGCGCCTTGCGGATTGCAACCTGCGGCGCAGCTTGGTCGCCATCACCATCACCGTCCAGCATCTTGGCCGAATCGTGCTTCCCAGACTCTGTTGTTGTGTCCGAGCCCTTTCTCCTTGCCATATGCTCGGAAGCTAGCCCGAGCCCCATATTTTTCGGTAAGGAACTAGGCAAAAGCGATTTTCTAAAATTGTTTACTGACTCTCGCTTTGTCGAGCGCGTAGATTCGGGGATAGCAAGCGCTCCAATGATTGGTAGTTCATCGTTCATTGCTTCGAGCATCTGGTCTCGCACCCGGCTCGTTTCCGAACGGATGCTCGGGGGTCGGGAGTTATCCGGTCCAGCGGGTCCAGCCTCTGTATCGAGATCAAAAACATCATCCGCCTCGTCCGCAAACCTCATACTTCGGCGAATACTCTCGATGTCGGAATCGTTGAAGCCCCTCTCGTACATGCCCATCACGTCTTCTAGACTGGGTCCGTCGTCTACCACCGAATCAGGCCTCCAGTTGGTCCCCGCATAGCCGTTGATAATGGAATGCTCCGTGATACTGCTGGCCTTGGTCAGGACGCTGCTCCTCTCTGTTCCAGCGGCGGTGAACAGGGTGCCTTGTGCGGTCGAGGTTGTTAACTGCGACCGAAAGCTTGACCGAAGCTCGTCACCTGCGGCCAACCAAGGCGGGACCTCGCGAGTGCTCGGCTGCGGGCCGTTATTGTTGTAGGTTAGAGAGGGTCTGGGTGGGACGCCTGATTGGGGATTCGGACGCCTCAACGACCCCGTTCTCGACTGCACGCCTAGGTGATCGTTGGAGGGACGATGAGGATTCGAGGAATACGTGCTCGATGACTTGGACGAAGAACCAGAGAGCCCCCGAGACCGGGGCCAAAGGCTGTTGTAGTATGGCGATACCTGGCTGATTGGCGGTTGGTCGGAGAGGGGATCTAGTTGTAGACCTACACCATTTGTAGGCGCCTGCCGCGAGTAGGAGGGATCGGACCTCTGTGACCTCATGCTTGGTTTCCGGGGACGAGAGAAGTTCTCGACAATCATAGGGCCTTCCGGCGTCGTCGTTGTTTGCCGGTATTCAAAAAAGGCTGAGTCGCTGTTTGCGGCGGGGGAAATAGGGGTGGCTGTCTGGCCTAGCGCATCATGGGGCCGCCCAAGCAACGGGAACTCGCGCGTATTGGATGTCGAAGGGTCGAACTCGGGCGCCTCGGGAATGAATAGGTTCGACGAAAGCGCGGTGAAAGCAGGCCGCACGGCTACCCTTGGTGTTGGGGTGGACTCGGCCCTTGTCCTCTGCGAAGGTTGTGGTGTGTGAAACTGTGATGCACTAGGAGAACTGGGATTAGATGCGAAAACCCAAGCCGGTCTGTTGGAAAGCGAGTCCCAGCGAGGAGATATCGGCGTGTCGGGGAAGGTAGGTATATCAGAAATGATTTCACGACCATGTTTTGACGAGCTCGAGGGTCGCAACGTCGAATTGGGGTCGGGGGGGGCAATCTCGACGTCGATATCGTAAAAGTCGGCGTGGTCTTGGCGGGACGGTTCTGCGGTAGCGGCCTCGTCGTGTTTCGGCCAGGGTCTAGGCGCGGCCCGCTCGCGTCTCGCATGCGGGCTGGCGGTCGCAGGCAAGCCGATTTCGCGATTCATGGTGCTGGGCTCTGTGGGCTGGCGCCTAACCGCAGGACTGGCCACAGCGCCAGCGTGGTCGTCGTCGTCTGGGGAAAGGCCAGACATGACGGCGGCCGTTGCTAGGAAAGGCGCACTCACAGAAGGTATTGGAGACGCTGGCGACCGGGAGGTGAAAAGATTGTCATCGGGAGCCGCACTGCTTCATTGTTATTAAATTTTTGGCTGGTGCGCCCTGTTATTACCGCACAAATGAGTACCTACAGCAGGAGCTGGCGCCAGCGGACCCTAAATGGAGTCGCTTGCTGGGGGGGAATTAGCTGCCGGGATTGACGATGAAAGATCCCAGTCCACGCTGGGCGCTGTGGGCGCTGTGGGCGCTCTGGGCGCGCATGCGGATTTTTGCAGGGAGAAGATCCCGGCGACTTGCCAACCTCACCTGCCACGCTCCCCAAGAAACCGGGAAGGCACCCTGACAGTCTCGTGGGCACCCACTGTATTAAATGAGGATTGCCGATGTATCCAAGGGCATCATCATCATGAGTCTCTTTTGCAAACAAGTCGCGTTGTCTGTTGTTTTAGGCCGAGTAAGCAACGAGTTCCCTACAATGCAGGCGTGAGATGCAAACGCTCGGATGCGGGTCCGATCCCACGCCAAACGTGCAATAAGGATGTGCTGCAAGAGCGCGAACCTGTGTCTGTCTGTGAGGGGCAGGCGAGAATGCGTTGACGCGGCCCGTTCAGAAGATTTGGCGCCCCCCAAATAGCTTTGGGCGGCCTCGCCTCGACTTCTTTTCCTGGTACAGCCTGGAATACCTAGTTCACCAGGAAGACGGAAGGCGCTTCCAGGTTGTTTCCGGGGCATAGAAACTCGGGCGTGGAGCAATGGGGTAGGGTAGACAAGTTCCAAAACGTTATGATAACTGCTGTCGACGCAAGGGCAGAGCAGATGTGTACAATATCTCATTCCTGCCAAGGTTGGGCACGGGAGAAAAGCGATTAGGATTGAAGAGCGGCACAGAAGGCCCGGCGTGGTAGTCTTCCCATAACCTGAGATTCCCAATTCCCACGGGCTGATTTATTTTGTGGAATGGACCGACAGGCCACAACCTCCATCCTGCCTCTGGGTTGCAGGACACCATTTGCTCCTTGCGTCGTGTGACAATCAGGAAGGGACCAAGGGTGAAAAACTTCTACCAATATCCCGCATTTTTCCTCCGAGCGTCGAGAAGTAAGCTTGCTACCTCTCGGTAAGGTGCCGACAACCTGCAGTATTGGATAAGAAGGCTTTAGCTGTAAAGGAGGATAATAGGGGAACGATGAGCATGATCGAAACGTCTGGTTCCCAGTGTTCCTTTCATTCAACTATAACAACGTGATCTTGAAACTTTATGTCGTTGGGCAGGCACATCCGACGTTTTGAGGACGACGGGAGCTGACAAGGACCCGTCCGTCCGTACCTGAGGTATCCTCTCATCTTGGGTTTCAAGGCGCTCATTGGGTAATCCGTAGCCCTGACAGGAAACCCTCCGCTCCTGCCCCTGGCAAAGCGAGCCCGGTGCAATGGGAGAGCCCCGCGTCGGCATGTGCGCTAGAAGCACGAACCACCGCGGCGAGCTTCCGGAATCTTTTGGTGCCTGCCTGGATTAGGTTATTCCGGTCCCGATTAGGTAAAGTAATGGGCCTTTCTGTGCGCTCCGCAGACTCTGAGCAAAAGCCAATGCAATATTCTCACGCCCCGGATGGTTCGCAATGCGTGAGCTAAGGTACGAAGCCAATAATTGACGGTCGCCGGCACGGTTCAAAATGAAAATTTACGACAATCTTGAGCCTACAATGTCGACTTGGACAATAGCCGGGCACTTTGCACGCGCGTAACAACTACAGTTAGTCCACCCTGACATTTTGCGCACTGGGCCCCACCAATTGCGGATGACTGCCTTTGGATATGGCCTGTCGCCTTTCCAATTGTCGAGTCTCAACGCCCACGTCTAAAGGTCCAGTGTAGGTATTCGCCACCAATGCATTCATCATTGCTTCTATCATTGCTTCTTTTGATTTGGGATTTTTTGTCTTCCTCCAATTCACCACTTCTTATAATTTCAGGCATAACTAAACATCTCAGCTTCTAGGAGTATGGGAACTTTTGCTCCGTACGACAACCCGTTCCGTTGTGTCAGACCCGGCTCATCTCAGATCATCTGTTCTACGGGGAACCTGCGACGCAGCAATTTCGACGCGTCAAACGCGACAATCGCGTTGGCAACGCGGTGGCTGCGGGGACAGCGGGGAAGGCTCGCACATCATTGTGTGCGCCGGTCACGCATCTTACATATGTTGCCGACAGGGCGATTTCGGTACAGGAGCAGGAGCAGCCGCCATGAGATAAGCCCAGGCCAAGGAATTCATTCCCTCAGCTTTGGAGTGGTCTGAAGACGAGGCTCATTTCTCGCACCGCCTGCTGCCATAGATAGCCACGAAATCCTGAAATGCACAGCGCAAAGCTCGCCCAAGTTCTTCCCAAGACCAAGGGCCTTCGAGGCCAATGAAACTGGAGTCCCAAGACCAACCACCAAAAGCCTCTGTCTTGGGGTAGTGGATCCAGTCAACCAGTTTCTCCCAACAGACACTTTGGCCGGCCAATTCACGTGATGTTTGGTACTCGTCAGGGCTTTTTTTTTTTTAGCTTTGACGAGTAGTCGACGTTCCCTCGGCTTTAGAACTCACGGCGACCTTCTTTTCTGCGGGAGAGAGGCGATGGAGCGGTTCGGAAAAACGAAATGCAGACTATGCAACTGGAACGTTATGGCCCATCTGCACCAGCGGATTGCACCGTACCTTCAGGGGGTCGTGTTTCCTCACAGAAAGGTCCGAGCTCCCTCATCGGCCCTCGGAGGACGGCACCTGTTGAGCTCTCTCCCATTTTGGCCTAAAAATACACCCCCAACCTTACCTCCGCAGGCACAGAGTTACACGTACATTAGTGTGTACATGCTCTGTACCTCAGCAAAGCCAGGAAGTGATCCGAGTTCCGCCTCACCCCTCTGCCCACAGCCAACTCGCAACCTACACTACGCTGCAGCAGTGCAGAGTGCAGACAGGTTGGCACTGGGCACTGGCACTGGCAGCCACCAACCCGCCGCAGGAACCCCTGCAGGCCTTTTCCTGCCTGCCTGCCTCTCTCTCTCAGTCTCTCCTTCCTCCTCTGTTCCCCAATCCCCACCCAAATGTCGAGATACACAAGGCGGCGAGCTTGCCTGAGGTGTCCACTTCCCCAAGTCTGGCGTAATCAACTAGCCTAGCTCCCCTGCTCCCGCACCATGGAGCTGAAGCTCCCCCCCCCTCTCCACCTCAGTGACCTCTCCTCTCTACCGCCGCCCACCTTCTGGTCCGCGATTCCCCCCTCCGCACCCCTTCGACCTTGCCCCTTCCCCTCTGTGCCCTCGAGAGGTACGTACCTCCCGCTGAAGCTCCCAGCCTTTGCTCGCCCACCACCCCCCGAAACCCCCTTCCACACAGCCTTTCCTCCCTTTCTTCCTCTTTCCTCGCCGGCCTCGCCCCTTCTCTCTGCCATCTAAACCCGCCCTCTGGTGTTCCGATCACCTTCCCTGTTGCCAATTGATATCACCCAAACCACCTTCCACAATGACGGGACGCAAGAGAAAGCAGGAGGAGGAAGACGAGCTTGTCTCCCTACCCAGTGACGAGGAGGAAGAGGAAGAGTAAGTTGCTCTCTAGCTGTCGCACACTTCATCCGATACCGTCGCCCATGTCGGGGCTATTAGGCGACTGCAACGAGATACGGGACTCGGCTCAACAGTATCGGCGCAAGCCGGCGCATGTATAATACACCCATATCGTTGAACCCCGACTCGTCCCGTATCTCGGAGCACTCGCTCCGGCCGCGTTGCCGGGCTGTCGGTGACGCACTCGGCGTCATCAGGACGCCTCTAGACTTCTTGACGTCGATAATCCAGATTTCTGACCTGACTTGGCAGCTATGTCGAAGATGATGAAGACGATGAAGAACTGGACGATGAAGAGGACGAGGACTTCGACGAAGAGGAAGATGGCGCTGGAGAGGGCGCTGAGGAAGAGAACGGCGTCACAGGTAAGCTATGGACCGTGGGTCTCCGCCGGTAACTGCTGTGCACTCTGCATCTAGAGGGCTAGATCCAGCAGCAGACCATCCATCCGGCGAATCCCGGCTCACCGGCCGGACCGTCCTTGGCTCCTTATCGGAAGTGGCAAAGGCTGACGAATGGTTTCAGACAAAGCTCCCCCCAAGAAGAAGCTAAAGACGGCACCCGCTGCTTCGGGTGCCGTGCCGCACAAGAACGGCAAGGTTGTAGAGAACGGTGACGAAGAAGATGAAGAGGGTGAGGGCGAGGAAGAGGATGAGTTTGACGAGGAGGAAGATGGAGACGACGCACCCGAGGATGAGGAAGAGGACGACGAGGATGACGTCGCTGATGAACTCCCTGCCAAGGCCGTCAAGATCTCTGCGGGACCCGCCGAAGTCGAGGGTGACGACGAGGGCCTTGCCGTCGGCGATGATGACGACGAAGAGGATTGATTGATGCGAAAACGCTTGGCAGCATCGTAATCCCTTCCTTTCATCCGATCACAGTTCTTGCCCCTGCTTCATCATTCCCAAAAGACACATCCCGGGGACCCTTTGTCGGACATTTTTCTAGTCGTGATAGCCTCTAATTGCTGTTGGGGGAGGACGGCGTGCGCGCTCGAATGTTTCCAATATCTAGAAAGCATAAAGAAATGCAGGGCTTTTCGGATACCGATATGAGGGTGAGAGAAATTAATAGACATATCTTCTGGTCGCATCGCGTTTCCTCGGGTTCTAGTGTTTATTAGACTTGGGCCGGTCGCGCATCCGCCATACACCAAGTACAAGACCAATGTAGATACCTCTTATCAATGGTGGTTTGTGCGACCGGGTGGCTATTCGGTCGCACCGCCGCCATATTCGATATTCGGGCGAGACATGAAAGTCAGTATTCCATTTTCGAAAACTTGTGCGGCGCCCCTTTTCTTATTACTTCTCCGGCCAGCAGCTAGCTTTCTGCATGCCTGATAGGCGCTGCGAGGGGAGCCCAATCCCGACATGTCACGCTGCCAGTTCAGTAGCCCAAATCCCTTTTGGGCCGACTCTATTGTGTTTTTTGGTCATTCGGACTCTCCAATCGCGCCAATACCTACCTACCTACCTTAGTTGCTGTGCGTACATACCTCCCCAGAGTGATGCGGGCCCGTTTGGGCGGCCCAGCCGATTGGGGGGGGGGGGGGGTCGCTGCGACGTGGCCTGCCTTTGCTTGCAAGCGCCGCTGGTGCTGCCGCTGCACACAGAGGTCACTTTTGTCAGTCTGTCTGTCTGTCTGCAGGTCGAAGGGGCCGCCCGGAAGTGCCCGCGCGGCAACGGTCTCTAGCCGATTATTGGTACTGATTTTCGGCGAGTGAGTAAAGTAAGTAATATGGGGAATAGCTGCAACAGTTTAAGTTGAACGGGTTTTTTTTTTCTTTATCATCAGGAAAGATTAATTAGTGGACCTTTTGTTTGTCTCTGGTGGAAAGGTTCCATGCCATCAGAACTGGCGGTTCTCGTTCCCGTTTCCCAGCTGCCGCGGGCATGCTGCTTTGAGTCCGCACGATTTGTTTTCCGAAGAATAACGGTTAGGCGTTGTGGCATTGCGGAAGACGCCTGGTCCTGGTTTCTTGCTCTGGAGCAGTTGAGAGCGTAGCTGCCCGGTATTGAAGCTGAAGCCCAGGGCTTCTTCTTCCAGGCTGTCGGGATGCACGATAATGGGCTCATGGTGTCATAGGTACTTTGCCGGAGAGGATTCGGCCTCTCTGGGACCGTGGCTGGGAAGCAGGCCACGGAAATACTCAAATTGAAAGGGTGTCAACTTCCCTAGTTTCTTGTTTTGCGCGTATGTAAACTCTGCATATTTGGATTTAGGACGACGTTTGTTACAGACTGTCCCAATATCTCCTCGTGGCTTCTTCGGTTAGTTGGTAGGAGTATAGCATCTTCATCGACATGGCTTAAAATAAACTTAGGTTCCTTGCCGACTCTCGCAGCCGACCAACGTTGTACCAACCAGCTTCGAAGTGCTGATATCAACAAATTATTGTTCATTTTTGCCACTGTTGTCTTGTAGTGGTGTTGCTTTTATGTAAGCCACCGGCTCCCAAGACGCGGCATCAACTTGAGTTTCGAGCCATGATCTGACATTGAGGCCAGCGGCGGCGGTACGCATACTCGCGGTCTCTTGTCGCCCTTCTCTCTGCCATTTCCTACCAGCCGGCCACCGTTAACACCAGCCCTGCGGAACTCTAACTTACCTAGACGCTGGGGCGCCTTTTGAGTTATCCCATGGCGAGAACTCCTAGGCAGCCTGTCTTTTCGTTTCGGCCTTCTCAAAGTTTCGTCTATTAACTTTTTGACCGTGGGATATACATATATATACCTGGATCAGCCAATACCGATTTCCCCCGGTCAAACATTATTGTCTCCCATTTACCAATTTCCTGGCACTGAGTTGTGTCGCTTCAGATTACACCATCGCCGTACCTTCCCTCGTCAACATAATTCGTCTCCTGGTCGAGGTTGTACGAACAACATGCAGCTACCATACGGTTTCGACAAAAGTTCCCTCCAAATGGATGCCAACCTCCAGCTAAACGGTCTTGTTGAACCCCATATCCTCGACGCCAGCGAGGTAAGCAGCGTACTTCTCCAACCCCTAGACTCTTACAGATCGACTGGGACCTCAGGCTCGAGGATTCTCTGTCGGTTTCTTACCGTCATGTGCTTGCTACTCTCTTCTATGGATAGTGGGCGTCGGGAAGCCGCCTCAGGAGAAGCGAGAATATTGCACGAGGTGGCCTGATCCCGGCTGGACTACCTGCAAGCGGGCTGGCGGACATCGGCTGCATCGGTAAAGGGGTTAGACCAGAGGCCAATCCAGACAGCACATGCTGTTATTTGGATATGAGGTCTGGGTACGGCATAGGTGTCCATGGTTGGATTGCTCCATCGAGCAGCTTTCCACTGACCCCAAGGATGGTTAACCACCCATTTTGCTTGGCTTCTCTTGCTCTGCATTTGCATCACGCCACCTTACTGTCACACCAGAGACATGCTTGTATCGACATCAACCACTGACACGGGCCCTCCTCCAGATGGAAACGTATCCCATGACCGCAACATACGACTATTCGAGCGCTGCTGAGATCGACTACATGCGCTGTCATGCCCTGAATAACCGCTTTCCAGGGTCCCTCTCGTCTCGTCCCTATATCGACGACACAACCTTTGGCGACACACTGTGCGGCAACGGCCCTCTGCCTCCAACACCGTTCGCCGAGGAGGACACTAGTCACCAAGGTACAACAGCCAACAGGCCGGGCTGGCCAAACCAAAGCAGCTCCGACGAAAACTCATTGTTTACCCCCATGGGCAACTTTTCAGGGGCTGGCTATGAGTTCCCTACTGCCAATGCAGCTGAACTTCAGCGGCCCGCCTACAACAACTACGACTACGATCTCCCTCCCCCTGTATCTGACAACGTATCCCCTGGAATGGACATGGGATACGCCGCAGTCATGAGCGCCGCTGTCTCGCCAGTGCCTCCCCAAACCCTGAAGATGCCATGGTCCGGCACGCCGCCCCCATCATCAGGGCCCAGCAACAAAAGATCCACGCCGCCCTCCGTCAAGACCGAGAACAGTGCCGGGCCCGAGAACCCCCATTCGATCAGGACAGAAACCAGTCAAGGCGGCAAGCGCGGCGGCATCCAGTCGCGCCCATCACCACCTCGCATTACGAAACCCCGGGCCGCCCCGCCATCTCTGCCCTCGTCGCCAGCATCAGCCACGTCGGTCCAGCAAAACAGCCACCAATGCCGCCCAGAGGAGAGCGCGCGCAAGAGCCACAACCTGGTCGAGAAGCAGTATCGCAACCGCCTCAACGCGCGCTTCGAGCGCCTGCTGAACGTGCTCCTCGCCGCTGACCAGCAGCAGTGGGCTGGCAGTGGTACCGACGACGCAGCGCCCGACGAGAAACGCATGACCAAGGCCGACGTGCTCGAGCTCGCGACGCGCCACATCAAGACGCTCAAGCGTGAGAACAGCTGCCTCCGCCGCGAGAGCCAGGAGTGCTTCCGTAGGATCGGTGTCAGGGATGCTGCTGCTGCTGCTACTATGATATCCCCGCGGAGGATCTAATTAGATCTGGAGCTAGGGCCCAGCGGGGAGGGTCCGGCGGGGCGTGGGATTCTCACACACGCATTTCTTTTTTGCCATTTATCGCGCACGAGGTTTTCTTGGATATCTATTGCACACGAAGGCTCAGACCAAAAAAAAAGGGGGGGGTCACCCTCCACAGTAGGCAGGGTTTGAGATTGTACGGTTCAAGTTGGTTCACTAGGTGCCGTGCCGGCCCCTACGGATCAGCTCAAGCTCATTGGACCCCCTGTAATAGCCCTGAAGGCCGTTATCTCCTTACATTGTGAGAGGTTGGCTTGTTGACCAGGCAGCTGGCGACTTGAATCTAAACACTGTTGGGATGTGGCGTTCAGGTCCTTGCCCTAGGAATTCAGCTCTTTTCCATTTATTCCCTTCAATTTAATCTGCTGTTCAAGACCAAATGCCTGGCGCCCGACCTCCTGAGCTGAAATGGGGTTCCGTTGAAGCCGCTTTCTGGGTAGCTAGGATTGCAGTAACCGATCCTCGATGGTGGGGAGAATGATCCGAATCACTGTGAGGAGAGTGACCCTCTCTATTGGCCTAAACCTTCGTACTTCCTCTAGTTCCGTCATAGTCAGCGTTTAACCTAGTAGGTAGGTAGGTGGTAGATCGGTAAGGCGAGGCGTGGTGTTGTTGCGTTGACGGTAACTATGTTGTGGGCAAGAAATAAAATGCCCGCTTCGTATCATTATTCTTTTCAACGGTCGGTGACTGACCCGGGGCTATTCAAGATACCTAGGTAGGTAGGTGCCTACTTTGAACAGCATGGCTCTCAGGTTGAAGAACTTGGAGGGCTTCATTCTTCATTCCGTTTGTAGAGTAGCTAAGGTAATTACATGTCCAGCGTAGGTGAGGTGGCCACACCAACAACTTGCTTTTCACAGTCGAAAATCAAAAACAAATAACGTCTCCCTAGTCATTCCGCTTCTGAGGCGCCCTTTAAGGCGGGCTGAGCTGCGAAGTCAGGTCGCACATCCACGACTTGATCTGGTTGCCCGGCGGGAGTGTCGTGGTGTTCTGAGCCTGGGCGGCAAAGCTGCCGTCGCACGCAGCCTTTCTATGCAAGTGAAATATATTGTTTTAATCTTGTCAAGACGAAATGAGCAAGGCCCTGGTGGAGAGGAAGTTACTCACGAGTAGTAGTAGCACGTCAGACCTGGGTCATGCTGCACAGAGCCGAGCTTGCCGACATTTGCCGCATCCACGTTGTCTTGAGAACGGTGATCCCTTTGTCAGCTTGGGTGTTCCTTTCGATTTTTGATTTGATGTTGTTGTTGCAGCCGTATATACTGGAGAAATAGGGGTGGAATGAACGACGACGAGTTACATACAGCACTTTCCTACAACGCCGCGTCGTGTCTCCACGCACGTCCCTTGGTAGTTGGCATTCTGGCACCACTTGATGATGCTATTGTGATCCGCCTGGTGTCAGCGGCTTCCCAGCAATGTGGCGGGCGTATAGTTGCCGATAAGAAGATGGATCTGAATATGAATAAGGGGCGGGAGGGGGTAAGTAATCAGACAAAAAGCCTACTAATCGGCAACGGCGGCGTCACTAAAAGTATGTCAGAATTCACATGGTTGTTCATTCATAAGGTTTGAGTCAAAGCTATACTTTTGCGCAGGGCTGGCTTGAACCAGCACCGCTGCAGCGGATATGACCGTCGAGAAAACGATGGCGAGCCTCATTTTGCTGGGCTAGGGTCGGTTATGTTCAGAGCTTAAACCTGGATGCCTCTGATCTCTGCAAGCAGTAAGTAGGTAGGTAGGTAGTTTGGCTTTGTCGTTGCCTAATTAAGTGCATACCTACCATCTTATGTATGCAGACATAATATGCCCTTCCCCTATAACGCCGTCCCCTGTCGGTATTCATTAACTGCGGCAATCTTGGGCCGCGGAGCAAACCAAGGGACACGATTGCCCTCTCGCCGTCATTTCCTCGTTTGGCCACTGCTCCGCGTCAAACGGCCTTGTTGCGCGTATTTTGTTGCCCCGCCAGCAACTGCGAACCCCCGGGTAAAAGTGTTGTTCTCGCTGCCAAAGGATCTTGTTTACAGTCCGCCTCCCGACATTGCCGCCAAGATGCCGGCTATCTATATTAATCAGAACCGCTGTCAATAACTGGCTGAATGTGACATTACTTGGGACGGTAGACCCAGAGTATTGCCCAGCTTGCACAATGGCTTGTTATAAGCCCAAAGCGAGGAGAGTTGTGAGATTTGGCCGGGGGCATCGTTGTTGAGTCCCTTGGAAGTTGAAACATATCCTAAGTGTGTGGTTCTACCCCGAAGATGGACATCTTCTCCTACATTCTTTTTGGGGAATACTCGGTCGAATCAGCCCCAAAGGTGGCTTACATGTTTCAACACGTCACCTCAGCCCAGACCTCGAATGATAGTAAGACATGGCCTGGGCGAGTAGGTTTTAGATGCCGATCTATTGGAAATTGTAGCCATCTTTTCTACATGATTTAGCTGCAAGGGTCGCCGAGTTTCCGGGTTCAGCTATCCCTGTCTTCTTTTGTCCTGCCCATATATCATGCAGCACCGCACAGCCCAAGGGGGTCGGGATAAGAGAGTTCCTCACATGTTGTGCAACATGGGTCAGTGCCTTACATGGCTCTTCTTTTCGTCTTGTTCGACGTGGCATCCATTTTGCTCGTCGCTCATGCACGTCGAAAACGAAGCCCGTCATATTGCCACGTCACGGGTTGTGTTGTGTTTTAAGCGCTATCGCCTTGATTCTAGTGCCAATCGCGAAATGGCTTGAGCTTGGAAATGGCCTAGGTACCTTTATGTTGGTAAGTGGGTTGAATGAACTCAGAACGAGACATTGCGGTATTTGATTCCACAACCAATTGACGGCTGAGCTAGCCCGTTTTCCAAACTTTACCTTGTGCGCCATTTTCCCACTCCCAACAAACATCAACTGGGGCTCCAAACGCCTGCCCCGATTTCCAAGTGCTGCTCTTTCTCTCGGAATCGGCGCCATCGATTGTTTGTAAATTGCAGGTAGAGAAACCGGAGATGTGATTCGTTGAAGTGCGCTCTGCTGGGACGCAGGTCTAGACCGCGCATGGGGGGCACGCCACGTTTTCAGAGCTGAAGCGGGAGTTGCCGCAGTGGTACGATTATTGATCATCGCAAGCTGAACGAACGCCTGCCGCCGCTAGTCCCCGAGGTGTGCCAAGTCGCGTGCGAACACTGCGTAGCGTCAAGTGTGCCGCCGCGCCGGCCTAGGGACCGGGACCGGGACCGGATGGAACCCCAATGGTTCATCTTAAACAGCCAAACCGTATCCTAACCTCTCCGGCGGTATTTCATCTGAGACATTGGAACATCTCAGCACCGCTTCTGTGTGCTCTTTGGCCAATGGTGAAGTGACGCTGCGGTGAAAAGTCTGTCGCCCGCTGCTGGCTTGTTTGCTTCTTGCTGAGAGGCGTCACACTGCTTCTTGCTGAGAGGCGGCACACTATTCTCCTCTGTCCCTGGTGCCGAAACTTTTCGCTAGCTCATGCCTCTTGGCTGTTCTGGCCGGGTCGGGGTTCTTGTACGGCCAGAGAGGCACTCATCTTTTCTAGGGCGTAGTTCCAGACACATAACAACAGGGTCGAGGATGAAGCTGTTGAGTATATTTCATTTGCATCTTGATAATCAGGACCCGCCATGTCTAGGCCGTGCCAACAAAACTTCTCTGCTCAACATAGCAAGTGCATCGTTGTGCCCTGTCTTAATCATCCAGCTGCTTCGCTGGCCCGTTCCCTTCTCCGACACAATTCTGTACACCGATACTCCGTCAATCTTCCACATAATATGGAGGGCTTCGACCCTGAGCTCGAAGTCGAACCGAAGCCCAAGGTAAATAGGCAAACCTTTCTCTCTGGGAAGGCCCCCACCAGGAGAGCCGGGCTAGGGACTGCAGGCCTGCCAAGTGACCTGTGCCTTGCAGAGTGCAGGAGACGAAAATAATCATGCCATGGCCTTGAAGTCCGGGATCGGCTGACACCATGGCAGACTCTCCCCCAAAATCCCACGTCACTGTACTCTTATGCACCTGAACCCACCAGCCAGTGCCCGCCATCTGGCTATGCAACGTCGTCGATACCTCCTGTTATATACGCGGAAGGCTACCGTGTATCGACCGCCACACACTTGGTGGGCCCATTTCTCATCGCCAGTTCGATTTATGATTCTGTGCCGGGCGAACTTGGTTCTGCAGGGCATTTTGCTACCAGCGCCGACTCAGCGTCGAACCCTTCATACCATCCATTTAATCCGGTGCCTGAATATTTTGCTGCTCCTCAGAGCTCAATGGGCCTTCCGTCCATCCTACCGGGCTCAACATACACGCAAAATCACCATGGCAATCCGACAAGACCGTGGCAGAGCCACAAAGCCCCCTCATCCACCTGGCCCACGTCTTTCCCTCCCAGTGACCCAGGAACAGCCAGTCCCGGCCCCTTGGCTGGACATGGCCATGCCGCATTGCCAACAAGCCCATATCATCTCAAGCCGACCAATGAATATCAGACTCACTGGGACGGTGGCACCGGCAACCAGGAGCCCAGAAACTACAACGCCATCATTGAGAAACCCAGGGCAAAGCGTCCCCTTAGAACAGACGAGGGCATGTTAGAAACGAGGGAAACCAAAACACGGAACAGGAGGGCTTCCCAAGCCGGTCGAGTCGGTGTCTCACTTGCTAGACCCGCGTCTAGCACCGGAGCGAATAATCCCTCGCTGATGCCACCACCACCACCACCACCACCGCCGCCGCCGCCGCCGCCGCCAAACTTGAACCGCGGTAGGACACGCAAAATCACGGCCAGAAGCAGGAGGGCGATTTCTTCCTCCTCAGTCCAAATTGGAACCCCACGTGCCAGTGGTGCGCTGCTCTCGCCAGTCGCAATTCACCAGGCAATTCCAGCCCTTGGCCAGAACCCCCCATACAGTCCCTCTGTCGCCGAGCCACCGCTACAACCCAGCGTACGAGCCAAACACAACAAGGTGGAGAGAAAGTACCGTGACCGTCTGAAGGGGTACTACGACGAGCTGCTGGCCGCGCTGCCCAAGACGGCCAGCGAAGCGCGGTGGGCGGCCGAGAAAGGCGCCGGGACCAGCGCCGATGCCGACGCCGAACCGGACGGCAACGACGCCATATCACCGGAGACGGCAGTAGAAGCAAAGGCTTCAGCTCCGGTAGTCTCCAATGACGCCAACGCATCAACAACAACTCGTACAGCAACACCAGCACCGACGAACCCCCGGACACGCGAGGAGCACGACGGAGATAACAGAGACGGCGGCGGGCGTAGGGTGACCAAGGCCGAGGTACTGGACCGCGCGCGCGTCTACATTGACACGCTAAAGCGCGAGTACCAGTTCGAGCTGGAGCGCAACGTCCTGCTGCGCAGCAAGTGGGAGGGCTACAGCCGGGCGCAAGGGCAGCTGGACCTTGGGGTGTAGGTAGTTTCTTACCTACCTAATTAGTAGTAATTAGAATCAAGAGAAAGGGAAATCCAAAGAGTGGTCTGGGGCTCAGCTGACAAATTGCCATGCGACTTAATGAAGAGATATTGTCTATGTACATGTACATTGGAAAGAAAGTGTAGGCGAAGTAATATGGGCCGCACCACCGCCATTTAATCAACCCTGCCTCCATGAACCTGAGAGCTCTGGCGTGTGCTCAGAAGGGGTTGAAAACATCAATGGCCTTATCAAAGGCAGCGAAGATAGGCTCAACCAGAGTCGCGGCCAGGTCCTTCAGGTCGGCGGGGACCTGTGCAGCACTAGCATTGCTCATGTCGGTGGTGGCCTTCTTCTGCAGGTCGAGGTCGACGAGGATGACGGGGCTCAGTTTGAGCTTGTCGAACTTGTGCTTGGCGGCGATGACGGCCGTCAGGCTCGTGTTGACGCTGGTGGCCAGGCTGACGGTGGCCAGGGCGACGCCGATGGCGCCGAGAAAGTCGACTGCCGTGCTGGCCTTGGCCAACTTGGTGCCCTTGTTGATGCTGGCTAGCAGAGCCGTGCTCTCCGAGATGATGGGTAGCGTGCCGAGCAGGTCGCCCTTCCACCCGGCTATGTTGGACTGCAGATTCAGAGTTGAGTTGTCGACTGTTTAGAGCGGCGATGATGGCCGACATTGAACAACATCTTAGGGGTTCCGAATGAGCGTATCATTAGTATCTATCGGCTTGCTGGTGTCACCTGAAGCTGCGGGGAAGGCGACCTCCCCTGTACGACAATTGTAATGTAAACATGCAGGTCCGTCAAGTAGAAAGCGGCTAGGCTCGCCAGGCGTGAATCAGGTAAATGACATTAAATTAGGTAGGTATGCTGGGGATGTGCTAAAATTCTCTGTCATAGCTGGGGTATCGGCTTATGGTCATTATAAGCAAGCGCAAAGCTTTCAGAAAACATTTCCATGCTTACGTTCCCGACAACCCATCTTTCCAAAGTAAAGAAACGAGGCGCGGGGCAAAATTAAAAACCACCGTTTATCATTCTGCCGCCACAGGCGCGGGAGATACCACAGTGACGGGAGCTGCCACGGGGGCTGGAGCTTGATGAGGGAGTTGCGGCAAGGGTTGGTTCTGGGGTTGAGTGTTGCTCGATGGCGATAGCGATGCTGATGCTGATGGTGGAGGGGCCGTGGATGAATGGCCTCGCCGAGATTGCCGCGCACTGGATCTCGTCTGAGGAGGCGCTTCTGGCGCGTAGTACTCGTAGGGAGCTGCGGGGGTCTGCGATTGCTGGTAACGTGACGATTTCCTCTCCGAGACCACCGGCGGGTAGTACCCCGACAGCTGGTTCGGGTACGGCACTCCCTGCTGATATGGTGCTTGCTGATATGGTGCTTGCTGATATGTTGCTTGCTGATATGGTGCTTGCTGATATGGCGCTTGCGGATAAGGCGCTTGCGGATACGGGGCTTGCCGGTAGGCCGCGTGCTGTCCTTGATAGTAGCCGTAAGGGATGGGGCCGCCTTGGGTAGGGACGGTGATGTATATTACTTTCTGCCGTTGCGCGTTGAATCGGCTCGTTTCGACACAGGCCCGGCAGAAGAGGATGAAGTGGACCACAAGGAGGACGATATCGAACCCGAGCAGAACTTGCTCGAGGATGTAGTTTCGCGCATGTTTATCATCGTACCCATAATAGTAATCGCCATCCAAGTCCGTGATGAAGACGCCGATGAAGGCGATGGCGCTCACGGCCAACAACCAGATGACCAGGTGGCCGGCTACGTGGGCCCCTGGCGGCATTCCTTCGCGCTTTTTCGACAGCAATCTCACAACAAAGTCAGTTGCTAGCCAGAGAATGGCGAGGCCCACCTGTCTCGGTTAGCTGCGAACGTCGTGTAGAGAGTTCCTAGGACAAGTCGTAAAGGGCGGTTTTAAAGACTCACGACAGCGAAGGACAAGCCAATCTCAACCTCGACAATCGAGCCACCATCTCTGCGGAACGGAGCAGTTTCGAATCCCAGCGTGAGGCCCACACCCAAGATTACAGCACAGGCAACGAGGGACAGTGTTCCCAGCAGAAGCTTGACGAGCTCGCATTCCCTGCTGTTCTTAACCGGAGCATTCTCCTGAGGTTTTTCCAAGTCGGCCTTGTCATGGGGGAGCTGCTGGAGCGTTGGCAGTGGCTGCTGCTCTTGGACGGGACGAGACGGGAGTGGCGGGTTCGGTGGCGCTTCTGGCGCTGCCGCTTGTGGTGTTGGCTGGGGTAGCTCCACGCTGGGCTGCGGCTGAACAGCCTTAGTGGTGGTGTGGTCTTCTGCAACCATGACGATGCTGTAGGGCAAGGAGTGACCCTGCGAACGGCGTGGATGGAGCTGCCAGTCGCAAAAAGAAAAGGAGAAAAAATATACCAAGTTCGACTAACGAGTGACGAAAAATCCAAAGAGCGACGTTGTTGAAGAGAAACAACAAAATATTTCCTGCGACGACACGCAGAAGCAAGAAAATGCTACCGCGAAAAGAACGAACGAAAGGAACGGGGGGGGAAAGGGTTGTTGGAAGGAGGCAGTGGCGACATTAAAATTGCTTCCAAGACTTGGGCAACCTGGAAAATCCTCCCAATCACGAACGCATCTGGTTGCCGCCCCCAAAAACAACAGGGGGTTCAACCGCGAAAACCCGCTCTATTGTCGTATTGGCATCTCTTGGCATCTCAGGCTCCAACGGTGGACGCTGGACAGTTATTCTGGTGTATTAGGACAAGCAATACTAATATGTTATAGGTGGTGAATTTACTTGCGTGTTCCTTTAAGGAAACGAAGAGTCACATGGTTTGGTGACGGCGGAAACAGAACTTGATGCAGGCGAGAGGCGCAGTGTCCATGTTATTGGGGAAGGTGACTCATTTGGTCAAAGCGAAGTTGATTGCCCCAGAATTCGACGGCCGTGGACCCGTGATATTCCAATGGGACGAGCTAGGCTGATTGGACTGCCTGATGCCTGGCACAGTAGTACTCAGTAACATCTGTTGAGTGAGTGAACTTTCGGGAGGTCGAAAAGGCGTACTAAGCACTACCCGTGCAGTCAATGACTGGGGAACGTTCAACTCCTCATAGTACCCTAGGTACCTACATGGCATTCATTGGCTTGTCAACTCTGCGAGGACTCGGGCTACTGCCCCGACAAATCTTTCACTTCCAAGGTAAACCCTGCACGGGACTGATGTCACTGGAAGATATATCGGCGCCTGGTATCCTGTTGACGGGGTAACCGAAGGCAACGGATCCTATTCGCGTTGCAAGACTACTACTAGCCCCATTATGCCTAACATGACGGTTTTGAGCCAAGGGTGCTCGGCTAACATGATGGTTACATATCCGACAAATGGTATGAACCCTTGGACGCTCCTGTGAATTGTTAGTGCTTGATCAAGTGAGAGGGGGACAAAGTTCATGTCACGCGCATACCCAATGATGTCTTTCCTGACCAGATAATCCTGCCCACGAGCGTAGAGCTCGGTGTCATCCGAGAGGTTGTTGTCGCCCTTGGTGAGGAGCTTCGCATTGGGCCTAGACGTAAACAATCAGCCACATATCCCCGTCTTAGCCTCCCAGTGGAAGTGTGCTGCGGCGTAGAAGACGAACCCGCTGCCAAATTTCCTGACCACCCGGTGCACAATCGGAATGTCCTTTTCCTTCACGTTGTATACCACGATCTCGCCGACGCTTGTTTCGGAGAAGAGGTTGCGGTTCCAGAGCAGCAGCAGGTCCCCTCGCTGGAAAGCCGGCTCCATGCTGCCCGAGAGAACGACGACGATGGGGGAGGGCGAGTCTGTTATAACCGACAGTCCTTTCCACAACTGCGTGTACATGCAACTGTCAGTGACTTGGGGTGAAATTCCGGGAGCAGAAAGCTGGCGCGCGCGAGCGCTGCAAAGCCTGGACGAGGCAACTTGGAACTCGGAAGCTCACCATGAAAGCTGTTGACAGAATTAAGCCAAAGTTCATTAGCTGCGCAGCAGCCTGCCGCGGGTTCCCGAGACTGGACAGCATATTGGCGGCTGAGTTGTAGCGTGCTTCGAGTACCCAGGATCTCGCGCGTCAACTCTGTAGAATTGTCGCCGGCTTCGAGGATCGTTTGTTTCGTCTCCGGGTTGGACACGGGTGCTGGAATCGACAGCCTGGCAGATGGACACGGTCGCCGCGCCGGCGGTTTGGCAGCCTGTGATTGGAGCGCACAGTCGATGTGGGTCCCAAATCGGCTTGGCAGGTTTGACCCTGGAGGCTTTTTTGGTGGGGTTACGGAGTACTTTTCTCCTGTCAGTTCAGTTGGGGGGGCTCGGGTTGTGCACGCAACAACAGCCACAACCCTGATGGGCCCATCTACCATTGACTTGTATCATGTTGCTCTCATTTCTAGCGAATTTAAAACTGGGAGCATTGTCGGCGAGAATGGCCAGACCTGAATGTTTACGTACAAGATGCTAGCGTCCTACATTGGCCGTTGCTGGTACGAGAGAAATGGCCCGCCCTCGAGTACAACACCTCCAGGCTCTTCCATCCATGCGTGGAAGTGGCCACTCAGAGAGAAAGGGGGCAGGTTGTCTAATAGGCTGTTACTGCCTGCAACTGCAGTAATTGAGCTTACCTTGGTCGACGATAAAGAGCAATAAAAGCTTGAACCTAACCTAATCCCCTGGGCCAGTATTGTGCCTGCCTCGAGAGGCCATCAACCAGCAAGGGCGCTCTTTCCCTGCAAGACAGTTTGTTGATGGCCTCCACACTGATTTTCTGCACCACCTCAAAACCTTTCTGCTCTTAGCTCTTCCGCCTGCAGCTCTTTTTCTCTCCCATCCCGTATATCGCTCTTCTTTTGGGCCTCGTTGCTGGCTGTTCTGTGTTGCTCCTTTTCTTGTTTCGCTTGTTTTCGTCTCGCCCCTGGGTAGGACGCTATCAGCTGTATCCTCGGCAGCACAGAGTATTCCAGTGTCATTTCTACCTTCACGGGCTCAAGACCTTTACTTCATCGCTTCAATCCAAGACCAATCCTTCTCAGTCCTTCCTGTCTTCGGCACCATGTCAGACCAGAGAACTCCGCTCCTACACGACCGCCAGGGACTCCCCCTCCCAATTGGGTCCTCTCAAGTCCAAGACCACGTATGTCTCCCATGTCCCATCCTTGCTCACACCCCGACTCGATACGTCGATTGACGCCCTGCAGCCTATCTTTCTTCGAGTGTGTCATTCGCCATGGCCCTGGCTCAACCAAAGCACCTTGGTCTACCTTCGATCCGCCATCTTGAGCTACCTCACGGTTGTCGGTTGGATGCTCATTGACTACAAGATCTATAAGAGGGAGGATGCCCACACTGCTTGGCGCATTCTCTTTCAGTTCTCGACGCTGGCATATGTCCTCCTGTGGTTCTACCATCTCGTGGCCTTTGTACGTGCTGCACCTTCACCGCGCCCTCGGTGATCCCAAACTCCCTGCTGCTTTGTAGACTTACAAGTGTTTTCGTTTTAGTCTTGGAGCTTCACCCATCTGTACTACCCGGACATCCAGGATGGCGATCAGCGCTGGGAATCCAGGATTCTCCGGAAGATGTCGCCGCCTATCCAGACCCTACACTCACGCAAGCGGCTTTACTTCAGCCTGTTCTACACCTTTGTTCATGTGGTTGTATTCATGAATGCGATCATCTACTGGACAGTGCTGGTCCCGGCGGAGCATGGCCATTTTCCCAAGAAGGACGAGGCAGCTGACGAGTCAGGTGTGTATTGATCTCCGATTTCATTTCTGTGCAATCGCTGATACACTTGCAGTTGAAGACTTCTTCGGTGATGGATGGTTCAAGCCATTTTGCATCATCAACTTGTGGGGTGTCATAGCACTTCTTGGTTTCGTGGAAATCCTGATCCTCAACAGCGTCAAGCGCCCAGTGGTAAGTGAACTGCCAAAACATCAAGGCATCCGCTAATGTACTGGGTTAACTGTAGCCCGTCCCGACCCACATCTTTACCATCATGTTCTTTCTGTCGGGCTATCTTGGCTGGGCTGCGTTCGGCAAAATCTTGACTGACCATTACCCCTACTTCTGGATGGACCCCGAGGCGATGGAAAAGACCGAGATTGTTGCCGCCTACTCTTCCGCGTTTGTGGGACTGGGCGCAACAGGTACGTGGACATTTGCAAACCAACAAAGCAGGACTAACTGTGTAATCCGAGTAGTTTTTGCCTTCATATATGGGCTCATCGGCATACGCGAAAACCTCACGAAGAGGGACGAACAGCCAGCCCAGTTCAATGCTGTCCAATTTTCTGTCGCGGTTGACGGCGGAGAAGAGTTTCAGAGAGCAAATGGGCAGCAACAACAACGCTAAGCAAGGCTTTGAGGGTGCGGTGTGAAAAATCAGTAACAGCCATTGACGACAAGATGACTTCGACTTCACCCTAGCAGGTTGTATTACTTCGGGTGACGCTGCTCTAGCTGTTTCCTGGACTATGGGTGTCTAGTGGTGTGTCCCATTATCATTTCATTGCGGTTAAGATTGGAATCGTCTCACCAGAAACAGCTTTATCGGTGGGCTGTGAGTCAAACAACGGGGAAATGCGTAATGATATTGGGGGCCTGGGGTCGTCGTGAAGAGGCTCTTCGGTCGCCATGCCAGCTATTGTTGCTTGTGGGTGGGGTTAAGGCCAGCAGGCCGTAATAACGACCAGTGTTATCCTAGTCGGTGAACCGGATAAATATACCTCTATACGCACCTAAGTTTTATCGCCGTCAACAGCCACGTATATATGTGCAGGTTCCCTTGAGTGCTCTTTGAATGCCATTCACAGTCATTCACATGCTAGGCATGGAAATACCTTTCACCCTGTCCCTTTTGGTGGAGGGGACAGGCATTTCAGGTTCTCCAACCCGCCGTTAGTGAACTGGGGCAATGCCATACCCCTGTCATGTCTCACCCCCACTCTACCCATCGTCTCGGGACATCTGTGGGGCGACCCGAGATTGCAAAGAAGGTGGTGATGTGAGCGCTGAATTGGGCCGGTAACTCCAGACCTTGCTCGACCCTACGGAGGGCGCCTTAGTATGCGTGCATCAGTCAAATGTAATACGCTAACACACAAACAATGAGGCCAATTGCATATGTTCGGGCTTGGCCGCGAGCAGAGCGCAAATGTAGAAACCAAGAGAAGCGTTTCGTTGCGCTTGGCCCACGAATGTGCAGGGAAGAATGCTGTTACTGGCCCCAGGAACTGGAAGCGCTGGCAACGAGGCTGTGCAGCTTCCACGCGACTAATGGCTGCATCTTGCCAGTGGCCCCGCAAGAGGCAAATTCTTTCTCGGACACCAACTCGCCAACTGATGAATGGCAATATTCACCGTGGTCTCACAGCATTCTGTGAAGTGGCCAGTGACTTTTCTAAAGCGGGACGGGAGGTCACACGAAGAGGTAAGGTTACCAGGCGTTGCGACTGGGGAGGTCGATTGCAGCGTGCATGATGCTAGTCTGGCCTCACTGAACGCGGCCGGGCAAGATTTTAGTGCGCACGCACAGGGCAGAGCTGCTTCCCCACTCTCAGGTAGCGGATTCGTCCCGCGCGCGGAGCCTTCACTTTGCATGTTTTGTTTTCCAGGCGCAGATCTATGGATAATCGCACAGTTGTTGACTTGCTGCCAGTCATTTAATATTATAAGCCAATCAATCACAAGGACGTCTGTTCGGCTGTAAGTGCAACATGCCACGCAATTCCTTGAGCCAGGGCTATTCCTGGCAGGAGGCCCCTAGTTCGATGACGAAGCCCAGCACCCGCCCGAAGACGGCCCCCCATGGGCCCATGCAGCCTTGCTGCAACCCAGCCCTGGTTGTATTTTTGGCGATGATCGCCGTTGGCCAGGCACACAGCTCCTCCCCCACACGATCAATACAAATATCCGGCCCACCCCCTCACCAAGCTCCCACTTCTTTCTTCTCTCCCCCCCCCCTCCAACACACAACCAAAGGGTCGCAAAGCTACCTGCTGGAGTTGTCTCAAGACAGCCCCGCCCGGACCCCGTCAATCGTTTTTGTGCGTATCTCTTTTCTCTCGTTTCCAGGTTTTTCATTCGCTTCGTCGCTCTCTTCAAGTCGAAAGGTATCGGAAGGCGGCAAAGCAGTGACTCAGACCCTGTCCTGTCTCTCCTTTTTTGCTGCCTTCGAACTACTACCTATCCTATCCCGTACGTCTCGAGCCTAGTCCCGAAAACGTCCTTGTCAAGCTCGGATCAATTGCCGCAGCCGCCACCATGTTCAAGCGTTCGTTCCGATCCCGCGATGCCGCCCCGCCGGCTATGGATTCGCAACACCGCGTGGACAAGGCTGCGAGGCTGATGAGGAAGGGCTCCGTACGGGATCCGCAGAAGGTGTCGAAACTGCAACGGTCGCTCACGGGCGAGGAGACGTCGCGCCTGCACCCCGTGCAGGCTCGGCTCAGTGACAAGTCCCTCGCCCCCTCGCCCATCGTCACCTTGACGGTTGGCGCCGAGGCGCGACTGTTTGCGGCGCACGAGGACGTGTTGTGTCAGGCTCCTTTTTTCGAAAAGATCCTGCGTGGCAACTACCTCGGCGCGCAGAGTAAGCGCATTGCGCTTCCGGATGAAGACCCGGAGGTCTTCAGCGCTATCCTCGAGTATCTCTACAAGGGCGACTACTACCCCCGCTTGCTGCACAACAAGCACCGAAACTCTTGGGAGCTCGAGGATTCGCTTCCCCGTCGGGCCACGCCCCAAAATTCCCCGACGATAAACGATTCCCCAAACATCGGAGGTGGTCGCGCAGGGCAGACCCCCCAGACCCCTTCGGCTGTCGAGGCGACCGTGTACCTCTCTAGCATCGGCCAGCACCTTCTCCGCGACACTGTTATCTACTGCGCCGCGGAGCGCTATGGGCTGGAGGAGCTTAAGAAGCTGGCGCTGCGGAAGCAAGGGTTGCAGTCCGGCATCGACGTCGGCACCATCCTCCGCAGCGCGCAATACTGCTACGCGCACACCCCCGACTCGGACAGCCGCCTGCGCGCCCATTACCTGGCGCTCATCATCCGGTGCCGCAAGACCTTCAAGCGCAGCGGCACCATGCAGGCCGAGATGGAGAAGAGCGGCAGCGACGTGTACGGCGAGGGAAGTGGGAAGCTGTTCTTCGACTTGTTCGTCGCCATGTGCAACCACCTCGACGACGTCATTGAGGCGAGTAACGCGCGGACCCCTAAGACGATCTGACATGGCCTGGCTCTGCACAACTGTGCGTACTGAACAGGTTTCTGGCGTTCTTTAGGCGTTAAAAGGGGGATAATACCAGCAGGGAATTTTGGATTTGGATTGCGCTTCCGAGTGGCAAAGGGACTGCGTCTTCCTCTGCCCATCTCTACATCCGGCGTTTTTGGGTCTTTTCTCGTCAAACTCCCCCCCTCTTGGATCAGATTGGGACACCATTGCATTCGCTTGAACACCTTCACTTCTTGCGAGGTTGGCCGACCGATTTTTTGATACGAGACTTGCGGGAGTGAGAGGGGCTTAATTGCCGATACATGATGAGGGTTGTGCACGAAGACACGCGCAGCCCCAAACACCCCTCTGCTTTCCCGTACTCTTTTTTCCTCGCTTTTGTTCGCCATTTTTTCGATACCTCTGGATCCTGGATTGGTTTTGGACTTTGCGGGAACCCTGGCGTTTTTGTTCTGCTTCTGGATATCAGATTGATTAGCAAATTCGCTGGTCGAACGATCAAAGAGAGCAAACACCAAAAAAAACATCAGAAAAAAGCCGGTTGCAAATCAGGAAGAACAAAGCCTCCCAACTATAACCTCGTCGTCCGATATTTCATCGACAAGAGCACGACACGTCGTTTTCTTTCTGCACTTCATCAACATCCATCTCTGAGACAACCATGGACCTTGTTTTATTTTTTATTTATTTGGCTTGTCTGCTTTAGCTGGAATCTTAGCTTCGGGGCACAAGGCAATGGCCCCTCGGCCTTTTTCTTTTGTTTTTCTTTCCCTTGCGCTTCGGCTCCTGGGGCGGTAACACGAAGAGAGGCCTTGGAAAGCCAAAACCACACAACTCAACTCCCTCAGACTGGAACACCAAAGTGAGCAGCGGAATGGGGATTCGGGACAAATCGACACCACAGGCTGGCGCACCCCTTTCTCTCGCCGCTGCCGTTCACACATCGCAACTCTACAGCAATCTTTCCTTTGTCAGACAAACGGTTCAGGATGGTCATGGTTGAAGGCAAAGCACAAATCTGCCTGCATGGTTGCTTGTTTTTTCCAGCTGCTGGCGCAAAGAGCTGGCGATCACTCATTTGTAATGACTGATGATGATGACGACTTCTTGACGAACTCTGTACCTTTTTCATCGGACCGTGTGGGATTTGCGGCTCCCTAGAGGAGCGGTCCCCGGTTTCCGTTTGGCTCTACGCCACCCCGCTTGAGGGTCTAGGTAATGGGAGAGTCGGCCACCTCACTTGTCGTTCCCATCTCGCTGCACTGATTGTGACATGCGGTAACATGTGGTGCTTTGCCATTAAACATCACTAGCAGCATAGGTGAGTGCTAAGGAGGTTTACTTCTTGCAAAAGGCCGTATCATGCCGCCCACTTTACTTCCATGTCCCTGACCTCGACCTCGAGGCTGGTGTTGACGTTCTTCTCTGGCCTTGCGGCCATAGCCAGGACCTCGAGCTCCCAGTTCTCGGCATCGTTTCCATCGCCGTACACCCAGCAGATCTCACGCAGGGACACCTTCTCCCCACCCTCCAGAATTTGGTACACCCACCAGCTCGACCCGTTCTCGTTGGTGGCATTCTCATTGATCTCTCTCTCGACCGAGATGGTCGTCCACGTCTTGGCGCCGGCCGAGCCAGGAGACGTCGTCAGCGGGCCCACGCTCCAGTCCGCCCAGCGGTCGCACGCCACTGTCGACAGCATCGGCCGCCTGTTGTAGAACTCGATGCCCGTCTTTACCCACTTGGTCGGCGACGATGAAGAAGCCTTGGTGTCGGCCCCTTCTAGGCCTGCCCGCGGCCGGAAGCTCAGCAGGAGCCCGCCCTGGTCGTACTGCTCCGACCAGGCAAACGAGAACGACGCGCGCGCAGACACGAAGCTGAGCAACGGCCCCGACGTTGCCGTGACACTCGGCGCTGCAGCGGCTGGGGCTGGCGAGTGTGAGGTAAGGTTAGCGCTGTCTCTCAAAGTTGAAGCGCAAGTCAGGTAAGGTAAGTGTTGGCTCGAGAACCCCGCGTACCGTTGAACACGTCTGTGTGGGGAGGCTTGCGCCAGATGTCCGTCCCCGGCCCCGCGCTGATGGAGAAGGTGGTGCTGCTGCTCATGTTGGGTGGAAGGTGACGTAGGTAGGTGAGGTAGGGTTATGTTGAGAGAGAGACAGAGTAAGTGATGGATGGGAAGTTGCTGGTCTTGCTTCTTTAAGTGTTACTCAAATGCTCAAATTGACTCCCGATGTGTCTGTCTGGGCTTGTGTCTATCAAAACGGTCAGCCCGAGGCGTTCTTGTAGCACGATGATACGAGCAGCACGGGAGATCCTCGGCTGCTCTTGGGCGCGATACTACGGAAAGGGTCACCTCGTGCCCTCGACGCGCCGGCTCCCCGGGCCGGCGGTACATCTTCGGGACACGCCTTTTGATCCTTCACCGAGCCGGTTGGTCCCATGGTGCTCTTGCCAAGGGCCGCTCGGTAGGTGCCCATCCATTCTTTTACGTTTCTAGTCATGGATCAGGATCAGGACACGTATGGCTTCTTCGTCTGCTGCATGCATACATGCATGCCGGCTTCTTCCAACATGTCGCCATTTCCTCTGCGGCGGGGTTGGTGACACTGAAGGAGGGCTTGGCGTGCCGCGGCGAGGTGAGGGGGATTGGTGTCACTGCCGTCCCACCACCCCGCTCTGTTTTGACCGCTCTGTTTCGAACAAGCCAACTTGGGGTGTCAACCAAATAGGTGCCATTGAAGCCCGGCAGAGTTGAAAGGCCACGAAGACATTTGTGTAAGCGGTTTCTGGCCTGTAAAAGAAAGAATACAATTATATTTACCCCAGAATGACTCAACAAAGTGATCTGCGTTCATATGTACCATGAGTATATTCTGAGTAAAAATAGGTATAAGCGTGTCCCATTTACAAAGGCAGAATCTCGACTCACCTAGGTCACTCACCACTATTCTTTCGATTCCTTCTTGTTTCTTTGCAGCTGTTTTGTTTCCGAGGCGTCAGGTTTCACAAGGCCAGTTGCGGTTAGCCGTGTACTCTGGAGGAATCATGAAGGGGGAGGGGTGAGATATTGTTATCACACTCAGTTTACTAACTCACGGTTTTATGCCAACATTTTATCTATACCCACTTAATAGCATTGGCTGTAATTGTTTTTCAATGAAAACTGCAGCTCTGGTCTCAAGGTCAGGACGAGGCTGACACCGCCACAACACAGCACATGGCCGATTACGAGAACCTGGGACCTGGGTTACCTTCCCAATCTTTTTGATATCAAGCATGCCAATCACTTCAAAGGGTAAGAGTATCGTGATTGTTCACTGCTTCTATCCAAGCGTCGCTGAGGCTACATACCAAGGCTTGCTACGTGTCTTTAATAGATACCTAGGCGGGTTTATAGCCCAACGCACTGCAAAGATTCTCGCAAGACCACACTGGCCGTGACAACTTAGTTATGATATTAACCTGAATTGTATTATTCTGCTGTCTACTTAGAGGTTCTAATCAGTATTTGAGAGAACATGCTAAATCTCACGACATGCCATAATTATGGACACACAGCCGAACTCCCCAGGCTATGGACTCCATCTATCATATCGTCATGTTTTATTTTTGTTCGGCCATTGAAGTTTCGGAAGTAGTTAATAACCAATATAAGAGCTGTACAATCAGGCAATAAATTCCAGAGCTTCGCCCACCACAAGTAAGTTGGAGAACAATCTGCGGCCTGGATCGAAGATTGGACGCAATTTACAATTTAATTACAATGTGTTGTGATGATGAATGCGAGGAGATAAACGCACCAATGACGCTATAGCTTGATACAGACAAGAGGCCTTTGTTATGGTTTTAGACTGGTGTTTGCCATAGATTTCACCGGATTCGAGACTCGCATGTTTGTCTGGGAATGCTCCAAAATCCTCGTTTTGGGATCTGGGCGATTTGTAATTACTTCACTTGCGTGCGTACCTTGGTTATGCAGAACCTTAGAAATTCGCCAAAACTCTATTCCTGCAAATGTGCCGGCAGAATTGTGCACGATAAGGATTGGCTTGTAATTCTCTGGTTCCCTATCTACGGCTGTTCTGAAACAATTGCGATGGTGGCCAGGTACTCCCTTACATGGTCTCTGTTCACTGGGGAAAAAAAGCCGTCCCAGTTCGAGTTCGAACCCGCGCCCTCAGATTAGCGCCTTCTGATCCGCCGTGACTCACCGCCCAGTCAGGTGGCCTAAGCTCTCCGAGTTTTCTCAACCGCCTACATTCCCCGCTTGACCACCCAGCGAATTTTCTTTGACCCCTCCATCCCTCATCGAGCCATTCGCGCCCTGCGAATTTCCTCTTCACCAGTATCACCTCGCGCCCGGCCAATGGCATAACACGTCGGGGCATCGCGAGAACAGCACTTGAGGGAGCAACTTGTTATCAGATGCATCAGCCCTGTAGCGAGGATTCGGAAGAAGGGACTTGGGCCTTGCCTAGACGAGGGGCATTGGTGGGGGACGAGCAACCTGGTATTCGCGTCCATCGCTGTTCCACCCTGTCGTCAATTCTGCCCGTCGTCACTGCTTCATCGTCGTCTTTCTTCCTTCGCCAATTCCCGGGATCCAGCCTCTTTTCTACAACAATACGGCATTAAATAATCACCACTTCTACGCCACACATCCTTGCTGCAGCTGCAGCTACTGCTCGTGAACATGTCTCCCGCAGCCATCAGGCAGCCGCCAACAATCAAGGCGAGCACCGGCGGCGGCGGCGCCAAGTCAAAGACCAAGCGGCCAAATGCCGTCCGCCGCATTATGGACCGGGAGCAGAACCGAGAGCGTCGCGAGAGAGAGTCATCGGTGGCCGCATCAGCCATCAGCAACCCTGCCGGCTTGGCGGCGCGGCCCTCTCGGTTTCGCTGCGCAAACAAGAAGTGCAAGAATCCAAACGTCCAAGACGGAACTTGTCAGTCTTGTGGTCAAGTCGCCGACGACAGCAACATCGTCTCGGAGATCACCTTTGGAGAGGCCGGGAATGGCGCTGCTGTTGTGCAGGGAAGTTATCTCGCCGCGGACCAAGGCGGTGTCCGCCCAGTCGGCGGTCTTGCCTTCCGCCGAGTCGCCGGCGGCGGCGCGAGCGAGGCCCGTGAGCGGAGTCTGCGTGAGTCAAAACAGCTCATGACCGACTTTGTATACCAGCTCAGGGTTCCCGTATCCTTGGTTGACAGCGCTTTCCGCCTTTACAAGATTGCCTCCTCTCACAACTTCATCCAAGGCCGCCGAAAGGCCAACGTGGCTGCCATCTGCATGTATGCTGCGTGCCGGAAGGAGATGAACAACAAAGTCATGCTCATTGACTTGGCTGACATCATCAAGACCGACGTCTTCCTTCTCGGTCGTAGCTACAAGGAGTTCCTCGCCCAGTTCCCGGATCAAGCCAATGGCACGCAGCCAATTATCCTTGAGGACCTCATTTTCCGCTTCGCCTCAAAACTCGAGTTTGTTCACGAGACCAACAAAGTTGCCGAGTCCGCTGTCCGTATCGCGGCCCGGATGCGTTTCGACAATATGACACACGGTCGCAGACCTGCTGGCATCTGCGGTGCTGCCCTTATCATGGCTGCTCGAGCCCACAACTACCGCCGCACTGTCAGAGAGGTTGTCTACATTGCCAAAGTCACCATGGCCACTATCCAAACCCGCATGGAGGAGTTTGCCAATGTCCCTTCGGCACAGATGACAATCGCCGAGTTCCACGACAATGCCTTCTTGGAAAACGCCGAGGACCCCCCTGCCGTGATTAAGCAGTCCAAGCTTAAGAGGGAGGCGCAGGCGCTTGCTCAGACCGAAACTCAAACCGGTGAGCCAACCGAGGGTCAGGGCCGCGAGAAGCGTGCAAGAGCTGCATCCGGTGTCCCTTCGACGGCTGGGCAGGGGTTACCTGCCCCCGTCGCCGGCATCCTAACCCCGGCCCCTTCGGCAACACCGGCAACTGCGACAGCTCTTGACAAAGACGGGTTTGTGGTCCCGCCCCTCCCGCAACGCACCGCTGGCTCCACTTCTACTCAACCGTCTTCTCAACTTGACGACCAGCCAATGTCAGATACTGCCGCCGATGGCAGGCAGCCAGACGACCAACAGCCAGACGACGAGGAGCTAGAGTCCTTGGCAGATCAATTTGGTGATGAGCCCGCCGATGAGTCAGACGACGATTCCGATCTCGATCCCACCAGTGAGATGGCAATGGCAGCTGCACAAGGAATCGAGATTCCAGGCCAGAAGCGCAAACGCCCAGAAGCACCAAAAGCCGTCGAAACACCCGTCGGTAGTGTCAGTCCCAAGGAAAAGCCCACCAAGGCAACAGAAAACAAAGTCCGAGAGAAGAAACCAGTGATAGCTTTGCCCATCGACGAGGAGTGGGAGATGGACGAGGCCAATCTAGAGCAGGAGATGGAGAGTCACTTGCAAGATCCAGAACTGCTTGGCGCCTCTGAAGTCGTCGCTAAAGATGTTCAAGCCAAACGCGCCCGGGAATCAGCTGCCAATGCGACAGGCGAACAGCTTCCGCCAGCCGAGGCAGGTGGTGACGATTACGACAACACGGACAGGAGTAACGAGGCGGGCCCCGGAGGAGAGACTGCAACCGAAGAGCCGGAAACAGAACCCGATTTCACACTGGATCCTCGGTTTACGCCAAGATCAAAGATCTCCAACTCTAGAGATATTGGCGAAGACGAGTTTGCCGACGATCCCGAGGTCCTCCACTGCCGGTTGTCGGATAAAGAGGTTAAGATCAAAGAGATGATCTGGGCGAACCACAACAAGGAGTACATGCGCCAAATGCAACAGAAAATCTTCAATAAAAAGCTGGCTGAGAATGAGCCGCCCAAACAACGGCGCAATCGAGCCAAGAAGCCCCGCATTGGCGAAGGCCAAGCTAGTCCAGCACAGTCTGCAGAAGAGGCTGCCGTCAACATGATGCGAGCGCGCGCTATTAGCACGAAGCTCGACTACTCCAGACTCGGCCAGGTGTTCGACATGTCCAAGCGCGGACCAGGAAGCATGTACGATGGTACGAGTTCAGTCGGCAGCCACAGCGCACTTCCAAGCATAGCTGGCAGCGAGGTTGGTAGTGACGTTGAGAGTGACGGCGAAGACGGTCTTGTTCGTGGCGACGTCATTCGCAGCTCTGTTGGAGCGTCTCCTGATACCAACACTACAGCTCCGTCTGTCACGCAACCCGCGGCGGTAGAGAAAGCTGCCTCGGCTGCTGTCCCCGTAGATGGCGGGGACGACGAGGCAGCTGAAGATGAGTTTGACGGAAACGAGACCGAGTTCGGCGGCGCTGATGCGTTTGAGGAGGAGACCTTTGTCGAGGACGATTTTAATCCTTTTGCCGATGACGACAACGAGGGCTTTGGGGCCGGAGATATGGACGACGAATGAAGGAAACTTTAGCTCTGATGAACTGAGATGGATGATACCCGGCGCAAGAGATGCTACCTACCCCCTTTCCGGCTTTTTATGCTTATCCACTTGGGGAATTATTTGGCCGGTATTGCATTTTTACATATTTGTACCAACACCAACTCTAGCGATAGAAGGAGGCTCTCGCCCCCTGTAGTATCGGCCACGATATTGCCTACGGCATGTATTATAGGATAAACTAGGCATTAGAACTAGCGGAGGGCAAATATTGTGAACGGGCAAAGCCCCCTCCGCCAGAGCGCAGAGCAATCTACCAAATGATAACGTCATATTTTATAAAGAATTTCGTGGCATCTATGCCGTGCTTCGAGCGTATTTTACTGGTTTCAATTCACGCAAACTCTTCACAGGTGTCATTTTAGCGGCGACGGCGAGGAAGTGGCAAAGTCTTGACCTTGACTACTTAGTAACACCAATAACTCCAGATAATGCTTGCCCGTATATACCTAAAAGCACAAAACAACCCATATTTGCAAGAACCTCATGATATACACCCCATAGGAAATACGTTTTTCACCATCCCAAGCTGCTCCTTTCAAGCCGCGACAATGCCTCTGGTCGCCCGAGTTGTCGCAACAGAAGGCTGGTTGTCGATTATGATGCCGACGCCCGAGCCCTCGACACCGGTTCCCAGCTGAATCTTGGGCCCCTTGACAAGGGCAGCTTCGGCGTAGGTGAGGGCGCGGTCAAAGCCGGCCAAGTCGCGCTTTGCGTGTCCATCCTCTCTGGGCTCGACATCGCCCTCGCGGGGATCGAGCTCCTTGGACACGCCGGGTACAGGCAACGAAGCCGTCTGGTGTTGTGGGAATACGTGAATCACTTGGTCAATGAGCTATACTATATCTGACGACTGGGACAGGGTGTATGTGTTTTGAGGGGAAAGGTCTGGAACTTTCTCAGAAGACAAAGAGGGATAAGCAATCTCAACGTACGGGGTCGGAGAGGATGGGAGCCGACACTGCTGCCGCGGCCACGGTGCCTGCGTTGTTCACGGCAGCGCCCTGGAGCGTGTTGACGGTCCTCTCCACCGATTCAGCTCCTCCAAACGATATTTCACCATCACCGACCACCACCGCGGGCGAGTATGCTCCGAGGTTGATGTTCAAGGGGACGGGGATGGCCCGAGCCAGGGCGAACAGCGCCGCGGCGGACAGGACAGATTGGCAGCGCATATTTGAGGTGGTGGTGAGGGACTGAAACTGGTTGTATTGTCGGTCACTTAGAGTTGTGTTGCGAGAGAGACCCGACAACGAAACAAAAGAAATAGTAATTAAAAAAAAAAGTGAGTGGTAACCAGACCCGAAGAAAGTATAGACAAGAAAAATAAAAGGAAAGCTTCACTCGAGCACAGCTCGAGGTGGGTTAGTCGTTCTTGGGAATGAAGAGTTGTGATACAGAAAGAGAGAAAACAAGAGGTTCAAACATAGCGAGTTGCCCGCGATATATGTACATGTGCATGCGGGCAAACCACGGAGGGTGGCCAAGACACCGAGAATCTTGCGCTGACAAGAAACCCCGACGTCTCCACGAGCAAAGAGGAGGCGAGGATCCATCCATCGCCGCCAAGGCCAATGCCGCCCCCAGGAAGTTGAGCAACGGCAATGTGAGCAAACATGGCGAACATGGCGAACATGGGTATGTCCGGTTGCACTGGACTGGAAAAGGGGGCGGACAGCAGCGGTGTAAAACAGTCGCTGGAGTTCTTGGCAGAGTCGCTGAAACAGCTGCACCAGACTTCCGCTGGGAGACGCTGTCAGTGAAGTGTGGAGGGAACCTGGAAGGCAGGGGGGCTTCGTCTTGGCAAGTGGAGCGCCGAAGCAAAGCACGACGTCTACCGCGGCGATGCCGCTGCGAATGCGCTGTAACATTTACGAGTGTCGCTGCAAGTGGTGCAACAAACCTCCCTTGCCACGCGCTGCTTGGCAAGTCGATTCTGGAATTCGCCCCGACACGATCGCCTGGCGGGTCTGACACGGCCAAGAGCCAAGCAGCCAAGCAGAGATCGAGGTTGGCATTCATTTGGCGATCGCAAAATCCAGCCGTTGTGTTGTGTGTGGTTCCACTGGGAGTAAGGAGGCGATAAGAAGACGAAGATCAAGACATAATAGTCGTAGACAGGGCTACTCTAATTGGGTACCCATACTATTCAGTAGTGACTAGAACGAGTTTTGCTGAAGCTGCGTGCAGAAAGTCTCAAGCCAGGCACCTTTGTTGGATGATTGCCAGGCATGTTTTGTGTGTTGAGAGACTCAAGACAATCGATAAGGACTGGTGGTGTGGGGGGGTGTTGCGGCGAGCCTCGCGAGCGGCTGTGCCTTCCCTTTTCCTGCCCGCACGGGCCGATACGGGTGCAACTGCCATCGTTCGGGGGACTCTCGGAGGAGTGGTCAGACTCTTTCGGTTTCGCAATTTGAGACCTGCCCCAGCGTCCTTGGCAGCGATAGAGAGAGAGAGAGAAGCAACAGATCGCGCTCTATAATGTGCACACTCCCCTTCCCGGTTTCCTACCATCGAATTCTTGGCTCTCCCGGAGCACATTTGCCGGTTTCGACGCCTTGCTCTCGTGCTAGCAGAGCACGACTAGGCCTCTGTCCTGGCCTTCCGCGCCTTCTTTGCGCAGATTGTGAGAGCCGCCCAAGGCCAGCCTCGCGCGGGTACCTGAGCCCAGCCCAAAAATAGGACAACCAGTCTCTCGCGCCGTCCATAACATTGAACTCAGTTTGACCGCTAGGAGCAGCAAAGACTTGTCCAGTTTAGCGCGTCCACTGAATTGTTGGTAGCAGGATTCCGCTACCCGTTGTCCAACAAACAAGACAGCTCAGCGCCCCCCCCTCCCTTTTTTTTTTATCGCCACAGATTGGATGAATTGGAATAGCTTCCGACAACCTGGGCGAAGGCGTGGAAGATCGCGGTAGCCTCCAAGGCTTCAATGACCCGCCCGCATCAGAACAGCCTTTTTCGTATGCACGAACACATTTACTCAGGTCCCGCACCCACCCATATGTTTTCGGATTCCGAACGAGAGCGGGGTCGGATCGCCTCTCCGAAGCTGTGCTGCAGCTCACGGTGAGGCCGAGTCCCAAACCTCTCTTCTCGGTGTCTTCCCGAAGTGGGGAAAGCCCGAGGAGGGAACGATCGCTCAACACCCCACCATGCAAGCTACACCTCGACGGCCGCATAGTTTTGGATTGGAAGATATCACTGCTGTGTGGAATACACTTGCTGGGCTCAGTCCAATAGGATACGACTTTTTGGTGTTTTCGATGGTTGTGGTGGTGGCGACTTATGTTGCCGTGGCTGCTTTCGCAACTGCCAATCTCATGTCGAGATGCACCAGACTGCTCGTTCACGCCAATGAACATGCATTCGACACAAAGCCACTGACGCTACCAAGTCGGTCGAACGCAGGATTCCGGTTTCTGCTGAGCGGCCTTTTGCGGTGGTTTACTCAAAGAAGCTGCCAAATTCGGCATGCATTGTGTCATGAATATGCGTGTGGGTGGCCTTTGGGCTTCGGGCGGCAAAGGGGGAAGTCCGTAAACATAGCTAACCCGTGTAATGTCAAGGCCAGCTGCTTTGGAGCTTCTACAAAAGCTTGTTGACTGAGCTTGTTCCTCTCCCCCGATGGAGCTAGTACCTGGCCTACATAAGGTATCCGGAGAGCCGAAGGCCTGGTCCGGTCCGAGTAGCCTGGCCACTAAAGCACAATCGTTTCTGCAGGCAGCGCGAGTTTCTCTGTGCCATGTTCTCCTCACGATTCTGTAGTATCCGCTCTCGACCGCAAGGACGAAGTAGGCTTTCTGCAAGCTCCCATTAGCTCTCTGCCTCTCTCCTTGGTGTGCACTCTCCCCTCCGACCAAGGTCGCTCGCATATATATCTCGGCCTCCTTCAGCCCCCCCATGCAAATCGCAACTCGCAACTCGATCCGGTAAAATCGCCGTCGGCACGGAGTATTACTTACTTTGATAACAGCAACGCACATCAATCCGCTTGCATTCCGCCCACCCACACCACTTCCTCAGCCAAGACTCCGAGTCGGGTCTCCCAACGCGGCCAGATATAATTAGCCCGAGGCCACCCCACGTTTTTTGGCAACATCGTCGATATTTATTTCGTAGCGCCCCAACTTTGAACCTGAACACCCTCTCGGCCTTCAACTTATTTCACGTTTTACAACTGTCGCCGCTATGGAGTTCGCAATAAAAGAGACGAGCAGCCCCGCTGCCGTCCAGACCGCCCCCGTGCCGCCTTTCTACATTAAGCCCGCTTCTCAGTTCGGACCGAGGGAACGGCAGTGCTGCCAGTGCGGGACAAGGACAACCACGCCCTCGACGGCCGCCGCGTCGGTCCAGACGTCGCGGTCGTGCGAGTGCGACCACCAGTTCTGCAACGAGTGCCTCCGGCGCGACGGCCGGCGCCGGACCGTGATCCCCCACTCGTTCCCCGTCGACTGGGTCTGCAGTACGTGCGGCGACACGCACTCGGTGCTCGAGATATTGACGGCCACCGTGGTGTGCCACTGCGAGGCCCCGACGCTCCAGGCTGTATACGACCAGTTCGGCAACATCTTCCTCTACTGGCGCGACGACCCCGCCGTCTACGACCTGTCGCACCCGTCCAAGGTCCAGGAGGCTGCGTGGCGCGTCTGGGAGGCCGGCAGCGCGCCCTGGCTACCCTACGTCGTCGCGGCGGAGAAGGCCGCGAAGGCTCGCGAGCTCGGCAGCAGAGGCTTTAACCGCTTGTCGTGAGTATTCCCTCCACATAACCACCTGATTGCCCAATTACCCGGCCAACTGCTGGTTCCCGCATCCCCGACGATGGCATGTAACATCGGCTAACTTTCCATCCTCGCGTGCAGAAGCCAGTTGAGCATCTCCAGCCAGGATTCGCTCGATGAGGTCCTGGCGGAAACGGAGATGGAAATAAATCAGTCGAAATGATTTTTTTCCTCCCCTGTCTTGTCTTTCTTGTTTGATTATCCGGTCTTTAGGTTTAATGAGCGAAACCCGGCCGAGTTTGCCGGGAGGACACTTGGGATGGAAGCATCAGGAATGGGGGGGGGGGGGGGGGTTTGGCGTTCTGGGTCCCATATATGCATTTGATACCCTCGTTATCGGCGTTGTCCGCGGGTCAACTAATTTTCCCAGCGGCGGCTGTTAGTCTAAGACGTTGTAGGATACAATGATAGTGTATTAACAGACACTGTATTAATTCGCACTACGTTGATAGTAAATATCTTTCTGTAGACATGTATTCCATTCGGCATCCGTTCAGCATCCACTCTGCATGCGGCTGCCCAGCCCAAGTGGCCGATTGTTGTGACGGCGGAGTTCCGAACTGGGTGGTCTGGATCGGCGGGGGCTGGAATGTTTGAGCTTGGTTTGGGCTATTTTGTCTGGCCTGACATTAATGTGATATGCGATCAATTTCCGACAAGAATGCGGCGAATGGCGTCTCTAGATTGATTCGCGCGAGTGACAGATCCAGGTGCGGTTAGTTGCATTTCAGCAGGAAAATGTGATGACTCCGGCCTCGTTTCTACACTTCCACCTTGACCTAGCCCGCGAATCTCGGACTTCAGGCGGAATGTGGCCATATCAATTCGAGGTGACACGGCCCAGCCCGGTTGGCCCGCGTCTTGTAACAACACGATGAAGACTTTACGCACCGAGGCCGGCCATGAATTCGGCCCGACCCATGGGAGGGTCCTGGGCAGAGTCCCAGGGACGTCCAGCTCGTCTTCTTGGATAAACTGTCTCGGTCCTTGTTTTGATGTGAGACGGCTGCCGCTTGGTTTCGGTTACTAAGATGCTGCGGTGTTGTTGCTAAACGGAGGTTGGTTTTCAAGCGGTTTTCCTTTTGGTGGGCCCCAGGGCCGAAAACGACGGGAATTGCAACCTCAGATGGAGGAGGATGAATTTCTAGCCAATGACAGCACTGACAGAAAATAAAGTGATGACGAGTCCAGCGGGTGCTTGTAGGGAAGATTATAAGATAATACCTATTAGCTTGAGCTTATTCCAACGATATTTGAAACATGAAGGCTCACACTCCGCACCACCTCGGGGGAAAAAAGGCCTCATTTTAAATAATCGATCCATATTGGGCTTTTTGATGAAGCCAGTATTACTTTCAACAATTACGTTACTCGTCACCATTCGCCCGGCTTTTTTGACCCATTTCCTTTCCCGTTGGTTCACTGTGCTTCGTTGCAAGCCCAGCTACTGGCCTGTGTCTGATACTTGGGCTGCCTCAGAACTTTAAATACCGGGCCGGTTTGGTCGATTTTCCCAAACCCGCCAGATTGCGACCCTTTACTGGCCGATCCACAGAGCCTGGCCTGCCCGGCCGGCCACACAGCCAGAACCCGACCACCAACCAGGGCGAAGTGGGCAAACGTGGAAACATCCATTGCTATTGATTGCCGCGTATGATTAGAGAAGGCAGGTAGGCAGTATTCTCGAATTTGTATATAAGGACTGGTTCGCCTGGTCCTCACTCGGGGCTGAAGCTGGACAGTTCCTAATACCACACTCCCTCACCTAATTATTTGTTTAATTTCTTTAAATTTTCGAGATATACCTACCTAGCCAAGGACTCGCAAATCAAGAATCTTGCGCTGCTTCAACCAATCGTTCGCCCTAGACGCCTAGTTACTGAATATGTCAACTGTACGCGCTCAAGGGGTTACTGAAGTACCGAAGGGGCCCTCTGTTACGAAGTTGAAGTCCACTCCTGGTGCTAGGACCGCTGTCGTCCCGGATTACGTCGACGAAAAGAAAGTATCAACAAAGCTCTTAATTGTTGTGAAAAAAGACACTGAAATTGGCGGTGAACATGACCGATATTATCTTAATATACCACTTGTACAAGATTATCTTGTAAGCCACTGTTTTGTTTTTTTCTTGAATAAGAATGTGGTCCATGCCACATTTTCGAAAGATTGACTGACCGAAATCTTGTTCCAAAGGCACAACTCCGGATAATCCTTGCAAATCCAGAAATCAAAGGTCAATCGGACATTGTAGGAGTTCTGAATGAAGCGGTCAGCAAAGCCCAAACGAGTGAAGAGTACCAATTCCTTTCTGGTACGACGGGTGCCGAATCTGAAGGGCATGTTCAAACCATGCATATAGGTGCTTCCGAATGGCCCGAATATTTCGAAAAGGCAAAGAAGTTGTCTATGGCCCCTGTTGAGATCCTACCGTCTAAGATCAAGAAGCACGGTCTCCCTCCCCGCCCTAAGCTGCCAAAAGACGATGAGCCAAGTCCCGCGCAGTGGATGGAGAGCAGCAGAAAGAAATTGGTGTCTGGCCAGTCTAGTGAACTAATAGTTGTTACACAGTTCCAACCTAGACTACAGGGGAAGCTTTAATCTTTTATTTATCTTCTACCTCTGATTCTCACACGGGCTGGACGTCAAATTGAACGAGGATTCTAGCTAGTCTTTGCAGGGAATACTACAGATATGGAGAAGAATTAGTTACACGCTTGTCACTATCTCAAAACTCACGTGTTCGTCTGTGTAGGTACTCTGACAACAACCGACGCCGAGACAAGCGACGCCGCCAGTGGCCAACAATACAGACGGTCTGCTTCTGCTTCAAGATGACGAATAGAATAGGCTTCAAAAGCCGTCCGAACCTCGCTGCCTCGGACGGCGGCCCAGAGCGGCCAACACTGTGCGGGTATATAAGCGGAAGGATAATTATCGAGGCCCGACTTTGGACGCAACTGCGAAGCGCGGAAGACGGTGGTATGGAAGATCGCCTTGGTGTAACCGCACTCTCAAGTCCGGATTATCCGCAAGCTAGAAAAAACAACAATCTCCCACTTTTCTCCTCAAGACGTTAGCTTTTGTGAGACCTCAACTCTCACAGGGACCAGCAAGTCACCAGCCGACCGCGTTGGGGTGCGTTGTTATAACAAGAAATCTCGGTGTGGGTCGGAACCCGAAAATTAATTCATCAAGACTCACCCCAAATCCAATCACTATCTCGACATCTCTGCCGGGCGGCGGAAGACTCGGTCAGCCGTGCCACCAGGATTGAGCCGTCCAAATCTGTTGCTGGAACGGTGGCCCCTGCGCCGGGCTGAGACATGCATGTCTGGGCAGCGGACGTCTTGGCGGCCTCGCGTTTGGGGGCCAACAAAGGCGACACAAACCGCTTGGCGTTACCTGAACATTCGAGCTTATTCCAACGTAAGGCTGTTTGGACGAGATGATGTGTCAGAGATGGATATGTGGTGGGACGGAAACGGCTCGTTGGGGTTTCTAGGCCGATTCATGATTTTGTTAAATTTCTCGTGCATTAATTCTGTTGTCGGGTAGGAGGAATTCGGTGCCTCATGTCTGTCTTTACTGATAAACCTTCACCTGTCTTACATGTGACCGAATGAGAATGCCAGCTCGTCCCTTTGGAGACATTTCAACGTGCAACCCTAATTGACGGGCAAGGGTGTTGTTACTGGGTCTATCAGCCCAAAACCACGAGACAAAGGCAGGCAAGATGTTTGCGCATTAGTAATGATAGAATCCTGCAATGCTGCCGCGCAGCGTTGGGAACAACGTGCAGAACAAGTCTAATCACAGACGGCCGCATCCGGCAATAACGCCACGATCCAAGCGCCTTTCCCTGGTACATGACCGGTGAGTCTAATAAGGAATGATACTCTGAAAGAAAAAGAACAAAAAAAGAATACCTAAAACGCCGTAGCTATGCCTTTAATCATTGCGCGCTCTAAAAACACGGCGGTGACGTGTGCGTATTAGAGCAACTCCGCACAAGTCGTGGTCCTCCAAGTCCTCAGATGTGTCCCCGTGCGGAGGTGTGTCGTCTTGCGACGGCGCGTCCTCCTGCGAAGGTGTGCCGTCTTGCGAGGGCGTGTCCTCGGCAGAAGCGTCGTCCTAAGACCCTCCATCGTCCGGAATGCTGATGGATGCAGCCTCTGGTCTCTGGAGAAAACCCGCGTCGCTGGCCTCGAGCAGAGCGGTCAGCCAGATGTTGGCCATTTTCCTGTAGCCCACGTCGCTTGGATGTGTGTCGTCGGCCAAGTCACCCAGCTGGGGCCCCGTGTCTCCGCGCATGTTGACCAAGAGCAGCCTGCGACCTGCGGCCTGGAGCTTTTGTGCTACGGACGTCAACTGCACGTTGATTGCCACGGCGTCCCTCTCCGCATTGCCGTTCCTATTGACAATGAGGGTGCTCAAAAAGATGACAGCCCGGGGGCTCCAGCCGTACAGATCGTTGAGCATGGACTCCATGCGCTCGCCGGCGGAGCTGATGTTCTTGTTTTGGAGGGCGTCGTTGGTGCCGGCGTTCACCAGGATGACGTTGGGCTTCCATTGGGGCACCGAAGTGGCCGCTTTTTGGTGCACCTGCTCGATGCGGAACCCCGGCCAGCCCTCGACGTCGTTATCCCTCATGTTGCCGTGCTGTCTGCTCCCGACCATGTTGACGGGGTTTCCGGCGCTCGTCAGCTGCGTTCGCAGGGCGTCTCGGTATCCATTGCCGTCAGATGAAGCCTGTCCCCACGTGATGGATGCGCCGAGGGGCATGATGCGCAACGGGACCCCACCGCCGAGGGCTGCCAACGCCCGTGCCCCAAGGTTGAAGTGGTTGACGGCGACGCCATGGGACGACAGTGGCGCACTGAGGACTGCTAGCGTTGTTAGCTGAAGAACGGGTGACAGAAACGGGGCACACTAGACGTGCGGTAGTGGGCCGCTACTCACCTAGAAATAGAGCGTTGAGAGCTGAGAAAACCATGATGGGCTGGGCGGGGGCGAGGTCGTGTAACGTGTGTGGGAAGAAGCGCGCAGTGACTGCTGTGGATGTTGCTGGTGATGATGATGCGTCGGCCAACGTCAAGTCATGTCTCAATACGGAGCGAGAGCATGCGGATTTATAGCTGGCCGAAGCTGGCCGACGACTGCAAGTGCCGGCCGACTCTTTGTGAAGCAATATTCGGTATGCGAAGAAGAAAAAGAAAAAAAAGGGAGGTGGCGCGCAATAACGCGAAATAAGACTGATATTCCGCGGCTGGGCTGTTGGACCGGGACGAGATCGGGAGGGTGCGTTGCGTTCTAAGATGGGACGCCGTTGTCGCCCGTGTTGCTGCTCGCCTAACCTGCCGGGTGAATGCCACAATTTCCAGAGACAGCCAGGCGCCTTGCGGAAAGTGTGGCCTTATTTGGGGGTCATGTATCCGCGTCGAGAGTTGGAAGGAGTGACCGGACAGGCTAAAACGTCACGTTGCGAGCGAGTGAGCGTGCTGCAAGGCGGACATGCAAGTGGCAGGAAGGTATCCGTACTCCGGATGCACCTCCCGCAAGCTAAGGTACATACCGGTAGTCAAAAGAATGGAGAGACGATGTACGTAAACGAGAAGGAGCGAAGGTAAGGTAATATTTCACCAGCGGAGGCGGCGCTCCATGGCGCCACTTGCACCTCCCATGGTCCCGGGACGTTGCACTGTTTGGGATTGGGAAGTTTTGTCAAAGGAAAAAGAATGCCAGCTCGGTCTGACCTTAAGCCTCGATTCTTTTCGGGCAACGCACGTGGGCACCAGGCACACACACCTTCAGCAGCTGAGACGACGGCGCGCTGTACTCTTTCTTTCGTGTCAGCACTGGGGGCGTGGGACGGCCAGGGGGGAGGGAGGAAACAAAGCTCGCACTAGACCCAGTGTGGGTTAGGTCCGATTCGATCTGTCCTGGTCGCCTGAATTCCTCCTCAAATCGTCAACGAACCCCTCCTCAAATCGTCAACGAACCCCTGGTCGAGCAGGCGTGCGGCGGTGCTAGGCTGTAAATGTGTACTAATCATCTGCTAATTACTACCCCTTTGTGAATTCTATGATTGTTCTACCTTTACTCCTGGTTGACACTAGAATCTGACATCTGCACGATTTCTCACCTGCCGAAATAGACGGGACATAGCCGTATAGCATGCTGGTGGACAATGCGAGTCCGACAACTCGGGAATGCCAAGGCGGATTTTTTTGTTTTTGGCTGGGGCTGGCACCAGCCCGTTGCTGTGTCGGGGAAAAGCCAAGCTCAGCCAAGAGCTGCACTAATTGTTACACTAGAGTACAAAAGGTGGGGTTCTTAAGCCCTGCATCTGCCGCGATCTTGTCAGGCCTAGAACGCCGCCGGCCTTTCGCTTTTCCTCGGATTTGGTTGGCCAATGGTTGCGACAACACAAGGCCAGATGGTTAATTCCAGCCACTTGCAAAGCACGTTCTGTGCTGGCAGTCTCAATTCGTGCATCTCGTGGGGGGTGCTCGGCCCAGCTCATAAAGCCGAAGGGCTTCCTGGGTCAGGGCCAAGACATTTCCTTCCCTTTTCGTTTCCATCTCAATTGCCCAAATGCTTGGCAATTTTGCGGGGGAGAGCGATTGCCCGTGAAATGACGCTGAGTTGCCGCGAAATGATGCTGGGTGACACAAAAGAGGCAGCGGCACTGGCCCGCTCTCTGGGCACTTGGCATTGTTTGCACCATCCGTGGCTGGGGTGCTCTCATCTTGGCTGTTGATCCATCCGATGGCTCCTCCGACCACTTTTGTCAACCGCCCGCCGTGTTAACCAACCAACCTACCGACTTCGAAGCGACCATAAGGCCAAGTTGGAAGGGCCACAGGGCAGAGTTCCATTGTTGGGCCGGAAATCACCTTCCAGGCGCGAGCCAGGGTTCTGCACCCCCGGCACTTGGGTTGATCAAGTTCATTGGTGCAACGCCTCTGCTCGGTAGAAAAAGGGCAGAATGACGCACACTGCACAGTGGCACAGGTCGAACGGGTTCGGTGAAATGTGTGCGGGAGGGGATAGAAGCAAACAAAGGCATGTCTGTTCTACAGGACGTGTGAGGGGAGTGTCCGCCATGATATCGAGTGGGGCAGGGCAAAGCCACCCCCCTAACGTGACCAAAAAGGCAACTCAACCTGACTTACGAGATTCAAGATTAACCTTTGAGACTCTGGCCAGGGGTCGGGCGAGCAAGACGAAAAAGTCCGTGTAGAAGGATGGAAGATCCATCTCGGCCGCTCCGCTCCGTTTATTCCGTTGCTTCGTATCGCCTCAATACCGAAACAATTGTCAATCAAAATTCGGTAGCAACTGGGTTGGGTGCAAGGTGCTGCTCCCCTTTTGGGTGGGTACAACGACAAACCAACGGGAAATGTGACTAGATTGTACAATCGGCATGACACCCTTGTTGAAGGGGAAAACACCCAGCGGATGAGGGAAACATCAAATAATCCTAAACTCGCGGATGCAAATTGCAAACGGGCTTATTAACCTCAATCCAGTGCGGCAAAACAACTTGGGAATAACTACGGACTAAATAAAACCTCACCGGATGAGGGGAAGAGAAAGCATTAACGCGATCAAGGAACAAGAAACGCTCTCTTCAAGTAATAACCTACCATTCTCTAAAGCACATTTTGGGATAAAAAGGAGATGAATTCAGGCAAGGAGGCATTGGGGAAATGACAAGCGGGAAGTCCAAGGCAGGGGTTAGGGTTGTAGCCAGACGTTGGCGCAAGCGCTGTGCGGCGCAGTGGCATCGCAAAAAAAAAAAGTTGGTGAAAATCATGACGACGCAAAAAAGCTGTAACAAACAGCCCAACAACCTGGCCATGCAGGCAAAAAGCATGAGACTCGGATGCGGGGAGTCGAACCCCGGGCTGTTGAGGGAGCAGACACTGCTAAGCAGTGAGAGTCAACGATGTTACCGCTACACCACACCCGATGAGTCGAGGTGGTTTCCGACGTGTTGTTGTGGTTGGGGGGTGGGCACTGCCCTTATCAAAGACCTAGGTCGAGGGCACGATGAAATCGGCGGGGGCTGCTTCGAGCTCCTGAGAGGAGAGGTGATGGTGGGGAGGGGAGGGGTAGCTAATTCCTACAACCAACCAACCAGCGGCCGTCTGCTCTTTTGGAGCTTTTTGTGTTCAGGCGGCGGGGGACACGGACGCTGTGGGGACCTGCCGCAGCGGGCCCCCCACAAAGCACGCCAACACCCGCGTGCTGGGAAGCGGGCCTGGTGGCCCGGGGAGGGTCTAGGCTTCGTACTAGGTTGCCGGCGATCTAGGGCCACGATCTACTCGCTAGGCCTTCTAAGTCGCCGGCCTAACTAAGGTGCGATAGAACTAGTTGCAAGCAACTAGGGAGGTCAGGTGGGTGATTTAGAAGCCCCGGCGAGAAAAGGCTAGCAGAAGCTTCGGAGCTCAAATACCGTGCTACCGCGAGACTGAGAACATCCACCAATAGTGCGGAGAGAACGACGAACCCCTCCGCAAGCTCGACCGAAAAGGACTCACCGCCGGGGTTGGCCTGTTTCGATGTTCCTGTTTCGATGTTCTGGACGCCAGGAGACTGAGAGGGGTAGTTGCTAGCGCTACGTCCTCGAAGAAGCAGAGTGGGACTAACATTCTCGACGTTGGCAGGTGCTATGTTTGCCGGAGCTGATTTGTTGGTCTGTTGTATTGTTGGTCTTGTAAATAGCGCGCGCATGTGGCGTTGGCGCACCTTTTTCGCTAGCGGAAATGTACAAAACAACTGAAAGAAGGGTATCTCAAACGTAACACAAATGTAGTGGCTTGAGAAAACAACGCAGCCCAGCAAATCAGGCACTTTATCTCATCCACGGTGCCCTTGGCCTCTCGAGCTCGCCGTCGTCCGCCTTTCCATCTTGGTCTTCGCCTTCGCCTTCCCCTTCCCCTTCGACTTCGTCTTCGTAGCCGAGTCTGCTCATCTTGTGTAGCGTCGCCTTAATTTCCGAGTCTCTCTCCATGGCTTGCCACAGCTCAACATCCCAATCCTCCAAGCTAGCAGCACCATTCTTGCCGCCGGGCCACGTGGGAGTAGAAGACCGAGGACCGAACGCCTCCTTCCACGTGGACCATCGAACCCATTTCCACCCCCACTTCCACGGACTCGAAACTATTAGACTCTGCTTGACGGACGTGTACGCCAGCTGAAGCGAAACCAACAGTCCCAGGACGGCGATGAGCGCTAACCACCAGATCGGGTCCCGGCCGAATGACGAAAAAAAGCCGCCGCGCACGGCATACGGCCAAACGCCCGGCGCGTAAATAGCAGCTAGAAAACATTGCCACAGCCACCAGCCGATCACGGTGATTCCGAACGATGCGAGGATGGTGCTCGGCTTGTAATGCGTATCGAGGACCCTGGTTTAAGTTTCCACTCTGATCAGCAAATTTGTAAACATGCGGCGTACGAGGAGGCGACGACTTACATGAGCTTGCAGTTGGTCCACATGATATTCACCGAGAAGATCAGGTTTCCGAGCGCAAACAGTCCTCCGTCACGCACGGGACCCACGAAGCCCCCGTAAAAGGCCCAGCACAGAAACCAGACCAGCACTCCCTGAGCCACGGCACCCACCATCCAGGAGAGGTACAGGGGGATGTTCAACCCCCTGTTCCGCTGACCAAAGACGTACAGCTCGGGAACGGCAAGCAGAGTCTCGGCGGCGAGGTCTTGTTCCCAAATCGCAGGTACTATGACGCACAAGCTCGTGAACAGAGTGTTGAGCGTCGTCAAGCTCCAGCTCTCGTACAGACTCGTACCCGTATAGCCATTGTAACGCTGGTAGAGCTCCGTGGGTAGGTAAAAGAACATTTCTTTCCAAAAGGTAGCAAGCACGAAGCGAGCTGTGCGTCCATAGCTCCATCGGCCGTGGACCAACAACAGACGTGAGAGGAACCGGAACTGCGCAATGCTGTAGTCGGCTACCCGTGCTGCTTGTAAGCCCTCACGTCCCGAGATCCCCACTCCGACATCTGCCGTAGAGAGCATTGCCAAGTCATTGGCACCGTCACCGATGGCAAGAGTCAGCGGGCCGCGGGCTGAGGCCGAGCCTGATCCAGATCCAGAGTGCGAGGGTTTGCGGATGGCCCGGACTAACAGCGCCTTTTGCGCTGGCGAGGCGCGACAGCAGATGACAGAGTCGATTGTTGGGATGAGATTGTGGAAGAGCTCCTTTGCGTTGGACAGCCCAGAATCTCCCTTCTCAAGAGCCGCAAGAGTGTGCCCATCTATGACGACAACAGTGTGGGTCGGAACAGGAGCTTGCATGTCTTCAATAACGCCCTGGATCTGCCCTTCGAGGTTTTCTTTTGTGACGTCTAGCACGAATATGTCGGACCCGGGCTGACAGATTCTAGCGGAGTTGGCAATGTTGAGGGCGGTCTCTCTGCGGTCGCCCGTGAGCATCCATATCTTCATGTTTGCGCGCCGCAGTCTGTCAATGGTTTCGGGCACCCCCTTCTGCAGCTTGTCTTCGATGGCAGACGCACCAACAAGTTCGAGGGACTGCTCAATAATCTCTGCGGCGGCTTCGATGCGAGCTTGTCGATCCACCAAACTCGTCTCAGCATCATGATACAGCTCTTTCCAGAATTTGTACTCTTGGTTTGACAGGAATCTTTGTGCAAAGAGAAGTGTCCGAAGGCCTTCGGTGGAAAAGTCATCAATATGTTTGAAGCAGCGGGTGAATATGGTAGCATCGTCGCTAATCGATGGGTCTTCCAAGAATGCAAACCGGTCCGGTACAGAGGGAAGAGGATTTGCCCTCGAGGGAGGCGCCGGCGCCCTGTCAGAGGGCACATCGAAGGAAACCGTTCGAAGGGGCAGGGATGGCCGAAGACGATCATCCGAAGGAGAAAGATACAGATTGCCAATCTCGAAAGATTTGCTTCGACTCGCAGCGGGTCGCATGCTACTTGGCCCGGCAATACTTATGCTAGGCCCTGGAGCGCCAATACTGCGCCGCGCTGCTGTGAAACTCGGTCGGCCACCGAAACTATTACGCGGCTCGTAGGCCTCGCTCCTGCGCTGAAGTTCGCGCTCGGCCTCGAGACTTTTGCGCAGTTCGTGGGACTTTGACATAGCCAAAGGCTCCATCTTCAACCTTGGGAGAATGGCTGAGTCGGCCCCCTTTGTAAGAAGCCATATCTGGCCATCAGGGCAGCGGACAATAATTGTCATGCGCTTGCGTTTACTGCTGAACTCTATAACGTCCAGGATTTCGTACGTCCGGTCCTCATACCCACCGTTACCATTCGAGACTCGGAGAGTGACAGCCTGAGAAGAGCGATGCGTCACTAAAAATCCGAGTTCTTGAGCGGCTCTCACGAGGGCAAGCTCGTCGGGCGAGGCAGCTTGGAACTCAATTTTGCCGTCTTTGACTTCTGGCAGGCAAGTATGGCAAAGCGCCATGACCAGTATGTACTGGATTGCGCGTCTCGAAAAGGGCGAGTTTGGCCGCATCTGGATGTACTCGAGTAGGTCTTTGCTGCCGAGATCCGGTTGAAAGTGATCGGGTCGGCCGGTTGACCGCCAATTGGAAGACGAGCGTCGAAGACCCAGACTGGGTCGTTTGGTGGAGATGCGAATTATGGACTGGGGGTTGCTGAGAACAGTACTAAGCGCAGAACCTTTTCTTTCGTGCTCTTGAGGTAAGGTGAGAACAACGGATTCCATCTCCTTCTGCGTGCTGGTATCACTCTCTTCAGTCGAGACAGTGGTATCGAGAATTTCTACATCGTGGAGCCACGCAGTTCCAGCAATACTCATCTTGCGGAACTTCATGACATTTTCGGTCAACGTGCCAGTCTTGTCGGAGAAGATGTAGCCAATTTGCCCCAGGTTCTCGAGAATGGTATTGGTGTTACACCTGGTGGGCGTGTCTGATGCCTCATCATACATCTCGATATCGGAATTCAGCATGATCATCTGACCGAGTTTGACGATTTCCAAGCTGACGTATAGCGCCAGGGGGATGATGTTGTTGAACTGGATCGCGAAGCCCATAATAATCTGGTAAAAGGGGACGGCAAGGCCATCTAGGTACCAAGCAGAACGCTCGTAGTTATGCTGCCAGATCAGGTACCCCATGGAGCATCCAACAGCAAGGCTGACAACCACGACGGCAAGACTAATAACAATCTTGTTTGTGATACGTTCGAGGGCAGGCTTCTTTGCGCTAGGGTGGCGGTCGGCGTTTCTGCGGATCTTGCACTCCTCTCCCGTGTTGACCACAATCCCAATGGCTGTCTGTGTGTTCCTGACGGTACAACCCCTGTACACTACCTCGTTGATGGTGAGCGGGAATGTCTTGCCCTCCACCGTCATGCGTCCGTCAAATCTATAAAGATCCGGATTTGGATCTTCGACGACGAATTCGGCATGGCATCTGGAGAGACCTTCGATCGAGTCGCAGCCACTGAGCCCTGCAGGGGGCCTCTTGGTCTTAAGATTTGTCTCCCCGTCGAGTGCCATAGTCTCGATATAGGCTATGCCATCTTCGCCGGTGGCGTACAAGAGGACAATGTCGGCCGGGACGTCTTCATCTCTAGCGAGCTTGATAACGTTGCCCACCTTTAGGTCTCTCCATCTGGAACTACGCCAACGGAATGCCGCACCGGCCTGCTTCTCGGGTCCTTGGACTGCCTCGACATCCCGCGCCTTGGGCGTCTTGAAGGGCCACCATTGGTGGTAGTTCCGTGTTATCTCGTCATGGCCATTTGTCCACTGGAGCACGGTTGCTGGTCTTGCATTCTCGACCTTATCGAGCCGGTGTCTCTTCCAGTCATCGTATCCCTCCTTGACGATTGTGAGTAGGACGAAGAAGAGCAGCGGGAGGATAGTGGTGTAGCTCCCTGTGGTGCTGATGCCTGGGACCATCTGCGGGACGCCGACACACAGGAAATAAAAATTGCCCAGACGGGAGAACTGGAAAAGGAGCTGTTTTGGGAAGAAGTTGTAGAGCGTGTAGCGAGAGGTGCGGATCGTGTTTGAGATGAAGGCCTTTCCCCGCCGTTCGTCGACGAGGGGGCTCTCGGGATGCAGTCTCAGGGGGATGTGGCGTCCATCCCGGGAAGGGGGAAGAGCTTTCCGACGTAGGACCAACTCGACTAGGTATCGGTGGTACCAGTGCAGTGCTGTACTGTTGAAGCCACCACTTACACGTGCGCCGGTGCGTACAGGTCCGGCGGCTGTGAGTGGATTGGTGACTGGACGAGGCCCTTTCTTCAGCGGGTCATTGCCAATTCTGTTGCCGCTGCTGCTACCACTGCCGCTGCCACGACCGCTGACGCTGACGCTGACGCCGACGCCGACGCTGCCGCTGACTCCGAGGCCGCGTCCGTCGCCATCGTTGAGCTCGTTCATCAGGTGCTTATGCTCGTGATGGGCTCGGACAAGCAGCACTCATAGTGTCGTATGCCATCCAACTGTTTTCGTCTCAAGCGGCGACGCAATAGGGTGCCAGCTGCAAAAAGTGTCCAATCTTGACGTTAGGATTTCGCGGTTTCCGGGAGATCCGGGGATGGACATGCATGCCCTGCAGGTGGATCTCGGGCAACCACGTCCACCAGAGATTTGGTGTCAAAAACACGACCAGAGCGAGCGAAATCTCATATAATACAGTCCAAAACAGCCTGCACCGCAAACAGTCATCGAAGTCAGCAGGGCACACGGGTAAATAGGTGGAATGCCTTGCCTGGGCCGCTGAGGATGGGTTGGGACTCATGGCGAAAACCACGTGGGCGGGGGGCCAAGAACGGCGACCAGAAACCAAGTCCGAAATCGTGCCAGGATCCTTGTGTTGTGTCGATCGTTGCCGTGGGTCGTGTCCAAACGGACCCACCTTGCAAATGCCAACTGGGACGTTGGCACGTCAGGGAACCCAAATTGGGAACCCCGTGTAGTCTGCACCTGTTTCCATGCGCAGGAACTTTCGAGTTGTCCCAGTTTCGTGGCTGTAAGCTGCGAAAAAGGAGTCGCAGATCGAGTGCACGGATCAAGCCACACTCTATCGGGCACAAACAACAGCAGTGACCCCACAGTAGTACCTCTGAGCCCTGAGTGTGGGGGTGAGACCTCCACTTCGCTCATGATGCCAGGGTTAGGGTTTAACGATTGAATGCTGCAGAACCAATGGTTGAGGCTTTGAGCTTTGGCGCTGCCTTACAAAATAAGCGGAATCCCAATGACGGACTCACTCTAGATGCACCTTGATATGGCTGTCAGAGTCAATGTGAAGCACGATAATGACACGCTAGAATAATAAAATCTAGCCAATTCGTCGGCATCCCTTTGAGCCTACACCATCCGGTAGCCTATGCCACTCATTGCCGCCTTACGCCCTCACTCAAACAGATGCCTGCACTTTCAAGCGCACTTGACCAGCTGCGCTGCCTTGAAGGGGCTAAGGCAGTGCCATCCTGAATATCTTGCTAGGTCAGAAAACTACACAGATGCGTACCAAAGTACGTCTGTCCAGCCGACCCCTCCTGCCATCCGAGAAGAACCTCCAACTCTGGGAGTGTAGAGGCCGTGTCCGAATCATGCCAGCAAGCGCCATGGTGACGGCGGTTAGTCGCAGTCCCATACTATCACAGAACCCACCACAGCCTCGCAACAGAAAGGTGGTGGCATATCAATCTTTCCCCGAACGCGTCGAAGTTCCGTCCGGTAGCCTCATCATAACCCACCAACACTTCATACTCCGGCCAATATGCCGCAAACGCAGATTATTAGCGACATGGAGACAATGGCAACCACTAAGACGGACGACAGGAAAAAACAGCTCTAGGGTAAGCTTAAAGAATACGTCAATAAGCATGAAATTTCTTCGGGGCATATCATCTGGACCTATGGGACCACAGTCGAGACGGGGGATGCGCAAGCTTATATGAATACCCTCAAAAAACATAACGCTGGCAAGAAGGCTGACTCTTTTGTTCGTCCTACCACCTGGGTAAGGTTTATCTTTCGATTCTGCGCTACGTATATCTCTAATGCCCGCTTCGCCACAGTCCTTTACCACCCAAGGGATTTGGCTTGCTAATTCCAGTTACTCCCTCTCACAGCCATGAACGATACTGGGTCCAATATCCAGGCCTTGTACCGGCTTGACTTTGACCAAATGAGGTAAGGAGCCAGCGTGCAAATTATCCATGGCACTGCGTGGACGGCCGACGGCGCTACTGCGGCAGTTGAAAAGTCATAACCCAGATCCGAATCGTTGCCTCGGCGGGCAATGCTGGGCAGCCCTGGAAGGTCCTGATTGACTGGAAGGACGAGCTATGTGTCCTCAGGAATGCCGGAATTGCCTGCCTGTCCGGCGGCAAGATGCGGAAGCACCTCTGGTTTGCGACCCCCGCAGGCAACGAGCACCTCTACATTGCTGATAGCAAGACCAGCCTTCATAAAAACATGCCCGCCTAAGCTGGGCGAGACGGCATCATGTTCTCGCAGAATTTCCTGCTACCCATGAGTGTGAGCTCCTCCACTTCAGACAGTCGTCGTACGACGCAAGGTGGCACGTCTCCAGACATGCAAATTCCGGTAACCTCCGGGTCAGACGTTTTAATTAGGTGCCTGGGATATGTTGTCGATTCCAACTTTTAATTAAGTTCCCTACCAACTCTTACTTGAAACAACATAGGTTTATCCAAAACAAGGAAAGATGAAGAATTTCGAAGAGAAGGCGCTGCGGTGTTATTTATAGTCTTTCCAACCTGCGTATTTTGCCTCTTACAGCCAGCTTGCACTATCAAACCTGCCTCTCTGGGCTGCCGTTGTCTATTTGCTTGGGCTCTTCTGTCTCAGAAGACTCGGGCGCCTCGGCTTGGCGCTATTGTTTGAGAATGTTGTCCATGATTTCGCGAGCCTCGGTGGCGCGCTTGCTGCGGTGGCGGAGGTCGACGCCGTACTTCAGAAAGAGAAACGGCATGGGGGCGCAGGCGAGCGACAGGAAGACCGGGACCGACGACGCCCTTTGGATGTCCAGGTTCTGGTACATTTTCTCGGCGAAGAGCGGAAACGCAACCCCGAACATGGCGCGCAGGATGGCGTTGGCAGCCGGCGCCGACGCCGCGAACACCGTGTACGAGTCGATGAGGTAGTTGATCAGGCTGATGAAAAGCAGTAGCACCTGCCCGAGCCCGAAGAAGCTGGATCCGATGATGCTGACCGACCAGTGGACCGACTCGAACGTGGTCCATGCGAACCAGAAGAGCCCGGCCGGCAGCAACACCCCGCCGATCAGCGCCGGCTCTAGCCGCGACTCGGGCGTCTGCTTGGACGCGTCTCGCGCAATCTTGCTGCGGTACCGCTTCTCGAGGAAGATGTACAGAAACATGCGGACCAGCTGCCCAACCATGATGCCGAGGTACGACAGCCCCGAGATGCCTTGCGACCAGTGGCGTTGCCCCTGGAAGACAACCGGGAACGCCGTGAAGGTGAGGTACAACATCCCATAGACTGCCAGCGCGCAGGGGAGTCTCGGTTAGCCTTCAATTACGCTCGTTTATGCTTGATTCTAGGGCACTTCGGGGAACTAACCAACGGCTGAGTACAGTGAGAGGGCCAACACAATGGGCTCAAAAACCAAGATGATCCGAGACCTGGAAGCGGCCGTCTTGTGCGAATATCTGGCCTCCAGCTTGCTCTTGTACACCTTCCCTGTGAGCCTCGAGAGCTTCTTAGCATGCCGGATGAGCAGATACGGCGTGTACGTCTCGGGGACAAAGACGGAGCTGACGGCCCACATGACGCCCGTAAAGATGGCGGCCAGCACGCCGACCCATTTCCACCCGGCGTACTGGCCGAGGAAGCTGCCGCAGATGGGCCCTAGCGTCGGGCCGAGAGAAGGGGCCGAGGTGAAGACCATGATGGCCAGGCCGCGCTCCTTGGCCACGAAGATGTCGCCGATGACGAAGCGTCCCGGTTGGCCGCGTCGTTCTTGAAATACCCCTTGGTCACCTGCGGCCCCTTGACACAGATCTCGCCGGGGCTGCCCGGCTCGACGTCGCGGCTGCCGTCGTCGACGACGCGCGCCTCGCAGTTGCTGAGCAGCATGGACACGCTACCCGTCGCGTCGTCGGGGGCGTCGAGTGGGCGCATGGTCATAGACCCCGTCGTCTCGCTGATGCCCCACGTCTGGCTCAGATGCGCACGGCCGTGGCCCAGCTTCGCGCGCGCGGCGGCCTGTAGGTCCCTGCCCATGGGCGCGGCGCCCGACACGGCCGACTCGATGGCGTCGAGCTGGTCTGTGACCAGCGGGCTCTTGGCGATGAGCAGGAAGACGGGCGGCACGGAAAAGAAGGACGTGATCGGGTGCCGCTTGGCGTGCGCGAGGAACTCGGCAAAGTCGAAGCGCGCCATCCAGAACAGCGTGTCGCCCGCATAAAACGGGTTGACAAAGTAGCCCTGGACGCCGGCGATGTGCGCCGTCGGTAGGTGCGCTAGCGTGTTGTATACGAACTCGCACCCCCGCCGCCGGTACACGTCGCGGTGCACGTCGATGACTAGTGTTGCCTCGCTGACTATGTTGGCGTGCGATAGCCGGCACACCTTGGGCTTGCCCGTCGTGCCGCTCGAGAACAGGATGCAGATGATGCTGTTCTCGAGGGCCGAGCGGTCCGTGATGCGCTCCCACTCGAGGCTGTTGGCCGGGGACATGTGGGCGGCGCCTCCGTTCTCCTGCTCCGACAGCTCGAACGTCGGCCCCGACCCGAGCACGAGCACGCGCGACAGGGGGAGGCCGGCGAGTTTGGCCCCGGCGATGGCAACGGCCTTGGTGTCTTCGTTGCAGAACATCAGCTTGGCGTCGACCTGGGCCATGTTCTCGGCGAGCTCCCGGGCCGTGGACCCCGGGTTGGACGACGTGAAGACGCCCCCGGCCGCGATAGTCGAGTAGAAGAGCGTTGGCAGCAGCCAGTGCCCGGACGAAATGCAGAGCACCACATCATTGTCGGGGCCGCTCTGGCCAATGCCGTACCTGTGCCGCAGCGTGTAAGCGGTGCTTTTGACGAGCTGCCGCTGCTGGGCTTTGGTGATTGCTTTGCTCGGATTCACAGCATCGACGTGGATCTTTGTGTCTTCCTTTGCCGCACACAACTTCGAGCCTGAGGTCGGTGTAAGTCAGCTGGAATTTTCCCGAAGCTAGGCAGAGCTCTTGGTCTAGTTGGCATAATCAAGACAAACGCGCCTACGGAAAAGAAGTGTCAGCAGGTCTAACTGTGGGTACGTCCGGGGTTTCGCTGCTTTGTAGATTATGGCACCCGAGGCCGTTCTCTCAAACGTTGTGGCCATGACGGCCGGCGAGAGTCAAGGGATATGGATTCAGGGATGGAATAGGCGGAAGGACTCTGGGGCTAGAAGTCAACGGCAGAGGGGAGGAGGAGGGAGCTTAGCTGAATCTCACTGAGAGCCGCGGCACGGCCATTAAAGACCCTTTACTCTGTGCCAAAAGAGGCGAGTAGGGGGTTTTTGGGGAGGCACTATGCCGGTTTGGATGAGGTGTGGCGTTATTTTGGGCGAATAAAACACCTCCTCGCAATGCAGATCATGGAGAGAGGCCAACTAATTACTTGCGAACCTCGGCGAAACATAGACGGTTCAAGTGCGGGGATGCCCAGAAGGTGAAAGGGGAACGGACGGGGAGATCGGACTAAGCCAAATGGTTAGGTGCCAAGCCAGTCTAGACGGGAAGGTGAAAGCGAGTCCGAGGCTACTGACTGACATAGGTCTGTGTTGGGGTAATTCGACGACTTGTTTCGATATTGAAAGAAAAATGAAAGTGGTATGACAATGGCTGGGGTTGGAAAGTTGAGACATGATTCAAATGCCGGTTTGTTTGAGTCAACTTCTCTTTACTAAAGGCAGATTCCAACACATTGCTTGCAAGCCTTTTTACCATAATTAATGTGGTTTTATCGAATTAAAGTAAAGAAAAGAGTGGGACAACTGTCGGGCGACGGAGACTTGCCTGTGCCGCATCGAGCCGCCAGTTTTCGGGCACTGAATGATGTTGATGATGCAAGCAAGTAGTGAATCAAACGATGTGGGGTATGGGGTATTGTATATGGGGAATAGTAAGGAATAATGGGGGAGAATTGACAATTCATTAGGTATGTAAAGGTTGCAGGACTCGAGTAGTTAGTTATTGTAAGGTTAAAGACCACCGTTCGAAAAGTACAAGCTGTGCTATGGAAAAACAATAGAATGGGAGCTCACAAAAAGCTCGCACAACGGCTGGGATTTTAGTACATTAGAAACTAACATCATCCTTTTTCTTTTCGCAGCTTTGCGAAATTGCTCTAATAATTAATCCGCAGTGGTTTCGGTCGTGTACATAGACGAGTGAAATAATGAGAACCTGAGTATGAGGAGTTATAATGACGTCATTTGGAGGTCTGTGATTGAGCTGTGTTTGCTGTTGTGGTAAATCTCTCTCATTCATCAATTTTGACTGCAATGGATGATAATTGACTTTTGTCGAGAAGGAAAACAAAAAGCGGGTCTCAGACTCTGGGCGACGAGGTGCTGCCTCACGTGAGAAGTGGGTTCGTAGACTTATGTAATCGAGTTCCCTGTTGGACAAGCGCAGGCCAGGGGACCGCTGGCTGGCTGTGTGCTCCAATTCGAGAGAGCTCCTAAGTATCCGCAACTGACTGCGTACCGCACTGCACTGCGTATCGGGGCGTCGTCATCTCACAGCGCTTGCCAACAACCTCGCGCCATTTTCCCGTCAGCGCATCTCTTCGCATGACATACCTAGAATTGGGTTCTTGACACGCCGCCCAGACTCGATCCGACGAAGCTGCAGCAGCCGACCGAGAGCAACATGTCGAATCCAGCGCCGCCTGAGGACCAGGCCCGCCTCCTCGAGGATGCCCTGATCGCTGTGCGCCAGCAGACGGCCCTCATGCGCAAATGCCTCGACACACCGGGAAAGCTGATGGACGCTCTCAAGTGCTGGTGCGTTGAATTTTGTCGTCCTCTCTGCTTGCAGCCGAGGCATCGCCGCCCTCCTGCCTTGGGCATTTGTGTCGCCCGCCTCTTCCCTAGCCCCTTCGTGGCAGGGCGCTTTCTCAGCCGCGCGCCCATTTGACGCGAAACCAAGAAACTAACCGTGTCGCACTGCCGGCCCTGCAGCTCTACCCTCGTTTCTGAACTCCGAACCAGTAGCCTCGGGCCCAAGCAGTACTATGAGCTGTACATGTCTGTCTTCGATGCCTTGCGCTACCTGTCGGTCCACCTGCGCGAGAACCATCCCGTCAACCACCTCGCCGACCTGTACGAGCTTGTCCAGTATGCCGGCAACATCATTCCCCGCCTCTACCTCATGATGACGGTCGGCACCGCCTACATGTCGATCGAAGGCGCGCCTGTCAAGGAGTTGATGAAGGACATGATGGACATGAGCCGTGGCGTCCAACATCCCATCCGCGGTCTGTTTCTGCGATACTACCTCTCTGGGCAGGCTAGGGACTTCCTGCCCACCGGTGACTCAGACGGGCCCGAGGGAAACTTGCAGGACTCGATCAACTTCATCCTCACCAACTTTGTCGAAATGAACAAGTTGTGGGTGCGGCTACAGCACCAGGGCCACTCGAGGGAACGCGACCAGAGGACACAGGAGAGGAAAGAGCTCCAGCTCTTAGTTGGCAGCAATATTGTCCGTCTCAGTCAGCTGGTAGATCTCTCCGCTTACAAGAACGGCATCCTGGCGCCTCTCCTGGAGCAGGTCGTGCAGTGCAGAGACGTCTTGGCCCAGGAATACTTGCTCGAGGTCATAACCCAGGTCTTCCCAGACGAGTTCCATCTGCACACGCTCGACCAGTTTCTTGCCGCAGTATCCAGATTGAATCCTCACGTCAACGTCAAGGCCATCGTTATTGGCCTAATGGACCGCCTATCCGATTATGCCGAGCGCGAATCCCAGAACGAGACGGTTGAGGATAGGGGCAAGGCCGAGGAGGAGGCGCTTGCAGAGCTCTTGGAAAAGATCAAGCTTGGGAAATCGGCTGTTTCTGGTCAAGGGCAAAGTTCGGCGGCCCCTCGAGATTCCACTCAACCCCCTCGCAATGGTGACCTTTTCGACAGCGAGGTTACCCCAGGCGCAGAAAACTTGGGTGCCGATAACGAACCAACGCCTTCGATCGCGGATACAGAAGCAACTGCAGTCAATGGAGAAGAACCGGAGCCTCCCAAGAAGCACAGGGGAATTCCTGAGAATGTCCGGTTATACGAAATCTTCTTCGGGCAGGTCAAGAATTTGGTCCAGGCACAGCATCTTCCAATCCAAGATACGATCGCCCTTTGCGGCTCGCTCACGAATCTGGCATTAAACATCTACCCGGAGAGGCTCGACTACGTGGATCAAATTCTCGATTTTGCCAACACAAAGGTCAAAGACCACGCCAATAGCGCTGACCTGCATTCGCAGCCCGCACAGCAGAGCCTCCTAGCCCTTCTTCAGAGCCCACTAAAGAGATATGTGACGATATTTACAGCTTTATCTCTGCCGACCTATGTTCCTTTGTTCCAGTCTCAAACGTACCCCACGCGCAGGGCTGTTGCTGGCGAGGTCGCGAGGACTCTGCTCAGGAATCAGACCCTGATATCGACGCCAGCACAGCTCGAAAACGTTCTCGAAATATTGAAGGTTCTCATTAAAGAAGGGTCGCAGGCGCCTGCAGGGTACCCTGGAGTTGTGCAGCAACGTACTCGCGTGTTGGAGACGGATGAGACAATGGAGGAGCAAGGCTGGCTGGCACGCCTCGTCCATCTGCTGCACTCTGAGGATAATGACACACAGTTCCGCCTGCTTCAAATGACAGGGAAGGCGTATTCTGAAGGGAACGAAAGGATCAGGACCACTACACCGCCCCTCATCACAGCCGGTCTGAAGCTCGCTCGACGCTTCAAGGCTCGGGAGCACTACGCCGACAACTTCTCTTCGCAGTCTTCGGCACTTTTCAAGTTTCTCCATGCAACCGTATCAACGCTGTATTCCCGAGTTAATGGGGCTGGTGCAGCCGAACACGCTCTGCGCCTATTCTGCGCTTGTGGGCAAACTGCTGACATGACCGGGTTTGAGGAGGTCGCGTACGAGTTCTTTGCGCAAGCATTTACTGTGTACGAAGAGGCCGTGAGCGACTCCAAGGCCCAGTTCCAAGCCGTCTGTGTTATTGCTAGCGCTTTGCACCGTACGCGGAATTTTGGCAAGGAAAACTACGATACCCTGATTACAAAATGTGCGCAGCATGCCAGCAAACTGCTCCGCAAGCCCGACCAATGCCGGGCGGTTTACCTGGCAAGCCACCTGTGGTGGGCGACACCTGTTCCGAGTACCAAGGAAGGGGAAGAAGTCGAGGTGAGTTAGCAATCTTAAACTGCGATGGATCCCTCGTGTTAACCTCGCCACAATAGGTCTACCGCGATGGGAAGCGTGTATTGGAATGTCTGCAGCGCGCTCTACGTGTTGCAGACTCATGTATGGAAACCGCCACATCCATTGAGCTGTTTGTAGAGATCTTGGATAGATATGTGTATTACTTTGACCAGAAGAATGAGTCGGTAAGTCGAACTTGTCACTGCGAACTCAGCTTAAGGGAATGCTAACTCCTTGCCCTGATGCAACAGGTCACGACCAAGTACCTCAATGGCCTCATTGAACTCATCCACTCTAATTTGGCTGGCAACCAGCAAGACTCTGCTTCGGTTGAAGCGAGCAGAAAGCACTTCCTGCAAACACTCGAGATGATTAAGAGCAAAGAGTACGAAGGAGTCGTATTGACTGCGAAATAAAGAGCGCAAACGGATTGATCGTCTGTGAAGGCATGACCTAAACGACTTGGCTGTGTTCTAGTCGGTCACGGATCCTAGGGATAGACAGATAGCGCGGAGCTACATGCTCTGCTGCAGAGCGGAAGAGGGCGAGAGCGAGAGAGCGAGAGAGCGAAAGTAGAGACAGGGGAGGGCGTGTAAACCGCAGACAAGGGTCAACCAACTTGAATCACAGATCGCATACTCGCAGAGAGAAGAGGTAAACCCATCAAATCCATCCATCTTGCGCCCTATCATCACTACCACTGCCACACGCCACCACCGAGAGGAACTTTCCTTGCCTGTATATTTTTATTGTAAATATGTCCCCTCGCTAGCGTCCCCATGCCCCCCCAAATACGGGGGCGGCTTTGGCACGGTAGCGTATTAATTACCTCTATAAATGGAGTCTTGCATCCCGTGCTATTATTGTAGTTGACTTTGAAGATAGTAAAAGAGTTTCTTTAAGACATTTGGAAATCTTCTGTAAGAATGACTCCAATGATAACATAGATACATGGCTCGAGAGAAAACGAGAGCGTTAAGAAGAAGCCTGCCGTAGCGTGCGACAAAGATGGAGTTTTATTTTGTCAGTAATCCAAAATACAAGAATGGACAGAGGGAAATAAGAAAAAAATAAAAAATAAATAGATGTGGGGAATAAGGAAAACCACCTAGAGCGCCGGTGCGATGCAAAAAAAGAAAAAAAAAAAAAAAAAAAGAAATGATACAACAAAATATAGCCTGCTGTCAACCCCCAGCCAGCCACCGTCGCTTTCGAGAGACAAAAAGTAACTAGGTAAGAAAGACGTCAATCCAATACAGCCGGATCCATCCATCTACGAATGGTTTCGGCAAAGCTTCAATCGTCGTTCCCAAAGCCAAGAGACACTAATTCTTCATGGCCACGTCCTGTCGTCAAGGCTGGCGACGGATTTTGCGTTGTATGGTATAGGAACCCATGAGAGAAAGATGCAATGTTTCGGAAAAGGAGACAAATAAGGGATGTGGCGAGACTTTATTTGCAGTTTTTTTCTTTTCCGGAACGGGTGGAGGGGTTGCCGTCATATCACGAGGTTCGCCGCGGCCTTCATAATGACGCCCGCAACGCGATCGACGGTCTCTTTGGCAAGAGTCCAGTTGCCCGACACGATGGTGTCCCGGATTGATGGGAAGAAGGCCTCGTCGTACCCGGACCATAGCTGAGGCCCGAAGACGACGTGCTTGAACTGCGTGCGGTTGGGTACCTAATTCATGATAATTAGTCTTGATGAAATATCACCAGGGGCAAGTTCAAACTTACGCCTACAGAGTCCAGCAAATCTGTCTCGAACAACGCCATGCGGCTGTTGTATTCAGCTCGTTTCTTCCCCAGCCCGGCTGGCTCCCACCCGCTGGCCGCTACCACGTTGTTTTCCCAGCTGACCTCCCACTTCTCAAACTCGCGTACCGACATGGCGACATTGTTGGAAGCCGTCTTCAGAAGGCTAAAGTCAATTGGGTTGGTTCCACCATGGTTCGCGTCCTTGTCGTTTTTGTTCCACGACTCTAGGTCGTCAATCCAGTGAGACAGACTGTCGGCGTATGCGGGCATGTCAAACGGCAAGACTGGGCGGTCGGCGAGCTCCAAGATGAGGAGGCCAAGAATCTGCCCGAGTAACGTGTGGTACACAAAACCAGGATCGCCCACGGTGTCCATCCACTCAAAGTTGTCGTAGCTGGAGTGATACGGAAACCTCCCGCCGTCAAAAGACAGGTCCAGCGACGAAGTTCCAACAATATCTTGAAACGCGACGTAGTCAGAGCCGGCACCAAGGCCGTCGAGCTGACCCTGTCGTCGATCCCAGAGGTCGCGCAGCGTCGTGTTGTAGTTGGGATCTCCGACACGGTTGAGAACCTGGAGGAGAAGCTTGCGAAACACGGGCGAACCGGCGGCACGGAAAGTATCGCCAGTCACGGCAGTGTCGAGATTGATGTACGCCACCGCATCGTCGCGCAGAGATTGTTCATTCTGCTCAACGTATTCAGTCGAGCCAATCAAGTTGTATTCCTCGCCATCCCAGGACATGAACTCGATCGTGCGCAACGGCCGCCAACCGCGCGCCAACAGGTCACCAAAGATGCGGGCGATCTCAAGCATCACGGCCGTTCCAGAGTGAGGGTCTGCGGCGCCAAATGCCCAAGAATCACGGTGATTGCCAATGATGACTCTCTTCTCCCGCTGTTCGGCACCCTTGATACGGCCATAGACGTTCCAAATTGGCTGCTTGGTGTTTTCGTCTTGCTCATTTTTCAGGCGCACAATTGGCGACGTGTGATCACCGGTCCACCATTCGCCGACGTCAGGCACACCACCTTCCCAGCCCTGGGGTACACGCTGGCCGAATCCTTTGAGATGTTTCAGGAGAACAACGGCGTCACGCCACGCCAGAGGAAGACTGGGAATCTTGACCAAGCCCTGTGTCTGGTCGACCCTCATGCGCGGCTCTTCTTCTTTGCTTGCCCAGCCTGGAGTCAAGACATCGCCAACAACCCAGCTCATTAAGCTGACAGCCCCTCTTTGCACGCCATCGGATGGCATGTACCGGCCCTTGGGCGCGACCTCACCCTTCAAGAAGCCGTCGTCTGCAGGATCGCTGTAGATGAGACAGCCAGCGAACCCGGCCAGTTCGGCAGCCTTGACCTTCAATGCCCGGTCGCCCTGCGTGCCGTAGTATCTGACCAAGGCAATGGCACCGCTCGTATCGATGCCGCTGTCCTGTAGTGCCTTGAAATCCTCTCGCGATCCGTAGTTCGCGTATATCAACGGTCCCTTGACATCGCCGGCTTTCGAATGGCCGTGGAAAGCAAAGGTTTGTCGGCCAGCCGTCTCCCCACCTACTTCCGCCTCTTCCAGAGTGGCCGACCAGACCGGTTTGTCGTCGGGGCCCATGATTTGGACCGCTCTTCCGTCGGCCGTGGGGTAGTTCATATAGACATGGTAAACGTCCGTAGTCACGTCCTCCAGTCCATACCGCTGGAATAGCTTTTCGGTGTACTCGGCCAACGCATAGTCGCCTTCTGTCCCTGCAATGTGCGCGAAGCTCGTGAAATGTTTTAGGTTTTCCCGTATCTTCACCGGATCCACGCTGCCCTGCACGTGGCTCCGCACGGCCTCGGGGTCGAACATCCGGCTGTTCATGCGGCCTGTCATGTTGGTGAGAATGTCGCTCATGAAGAGGAGGTACAAGAAGCCCAACACCAGTAATATGGCCAGTGCCCGGCCAATGAGCAAGAAGAGCGCTGTGCTGCCGAAAGCCGGGAAAGCAAACCGCCGCCGTGGGGTCTCCTCGTTGCCCTCCGTTGTGCCGCCGCTCTGATTTTCGCCGAGCCTGATGCTTAGGCGCGGTAACCTCCACCTCCAGCGCCATTGCGGCAGAGAGAGGGAAAACCCAATCCGCTTGCCCCAGGACGAGCGATTCCGTGAGCGCTCGTCTGAGTCGTCCACCTCGAGTTCCTGCATCTCTCGACGGACGTGATCGGCTTCGGCGTCGGTGTCGGTATCGGATCCAAACAGGCTGTCCTCGTCCTCGCTTTCGACGGTCGGGGGCCGATAGCCCTGGGGTCGTCGGCCGCGGCCATTGTGTGTCGAAGTAGAAAACGGAAAGGCTTGTCGAGAGCTGAGGAGCGACTCGGCTTCTATGTCGGCAGAGCTCGGGTGGTCGTCGCGGCGTTGCCAATCGCCATCCGAGGCCGACCGGCTCCCCCCGGCGATGGCCTCGTCGTACGAGGGTATCGGGGGCACGGCATCGTATCTCTGGTCCCTATCCGGACCCATGACTGCCTGCTGCCGTCGATGCGTATATGGAGAAGGCCAAATGCGTTGCGTACATTCGAAGCGCGGCGTGGATACCGAGCGCAAAGGAGGCGGCGAACCGAGGTGGTGGAATCAGGGACGTCGGAGCTAAAAGGCCAGTCTTCTTCGTTGGAGGAATTTTGCAAAGGAGCGTAGTGAAGAGCCGATGTCCCGGTATTTAGGAAACGACGGAATGAAGAAAAGGTGCAATCATCAGTTCGGCTGGCCTGCGAACCGACATGAATGGGTTTGGCGGATTGTGCTGTTCTCGCAGTTAATGTTTGACGTTGAAATGGCTTCCCCAAGCACGACGCTGGGCGGATGGATGGATACGCTACGCTGGCCGTCAGACCTGCGGCAGGACAGGGGATGCTTGGCGGCACGACCCCAACGACGTCTTTGATGGGCCCACCCGATGCGGCCAGCCCTTACTTGGTCATATGTGCTTAGTCATTAAGTCCACTGTCCGTCAAGTGCCTTCATCCAGCCCTGTGCACCATTTCAGCCGCAGTGCAATGTGTCGAGCGTGTGGCCAGCCCTCTGAGCAGTGAACATTTCGCGGCTGTACGGATACATACATACGAATACAGGGCAGTGGATTTTTGACATAGCCAGCAACCAACGAGGCACAGAATTTAGTTTTTTTTAGTTTTTTTTTTTTCTATCATTATAGGCTGCTCGACAGTGGTTCAGCGGTACCTATGTGATCCCACATGGCACGGTGCACAGCCAATGTAGTTCCACAAGCGCCATCAATCGAGCCACCCCACATTTGCACTCAAGCGACTGTCCTGCAAAGTACAGTACAGACTGATACCTGGTCCAGCAAGCTCCCAAAAGTCAATCCCATTGCCATTGAAACCTTGAACGGCAAGTCTGGCAAGTCTGGATCCGTCCCGTGCGTGAATGGGACGGGCCTTGCCGCTGGCTAGCCCAGCGGCCTGGAGCAAGCTTGGAGGCTTGCTTGCCATCGCCAACCACCCAACTTCATGAGATGGACATTTCGAGCCCTCTGATGCAATTGAACGAAGGGCTTCTCCGAGCGAAACCATTGCGGATTCCCGCATTTTATAAATGATGCGCTATTCGACCTGGGGCCAGAACGCCGCCTCGGCCGCAAGCAGCGGCTTCCACTTCCCCTCGACGCGGGCGAGGATCTCCTCCTTCCTCGCGCTTCTTTCCGACTCGTCCGCCACGCCCTCCAGAACCTGCGACACGGCCGAGTCGACAAGGCCTCCCAAGCGGCCGACAAACTGGGAGAACGCGAGGCTGCTCCAGTTGGGGATGAACTCCCGCCGCAGCGCCCCTCCGTCAGCGTCCTCGGACAGGCTCATCGCCAGGGGCTCTTTCGACTTGGCCCAGGACCACGCGTCCAGATAGCAGCGCTCGGTCCCCCAGAAGGTGACAGCGCCCTCGAGGAACGGGAGGAGGGTTGGGGTAGCTCTCGCTCCCGCCAGCGTATTGACCGTGCTTGTCTTCTTTCCGGCAGCACCCGGGAGCTGGATGGCGTCAAAAATGTCCTCGATCATGGTGAGCCCGACAAGCTTGGCGTTGCTGTTGCCGCTGGCACCGTCTGCAAACGCGCTGCCGTCTATGCTCCTCTTCCCAAAATCGGCACCGCGGCTCCCAGGGGCAGGAATCTGCGGCTGATCCTGCTCCCACTGGACACCAAGCTCGTAGCGTTCGGCAACGTCGATGAACAGGCGCTCCTCCTTGCGCACGGCGGCGAGGGCCTCGATTAGCCAATCGGCCAGTTGGGTTTCTGTCGCCTCGCCCCCGGGCGTCCCGGGTGGCGGAGGAGTCTGGGGCAAGTCGATTGACGCTAGCATCTTTCCGGCAGCCTTGATGTAGGCGTGGATGTAGAGCCGGTCATTGGCGAGCCACCGGCCAAGGATAGACTTGGGTAGTCGGCCCTCGGCTGCGGCTAGGAGGAATGGATGCTGTGTGGCTCTCGCATGCTCGTCCGCATATGTTGAGAGCAAGTGCTCTGTTAGCGACCATTTTATGGATCCCATATTTTATTCTCAGTTTCGCCGAGGACTTTGGTGATGCTTGATGGTAGACTGGACTGTCGGTTGTTGTTAATATTTGACTTCGACTCGTGGTTTGGTTGGGGTTTGGGGTAACACCCGCGCCCAATGTCGTCATCAGGGTGTGATCGTAGTAAAGGGAAAGGTAAGACAGCGGCTGGGAGAAGTTATCGGAAGCTGGTCAACGACGAGAAAAGGAGGTTTATATTTTGCTTTTCCTTGTTACAGTAGAATGCAACCCCACATAGTAACGGTTTCAATAGCTAACCGGACAATGCGCCACGGGTTTAATTATGAATCCACGCGGCTTTCCCGTTTTCTCGTTTTCTCGTTTTCTTGTCAGCCCTGCCTACTCACATCCAGTGAACCAACACTTCTAGCCGCGACAATGCAGTGCGCAGAATTGGATTCTATAATAAATGTCATCACTAGGATGTAAAGCCTATTTTTTGCTATTAGTAGCATCTAGAACGTGAATTATTTATATCAAACAAGATACTAGACAGCATTTGCTAGTCCGTCCATTATTAAAGGAAAAGCCTGATAAACGTGCTTTCAAGGCAAAGATCCTAACTATCCCTCCATTTGGTAACATTCACGAGCAACACTGCACTACTCATGTGTACACATGGTTCTTGGTACTAAAAACTGCATAGTAGTTACTGCCAGTCAACCCTCCCATAATCCGTCCACACTTACAAGTCTAACATTGCTTTCGGGATTTGGCTCCCCCGAACACAGCTAACCGAGCGTCGAGCTCGAAAAAAAGGCGCAAAGCCAGGAGCTCCCCCGCGAGCGCCGAGCTCCAGGCAGCCCCCCCCGGCAAGTCGCGTCGACCCGGATGTCGGCACCACAGTCGACCACTTCATCGCCTCTGGACAATGAAGTATCTCTTGTTAATGTTAGTGGTGCATCTTCGACATGTCGGTTAGAATTGCCTCAATAGTCACCCCTGACGACGTTTCTTGGCTAAAATCTGTACTAGGCTTAGAAGCTGAGCAGGAGCTGAGGAGCACTGAGCATTACCTTTAGCCGAGATGAGCCCAGGGATGCCTTCGCTATACTTACCGTATCTAAACTAATGCTAGTTTTGGGTTACTAACCTATTACTTCCGTTTTTTTCTCACCGCCGTAATTAGATACCGTTATTAAATTAATTGGAACTACTATTTATTGCTTAAGCTAAGAAATATATGTATTTATATTCTTTTTTGTACTCTACTATGAGAACAATCCACTGCCGTGTACTCCCCTATCGCGCTCAAGAGATATAAACCGAGCCCTGAAGCTTAGAAATGAGATCCTCGAGATGGTTGCGATACGCCGAAGCGCCAGTGATGGTAGCTTGGCACGCCATCGCATCGGAGGAGGAAATTGTTGGTAATTAGCAGCCAAGAAATGAATGGATTGAGCTTGTTATGAGAGATTGCATCAATGGGTGATTTTTAGCTGGCCGCGGACCTGAGCAAAGAAAAGTCCTCTGCGTATGGATTGTACATACAGCCTCCCCTAAGCCATTGGGGATGCGTCACAAAAGAAGAACCCCAGCACCCATCTCTCTATGGGCACCACTACTTTGTCGACGACCAAGGCAATCTTTCGGCATACGAGTACATGGAAGCGCCAGGGCCAGATCTCTCGGGACAGCAAGCCTTCGTACAAGAATTCTGCCAGCGCATCCAGGAGCGTGGCCTGCAGCGCAAACTGGGGCTGTTGTTGAGACATTCAGGAGAGCGCGGATCGACATTCGAACTCGAGTTCTTGGCGAAGCGAACTTGCATCGACGTACCCCACGACGTCCCACTGCCGTAATTGCAGTGAGGATAGCTTCAATACTACGACCGAGTTGAAGTGAGACTGGACGGTGGATGACGAGGTATTCCAGCTTGTCGGAAACCCCGGGGCGATCAGACAGCGAGACTCCAAGTCTTGCTATCATCATGTGCACCATAAACACACCGATTCCCTGCATGATGACGATGGCTTGTCTGATGGTGCTACCATTTCCGATTAAGATTTGTCCGATAGTGAGGCTGTGGATGGTCTCTACGTCCCAGATGGACCGCCGCGCGAGATCGAGCTCGCTGGGATTAAGCTGGATCAAGCCAGTGGATTGTACCAGACTGTATCGTACATGACCGACAATGCCTAGAGACGGCCGTTACCTTTACCTCGGCTGGGTGGGATCTCTTTCATCAACAGTCCTGAATCGCCCCAAGCCCAATCCCAAGCACCAAATACGCCCCACACCCACCTCCGTTTCCCCAAGCGGGTGTAGCCAGAATTTCATATATGCGTCGCTGTATCCTGTGCGCGTCTCCGAAAGACACAGGATGTGCCAACCGTTCCACAGCATCCGTGCCCAGAAGAACCGCAACCAAAGGAAAGCCGAGTGGGTTATAATTCGACCCAACCCCCTTTTTCCATCCACATCTCCGTCAAAGGGGGTAGCCCGGGCAGCTTCCTCGCCGCCCGGCGGATCCCAGATCAGAGATTTATTAGCTGTATAGGTAAGTACGTCGGTATCTATATAGAAGGTTGGGCTTGCCCGGCTAATTGCCAGTGAAGGAGTGGAAGCTCCGTTTTCTACTTTACCAACTAAAACAGCGCAAAGGCGAGTCACCGACAGGAAACGGCCGTCAGTGAGGCACATGATCTGGGGGACTTACCTAATTAGGGTGCACTGATTTCGGAGCAGTCAACAAGATATGGAGAAAAAATAACAAGTGGCGTCTACAGGCTGGGAAAAGAAATGAATGAAGCGTCCCCCCCTATATTATATTTCGTCTTCTCAGGAAGGGACTCCCACAGTTAGATCTGTCACGAAAGCGAAATGGCGTCTACCCATCACTACGCAAACAATAAAATGACCACAGTTAGGACTCTCTAGAATAAACATGGTCGCATTTATGCCATGAATCAATGCCGAGAAGACTCCAGCCGCCAGTTGGGGTCTGGTTATGTATGATATTAATGAATTTTAACGTGGGTTTCTCCACTCTCGCTCGCGCGATGAAAAGGGTATTGTTGGAACAACGCGCATTCCAGCCACATAGAGGTGGCTGTAGCAGCGCATTCATCAGCCAGACAGGCGGCGGTGGAGGCGTAGGGGTCCCAGATTCCATATAAGTGGCCTACGGCCACCTCTTTCTTCTAGACAGACATAGACAACAATGACCATCACTTGAACCACCAGCTTTCGGCGTGCAGCACGCCCTGTTGTTTCCAGTACCGGTACCTAGTGATTCCAGCAGGTATAGTACAATACTATACAATACTGAAACAAACAAAATAATCCGACATTAATCTACCCCGAAGGGCTCAACACCACCTCTTCCAGATCTGATAAATGTTTCGTAACACAGTAGCCTCTGCGGGTTCTGCGATGGGTGTGCGAGCAACTGGAAATAGGTGTTCGAACAGCTTGTGAAACTGGGTGTCCAAGCAAGCTGTTAAACAAGGTGTTCGAGCGGCCTGTAAAAAGGGGTGTTCAAGCAGCCTGCAAAAGCAGCCGGCGAAATAAGCAGCGTGTGCGAGCGACCGGCGAAATTACGTGTTCGAGCAGCCTGCAAAAACGAGTTTTCGAGCAGCCTGCGAAACTAGGTGTGCAGCAACCTGCGAAATGGTGTGCGAGCGATCTGACAAATGGGTGTTCGAGCAGCCTGCAGAAACGAGTGTCCAAGCAGGCAGCGTGCAAATCGAGTGTCCAGGCAGGCAGCGTGCGAATCGAGTTTCCAGGCAACGTGCAAATCGAGTGTCCAGGCAGCGTGAGAATCGGGTGTCCAGGCAGCGTGCAAAACTGGGTGTGCAGCAGCCTGTGAAATGGGTGTGCGAGCAGCTTGCGAAATTGGCGTCCAAGCGAGCTGTTAAACAAGCAGTAGACTCTGGCTGGAATTGCACACCCCATGTCTGTAGGTAATTGCTTGACCGTGTGAAATCCAACGAAGCTATTGTGAAATGCAAAGAAACCGGCGCGAAATACAATGAAGCCATCGTAGAAAGCGAGGGACATCTTGTGTTTGTGTGCTAGCACAGGAGGCTAATTTGCGCGATCGGGTGGCTGATTCGAAACTCGAGCTGCGTGGCCGATTCAAGACTCGAGCGAGGCGACTGGTAGAAACGAATCCTCGTGTCGTGGGATAGAAAGTCGGGGCCCATCACAAATGCCAAGTCGGGTAGTGCTGGACAGCCTCCGGTGCGTTCAATTTTTGTAGATAGGCCTGAGGTTTTCTTGTCGACGCCTTGATCGAAATCCAGAAACCGTCTCATATCTCAACTGAGGAGCCAGACTGGCCATGTCCGAGCGTGGAAGCTGTGCAGCAGGCTTTGATCAGGTTGGAGGATTCATTGGTGAAGACGTAGGGCGCGTGTCAGGTTTCCGATATTCTCTGCCCCGCCGTCTTAAAGACCAGAAAGATTCGTATATGGGCGCCTAGGTTTATTGAGTGGTGGGATGGCGAGAATCCCCGACGCGTGCAGGCCTTGCTTGCAGCCTTTGAGACTTGCTATCTTTGTGAGCAGGCGTGTGTATTTTATTGGATTGGTGAAGTCCCAAATCCGTACTAGATTCTAGACGAGGCCTGCCTTGCAATCTCCAAGCCTTGAAAGTTTTGTCGATAGGGAGATGTGCTTGTTGGATGAGGTATTGGTGAAAATGTCGAACGCATGTCAGGCTCCGGTCAAGTCTCGCTTGCTGTCTTCGAGGCCCAGAACCTTTGTCGATGGGGGTCAAGGTTTATTGAGTGGCGCACTGGTGAGATTGCCGAGTATGTGTGAGGCTGTGACCGGGTCTGCCATGTCGTCTCCGAAGCTTGAAAGCTGTGTCGATGGCGGAAAATCTCTCGGTTGGGATGGCAAAATTGCTTGAGAGACGCTGTAGATTCTGTCTTGTCGAGGACTCGTCCGATTTTGAGAGCAGTTGGACATGGACAATGCGCGGTGACATGGGATGCATTCCCGAAGAAATCTGGATTGCAAGAGCAATTTGGGAAGATGGCTGGATGCTGTACTTTTTTGCCCATGAATGCACGAGTACGGCGGCCAAAGCTGAGAGAGAGAGCGCGTTGGACGTGAATCCGACGCAAAGCAGTCCTGCCAAGTGATCTGGCAAGCTGTCTCTCGAGTGTTAAAATGTGCCTGGCAACACATGAGGTGTATGGGGCGGGAGGGAGCACTGATTTGGCGATTGAATTCACGAGCCACTGGGGATGGTAGCGGTCGCGCCAAAACCTGCAGGCACGCTTGCACCCGCAGGCTGCGCACGCGGCGTGCAACGATATTTCGTCGCGGGAATTCAATAGGGGGGGAAAAGGAAAGGGTATCGTAGGAATGTTCATAAGGGGGCTTGGGATCAGTGTTGAGATATGTGCAGACTTACGATGCGGCGCCGACGAGGGCGCGGAGGAGAGCTCCTTTGTTGTTAAGGGGAGAGAAAAAGAAAGCGAAAAGCGAGCTACAAAATTTTGGGTTATTTATGCCCAGCCTGTTGACCTCCTCTGTGTTCAGACTTCACTTTGGCTCAGAATCAACCTGAAAGATCGGATGACATGCCCCGCCCCCTCAGAAACCTACATACTCAAATTCAGGCTGTCCGGACAGTTTCATCATTCGATCCTCTGCCTCTCTCCTTTTACCGTATACCTGCTCCAAGGCTTGCGGTGCTGTGTATTACAACGGGAGAATAGGCTGGGAAAAGCCACTACTTGCTACTGAATGCTTGGAGAGTAGCATCTCAAGCGCGTTGTGCTTTCTAAGCATATTTTTTTTGGTCCTTGCTGTTGCTCGTTCCTTTCAATCGGTATCTTTCTCTTCCACTGTGACGTTCGCGAGCTAGAAAGTGACCTAGTAGCGTGTCAGGGTTCGTTTATTGAGTACGAACAATGTAAGCTAGGTATCTAGCGTGACCTTCCTGCCACTGTGGATTGCGCAAGGAAAATATATCGCGAGTTCACAATTTAATCTAACCGGCAGTGCCACATGACGCTTGCTGAGGCCGCCGGCACCCCGTCGTCGTTTTCAACGGCGCCAGCGGTGTTGTATCCTTAATGGTGTAAGGCGGAGAAGGGTGATGCTCTCTGCGAATATCTAAATCGGAGCGTTTGCTATAAAATACGAACATATGCCCTCGACTTGAACTAATCTACCTGTTGGATTCACCAGGGTACCGGTACTGGACTCAACAGGGCGTGGCTGCACGCCGAAAACTGGTGGTTCAAGTGATGGATTGTAGATGTCTGTTCTTCTCTCTAGCTTTCTGGCAGTGCCAGAAAGCCCGTTCTTATACTACTATTGTGGTGGCGAAGTTGGTGGCGAAGTCTCTATCTAGAACCTTCGAGGCCCTTCTGCTTGACAAATTCCAACACTACCTTCATGGAAAGTAGCTGAGGTTTTATGGCCATCTGACTAATTTGCCGCAGGCTTTCACTCCGCGTGTCTCCGTGAACGAGTAGCTGCTGTAGTTATGAATGTATGCACACTATGCTAAAGAATAGTTCGAGTAACCGATAGAGATATCTGTCCTAGGTGGTGAATGCATATTTGTGTCCGATCCCAACCTTGAATCTGTTGTGGAGCCTGGCGTTGCCATGGGTGATTGCGGTGCGCGTTCAACTTCGAATCCTGGTATGTTGCTTCAAGAAATGCCGGAGTGTACCGCTATGAAGCTATGGACAGTATTTGACGGAAAGACTTGCGAAAGGGCATTAAAGAGCTACGAGCTGTTCGTTCTAGGTCAAAGGGATCGAGGTGTCGTTCTATCGCTTGCCGTCATGTGCTGCCCACGTGACCTTACCCCACTCCATTCATCAACGACATGCAAAGCATTCTAGCGGACGAGGGAGGCATGGTCAAGCAATAGAATTGTAAAGCACATAGCAAAGCAGACATATAACCTGAGAAGATACAAAGACCAGTAAGTACGTCGTAGCTCCACGACTCAAATGAAGAGAATCTTGCCGATGTCACCTGTATTCTACGATGGTCAAGTGCCGGTATTGTGCTGGTGGAGATTCATGTCATCTTTTTGGGATTAACACCGGTCACTTTTCTTGATATTAGATTAAGAGAAACTCTTGGAGTGCCCCAAGGATTTTGTGAGTTAATGAAGATTGTTACACCAAAGCCAAATGTCCATTTTAATTGAGGGGGGAAAAGTTCCGAATGTCCACCACGATCTATAACGAACGAGAGCAATATTATTTATTATCTGTTCGCTTCGAAGGGGTACGTAGTGAGAACGAAGCTTTCAAGCTTCCAAGGTCGTCAAAGAACCAGCCGGCTATAATTACCAGGGCCACTGTTCAATCGGGTGTAATTAGGAAGTAAACGGTCGCTGGCGTGACGGTTCGTTATAAAAGCATTATCTATAGAAAGATGACACGCTATTCAAGTAAAATAAAGGTTGTGCTCTTGAGTAAGGTGGCCTAGAAAAATGCATAGGTATTAGGTGGTGTCGCAACGAGGGAGGTTTAGAGATGGCGGCCGTGGTGAGAAATTTATGTTGGAATAGAAACGCGAATGGGGGCAGGAATGCGCGTTTGCACCGCGACCGCCTAGTTACCTAAGTGAACAACTTCAAGAAGTGCCGCCGGGAAGCGGTGGTGGGTTCACCATCTCTGAGTTCGCCCGCAAGTTGCAACTGGCAGGTTGTGGGCAGTTGGCAGGCAGGCAGCCGGGCGCCGGCGCAGGGCAAGGAATGTACTAGACCATGTGTATTAGTTTTAACAGGCACCTAAACAACAAATAAGTATAGCTGATTGGGATGTTGGTGAAGGTCACAGCGCACCTCCCACGAAGGCTGCGGGTTCGATTCCCAGCAGCAGACCGGTTCTCTGCGGCTTGTCGACAGTACTATTCCGGAACGGGGTTCGCCACCAGCTTTGAATATACACACCAAGGACCACCGGTTGACCGTTCTGGGGGATTCTATTCTTTCTTTTTTACATTTTTTTCCTTTTGACACACAACATATGCGCGCGCATCTTGCTTGTTCTTCTTTTGCCGCAAAGTCAAACGAAATTATTAATTAACCACAACAAAAATAACCTAGCTGACCGGCGTTTTTGCAGCAAATTCAGCTACGAGGTCCTTGTAATCCTCTGGCCCATATGGCTCTGTCGCCTCGGCCAGCCAGCCAGCCTTGCGATAGATGGGTAACCCGAGATCGCGTAGGAGGAGGTCGACATAGGGCAGCGCGTCGAACACAAAGTCGGGAAACTGAGCGCCGTGGCCAGCAGGATACCGCCACTTGCCGAAGCGCGCGTGCAGCACCGTCTCGTAGCGCAGCTCGTCGATCGTCTTTACCATGTTCCCAGTGTCCTCGCTCCCCGGAGTAGCGGCGGAATTTCCAACAACCGGCGGCACCACTTGCGCTGACAGCTGGTCGTTGAAATACGCGCTGATCCACACCGACTGCGCGTGCGCAATGACTGGCGTGTTGAAGTTCATCAAGACGCCCGCGAAGGCAACGTCCCGGGCTTGCAGAAAGCGCGCCGACGGTGGAACAATGAAGTGGTACAGCGTGTAGGGCGTGAGTGGGGTGGACGGGTTGATCTTGTCCGTGGTCGACAGGCCGTCGGTGGCGAGCAGCGGCTTCATATTTTTGTTCTGCACGGGCTGGCTCTTGAGCCGAGGGAAGCGGGCGAGGATTTCTCGGTCGGCCCTGTCGACTGCCTCCGCCTTGAGCAGGGGCTCCGTCGCGTCGTCGCCGGGCACGTGCGGGAGGCCAAGCTCCCTGTCGACGCCCTCGGGCAGAAACTTGATGAGCGGCACGTGCTTCCAGCCCGTGACACAGCACATGGCGTCCGTCTCGACCTGCGACCCCCCCGACAGGTGCACCGTCCTCGGCGACAGGCGCACGACGTCGGCGATGTGGACGCGGATTGTGCCGTCCCTGACCAGATCGAAGATGTTGGTCGGGTAGTTGAGGATGGAGAACGATGACGCCGTGAACATGGCTTCGCTCCACGGCTTGAGCTTCTTCGTCTCGGGGTGCGCGTCGTACTTGTTCAGGGTGATGACGTCACCGCCTAGGACGGACCAGAAGGCGTTGGTGATGGCCCTGCCGATGGCCGTCCCGTGGTAAAACCCCCGTGTTTTCGTATAGCCGTCGGCATCGCCCCAGACACATGGGCTGAACCAAGTGAGCATACGCGTATCTTGAAGAAATATTGTCAGTGGAACACGCAGAAGAGAATTTCGGTAAGCACCCCTCTGAGAAAAACAATAGCCTAGACTTACGAACAAGCTTCTCCAGCCACTTTTTAAGGGGCGTGACATATGGCGGGGCCAGCCAGGCAGGGCCGTGGCCGCTTTCTGCATCCGGTAATTGTCAGCCATAATAATTCTGCAAGCACCGTAGACCTGCATCAAATTCCCACCTCGGATAACCCAGTCAACCTTGACCCCCTTGGAGGCGTATGCAAATGCGGCGTCCCAAGCCGACTTTGTCCCACCAAACACGACTACAGACTTGGCCGAGTCCAGCGTGTCGGCATGCTTCAGAAAATCCCTGCCATGGAATAGAGGCACCCCGAACTTCCCCTGGCCCTCAAAGTCTGGCAAAAACGGCTCTGAAGTCAGGCCAGCAGCCAGGATGAGCTTCCGCGCCAAGAGCTTGGTCTCGCCCTGGCCGGTCTGAACCGTCAGAGTCCAGCCGCCGTCGGCGTCGTCGTCCCGATGCTCTGCTGAGAGGACCTTGGAGCAGTAGCGGATTCTGCCCAGAATATCAAACTTCTCGGCGTAACTTGAGAGATAGGCATGGACCACGGCGCCGGGGATGTGCTCTCCGGGCTTCACGCCAAAGGTCGCCGTGTCCATGGGGAAATCCGGGTACTCGTAGGTGCCCAGCATGTTGTTCGTCTTGAGCGACGGGTACAGCCGGTCCTTGGCCCAGACGCCGCCGAGGCTGGATCCGGCTTCGAGAATCGCGAGGGTCTTGTCCGGGTTGAGTTGGCGATAGTTCTTTGCGGCGGCGAGGCCGAACATGCCCGCGCCGACGACGACGAGATCAAGAGACTCCATGACAGCAAGACAGAAAAGTATGGGGTATGGCGATTGGCTAGTGGAGGTGTAGTTGAGTTGGGAGAACTTTCGTGAGACCCTTTCCAAGTCCCACTTGTACGACGTGTTTGCTTTCCAAGTCCCACTTTTACGACGTGTTTGCTTCTGGGCCGCGATCTGGTTATCGGATTGACTCGTAGACCTGAAGCCGAGAATACGCGGACCGAGAAAAACTGGAACAAAAAGGTCTACGTCTACAGGAGGAGGTTGGCGGCGTGCAAATCTCTGCCGCGGGCCGGGGCCCTGGCAGCCCAGGCACGCCGACCAATTCGCATCCACGAAGCTGTGGGGGCCGCCCGCATCTTGATCCGCAGACGGCGCTCCCAAGCCCGCAGCAGAGTTCCGTCGCTGGCGGATCCTGATCCGGCAAAAGGCGACCCTTCTGTGCCAATCGCTTGCATTTGCCTTAACTCTCTACGCATGTCACTACAAATATTGCCATACTGAGTTTGTGTAACTGAAGACATGGTAAATGCTCTGGAACCTTTTTTTCCCCTTTGACTTCCATCATCACTAAGATGGTCTAACTCACCCTTATGTTCGCCATGAGGACAAGCAGGAATTTTCATCGTCCCCCCACTCTTTCTTCAGGGGCTCGGGGAGAGTTCACTGCTTTTGTTCGCGTTAGGGAACATTTTAGTCACAAAAGGTTGCCCAAGCCGAAAGTGTCGGGTGCTGATCTTATCAGGAAGTGTCTTGCAAAGCGGCGCTAGCTAGTGAGGGTGAGACAGAGAGCTGCCGCCCACGCGAGCCATCCCACAGGGACTGACCCCATGTCCGCGCTAGGTTATGATGCATATCGCACAGTACTGTGTACACCAATGGACTTGCATGTCAATCACATCAACCAAAAACCATGAGGCAGGCCTTTCTCAAACTCTCAAACTCGTTCACGTTCTCTCGAGAAGGGAGTATGTTGAAGGATGCTCCGTCGTTTTGTACAATACAATGTTACACAAACACTGGCGCCTTGGTCCCTGCGCGTCGCGTAAACGCGCGCCGAATTCGCCGTCTTTGAGGGACGAAAAGACATCGGCTTTCGCCAAGGAAATGCTACCGATAATTACGAAATAATCGCTCAGGGCTAGTGGCGAGTTCGCTAATCTTTACTGCACCAAACAGCAAAAAGCAAACATGCAGGGCAGCGCTGCCAATATTACTAGCGTTCAATGGTCTGTTTCGTCTCGGCCTCATCACTTCAACTACCACAGTAGCTTATCATTCACCCTCCCCACCCTCCAAAATCCCAAAGAGACTGATGTCCATTTCTGAGGGGGGGGGTCAGGCTGCCTAGGTGGGAGCTTCTGCCGCGCCAGCTTGCTGCATTTTTGCGGGGGGGTTGGACATTCCCAGAAAGCTACCCCTGCGACGCTGGTCCCTCGCTTATCGATAAGCAAGGGAAATGAGTTTGCCCGTGCCGGTAGGTCATCGCTTCGACGTGCATCGGCTTCACTGACTAGCTCACCAGCCCGGGTGAGCTAGAAGGGCGTTTGAAACTGGCCATCACACATCGCGGGAGGGTGGAGCCGACAACAATAAAGGAAAGTGGAAGTAGTAGGCTATTGTTCTTTTCTTTTGTCTTTGTGTGTGAGATCTGACAGATAACAACGGGCACTACCTCAACGGTCGAGCGAATTACATTGCTCAACGGTCATTACCTTTTGTTGGCCGCAGCGTGCCAGAACGTGCAGATGCGCCATCCAAAAATGCCATTTACAGGGTTGCAGCCACCCCCCCCCCCCGGAAGCCCACCACACCACACCACACCACGTCACAACAAACTTGTGCTGTTTTCTGGGCGCACTTACGGAATATAGCATGCAGCACGCATGTTCTGGGCTGCGTTCGTTCTGTTGCTTGATTCACTTTCTTCGCGGACGGCACCCCCAAGGTGAGCTTGCAAGCAGGTTTTGCCAGCAAAGTCCTAATTGTTCGTGCTTCTGGGGCTTTCGAATTCTCTGGAAGTGTTCCAACGAGAGAGCCAATGATATCTAATATACCACAAAGTAGTCTAGTGGTATGGAAATTGCCTGTCTCTGTCCAAGCCGAGCCGTTGCCGAGCTATCCAGGATGGTCCAGTAAGGGACGGTTGGCCCGTCCCGCCATCGCGGGTGGGCTCCCCACGCTTTCCTTTGCTGGGAGCTGGCTGGGTGGCTTATCCTTGTCGCCCCTTTCAGCTGGAAAAACGGGTGCGCGCCCCTTGTTGTCAAACGCTGTTGTTCCTTTTGATCTAGTGGCGATCGTGTGGGACGGTGCCGGGGGCTTGCTTGGGGATCTCTCAAGTTTTGTGATTTGTTGTCGGAACGTCCTGGGTTTGCCATCACACTCTTGTATTTTCTGCCCTCTTTTCTGTTTCGGCCTGATCTTTCACTCTTTTTCGATACATAGGCGTCTTGTTCTCCTCGCACTGGTGTCCTTCGGACTACAGCCCTAGGCCAACCCCCCCCTAATCAGTTGGAGCTTCTTCCACTCTCTCCCCTGAGACCCTTTTCTTTCATCGCCCATGCGCCAGCGAGCCACACCCCAACATGGAAGCTTTCGTGACAGAGGCCTTCGCTTTGCTCGGCATTGGCCTGCTCATGATAGGCCTTCGGTCGTATGTCAGAATCACGACCGTCGGCTTCAAAGGTCTCCAGGCCGATGACTACCTCATGTTTCTTGCAGCAGTATGTGCCCATCGATTCTTTGAAGGTTCATGGTTTGATGCTCATTGCGAAAAAGGTCGTCTACTCCATCGAAACTGCGCTTGCTTATTCCGTGGGAGCTTACTGGAAAGGCCTCGCCAATAATGCCATGGCTGACGAGCAACGGCGGCTGCTCGACCCCGCCAGCGAGGAGTACAGGTTGCGGTAAGAAGTCCCACTATCCAAGCCGGCAGGTTACTTAATCTTACACAACAAAGAGTCAACGGCTCCAAGACACAGGTCGCTGGATGGTCAACCTACACCTTGCTACTGTGGTATGTGCTTACAATCATTTCATCATCTCTGCTGATTGCGGCCGGGAGCTTTTCCTTGCAATCACCAGTGGAACCCTGAACTATGCAGCTTGTTGTCATGAAGTTCTCACCAAAAGCCAATAGGACCCTCAAGGCCGCAATGTGCACTTTCTACCTCAGACTTACGGTATGTCAAACAAGCATGTAACTTATCTATCAACGGCAACGCACAAGCTGACTCGTTCATGTAGGAGGGCCTCGAATTCAGAAACAGGATCTACATCGGATTCGGTCTCATAGTGTCGACGTGGCTGGCTGTGTTATTCTCTATCCTCTTCGGTTGCCATCCTTTGGAAAAGAACTGGCAGATTTACCCCGACCCGGGCAGTGAGTTCTCTTTTTCATTCACGGCATTGAGGATTCAGATGAGACTGACAGAGCCTTAGATTTCTGCCAACCCGCCATCTCAAAGATCGACATATTTGTCACTGTTGTCTTGAACGTCCTTACCGACCTTTATCTAATGAGCATTCCAATTCCCATGCTTTGGCGGTCGTCAATGAAGCCTCTGAGAAAGGCGGGCCTCATTTTGCTCTTCTCTGGAGGCGCCTTTGTGACCATGGCGGGCATTCTCCGATGTGTGCTCATTATCACGGTGGGGACTCCAAAAGAAACTACGGCCTGATATGCGCGCCTAGCAACATACACTAACTAGTCTTTGTATCCAGGATCCGGTCAACGGGGCTCAGCAGGCAGGATCCTGGGCAGTTCGTGAAACTTTCGTGGCGGTGGTGACGAGTAACCTGCCCATGGTCTTCCCGCTCATCAATCGGTGGGGCCGTCCGTTGATCGGGTCGTTGCGCTCATTCTCCTCCAAGGCAGGCAAGTTGTCAGGTCTCTCGCGCAGCGGCGACCCTCAGTCTGGTGCCTTCAGACTTCAGGATAACCACCAGCGTCGCGGTCCCCGGAGCGTAAACCCGATCACAGACTTCACATTCAACGACAGCGAGGAGCGCATCATCGACCACCAAAGTGAACTACGCGAGCCGGGTCAGAAACAGGCGGCGATTGAAACCGAGACGAACCTCGAGGCGGGTACCGCGAGACGCTCTGTTGGAATTGGACCTGGACTAGGTGCAGGTGCCGGGTCAGGAGGCATCTTGAAGGAGACGTCGTTGCAGGTGACGGAGATGCGGAAGAGTCGCAGCGACTTCTCGACTGACGATCGAGACATCGGGGATTATTATCTGGTCCAGCAATCGAGAAAAAGCTCCGAGGCGCAGCCACGGCCTAAAACGCACAAAAAGGTTAAACACTCAAGCCATAGCTTCAGCCTCGGCAAAAGAAGCTGAGGCAGCAACTCGGGGATTTATGGGGCGCGAGGTGCACACAGCACAGTCGAGGAAATATTTCGCAGCCGCGAATGTCGGGCCGACCGGGCAGCCGGGTTCGTGGATTTCGGGTCTGGACCGCCACTTTGTTGGACGCTGCAGCGTGGTTGGCGGCGTAGAAGAGAGGCCGTGTTTCAGGGCAGACGGCAGCCCGTCAGCGCCTGCCACGGCCGGGGTTTGGGCCATTGTGCTGCTGGGCAATTGCACAGAATCTGGAATTTAGGTGTTAAGTTGGCTGCTCCAGGAGGCCCGTGGTGTTTGACAATTGGCGCTTGCACGTTGGGGCGGACACAGAAGGCACCTTGCCTGGGTCCTGTTCGGGCAACAACCCACCTGATCAGCAAGCACCCCACCACAGCCTTCCTCGGCCAACACCGACTTTGACAGACCCGAAGTCATCACCCTGACAAACTCTTGTCTTTTTTTTGCCTTTTAACTTCTCGCTGTTCATCTGGGTTTTCGGAACAGCCCGAAAAGCGGATCGGCGCTAACTCCATGTTCTTTTGCCCTCGTTTTTACCCTTTGCCTTTTTCTCTTCACATTTGCCTTCGGGAAGATTTGGGTGTCGGCCTTCCTGTCAGCCATTCCAAATTCCACCACCGTCCAGTCCACACTTGGAACCCAAAAGGCCACCACAAAGGCCAAAGCTTGGAATTTCAGACGACCTAACGGGCTGGCCTGTGTCCTTCGCACATCTGGGGGAAAGAAGAAACGTCATAGCGCAAACACTGCACACTCGTCGCCTCAACTTTGCAGCCATCGGTGGTCTGATACACATCCCTCACCATCGGCTTGGTCAACATGACGACTTTGTGGCCCTCCTCGCCACCGCGCGAACCCATGGGCGCACCAAAGGGAATTCTTCGCACCGCACCCAATGTCACTATGCAGAACTCAATCGAGTCCCGGTATATCGCCTCGCCGCCGCGCCCGGACAAGAAGGTGCATTTTGCGGACCCTGATTCGCCCGAGCGGCTCATCGACGTGGACAGTCCCCGGGTCGCCATCACAGCGAGCCCCCATCCCCTCAAGATGGCCGGCATTCCAAACCCCAGCAATGAACTCATGGTGTGTTGAAAATGAAATCGAAGCAAGCAGAAGTTAGGGAGCATGTCACTAATCACTTTCCATCGGCGAACAGAACATGAAAAAGACTGAGCAGAGCAGCACATCCAGTCTTGAGGGACTCGTCTTTGACCGTCCCTCGACTCCAGCTGTCAATCTGGCTAAGGAAGACAAGCCTGGCTCCCCAGATTGGACCCCGACACGCCAGCGCCCGCGCCTGCCGCTGGCCCTTCTGAATGGCTTCAAGGACCTCAGAAAGCCACAGGTGAGCAACTTAGTTGTTGCGCAGCCAGCACCCCGCCTGGTTCTCCCTTCAGTATCCAGCCAACGTCAAGACGATTTCGAACGCTTCCAGATCCGGACAGTCCGTGTTAGAGTACAGGATATTCAAAACCAGGGCGTCGTGAGCGCCGAGGAAATCATTGTTGAGGACAACGAGCCCTACAAATTCAACCACCAGCTGATCGCCGAGGAAATCATTGTTGAGGACAACGAGCCCTACAAAATCAACCACAAGCTGATCGCCGCCGCCGAGAACCGCTCTCCTCTGAAGCATCCTGGTGGCTACGGTACGATCAAGGGCAGTTCTGCCTTGCGCGGCCGGGTCATCACCTGCTCGAGCCCCCGCAGCCAGAACTTCATCATGAACACCAAGACGAGCGGAGAGGATGGTTACGGTGCCTTTGCCATGGCTGCAAGCACCATGAGAGACGCGAGTGAGACGTTTCACTCAAAGGTTCAGGACATTGGGCAGTGGCCGGTTTCGATGACGACGCAAGGATTGAACAACATGGCCAACCCTTTTCGCCAGCTCAATAAGGATGAGCTGTACGAAATGGCGACAGAAGTCACGGCCTCGATCGGCGAGCGAGTTCTGCTCGTCTTCTTCTTCACCGTTGCGCTCATCCCCCTATTGATCATCTACTTTTGCAAAGGCCTCAAGTGGGGTACCAATACTCTGGCGGTCAAACTGCGCAAAAGCCCGCCCCAGGAGTACCAGTACGGCTTTGGCTACACCTCGGATTATTGAAGGATGTTGAGTGACATCCGCGGCTTCTGGTCGTCTGAGCTATGGGGCATTTCTTGTCTGAAAGGAGATTCAGGGTCTCTCTTGGACTCCTGGACAGCGATCCGCCCTTTTCCTTGGGAGTTGAGCTGCACTGGACTCTTGTTCGGTTTTCTACTTTTCTTGTCCCTGACTATTTCATTAGCGTGGCGTACGGAGTGCATTCATCCTTTTGGCTTTGACTAACCTTCGGAATATGGGGACTTGGGCGTAGTAACGGCATTATGAGCACTTTAGACGTATTACTTGCACATATTTCAAAAAGGCATCAGAAGCCCATTGTAAGCGACTTTGATGGCTAGGCCTTTTCATGGGGAATTCATTGTGTAATTAATTAATCATAGGATTTGACATCTGTGGCCAATGAAGGGACACAATCCCAGGACCACACGAATACTGACATTCAGAGATAGCCAAATAATACCAGGATTGTCGAGTGACAACTTGCATTGGGACTTGTTACCTACTCCACACAGTGACTCAACTCCTTAGAAACAGTGCGTGCCTACTTTATTCGGACTGTCCCACAAGAGTCCGGCAGCTCGTAGCCTTCAAACTTGCTACGTAGTCGGAGTACGTACTCTGCGTCTGTCACTCGGTCCGACCCCCGTTTTTAGTTGTCAGACGCGACTACCTCAGGCAAATGGTTCAATTTCTCCTGTCGCAGAGAGCGCTGACGTAGCACATCCGACTTCAAACGCACCCATATTTGCTCTGGTTCTTACTGTGTAGTGCCAGTTCAAACTTGTTATATTCTGTGTCGGCGCAAACTTTTGATTAGTCCTTCTCAGCTCCAACTTCAGTCTTTACTTCACCGCGATGGCAAGCTCCGAGGGTATGACGGGCCTCCCCGTGAGTTGCGAATGTGGGAACATTCGCTTTAGGACGCCAACGTCAGAGCCGGCAGGAATGGCATATTGTCACTGTACGGCGTGCAGAAAGCAGTCAGGCTCTGCCTTCGGCACATCTGTGTACTTTTCGTCGGCAGGCTTGTTCCCGCTGCCCGAGGCGCTCGAGGCCAAGCTCGCCATGTTCACGCACCCGACCGACAGCGGCAACACGATGCGCTGCTACTTTTGCCCAAATTGCGGCGTGCGCATCTTCCACGCCATCGTGCTGCCCGACGGCAGCTTGCGCTCCACCGTGGCCTTCAAGGGCGGCGTCATCGACGAGGGCATCGACTGGAAGGCCGTGAAGCCCAGAAACATCTTCACGCGATCGGCCGTCATGGACATCCCCGACGGCTGGGAGTGCTACGAGGGCGCTCCACCGCCGCCCAAGACGCAAGGCGCGAGCAAAAGTTAATTAGGGCTATCCGGGAGCGACCTAGACAAAGCAGTTTACCTCAAAATTACAAGCCCCTTGACAGATATCCAGAGATCAATAAATCAGTGGAAGTGGAACCTCAAATTTTGACCCCGAAGTGCCCGCATCGAAAGCCTGGGTCAATTGTCAATGACTCAATTGAGCCAGGGGGCGGGGTTTTGTTTTCTTCCCTTGACGGGTCGATCCCTGTAGCGGTGACCACTCACTGAACCCCGCCCCGCCATTCCAAAACCCATCAGCGAGCGTGCACGGTCCAATCGAGCACCCAGTCCTTTTTCCCAACAGTGGCGCACCGGTTTTCGCAGAAATGCGACCATCGGTTCTCTTCCGTGTCACTCGTTCGCGCTTCATCCACTCAATGGGTAGGACTCCTTCCATTCGCAGCCGTGTGCTCCCGCAGCTCAAGCTCATGCTCCCGCAGCTCCGGTTCTGCCTCCCGACAGGCGCCCCCTGGTAATCTCGGGCCCCTCGGGCGCCGGCAAAGGCACCCTATTCACCCTCCTGTTCCAGCGCCACCCCGACACCTTCACTTTCTCTGTCTCCCACACCACCCGAGGCCCCCGCGACGGCGAGCAGCATGGCGTCAACTACCACTTTGTCACCAGGGACGCCTTCGAGGATCTCAAGGCGAGGGACGGTTTCGTAGAGAGGTACGAGCCTTGACCAACAACCCTCTCGATCCGCGCCCCCCCACTCCGACCTCAGCCTACTGACACCAACGCATTGCAATGCACAGCGCGACGTTTGGAGGCAACATGTATGGCACAAGCAAGGCCACGATCGAGGAACAGAGCGCCAAGGGCAAGGTGGTTGTGCTGGACATTGAGATGGAGGGCGTGAAGCAGATCAAGGCGATTGGCTTCCCGGCTCGCTTCGTCTTCATTGCTCCGCCGTCCGAGGAGGAGCTGGAGCGGCGGCTGCGCGGCCGCGGGACAGACAGCGAGGCGTCGATCCTCAAGAGGCTGGCCCAGGCCAAGGTGGAGCTCGAGTACTCCACGACCCCGGGCGTGCACGACAAGATCATCGTCAACGAGGTAAGCCACCCTCTCCAGAATCTTTTACCAAGCCGAAAGAGAAAAGGAATCCCTCTGACACGGCGTAGGACGTCGAGACTGCGTATAGGGAGCTGGAAGAGTTTGTCTTTTCGCCAGCGGAACAGTCGTAAAGTTGGATATTCGGTGCAGCGTTCAGTTTACTTTATAGATAGACTCTCCAGCCGGCTCGTGTCTCAGGCCACGCGCAGAGACCCGACTAGCGATTTGCAACGGCCTAAACTATACGATGGGCATGAATCTTACCTGAATACTTCAGGGCTTGGGAGGCTTGACAATTAACGTTACCGCAAGATGCCAGCCCCATGAGGCGCGTTAGTTGTCTTTCTCACTCCAGTCATAGAAATTCCGATCAAGTCCGGTAGGCCACTCTAGTAAGTACCAGTAGTGCCCAGACACGAGATCAGCGATAATGCGCGACGCGACAGGCCCCTGATAGGTAGACCGCAGGCGAAATATCTCGATCTATTTGTGGTAAAGTAGGTCAAAGAGAATCCCCTACAAGAATGACAACCTGCTCCTTAACCAACTCTACTCACAACTTCAACTCTCCCCCAAAATAATCCACCACAAGCTCACGAACAAACTCATGCAGCCTCTCCCTCCCACTCAGCACTCCCTCGGCCCTCTCGTTCGACAAGTCCTCCTCATACTTCTCCACCAAGTTATCCGTAATCATATGCAGATACTAATACCCCAGGCCGCTCCTCACGGTCGCCTGCGCCATGTGCCCAATCCCGGGATCAACAAAGTCCACCCCCCTCCCCTCCAGCCCGCGGCACCACTCCCTCGTCTCATGCAGCACGCTCCCCAGCGTCACGTGCCTCCCGACGATGGTGCACCGCCGCGCGCAGCGCCCCCAGCTTGCCGAGGTACACGACCTGCTTTAGCGCGCCGCCTCTCCGGCTGCTCCGCGCCGCGAGCACGTGCACTACCTCGCCAGCGATGTCGCCCCAGAAGGCCGGCTGGAAGCCGAGAAAGCCGACGGCGCGAGGCTCTACCGGTAATTAGTGTGGTTTAGGGGTGAGTTCTAAGCTGACATTGTGCTAGGGGATACCTCGAGTTCCACCACTGAGTTCACGAACGGCACGCCCATTGTGATGATCGTTTTGGAAAGAAGAAGGGAGCATGTCGTATCTTCTCCTTTTGTCCAGGGGCTGACTAGGGGATTCCCGTTCCAAGTCCGTGATTAAGTAATAGGGATATGATGAAAAATACAAACCTAACTGAGGTATGAGACCGTCAGGACGACTCTCTATATATGGCCGTACTGGCTGGTGATTCCGCTGGGTTAGTTAGAGTCAACAGAATATTTGATGTCATCCGGTATGTAACTCTGGAGCTCTCCCTCAACTGTAAACTATACCCCATGTCTCTCTCTGTGGAATGATGGATCGTAGTACTGGGAAATGTAGCGCAAACAAGGTCAAACCCTCGCCATGTATTATTCTAGACCAAAGCGTTTATTCGTTCCTAGCCTAACTTCCAGATCGGGCCATTGTGTTTTCACACGTCATGGGTAAAAACCCAGCGGACGTTAACATCACTATGGCGAGGAGCCCTAAACAGAGACCAGATGACCGCCTCAACGGACTTCGTTTTTATTAGGAGTTGTGGCAATCAGTCAAGACAGACGGGTCTTTCGAGTTTTGGCAACACTTGGACAGTGTAGGTACTTTACTTTGATCAGAACGGGGTTTTGGTGTTCCGGTCTTTTCTTTAACTGCGGCTCTATAAGAAACCATCTCTGTAAAACACCGTTACAAAAGAATGTTCCTCGATTCATTGAGGGTATTATTCACTCTGGCTGAAACTAATTACTCAAAGGCCAAACACACGGTTCGTTCACGTTCCATTTGCCGCCCTCAGACTATATATAGGTAATCTTCTTGTTCCAACCTTAGTGCACCTTTATCACCTTTATATTACGTTTTCCACTGTGGTTTTTTAATCCTCGCCGAAACCTTACCTATCTCGTTATTTATTCACGCCTGCGGCCATACTACCTAATTACTATGACATCTAAGACACTGCCCCGGGCACAGACCTTGGTTGTCGTTCTAGCAACATGCGAAGCAGCCGAGAGGTTAGGAATTGACCCCGAGGATGGGTACAATCTATACGCGCCCAGAAGGCTCCAGCACTGTTTGTTTCCGGCTCAGCTCTCTTTCGGGTTCCTTGACGACGGCAGCATCTGCAAACAGACCGCGGCGCTGGATTCAAGCGCAAGAAAATTCAAGATCGACCACAACCCTCAAGTCGCAGCTACAGGCCTTGTATACCTCACGTTTCTCCACGCACACAAGCCCGACACCGACGGCGAAACCAGCTACGTCATCAAACCGGCCCCAGACAGCGACGTGCGGGCTCTGCACCTCGAGCTTCCGCTGCCGTGGCCGAATTTCGACGCCTTCAAGGGGATCAAGCATGTGGCGCTAGGGTTCTCGCTGAGACCCAGGACACGAGCGCTGTGCCCCGAGCTATTCGCGACGTGCACAAGTGTCAGCGACTATCTGTGTGGGGGTGTGGCGACGAGGTATCCCGCCACGCTGGAGACGACGGCAAGCAGCCCAGCTCGGGGCCATTCGAATTCACTGGCTACGGGCACTTTCTCGCCTGCCTGCCAGACCTCAAGGTAGTCCATCTCCACCTGCTCGACGCTGCGTCGACGGAGGAGCTCGAGGCAGTGCACAAAGCGCCAGCGCGCTGGCGATACCGCCTGACCAGGGAAGTGGGGGGGCCAGTACGCGGCCCTGTCGTTCCCCGATGCGGAGCACCCGAGACGCTTTTAGGCATTCGGGCGGCGTCTTTACTGAGCTCGTGGCCCTGAAGCTGTTTATCGACCAACTGCTCAAGGTCGTCATCGAACTCCGGTTCCACTTCATGCGGGCCCCGTCCATGTGCCGGCTGCTCGGCGACTTCAGTCTCCACGAGCTGTGGCAAGTCATGACCAGGAGGCTGGCAGTCCAGTTCAGGGTCGTGCAGTGGATTCCTAATATACCGAGAGCAAGCAAACTACCTAAACAGTTCTACCTGATAGGTAACAACCGGAAAACGGACAGCTCTGTAGTCAGAACTCTCCGCAAAGCTTGGCTTTTTTTTCTGTCTGTTCTTCTTCTCTTGTTTCTTTTTAGGAGTGCAAGATAATCTTCAAATACGGTAATCTGCGAAAGTAACCATGAAATGTCTCATTGAAGCGGCGAAAAGGCACCAAAAAACAACAACAAACAACAACAAACAACAACAAAAGTAGCATTAAGGCGAGCCGTAGATAGGTTCGGAAAAAGAGTTTAAAGATCGATGTTTTCTAGAAAAGGAAGAGGGCCCTGGAGCAGGGTTTTATCGTCAAACTCACAGGCCGCAGGGTGGCCACCCCTGACTAGCGTGTGTTGTTGCCCCTGCTCATTAGGTACCTTATTTACGTAGCACAAATTCCGTACGTACAATTCCATTTTGATTCCATTCCGGGATGGAAAGGCACGTGCGTGTAACAGCCAAATGTGGCTGGCTTCCAAGGCTCCGAGTCTGACCCCTCCCCACTTTAATTTTCATCCAAAACAAAATTCAACACAAGGAGCAGACGACAGCACACCCACCGACCCTGGTGACGAACCCCCAAACTAGAAGCAGCATGCTGTCGTCTCGGCTTCTCGCCCGATCGAGGCCGAAAAAAGTCTTGGCCTTCCCTCGGCTGAAGAGACCCCAGTCGTCGTCGTCGTCGTCGCCGCCGTCGTCGTCTTCGACCCCGCAGTCATCCTCGCGTCTTCCCCAGCTCGCTTTTCTGGTCGCGGGCGGCACTATAGGCTGGTTTGGGGCCGACGCTATACGCAATACGAAGGCGGTAAGGATTGGAAAGAATGTTAATGGTCCTCCTGCGCTCAGCGTCGACGCGGGGTATCCGTTCAAATACCTCTCCCCGCTATCTCCAGCACAGGCGACGGAACTTCTCAACAAGGGCTCTTATTCTATTTCCTTCAATGATTCGGATGACAGCGGAGTGACACGCTACTACGGTAGCCAAGTCGCCTCCAACAAGCCGTGCGAGGACGTTCATATTCACGGCAAATTCCCCTCGCCCTCACCTGGCGGTCGCGACTGGTTGGCCTGGGGCATTTTCGACGGCCACCTGGGCAGCCAGACCTCGCAAGCCTTGGCACAGACTCTGGTGCCGTACACCCACCACTCCTTGGCCAAGCTCACGGACAGCAGCAATGACGACGCAGCCGTCCACCAAGCGCTCAAGGCCGCATTCCTGGAGCTCGACGATGACTTCGTCAAGCACGCCGAAGAAATAGCCAACAGCGACGAACCATTCTCAGTCAAAGTAGCCCGCCTGTCGACCGGGTCCAACGGGTCCTGTGCGCTCCTGTCTCTGTGGGATCCCTCGGTGCGAAAGTTGCACGTTGCCCTCACGGGCGACTCGCGCGCCGTGCTGGGCCGCCGGAGCGAGGACGGCACGGGCTGGGAGGCGGTCCCTCTCTCGGTCGACCAGAGCGGCAGAAATGAGGCGGAGATTGCGCGTATTCACGCCGAGCACCCTGGCGAGGAAGACATTGTGAAGAACGGGCGTGTGATTGGCCTAGCCACGGCCCGAGCCTTTGGCGACGGCCACTGGAAATGGCCAGCCGCACTCCAAGTAAACATGAGGCGCCGCTACTTCACCGACACGCTGAGAGCGAACCAGCCAGAGATATACAAGACGCCGCCGTACATCACGGCCGAGCCCGAAATCACAACAACACAGCTGAAGCCCGGCCAGCCGGCTTTTATGATCCTAGGGAGCGACGGCCTGTGGGATACTATGGGCAATGAGCAGGCGGTTGATCTTGTGGTACGATGGTTGGACTGGAAAGCCAAAGGAAAGCCGGCAGCACCTGCATTCAAGACGTCTGGAAACGCTGACTGGTCGGGCTGGAAAACGCCGGAAGAGTGGTTTACCGTCCAGGACGACAACGTCGCGGTCCATCTCACTCGAAACGCTTTCGGCGGCGCTAATCAGGACGTGGTCAGCGGCATTCTTTCCCTCAAGCCGCCGTATTCGCGCCATGCCCGCGATGACATGACGGTACAGGTCGTGTTCTTCAATTTCTGATGAAGGGGTAATAGGTATTATGTAGCAGGCCGTGTCTGAGAAAGTCTTGGTATATAGCGGAACTCTTTCTCGAAATTAGAGGCTGTAGCCGTTGTTTGTTATTTTATCGTCAAGATCGGAATTTCAGTGATGCCGACTACATCGTCCACGAGTTCCCTCAGCCCTGACCCGTTCGATACACGCCGGCGCCCTCATTTGACGCGAACATCAACATCACTCCCCTTGGCCGACTTGTGCAACCCAGAAGTAGGCCCGATAGGTCTTGAGAACATGGCACGGAGATGAAAGTACAAGGCCACCTAGCACACGCACAGTATTGCCGATAACACCGTCACAACACTCATTGTGCTCGCAATCCTAGATAGACCTGGTCGATATTCACTGGTGGTTCTTGCAGCTAGCGATAACAATCCCGCATTCCAAATCAATCACTTACACTCATACCAATTGCCTAGGTACACAAGCCGACTAGCGTGTGTATTAGGTCAAGCACCAGAGCTTCTCAACCAACACGTAGTTGGCGCAGTACTGGCACTGGGTAGACAGAGATAATGCCCCTAACGAGGGGGGTATTATTGAGAACCGGGTAACAGGAGCTCTCTAGCGTTACTCGGAGATACCCGGCTGCCTGTCTCATCAACAGACGGTCTAGTTCGGGTTTGAGCTATTGGCTACACAAAGCTTCGATGCATGAATCGGAACAATACCACCTGTACAGATGGTAAAATGCTGTCTGAGCTCGTCAGAAATAGCGACGAGGGAGCAACCCCAGCCAGGGCCGCGCCAGCTTCGAAAGATACCACGCGGCTGCGACACTGAGCAACACAAAACCCCATTTAGCGGGAGCTCAGAAGGCGTGAAACGAAAGGGAAGCGAAAGGAAGGCTCTGATAAAAGGCTGGTCCGGGGCCCCCGATGGAGCGACTTGTCATCTTGGTCTCGGATCTGAACTGGTGGAACACAGACGGTGATATAAGAAAGTCAGAACCGGGGTGAAATGAAGATAAATCCGAGGTCATTGGTTTTAAGACGGAGTGTAGGAGCTTAGTTTCAAGAAATAGATTCTAAATCCCGCCATTACATCGTTCTTGTCTTTGGTATAAACTGTCAGGCCCTTTAATATCTAGTTATCTTTTATTGGTTATTTGCCAACTGTTCCAGTTCCAGCAAATGCACCTGTGCTTTGTCTTCAAACGTCGTGTTAAGAAGCCGGGTCTATTTCTAGCTTAGCTAAGTTAGGGTAGCAGATATGTTGAAGATGGACTCATTTTGGTTTTATCAGGGGTCACTGCGGAGACGGTGCTCTCTTGGTTGTTTTCGGGCCTATTTTTGTCTGCGGGCCCTTGGGCGTTCCCTTTGGCCCTGCTGTCTGTAGATCCCTAGCCACTTTTTTCCATTCCCAAAACCATTCCAAGGGTTTCTTTTGTGTATCTAAACTTCGCACCTTCAGAATCCCCTCAACCTCAGCCACTTTCAATTCAAGGTCGTTTACCGACGCAGAAGATGTGATGACGGTTAGGTGCTTGGAACCGTATGGAGAAGAAGGAAGATTATGTACGGCACTTAAGTTTATTTTCGACAGAAACAGGAAATAGCTGACTGGTAAGATTACACTTGCGGGGCGGAATAAGCGAAGTACTTGCTTTAGGGAATTTTAGATTGTAGGATTCTGGAGTATTCAATTTGTGTCAAGTTTTGTGTAGCACGAACCCGGGTGAGTCATTCAAGAGTCATTCTCGATGAAGTTACCTGTCGGATTTGCACTTTCCGGCCCTTTTGTGGTTGGTTAGTTTCGTGAGTTAGTCGCTGTTTGCACAGCCGCCTAGAGAATCAAGTTGATGGAAAGTCGAAAGAGGGGCTGTTACAAGGGTTCGTCTCTTAGTACGTGTGGCAACGACATGTGCCCCCAACTTCTCAATTCCTCTCACACCTCCTTCCCTTTGTCTGGCATCCTCATGCTGTACGTTTCAGGAGACTAAATGAACATATTATCTTCCCTTTCCGCTAAACTTTTTTGTTGGAATTTGTCAAGCAGAAGGGCCTCGAAGGTTCTAGATAGAGACTTCGCCACCCACTTCGCCACCACAATAGTAGTATAAGAACGGGCTTTCTGGCACTGCCAGAAAGCTAGAGAGAAGAACAGACATCTACAATCCATCACTTGAACCACCAGTTTTCGGCGTGCAGTCACGCCCTGTTGAGTCCAGTACCGGTACCCTGGTGAATCCAACATTCTTATATCTCGCTACTCTATTCAAATCTCATCATCATTCACAACTGTTCATTAGGTGCTATGTCTTCCATGTCCCGAGAAGAAATTACAGCTCAATTAGCCAAGATGAGAGTGAGGCTAGGTGCAGACCCTAAAAATGCAGCACTAACCAGGGAATTGTGGCCTCAGATCAAGAAGCTCTAAGCGCTGAGGAAGCAAACACAGCGACGAAAGCCCATTACCTAACTTGCAAGAGAAACAGAGGAACCGACTTCCTCTCGGACCGTTAAAGGGGGGAGAGACAAAAGACGACCGTTTTAACTCGGAGAACCGGGGGAAGTAAGGGAGCAGCAGACTAGGGCCAACTGTGAAGCTGGGGCTTCCTTCTGTCGGAAATGGCCCTGATGATAACGAAGGTATGTCCAAATGTACTTTGTTTCACACACTCTGGCATGAACTAACGTGTAAATAGATCAAGCTTAATTCAGGTGTGATAGCCATGTTATGTTTTAAGGAGTTGAAAGTACGGTTATCTTTCACGAAGACAGAGGCATGGTATCAATCATCATCATCACCATTGAGTAAACATCGGATTGTTCGACACTGACTAGTAGAGAAATGGCATTATTTAGTAGTTACGTCCTGCGGAATAATACCTAGTCTAACTTTCAAGTCCCGTCCCGTCCAGCGGACACAATCTCATCTCGTTATCCCCCCCAGAGACTGTAAAGCCACACCTGCAACCGTGCTACCTGCCCGCGAGTCTTTTGGTGCGTGGAAGACGGAGGGCTCGAAGAGTTCAAGTTTCAGACCTACGTTGTACATCTTGCTGGCTGTGAGAAGGGGCGGTGTCTCTGTCGAGCTGGGGTGTTGCTTTTACGCCGGCTGTGGCTCGCCGTTTAGCCTGTAAGCAGAGTATCGAGAAAGAAGAGGTTCTTTGTACTGCTGCTGGGAGTTGCGCCGAGCAGTGTCGAGTTTGTATCCCAGTATTGGGTTCTGCTTCACGTACAGAGAGACGGCATCAGGGAATCTAAAGGGGATGGGGGAAGTATTGGGACGGCTGATTGCTGGCTATGCTCCAACTTCCGCCTCTCTCTTGCTCTGCTCCTTACCTAGCATGGACGCGGGCGTTGATCTCGTCCCTGCATTGCTCGATGTGCCTGTTGAACTGTGTCAGCTGCGGGTAGAGGGAACTTTAGTCGATGGTATCAGGGCTTAGAGTAGGCCTAGGACATCCGAGCCCCTAGTGTAGCCCCTAGTGTAGCCCCTGATCGTCACCTTTTCTCTCGGGCTAGAGACGCTGTAAGCAAACTAGATGATTAACTGTGGTGTTAGTGGCGTCCGGAAGAAGAAAGAAAGGCGGAGGAAAAGAATGAGAGATTACGCAGGCCTTAGCTTACGTGGACCCAGATGCACTTGCAAATAATATATTCTGGAGCCTCTCGTCGGGGGCAGCGTGTGAAGTAGTGCTTGGTGGGTACCGGGCCACTTGATCGACTTTGCATTTAGTTTGCTTGCATCCGTCCACCACCCTTGTACAACAACGGAGGTGAGCCGTCGTCCAGCCTGCCGCCCTCATCGTCTTTATACCTATGAAACACTGTTGCGGCCTTACACGGCAGCCCGTGGAAAAGTCGATCACGTCCTCCAGGCAAGATTAGAGACGGTGTGATGGGGCCGCAGTGGTTGTCTCCAAACAGCGACACATGCACTATTCGTGGAACGATTCCCGAGCTGTTGTCGTGGTTGGCTAGTCTAGCTCCGCTCTAAAGCAGTCGTAGCGATTACCTGATGGGACAAGTACCCATGGAGAAGAGAAACTAATTAGCTGGAGCTGGAGCTAGGCACCTCACGGTTAACCCCGGCGACGATTAAGAGGTAGAGCGTGTCGGTGGAATCGGTGATGGGGCCGCTGAAATAATGCCTGCCACACTTATAGCATGTTGGGAGGCATACAGCGCGCGTCGGGAATGATTAATCTAAGCTAGCAAAGAACCAAAAGTGGGACTACATTAGCTCGACCCCTTCTGACGGAACACCTGCTTCTCTGACCGCTTTCCAATCTGCCTTTCTGCCTCCAACCTACATGTCTAACCTGCCCCCCGCCTCTCAAAACCTGTCTCCAATAACCTGCCTCCTGCTCCTCACACTTACTTTCCTCGATCTGCGTCAAATGGAGCATACAGCTGAAAGATGCATGGGTTAAGGTTATACATGGGGAGATTTAGTTGGGCCATGAACGCCTGCGTAGTCGCGGCTCGTCTGTTTGAGTAGGCATTATTGGTTGTGACCAGTGTCGCTGTCTCGCGCCGTGGATCGAAATGATTGGGTACTGCCGCTCTTGGCGCTTCGAGCTTTCTCTCGTGCGGCTGAGCGACCAAGGCCAACTTCAGCCTCCCACACCAGCTCCCGGCCGTCGTCTACGAGAAGCGATCACTGTTAAACAACCTCCACTGCCGCCATCAGACACGAAGGGCACGAAGGGCACGAAGTGGCCTCCACATGTGAGAGCCCCGCTAGCCTTCGCTGAGGCACAGCATCCGCGACGCGAGGATTTGTACGACTCTCTGCCGGTAGCCGAGCCATGATTTCCATTGACGTCAGGCAGGGCATTCCTTTGGCCGGATGAACGACCGCCTTTTGTCTCCTTGTCGGTGCGATTGCCGCTTATCTTTGGTTCTGTCCCACTCCGACACGTCACAACCCTGCGCCGCTGTCTCCGGGGGGACCAACTTCGGATCCCGCACAATCCGCACCACAAGGTGCCCACCTCGGTCAAGCCAACCCCGACAAGAACGAGGCAGACTCCGATGTCGACAGTACCACCCGTGGCCTCAACACGAAGTCGCCGGACACGTGGGTAGGGCGGGCTAGTGATCCTAGCAACAGCCAACTTCGGGGCTAGGCCGTCGGAGACGATGAGTGCCCCTCAGCGGATGAGCGCCATTCTTTGCCGTCAACCAAATCTCACAGGAACCATGCAGCCAAGTCAGCCGAGACCTGGAATGCTAATGCAACACAAATTCTCCGGCAACACACAAAGAAACACACAAGCACGTCCAAAGCTTAAAGGGGCAAGGGCAGGTTGGTACCATCCCTTCCCACTCCTATGATATTCCAGAATGACACTAACGATTCCCACCTATAAAGAGTAAGCACCCGCCGAGCCCCAACGACTACACTGTCGGCTGGATATGCGCTATAAGCACGGAATACACCGCGGCACGAAGCTTTCTCGAGGAGCAACACAGCGGACCCGATCACGTCTCTCCCAATGACAACAACGATTACACGCTGGGAAGGATCGGGAAGCACAATGTTGTCATTGCTGTTCTGCCTGACGGGGAGTACGGCACAGCTTCTGCTGCAGGCGTTGCTAGGGATATGCTACACAGCTTTCCCAACGTCAGAATCGGTTTGATGGTCGGCATCGGCGGCGGCGCGCCCAACGAAAAGCATGACATCCACTTGGGAGATATCGTGGTCAGCGCTCCCCGCAAAGGGAAGAGCGGTGTGTTTCAGTACGACTATGGCAAGGCGATACAGGATCAGAGCTTTGAACCAACGGGGTTCTTGAATCAGCCACCAGCAGCCTTACGAGTGGCGGTAGCTGGGCTCGAGACACAATATGAGGGGGAAGGTCATCAACTCGAAGATGCCATCAACCACATACTCGAGAGGAAACCGAGACTGCGGATGAAGTACAAGCGACCGGATCAAGGTAGCGATAGACTCTACAGCAGCGACTTCGTCCACCGTGCGAATACCGAAGGAAACTGCACAGCAATCTGTGGTAATGATGCGTCCAATCTATTATCGCGGCGCGAACGGGGAAAACATGAAGACAATCTAGTTATTCACTACGGCCTAATTGCTTCTGCGAACCAGCTGATGAAAGACGCCCGGGCTCGGGATAGACTCGCAGCCAAGATGGAAGCAGCCGGCCTGATGAACCACTTTCCCTGTCTGGTCATCCGTGGGATATGCGACTACTCGGACTCTCATAAAAACAAGGAGTGGCAAGGATATGCAGCAATGCCGGCGGCTGCATACGCAAAGGACCTTCTCTATCGGATGCCTCCCAATAAGGTTGAAGCTGAAAGGAGGATTAGAGAGATTCTTTCTGATGGTTAGCTCATTACAATTCAACTAACCCTTAACTCGCGTGCTAATATATGTGTTTTAAATGAAGTTGACGAAAACATCAAAACAATGAGATCGAAGTTGGATAGAAAACAAGACCTCGAGATCTTGAACTGGATCACCCCAACCGACTATGGTCCTCAGCAGAGCGACTATCTTAACCGGCGACAATCATGAACTGCCCAATGGCTCCTAGAATCGGAGGAGTTCAAGACATGGGTGACGACTGAGAAGCAGACGCTCTTCTGCCCAGGCATTCCAGGGGCAGGAAAGACAATTCTCATGTCCATGGTGGTGAACCATCTCATGATGGAATTTCAGGCCGAGTCGAGTGTTGGAATTGCATACATCTACTGCAAATTCCAACGGCAAGAAGAACAGACAGTTGCCCATCTACTAGCCAGTGTGTTGAAACAACTAGCCGAGAGTCAGGATTCCCTAGCTTCAAGCGTAAGGGAGTTATACGACAACCATGACATCAGACGGACGCGGCCATCGGTAGACGAACTAGCTAAAGCTCTGCATTCTGTTGCTGCCATGCACTCTCGGGTCTATGTCGTTGTCGGCGCGCTGGATGAATGCAAAACAATAGACGGCTGCCGGGAGAAATTCCTGACCGAGATGTTCAACCTTCAAGCTAAGACACAGGTCAATCTTCTAGCGACCTCACGGCCAATCCAGGACATCCAAACGAAGTTCCAGGGAAGCTTGTCATTGACGATTCGTGCTACGAATGAGGACGTGCAAACCTATTTGACTGGCCATATGGCCAGACTACCATCATTTGTTAAGGATGATCCTGGCTTGCAGATGAAAATCAAGGATGCGATAGTGCAAGCCACCGATGAAATGTATGCTGAACGTCCCATCGTTGTCATATATGTGTTTTTAACTTCTGTTACAGGTTCCTCCTTGTTCCACTTCACGTAGATGCTCTAGCACAACAGCCTACCGTTGGAAATATCGAATGGGCGCTACAGAATCTACCTCGCGGAGTAGATGAAATTTACGGACAGGCAATGGCCAGAATCAAAGGCCAAGGAAGTGAATCTCGTGACTTGGCCCTGAACATTTTGTCTTTCGTCGTCCACGCAAAAAGAATTCTTTCTTCAACTGAACTCCGACATGCAGTTGCAGTCGAAATTGGACAGCCAAAACTAGACGACAAGTTTATTCCAGGTCTTGACATCATAAGTTCGATCTGTGGAGGCTTGATCACCATAGCCAGTCAAAGCGATATCGTTCGCTTGGTGCACTACACTACGAAGGAATACTTCGTTTTATCAAAGTATTACTGGTTCCCAGAAGCGGAGGCAGATATCACGGCAATCTGCGCTACCTACCTATCTTTCACTATATTCGAAAGCGGGTTCTGTTAAACGAACGATGAATTCGAAGAGCGACTGCAGTTAAATCCACTTTACGATTACGCGGCACACAACTGGGGTCATCATGCTCGGGAAACTTCGCCATTACCCCAAGAAGTCACAAAGTTGATAACATGCCAGGCAACGGTTGCCGCGGCTAGCCAAGCGCTCATGGCCACTAGGTGGTATGGTCGAAATTCCAGCCAGGAGGTTCCAAAGCAGATGACGGGCCTTCACTTGGCAGCATTCTTTGGCATCAAAGAGGCAGTACATCTCTTTGTTCAAGACCTGGAGAACTTGGATTGGCGCGCTAGTGATGGCCGGACGCCGCTATCGTGGGCCGCTAGCGGAGGTCACGAGCAGGGTGGGCGGCGATATATTCGACACCCCTGTACGAATATTTGGCGAACATGATACGCTGAAATCGACAGAAGTTCTAGTGGGGTAAACGGTAAAAATTAGTGAGATAAATACTGTAACTTAGCGGGCTGGCGCTAAGCTATAGCGGGTATTTTCCCTTTACGTTTTGCTGCCAGCTTTGCCCCCTATGGTGCCCGTAATAGCATCCCTCATCTCGCTAAGTTTTAGTGTATCACATTCGCCGAATATTTGTACAGGGGTATCGAATATATCGCCGCCCACCCTGGTCACGAGGCCGTAGTGAAGCTACTTCTCGAGAAGGGCGCCGATACCGAGGTGAAGGATATTGGGTTCGGCCGGACCCGCTATCGTGGGCCGCCGGCAAAGGTCACGAGGCTGTAGTGAAGCTACTTCTCGAGAAGGGCGCTGATACGGAGGTGAAAGATAAGGGTGGCTGGACGCCGCTATCGTGGGCTGCTGAGCAAGGTCACGAGGCCGTAGTGAAGCTACTTCTCGAGAAGGGCGCCGATACCGAGGTGAAGGATAAGTTCGGCCGGACGCCGCTATCGTGGGTTGCTGAGGGAGGTCACGAGGCCGTAGTGAAGCTACTTCTCGAGAAGGGCGTGTTACGATCCTGGCTCAAGTCTGCAGGAGGCGCTGGAAGCCGATTGCTGATTGGGCAGCACTGGCGGGCGGGACGGGCCCCACATGAGCTCGGTGCGGCCAACCAGGCGGCGCTCAGTGCGTTCGGCCGCCAAGATTGGGAAGACCCACTGAGCAGGAAGAACAGCCAATTAGGAAAGTGCTCAGTTACCATTGAGAGCTCAGTCGTCCTGGAAGACTGAGCGCCCCGGAGGCACTGAGCACTGTAAGGGAGAACTATGATTGGTTGCGCAATTAGATAAATACGATGACCGTACCCACGGTCTTAGATAGTTCTTGCTTGGTTCTTCAAGCAAGCAATACACATTCACTGCACTCATACACTTTGAGTGGCATTCCGATTTGACTGTATTACCCGTGCGATAGGAGCTTGCCCTTTGTTCTATCTTCATAATTACCAACCCCAGCATTCTGTGGAGCCCGTGCTCCCTTACAGACAGACGACCCTAACAGTCGAGTAGTTTGTAATAGGGCGCCGATACCGAGGTGAAGGATATTAAGTTCAGCCGGACGCCGCTATCGTGGGCCGACGAGAAAGGGCACGCTACTTTTTGAGAAGGGCGTCGACACTGAGGTGAAGGATGGGGGTTCGGCTAGATATCGGGTAAGTCGTCTCTAAAACACTACTTGAGTTAAAAAAGAAATATCTTTTATATTCTTTTATCTCTCTTTTCTCTCTTCTTTCAATAACTTATGAGTTGAGGGTTCTAGGGGAGGGTATGACTATATAGCTAGTTTAATTATTCCAGCATCTCCCAAATTGTTTAACAACGTACTCAAAACCGATATGATGGCGAATCATTGTAGTGACTAATCATTGTAATGTGTCACGACAATAGGGATTAGTGGGCAAAAGGAGGACCTAGAAGCTGCCACTTGATTCTTCGCCACCAGATTTTGCCACCATTCATAACTATAAAAGAGAGACTTTTAGCCCTCCCAAAGAAAACAAAAAGACAGACCTTTTCAGAAAATTCAAGCCTTACCTCCCTGCATCAAATCCTTCATTTCCGTTGCCCTGTGAATGCGCGTGACATAATGGCTAATCATTGCGGTGGCGAATCATTGTGGTGGCGAAACGGAGGCAAAAAATAGTGGCGGCGGAAAAATTTATAAACAAGCAGGATTGGATAGATCCCTTATATTCTTGTAATGTGTAACTCTGCTCTTCGATCCATTCCATTCCGATCGCCCTGGCCATTAGCGCCTTTGTCCTTCGGTCCGACCGTTGCAACGTCAGGCCCTGACCAGGGGCTGGCCAGTGTGCTGACTGGCTTTGTCTGCTGGCTGACAAAGGTAAGGGGCCTAAGAGTTTGTGGATAGATGGGCACCTCCTTCAGCCTCTCTCCCGAACATCATCCCTTCAGGAAGAAGCTGACCAATCAGGACTGGTTATTCTAATTCCAACAACACCATAACCGAAACTCCCCAAGCTCCCCTCGACAACCCCCTAATAACGGCACTATAATAATGGCAGATGCAACAGCAGAGCGAATAGCGGGTTTAGGACTCTAGGCCCTGACCATAGGGGTACCCACACAGGACCTCGGCTATACCTTTGACCTCTGTCTAATCAACTGGGAGGGCGTAGAATCATTCGTGGGACTAGAATTCGGGAGTGGCCGCCGCAGGATAATCACGACGCTCAGTTATTTCACGGGCGTCCAGGCCCACCTGAGACGTAGAAAAACGGGGAAGGGAGGAGCAGTTGGGCGATTTCAAGATCCGGGTAGAATACCTAGCCCCCATTAGACTCCTACACCCAGAACCGTTCTAAACCGACAATAGCGATGGATTAGTGAAGACCTTTTTAGAGATTCTCTACGGTAACATCCCGCGCTGGGCAAGAAAAGTTCTCCGTCCACTAAAAAGATAAAGATAATGGGGAATGTGACGCCTCTGCCGCCATCTTAGCTGCATTTGTTGACCTACGCACTAAAAATACCGAAAAATCAGGGACGTGTCGAAGAAGTTGAGGAAGGCTGAAGCCGCTGTGGATCGCGCCAAGGCAGAGGTTGAATGGCTTCGATACTAGGCAGTCATCCCCGGACAGTCTGTGTTTGAAGACATAGCAATAGCTCGGCGAGCGGTTCCTCGCACGCCGGCGCCAGCACCTCGAGGTACTTGGCATCCCAGTCCCTCATCGTCAGGCTTCATTACTAACATCTATTCTCTACCCTAGAGCGTGGCTTTTCGTCGCAGTCAAGGACAGCCTCTTCGGGCAGTCCGACAGCCACTGTCGAGAGGATGACGAGGCCCGTAGAGCCCACGACAAAGAGACGCAGCGGATAGAGGATACCATTCTTAAACAAGCCCGAAACCAGCGGAATAGACAGCTCGACGCGCGGCAGGCCACCTCAGAAAGGCCAAGGATGAAGAGACGAGGCTGTCCAAAGACTTGGATAACGCTCGTGAGAAGTGCACTATTCTCGCACTAATTTCTCTTGCCGCTACCCTCACTCTTCTCCTCGTCGTTCTCCTCAATTAGCTCCTCACTATGCTCCTCACTTTGCGCCTCACTATGCGCCTCACCTGTGTCACCCACCGAGCCTCGGATGTACCAGCGGCAGGGACCTTAGCTATGTTCGCATATTTTGACGAGTCGCAGCACACAACGATGCTAGATTTGCGGACAGCTAGCTAGCTAGCTAGTCCCGGAATTCATCTCGCCGCCCCTGAGCACATTTACGCTGCCTGCTCCCGCAGTTTCCAGCATCAGTGAGACAGACGGGGAGCAAAAAGTTGGAGAGAGTTTCACAAGTGAACCAGAACCCGGCATCGTTAGAGAGCAGTGAAACGGAGTGCGTGAGTTGAGAAACTTGCCCAATATAACATGACATGCTAACTTGGGGCGAGTTTGAGACAATCTGTGATCATCCGGAAGATAAAATCTACATGTAACTAGAATAGGCACCTGCCGCGCTCCTTTCCATCCACATCGTTGACATTAGGGCCTTCGATGCTCAGTCCGCGCTCAGAAGTGCTATAGTTGAGCGGTATGATGCCCTCTTTGGGGATGACCGCCGAATCTATGGACATTAAAAAAACGGTGCTAGGTAGATGCTAGTGAAGGTATAACGTGCATCAGCCAAGGGCCAGATCTACGCATGCACACAAATGTTGCCATAAAGTGCTAGAGAATTACCGCTAGAATAAAGACAATGCTGGCAGCCATCACAACCACGCCTCAAAGAACCTCGTTGCCTGCCCAAACGCCTCGTGCTCCGCCCACCGATCGGTCTTGCTTTCCGGATCTCCCCGAACGGCAAACCCGTGGGCTACCTGACTGTACAGCGCAATGCTCCACACTTCGCCCTTCTTTTGCAAGATGTCCTCGGTGCGGTGGCGCATCTCAGCCGTGAAGATCAAGTCCGTCTCGGCGGCGGCGATGCTCAGCTGGCCGCGCGACGCCCACAGCTCCTCCTCGGTCACGTAGCTGGGGTGGGCCAGGAAGCCGACGTCGATCTTCTTGGAAGCATCAGTGGTGCTGCCACCGCCCAGGAACCGCACTACAAACTTGGCGCCGAAGCAGTAGCCGACAGCGCCGACGCGTTGTATGCCGTGCTGCGAGCCGAGGTACCCGACAGCGGCTGCGACGATGGGGTCTACCTGCTGGGTGGTATGCGGGTTGTTGCCGTCAGAGCCGTGGGCGGCCCAGTCGGTGAGCGCGTCGTCGGTAGGATGGATGACGGCGAAGGGCTTGTGTAGCTTGAATGGGTCGCCGTTGTAGAGGTCTGGGAGCAGGACGAGGTAGCCTGCGCTCGCGAAGCGGTCGGCGAGGAGCTGATTGTTCCGCCAAATGCCGAGGACGTCGGGGAGGAAGAGGATAGCGGTGTTGGGGTGAGGAGGGGCGTCAAGGGGCGGTACGGCAAGATAGGCCGAGATGGTGGTGTCAGGGATGTGAATGAGCGTGCCGGCCGGGGTGCCTCTAAATTTCAAGGTTAGGAATCACGACTAAAAGGTTCATAAATGTGATGATGGGGACACATGCTCGTGCTCATGGCCGCTAGCGCAACAGGCCGCCGGAGGTTTGGACGTCATGGTGTTGGAGAAAGCCTTGATGTTTGATGCGTCTTGACGATGCGGTTTAGAGAGGACCGCCTAAAAGATTGACACACGATTCACCCGTTGTTAAATATACTCGGCTCGGAGTCTTCGGATAAGGTATGTTGGGAGAAAGAATTCAACATGGTGATTACTGAACATGACGCCTTGCTTACCATGCAGTTGCTTAGTAACTCCCACGATACAAGTGTTCATCGGAACGTTCAAAGCTCAGTAAGCAACCTGCGTATTGTTCTATAGCGAAGACATCTCGCGTCGGCATATGAGCTCAGACTAGACAGGATACGGCGAGCAAGTCACTGCTGCTTTGTAGCGGCTTTGGTTTAGCCCTTCAGCCTGTCGACTTGAATGAAGCCTGGAGAAGCCGTCTGTCACTATATACTCAGTCTTGTGGGTCTGTTTCTCATCAAGGCCGGGGACGTCCGTGCGACGCACAGCTACAATTGCACCATGCAGTTCTCCGCTTGTGAAGGAACGTCGCCCGTTGGCGTATAGGAGCGCATGAACAGGCCGACGCAGGACGGGGCACGGTACAGCCAGTGGACGAGCAGCAGCCCTGGAGCACTAGGGACAGCCTGCCTGTCCCCTTAGTTGCCTACTATGGCTGGCATAATTACTAGTTCCTTTCAAACTGACTATAGAAGACCAAGCTTTTGCAGAGCAGGTACGCTTTTCTGGGCAGGGGTGGGCTGAAAATAGAGATCCTAGAGCAGCCCGTAGTTGCCTGGGCATCGTGCCATGGTCTGATGGAGAGCATTTAGGACTTGTCGGTGCAGGAAGAAGCACATAAGACACTAAAGTTGATATGATGCGGAGCACAAAAACAGAGCACAGCACATTAAACGCGCCGGATACAATCATTACTTCGGCCGCATACTACAAGCCTAATCAATGTGCTCGATGGCAGGCAGGGCGGAGCAACAACTCGAGCTGGTTGGAATCGCCAATGGGTACCGTGACTTCAAAGTTGAGAATCTTACGATGCTGGTCATATTTTATGTCCCTATTCGGCAATCTAGTCCGTTGGGCAAACACTGAATCCCTTGACGCAGTGTTTCTTTCGTAATTTCAGTGTCGGTGCGCAGTGCGAGTGAGGCTGAGTCGCAGCAGCTTGGCAAACCCGATAGACCACTTACAACGGCGTATCCCCAGGACCGTTCCCAGTACACAGTAGGGCTGACGTCGTAATATTGAACCAGGATTTTCCGAGCGTACCAATTGCCCGACTTAGTATCCGTGGGTAGGGGGTTACTGGTAGGGAGTTACTGGTAGGGGGTTACTGGTAGGGGGGTACTGACCGTGACGTTACATGGCCCAAACCTCCCGGCCAGGAAAGCTCTCCGTTATTTGATATCGAATCCGAATTATGTTCCAAGTGCAGCCGAACAGCATTTCGAGGAGCGACGTTATGAGTCTAGGAGAGGTAGGTGATATTGCATATAAATAGAGGCTGGCCTCTCAGTGTCGAGCAGTCGCCTTCACTTCAGCAGACATCGCACACAACATCTCCTCTCATAGCAAATCTTCATCTCCCTGCACCTCTCAAGCAAGAAGAGTCATGGGGCTCTTCCTTGCCCTTCTCCTGAGCTCGGCAGCTTTGAACGCCTACGCTGCCCCCGCCGAGCGTGACACGTTTGTCAGCTTCTCGCAGTTTCTGACTGACACAGACAAGGTCAGCTATGCTGGCTTCGAGACCACGAGCGTCGCAAACGAAGCAGCATTCAAGGAAATCCATGGCCACATCCTCAAGATGTACAGTGGAATCAAGAACCCTCAGAAGATCCAGAGCTTTGCCCTCGATGATGACTACGGCGACTGCATCCCCATCTTGGAGCAGCCCTCTGTCCACTTGCAAGGCATTAAAGAACTGGCGCCGCCCCCCGCAGCAGGAAACGGCAACGCCACTGGCTCACCATCCATCAACGGCGGCCAGCTGCAAGGGGTGCCGTCGATCCTGAGCCTCGGGCTCAAGGACCGCTTCGGCAACGCCGTCCAGTGCCCGGCGGGCACGATCCCCATGCAGCGGCTGACGGCCGAGCGGCTGACGCGCTTCAAAAATCTGACCGACTTCTTCCGCAAGCCGAACCAGGACGAGCTGGATGACAGAAAAATCAGCAAGCGCGCCCTCCCGCACAGCTATGCGCGCGTCACCGACACCGTCACTAACTTTGGCGGCAACTCGTGGATGAACCTGTGGCAGCCCAACGCCTATTTCTCCATCTCGCAGCACTGGTACGTCGTCAACGTGCCCCACCAGACCGTCGAGGGCGGCTGGACGGTCAACCGGCAGAAGTGGGACAGCAAGCCGCGGCTCTTCATCTTCTGGACCCCCGACGACTACGCCACTGGGTGCTGGAACCTCGACTGCTCGGGCTTCGTGCAGACGAACAACAACTGGCACCTGGGCGGGCCATGGTCGCCCATCTCAACCCGCGACGGCACCCAGTACGGATTTACACTGCAGTGGAAGCTGTACAGGGGCAACTGGTGGCTCTTCCTGGCCGGCAGCGGTTCCATCGAGGCAGTCGGGTACTACCCCGCGAGCATCTACAAGAACGGGCCCATCACGCAGAAGGCCGACTTTGCGAAATGGGGCGGAGAGGTGGCTGCGGACAGCAGCGGCAACTTTGGCGAGATGGGCAGCGGCAAGTTCCCGTCTGAAGGCTTTGGTAGGGCCGCGTACCAGCAGACCATTTTCACCCTGCCCAAAGACGAGGATGGTGGCTCTGGTGTCTGGGCCGGGCTCCAGAGCTTGCACATCACGAAGGCGAGCTGTTACAGCATCAAAACCACGCCTAATGATGGCGGCAGCTGGGGGTCGTACTTTTACTTTGGCGGTCCCGGCGGCAGCGGATGTGCTTGATCGAGCCCTTCGGTTTGGGGTGAGAAGTATGGGAGCGAGAACTATGGCAGTGAGAGAGTACGGGATGTTTGATGAGACTAGATGGCTTGTTTCATATTCCAATAGCAAACAAGCTGGAGCTTGGCACATCAACCGTTCAAAATTCGTAACTGCTTCAACTTGGAAATCAATCACTTCAAACTCCAAGTCTTTTGTGTCCTTACACTGTCGACCTAGTGCACACGTAAACCTCGCTGAGAAAAAAAATTTGAGAAAGTTAGGCTTTGATTCAAATTGCCCAGAATCTCGCCGAAACAGGCAAGTTCCAACACTGAGCTCGCTGTAGGGTGGCAAGCGTGGGCGACTGCAGGTTGGGCACGTGTGGCTCAGGCTGTTAGGCTCCATGCTTAGGCGCTGCGAAAGAGCCCAACACAGTCATGAGTCAAATTGCCCAAGAGAGGGTGCAAAAGTTTCACAGCTTCATTCTCAGCTCGTTTCAAGTTACCCCCCGGCATTTTTCTGTAATCAAAGTGACTTATTGCCCTCGGACGACACCATGGAAAGCGCGCTGATTTCATGGATAACGGGGGAGAAGAGAATGCCAAGGCAGATTCCGACGACCTCGACCCTGGTTGGCGGGAGAGTTGCCAGCGCCCAAAAGGTGGTGAAGACGGTCCGGGCAGTCCACGGACATGGAATCTTCAGAGTGGGGGAGACGATAAACAGCGTGAACCAGGTCTCCAAAACCCTGAACAACTTCATCCCCAAGGTCTCCAAGCTCGTGGACCGCGCCAACCAGTTTATTCCCACCATGCAAATCATGGCACATTCTGCGTGCGATAGCATCAAGATTACCACTAGTTTCACGAATGTCGCCACCTCGGTTGGGATCGGCGCTAACCTGGTTCTGACGTACCAGGGCGTCAAGGCCCTCCATTTGATCGCCGCCAAACTCGAGGACGTCGCAGCCGCCCTCGCAGCGCAGACGGCACTCACGGCGCAGAGAGACTTCCCCCAGTACGTCTACGACATGATACGCGAGCGGCTTGGCCAGACCTCAGATGATCCAGCCGGCGATCACTGGTTCTTTCTCTTACACCCCGACGACGACTGGTACCCCAAATTCTACCATCTCCTTGAGACGCAGCCTGTCGGCCCTAGGTTCTGCGGCTATACGAACCACATCGACACCATCTTCGTTTTCATGCTTGCCGCACGGCGGTTCATCGAGGAGAGAGAGCGCAGAGCTCGAGAAGCGGGACGGCAGTTTCGCCCTGTGAGGCTGCATCTCCTGATTCCGGCGTACCAGCCCATCCTCATTGCGGAAGCGCTCAGGATCCCTCCCGAGATTGGCGATTTTGTAATGGAGGCGAGGGTCAATAGCGGCAAGGAATTTGTCTGGCTCAACCTCCCCCATGGACAGCGGCATCATACCTCGGGCATTGGTCATTGGGAACCGCCGGGTACTGGATGGTGGGAAGGAGTCTTGTCCAAGATTGGCTTGGCCCAGAGACCGCTAACACTGGGCAGTCCCAGGGTATTAGGAAGTAGACAACGGTCATCGGAGGACGATGACGTTTTGGCAATGGTTGGCGACGGTGAATTTAGGGCCAGGCCTGTTGCTGATGGCGAGCCGGGAAACGAAGATTTGCTAGGACCTCAGACTAGCAACCAAGGTGGTGATGGAGGAGGGGGAGGGGGAGAAAATCGACACCATGCAACGCCGCTGCATCACCGCCACGGCAGAAGAGACCATCGTAGGAGTGTCAAAGAAATAGACAGAGGCAGTCGTGGCGAAAAGGGGCCGGCAGCAGCAGCAGCAGCGGGACTTCGTGAGTCCTGATCGGGGCAGAGTGCTTAGAAGTACATACCATGTAATAAACCCACTGATAGTTTCAAGATATAGCGAGAATGGTCTTTTTGGGGGAGAGGGGGTGGGGCCTTACTGATAAACGCATGACTAAAATTCCAAGTACAAGACTCCGTGCTCACGTCTGCGAGAGAACTCGCTGAGATTGCTTCAAGTTATTGACATATGGTCAAGGTAATGATGGATATCGACCGTAACATATATCCACAGGAGACTCCAGCTAGTTCGGTTACTTGAAGGGGAAATTGACTGCGTAGACAACATCGCAATGGCATGCCAAGGACACGCAGACTCAGATCAGAATGAGAGAATTAACTGTAGCTCCGATGTCAAATAAGGAATGAGAGCCAAGTGTGGTGTGAAAGTGTCGACTGGTTACTGTGACGGCCCGCCTTACGCAGTAGGGATGTCAATGGTTGAAGGCAGTAACGAATGTGCATTTAAAACTAAGGAAGAGAAAGGAATCTATCGCGGGGTCCGCGCAGGGCGCGGAGAAATAGGTGGTGGTGCTCAGTGCGCACAGGCCACACTCTAAACACAATGCAGCCAATAGAATCAATCCTGTCACATGAGCCCTGTGGCGACCGTGACAGTTACCAGGTACTGTTGGGATGACAAGGTCGTTCGCAATCGTCACTTTGGCCATAGTCACGTATAGAGTCTAGTTTAGCCACATAGAGGTGGTGTTGTGGTGATATTCTTCTGCTCTGCTCTATGTAAAAGGATTACGAACTACGGGGATAAGAAGAGAGTGGTTTGGGGGGGCATCGTAGTCACGTACTTGTAGCACATGCCACATGGTAGCTTGTGTGTAGGTTATGTGTTTGCTTCCTTTTAAAGGCGTAAGCCTTCTATAAGCTACTATTCCTATATATTAGGGTGCGAGAGCGACCCGGAACGGCAAAGGGTGATGTGAAGGCAGGCATATACAAGAGGCAAGGCTGTAAGTAAGGAATGGATATATTCGTAGATTACTAAGCCAAAGAAAGGAAAAGGAAAAGAAGAAGCCTGCGCGTCCTTTAGGCGGTGGTTTTGTGGCTGCGCTAGTCCCTAATGGGAAGAGTAGTGCCTATAGCTGGGTATTTATTAAGGCGGCCTTAAATGCTGAAACTTGAGGCCACACGCTCGCCAAAAACAGCAGTCTAGACTGCGGCACATGTGGTATAATAGACCAAGCTTTCGGCTCCCAATTAGAAATCTCAACACACCACGAAGCCAAATACTTTCTCCTACCGATTTCAGTTCCTGGCCTTGCTGAAGCGAAATGCCGACTAAATAGAGTGGGGGCCCAATATAGTCATGCAGGGGGCGGAGCACAAGAAACCACATCTGAGAGCAAGCGACTCAATCAGCTCGCTGCCTAATATGCATGGCCGGACAGAACGAGGCTTCGCTTAAGCCTGGACTCATACTCCATAGTGAGTTAACAATTAGCCCCACGCAATCTTTCATTAATTATTCGGTGAAGCCTTCTAGAAGCTTGAGCTGGGAGCTCCGGTACCTAAACTAGATTGTGGCGAGGTGGAGATGATCTGTGCAGCAAAGATGCAAGGTGTATAAATTCATAGAATGGTGTGTAGGCCACGCGGCAGCGGCACAACTTGTAGAGCTAGTGGTGATAGGGGCTGCCAGGGTTTTGGCGGTATTCCGGCCAAGAGATGAGGAAGTTGCACCGTACCATGATTTATGAGTAGTCAAACCTACGGTCCTCATCAACTAATGTCACATGATCAAACGTTGAGGGGGAATATAAAAAAGAAATATGTCCGAATACTCAATTTCTTCAAGTCGAATAATGAATACACAGTGTTTAACTACCAGCTCTATTCCAATCCTCTCGACAAGAACCTCTAACCCCAAATTACCAATATTAAAAGTTTAGAAAATCGCCACCAGTATAGGTTCGTGTCTTGACAAGGCCTGGCCTCTAGGGCATACCTAGGGATTTCAGCTGGTGCGTCGAGGCCCGGCTGTCTAGCTGATGCCACAGCTGGGTCTCTTTCCGCGGGTGTCGAGCCGGGCTGCTATGTCTCCGAAGAGTCAGGCACGCCACCCATAGTGACAGGGCGGCAATGAGAAGTGAGGGAATGCCGAAGGCGATGGTGATGATTGCGTCGGGCGAAAGAAACGAGGGACAAACGGATGATGACATGTATGTGTGGCTAGGGCTGTGGTTCTGGAACTCTTTCGTTGAAGCTGAGCCCTTTGGGTGAAGCGGCGAGAGGCATTCGTTTTGCTGGTGAGCCGGACGTCTAACGCAATGAATAGAGGCCTGGCCTTGGTTCTGGAGTGCCGGACGGGCATCCTTGGTACCGTATTTATGGTTCAGGAGCTCACGCCGAGTACCATATGAAGGTGATTTGGGCTGCGACACTGCGACATTTGGGCGCTAGGATGTAAGTCGGGCCGATGGATGAAAAGAAACAAAATAAAAAAAATTATTTCCTTCCTGTTTACCTGTGTGGTGGGTGCGTAGATAGGTGGGGACACGGGCCTTCAATGCAATGTGATGATTTAAGGCGCCCCGTTCTTGGACGGACACCGACCAATCGGCTGATGGTTAATGCTCTAAGGCATCTTGTGAGATGGAGAACCGGTGAGAACCGGTGGACTGCGCGGGACACTGCGACACTGCGACACTGCGACAAGGTTGACTTCGCCCAGAAAAAGCTTGACCCCCTTAACGCCGACCCCGCAACTGAACTGCTGCCTACTTTTGACTGCGACATTGCGACACTCCGTCTCCTGTGTGCTCAAATTAACTACAGAACCGGTAGAGGCTGCGCCTATCTATCCGCAGCTGTGGTTGGGCAACCCCGCAAAATACAAGTGCTGCCGGGATTTTACAAAACTTATCGAGCGTGCTTTCCGGGGAAAATGGAAAATATTAAGAATGCCCTTGTCTGCTGCGATGCAGGAATTCATCGTCTCGCTAACGTCTCCAGGGATTCTACATGCTTCAACCGGATCCACGTCTGTTGCTGCTCTTGATTGCAAGGAGAAAATGGATGGCGTATTATCGTCAAAGAGACGCAAGTTGAACTACAAGAAATGCATTTTCTGCCGCAAGGACAAAAAGAAGGTACGTCAATTACTGGTTTGGCTGGAGAGAGATGGTTCGATCTGTTGGTCCTAATCAGAAGAAACGCTAATAATACCAATGCCCAAAGTGTGAGCCAGCCGAGAAAACATGGCCTAGGGAAAAATGTCATCGATGTGCCAAAATGGGCCTCGAATGCTCCGAAAGCAAAACAACCGCGGCCATCTCAGCATCATCCTCAGATCCAAAGAGACCGACCATAAACGACGACCACCATAGCAACTTGGTGAAAAACAGCAGCACAACAGGAACAGAACTGCAAGTCGCGCGCGGAGATGCCAACATAAAGTGCACCGACACTGGCATTCTACCTGACCTGTAATTATGCTCTGATTAATTACCTATATATTACGAGGCTGAAGCCCAGGGTGGCTAACCAACTACCAACAGGACCATCAAAGCCCACTGGTTGCACTATCTGGCCCGGATGGAAGAAAAAGCTCGACAGTACGAATCGGCGCTGGAACGACATATCCAAGGAATTCACAGGATTGCACTTCTTGACAGCACCCAACGCATAATCAACCGGGAGCTCCTAGACTTCCGCAGCCGCGCCTTGCTCCTGAACACCGATTCTCGTGTTGCACCCTTCGCGCTAGGAGCAATGCCTGCCATATTGTTCGGCACTGGCCCAGGGGCCCCGTTTTCCATTTTTGAGTGGGAGACTTGGACTGCTGCCTATGATTCCGACATGGACGGGCTGGTGCACCGCGCTATGGCCTGTGGCGACTTGTCTACTGCTCTTGCCGTCCAGGAACATAGGTTGATTTACTGGTGCCGGAGACGGGAACTGTTCCCAAGAGGCGAACCGCTAGACCAGGACGTAACGATGATGGAACTATTCCTTTCCATTCACCGTCTTGTCTGTCAGCGTGCGGGGGACCCTTCGGCGGATTCAGTCGGCTCAAACGAATTTCTGTCCGGGCATCCTCAATCAATCCCATCCCTGGATAATCCGTTCGTCCTGGCAAGGGCTATCAAGCTGGCAGAGAAGGGTGTCGATTTATTCATGTCTGGGACCGACAATTTTGGCCGCACACTGCTTCACATGGCCCTCTACCAGTTTCACAATATTAACGGCTTATTCAACACGTTTGGCCAGTCCTGGGGCGGCGACATTCTTCGAAACTTGGGTCTCGAAGACGCCAACGTCAAAGACAGACTGGGCCGAACTGCTTTGCATATTGCATGCATCATTGGCCAGGTCGAGACCGCCTGCTCACTAGTCCGTCACGGTGCCAATATGAACGAAACCGAGGAGGGTTCAGCTAGCTTGGATGCATTCACACCCCTCCACCTTGCCGCAGCTGCTGGTCATTTCGAGGTGCTTGCCGCACTCGCGTCCGAGTTTCCTGTGAAGTTTACCACTGCTAATAGATCGGTGATCTCTGCCGCGGAAAAATACGACCAACTTAAAGTTGTTTTCTGGTTAAACAACTACAAGTCGATAACAATAGGAATGTCGGAATGATACAAGACTCAAAAAAATTTCGAAGGATAACGAAAGGGGGACCCGGAGAGGACATTGCGAGCCGTGCTAGTTCTCATAACAATGCCAAGCTACCTTTGTACTGTTATTCAAGTTTTGCTTTAATAGCAAAGGAAAAGTATTTGCCTATAAGAACCTTCGTAAGGCTGATAATGAGGCTGCATGGCCGCCTTTCAAAGTTGGCCACGGAAACGAAGCTAGGATTCTCGCTAAATTGAAACACGACCATACTATCGCCTTAGAAGACATCTACATTAGCGAGGGTCACATAGTGCTCGAATAGTGCTCGCGCCATTATATAGCTGGTGACTACATTGGACGGAAGTAGCCAGAACTTAAGTAAGATTTGTTCGCGCTGAGCTTCCAGATGGTGGATGCCCTCACATATCTATACTATCAGGGTGGTATAGTATATTTTGACGTGCGTCCCGAGAATATCCTCGTTTAGAGCCGGGCTCCGCGTCTCGTTTGCAAGCTCGCCTATTTTAGCTATGCAACGAGAAATTCACAGTTTTGTTATCAGGGCCCGAAGATGTGGAGTAACGAGCGACATCCTCCTCCGAAGTTACGAGCCGTAGCGATATAGACAGAAAAGCCTCACTTGCCGACAAGTTCGATATATAGTTACTTGGATGCTTGTCTTACGATATTGTAGTAAGGGAGAAGGCCGTTCGAAATAGGCTAAGGGTGGCGATATATAGGCCACGCCAGCTGCGCGTATTTGTACAGTGTTCTGTTAGCCGAAGTACGGGGGGAGAGAGAAGGACGTGAGAAGGAGAAAGTTGAAAACAAGCAAGCAGGGGAGGATGTGGTGTATTTATCAAGACATTATGACTTATATTATGACTTTAACAGTGAAGTGGCCTGTACCCAGGCTGGTTGGTCGAGGTACAAGATGGTAGCCCGAGCGTGGAATCTGATCAGCTAGCCTCGGTAGGGACCACTGAGCAATCAGAAAACGGCAGTCCCGACCACAGCACATGCATTTCATCACATCAAAGGACTGTCCCTGCCACTTACTCAAACCCATGTTCCATGCCAACAAAAAAGAAAGAAAAAAGTAAGAAAGAAAAGAAAAAAAGGAGGAAAGAAAAGAATGAGAATAGCAGGAGGAAACAGAACGCCATTCTCGATGCCAATGTGGAACCTCCATCTTCGGCAGACACCGCCAGCCCGCCCCCCCGGACCCGGATCTGCCCCCTGATCCACTCAAGACGGCAGCAGCCCCGCATACGTCGGAGGAACCAACTCCAAGCAGAGCTTGGCATGCTGGTATACAGGGTCAATTTAGGCGAGACTGCTGCCGCTCGCCGTCTCATTCGCCCGCTCACCCGCTATACATGCTGATTAGCTACTGTATTCTCGGGCTCATTCCAGATTTACTCCCAGCGTATATGTCCCAAGAAACGGGACAAGTGGTGCTGGACAACGTTTATAAAGTGATTCCTGCATACTATACGCCCAGCTCCCTGGACCATGTTCCACGTCTGGAACTCATCACCCCTCGGGCCCTCGTCTGCATAGCACGACACGTCTAGAACCACATCATGGCCATCATCGGCAGCAGAGAGGAGCATGCCGACCCCCGCCTCACCCGCATCGCACAGGCCGACAAGGTAAAATGGTACAAGAAACCGAACTTGCGGTCCTTGTATTTCATCCTCATCCCCTGCGGCCTGGGAGTCGAGTGGACCTCGGGCTTCGACTCGTCCATGATGAACAGTCTGCAAGCCGTCAAGGCATGGACCGACTGTTTGTGGCCCCCTTGTCTCTCATCGTCATATCTCCCCCCTTCTCCTCCACTCGGTTGAAGAGCGGCTTGGATCCAGAACTAACACGGGAGAACCCAGACTTTGACAACCCCACCGCCAGCCGGCTCGGCCTGCTAAACGCCATGTACTCGCTCGGGGCACTGATGGCGATCCCGTTCGTGCCGACCGTCAGCCAGCACCTCGGGCGGCGGCGCACGATCCTGCTGGCGTCGGTCATCATGTGCCTGGGCGCGGGGCTGCAGGCGGGCGCGCGCAACTCGGACATGTTCCTGGCGTCGCGCTGGGTGCTGGGGTTCGGGATCCCGTTCGCCATCGTCAACGCGTCGTCGCTGCTGGGCGAGCTGTCGTACGCCAACGAGCGCGCCGTCGTCACGTCGCTGTTCAACGCGTCGTGGTTCGTCGGCGCCATTGTGGCTGCCGGTACCACGTACGGCACCTTCCAGATGGCCAGCACCTGGGCCTGGCGCCTGCCGAGCCTGCTGCAGCTCGTGCCCAGCTTCTTCCAGCTGGCCTTCATGCACTGGTGCCCCGAGTCGCCGCGGTGGTTGGTGTCGCGCGACCGCGGCGACGAGGCGCTGGCCATCCTGCAAAAGTACCACGGCGAGGGCGCCGACGGCGCCGAGTTCGTGCGCCTCGAGTTTGCGCAGATCCAGTCGACCATCGCGCAGGAGCAGCAGCTGGCCAGCCGGTTCGTGTGGGCTGATGTCCTGCGCGACCCGCCGATGCGCCGCCGCTTCCTGCTGGCCGCCGTCGTCGGCTTCTTCACGCAGTGGTCCGGCAACGGCCTGACGAGCTTCTACATGAAGAAGATCCTCGCGCTGGTCGGGATCAAGGACGACAGGACCGTGCAGCAGGTCATTCTGAGCAACACGTGCTGGGGGTTTATCAACGCTGTGCCCATTGCGCTGATCGCGCCGCGCTATCCCCGCCGCCGCATGTTCCTCATCTGCACCATCGGCACGGCTTTTGTGTATACGGCGTGGACTGTGGCTTCGGCGCGGTGGGCCATCGAAGGCTCGTCCAAGGCGGCGATCCCGGTGCTGGTCTTTATCTATGTCTACTCGCCGTGAGTCACGCATTATCGAGCTTCTCGGGCGATGATTGCGCTGTGTTGATTGTTGTTCGCTAATTTGTGAATGTCGACAGCTTCTACAATATCGGCTGTATGTTACATGTTGTCTTGACTGATTGATTACCTGCCGGCAGTAGCGGTATTGCTGCCAAAGAGACAAGAACTAGCGCTGACCATCTCGAGCAGGGAACGCGCTGGCATACACGTACATGGTGGAAATCTTTCCGTTTGCGCAGCGGGCCAAGGGCATCGCGGTCGAGCAGCTCACGGTGCGCTTCGCCGTCTTCTTCAACACGTACGTCAACCCCATCGCGCTCGACGCCATCACGTGGAAGTACTACATTGTCTACTGCGTTTGGATCTTGGTCGAGATTGCTACCGTCTACCTGCTCTTCCCCGAGACGCACAACCGCACCCTCGAGGAACTGAGCTTCATGTTCGAGGGCAAAGAGGTCCAGGACAGGGTCGACAAGAACGTCGACAAGGTGCTGCACTTGGAGCTGGATAGCATCGGGCCGGGTGGTGCGACGCATCCCGGCACTGAGTTGGATGATGCTGGGAAGACCACTGCCGTTGCTTCCGCGCACGTGGATCAGAGGGTTCGAGTTTGAAGAATGTTGCAGATAATGTTGTTGGACTAAGAATTTAGGTTGCTTAGGCTTGGTGTCGAAATGAGAGCACGGTTACCTTTTACCTCATACGTGTTTGCAGTAGTTGTGATTTCAACGGTTTAATGTCTTTTAACTAGGTAATTAGAATATGATCTGGCAGAGTTGGAAAGAAAATGGTGGTACTAACCCTTTATCTTCACCTTATATATGTGTGTGTGGCCCGTCGCTTGAGGACGTAAGTGGGTTGCCTTGATCAGAGTAGCATATACTTACCTATGCAAGCATGACACTTACCTTTTGACCTACCTGGCGGCTCCCTTTCAGGGGTTGCCCTGAGATTGGCGTTTATTGTTAATTATCGTGGTTGTTCCGGAAAAACCTGTGCGCCACCTAGTAGCAACCTTTGAATCATTCAGTCGTACTTTTACTTACTCTCTTTTCTTATTTTCTTTGCCTTCTCCGTGTTGACTTCTTCGCTGCCGCCTTCAGTTGTGTCGGCGGGGCGTCGAACTTGTATTTGAGCAGTAGCGGGTAGAGGTCTGCAAAGGCCTCGTAGACCTGGTCAGCGGTCTTGGCGCCGGTCAGGACGACTTTCCCGTTGAAGAAGACAAGACACGTGACCTTGGCGTCGGTCTTGAAGATTTGGAAGACCAGGCCGGGGAAGAGCTCGGGCTCGTACCTGGCGAAGCCCTTGGACCCCCACTCGGCCACCAGGCCCTCGAGCCGGATGTAGAAGTTGCAGCCGCACGAGCCGACAAAGTTCTGCACCTTGAAGTCTTTGAACTTTGTGTTGAAGCCTAGCTTCTGGATCAGGCGGGCGTGCTTGCGCGCGGCCAGGCGTGCCAGCTCCACCGACTTGGCGCCCGTGATGACCAGCTTGCCCGAGCCAAAGACCAGCGTGGTGGTGCGCGGCTCGCGGATGCGCATGATGACGGCGTGGAACTTTTTCTGGTTGTACTCGACGTTGCGCGCCTGCTGAGAGATCAGGTTGAGGTCCAGCCTGCACTCGAGGTTAACTGTTGCCACAATGTTTTGTATCGTGGGCATGGGCCAGTGAGCCTCGATGCGATCGAGGCCCCGCGGTTTCGGTGTTTCTTGGTTAGTGTTCTGTTCCATGTACCCTGCTGCTGGAGCGTGTTGTCGCTCAGTTCGGAGCAAATATGCTGTCTATTCTAAATGACGGAAATTTTAAATTAGGCGTATTTATGGGGGGGCCAACTCACTTGGGAGATATCGATGGACAGCAACGGAGAGAAACAGAAGGAGATCCCAGATCTATATTCCCAGCCCGACAACAAAGGGAGGGCGCTTCTTTCAAACGGTCGGGGAACAAATCTATTGTTTGGTCGGTAACTATGTTTCCGACAGCCACAACAATTGAACAAAGAGTATGGTGACAATGCCTTGTGACAATGCTTTGTGGTTGTGTCCCTAACGGCAAAGGGCACCGGTTTGAAAAGGACTTGCAACAAAGACTCTAGCAAGTCCGAAGACAGAAGCTAATCTAATTTGGTAGCTTGTCAAAGGATACTGGTGGGCTTCCAGACGGAAAGGCGGCAACGGCCCGGTTCTCTCTTTCCCAAGTTAACTAGTGACAACAAGTGGGTGAGTTATATGTTCTTCATCGCTGCTAGATGCCGATATGCGATGCGGTGCAATGCTGGTATTACGGCCGGATGGCTGCGGCGGTTGTTGGAGCCCATGGCAGCGGTGGAATTGTCGGTCAACCGTCAGCAATTGAGAGATCGAGGCCCATTCGCCGCCGACACAGCAGATCTGGGAAGGGTGGAGACGCCTAAAAATGGATTCAAAGAGCGGGGGAAGGACAGGCGGGAGATTACTGTTTTAATTGAACGTTGAGGGTCGTAGAAAGTACAAAATCTCCTTTGTTCCTTCCTGTTAAAATGGGTGGGTTTCCTTTGTTTTCGCCCTTCTGCAACGGACGAGGCAAGTTTTGAGTGGAGCAACCTGGACATGCGCCTATCCAGATCGGGTCTAGCGTTGCCAAGCCCCACTCACAGCGCAGCAAACCCCGTCAAGGGATCCAACTTTTGTTTGGTTCAACGGCCCGTGCTGGTGGATTTTGAGCGCGGCTTCTCGTGCGGACCTTCCCTCCAGACGGATAAGCGGCATCTCGGATGGCTATTTTCGGCTGACGACACGCAACTCCTAGGACAAGATCGGTGTGGTGGTTAGAAGCGGAAATCCGCGCTCGGCTTGGGTTTGCGAGAGAAGCCCGGCTGGCTTTGGCCATGGTCATTGATCGGCTTCCTCCATCGATGGGCATCTCCTGACAATCACAAGCACGCGCCTTTGACAACGCCAAGGGAGAGAGCCGGCGACGGTTGACATGAAGTTTACGTGATGGTCTTGCACCCTGCTCGCAGCGAAGAAAAGGGATTGCTTGGCCAACGCTTTCCGTCTCTCACAAGCAAGCTACGTAATGTGAAGTCTGGCGCGCTTTGAGGGTTTGAGTTTGGCGCCATCCCAGTTATTCCCGCCACCCACCCGCATGCTTGCAGTCCCGTGCATCACGATGCTTCAGTGTCGCAGCGGTTTCCGCCTCGTGGGCACGCTACATGCGTCTACAAGCCCGCCCCGGGCATTAATGTGAAAGCTAATATGATCTGAGCAGCCGTGCTTGCCCACCGGCAGCTTTAGGTAGCTACGAGATGATAAGGTTCCCCTCCGTCCGCCTGGCTCAAGCTAGGAGATAGCTATGGCGGTTTCAACCATCTCGTTTGCCCCCCGATGAGAGCCCCCCGAAATCCAAATCCAGGCCAAGCAAAGCGCCGTCGAGATGCCTTATTCAATGCCGCGCTTTTCAACTCACAGCAACACTGGGCCGCCTCATGTTTCTCTACCCCAGACCACAAGAGTCCAGAGGAACAAACTAAGGAAACGGCCGCCGTTCTGGTCCTCGGATAGAAGCACAGCTGCCTACGATCTCTGCCAACTCATGGGGAACAATGCCAGCTTTGAAAACATACCGCGGCCGGCGCGCCCGCCTCGCCCGTCCGCAACTGACATCCCGGACCTCCCCAGCCTGCCCATGTACGAAGGCTTCACCCCCAAACACCGCCCAGTCACGCTACTCGACGAGAAGACCCCCCGGGTGTTTGAACGGCGTCCATCCGCGGCCACGACAAGATGGTCATCGGCAGATGGACCGCGACCGCGGTGGGACGCCGGGGCTGGTGACGAGAGACCTGCTACGCACCACTCGCTAGCCGCGAGCGACACAACGGCCGTCGAGGTGCCCCGCTATGACCGGTCTTCCCGGCTGGCGGAATCGTATCGAAACGTGCTGCCGGACAGGGAATCAATGACAATCGAATACAGGGAAGCACGCGGATCAATCAAGAGGCAGCAGGATACTAGGCGACCCCGGAGCCAGCAGCGCGAGCCTCACGCCAGCAATCATCCGACACAACACAATCAGACTGTCGCGACCCCAGAACAAGAGAGATTCGACGTCAGGTCTGCGCCTGTAAGAACACGCTCGTCCGCGGTCCCTTCGACACCGACCTCGTCGATCACCGCGGTGGACTACGACCTCGGCCCCGTTGACGGGCTGGCGCTTGGTAAGAGCCGCGCCCCTGGTAGCCACTCACGGGAGGCGGAGAGCCAGAGAGACGCGCTGGCCAATAACAAAGAGCAGCGGACGAGCGAATACGTCGGGCTGCAGATCTGCTCGGAGCTGCTGACGGAGGAGCTGACGCGGACCTTCTTCCGGCAGCACCCCGGCGAGACGCAGTCGCGGGCCTCGAAGCTGCAGGTTCTCCTGCTGATTGAGGCGTACGAAGCCATGCTCCACTCGTGCCGCAGAGAGCTGCTGAAGCCGCCGCCGGTCCGGGGCGGCGAGCGCAGGAAGGGCCTGCGGGACGCCGTGAGGATCCTCGACCACTGGCTCGACTCGCTGTATGTCATCTACGATGATACGTTTAGTGATGAGGTCAACAGCGCGGCGGCCGAGGTCGAGGGCATGATATAGGTAGCTGGGATGTCAAGTGCGCCGCCAGAATGGACATGATGACAGGCGAAGAAACAAGGGCATGCATGGTTTGGTTCTTTGTCGCTTCCAAGCTTACAGTGGCAACAGTATGAATATGGTGACGGTGGATGTTTTAGGTGTTTTCCATTCCTCTGCACAGTCTAATTCATGAGAAAACGATACCCAATCCGATCGGTGCGATCCACGTGATTTTCGAATCCCAGGTGTTCAGCCGCATCAGACTCTCAGCTCACGTCCCATTCCCCGCCCACCAGGTCCCATAGCTATGCCAATCACTCCAGCAACAGTAACTGGCTACAGCTTGCTCTGTAGGCTACTGCCAATGTCTTCATAGCCGAGACGCGGCTGGGAAACTACATTCCGGAAATGGATTCTCTCGCGGTCGTCGCCGGCTGTCTCGGCGTGGTCTCAGCCATCGCCACCATAACCAAGGCCATCACAGAGCTGGTATCAGAGGTCAGGGACGCGAAAGACGAGCTGGGGCGAGTGCCGGATGAGCTCTTGTCTGTAAAAGCCTCGCTAGAAAACATTGCCGACATGGCCCAGAAGTCGGCCATCTCCGCGCCTCTCGAGTCGCACGTCATGACGACGGTCGTGGGCTGCCGGGCCACCGTCGGTGATATCGGCGCCATCGTTGAGAAGTGCCTCGCTAGACGCTGCGGCACTAGGTCTGTGGGCTGGATGCTGGTAAAGGGCGACGTTAATCGCCTCCCGGCGTCCCTCATATCCAGTAAGATGGACGTAGGCATTGCGCTCACTCTGATCAATAGGTCTGTTCCCACTCTTTTCCGGATAATGAATGAATGTCCTTGACCAACAGCTCGGCCGGCTAACTTGAGCTCTCTCCTCTCGGGTGCGCAGTGAGGCATCCCAAGGTGTTAAATCGGATACTGGACAGATGGCGCCTCAGGTTAACGAGATACTCCACCGAGTTCGAGTTCTCGACGGCCTCTCGGCCCAGGATGGCGTAACAAACCGCCAAATCCTAGAAGCTATACAGCAACCCGTGCACCAGCTGGAGATGTTGAATTCAAGCGCCGTACCGGCTCCTGTCGAGAATGACAACCCGTGGGCAGATATTGTGGCAGATGACCGCACGGCAGTCGCAAAGGGTGCAGTTGTGAGTAGCCAGCTAGGCTAGCAAGCCTCAGGACGGCTGAAATAGAGAGCTCACATTGGATTCGCCACATCTTAACCATAATTACATCCCGTCCATCCATAGCAGCTGTAGCCCTGGAACGCGACGCACATGGCGGAACGAGTAGGATGGTGGAAAGATATATCTCAGCGTATTTGTAGCGTGGGTAATTGAAAAGGTAGGTAATACCTACGTCTTTGTGAGGGAGGTTCATCGACACCAACACCATTCACAGGGGACTCCACATGCTTCCGGCGGCCCTAGAGGGCTCTTTCTGCATTTCAAGGGCACTCAGAACCTGAATTCGAAACTGTCTGAGAAACGGACTCTGATCTTGTATGTACAGATGTACCCTTGACGTTCTCCCCACGACAACCGAAAACAATCGTAAGTGTTCTGTATGGCGATGTGCCGTGAGATTCTGTCACTATTACCACTTACGAACTGTATTTTATGATCAGATCTTGAGGAGACAATGCATGTCGGCTATTCTTTGCAGCAACTTGACTTGTCAGCCGCCGAGTCCAGATTTATCAACGGCGAGAGTTGGTATCGGATATCCCTGCAAATCCGACTTTTCCAAATCGAAGAATCCGGTACTCTTGGTGTCGATATGTTGTGCGAGGGGAAGGTGCTGGGCAATTTTAATATTGACTTTGCTTGAATGACACTGCGTAATTATACACAATCTAGGCCCAAAATGAATCATGTCACAAGTTCGTTTCGTTTCAGTGATATGATTTACCTCACCAGTAAAATGTTGCGAATTGTCGGCCAGCTAGGCAAGACGCTGGCCGCAGCTCGGTATCATTGATAGCTCTGTGAGCTACTGTAAAGCCACGCTTCCAATACCGATGCATCTCCCCTCTCCAACCCCAAGAACACGGCGTACCGTATTTGACTAGTTAGATACCGTTGGGATATTAGGTCTACCAGGCTCTCGCAGAGCCACATATAAAGTCTAATAGATGGTGTAATATTACCTCGAACTGGATTGGCGCTCGGCAGTTTTCCTCCCGAGACAACCTTCCAACACGTTTGTCGTCCAAAGGAACGATGCTGCCGGCCGTTAGGAATCCGCTAGAAGCTCTCATCTTTAGGGCACAAGCAGACTGCTGGATAGGTGGAAAACCTATACCAGTGGATCGATTAGCGCCTCCGAATGTTCATTAGTTATTACCGGAATAAGCTCAACGTATGGCGGAGACTATGAAGCTTATATTAAGACCGCCCGGGATAGTATTGCCAGGGCTCAGGAAAATCAGACAACAGAAGCCCAATATGCACCGACGAGTTCTGGACTTCGACGTGGGCGATCGGGTCTATATAATAAAGCATGCCTGGTCGATAGACAAGGCCTGGCACCAAACTCGATTTCTCACTCACATAGCAATACTTCAAGATTCTCGAGAGATTAGCACAAACAAGAACGATTACGATTATAGGCTAGAAGTGCCGGATAGTTGGCGAGGCACCGATGTGTTCCATGCGGACCGTTTACGGCTATACCTAAACAACCCTATTCCTAGCCAAGAAGACCCTAACCCGGAAGGCGACACAGTCGACCAAGAGCGGGAATGGGAAATCGCGAAGGTGCAGTCCTCGAGATCTTACTACGGCAAGCTCTAGTACCAGGTTCAATGGAAAGGATGGGCCGCGGATGCCACATGGTGGTATGCAGAGAACATCAAGAACGAACCAGACCTGCTCAAAGCCTACCAACACGACGAGCACCCCAACAAGGCGGGGCCCCCGCGCGATTGAACGAATGTCTGCGAGCCGCAGAAGAGGACAGGTTCGATGAACCTCACCAAGACGACAACAGACCTGTGGTGCAAGGCAGGCCGCTGCCCAGGGTAACGCGACGACGATGATCGCCTATTTAAGCGGTTGTGCACGATCAATTGGCAACAACCAAGGTTAGAACTGTCACGGCGCGCAACGGCCGTAGCACACTATAACCCACTACAGGTTGCAAGTCGTCGACTTGCAATTCTGGCATCCTTTTGGGGGTTCTAGCGCAGTGGTAGTGGGTGCTGTGAGCTGGCGCCGTCACAAGAACAATCGAGTGGTCAACCAAGCCCGAGAGTGTGCCTCCTCCAGCGACCATATTGCAGCCTTGCCTCATGCGGTTGACTGTGCCGTGATACCCAGCTAAATTTTTCCTCACGATTCAGGCTATCGCCAATTCTACTAAACCTACTAGAAATAACTAAATTATCGTTGATTAAACTACTATAATAACAGTACGATTTTATCGCTATGTAATTAGGTATATCGGTTTATATTTAATCTGTAAGGTTAACTAGTAATGTTCGCGGCTGCTGGGCGGCCCCAGTCAAGGCCGCGGCAGCGCCTACACGTATTCTATGATGACGAGTATGCTGGCTGTGAAAGTCCCGAGGGAGTTTGACGTCTTCAATGCCATTTTAAATTTTGTAAGCCAACGAAATGCAGTCCCTGCATTAGGCCCCAAAGTGAACGTAGGGAACCCAGTGAGCTGGTTCCATCTCATCGTCCTCGTCACACCCAAACACATCTCTCGGCAACCGGACCCCACTCTCGCCCTCGCCCTCGCCCTCGCCCTCGCCCTGACCTCTGCCACCACCGCCCGCAGCGGTTCCTCTACCATTTACCGTCAGTGCGTGTTTCTCTGGCTCTGCAATCGGCAGCTTATTCTCGTCTGTGGCCTTGCTGGGCGATGGCAGCGCGCTGGCGCCGCCAAGCCAACGATGCCGAAGCTCTCTACTCGCTCTGTGGAGCCCGACACACAGACACATCCGTCATGCCCCCGTCTCGTATCCCTTGGTGCATGATCCTCGCCAAGTCGACGCAGATCCAGTCGTTGACCTCCCACAGGGTGCCTATCACATTCCGGAACCCAGCCAGCTAGCACGCGCTGATCAGGTTCAGGTTTTGGTCGAGGTGTTTTTCGTCGTCGATTTTTCCGGCCCCGCACGCCGAAAGGTAGGCGAGGAACGGGGGCCGCTCGCGCAGGTTGATCGCCAGCAGATCAGCTACCTCGAGGGGATTGTCCTTCCAGTCCTCTAGGCGCAAGTGGCACCGCAGGGGGTTGTTGGGGTCTGTGTAGTCATGACCGGCGAAATGGAAGATGTCGCAATCTCGCAGATGGGAGAGGACCTCTTCCGTGCATCGTCGTTCTAGCTCGATAGGCTGTATTGACGTAGACTCGCAAAAATGTCTGCGCAGCATGGCCACCTCTTTCGTTGCAAAGGGGAGTTTTGTGCTGCCTGGGGTGTGCTCAACGGCGACAAGCAGCGCCTTGGCAACCGTAGACTTCTCATGGCGAAGTTTCATGCCCTGCCTGATGGCTCCGATGGACGGGCTATACGAGGACATCACCTTGTCGATTACTGCTTCGTTGGAGCGCTTATCGTGTCGTCCTGCCGCGTGGAGCGGGAATCTGCTCGGGGCGCCGACGGGAACCCACCGCACACGTGGCCAGTCATCATCGCCATCCGAGGGCGGCGGTTGCGTGAGCCCAAGCGCTTCTAGGACCGGGCCTGCGACAATATCCCAAAGCCATTCGAGAACTTGAGGACTTCCAAGATTGCCTTGCTTCGTCTTTTCTTCGATCTCCTCTGTGGAAAGCCTGGGTAAGGGTAAGACCTGTATCGGGTAGTCCCCTCTCTGAATAAGAAACGCGTCGCAGCGATAGCTTACGTTGATCATGACGACGGGCCCTCCTCTTGTGATATTGTCCATGTCGGCATCATCTGGTACACTACGAAAAATCGACAGGCGTTCGGAAATGAATTCATCAAGCCCGCTGCTTGCTGCAATATGCCGAGCCAGTCTGCGCAGAGCGGGCCGGTCTTCTTCTCTGTCGCGGCTCAGGGGTAGCTGGGGAGCGTGGCTTCCCGCCTGAGGTGCCTCTAGTTGATTACGGAGGTCGAGGAACTTTTTTCCAACCTCGGGCTCATATCTCAAAAACAGTGGCACCCGGGGAAGACGAGTTGAAGGCTTCGCTATATGACGTACTCGCCGCCTCGAGATCCGAGTCCCGCCCTGTTACCTTGTGTATTGCAGCATAACAGTCTCCGAGAGATCTGAATGCTGAAAGGTGGTCTGGATGCTCTGGCGGCATCGCGGTTGTTGTGGCTTCCCGGGAAAACCGAGCCGCCATCTCCAAATACGCCCCTTTGCCCGTTTTCCCATGGCCGGCCAGGTAGCATCGTGCGAGATCAGTTAGCCGAAGCGCCCTCTCTGGCAAGTCCTGTGGTGTATTATCTAGGGCTTTCTGCAAGGCTCGGACCGCTCTCTTAAAATCCGACTCCATTCCCATCATCTTATATTTGTCGAGATATACCCACCGTAGGCAGCCGAATATCTCGACCAAAAAGGGTCCATGATTTGGCAATGTCTCGTAAGCTTCCTGATAGAACTCCAGGGTAGCATCGAGGTCAATCGCTTTCTTTGTGACGTTGTACTTGGTGTAGCAGACAGCTCCCAGTTCTTTTAGAAGGCTAGCCCGGGATAGGGCGTGCCACGGTCGGATATCCGCAGCTTCCTGGAGTAGCTGCAAGGCCGCCTCAAGATCGTCCATTTTACGGAAAATCTCGTAATTCTTTTTTTTAGTCAATCCCAAATTCCGAAGCCGGGCGCCCCGGGAGGAATGCGTCTTAGGTGTGATATCCACCGACTCCTTGTAGAGCTGGAGTGACATCTTGAGGTCTGCCAGGTCCCCCGCAAGCTCAAACCTGTCGTCATACAAAGCGCCAAGACGGTGGAGTGCCGAGACCCAGGTTGGCTTGTCCGGAGCCGCGGTATTGATGACCTCCTAGAATGATTTGATTGCTTTGTTGAGAAAATGTCCATCCCGTGTCAACGGGATGTCGTGGCCTTCTCCGCACTTAATCTCGGAATAGAGGGCTTGATAGCATTCCCCTAGACTCAAAAGCCGAGCTGGCCTCGTCAGATGTTCACGTGGTGTGTTGTTGGCTGATGTCTCGCAGAGGGAGAGAGCGACCGAGATATCTCCCGCTAGCCCTGTTCTTTCGAAACGCGTCAAATATGCAGTCTCAAGGTTGTGTAGCCTGGTAGGACAGTCTGGGGAATCCTGCAGTGCAACATGGATAACGCCTTGACTTGTCGTCTGGGGAGGTGTCAGCTTTCTCTTCGTCCCAAGGTGCACGGTCTAGTATCCGGCATTGGTATCGCAAAGTCGGGAGGTCCAGTTCGCACTCCCCAGCATATCCCAAGTCCGTTCAGCGTCATGCCTAAATCTTATAGCTTGTTCGAGGTCCGCTTTAGTCCCTTCCCTTAGATACTTATCGTCAAAACATAATACCAAATTGCCGAGCAGCCATAACCTGTTATAATGGTCTTCCGGGCAGTCTCCCATTGACAGCTTCCTTGAGATCGCCTGGTTTCCTTGTCTCATGGAATCGAATACTAAGCACAAGTGAAAGACAACACAGATACCACGGCAGGTCTAGATGATTGCTTTGTGCCATCTCAAGAGCCTCCCGTCCGAGTTGGAGCGCTCTCTCGACGTCAGCCATCGACTTTGTCGCGCTGAACCGGTTGCTCAGCACCAATACGAGGTTGCTTAGATACCGTGGCTTCTGCTGATGGTCTTCTGCCACTGCCTCCACAGCGATAAGGCAACGTTGGACAAAATCAGCGTCGATGCCATGGCCACTTCCACCAAGGAAGCACTGCATTTTTCCAAGCCCAAAGTAACATTGAAATTTTGCCGAGAGCGGGTGGTTGGCTGTCTCAGGGGTAGCTGTAGCTGCCAGTGCCAACTTGATGGTCTCCTCTAGGTCGGATGTTGCCCCTGTCCTCACATGCTGCTCACATAGCAAGGACGCGAGAGTGATCCAAGACTGAGAAGCACGGGCGGGCTCTCGGGGTGCCAAGTCCACGGCTTCTCTTCCCAGTCGTGTAGCTTCCTCGAGGTCTGCCAAGGTTGCCATTCTCGTATATTGTTCGTATAGCGCGGTTGCAAGCCTGTCCAGAACAATCTCTCGGTTCCGATATCCGCCTGCCGCTGCATCGACAGCCTGGCGCCCAAGGCGAATGGATTCCTCTAGATCTGCTGCGGACGACGTGTTGCGACCGCTCGCCTGGACATTCGAACGGCTTCCTCCAGGTTTGCCATCGATTGGGCCCTGAGTGTCGCTTGATCTAGATGGCCAGCAGTTGTGTCGACCACCTTATCTCTAGCTAGAGTATTTTATTCAATGTCTGCCCTCGCGCGTATCCCTCTATACCGAGCGTAGAAGAGAATTCCCAGTCCGTTCCAATACATAGCTTGTTCTATACCGTCAAGGGTGTCGCTGAGAATGCCTGTTTCCAATCGAATCGCTTCATCGAGTTTGGCGAGTTCCCCGGTGATTTGATACCGGTGAAAGAGTAGGCCTCCCAAGTCACTCAAATCCTTCGGCTGGCGGAGGTCCTTTTGAGTTAAATTGATGGATTGCCTTTGGAATTGAATGGCATCGTCGAGGTCCGCCATTGACTCCGTCTCGTAATAATGCCGATCAGCGAGGAGCATTCCAAGATGACCCAATTGTTGTGCTCGATCTGCATAGTCTTCTGGCGTTGTGTCGACCCTCAGCCTGGCTGCCTGAATGGCCTTGTCGAGGTCGTCCATCGTGCTGACGGCGTAACAAGGGTGCACGCGCAAATAAACGGGGGAGGGTTTAAGCAGAGACTAGTTTAGGAAGATCTTGGCGAGCTCGAATCAGCTCGGTTTGTGCGGCGGCGGTGTCTGTCAGGCAGGAGATGGTAATAACGACGCGTCTTGACCGGCTTGAAGGGCGAAGATGACGGGTGAAGTGTGAATTCCCGAGGGGCAGCTGACTTGTGTGTCCGGCCGGGAAGGAAATAAGGCTCAGCAGCTTCGCCCCCTTTTTTTAGGCAGAGGCGAAGTACTCTCTTGCCAGGCGCTTTCACGCACGCAGGATTGTGGCCCAGTCGGTGTCTTTCGTCAGCGTCTCCGCCATACTTCTGCCCACTATAAGTCGTCGATAAACACATCTAGGTTTTGGTGACAGCCGTTCGATATACAAGAGAGAGTAAACTCGTACGGCCAACATTTGCCCGTATATTACAGCCAAAACGCTGCGGAGGCCTGGGCGGTTAAGCTTCATCTTGCTTACAGGACATAGTGAGCTGGGCTGCGGTAGTTTGGAGCCTACTCGTAGCCTAAGCCGACCGCCTAGTCTAGGTGCTGCAGGGTTCAATGTGCTAGCCGTAGGCACGCCCGAGCCACCTAATTACCCCTCCAAGGATAATTATTCGCCCACACATTTTGTAGGGAGCTTAACTCCTCTTGCAAGCTCCGTAGCCAATACAACAACATTGACAACGTCACCCGCGACAGAGCTTTTTTCACCTATGATAGAGAAAAGAAATAAGCGACTTAAAGAGTTGCAGCCCTACACGATTTGAACATACTGTAACTCTAGCGGCTCATTTCCCGCCAGCCCGGTCTAGCTCTGGCCCTAGATTCCACTGGTACCAGAAACAAACACAATGAGAACTGTAGCGTACCTAGACCCATGTTACGTTAGCCGAACCAGTAACTTCGGGCTACCTGTAATTGAAGACAGAAGAAAGTTTGGCGCTCACGTTGCCCCAGCGAGAACCAGGTTCATCGTTCTCGACCTTGTCAGCGCAAAAAGGATGAGAAGGTAAGAAATCGTGCATGCCATGACGACGACTAGGCGAATCGAAATCGTATCGATGAGGTTGCAAATGACGACGAGCATCAGCAAGAGAAGCGTTATGAGGAACAACAACTGTATCCAGGGGCCGGAATAGACGATGACATTTGGATCAGTCGAGACCTTGTGGGAACGACTCTACGTAATTACTCAGTTAGTCAAACAGCCACTAGTCTAGACTTGGCATTAGCTGCAGATAGTCATTGGTCTCACTGCTGACTTTTCGGAATCCCGGGTAGTATCGGATGAGTTTGTCCTCTACCCAAGTCAGAAGCTGCAGCAGCGCTTAGTCATCTGCCGGCGCCAAGCAAGTGAGCTCCTCCCGGCCACATGAGAGATAGGCGGTTTCCGCTCTGGCGATACAGCCCATCATCTATCTAGTGTTGTAGGCTTTCCACGTCTCTTCCACGAGCAGGGGCTAAGCGCAGCATCCGATATGTTCTTTCGGTAAATTGGTCTAATGATATCATATTAATAACATCTAACACATATTGCCGGTGCCGCCTCTTTTTTCTTTCTTGAGTTTGGGAGGGGGGGGGCGCATTCATCGTAATCTTGGAGACAGAATTCGATCTCGGCGAGGATGGATGCTCGGTCTTGGCTGCCATCACTACGGGCTTTTCCGAGAAATAGGGGGCAAGGTTCGTCTCGGTCGACCCGCTCAAGCCTTTGCTCGAGCGCAGAGAGCTTGCCCTGCTTCGACAGAAGGAGTCGAGCTCGAAGCTTCTTGAATCGCCGGCACAAGAAGGGGTCATGGGCCGAAATGAGGGCTGTGAAGCGCGGGTATCCGAGTCTGTACTCCTCGACTAATTAGGGGTTGTGAATATTATCAATCTGCTTGTGACTATTCAGGGGGAGATGTCTGATGTACTTTTCATTGTCTGTGTTCCATCTCCAGGGACGGCTTCCGATGGTGTCCAGAGCGGAAGACACGACCTGAGAGGCTTCATGGTGTAGGCGGCCGTTAACCCGACGCGGAGGCAGCTAGGAACTAGCAATGAAACACACTGCTCTGGGTTGGCTGACGGCAAAGTACCTATTGATAAGGTTGAACGTGGGAGAGACGTGCCGCGCGCGAGCGGAGTGCGGAGTGCGCAACTTGCTCCTCTTTTTCAACAAGGCTGTCGGGAGGACATGATGCACTAGCGTCACAGCGGGGTGGCGGAGTAATGCTGTGCAGATGGGCAAATGTGCGGCATTAGGCAGCAGTGAGACTGGATATAAAATGGCAAGTCCGGCACTCGTGGTCAGATGGCAGCCCAGCAACTAAAACCCCTCCTTCACCCTTCGAAACCCACAGGCGCAAGAAGCACATACTCTTCTAGGCCCTATACCATGTCTTCTACCCATAAGTACGCAGTACTGGTGTTTCGTGTTTCCCAGCTGGCAATTCGCTAATACGTCAACATCAGTGGCCAAACCCCAAAACCATATGTGGTCTTGTTTTAGACTGTTGTTTCTCTGAGAGTGCCTACCAGTGCGACGATCCCAACCTCCGCTTTCTCCCTTGCTCCGCTCCGCTCCACCAGATGGAGTTCGGCAACAACGACACAGAAGAGGTGGAAGCGATCGCTTCTGGAGATCGCGACGCTTCCATGCGGCTCAACTGGCTGATCAACCCAACCGGGTATTCTATACTCGCTGCATGCGGTCCTCACGAGGAAGGCTTTGAGAGCGAGTTTGAGGGAGAGACTCGCGGCGCAGTGTCTCATCTTCTCCTGAAGGCGTTGCAAGAGCGTGGCGGCCTTGGGAAGAGACTCCAGGACATCTACGCCTACCTTCAAGCCAAGTTTAAAGACTATAGCCGTGTCTTACAGCAGAACCCCGTGCTTTATGGAAACAAACGCCAGGGCTTCTTCGGATATGCAAGCTCGGACACTACCACAGTAGCCGTCCCGATCGTGAGGGGACCAGACAGTAGCCTCCAACTACAAGCCGGCCAGGCACATGGCATTTCTTGCGGCGACCGATTCACGCTCTATCCGGTAAGCGAAACAGAAAGCAACAACAACTCCGGCACGCGGGACGACAGACTTCTCGGCAGGGTCATCGGAGTCAGCGCTCTCACGTCACAGCTTGAACAAGTGGACACGGCGGCACCTAACACCAGTCACGCCGAGACAAGGTGGCTCGCGAGGCCACTGACCCGCTGCTCTCTTCAGAGATTTCCTATCCAGCTCTCGCCTGATATCCTCCCTCGGGAATCGTGGCTGACGGCCATGAAAGAGCGGTCTCTTGGTATTCACGGCGACTCGGACAGCGGCAGCACAGCATCATTCCGCGTCGAGTTGAATAGCAATAAGGAATACGAAATCCAAGACGAGTCCGGCCAAAAACTCGCCAATCTGCCCCTTATGCTACAAGGCGAGACAGAGGCCGGCTACTTCTGCGACGTCATAGAACACCTGGCTAGGTTCGCACTGGTTAAGCAGCTTACCAGGCCTAGCATGGAGGAGCCTGAAGAACGGGCGGCAGAGCCATTCGCCACGTCTTTCAGCATCCAGATCGTCACCCGGTCCGGGACTGTTGTCGATGCAGGGTGCCCTGTGCAGGTGCACCACAGCGAGAAACAATGGACCTTTGAGCTGCGGGTCGAGAACAAAGGGGACAAGGCCCTGTACCTATATGTGTACGACATGGAGCCTCTTTGGCAAGTAAATGGCATTGGCTTTGGGACGTATCAAGTCGTTCCCCCGAGGGACGATGATCGAAGGTTCTCGGGAACCGTCAAGAAGAAGCTGAAGACAATGATCCCCGCTGAAATGCTGGCTGAAGGGCACCGCCAGTGCGAGGACATAATCAAGGTGTTTGTCACATCCCAGCCAACGTCATTTGATACATTGGAGCTGCCAATTATTGGTGGAGTCGCCCCAGAAAAAAAGACATCGTCGAGGATTAGTTAGGTTGGCGATGATTCTCTGGCCCAGTGGGCTGCGCTGAGTTTCCCCACTTACACATCCTTCAAGTAGTCTCGGATACTGAGAGGTGGACTAATTCGCTCGAAGGGAGACAATAATTTCCAGGGTTCTAAGAGACCCTTGTTCGCTACCATTTAGAAATTCCCCTTTGTTGAGCATGGTGATCAGGGGTTCAGGGGCTAGGCAACAAGGGGGTTGTTTACACCCTTACCTAATATAATCTAGTGTACTTTTTTCCTTTTCCTCTTGGCCTACCCACCTCGTATAAGGTGGGTAGCCCGCCCTCCCCTAGGTCAGAGGGCGGCATCGCTCTTTTCCCCCGCCCCTCTTCTTTTCAGGAAGAGGAGGACGTCTTTTACTATGAATTGAGATCCCCAGACTAGTGCACGTAGTAGTGCCTTTTCCTTCGCTTTTTTGACCTCCCCTGGCTATGGAACTCTGTGCCTTTAGTCTTTGAAGCTCGTCTACGGCTCGCCTTGGTGTTGCTTTCGTGGTTGTTGTGTTGTGGTGCCTTTTCACCGCTTCAATGGTCATAGAGCATACAATCAGCGCTGTGCATCCAGCAATCCAGCACGACGTCCAGCGCAGGCGACAGGGCCATCAGCACTGGCCCAATCTTCGGAGCTGATGGTAGCCAGTCAATCTTTGCGGTCAGCGTTTGATGGCCAGTGCGCTCGAAGCACGCCCACGCCAGTTCCCCACCGACCAGTACTTGCACGTGTGATTTCCCACCATCGCCGCTCCACCAACCGCAAGCTTTTAAGAGCTTGCGTACACTGCAGCTTTCTTTGCATCCTTTGATGCTAGCAACAATCAGTCTCTATGACGCATCTAAGAAGCAACCAAGAACTCGATGAGCCGAAGCTGGGCCGGGGGTGAATAACCATTTTCGGAACGTCCTTTTAGTCTGAGACTACCTAGGTAGAACGGTGCCGCACCTGTTCTCGCACCCCCTCGTCGCCCTGGCCAATGGGGTAATATGCCGAATCGAATAAAATGGGGACGGCTCGCATATTTGTGCTGCCGTCTTGCGAGTAATGAGTAGTTTTGGAGTCGCCCTCATCGTGGAATGGATCACGACGCAGCGAGTCGCCCATTCAAGTTGAAACAAGCTTTGCATACGCGACAGGGCATGTTGCATTGTTCTCGTCTGTTTATTACCTGGTTGGGGAGTAAAGTCATGTTCCCCGCACGTCTTGCGTCCATGGTCGTGTTTGTTGATGAGAATCGTCTGCGCCCCTGAGTCTGGGGGCGTGTGGGGACTGGCTTGAGGATGCTGATGACCGACGATCCCGGAAATGCAATTTGACCCAAGCTTGCAAGCCTGGACGATATATGGCTTGGCGAATAGTCTTTCTTCCCCAAGGTAATTAGGCAGACTAGCCGAGTTCAAGGCCTGCACATGTCGGTATGTGTTGGAATGTTACATCCGGTTCAATGTGACCTTTCCGGGTGGTGTTACAGCTCTAAGAAGTGTTGTCAAGCTTTTCCCCAAATGAGCCAGTGTCGCACTCCCTGTATTAACAACAACAGGCCCCTTTCGCGGATGCCAGGAGATAGGTCTAGACCATCCATGACCCGTGGCCCGGAATCCCAGAGACAAAGTCGCAATATGAGGACCGAGCAGGTGGGAACACATGAATCGGGTTTCAGGCAATATTCGGGTAGTGGGAGGGCAACCTAGCTTCCCGACGTTGGTGACGACTCTATCTAAAAATATGCACGCCGTCATTGGTTCCGGCCCAATGACGGGAATTTAGCCAAAAGTGTCGCGATGACGCAAGTAAACGCAATTTGCGCTTCTCATCTGAACCCAGCTTGGCCAGCCCGACGAGCCATCAAAAAAGCGGGCCGCTATACCAGAGCGGGCTGCTGCCGAGACTCGAGAACACCTAAGAGGGAGAGTCCGGACAGCCCACGCTTGAGTGGTGAGAAGCGGGCTGGCTGCTGGAAGACGCGTCGAAGATTCCATGTTATTAATTCCTTCGGCTCTTCATGACGCTGCCGTGCGGCGGCCTTGGCGACCCCCCCACTTGGACGCCCTCGACGGCCCAGCCGCCAATGTCTAGCCCATTCTTGTCGTGGATCTGCGAGCGGCTCGCTTGGCGTATCGGATCTTGGCGTGTCTTGACTTGCAGCTTGCAACGACACTGATAACGGAACGCCGAGCAGAGGGCAGCCCGTTCGCGGATGTGGGTAGAACGGCGGGCTCGGGGGTTGTGCGGCTTACTATGGCTTGGCTGCCCTCTTAGGAAATGTTTTTCAGACGGCCTGAGGCGAGAGGCAGAGGCTCTCGACCAAAATTGCCTCGCCTGCCTCGGTTATTACCACGGGCATGTTTTCTTTCACCAGGAGGTTGCGTGCACTGACTGATAGACGTCACTCGCCCGCCAAAATAAATGCGAGGGAGGGTCGCCTACATCTCGGGTGAGGAGGCGAGCCTCTTTTGCCATGGACGGGAGACTCCGAGTCTCCTTACGGCTCGCACACCTCTGGCACACCCCCCCAGCGCTGGTTGGATGCGCCTGCCGCCCTCCACATCCCGCTTACCGGGGAAACCCATGTTCTGGAAGGGGACAGCAGGTCGATTGTTCCTTCCAAGAGCACCAAATCTCGCATTCATTATTAACCAGTCAGCCTTCCGAAGACACTGCCAAGCTCCGCTCGTCTGTATGCTCCTTCTCTGCTTGCACCCTTGTGCGACCCTGCCGATTTTGCCGCCGCCAGTGCTCTGTCTGGGCATTTTCGTCCCCCTTTTTTCTCTTTTGGGTGTCCTTGGGAAGGCCCAACCAACGAGTAATACATGGTCGCCAAGCCTGAGGAGATGGGATCAATGCCCTCCCCAAAACGCGTGCTGCTGCTCACAAACTCCGAACATGGCCAAGCTAATGTCTTCCTCGCCACCAGCTACGCTCTCCTTACGCTGCAGGACGAGGACGTCGAGGTTAACTTTGCTTCGTTCGCGCCAATACAGAAGTTTGTCGCCGCCACTTCACAGCATGCGACACAAGACCACCCCCGGGCGAGGCCCGTTATCTTCCATCCCATCGACGGCGTTGACATGGTCTCCGCTTGGTCGCGGCCAGAGATAAAAGCTGAGCAGGAACGCCTGAAGACCCCAGGCTGGCTTAGACTTGTCGACGCCGTGCGGAGGACGATGCTATTGCTCAGGGTCACGCTTCCATGGACCGGCCCCGAATTTGTCCGGGTCTTGTGGTCCGTTGTTGAGATCGTGCACCATGTGCAGCCCGATATGATTGCTGTCGACCCAGCATTCTCGCCTGCCCTGACCGCGCTCCGTTATATCGGAGCCAAGTTCGTCATTCTTTCGCCCAACACCATCAAGGACTTTGCGATGCCTTTGCAGCCCAACGGAGAGGCCTTGTGGAAGTACCCCTGGTATGTCTGAACATTTTAGATCTAGTCCTTGTCCTTGGACTCTCCGATCACATTATGCTAAGACGGGGCTCTCCATCCACCAGCGTCGGCAAGCCCTACGAGTTTCCTGTCCCGTGGCAACACATGTACATGAACATATTCCTGGTTCTTTTGACAATAATATGTGGCATATTCGACCCAAACAGGCGAGAAATTCAACGCTATGTCACGGAACACGTTGACGGCGCGAAGCTCACGACACTCAACGACCTGAGTCTCAATCCGAACCTAAACATCAAGTTCCTCGTCGCCAACCGACCCGAGGTTGAGTTCCCGCTTCGCGTCATACCCGATCACATCATACCCTGCGGGCCCATGATCCGCCCCGCCAAACCCGTGGCGACAGCCGACCCGGCCCTCGCGAAATGGCTGGCAAGGGGACCGACGCTGTACATCAACCTAGGCACACACATGCGATTCAGGGAGGAGTTCGCGACTGAGATGGCGACGGCCATCCGAATCATCATTGACCATGCCCGGTCAGTACTGTGGCGTGATCAGAAGCTGGCCGACTTGCAAGTGCTATGGAAACTATCGCGATACGGCGACTACAAAGTTTTGACGCCGGGATCTGCGGTGCACAAAATCCTAGGGCGAGACATCGAAAAGGATAATGTACGCATTGTGGACTGGATCGAGGCAGAGCCGACTGCCGTGTTGGAGACTGGGTCAGTAATATGTGTTGTCCATCACGGAGGAGCCAACTCGTTCTTAGAGACGCTGTGGTGAGTTATTTCTTTGTCCCCTCTAAACCCCGTTGTTTCACAAGGTTGCAAGTTGGTCGTTGGAGAGGCTTTGCTGACTCTCTCAAAAGTGCCGGCATACCGCAAGTTGTTCTTCCGGTCTGGATGGATACATATGATTTTGCTCGGAGGGCCGAGATCCTGGGAATCGGACGCTGGGGTAACCGTACAGCAAACAAGATGTGCAAGGGGGGCGAGTTGGGCTCAATCTTGATTGATGTGATGCTCGGCGGCAGATCATCATACTACACAAAGAAGGCAAAAGAGTTGGCAGACATATGCAACAGATCCGGTGGAGGTCGGGTGTTTGCTGCGAGACGGATTCTGGCAGAGATCGAAGACACTGACGTTGGCCGCCAGTCTGACACAGTTGGGGAGAAAAAGTCGCTCGTCAATGGAAATGGGCACTGCTGAATTGCAACGTGCCCAAATGCTTTTTGGGTACATGGACATCACCTTCTCATTCCCGGAAGCCGTACTTAACATTATAGGAGATTGGATACAAGGATTACGCTGTCACGTTGTGAGGTAACTAGGTAGGTACCAAGTCCAGCATTTAGTAAGTGATACGTTGTAAGGAAAGAATACAGTGTCTCACAACATCGTGTCCTCACACTCCAACAGCTTGGTAAATCCCGCATCAGAAATGCCGCAGTCACAATGGTGTTGCAGTGTCACATGGAATCTTGGCTCAGCCTCCAAATACTCCCGTCGTCCTCCCCCGTTGGAGCAGAAAACATGGCAGGCATGCGGAGCACATCGACAAATCGGAAGCTAGCCGCATTTCTCTTGGCTGCTGCACTCGGTGGGACGAGTACCACTAATGGACACGACCTTATCTCTCCGCGGGCCATGCCATGACGGACGCCTCGGGCATAATTCATTCAAGAAGCCACGCCGTGTAATTACGCATGCACGCATGGCTTGAACAACCTCAGCAGAGTAACGGCGCCAACAACCACTACGTCTTAAAATGCGCCACAGCATGATGACGATCGTTTGAGGCCTCAACATTGTGGCCATGGTAATCCATGTAGTGTGGCAGTGGTTGGGATTTGCTCTTAGCAGCTGTATTCTGAATGTTTGTGCTCGACCATAGTAATACTCCGACATGGATAGGTCTTCGGGCATTGTGCCCACCGACTGGAACCACGAAATGTCCTTGCATGGCCGATCTAGCTACTTCTATGAGGGTACCTAAGTAGTAATTTACGTTTCCTTGTTTTCTTTCGTTTACTCTAGGAGCGACTTCTTAGATGCAGCAGTCATTTGTAATTCGAGGGTTAGTAGGGCGACTTGAGGGATGAGCTGGGGAATCAGCTTCTGGCCGACATTGAGCCAGCTGCCGTAAAAAGCGAACTGTAACGGCAGAGAGTACCCGTAATGCATAGTAATTTTAAGATTTTCTTCATAGCTGCATAAAAATCTCCGTCAACGCTCGGTTGGAGGAGGTATTGTGTGCCAAGCCTTGCACCAAACGACTCCAAATTCCATTTTGCTGACTTGCTTGCCGCAAGTGTGGGTATCTAATGACTGCTCACCAGCACCACCAACTCCCGGGATGTGATCCGGACTAACCTCCAACCAAATGGCGTCCAGATGTAACATCAACGAGCGAGAGTCCTTTTAAGGGTTTGTAACCGGCTACCCCCATTGAGGAAAAACAAAGACAAATGCTAACTCCGTCCCTTCCGAATTTCATGTAGACATGTACAGCTCCAGCGACGAGAACCTCCGAGCTTCAGATCAGATACCTAAACTGAGTCTTGAGCCTCATGGCCTCATTGCTTGACCGACCTTCGGCGCGTGCTGTCTGGGCGCCGACGTCCTGGTGCGTGGTCCAGGCCACGCCTTCGCCATTGTCGAGCTTCTTGTTTAGGCTCACAAGCATCATCCGGATGATCCAGCAGCCAAAAATAGTGACGCCGAACATGGCCGTCACAATTCCGTAGCTCTTGCGGAACCCGTCTTCCTTCAGGTCCCAGACATACGATCCCGCGATGTTGCCGAGTTGACTAAACGCGTTAATCATCGCGAGCGCAACAGCACGCTTTGCGGGCGGGCGGGGAAACGAGGAGCTGATCCACGAGTAAAAGACGATGAATCTGTGAAAAGTGAGTTAGTAACCGAAGGCCAGAAAGATGGATGCTACTAGAAGAGCTTACCCAGCATAGGAGCTGGCCTGCAGGAAGAGCGCCACGTATCGGGCGGCGACATTAGATGTCGCCATGCTAATCACAAAGCCGACAAGACCGACGCAGATCGGCCCAACAATGTGCCAGAACTGTGATCGATGTTAGTTCCCGGGCACAAGTGCATCTGATTGAGACGGGATGAAATCACGAACCTTCTCCTCGTGGCGATCAGAGTGCCATGCGTTCGCGAGCGAGAATAAGCAGGCAAATACCCAAGGTGGGGCGCTCATGAGCAGCGTAGGGACATAGTCAAAGTTGAGCGTCGCTGTCAACGTAGGCTGCGAGATTGTCAGCGGCATTCACAGACAACATAGATAACCGGTAAGACTTACGAAGAAGGCATTGAAGGACAGTCCAACGACATAGGCCGTAAAGGTAAGCATCATGACGTAGACCTTGACATCCTTGACAACCATCATGAGGCCGCCAAAGACGCCCTGCTCGGCAGAATCGGTATCCGCCTCGCCGACATCCTCCGTCATGCGGATCTGAGCCACCATCAGCTCCTCCTCGGTGAAGCCGCGCGTGTTGGTGGGCAGGTCGGGGAGGATGAAGACTGCAGAGAGGGCGACGGCCATGGTGATGGCGCCCTCGATCCAGAACAGCCAGCGCCAGGCGGGGTGGCCGAGGACGCCCTGCATGTTGGACAGGACGCCAGCGCCGATCAAGGCCGAAAAGGCATTGGAGATGAGGTTTCCGCAGAAGAGGATGGCGTTGCGCGTGGTTAGCTCCTTGCGGGTGTACCACTTTGACAGGATCAGCAGGGCACCCGGGAGGAAGGCCGCCTCGACGAAGCCCAGGAAGAAGCGCGTGACCACCATGCTCTTGAAGTCGTTAACGATGCCCGTCAGTGTCGAGATCAGGCCCCACAAGGTCATGACGATGGAGATGTACAGCGACGGCCGGGCGATGCGGTTGATGAAGATGTTGGACGGCACCTGCATCAGGATGTAGCCGACGTAGAGAATGCTGAGACACGTGGCATACTGCGTGTTGTCTAGCTGCAGGTCGGCCTGCAGACCCTTCAGCCGGGCGGCGGCCATGTTGTTGCGGTCTAGGTAGTTCATGATGTAGATGAGCACGAACAGGCTGCAGCGCGTGTCGAGCTTGCGCTTGAGCGACTTCTCGACGACTCTGCGGCGCTCGGGGTCCATGACGCCGGCGTTCAAGTTCTGGCCGTTGTAGGTGTAGTATTTCTCGTCCGTCAGTCCGCCCTCATGCGCGTCCACGCGAGGCTTGTCTAGGCCAGCCATGGCGGCATGGTCTTGACCTTTCGAATCCATTTCGCTGGTGTCCGCTTCTCAGTGTCCAAGTTGTGGCCCAAGGTAAGTGTGAAGATTGTGGGGACACGGCTCTCTCCTCTCTGGGAAGGAATAATGCAAGGAGGGGCAGTTGATCCTGGACTCTGGCTAGAGTGGGTTAAGCAAGGGCCGCCGTGGAGAGAGAGGAGAGAGGGAGCGGGAAGGTAATGAAGAACTAGGGATGGCTGAGTCATTGTCTTCAGCCTAGACTGGCGATGAAAAGCAGGTTATATAACCCGCTTCAGGTCCAGGTCCATCGAGCTATGACACCAGTCACCCCTTCCTCCACTTCTAACCACCCTGATTTTGGCTGCGGGCGCCCCGCATTCTCCAGGTCGAAATCGTCCCTCCAGGAGACCTTTTAGGACGGCGGGACCCATAACCGGCAGGTAGATGACTTGCGCCTACCCACTGGTCAATTGGCCACGTCTACCCCGTATTAGTCGTGTGGTGCATGCTATCTCAGGCACTCCGTAGCAGTGATGTAATCGCTGCACCTGGGACCCCGAAATGGGAAGGGGCTTCTTCGGGGCCTTGGCATTGGGGCCCCGCACGCCCGCAGTTTTCTGAACGGCGGGACGAAAACTTCTTTGCTTGCAAGTTAGGGCACTAACGCAGCCTGGCCAAGGCGAGTGCCGGTTGCTGTTAGTGCATTAAATGCTGAGCGGCAGCTCGACGCCCCCAGGGGCAATTGCCCCCTTGCGCTTCCCCGGTTGGCAAAGACTGGGGTCTAGCTCGCCATGATCCATCACTGGGCAGGGGGCGATGCGGGGAGAGCAGGCATCGGCTGATTCCTCGGGAGACTGTTTTGCTATGAGGTGTTGATAGAACGACCTACACGCAGCGGAAGTTTTTCAGCGGGCAAATTTGGCAGCCTGTCATCCCGCGCTATAAGTTTGTGGAGATCCACGACAAGCACTGGAGCTGAACGAGCCGCAGCTTGGCGGACAGGTGCCAAGGACCCGTCTCCTGTCCCCAGACAGGCCGGTTGAGCCTCTTCTCCATCCACCTGCCGGTTGGAAGCCCGTGGCTCATTTGTCTGCAACCGCTCCAGCTGCTGTTGTTAGACCCCCGTGACAATGCGCCCCCTCTTCTTTCGATAGTTGCTAGCTAGTCATGGATGGCCCCGGACTCTAGCTAGCAACAAGACGAGCTCGGCACCTTCGAGTGACAGGCCAGAAGTCTGGCGGTAAAGTTGGGTTCGGAAGATGGATGGCTCCCGTTTCGCAGCAGAACAAGGAGGCCTTCCTTCCTTTTAGGTTATTTATTTACTCGTCTTCAATACTCTCAAACCCCATTCTTTGGCTTCTTAACGGCCAGGCTTCTCAACGGCCAGGCTTCTCAACGGCCAGGCTTCTCAACGGCTAGGCTTTTGCAGCAGGGAAAAGTCTGTTCCGGCCCCCTCAGTCGTCAAGGTTCGGGTTTCACTGTGGCTTCGAGCCCCCCACGCTCACCGCTTCTTGAGAAGCGCCGAAGCACCAGTCCTTTAGTCTGATGTTGTGGAACTCACTAGGAGTTCCCCTGATATCTTGTGGAGATCAACTGGTCTAGTGGAGCCTGGCAACGATTTCCGGTAAGCCCCCACACGTTCGGCTTGTCGGTTGTGTGCCTCGTTTCGAGTATGTTTGTAGATAGCTGGATCCCGGAAGTCGGCAGAAACAGGAGTTCCTGCAGAGCGGCTCAATCTAGAGAGTGATCGATACTAGCCGGGCAGCCAATACCAGGCAGCACGCGTTGACAAGGACAATTACCGAGAAGCGGATCAGATCGGGTATATACGGAGTACTTGGACATGGTATCGGCCCCGGAAAATGCTAGAGGCTCAACAAAATACGACAACCTTGACTGCCCGCCCGGCTACAGTCTAAATGCTCACCTCCATGAACGCCCCCCAGTATGCTACACAAACACCAAGACCGCTGAACCTCGTCGAGATGAGACAGGTTGCTCCAGAAGGGAAGGGAAAATAAAAGTCTTGAAGAAATGGGGCGCCGTCTTCGGCCCTCTAAATTTACCCTTGTCCTTCAAGTATGAACTCAGATTCTCCGCCTAAGCTTTCCGAACCGGGTATCTCCCCTCCTTTTCACTGGAGCTGCCCCGGACTCGCCCGCCCCCAGGCTCATCCACACTAGGGCGCCGATGAGCGAGGTTAGGACGATTGCTGTTAGGATGCCGGCCCCAACACGGTCCCCCTTCGTCACTTCCCCCTTGTCATACGAGGGGTCTGGGGTGGTGCCAGCGAACGGGTTTCCTTGGCTCGTGCCGCCAGTAGTGTTGGTGTAGGGCCCCGTGATCGAGGACTTCTCAAGATCCACCAACAAGACTGACAGTGCCGCAACGACGTTCATCTCCTGGCCGGCGCCCGTGAGTCCGTCATATTCGCCCGTCGTCCAGCGGAATCCGCACTGCCGGCCGTTGTCGCCGCCAGAGCACGCCTTCACGGCATAGGCGGTTGAGTTTTTGAGCGCGTTCATGATTGAGTCATGTGCGAAGGGGGCGAGCTGCGCCGTGCTGGCCATCCACCGGTGGAGGAAGCCCTTGAAAGCCAACATGTCGGTTTTGCAGCTGATTCGATCTTCCAGTTCGCACGATACCTCAATCATAGGTCCAGTGTCGAAGAAAATCTCAAGGGTTCGCGTCACCAGCCGCTGCACGCGATCTCCCCATCGCTTCTGGTCTTCTCCAGTGGTCTATGCTTGCTGTCAGTCTCTTTACCTTAACATGTCCCAAGTGGTGGCACCTTGCCATGTCCCCTCCTCACGATCGACAGCTAGGGGCACCGGGAAGAGGCAGCTGAGGTGGCAGAGATAAGAGGGGATGGAATACGTACGTAGTCGTACATAAAAGCAGCACCTTGCATAAATACACCGGCGTTGTACGAAAACTGGGCCTTGAATATGTCGGTGCAGTTGACTCCAACGTGGCCGCCGTCGTAGACATTGATCTCGTCGTCCATCATCCCCACACCGGCCACCCAATCCCACGTCTTCTCGGCCCATTCGGCGTACGTGTTGTTTTGCGTGTAGCGTGCGAGGCGCGCTCCTAGGTTGAAGAAGATTCCGTTCGCGATGCTGTTCTTGTAGTCGTAGCCGATGTTGGATATGGGGATCTGCCAGCGCAGACCTCCACCGCACGTATCGTCGTGGCGGTCGGGCGCAGCCTGCGTGTTGAACACAGCCTGCGCCAGCTCCAGCCATTGTGGCTGGTCCTCGGGGGGGTTGGGGAAGTTTAGCTCGGCCGCCAGCATGGCCGACATGCCCCAGAACCCCTGATCGTCGTTGCCCAGCGATATCGTGTAGTTGCGCGGCATGTACGCGTTCTGCGGCGGCCCCGTCTGGAACAGCAGCGCCTGCTTCGTCACGTCGTTGTACGTCGCGTCGCCCGTGTAGTGCCAATAATCCAACATGGTCCCCCAGAGCGCGCCGCCCTCCCACCAGTAATACTCCCCCGCGGGCGGAGGCCCGGGCAGGATACCGGGGATCTGACCCGACAGGTTGCCACTGTAGTAGCCCATGAGATCGTAGGCCACATCACTTGCCGCCTTCTTTATCGAACCTGAGGGAGAAAGCAAGTCAGTTCTAGGGACATGCACACCATTGCCAATAATTGGGCATCTGCGCTCCGTGTGGCGGCCGAGGTCATTGCCAAGACTTACTAGCAGAGGTGAGATCGACCTGCAGGGCCGCCCTGGCCGAGCCGCCCAGCAGCAATAGTGAAATCGCCGCGCTGAGCATTTTCCCGATGGCCCCGACATGTAGGAAGTTGGAGAAGTGAAGGGGAAGATAATGTTCCTGCAACAATTGTCGGGTCGCGAGAAGAGAACCACTCCTCAAGAATGTATGTAGTGGCTGTGTTGCGCCGTTAGCCAAGAGGAGCAGGCCATCCCTTCCTTTGCACCTCCCTACGTTGGGTTACAGTTGGAGCCATTGCAATCCCAATGTCCAGCGCGTGCCTAGCGATGGGCGGCAACGACTGCCCTTGCCTGGCTTGAGCGTTGAAAGCTTGGCTTGGGGCAACTGGTAAGGGGTCTCATTTTGCACCATGCCACGCCTCGCTGCATGCAGTGGCCGAGGAGCTGGGGAAGGCACAGCGTGAAGGTGATTGGTGAGGTCGTCTGGGTGGACTCCGCTTCGCGCTCCTTTGGCCATGCTCGGTTTCCATTTTTCAGGCGATTGAACGGGCTTGGGCCCGCTTTTTGTCCGATGAATGCCGACCCGTGAAAGCTCGTATTCCGGGTAGCGTTTTGATGAATGCACCACAACCGACGGAGTGCCCACGAGCTTTAGTTATAATAAGGAAGGTGCCGACTAGCATTTGGCTTTTCCAGTGGCTTCGAGTTTCGCGCCACGAAATGCTCGGGCTGGCTTTGCAGTTGCAGGCGATACGCAAGAAGCACTGTGCGACAGACGTGACGAGACGCATGACAGCTGTCAGTTGTTGGATCCAAGGCAGGCGTTTGCAGCACCGCACCCGATCCCGTATCGCACACAGAACGGGTGCCTCTCAGAATCCGAACTCCCACAGCGTCCTTCCCGAAGTATCCGTATTTCCAATTGATAATTGAGCCCAGTCCAGTCAACAGGTGGGACGAAAGTGATATGACTTCCTCTGTTTGCCATCCTAGAGCATCAATTCCACGGCAATGCCACGCATTCCTGCACCTTGACCACGACGGCATTCCTCTCTCTTGACGATAGTGGGGCGTGTTGCTTCTCTAAAATGGCAACATCCGAAATATGTGGACTATTCCGTCAATCGGATAGCCTCTTTCAACATTGCTAGCTGCAGAGCTTCTATGCATGCGATAAGGGTTTTCTTTCCTGCACACTAGATAGAAGCGCGAGGCGTTTAATGCCTCTGCCTCGACTCCTCAAGCGTGGCACAAGACTGTCATGTCGTCATGATCTGCAGCTTTTTCGCAGCAGGAGTCCTTGGCGTGGCGGTGTGGGGCCAAGCAGTTCTCCATTTGCACTAACACACTCTGCAGCCAGTTGCTCGCAATTCTGTTAGCAACTTACAGATGTAACCCCATCCCTCACCACAACCACCACCTGCCTCCATTTAATTCGATGCCGATCTGGTGGCGCCGGTGAGACTGTGCTGCACTCAAGCAAGTCTAACTGTCACACCGCACAGGACACCGTCGATGCACAGCAGTTTGTCTTATCTTTTGGGGTTGGGATGGGAGGAGCACGGTGTTGTCACAGGCCTCCTCGAGCGCGTTATCGGCGGCCGGGTGCTGGGACGACGGGTTCTCTGTAATTTACCTAGATACCTTACCTTTACAATACCTACAAAGGTACTGTAAGGGCTGCTCGACGCCGATAAGAGTGTTCTCGACTCTTCCTGCCACAGTCCGCACCCGCCGTAGCCCGAACAATCAACTCCATAATTACTTATTTGCCTCTCTCCGCTGCCATCTGCGTAGCCACCCCAGATTCGCACTAGTTTCATATTGACGACACAAGTGCGGGTACAGGCTCGTTTTGTCTTCAAGAACAGAAAAGTCGCAATGTCTGAATCCGAGCCCCGGCAGATCCAGGGCCGATCTGAGGGCCGTCGCGAGTCCCTCTTGGCCGAGTTCCTTCCCGGGAGCCTGACTCTGCCGCCATCTTTTGTTGCAACTTCGCCAATCGTTCGCGAAATCTTGGGCAGGGACATCGCAGAATGCTCTTCCGAGCCTGACGATGAAACTCATGCCACGCCCGAGTCCGACGATGAGTCGGAACACCCTTCCACCCAGGCCATAGAGCCAAAGCTCGCGTTCCACCCAAACGGGGTGGCCTACGGATGCGGCTTCTCTACGGTCCCCCTCCAAGGCCTGGACCGCCCCGTCCCCAACCCGCGCGAGGTGGAGGAGTCGCTCCAGGCCGAGCTCAGTCTGCTTCGCGACAATGACATCATCCCATCAAAGTCATCCCATTCGTGGACACGCCGCGACAGTCTCCCAGGACGTGTTTACCGCCACGTCTTCAGCACCAAGACCCGAGACCACGAGGAGCCCGATTTCTCTGGCGCCGCTGCTGAAACAACGCCGCTCTTGCCCGACGACAGCTCGATCGACGAGCTCCCGACGCCCCCGCCCAACGAAATCCACGAGCGATGGGAGGAGGCTGTGGCTACTCACAGTGTCAAGACCAGTTGGCAGCGCGAGACAAAGACCCTCGTCCAGTATTCGGCCCCTCTGATCGCCACCTTCTTGCTGCACTACTCCGTCACTATCGGAAGCGTGCTTACCGTGGGCCGCCTGGGAATGGTAGAGCTAGCCGCGGTGAACCGTAAGTATCTACCCGGCATGCATGGGTAGATTCAAGAATCGAGTCCCGACTGACTGGAATATGCTCGTCCAGTGGCCACGATGACTGCTAGCATCACCTGCTACGTCCCCGTGCAGGGCCTGGCAACTTGCCTTGACACCCTTTGCGCCCAGGCGTACGGATCCGGCCACAAGCATCTCGTTGGACTCCAGGCACAGCGCATGACCTGGCTCCTCTGGATTCTCATGGTCCCGATTGCCTTTCTCTGGTGGTTCTCCGAGCCCATCTTGCGAGTTCTTGTCCCTGGCGAAGAGACGGCTGCGCTCGCAGCCCTCTACTTGCGGGTTCTCATCATAGGGATGCCTGGTGTGGCTGCCTTTGAAAGCGGAAAGCGTTTTGTCCAGAGCCAAGGCTTGTTCCACGCGACCACTTACACTCTGCTTATCGGGGCCCCATTGAGCTTCCTGCAAAATTGGTTCTTTGTCTTTAAACTGGGCTGGCACTTTGCTGGAGCGGCCACCGCTATGGCTGTGACCCAGAATCTGTTGCCAATTCTGTTGATTCTCTACGTTCGCTTCTTTGAGGGCTCGCAATGCTGGAATGGGTTCAGCAAGAAGGCTTTTAGAAACTGGGGTCAGTTTGGTTCTTTTTCGGCATCTCCGGAGCAGTCGTGTTTGCTGACAACTCTTTGAATCGTTATTAGGCCCCATGATCAAGCTGGCCCTCCCGGGTATGATCATGATCGAGGCGCAATTTTCAGTCCTGGAGATCCTCACCATTGCTGCCGGTCAGTTTGGCACAGCGCAACTCGCAGCGCAGAGCGTCCTCATTACCATCACGTCCACTTCGTTCAATATACCGTTCCCTCTTGCCATTGCAACCTCTACTCGCGTCGCCAATCTCATCGGAGCGAACTTGAGCGATGCTGCGCGAACGACGGCAAAGGTGGTGCGTATTACTCTACATGCTTCTTACCTAACCGGCCTCACCGATCCCGACGAGCTACTAACCAGTTGAGCTTTAACAGGCGATTGTGGCCGCATGCACCGTGGGACTGTTCAACCTGACCATATTCGCCACCTTACGCCGGGTCCTCCCACAGGTCTTCACCGACGACGAAGAGGTGATCGATGTCGTCTCGCGAGTCATTCTCGTCTGCGCCCTGATGCAAATCTTTGACGCCCTTGCCGCCGTATCGCACGGGATCCTGCGCGGAGTAGGACGCCAGGCTATCGGAGGCTACGCGAATTTGTTCTCGTACTACCTAGTAGCCCTGCCCATCTCGCTGTCAACGGCATTCCCCCTTGGCTGGGAGCTCGCGGGCCTCTGGTTTGGAGTCACGATTGGCCTTGCTGTGTAAGCTGTGCTCTGCTTTGTTTTGATTGGTTGCCCCTGGAACAACTGGGTGTCGCTGATTGTCAACATCGCGCTAACATGACATTTATCACTCAACTAGGGTATCGGGACTTGAGCTTCTGTACCTGTATCATTCAGACTGGGACCAAGCTGCAGCGCAAGCTGAGGCCAGAATGCGTTCCGAAGACACCGGCAACATTGAGCCCAAGTTCACCAACGCGTAAATCCGAGAGAACGGCTGGCAGCTGTAGCGGGCACAGAAACGAAGACAAACGAAAGACACACGAGAAGGGTTTGGTTGTGTTGGTAATGACCTCGACCCCCTGGTTTTCTTTACTATCTGAAGCATGGAGCGGAAATAAGTAGTTGGGTTGATGGGTATGCATGCTATAGGGCGGCAATTTGTTCGTATTGTATGCTTTCGACAGAAAAGGTAACAGGTGCGTACAGGCATTTCGAGAAGGCTACTTGGGTAGTAAGCTAAATGAAAGTATTATATACCATTAATGTAGCAGTCATTAGTTACTGTTCGTGAATATGTGCTTGAGAGCGAATAGTTGACATCCCAACTTGTCCCATATGCATGTCTCAAGGTTTCCCTGGCAACTAATTACGGAGATTTCCCTTTTACTCCTGGTAATGGTTAATGTAAATGGAATAGTTTATTTAGTGGCGGTCAATAGTCAGCTCCAGCGCCCTCAACCAGGTCGTAGACTAATTAGACATGAACAGCAGGATTGTTGTCTGTGAAGACAAGGACACAACCCCCCCTGGACCAGCTTATCTTCTTGTTCTGGTAACGCAAAGCAGAAGGGTGGATTTTTGCCAATGTTAAGATGGAATCGGCTAGCTGGTCCCATGGGAATGGCATCATGGTTTCTGAGCAGGGGAGTGCGTGCGCGCTAATGCTTCTTTCTGTCGATTTTATACCGCCAACCCTCATGTCGGCGGGATATTGGACGCTACGGCTCAGTCAGTATGACTGGAACGGTTATTATTATGGGCTACGTAGGGTAGAGAAGGTCATTAACGAGTTCAGGGACAATACCCTGGTTACTAAGTTTGATGTCTACCCCCTGGAGTATGCACCGGGAGGAGAATATTGAATTGGAGCTTACTACAAGAGGAAAAAAATGGGCGTAACTAAAGAGTACGCATCTTAAGAATGTCTTGGGGAAGAAGTATATCCTCGTTGAAGTTGGCGGCTGTACGCTGGAGGTAGCTAAGCTGGTTAGTACCTCCCTTACTTTGCTTAAGCTGATTCAGTTTCGTAAAATTTTGATACCATTCCGTAGGTCGACAGTCGCGTAATTATCGACGTCTTTGGGTATTACAAGGGCCAGGGTAGTGTTATTCCTAGGTTGTCCCGATATACCCCAAAACTAGAGCCCGAACGTGAGCGTCGAGACCCGAGTAGCGAGGATTCGGATGAAGAAGACGAAGAAGTCGAACCCGTGCGTGCTGTTGAAGTCGAGATAATGTTGAACAGGTGGAGGAGCTAAACGAACTCCCGTCGAATATGTGCCTTCTGGCACCTCCCCGTGTGCGCGGTTTCGATTTGAAGACTAAAGAGTGGTGGAAGTCATTGATTCTAATCTCCGCTTGTAATTAGAGTCCAAATAGCTGAAAGTATTATATAAGAGGCCTGTTCGATGTCGACGACGTTAAGGATACAACTTGGGATGAGATACCCTACTAGAAACTTGTTCTCCCCGGCAGCGATAAGGAGAAGTGTTACGATCCTGGTCCAAGTCTGCAGGAGGCGCTGGAGGCCAATTGCTAATTGGGCAGTACAGGCAGGCGGGCCGGGCCCCGCAGGAGTTCGGTGCAGCCAATCAGGTAGCGCTCTGCCTGATTAGCTGCCAAGACCAACAGAGCGGACGGAGCGGGCGCTCTGCGGGGCCTCCGTGCTCTGTGAGCAGAGCACCCGGGGCCCACGGAGCGCAAAGAGAGAACTCTGATTGGTTACATGAATTAGATAAATACGATGACCGTAGCCACGGTCTTAGATAGTTCTTTGCTTGGTTCTTCAAGCAAGCAATACACATTCACTGCACTCATACACTTTGAGTGGCATTCCAATTTGACTGTATTACCCGTGCGATAGGAGCTTGCCCTTTGTTCTATCTTCATAATTACCAACCCCAGCATTTTGTGGAGCCCGTGCTCCCTTACAGACAGACGGCCCTAACAGTCGAGTGGTTTGTAATAAGAAGGAGCTAGTCTTAGCCTTCTCTAAGCACTGAGGTTTTAATAAGGGTTTCGACGACTTTGCCCGATAGAAGGGTATATCCCCCCCACCCTTTCTACTTCCTCCTACCCCGTGTAAATAAAACTGATAAGCTCCCTATAGGTAAGGAAATTATTATCCTCCTCTGCGGACCCCCCGGTGTTGGTAAGACGTTGACCGCCGAAACCATCGCAGAAAAATCTCTACACCTCTTTACATCCTTAGCAGAAGCGACCTGGGCACGAGCCCTGCCAAGGCCGACGGTGCTTTAAATGCCGCGTTTTGTGCTCACCGTCTCTAGTTAAGTCTATCAGGACCCTTGGTATTGAGCCAGGGCAAAGTGCCGGCTGGCGATCCACCAGATCTTGTACCCAGACGTCGCAGTCCCACTTGACCCAGTAATCGATCACACTTTCCCAGCTCTTGACCAGATGGATCTGAATGCCTGAGCGGTGTGTGCCTTGTCTATCTAGCTATTGTGCTTGCTGAGGACTGGTGGAAACGGACGTCGTCTGAGTCAGTCAACAACCAACAGAAGGATGCAGGCAACAGGACCATGCCGAGCGGCCGAGCGAGGCCACTGCTGATCTGTCAAGTGGTGTCGATTGGTGGGGGTAGCAGAGGACGGAATAGGTTGTAGTTAAGCTACAAGACAGCTAAGATATATCCACATGCAGCTCGAGAGCAGGGCGTCTCAATACCCCACTTTCCCGTCTTGATTGTATCTACATCTCTATTCGACTTTCGTATATGTCTAACAGTCAACCCACCAAATGAACTAATGACTAGACTTTAAAACCTTGTTTTAAGCACGATTTTAATCCTCTTGGGCGGTGAATCGCAGCTTTGACCTGTTCTGTGATTGTCGTTGTAAGTCCTTTTCTGCCCAGAGATCAACTTGATCCGGATTTTCTTTATAGACCTTTCTATAGGATTCAGAGTACGTCCTTGCAGTGGCTCAGTCTTAATGTCATTCTGGCAGTGCCAGGCACTCAGTCAGCTCCGCTGAATAGATGCCCAGAGCCCCTGAACCCCTTTTCTATCTGACAACAATCACAATACAAGCTGTTCTCAAACACACGTAGATCAATAGTGCCGTGCTTCTTGACACCATTTACATCAAGTCTTTATTAGGCAATTAGGTCTAGCACAACCAACCGGCTGATAAATAATCCACTATCGCCAGATTTAAACACATAACTTCGATAACCAGAAACCACGGATGAAACAACTACACCATAGAGATTTCTGTTTTAGTTAGAGAGGGTATAGGTAGAAGTTTAAGGCGTACTCCCGAGACACAACCAAAACTTTGAGGCACACCCCCGGCCATACATAACCCTCCTAACCCAGGTCCGGGGGTAAAGGCGTGAAATTTCCAGCTGGGTGTACTGCAGTCCAACAGCCCGGCGCCCAGCAAACGCATGAGGGCAATGCAATTAAGGCGGCGATAATGCGATACGGATAACGACAGTGATAATAATAGCGATTGCGATAGCGATAGCGATTGCGATAGTGTTGACAGACCTAATTGTCGCTCCGGTCGCACCATGGAGTAATGAGACAGTTGCGTGGCAGTAATTGTGTTAGGTGAGCAGTTTAGGTGAGCAGTTTAGGTGAGCAGTTGCGCTAGTTGAGCAGTTGCGCTGGGTGAGTAGTTGCGCTGTGAGTATTTGCGTTGTGGGTGGTGGAACCGCTTTTACTGGGTTAGGGTTATGTAGGGTGTGCCTCAAAGTTTTGGGTGTGTCGGAAGTACGCCTCAAAAGTCGGCTATAGGATCCAGATCCAAGCCGCTGGAAGCAATAAGCTTGAATCTGAGGGGTGTGTTAAAAGAAAGGGTTCAGCGGTTAGCTAAATGAATGGTTGTTGCCCCCGAGGCAACCGATGTGGCTTTACCATGCATATGTGGCTCCACCATGGCGCACATGGCTTCTTGCCACAAGGCAATCGTAAGCTAGTTCATGCAGCAGATTTATGAAAGAGGGCTTTCTGGCTCTGCTAAAAGGTGCCATGCTGTTGACAGCCACTAGAACTAGGGCAGCTGCCGCTGACCCTGCGATCAAGCCCCCACTTTGGACCTTTCACCGCTTTTTACCGCAGCCAAAATGAGACTTCTAAACACACAAACCCTCCAGCTAGAGTACTTTGCCACAGAGCACAAACCCGAATATGCTATTCTCTCCCACACCTGGGGCTCTGAAGAGGTCCTTTTCGAGGATGCTCGAAACGGCAAGGGCAGCCTGCATGAGTGCAAAAAGAGCGGGCTGGAAAAGGTGCTGAAGAGCGCAGAGGTAGCGGCGCAGAATGGCTACCAGTACATCTGGATTGATACGTGCTGCATCGATAAATCAAGCAGCGCTGAGCTCTCCGAGGCCATAAATTCCATGTTCGCTTGGTATCAGCTCTCAGCAGTCTGCTACGCCTTCCTGTCCGACTACAAGGCATGCGACGGCAAGTTGTCGGAGAGTCGGTGGTTCACCAGGGGCTGGACCCTCCAGGAACTCATCGCCCCTTCCGAGGTCCATTTCTACGACCTGGGCTGGACCCGTTTCGGTGACCGCCGTTCGTTCTCGTCACAAATCGCAGTCATCACGGGAATAGACGAGGTGCTATTGCGCAGAAAATCCTCCTGTTCTTTCCACCAAGTCGTGTCAGGCGGATCCAAGCGGGGGTGCAAAAATTGCTCACACGAAGCGATGGCCCTGACCAGGAGGTCGCTCAACACGTGCTCAATCAGCACGAGGATGTCATGGGCTGCACACCGAGAAACGGCACGGGTCGAGGACATCGCCTACTGTCTTCTGGGGCTATTCGATGTGGCCATGCCGCTTCTGTATGGGGAGGGCCTCGAGGCGTTTCGCCGCCTGCAGGAGGAGATCGTGCGTCATTCAAACGATCAGACCTTCCTTGCTTGGCAGCACCGCAAGAGAGAGGGCTCCCGCAAGGATGCCATTTTTGCGGCACATCCAGCTTGTTTCTCAGACGGCCAGCGCTTCCGCGCGGTCCCGTCGCTCCTTTCAGAGTTCACAACGACGGTACAGAACGGCGGCGTCGAGCTCGAAATCTACTTAGCACCGTGCACTGTCAAGCCCCTGTTCGGCGACTGTCAATACGTATGGCTTGCAGTCCTTAATTGCAGCGAGGTAGAGGATGATTTCTGTTGTGTATCCATCCTCCTAGAGGAGACAAATGCGGCGCCCAGGTCAGCGGCGCCAAGGTCCTTTCGGCGCCTAGGGAGTGCGGGCGACCATTGCTTCCCGCCCATTCTCGTCAGCCCTAGTGTCGGTGTTTATACTACCGTACTCAAAGACATCTCCGCTCCATTTCAAATAGAATCCGAGTTGTCAGAGATGGTGAGATCCAGAATCCTTCTGCACGAAACAAAAGACGGATGGTCCACCAGCGGTCCAATCGACCGCCGCGTCTGTTTTACCTTTCCGGGAGGGCTGATGCCAGGATACTACGTTCGCAGGCAAGTCCCGGACCCAATCGCACCAACATGGGAAAATACGGGCCTTCCTAGGCCATATCCTATATCCGGGCGCACCACACCTTCTGGCGGCGGAAAGGGGCCACCGCCGTACGTATACGGAGCGGCAGGCATTTCAGACGGAAAATGCGAGTTCTCCGTCATCTGGGGCACTTTCCGGGGCACAAGACGCAAGTCCGACTGGCCCGCGCTGAACATTGCAGACGACGAGAACGAGGCCCCGTTCTGCAAAGTCTGCCAGAATCTCGACGGGATGGCCCAGGAGGCCGATGGGCTCGACACTACGGATTGGCTAGTGAGGGTCCTTGAGATGGTCAGGCTACAGGACGAGCGTAATGCCTCCCCCGCTATGGTCGACTTCCAGCCGCTTGGGGGATTTAGCTCTCTGACATGGATAACCGACAGTGGATCTTCAGTTTGGATCGAAGCAGCTATCAAGGTCAATGAGTTCCTCGGCCGGAAGAGGTTCGATATCGAGGTTACGATGAAGGAAGTTGGATTTGATCATAAGATGTCTTGATTATTATACCTAGGATAAACATGAGCCTAACATCCTGCCCAGTAGCCTAGTCGCCAACTTTCCTGTATTGATTTCGAAAAGAAGTTCAAAGAGACCCGCCGGGAGTAGCTTCCTCCTTGCAAGTGTCAAATGACAGTGCTCAGCTGTGCATATCAGTGGCTGTGGCCTAAGAAATCCCGACACATGGGAATTGACCCTTCAACCGCTCTTCTCGTGAGAAAACAAGTTCCACAGCCAAAGAACATCTCCTATCTGACACTGACCAGGATTTACATATCATAAACCTAGCCACAGAAACATCCCTAGAAATTGCTGAGCAATTGTGAGCCAAGATAGCCCTTGCCCCTTTAGCAAGCGGATCTTTGCATTATCCTGTAGCGTGTATCGTGCCTTTCTTGGAGTAGGCTTGTAGTTCGCCAACTCTTACCACCCCAGGTGAGCTGAATTTATTCATTTTTCGGATTTATCAGACAAATGCAAGGACAGAGCAAATAGCTAACCTTTTCTAAGTGCAAACAAGCAAGCAAACTTTTCAACCGTTGAATGTGGGGCTCCGCTGGGAGGTGTCAAACGGGAGGGGGTCAGCGGTAAGCTGACCTAGTGGTTGGAAACCGGCCGCCAACAGGTCGCCAGTTAGCCAGGCCCGAACACACCAGCGCAGCTCCTTGGGCCTGAGCCCCACACTATGCCTGAGGCTACCTGTGACACGGGAGCACCCCGACTTCTTAGGGATTCGTGACAGAGATTTCGTTTTGGGGCAAATTCCTTATTGTCACCACGTCTAGTAGTAGAAGGCAGAGTAGGAAGGACCTAAGCATCCAATGTAGTTCATCATGCTAGTCTAAACTAAAGCGCTCAATAGATGGCTCGACCGCGGGAGATTCCGTCCTCTCCCTTAATCATACGCATCGTCATCCTTATCATCATCATCATCGTCATCATCATCCTTATCATCGTCATCATCATCATCATCATAATCATCATCATCATCATCATCCTTATTCTCAATATCAGCCTTCACCCCGACCGACTGGAACGTGATATATCCCTTGCGATCGGCAAACGTCAATTTCACTGCCACCAAGAGACCTTTTCGGGGATGTTGGGGTTTGGTATCCTGGGGCATTATTTTGACCTGGAACGGCCCCGGCTTCCCCATATGTTCCTTCCGGAATAAATGATCGTCACCGGACATGACCGCTACCTCAGTGACCAATCCAGCATGGGCTATGAAGTCGACCTCCACCTTAGTGACAGCGGAAACGTCGCGTGGTAGGCCAGAAAGGGGAAAGAGGACGGTGCCCTTGAGATTGTTTTCAGTACTGGGTTGTACAAATGCGCCAGTGATTTTTGTTGTGATCTTGAGCGTGCTCTCCGAGTCGTTTATGGCTGCGGCGCCGTGTGTTGACACCCAAATCGACATTATTCTGATTGTTCACCTGGAATTAGGCCATATTAGTTCACCCATTTAATGTGGTCCCAAGCCCTTGGTGTATGTAGCCAAGTCTGAAGCAGTGATACTTGCCTGTCTTGTGGGGATGTCACACATGAGAAGAGGCGTGTAAGTAGCGTGATATTGCCTTAGGAAGCCTGAACTCTGAAATGGAACGACTCATCTGGCACAACGGTGAAAGGATAGAATCATTATAAGTGGCATTCCATTCCGTGGCACACTGCCCACATCCCAGAGCACGCGTAGATCGCGAGTGAGATGGGGGTGGCGCAACCAGACGTTATCTCAGCACCGGAAGTGGTTTTTCCCAAGCGGTAACCTGAGATTAGACTAATCGGGTTGTGCGGAACACCGTCAGTGAGGCCATTGTGAAATCCCACAGCCTTCCGGACACGTAGAGCTAGGAACGACCCTGGTCCCCTCGGGAGCGAGGGTTGCATCAACCACTAAGTTGCTGCAGAGTTATCTCAGCCCCTACCCGTCGTCTCGCAAACGACTAGTTGAAAAGCTCATGACTCTCTTGCATTTGGGGTCGAAATCAGTGTGCGCCGTCTTAGGCTCCTATTCGCTAGTTCCCTCCCGCTTTGCAGAGTTGTAACTTGACAATCCCCAGCCCCCGGCCCCCGGCCTCCGGCCCCCGGCGCTCGATAGCCTTGACTAAATCTCAGAGCGGGGTCAAAGAAGGAATTTTACACATCGGTGTACCACGGGAAGGAATGGGCGAATGAAAGTCAGATCCAATAGCATCATGAAATCTTGAACTGCCGGTCCAGGAACCCCCACAACTGCCTGGCGTATACGTAATGATGCAACTATACTCCTGAAAGGGAAACAAGGCAAGCTCTTGGCATCCACCTCAGAGCTCCCCCGCCAGGAGACTGAGACCAATTTCTTGATCAACTGCCTTCGGTTCTCGCTTTTGTGTGGTGGGTTGACAGCCCACCCGCACTGCCGACTCCAAATGTATGTGCTTCGTACTAAGATGGCGTCTGCAGCAAGGTTAGCAAGACGCGGTGGCTGGCTGGACTGGACTGGATAACCCGGACAGTCCCGAATTGAACTCGCATTCTGGCCATTGAGAGACGGGAGTTTGTGGTTCTCCCCGGGTCCTCCGTGCTTGCGTTGGATTTGTACAATACAATGCCTACTCCGTAGTCCGTACATGCAGGACAAACAGACGAGTCTGAAGCGGCCATTCATCCCACCACCCACCACCACCACGAGGCTGCCCGTGGCAGCAGCCAGACCTCCACGGGCCTAGGGCCTCAAAGCGATGAGACGGGAGGGACGGGGACGGCAAGGGTCCCTCCACACACTTCGACAGGGATATCTGCCAAGTACACTCCTGCTGCAGCGCAGTCACTGAGGAGCAACAGCGCAGCCACTGAGGAGCAACAGCGCAGCCACTGAGGAGCAACAGCGCAGTCATTGAGGAGCAACAGCGCAGTCACTGAGGAGCAACAGCGCAGCCACTCAGGAGCAACAGCGCCTCAACCCTAATGGGGTGATGAACCCAGGGGCTCTAGTCAGCTCTGCTGACTAGATGCCTAGCACTTCCAGAATGACAGTAAGACTAAGCCACTGTGGGGAAGTACTCTGAATCCTATAGAAAGGTCTATAACAAAGATTCTAGCTGCAAGCTAGAACCAACGGAAGAGCTTTACACACACAATACAATCACACATTTGCAACCCCGTCAATTCCACACCATTACGAGTGCAGCGCTTCTGACAAGTCTTGTTTCCTAAGCAAAGCACCCCCTGTTGGACCACCTCAATTGGGCACCATTCTTGCTCCTCAACTGACACCGTCACATAGCTGTATCTCAGTCAATTCAAGGCCTTTCAACCTATGAGCTCCATGGACAACACACCCACTGGAAGGCCCGCACACCGCGATGGAAAAGGCGCCTGTCACAATAAGAGTGAGGGGGAACACAGATTGTTGTAGTGCCATCCCACACTTCAGCTGTAAAGAATTGTACTAGTGTCCAAGACAGGAAACTTGAGTTCCGTCGACTTGCAGGCTAGCACCGTTAATTTCAGGGTACTGCCGCGACTCTACCTCATCTCTACCGGTCCCCCCCCCCCCAACAGAAACTCCACATCTGATAGTGCTAGATAACTGAACCTTTCTTTGCTTTTGTTTTGGTATGCAAATTTTCGAAATTATTTAACTGAAAAGTTGGCTGTTTTTTGCGGTAAAAATGGCAATCGTGCGTTTCTTTTTTGCCACGGCCACTGTAAACCTCGCGGCTTTTGGCGGAAGGGCACAGGGTTGTTGAGCGTCTTCGGAGGGGGACTGACAAGGCTGGCTTAGGCAAGCTTTGCAAAGTGGACCAATTGCGGAAGCAACTTCTATGCTCGCTGCAGTCCATACGTGCTCAGACCCCGGAGGCGCACTTGAAAAGATAATGACAAGTTAAGTTGCAATCACCTTACAAGGTGACCAATGCTGCATGATATATTGCCTGTGGTGGCTTATTAGATGGGCAAGTTATCGTTTGGTAGGTATGCAAGCAGACAGCCTCGTCCAAGGCAATGTCGTGTCAAGATTACTGCCACATGACTCGTTACTTTTGGTGGAGTGGGGTCGCTGATAATGGGCTTGACAGCCGCCGACAAGGCTCCATGGCGATCGCACCTCCGCACACTTGACGAAGACCAGCAGATTGCTAATATTCGGGAGTAAAGTCGTCTTGCATGCAGGAGGTTCAGCTGTAGAGAAGAGAATTTGGGAGCATCACTTTCCAAAATAGGACGAAGCATCAAGGCGTCCTCGCCGCTTTTCATGTACTGCTACCAATGTGGCTTCACGGGCAAGAGCTGGCGATGATGAGAGAAGGTACACCGTCACTGCCGTAGGTAAAGGGTAACTCTTAGAACATGATAGAATAACTATCCTCCGCCTTAATTCCGCCCAAGTACCCACCTATGTACTAGCAAAAATGCACGTTGGCGACGTAACGGGCCTATTGGCTAATGTGAATAGCTGCACAAAGTGCTTACACGAGGTGCCTTCTCAGGGTCCTGCCCATGTATATATTTGAACTCTTTTCCCAACAAAACATGCAAAGACAAGTCCCCTCAAACAGACGCCCACCGCAAAATCTCAGCACATCCACCATCTCCATATCCAGCTTCGTCAATCAATCCGAGAAATCCAACTCAAGTAAGAACCCAGAGTGGCTCATCCCGGCATCTCAACTATTCCAAGAGTAGGACTGACATCAGCCACGGCAGGAACCCTCAGTCTACTAGCAGCATCCTAGCAAAATGACTACCTGGCTCTCCACGCACGGCATTGGCGCCATCAAGGACAGCGACTCCACCTTCTCCATTGTGGCAGAGTCGGGCTCGGCAGTTGTCAAGCCGACGCAAGCGAACCAACTGACGGGCTGGCTTCACTTCGTCATCCCTAGCCCGCCCGTTACCAACCCGAACTTGAAGACCCTCGCCATCGACTTTTCGACCCAGGGAGCCACCGTCGAGAGCGTGTCTGTCTACCTTGCCAACAACGAGATCTACACCAAGAACAAGCTTCAGCGGGGACAGTCTTTCACGCTCAAGATCCTCTCCTCCGAGTCCACCTACGATGGAAAGGGCATTGCCGTGTCGGTGTACCTCAAGTTCACCGGCGTGACCTCCACCCTCAACTTCCAGTCAGTTGCCATTGAGGTTTAAGTAAGTCCTGAGCCCCCCGGGTTCGCCTTATCCCGTCCACTAGCTTCCAAGAGTCTGACAAGGGCGAACTGTTAGGTCTTCCGCCCGGGGGCGACCGGTGGCACATGCTGCCTTCGTTGGCGTAGGGACATGGAAGCGGGCGATCTCCTTGTTCCTCAGGCAGCGAGCTCACAATTAGCTGGGAAGTTTGGCAGCAATTTTCATAGCTTCCTACTCCATTCTCGCCGAGATTTGTCGTGGATCGCCTTTAACAGGCCTGATGGTTCCCTCAAGCGGGGACCACATGCAAAGGATTACATTCGTTATAACCATCAGATAGTACTAGCTGTAAAATCTACTTCAGCTCTATTATATCGTTGCTAAGAACCCTGATGATGCCATGAAAGGATGGTGATATTGACATTGCTCAAATTCTGCAAGTGGGCGGTGGCTCCCTAGCCAAAAGTAACAGAGTTTGGGCCTGTCTTCCACATATGCTCAGGTCCTGTAGTGGGCTCTCTTTTCTCTAGCATACTGGCTTCGGGGCTGCCGCCTAGCATCCCCTCTGCGACGTGCTCCTCACAGTCCCGGAGGCCTCCACAAGGCATTTCCCATCTCAATTGGATTGACTGCCGGCCGTAGCGCAAATGCCATCCGTGTCTTTTGGACCAGGGTTTCCAGGTGGGGCAGAGCTACGTACCGATCACCGCGGAATTTCATCTGCCGGGTAAGATGCGCACAGCTCAAGCCAAGAGATGCCCGTTAACCTTCTTGGAACGACTAGAAACACTGCGGCCGCCGTTCGTGACCACCCCCTTCTCCCGGATACCCGATTTCATCGGCGTGGAAACTTTTTTCGATTAGATCGTCAAGCGATGCTCCGAGCCGGCCCGTCGGTGGCCCTCGTTGGCCTGGGTGGTGTTGGCAAGTCGCACCTGCCTATCGATTACGTTCACCGAATCGCTGAGCAACAGGCTAACAACCCGTGCAATGCCAAGTGGTCCGGATTCCATGACTCCAATCCTCGAAGAAAAGCACCTCAAAGAAAGAGGGAAAGATTATCCCCATCATCCAGCGCTTCTCCAAAGTCGAAACCGACAGTGGTGAAATCTTGTGGGCGAACCACAGCATCGAGATCCAGAGCGAGCGTCTAGATCCAGAGCGAACGTCTAGATCCAAAGCGAGCGTCTGAAGCCACTGCTCAATAAGGTCTTTGTGAGACACCCAGCCTGGTACCCGGATGCGGCGCCGTACACATTCTTCCCTCCCTTCAAGCCGCTTGCCCACAGATGGGAGGCCGCTCTGCATGCTTTCGCGGAGGTGCAGAAGGGCGGCCATCAGCGGCTCAAGGATAAGATTGTCCATCTGTAGGGCGTGCTCGAGCCGTTGCTCGCGAATCACCTATCGGCAATGAATAAGGTGTGTGAGACGCTTGTAGTTTCGTTTGAAAAGGAAAAGCTGTGGCGTTCCCTTGCCCCAGGTAGATTGCCTTATCTTGGGGCCAACTTTATTTTTGGAACTATTGACTTAGATTTGGGGATTTGGGGATTTGGGGATTTGGACCAGATACGCCGACCCAGCCATTCCAGACCCGCGGAGTCGGATCTTTACCACCCGAATTGAGTCTAGCTGGAGAGCTTATCAGTCCCTCCTGGATCTTGCTGAGCTCTTCTAGGCCGAAGTGGGCGGATAAGCCCAACTTAGCCACGGCCGCCAAGCGCTGCCAAAACTGCAGACGATTCCCAGCCTTTTGCTGCCGCTGATGTCAATGGCGTTAAATAGACCACGGACACCCTCCTGCTGGTATGCCATTTCCACGACTCCAGAGAATCACGGACATTCCCATATCTACTTTGTGCTTTGCTCCGGGTCCCAAACCTGAGCTTCTCTTTGAATCAAAAAACCAACCCCACCAGCTTCATTCACATTTGTCACATTCAAGCACAGCTCTCAGCGACAACAATGGCGAGATACACAAAACAGCTCCTGTTCGTCCTGGCCAGCCTTACCAGCTTCGGGAGCGCTCACCCGGGGGGCCATAAGAGCGACGCCCGATCAGTAGGAGCCCAGTTTCCCATCGGGGACCCCGAGCTGTCGATCAACGGCATCCCCTATTCCACACGCGCACACTGGATGCGCGAGTCGACGCTCGCGCTCGGCGCGCCGTGTCCGTTCGCCGCGTTCGGCACCGTCATCGTCAACCACACGAGCAGCAGCAAGCTCGGCGACGTCATCTGCACGGGCGCCAACGCCAACAGCAAAACGGGCAATCCCATTATGCACGGTAAGCAGCTTCTCGCTGTTGGTCAAGACAAGACAAGACAAGACAAGACAAGACAGACAGACAGACAGACAGACACTGACACGCGCAGGCGAGATGGCGGCCATCACCAACTGCTCTGCGATCCTGACCGACGCCGACGGCGCGTACAAGCTGACACCGGCGGCAGCGCTGGCGGCGTTCGCGGACCTGACGCTGTACACCAACGCCGAGAGCTGTCCCATGTGCGCGGCGGCGATCCGGTGGGCCGGGTTCAGGGAGTACGTCTACGGCACCAGCATCGACACGCTGGTCGCTCAGGGCTGGGGCCAGATCCGCATCGCGTCGCTCGACGTCGTCGCCCAGAGCTTCGACCTCCCCCTCCCCACGCGCCTGCTGGGCAAGGTGCTCGCCAACGAGACGGACCCGTACTTCCTCTGGCAGTTCAACCCCGCGTATCCCTGCCCCAAAGGCTGCGGGCGCGTTGGCGCGACTTGCAAGGCTGTGTAGGTGGGCTGGGTTAATGATGGTGTGAGTGCGTTAGTGGAGGGATGATGGTTTGAATTTCTGTTGCATGAAACGGAGACCAACTGGTCATTGATTTGGGGTTTTACGTGGTTTATGAGAAACGAATCCCTTCCAGAAATGTCGAAACGCAGATGCTCTACGGTTGTGCTGTACTTGCAACTCATTTGCGCTTGTTTGCCGGCACAAAGACTGAACTGTTGAACTTTACTCCGAGAATTATTTCTTCAGACTTTACAAACAGCCAATTAATGCCAAACAGAGAGAGAAAGAGGTTCAGTCTTTTGCTGGGCCATGGACCAATAGTGGAGCCGCCCATACCGTGGCAACCTCGGTGAAGCAACAACTGCGGATCATTTCCCTTCAGGCTCGCTCAACAACCTACACCCGCTCCAGACAGGGTGGATATATCTACCCGAATAGCCATCCACACCACAACAAGAACCTCGGATCTCTGACACTCGCCCGGCTAGCTCAATCAGTAGAGCGTGAGACTCTTAATCTCAAGGTTGGGTGGGTTCGACCCCCACGTCGGGCTCAATTCCCGGCGGCAAGTTCATCTTTTTGCCCCTTTCTCGCCTTCTAGTTGTTTACTTACTTATTCCGCGTCAAAGTAACCCCGTACCCGACCAGCTCCAGCGCCGTGGCCTTGCCGTCCTCGAGCGTGAACACGAAGTGGTCCTGCGACTGCAGCATGTACGTGAGGCGGTCGGTTCCGGCCCACGTGTAGCACGACGGCATGGCCCAGGCGAACTGGGCCTCGAGCGCCGCGACCTCCTCTGCCGGCGCGCCGGGGATGGCGCGCCACGACGTCTGCTTGTCAGACACCACGGTCGTGGGGTACGCCCTGAACTGGGCTGGCGGGTTCTGCGGAGGCGTGTTGATGGGTGGCAGGTCGAGGCCGGCGATGGTGGTGCGCATGTCGACACCCCTGACTACCCAGCTGGACACGTTGAGGCCCGGGGCGTCGTCGAGTGTGAGGCTGACGGTCGAGTTGGATGCTGTGTCTGCGTACGTGCCGGCGTAGGCGAGCTGGGTCTCGCTCTTGCCGGCCTGCTCGACGGCTGGGAGCAGCGTCTGCACGAGCTGGGAGAAGAGCAGCAGCACGTCGAGTCCGCCGCTGTCTTCCCCGGCGATGAGGATAGTCGCCACGAGGTCGTAGTCGGGGATCAGTGCCAGCAGCGAGTGGTACGTCTTGAAGTCGCCGCCCTTAGTGTACAGCTCCACCAGCCGGCCGTCGGCGGTCACGTTCTGCGTGCGGAAGATCTCCCACGGCTGGCCGACCAGCAGCCCTGCCGACGACGTCTCGGTCACGGGCTTGAGCCACTTGCGCGTCTGGGTGCCGGTGAGGAGGCGGTTCTGCAGAATGGCGTCGCCAAAGCGGTGCAGGTCGTTGATCGTCGAGTAGTACGCCCCGGCACTGAAGATGGATGAATTTCAGTCAAGTAAGCCATCTCGACATTCTCAAAAGAACCACAGTGGGCAAACACTTGGGGATGTACTCACGGAGACTCAAATCCCAGAGTGGCGTTCCACCATCGGTCGTCTCGCGGAATATAGCCGAGCGAGTCCTCTGGCTTCGTTGGGAACGAGCGCGTCATACCCAGAGGGCCCCAGATGTCATTCACAAGGACGTCGCTGAAGGAGCGGCCTGTGACTTCCTCGACAGCAAAGCCGATCAGGGCAAAGCCGATGTTGGAGTAGACCGTGTTGGGCGAGAAGGGGAGTTCTACCGGGGCTCGCTCGCCAAACCGGTCAAAGAAGACTTTGTTCCTGTTAGCGTACCTAGTTGAGAGTCCGTTGTGATAGCCCCGAGACGAGAGATAGACATACCCTTACGATCGCACTCGGAGGTTCCCAAAAGACCAGAGCAGTGCAGCAGCCTAGAGTCATTTCTCGGTGGAAGGCCATACGCCGAGAGGTCGGCAAACTCGGCCAAGTCGGTTGTCACTGGTACTCACTCGTCAGTCGTCTTTCACAAAGGTCTTCAAGACGGAGAGAAAGAAAGAGAAGAAAAAAGCAACAACATACTATCAGCGGCAATACCACCCAGATGCGACGCCAGCGCGCCCACAGTAACCGACTCCCAATCCACAGTCCAGACCGGCGTCTGCGCCCTGGCCTCGTGGTCGAGCTTCCTCAGCTCCGGCACATACTTTGTAATGGGATCCTCAAAGCTTACGCCGCTGAGCCTCAGAAAGGCCAGGACGGGAAACAGCTTGGACATGCTGGCGAGGCGGAAGACGGTGTCCGAGTCGACGCGCTGCGCGCCGCGCGGGTCCCGGAACGCCTCGGCCGGCGTGTGGTGGTACTCCAGCATGAGGTTGCTCTCATGAATAGACTTGACGCCGACGGCGACGGCGGTGGTGTTGAGAAGAGCCCCCGTGTTGATCCGCTCGTCCTGCAGCGCCTTGTAGGCCGCCACGGCCGATGCCACGGCCGGATCGCTGCTGGGATGGCGCCCAGCGGGAAGGACGGCGCCCAGTGGAGGACAGTTTCCGCCCAGGGATGCCAGGGCGCCGCTTATCCCGTGGCATAAGAGAATGAGTTCTAGAGGCCAGTACATGACGCGTCTGCTCTGCAGATAGGTTCGAAAATTATTCAATTCGAGTGTGAGTAGGCCGTTGGGGTGATAGGAATCTGAGCTTTCTTCTCAGCTTAATATGCAAATAAACAATCACACCTTCAGACTCAAGAGATGAATTTCTTGATAGCATTTATACCTCTCCAAGACGACAACAACGACAACTTTCGGCACCGCCGGAATGGAAATATTGCCGTCTGAAAGCTATCAAGGATTGTCTCCAATGCCAAGGATCCCCTGTGTTCCTTGTGTACGCAGTAAGCTAAAGCTCACTCAGCCTGGGGTTCTCTCGGACTCGTTATGGCCTCGGATTCTAGAAGCCAACATTTGTCTGCACACAAGGCCAAGGAGAACCGGGATTTGGTACACGCGTCCGTATGAGCCCCGTCAGGTGAGTTCACCGAAGGGGGACGGTGCTGACCGAAGGATGCGACAATGACGTATGGCCTAGCCGATGCTGCCTGTTTGGTAGGATTAGAGGTGATGGTTTTACGAGAAAGAATAGCCGGCAAGCCGGCGAGGTCCCGACTGGCATCTCAATCAGGAATCAAATGACTGCGGGGAGTAATTGTGTAACAATGACTGGTGAAGTGAACTGGCGAAGTGATGGCCCATAATTCAGCTTTCTTGGTCTCAAAACTCGACGTTCAAAACAAGCTAGGGCCATAGAAGGGCGTCAATGTCATTGGAAGAACATCATTAGAAAAGAATGTCAGCTCACAATGGGTATCTTATTTCTATATTGCCACGCTCCCGGATTAGTGAATACTAAACTAGACCTAATACATTCCTAAAGGTGTGCCTGTCTGAGCTGATTCGCTAGACGCTGCACAAAGTCCTGACCATGTCTATTAGCCCCAGGTTCCACCGCCTCCTCCCGACCTGCCAGCTCTGCGCTGCGCACTGAGCCGCCAATCGTCTGGCGCCGCGAACTTGTTGTACAGCGGTTGAATTCTCTCGGCCTTCTTCCGCTTGGACAGCTTGTCTGTGGGAGCCACCTTGAAAAATGTAGGTGCAGCCTCCACAAGCCACTTCGGTTCAATGCTCGTTGTCCAGTGCATGTATTCGCGAGAGGTCAACACGAGATCATGGTACACCACCCACTCGGCCTGCTTCCCGAACAAGGCCGAACTTGGATGTAGGTAGACAGGCGTGCCTTCGATCAGCGTCTTGTATCCCTCTTGGGGGTCTTTTCGGGCAGCATTGCGGAAAAAGCCGTGGCACAAAGCCTGCCGCACCTTTTCCGTCTGACGTCCGCAGCTGATGATGGGATGTCGGTGTCGTTCCATGATCTTGACAATCTGATCTCGCACATCCTTTGCTCGACGCATGGCGCGGGCCTGAATGAAGTTTTCGAAACACCAAGGGCTGGAATAGCCGCTGGTCTTCCACGAGTTGTACACGTTGAGAAGGGTAAGGTGGTCGCCATGGGGGTCGTGAAACTTGGCCTTCTTCTGGTCTGCCTGAGTTTGCTTTTCTTTGGGACGATAAAAGACGTTCGGAAAGTTGAGCATCGCCACAATGGTGACCATCTCATCCGAGCAGCCCTTTTCGACCGACGCAATGAGGCCCTTGGCGAGGGATGGATCCATGGGGAAATCAGCCATCTTCCTCCCAAGTCGCGTCAGGAGACCCTCATCATCTAGTGCAGCCAGTGCGTACAGTTCCTCGAGTGCTGTAAGCATAGTATTGACAGGTGGCGGCTGGAACAAAGGTTAGCAAAAAGATCCGTTAAACGCTTGGCCGTGGACATGTTGAACTTACATCCATAAAGTCGAAGCGGAGTAGGTCGTTGATCCCCATGGCTTTCAGCATGAGAATGGTGTTTGAAAGATTCTGGCGCTGAATGTCGGGAATAGTTGTTGGGAGCATTTCGGACTGGAAAGCTGCCTCGGTGTACAGTCGGAAGCACTTTCCCGGCCCAGTCCTACCAGCGCGACCAGCTCGTTGGTTTGCCTGGGCTTGTGAGATAGGGGTAATAACGAGCGAGTCCATTCCAAGCTTCGGGTCGTAGGCATTCTGCTTGACGAAGCCAGGATCAACGACGTAATAGATATGGTCAATCGTAATCGAAGTTTCCGCAATATTGGTGGCGATGACGACCTTGCGACTTCCTGGTGGCGCCGGGTCGAAGATCCTACTTTGCATCTCGCTGGGAAGCGCAGAATAAACGGGTAGGATGAGGAGGTCAGGCACGTTTGGACCCAGCGCTTTCATTCGTTCGTACAAAATCTCACAGCTTGTGTCAATTTCTTCTTGGCCAGTCAGGAAAAGAAGGATGTCGCCCATGGGCTCAGTGAGATGGATTTGCATGACAGTTGTCAGGGCAGCATCAAGATAGTCAGATTCCCTAAAGAGGCGTTAGCAAGGACTCCACCTCGGCAGCGTTAGTACTGGGAAAACTTACGGTTCTCTAGAGTAGAGGATCTCAACAGGGAAAGTTCGCCCGGGAATCGTGAAAATAGGGCACGCGTTGAAGTACTCGCTAAACTTGTCGGCATCTAGCGTGGCGCTCGTAACAATAATTTTGAGATCCGGACGGCTCTTCACTGTCTTCTTCAAGAGAGCAAACAGAACATCGGTGGCGATTGTTCTCTCGTGGGCCTCGTCTAACATGATGACCGAATACCGCTTCAAGAGAGGGTCGATCAAGATTTCTCGTTGTAACCTGTAGTGAGGTTAGTAAGCTTCCAAGGGTTTGGGGGTCGACAAGAATGGCTCGCCTGGAGAACCGCTACTTACATGCCGTCAGTCATGTACTTGATCTTGGTCGACGGGCTAGTGACGTCCTCGAATCTGATAGTATAACCAACTTCATGGCCAAGTTGGCATCCGACTTCTTCGGAGACACGTTTTGCGACGGAGATGGCAGCCACCCGGCGGGGCTGCGTGCACCCGATCATTCCATTGTTGGTAAAGCCGGCCTCGGCCAGGTATTGGGTAACCTGTGTGGTCTTTCCGGAACCAGTCTCACCAACGACAATCAGGATCTGGTTCTCCCTGACGGCCTGGATAAGTCGGTCTCGGAAGGCAAAGACTGGCAGAGACTCGCGCTGTTGCTTGATTGTCATGTTTGTCCGCTTGCCGAGCGACTGATCTCTTGGTGCAACAACCTTCCTCCACTCGGGCACGGCGTCAGGGTTGGCCTGTTTTGCGACAGTCCCCTTCTTCAGATCATCGGCCCACTTCCGCTGATCGGGGTTCGCCATGGGGTCTTGCCATTGCGACGATAGGTCCACCTTGCTCTGATCCTCGTTTGGTTCGGTTTCCTGCTGCCGCAATTCCTTCCTCTCCCTGGATAGGTTCGTTCCTGCCATAGCTGCGCGGTTGAGCGAACCGTCGGGAGCCTTGACGACTCGAATTGGCGACAGCTCGAGTGACTGTTTGGTTTGGCCGGCTAAGAAAGGCGGCTCCTCGTCCCGGACTTCGATGTCAACCTCCTCCTCCAAATCCATATGGCCCTCGCCTTTGAGAGTCATTTGGTAGTCATCCTCAAGATCAGGATAGTCCGAGGCCTTCGCGATCCCTGCAGCAATCATCTGCCGAATTTCCCACCTCTCCGGCGACGTCATGCGCTTTTTCTGCTTCTGCCGGGCAATCGCAGTCGCCTGGAACGAGCCGTTGATGTTGTCGTCCATAGCTCCGGGAGGTTTCCTGCCGCCACCTAAAGCCTCCCCGTTGGCGCCCGACCCGATCCTCATCTCTGGTGCCATGTCCATGCCCGTCTCTTGGTCGACGTCCTTCATCGAGAGGCCAATCTTTGTGCCTTCAATCTTTACCACCTTGACCTTAACCTCCTGACCCTTGGACAACAGGTCCGATGGGTGGCTGATGCGCTGCCCAAAAGCCGATACGTGCACCAGCCCGTCAACCTTGCCCCTCACCCCGTGCAGGTTGACGAAGGCGCCAAAGTCCTTGAGACCGGTAACGTGGCCTTCGTACACCTTATAGAGCACCGGTGTGTTGTCGAGCGCGATCGCAGGGGGTCGCCGAAACATTTCGTCGTCTTCGTCGTAGCGGCTGTTCTTGTGGCGACCTCTGGGCGGGGATTTGGACCGTGACCTGGACCGATACTTGTCTTTCCGCTTCCTCCTCCCATCGTCTCTGTAGTCGTCGGGCGTGCGACTCCTCTTTCGCGCGGATCGCCTATTGTCACCTCTCTTGGGCTCCAGGCTCTCCAAGAGGGCCAGCGTATCATCTATCGCGTCGGCCTCCTTGTCGGGGATTGCTAGGCCCCTGAACACTTTGCTCTTCTCGCCAGTTGATCGCGAGGGGCGGTCGTCGTCTTCTTTGTCGTGGGTGCCGTTCGCCTGGCCCTTGAATTTGGGGTGCATAGTAAGAACGAGGCGGTCTATGCTCTCGATCAGACTGGGCGGGAAGTCGGCGCCCACAGAGGCCATCTTGTCCTTGAACTGGGAGAGCGAGGCGCATTCTAGACGCTGGGCGATGAGGAACTCGGCGAGAGTCTTTTCGCTGATGCCCAGATGGTTCTGCAATTCCGACGTGACTTTCGACACGAGCGAAAGAAGCTCGAGAGACTCTAGGTCGTCCATCTTGTCGGTAGTGTGCCGTGACGGCAAAGGCGAAGGTGAGGACAGGCGTGGGATCTATGTGCCCGCCTCACGGTTAGGTATGGACGGTATTAGCGAGAAGAAGGATCGTGAGCAACTAGAAATCCTTAGCTAAACTCACGCGCCAGGACACGGGAGTCGCTGATTCTGCCGGGGATTCTCCGACACGGTGCCGTTGGGCTAAGGCAGGAGGCCCTGTAATTTCTAACCCCACAGTGGCACAGAAAAGCTTGGCAGCAGCAACGGTCCAGCAAACAGTCGCCACGGAGCGTTTGAGCCGTACAACGTTTTCGCAGTCTCTGACATTAGTATGTATAAAAAAAGATCCTCCTCATGGCTCATAATAAATCTTAAGAAAGCTCTTATGAATTTGCAAAATGTTTCCATGCCAGGCTTCGAGAAGCAGAACAGCCAAAATGCTTTGACTCAACCCTAACCCTAGATCTCGAATTGACCGTGTCTCCAACTGTTGGCTGGTGGGCTGGGGAATGGCCCACTCTGGGTTGGTTATTAAGCCGATCATTACGCAAGCTCGGTTTCCCCCTGTTGCACTGCCACGCCACTTGATTGATCCGGCGCAAAGCGTGTGACCCATCATTCCTCGTTACTTGCAACTTGCATTCCATCTTCTGCCAATCTCGACCACGACCTTGATCTCTCGCCAGTTCGCCTAATTGCTTCACGATTTCACACACGATATAGCACCACCGAATGATCATAATGTGTTCCTCGGACATTTTCCTCGGCCTGTTGGCCATCTTGTTCCCGCCTCTTGCAGGTTAGTCACCTCCCTCCACTGACCCCGCAGCCAGCCTGCCCGAGGCTCCAGACGTGCTTGGTTGCCTTGCAATGGCCTTGGACAGGCAAATCTTCAAAGCTTCTGAACGCTAACAACCAGCTCTCTTTCTGCAGTATGGGTCAAGCGTGGCATCTGCTCTGGTGATTCCGTCATTAATGTTCTCCTCTGCTTCCTTGGCTATGTAAGTCGCCGATTCCCTGCTCGCCGCCGGCCTGTTTCGCACGCTGACGACAGCCTTGCGCTCCTCGCGACATAGGTACCCGGTCTAATCCACGCGTGGTACATCATCGCCAAGTATCCCGACCCGACATTTGAGTACGGCGCGCCGCAGGACTCTGAGGGCGGCCACATCTACGTCTTCGTTCACGACGGCGGCCGCCCATCGGCGCAACGACAGGAGCAGCAGCAGCCCCGTGGGCAGCCCAAGCCTCAGGCCGCCGCCGGTAACCTTAACTACGGCACCACGGCTGCCAATAAGTCTGGGGCGTCAGCCGCGGCACTGCCGGCGCCGGCGCCTTCGTCGCAGGTTCCGCAAGACGCCGGCGAGGGCCCCAGCGATGGCGCTCCCCCGCCGAGCTACGCCCAGGTAGTGGCTGGAGACAACAAGATCCAGACCCAGGACTAGAAAGCCCCGAGTTCTCCCTGTCCGCGAGAGTGCTGCGCTCAAGAAACTCGTCGGCGCAGAAGCCGTATGTCGTCCTGGATTCCCTGGCGAGGAACGTTGTGGTGAATGGTAGCGTGATGGCTTTGCGCGCTAGGAGTAGGAGCACACGTCTGCAGGTATTTCGCAAAGCGACTTCGCAAGTGAAACTACAACCTCGCGATGATGCTAGATCTCTTTTGTGAAGATCAAGGGGAGACCTTTTTTTGGTAATAATTATGTCGGATGTTTGGAGCTTTTGTACTTGTATGGAGGCTATGAGCGTTATTTGAAATATATTGCGATTTACTCTACCTACTTTGGTGTGTCCGCAATAAGTTGTTCCTATGTACGGTCCGCCAATGACCAGTCTACTCTACTTACACCGGTTTAAAAACCCCTGGTTTGAGATCCTCGTAGGCTTTCCCCAACCAGTTGGCGTACTCAATAGTCAAGTGCCGGCGAATCCCCTCTACCACAGCCTCCGGCGTCACCGATAGTATCCAGATTGCCAGGACGGCCTCTACACATGTCTGGCTGGTACTGTCGTCCCCATAGCCGCCGCTCCTCGCGGCGGGGATATCGCGGAAGCTGTAGTGCAGGTTCGCGACCACGGCTCCCGACCCGTCCGTCAGGGTCTCGTCCCGGCCATCTACAGCGGGAAGTCCGGCCGCGGCTTCATCCACGGCTTCATCCACGGCTTCTTAACGCCGCCGCCGGGCACCCCGACGGGCGCGAAGCGCGGGGCGACCTTGTTGCTCAGCAGCGAGCCCCAAGGCTCGAGGATCTCGCCGCCCATCGTGCCGTCCGCGTTCGCCGAGATGCTTATGCCGTAGTGCTCCGGATGCCCCACCCACAGCTTCTCCACGTGGCTGAACGCGCTGTGCGCAAACCAGCCGATGAAGTTGCCGGCCGTGAAGTTGCTGTTGCTATTGCCGCTGCCACACTCCGGAACCGTGGCGGCTAGGTGGGCCTCGGCGAGGGCGTGCGAGGCGCCGCTCTGCACGACGGCCAATGCCTGGTTCAGGATGTCGTGCCATCCCGCCGAGCCGGCTGCGGTGTCTTCCTCGAGAAGCTCCTTGAGACGGTCCGGCCAAATAAGGTCTTTGAGCTTCTTGAGGGCGCAGCGGGCCGCAGTGAGCTCCAGGAGGGCTGGCGTTTCAGCCGGCCCTGAAACCACTTGGACGCCTAGCTAGTTTCTGTTCTCTGGGGAACCTGCTGGGTAGTTCTAGTTAGTGCTAGCGCCGTGGTTTTCGATCGGCGCGGGGGGCTGGATAGAACGACAGACACCACCGGTAACGAAGAGCAGGAGAGAAAACGGTTTGAGTAAGGAAAGCGTGTCGAAGATTTTCGCTGGTTATTGTTTATTGAGGGCTGGATCAAAGCTGGAGGCCGGCATTGGTTTCTTTCTCTTAAGAGATATGCCTATGGGGGCTTGTCTATATAGCTCAAGAAGCCCAGAGGAAGGAGTTTCCCCGGCCGTGCTATACCTACAGGGCTTCATACCGGATTTCCAGAAATATTGTGTGTCCGGTACAGCACCGGATCTCCCTTTCGACCATGTTTGCGCCTAGATATGTTTCAAGATGGCCCTGTGCTCGGTGTCATTGGCTGTGCGGCATGCAATGTTGTTCTTTCTCAACAACAGCACACCACTCCACGACTCGCATTGGGAGTCGGTTGCATTACCCAAACAAGGCCTTATCAAAAGCCGCGGCGCTGGCGTCGTCTGCCGCCCCAAATCGCGAGTCAGCCATGCAGAATATGTATTCCTCCGCCAGGCTGGACATGATATGCTTGGCGAGGAGTTATTGGGTCGTATTTGTTTCTGAGAACTGTTATACTTGGGTCCAGAAAGGGAAGCGTGCAGAGGAGCATGTAGCCAACACCTTTGTCCAAGACATGCAGCTGTGCCTCACCCACAGACAGTCTCTGCCAATTGCTTGCGTATTCTCCGTATCTCGATCCATACAACTGCCCGAGACAGGGATGGGAATGAAAAGGAGCGGCCAAGAAACCAATGGCATAGGAGCATGGATTGGGGGTCGTTTACCTCCTTATCCTTATCATCGACACAATTTTTACTTTGGCATATGCTCGCTCCTATTAGCCTATAAGAAACACCAAAAAGGGGCTCGCCTCTGGGGATTTGGATAACGGCGGGCCGGAACTGAGCGGTAGCTCGGATTTCTTCATAAACTGCTAAGAACTAAGTCATGAATTGCTTTAATGCACAACTTTAATAACGGTTGTGGGAGGGTTTCTGACTTGGGCTTTCTTCTTCCCGTTACCCCCGTGGTATGGAGGTGGGAGTAGAACAAAATATGGTGGATAGGAGATCACGACTTAAATTTACAACGCAGTAACGATCGCAACACGTATGCAGACAGCTCATGACTCCTCGACCTCTATCTTCTTTGTCTTTCTCATTTTGCTCTATGCCTTTTATGCCCAGATATAAACGCCCAGACAAACACCCAGATAAACGCCTAAAAAGGCCATGTTAAGTATCGAAATATCCTCACCGATAAGCTGGACGATGTAGCTACGTAAAGCCCCTACTCGGGGTCGGGGGCCGGGGTAGAATTAACAGATAGGAAGTAAGTTAAGTCTTGAGTATTGCTGGGAATACTATTCTGGACTGGTGGCGGCCGTGAGAATAAGCTTCAGCATAGCTGCCCCTAAAAGCGCCATCCGCCTTTGTGTTTAGTATTCAGGATCACCAATCGGGATCGAGTTGAGTACGTCCTCAGCAGCGGCGTTGTCCGGGTTATACACGCTCGGTGCCGGGCGATTACTTAGGACAGGCTCCTTGTAGCCGAACATGAGCTCCTGGGGCAGGAAGGTGTGGAATGTTGGGAGTATCTCCTTGATGTTCTTGATGAACTTGATTCCGCACTTCAAGGTGCAGATTTCCAATACCATCTTCATACCAACCTTGAGGAACTGTAGGAGACCTTCTTCGAGAATGAAGATCTCCTCAGGACAATCAACCGAAACCTCGGCCACTTGACCGTTGTCCCAGCCGGTCTGGATGACAATTGGGCGGACGGCCATAGAGCCGCAAGGCTCGATCTCCTTGCTCAAAGCGAGATATTCATTGATGGCCTTGTACTTGGCACGCGGCTCATCATTGGCAGTAGAGATTTTGCAAACCTCATAGCTGCGCTCGGCAGTGTCAATGACAGTCATGTCGGAATCGGGGATGACGGGCGTGCCTACGGGGCGGAGTAAGACCGCTAGCGTGACGCCGAAGATGCGGCGTGCGCCTTTCTCATCGAGGTCTTGATCTGATGAATTAATGTAAGTATTGAAACCGAAGATGCCACGGTCCACCTTGCAGAATAGCTTGCGAGCAGCAGTATTGAACTGGCCAGGAAGCAGCTCCAACAGCTTGGCAATGGCTGGGACTTGCTCGAGCGCCTCACGACAAATCTTTTGCGCGTTCTTGATGTCCTCCGCATATTCGGGACAGACGTCGTGATGGTCAATGTACTTGAGAAAGTGGGAGACCACCTCGACACCCATGCCATAATCATCTACGGCGGGACCAGCAAACTTGACGAGTTGTTCCGACCTAGTCACGTAAGTGACATGCCGATTTTGTCAGGAGGTTTGGGGCGCAGGCTTACAAGAATCCAGCGGCAACGCCAGCGAAGTCCACATCCCAGTGCTCAGGGTAGTTAGGATTGTAGAAGCGGTGATCGTAGCTTGCACCTCCGCCACGGTGAATCACGTCGTCTGCCGTCATCTCGCGGATGTTTGCCTTGGTAGCTTCATCCAAGGTGTCATGGCCTAGGTTTCGAGTGCCCTGGAACTGACGGGCTGTGGTGTCGATGCCGCCAAGGAAGAGATATCTAGAGAACAGATTATCCCGATCGGAATCCATGCGCCGACGGGCGCGGAATCGCTGGACAGCCTCCTCGATGCGGTCGACAAAAGAGCGGTGCGGGGGGTAGATGACGTTCTTCTCCTGGTCGTACTCGTCTGGAGTCACTGGAGGGTCGCAGTAGAACTCTGAAAGGCGCAAAAGTGTCAACTGTAGGTACACCCATAATACCCATGCAACAACGCTATCGATGTCACAGCCACCGGGCGGGCGGGCACGGAAGGACACGGAATAGTTACCCTCGAAACCAGTCCCCCGCTTCTTGGCCCCCGATCGTCCGCTTCGCTTTTTCTTCTTCTCGCCTTTCTTGTCATCCTGCACTGGAATCTCGCCGTTGGTAAACTGTGGGGACGGCTCGCGGAGCGTCACGTCCTTCTGCGCCTCCACCGCCGAGGCGGTGACGGTGTGAGGCAGTGAAGACATGGCCGTTAGCGTCCGACTCGCTTGAGGACGGTGTGAGTGGTTCGGCGAGCAGGGATGAACTCTTTGGGGCTGTGAGGCCTGAACTACGAAACACCCAGGTCTCGAAGCTCTCCGTGCTTCCGTTTGCGGGGTATGGGGATACGCGAGTGGCTTGCGTGCCGGAGGTCTAGACAGGGGAAAGATATGACAAGCCCGCTTGCCGGGTTGACCAATGTAGCAAGGAAGAGAAGCAGCCGAGTAATTTTTGGGCACCTGCTTCTAAGATAGGTGCTCGAATGCCCTAGAAGGTTTGCGGTAGAGTGTGCGAAGGCAGAAAACTTAAGGGTGCTGGGGTGAGAGAGGTGGAGCTGGGCCGTTAGGTCGGGCGACCGAGGAGGGAAGGAATGACCGGATGGGAAGGGGCGCTGAGGTGAAGGTGACGGAAACTGAACCAGACGTGTAATGACTTATTACTGCCCACCTGAAATATGGCAGGCGGGTGGGCACCTAGGTTCCTATCTGTCCCAAGCTTCAGTCGGTGGGTGAATAATGAAGCGAGGTGGTGAGAGACAGAAAGATGCAACTTACAGGAAGCAGGTTGCCGGGCAGCTAGATCATTGATGGCATCCATATCCTGATACTACCGATATCCGTACCCTTTCTCCGTTTCATTACCTACCTTGCCTCCTTAGGCTTGGCTTCTTTCAAAGGATGTACGTGTATCCGTACCTGCTTCTTTGCGCACGCAAACGCAGGACAAGGAGGATATGTAGAGAGACCGCAGTTGTCCGTCTCGACAGCCCAAGGACTCCGAATCCCGTCACACATTCCAAAACCTAACCCCATGGCTGAAGTAACACACACTGGACTCCTGTTATCGTGCATTGCCAGAGTTCGAAATTGGTATACTGCGCACCTCTGTGGGCTTGCGATATGAACCCGCCAGTCATGCCGGTGACGACGGAGACCTCTTTCGACGTCTAACCCCTGGTTGGAGGGCGCCTGTTGTCAAGCAAACCGAGCTGACCGGAACGGTTGTTAGGTAGGCTGTTAGGTGAGGTGCTCAATAATAAGGCACAGCTGTCAAGGTTTGCTCTTGACTGTTGTCTATTGACTAACAGCGTCTGATGCACCAAACCAAGCGAGCTCCCGCACCAGCCAGAGACGCTATTGGAGATTAGGTTATGTGGCGCAACGCAGAGCTAGAATCGGCGGAATCGGAGGGCCTCCAAATTGCGCGACTCAACCCAGTGATTTCCTTATGCAAGGAGATAGACGCGGGCATCTCAACCTGCAGAAACCTGAAGCGCAACTACACATAATAACCCGAAAATCACCCTGATTATTATACGGAGATATCGTAAGGAAAGAGGAGAAGTTGGTAACAGGCAATAGAAAATAGAATAACACCAATACACTAACTAGACCAAGAGAGAATACGACATCGTAATGGCCATACGAGATCTAGGTAGAGGCACGTAGGGTCCTGCAATCCGGACTTTGGAAGCCAGAGTTATTTGGCAGCACCCTCGCCAATGCCACCTCAGATGTTCACCTAGCTTTGTCCTCAAATTCTGACTGACCCAACGGTCAAGCACTCAAGTGGTACTGAACAAGACAAACAAGACTCGGATAATACACAGTCATTCTCAGCCCGTGCTCGGTTTTCAGACACGGGTGGCGGTAAGAGTTGTGGGTGTTACCCTCGACAATTTGCGCAAAGTACAAGCCGTAATCAAGGCGGATGCTGCGGTCGGCCGATAAAATCGAGGTTGAGTGGACGAGGCAGACTTGAGGATGTGGCTGTGAGCTGGAAATTTTATTCGCCCCCATTGGGCGACTGGTTCGAGCGAACAGGCCCACGCTCTGCCTGGCTCGCCTGGCGGCTGGGCAGCTAAGGCAAGCGCGCATCGTCCCGCCACCCCCGAAGGCCGCCACAGCGCTGAGGGGAAGAGGCACCCAAAATGGCGCAGCGACGGCAGACAGAGTTCCCTGCAGCCAGCTGCAAAACCCCCGTCGTTTCCGCCCAAGCCTCACCAAAACGGCCCCATTGGCTGAGCTGCTAGCCCCGAGCCTTTGGCACTGGCGAAGCGGGGTTTGAGAGGCAGCAAGTCGCGAAGAGCGGTGCGGCAACGGGATCCCTCGCCAACTGAGGTTTCGCGCGCTCCGCCTCCGTGATGCGCAGGGCCGACGCATCGCCCTTCTGCCGTCTCGTCTTGCGCATTGCAGTGGTAGGTTGAAAAACGTCGCCCTCGCCGCACCCCGAGCACCTCGGTCTCTCATTCCATGTCTCAATCAAGGTTCCAGTTTCATTTCACATCGGCAACGTAGCACAACTCGTCCAACCACTGTTCTCTCAATAATTACCTACCTATTTATATGCAGTCGCTGAACGTGGCCCAACCACAGCGCCTCGCTCACACCCAAACCGGCGAAGTTGCCTGGACTCGCCCACCTTCACTAGCTCATCTCGGAGCACGCATCGCATGTCCTAGGCTTCACCAGACACCACGGCCACCAAAATGTTGGCCAACAGGGCGCTTCCTAATAGCGCCGACCTCAAACCATACAACTTCGCGGTCGCTGGACAGTCAGTTTGCCCGCCGCGGCTTCGCTCTAGTTGGGTACTAACATGATTGGGCAGCGAGGGCACACTCTGCGATCCAGATGGCGAGCTCTTCATCAAGCCTTGCACGCAGCAGGAAATCAGCTTCTACGAGACGGCCTGCAAGGACCACCCTCGCTTTGCCGAGCTGATGCCCGTGTTCCTCGGCACTCTCTCGCTCAACGACGTCACCGATGTCGAGTCGCTTAACGAGCAGCTCCCCGCCGTCGCCGACCACATCAGCCAAGGCATGAAGGAGGAAGCGGTGCGCATGGCGAAGGAGAACGCGGTAGAGGCCGCAGTAGAAGCTGCAGGGGCTGCCAAGGCTGCCCGAGATAACGTCACATGGAAGCCCAACATGACCAAGAAGATCGCGACGAACAAGTCTGTGGTGTTAGAGAACGCCGCGTACGGCTTTCAGAACCCCAACATCCTGGACGCCAAGCTTGGGCGACGGCTATGGGCCGACGACGCACCCCTGGAAAAGCGGCGGCGATTTGATGAGATCAGCAAAGCCACTACAAACGGTTCTCACGGGTTCCGGGTCGCGGGCATGCGCGTGTACAAAGGATCCGAAAATCCGGCAGAGTTGGACTCGCACGGGTACAAGGTGTACGACAAGGACTACGGCAGGCTTCAGGTCACGCCAGATAACGTTGTGGAGGAGATGCGAAAGTTCATCTTCAACAGCCGGGCTGGCGTGGACGAGGATCTCGGGAAGGCGATTGCGGGCGCTTTCCTCGACGATCTTCGGCGCGTCGAAGATGTTCTCGCCAGCGAAGAGAGCAGAATGTATTCTGCCAGTTTGCTGTTTACCTTTGAGGGTGACGGCCAGGCCCTCCGAGCTGCCATCGAGCAGCCGACCCCGACGGCGTCGCCGTCCCGCCAGGAAACTCGCCCGGAAAAGAAAGAGCTGGGCCTGAGTGCGTCCCGCGTTGATAGCGGCATCGTTATGGACGATGACGGTCAGCTGATCCTGAACGGGGGCGCAGTCGATGGCTCCAATGGTGAAATTGTTATTGGGGGCCACCAGCCCGTCCTGAGCCCGATAGAGGAGGTCAAAGTCATCGAATTTAGCGTCGGCGAAGACTTCAGCCAAATCGAAATGGAGGACGAGGACGAGGACGACGAGGACGATGAGATATCCTCCATGCCGCGTATCTATTCCCTCAAGCTTATCGACTTTGCGCACGCCGAGTGGGTTCCTGGACAGGGCCCCGACGAGAACTGCCTCCTCGGCGTTCGAAGTCTGATCAAGATCTTTGAGGAGCTTTCTAAGTGAAAATTTCAGTTAAGAAGGGGCTGAATAGTAAAGCGATCATTTGCTTGGAGTTTCGGACGATTACGACTAGATGCGCATTTGCAAAAACATCATGACCCTCATGACAAGTGAAGGCGTTGACCGGAGGACGACCTTTGTTCGTAAATACCCCCTTCATGTATGTACATTACACATCGAGGCGAACCCTTCGGCTTTCTTGGCTGGCGGTTCCATGCCCTCCTGATTTTGCCTCTTTGTGAGGTTCTCAACCTATTTTTTCTGCTCTTTGTTTTCTGCGCGTCAAGACTAGATTCCATTATTGCATAAAATCAGCGGTGGCAATAAACAGTCGATTTTTTCCCCTTCGCAATACCTGTTCAGGGAGCCTGCCCATCTAGGTACCTAAATTCGTGTGACTAGTCCTGCTAAACGGGCATTCTCAAAATTCTTGGATCGGAGTTGGGAGTAACTCGTGAGTTCAGGCACTTGGAGCTGCTGGTGCCTGCAGGGATTAGCCCCGCCGAGTGTCACTCTTTTCAGCTCCGTCAGCCTCACCCAGTCCATGGTGGATGTTCAGGATTCCAATGCACCGAGAACGGCATTTTCGTAATGAAACAGGATTCGCTTACTATCAGTACATGCTTTCTGGGCGTAAGAGGCAAATAGGCCAATTGAGTTATGCGATTTGACCAACCCATGTTTAAAGGTGGGGCCTGTTTTCAGGCTACGAGAATGAGAAAATTGGTTTAACGAAGGTTCTGACGGCATCTCGGCAGGCAGCTGAGCCCACCTCAGCAGAAACCTCGAACCCGGCTTCACACCCTTTCAACGACTTTTGTTGCATCGAAACCGGCGCGCATCCTGCATCCAATTTGAACAGCACACTGATGCAATAGCCAGGATGTCTATCCCCGGCTTGGGTCAGCTTCTTCCACAGGTATGAGCCTCGAAGCCCTACCGCCCGTTGCCCGTTGCCCGTTGCCCATTGCCCGTTGCCCGTTGCCCTGCAGCCTTTTTGCCCTGCTGCGGTGCGCTGCGCTGACCTGCTATTTTGGCGGAACACCTAGCCCACGACATCCACCACGAGAATCGTCGCCCTGAAACGGCTTAGCGAATGGCGTTTCGATGCCTCCCGCAGCTCGTCCACCGGCGTCAAGGTGCGCCTCATCAGCGGCACCGCAGAGCGCGACGGCACCGAGCTCGCCCTCAACAAGACCTACACATTCGTGCGGACAAAGTCAAAGATCCTCACATGGAGCGGTTGCACACTCGAGATCAGCGGCGAGAGCCAAGACTACGTGACCGACTTTCCGGTTGCCGAAGACTCACCCATGGTCAGCTACCTGAACTTGCACTTTGAGTTGCAAGCCCAGCGGAAAGCTGCTGCCAATGCGACGCGCCGGAACCGGCCAGGGCCGAGAGTCATGGTATGCGGCCCTCAAAACAGCGGCAAGACGAGCCTGGTGCGGATGCTCGCCGCGCTCTCAACAAAGATGGGCGGCCAGCCGCTCGTGGCCAACCTCGACCCGGGCGAGGGACTGCTGTCGCTACCGGGGACAGTGAGCGCCGCCGTGTTCGGCAACGTGATGGATATCGAGGAGCCCGCCGGCGGCTTCGGTGTTGGGAGTACCCCTAGTAGCGGCCCCAGCGCGGTGCCCGTCAAGCTGCCCATTGTCTACTACTTTGGGCGCGAGAAGGTGCAGGACGATGTAGCGTTATGGAAGGATCTCACGAGCAAACTAGCCAGCTCCGTGCGCGCAAAGTTTAGCGAGGACGACGAGGTCAGGTCTGCCGGCCTCGTCCTCGACACGCCGGTTGCAACGACAAACCAGAGCGATATTGACTCCCTGGTGCACGCCGCAAGAGAGTTTGCCGGTAAAGCTTGCATCCTCCTCCCCGATAAGCAGGGTGTGCCGCTAATGTGACATGAGTATAGTGAATATTGTTGTAGTTCTTGGCTCCGCTAGAATCGAGTCAACGCTCCAGCAAATCCTCGGGCAAGAGAAGACTTCTTCCGGAGAGCCCATCAGTGTTATCATGTTAGATCAGTCTGAAGGCGTCGCAGCGCGGGATAATGACTTTGTAAAGTCCATCCGCGAAGCATCGATCAAAGAGTACTTCTTTGGGGATTCCAAGAGAACACTGAGCCCGTCTACGCAGTCAGTAAGCTTTGACGACGTAGCGATCTTCAAAACACCAGATGGTAAGTACCAATCTTCCCAACTCTTCTCTGCGCTTCGTAAGGACAGGAGTTCTTTCGTGGCTCTTGGATGCGAATTGACAATTCTTTTGCAGAAGAAGAGGGATACGAGACGCCCCCTGTCGGCCAGGTTCTTGAGCCCGCCGAGATAACCGCAGGAATGTCTCACTGGACCTTGGCAGTCATGGACGCCTCCGTAAACGACCCCCCAGAAACGATCAGACAGGCCCCAGTTATTGGCTTCATTGCGGTAGCAGACGTTGATGAGGATCGGAGGCGTCTTAAGATCCTCTCGCCGGTCACCAGCCGCCTGGGCAACAAGCCACTGGTGTGGGGCCGTTGGCCTGAGCCGTACATCAACCTGCTGGGCTAATAACCCGGGTTTTACGTACGGCATCATCTTTTACAAAGCATAAGGTATTCGTTACCGGTCACCCCTAGCTACTGGAAGTGTTAGCTGAAAAGCGGATGGAAATGTAGGCGGTGCGAAAATATTTATCCACTCGGGCTAGGATAACCACTCGGAGGCTAGGATCGGTCCATAGATACCCGGATTAAGGCGTTGATGTGTTGTCATTCCGAGCAATAGCCCAGCGGACAATAGCGGGGTAGAGAAAATGCGTTTCATTGTTTGCACTCGACCAACTGCATGCGCCTCCAAAAACGTTCTGCTCCGTCCGTATATGCGCTCCGTGACTTGGTGCTAATGCATTGCTTGTTCAGCTTGGGCGAGCAGGGCGAAAGAGAACTCTCCACTGATTCCGATATAATAGCCCCGTCATTTGCAGAGATCGGTTATCATGGGCATTTTTGTGACGATACTAGGTAAGCGGGCTCGACACTGTCGAGACCCCTATCCTTTCCGAGAGGGAAAAGATCTCCATTGCATCCAATTGCAGGCGCTTTTCAACGGGCGCGGGATGATGTGGTGTGCGGTGCGGGATGCCGCGACGGCCGCGCTCAGATCTAGTTCTAAATGAAGTGCCCCTCAATAGCACCCCTCCTGCCAGATCCCGGCTCGCCTGTGCCATCCTCGGCAAGAGCTTAACCACGGCTTTGGGATGTTATTTGACGGCCTACCAGTGTCTTGTATAAAATCCCGTCTTTCGTTGATCAGCCAAGCCAAGACGGTCTAGCCGACGGGCCTTACGATTTTAGGGCAGCTTTGCTTTGCAGCTCAGCTCTATTGACTTAGCAGCGAGAAACGATGTTGATCATCCCGAAATATGGGAATACGTATCCGGAGGTGCGCAGCAAACGGAAAGTACCCACCCCGTCTCGTCTTGCCTCCAGACAACTGTGGAATAGCGGCGGCCCCTCCCGAAGATCCATGGCGGGGGGCTTCGTTCAAACTTCAGGGCCGTTCACGCCGCCAGCGGCGGATTGGAATTGGGCGGGATCATTATTTTGGAGCCCGTTCATTTCACCGGTCTAGTCACTGTCCCATCGGCAAACGGGGCTGCCAATCGGCTCAAGCGTTGCCGCATCCGCATTTGAAAAGCAGAAGAGGCACGAAGCATTTCGGATTTGGGAACTGTTTTGGCTTTTGCTATATCCTGCCTTCCCGGAAAACCCTTGCTTAGCGGATCTTCGCCTGAAATCGCGCATTGACGGCAAAGTCTCGCTGTTGCGTGTCGCCAAGATGGCAATGTCTCTTGTTCAGCTCTTAGTGTAATTTCCTTCTTCGCAGCCTTGACTCCGACGAGACCAAGATCGAATTTATCACCTCTTCGCGCGGCTCATCTTTAAAATGTTAACTACGGCCTGGGTATACAATACGCAAACATGCTCTGACAAACAAGCAGTTTCTCAGCGGCAGCGTTTACGTATTACTGCCTGCTGCAAACAAACCAAGACGGAAAAACCAGGACGGAAAACACAGCAACTTGGAGCCATTCCGCCCATCGGGAGCTCGTCAAAATGCAGATGACACTGGTCTTTCGGGCAATCAATTAATGGGCGTCTGACTGACTGGGCTTCGGCTAGCGCCCTCTTTTCGCTTCGCTGCGTTGTCGAGCCCCCGGAATCTAAAAGCCGTGAAAAAGCGCCGGCGCCGCCCGCTCATGCACAAAATCTACAAAATCTGAGTGGCCGTCCCCGCAATCTTTTGTGAGTAATCCTGGTCAGCTGGTGTTCTCCCACCCTCACGCCCTCCCCGGTATCCATCTTCTGACTGGCACTGATCCCAATGACCACGATCGCGGGCAACATGTATTTATGTCGTCATTATTTGGTCTCTGTTGACTGGTGGCAGGATGCTATTATCTGGTTCAAAGTTTTTCCAAGCCAACTTCCATTTGAGGGAGGAGGCCACCGAGGGCAAATTCCCATCAGTCGGCCTCATTCAGTCAGCTCATCTCGATCCAAGTGCATGTGTGTTTTTCTTTTTCCAGGCGCTTCGATTGGACCACTCACGACGAACCACATTTTCTTGTTAGCGAACCAAGTCTTGTGTGGGTGCATGGGCCGGAACTGGGCCCGACATGGGCGTGATTGGGCCCTTTACAGGTGACTCGTCAGTCGTCACCCCCTCTTCCGGCGGCCGTTACGTCGAGTCCAGACACTCGACAACTGCACAGCGCAGCCAGCCCAGCCAACGCTTGGTTTTTTTTTGTCGAGGCGCCCGAGACAAAGGCCCAGTCTTGCATTCGTTGACTCTAGTCTCCACTGCTGCACTCGAAACCAGTAACCAGAAACGGACAGCAAATGTCACATCGCACTGTCTTGTCTGATCATGTTGATCACTTCATCTGCCAGTGGCAGGCGGCACATTGCTCCAGGAAGAGGGGGGGTGGAGGCGTCTTGCTTCAGTTTGCTCTCTCCGAGTCCGTCCTTGTTGGGCAACCCATCGTACTTTCCTCCTTTCCGTCTGCATACACTGGGTGCCCGGCCTCTTCCCTTCTGTTGGTTTGCATTTTCTCTCTTGTAATTCGAGCTTTCTCTCGTTTCAAGTTGATTCGGTCTGCGCAAGTCTTCTCTCCGTCTTCAATCTTGCATGAGCACCCGCTCGACCTCGAAAGTCCACTTTGGGCTTTTAAGACTCCCGCTGCTTGCACCCACAGCCAAAAAATTGCCGTTTGCCTCGGAGAAAGCGAGGAACCACTGGGCCGCGCTTCCTTCACACCGAAATTCCCTCTGACGCCAAGTTGACGGCGGTTGCTTTTGCTTTCCAACGACATAGTTTGCTAGAAGTCGTCGTCCAAGGCCTCTCTACAACGCACAGGACCCAGTTTGCCGTCTCTTTCAGCCTCAATCTCGTCCTGGACGACTTGAACCTGCATTCCTACAACAGCCTTGGGATACCTTCCTCCAGGCCCTTGCCTCGCCAGCAATGCGCTAAATCGCCATCCATGGACATCCCGTCTGAGTCTGGGCTAGACGGAAGGCCTAGCTACGGAGCGGCGTTAGCGATTCGTTCTGCTCTGGCGAGTGTCCCGGTCGACCCGTGACATCCTCCAAGCCATCTAGGATGGCTTCCCTGGGGGCTCTTGTCGGGACAGCATTGTCTGGCCGTTTCTCATCGATAGTTGCTATTCGAGACATTCCAAGCGACCCACGCTCGCACCATACGGTTTACGTCCTGACAATTCTCTCTCTCTCTTTCGCCTCCATCAGTGTCCTATCCACACTGTCCACTCTTTACTGGTTCGTCAAGATGAGGAGAAGCTTCCGACACGAGTAAGAGGATTCAACTTATCGGTCGACACATGACCCCGTGGCAGCACTAACAGGAAATGAGCAGCCTGATCTTGTTGTTGATACAAAGCGACTTTATCAAGTCTGCGGCCTTCCTTCTCTTCCCTATCGTGAACCTTCTTCGGGGCGACATTGAGTCCGACTCGCCATTTTGTCAGATCAGCGGCTTTGCTCTCGCTCTCGGTATTGAGTCATCAGACGTGGCCGTCCTTCTGATCGCTTTGCATTCCGTCATGTACATATTTCGGCCGAAGTCGGGTCTGTACCCGTACCGGCGATTTGCTTACTTGGTCTATTATCTTTTTCCTGTTGTGACCGCCTCGCTGGCCTTTATCGACGGGAACGGGTATGAGAACCTCGGTCACTATTGCTACATCAGAACCGACAGGAGCTGGGCTCGGCTCGCACTTAGCTGGGCCCCCCGTTACATCATTGTGGTCAGCATCATGGTCATCTACGCCTTCATTTACATTTACATTCGCAGAAGGATGGAGGACTACGGAAGGAGGAGCTCGGCCTACCAGTCACAGCCGCGGCCGGCCCGTGACTATTACAATGGCGTGCCTCCGACGCCGCCGATCGCCTATCACGGTTTACTACCCTCCACGCCTAACTCGCGCCGCGGATCAGCCGCGGACTCGATGGCGGGCACGAAAGATCGCCAACAGTCCTTGTCTTCGATGAGCGCGAGCAGACTAGATAACATCTCGGTCGTAAGTGCTGCAGACCCACATCAGCAAAGCTTTCGGGCGACGATTCTTTCCCGGCCTCCGAGGCGGCCAGTCCGGTGGAACTGGTCCGGATTCAGGCAGGCTACGCACTCCTCCGCCGACAACGAGCTGTTGGGACCAGCGGAAGACGAGCCAGATGATCCACTCTCGTCGAGCCCCGCGCCAATAATACCGCCACGGCCAGTTCATTCGCCTCCGGCGATTGATCCGGCCGAGGCGGCCGAGGTGCCGACCGAGTCGTCGTCAACCATCAACCCGCAGCTATCGTTTTGGCATCGACCCTTAGGTTCCAACTATCCAACACATCCGGGAAGTACGAGCCAAGGGTGGGGCATCTATCAGCTTGCTTCGGGTCAGAGGAGACCTAACATTTCACTTCCGAATATCATGTCGATGCTCCGGAGAGGGCCACAGCACGCAACTACATCAAGCGAGACTTCGCCTATCGTCATGTCCCCGGCCTCATTTGAGGGTGGGTCCGGAGTCAATAAAAGCCGCGAGAAGATGCGACGTCAACTACGATCATTGTTTGTTTATCCACTTGTGTACATGATTACTTGGGTATTCCCGTTCATCTCTCACGTGGCTGGTTTTGACGATTCGGTACGGACCGACGATCCACCCTGGCTTCTAATTGTGAGCATGATCAGTCTCTGCGCACAAGGCGCAGTGGACTGTACCCTTTTCACAATCCGGGAGCAGCCGTGGCGACACGCTCATGGCAGGTTTCTAGACTTGCTCAGGAAACGCTTGACAATGCATTGGAGCGGTCACTGGGGAGACGTGGGGCTGGCTGGCCGTACGAGGGAAGAGATGCTGGTTGATAGTCGGATAGCCAGGGAGCGCCGAGATGGGGAGATTGCCTATGAAAGGACAATAAGGGCGAGTATGAGCACCGGCCAAGGCCAGGGCCAAGCAGGGGCGCCTCGGAGAGGCAGGAAAGAGTGGTGGGATACGGATATCCTCGACAGAGCGTCAGACGAGAGCGACGACTTCAGCCAGACTACAGGGCAGGGGGTGTGACTGTGGTGAATTGTGTTACTATCCTTGGAAGCGAGACTTTTCGTTTGTTGTCCATTTTACCAGGCGCACGGTTAGAGATCTATACCCTTGAATCGGTTTGGGTTGCTAGCATATTTTAAGGCGCCGGCGTTGTTTGATCCTAGAGGCCTTGTTGGAAAAGGATTCATATTTTAGGCCAAAGAAGAATTAGCAACATATGTAGTCGTACATGATCACTTTTCGAAGCGCGTATGTCTTGGGATAAGTCTAGCTCACGTTAATATTGGTGTTGTTCGCCAGTAGTCCCGGAGATCTGGGCTTGGCACAGTGAATCTGGAAGAGTGGCTCCGCAGCTGAGGGCGATCTGTTCCCACCCGAAGCGGCGGATGTCGACGAAGCAGACCCACAATTGGGCCGCAAATGCTCGCCAAAGTGATCGTCAGTCTTGGCACCAGAGTAGCACTGTGGCGCTTGGCTCGGCAGATGCAAGTGCGGAAAGAAAGGCCGGCATCTTATCTGAGACTGGCAGAAATCGGAATGACTACGGGGTTCCTCGGCAAGACTCATTCACGGGGAGAGAGAGAGAGAGAGAGAGAAGTGGATGGATGGATGGCTATATCATTCCTGCTGCTGGATGAACTTTAGAAACACACGAGCCATCAAGACGCCGTCCTGCTCGTTCCCTTTCCGATCCATGCCGCTCTGGAACAGCTCGTCCGAGAACAGGCCCGTGGCGTGCCGCGCCTCGAGGATCTCGCGGATCATGTCCTCGGTGAACTCGGGGTGGCCCTGCACCGTGATGGCTCGCCCAGGCATCACGAACCCGTGGTTCGCGCACTTGTCCGACTCGGCCAGCAGCTCGGCGCCGGCGGGCAGCCCGAATGCTTGGTCGCGGTGCATCTGCTGGATATGCTATAATTGGGGATAAACTTAGCATCGCAGTGTTCTGTTTCTGTGCATAGACATGTTTGGGAGAGGAGAAAGGGAAAGGTGGAAGGGGGAAGGGGGAAGGGGGAAGGGGGGCTGGGTTGTATGGGTAGCAAAGGGCAGGGGCAGCACTTACAAGCGTGTCCTTGCCAAACAGCTCCTTGCCCTTCTCCGTCAGCCTCGTCTCGGTCACGCTCACCTCCCAGCCCCGGTCGCTGCGGGCGACCATGGTGCCCAGCGCGCGGGCGACGATCTGGTGGCCGAAGCAGACACCAACAACGCGCACGCCCTTCTTGGTGGTGGCGCCTTTCTCGCCCTCAGGAGGGGAAGTCGTGAGCAGCGCCTTGCGCGTGAACTCGACCAGCGCCTTGATCCACGCGTCGTCCCCAAAGGCCGAGTGCTTGGACCCCGTGATCAGCACGGCGTCAACGCCGTCCTCTAGCGACGGGTACGAGTCTGGGTCGCCGACCACGTCGTAGCCCGTCAGCGACAGCACCGAATCCAGCGGCGCCGGCGCCACCGCCCGCGCGAACAGGTGCCGGAACACGCCCAGGTAGCCGCCGCCGTAGCGCGCGTCGATGCCCGGCAGCGGCGTGTCGGCTTGCAGCACGGCCAGGCGGAGCGGGACACGACGCTGGCCGGCTGGGTCCATGGCTGCTGCTACTGCTGCCGCTGCTGCTGCGGTTTGATGATGAGGATGATGCTGCTGCAGTTGGGTTGGGTTTGCTGTTGGGCTGCTGACGATGACGAGTGAGACAGTGGGCGGAGTGTGATGCTTGATGCTTGACCACTTGTCCGCCCTGTCATGCGCTGCGCTGCGCTGCGCGCTGGGATTGGATCTGGATCAGGATCCGGGGCTTGGCTCAGCGCAGAGAGGTCAGAGGCGTCCTAGGTCTTGGTGGGATCAATGTTACCCACACGTCAGTCTGCCTATGGGAGCGATGGCCTCGGCTGGTGAGATGGCCGTCTGATGTAAATGTCTGTTCTCGGACGGGGGCTGGGGGTGTACACCGCGTCTCAAGTCTCAACAGTCCTTGTAGAGTGTTTTTACTATTCGGAAATGCAATATTGTCCAGACGAGGGGGGGGGGGGCTGTCACTACGGTTCTGGGCCCTTTTCAACCGAGAATAGAAAGCCTCGGCATGTGTAAGGTAATAATACGCATTAAAGACAGCAAGGCCTTTTCGAACCCTGGATTGCGCAATGCAATGCATCCATCCCATCGCCACAGCCTACCTTACAGGCGGATTACCATAGGCACCTTGCGGGGCTTATCCGGCCCTGAGATGGGGCTGATAAGGCCCTCCCTTCCGCTGTCGGAGCGTTATTAAGCTCTGACGTAGGCGCCAAGCCAAGGGTTAGGTGCAGCCTTATAACCTGCAACCCATAACCCGCTGAGCCGGATGGGGTAAACGGCCTGCAGGACTCCGACGAGGCGTTTCGCGAGACAACAAACGGCAAGCGTAGACCAAACTGAGCGACCAGATCTTGACAGTTGCGGCTTAAAGGGGGTTGCAATTGTGTAACTCGAGGCGGAAATATCTCAATCGCCTGAAAATAGACAGTTCGCACACATTGACCGGAAATAGCGCCTAGTCGCATATTGGGGGTGTTTACTCCAAAACAATACTAAGTTTGCAGCCATGTCTCCCCCCTCGAGGCTCTCACTCAAGGCCTTCTTAGCCACCGCCAAGAAGGCGTTCGCTGCTCCCGCGGCCCAACGACCGAACCCATTGACCTTTGTAGTTGGAAACGAGTCGGCAGGTAGGACAACAAACATGCAGCCCCCTGCCCCGCCCTCCATTGCCCCTTTTTTCGCCTGCTCCCATATGCTGGCTTAGTTAGTGAGCGAGTGACGGGGGTCGATGGCGGCAAGACAAGCGCTAACCAGACAGCTCAGACCTGGACTCCCTCTGTTCAGCCCTCCTGCTAGCATACTTCCGCACCTACACGCCACCTCACACGCTACACATCCCGCTATCAAACCTGCACCGCGCGGACCTGGCGCTGCGCGCTGAGCTTAGCGCCGTGCTCCGACCTGCCGGCCTGAAGCCCGAGGACCTCCTGACGCTCTCGGACCTCCCCTCTCCGGAGACGAGCGACGGGGCCGCCAGTCTGCGGCCCGAGGACACGCGATGGTTCCTCGTCGACCACAACGCGCTGACGGGTGATCTGGCCAAGCGGTTCGGCGCGAGCCCCGTCATCGGCTGCATCGACCACCACGACGACGAGGGCGCGGTGCCGCGCGACGCGACGCCCCGCGTCATCGAGAAGAGCGGCAGCTGCATGAGCCTCGTCGTCGACCAGTACCGCGACGCCTGGGACGCGCATCTCGCGGCCGACGCGGCCGCCGACGCCGAGCTCGCCCACGTCGCCCTCGGCCCCATCCTCATCGACACCACCAACCTGACGGCCAAGGCCAAGACCACCGACTGGGACGTGCGCGCCGTCGAGTTTGTCGAGTCCAAGCTTGCTGCTGCTGCTGCTGCTGCTGCCCTCCCTCAGACAGCCGCGGCGGGACCCGAGGAGCCGTACGACCGCAACCGCTTCTACGACGACGTCTCGCGCCTCAAGGAGGACATCTCGAGCCTGTCGTACCACGACATCCTCCGCAAGGACTACAAGCAGTGGACCGACGGCGACAACAACAACAACACCACCAACAACAACAACAACACCCCGCGCCTGACGCTGGGCATCTCGAGCACGGTAAAAGGGTTCGCGTACCTCGTGTCCGACGCCGGCGGCAGCAACGGCAGCGGCGGACGGGACGAGTTCCTCGCGGCGCTGCGGCAGTGGGCCGGGGAGCAGCAGCTGGACCTGGCTTCCGTCATGACGTCGTGGCATCCCACGGGGGGCGCGTTCACGCGCGAGATCCTCCTGTGGGCGCTGACCGAGCCGGCCGCCAGGGTCGCGCAGGCGTTTGCGGATAAGAACCGCGACGCGCTGGGGCTCGAGACGTGGGGCTGTGGAGCGCTGGATGCGGATGCGGATGCGGATGCGGGTGAGTGGAGGGCGTGCTGGACGCAGCGGCGCATCGAACATAGCAGGAAACAGGTGGCGCCTATGCTGAGAGAGGCCATGAAGGGGGCGTCGAAGCTCTGACGGTGTTCGCGCATCTGTAGCGGGAGAAGAATTAAGAGACTCTTGGAACCTTGTGGCCTGTAGTCCGCGTATGCAGAATTTGAAATAAGCAGTTATCTTTTCGACAAATTTTTACATCTATAGTACATTTGCCTTTGTTCTTGTTTCTTGTTCATCACAGAACATGGGTATGTTTATATATCCAGCGGCGAGAGAGGACAGGCGCGCCTACGCCCCGAGATTATTGGGCTGGAATACTTGAAAATTATCCGTCTCCGCAGCCTCGTCAAGCTTGAGTAGCAGATACGGAAACTCTCCGGCAGCCTCTCTCGGCATGGTTGGCATCATTTTGACTTGATTGGCTCTCCGCACCGCCGTCGGGTCCGCGCAGAGAATGCACGCCTTCAGGGCCTCGAGGAGCCGCCCCCTTGGAAGGACCGGCGGCTGCTCCTTGGTCATCTCGTCAACGGTCCACCGGAGAGCATAAGTGGCCCGTTTCTGATTGTTATCCGCGGCGAAGCGGTGGAAAAGGTACGCGTACATGCGGCCGGACCGGGGCTGGAGAAAGCGAGGCGGGATGCGCCAGGTCTTCCAGAAACCGCCCCAGTCGCCCTGGGCCGAGTATGCGTCCAGGAGCCGCACCAGAAGGGCTTCCGAAGGACAAGGCAGGTAGCCCGGCGCGAAGAGATCCTCAAACTGCCGGAGCAGCCGCGTGACTTCTGGGCTTTCTTTCCGGCCGTGGCGGAGGAGCGACTCGATCACGGTGCCAACCACGTCGTTGTCCAGTACCTTCTCGCCCCGCGCAGACATGGTATCTATGACCTCCATGGTAAGGATTGACTGTTGGCGCACATCTTCGTCGCTTTTGCCTCCGTGCGTGTAGATGAGCCGGATGAGGTCTATGCAGTTCTCGCGGCTTATCTCGGGACCGGACTGCAGCTCCTTGACGAGGGCCTTTGCGACCTCGAAGTTGGAGTAGAAAGGGCTAAGATTGTTGGCTCGGAGGGTCTCGAGCCAAAGCCGATGCTCCAAGGCCTGAGAAGGCGAGAGGCCAGATATTGCACGGTTGAATATCGACAAAAAGGCTGATGGGGCCCCGTCTTCGAAAGGGACTAGAGCCCGATCAAGCGCAGTCGTGTGATCGTTCAACGACTCTGCATACTGTTTCAGGAGACTGAGAACATGGAGCTTGGACTCGACGTCTGTCATCAGAAGCTCAGACATTTCTTCCATAGAGACGGCTTGCCGACCGCTGCTAATGATTTCACCGATAGCGGTGCTATCGACGGCAGGAACATCGAGTTGCCTACTTGATGTAGAGAAGAAGCGTGAGGGCACCGCGAACTGGCTCCCACCCACGATACCCGGGCCTTTGGCACCTCTGAGCCTGTCGGTTTTTGCCTGCGTGGGAAAAGCCTCATCAAAAACGTCAGTTTCACCGGGAGCTTCAATCTCTTGCTCGGGCTGATTCTTTTCGAGGCTGCGTTTTAATTTTCCGCTCCAGAGCTTCTCAAGGCTCAACTCCTCCCTCCGAGACTCGGTCATTATCTGCACCACCACCGTGGTTCCCAGCTGCGGCACCCCGAAGCCGACCTGAGCGCCCGTCTCGTCATAGATAGTCACCTCTTGGTCGGACCGGCCCAGTGTACCCAGATTGACGCAGATCCAGCCCGTGCTGATGCCGTCGTCCTCGCCAGGCCCACCCCCCGTCTTTCCCAGGAGCTTTGCCTTGCGAGCCTTGCGTCTCAGCCGCGTCTTGAGCTCGTTCCTCCCAAGCAGACCGTCGGCCTGGGCCGTGATGCCGCGGCCGCGCAGCCACCGGACCAGGCGGTCGGCGGAGACGTGCAGGTGACGCTCGCTGCGGGCCGAGCCGAAGAGCATCATCAAGTCGGGCCCCAGGGCCGGCGCCGGGTCGAGCTCGCGGAGGTCGAGCAGCGACAACTCGTCCAGGCCCAGCTCTTCAGCGGCGAATTTGAGCAGCGGTTCCATCAGCTTGGGCGAGGACTCGGGGATCTCTGGCAGGGGCGGCGGCTCGTGGAGCAGGGTTGGATGTCGCGGCGGTTCTACCTGCAGGTACCAGGGCACGTCGTCGCCATTGGGCCCTGAGGCGGGTTCCTGCACGTCATTCCCGACCTTTTCTTCTTCGACCTCCTCGATGGAGGGCTGCTGCAGCCGGGGGGTGGCTCTAAAGCTGGAGAATCTCGCGTTTGCTGGAGTGGCCGGCCACTGACGAGTAGCGGCCTGCACTGCTCGCAAGGCCGAGATGTGTCCCGCGAAGAGCCGCGGGGCAGAAAGCCTGCAGGCAGAGCAGGCCGAACTGCCCACAGCTCTCAGCGCCACACCCATTGTCGTTGGGATGCCTGAAGTGGGTGGTTGTGGTCCGTCTTGGCCGTTGCTGAAGTCGGGGTGTGGGGCAGATCGCCCTTCAGCTTGAGACGTTGAAGCGATACGAATGGATATTGGATGGAGTGCTAAGGTGTACCACCGGATAGGTAGCCGGATGCCCAGCGACTCGGTAAAAAAAAAACCTGCAATCTTCTTATCGGCCTCTTAACCTACTATATGCAGTAAGCAGCCGCGTTCTGGCGCGCTTGGGCCTTCTGCGGTTGCAGCTTAGCAGGGGCGGAACTGGCAGCGGGTGGAGTTCAGTGGAAGACGCGAGTGGCCAATCAGAGCTGCGCAAAGTTTTTTCTCTCGAAATAATTTGGAGAAGCTTCGCACTCGCAGTGGCCTCGTCCGTCTCCTGAAAACGCTGCTAGCAACCTTGGGTCCCTGCTGCCTCAACGTCTTCGGTCGGCAAGGGGTCGGCAACAGTCCTTTCTCTTTAGACGGCTGCTTTGGCTGCTCTCGATTTGTATCACCACGTTCCATGTGCTGATTGTCATCGCCCACTCTGCGGATCGCCTCTTCATTGGGCTTCGTCACACTCATTTGTACCCCGAGAAGCGCGTTGTTGAAGATGTTCGTCCGATCCGCTGTTTCCCGACACAACCTACCTCTACGGCGTCTCCTCTTGTCGTCGTCTGCCCAGACTCTGTCGACATGTCGCTCCCCCGGCTACCTACGGCCCTCAGCCGATGCGACGCGTCTTATCAATACCCGGCAAGAACTGCGGCCGCCCAGGAGGAGAGTCTTCGACGCTCTGTCGGGCCTCGAGCGCAGTCTGGCCACGGCCGCCGGCGCCGAGTACCGCCCAGCCGAGGATATATCCTTCGACCAACTGTCGGGTGCAATTCCACCTGCATATCTATCTCCGCAATCGTACCCGGCCCCAGAGCTGCGCGGGTGGGATGCCTCGTCGCCCCTGGTCGTTGAAGTCCCGCCAATACCCTACGAGAAGCAGAGGATCAACGTGCATGGCGTCCCTGGCGATCCTGAAGAGATGCTCTCTGTATTTGACGCCTGTCTGCGGGTTGGCAGGCTCGAGCGTGCTGGTATGGTCCTGAAACGTTTTGCGCAAATGGAGGCTTTGCATCCCGATCATTTGGTGGAGTTGCACAACCGCTTCTTGAGAAGCCGCATTGAGCACATATATGCTGAGCCCAGCCAGGACAAGGCCGAAGACGTCCACAAGTGGTTCGAGGTTCAAATACGGGCCGGGGACCTGCCACATACTCCCACAACCGTCGCGTACATGTTGAGAGTGTCACTCCTTACGACACGCGGTAACAGGCTGAACAGGCTCCTCACACGCTACATGGACTTACTCCCGCAGGAGAATGCCATGGAATTGCTCCTTGACGACGAGGTGCTGACCGACGACGAGCTGGCAAGTATCTCGAGGATTTGCCCCGAACACGACCTTCCCGATACCGCCATTGCATCGCCAGAAGAAGATATAGAAGACAGCACCAGTACGCCTGTGCGCCAGAGTCCCAGCTCGACAGAACCGCCGGAAGTGAAAGCCGTGTTCCAGAAGGGACTGGGGCTGAAGTCGCTCCGAGCTACGCTTACCCTGTTTTCGGAAATTCCAATCGGCACAGACATTGCGTCATTACCCGCCGCAGGCCGCCGAGAGATCCAGTCTCGGTTGGAAAAAGACTGCGTGGATGCAGCTGTGATTCGATGGAGGGAAGAGAACGCAGCGCTCTTGAGCATGGGTCGTAATACGGTGCTCTCCAATGCCTCCCTCAGCGCGAGGCTATACGTGTGGCAGCAAGCACTCGAAGCCCGTATAGTCGAGGAGATGACCAAGATTGATGTTGCGGTAAAACAGGAAAAGAAGAACACGGATGATGTGGAGAGGTGCTTATACGGCCCCATCCTCCAACAGTCCACCCCTACTCGACTTGCGGCTGTCACCATCATCAGTACCCTCAGCTCCCTCGCCATGTTTGGGGCTGAAAAGGGCGTTCCCCTCGCCACCCTCGTCACCAATGTTGCCAGGGTTGTCGAGGAGGACATCAATTCTCAAAGAGCAGAAGAGGCCAACGCAGTGAAGAGGTTCAAAGTGCTCAAGAGGGATGCCGGGGCGATAATTCGATATGGGAAAAGCCTTGCTCCTCGTTCATCCGAAACGCCCACAGACGCCCTCCCAGAGGAGTTCTCCTGGCCTATAAGTATCAGAACAAAGGTCGGCGCTATATTGGTCTCGGCCCTTATTGACAGCGCCAAAATCCTCGTGAGGAAAGAGAATCTTCAAGCGGATCGCCTGTTGACGCAATCTCAGCCAGCCTTCATGCACACCAACCAAATCCGAAGGGGCAAAAAGCTTGGCATCGTTGCGCCCAACCGAGCACTCGTTGAGCTTATGATGCAAGAACCACGCGGAGACTTCCTCGCCCGCCAGCTGCCTATGGTGTGCGAGCCTGAACCGTGGTCCAAATTTGCGAAGGGCGGCTATCTAGAGTTCCCCATCCCCGTCGTCCGCGTCAAGTTTGGAGAAAGAGACCAGAAAGTATACGCCCAGGCAGCCATTGCTCGGGGAGACATGAGCCAGGTGCTCAAAGGCCTCGATGTCCTCGGGAGAACTGCGTGGAAGATCAACCGTCCTGTCCTTGACGTCATGCTGGAAGTGTGGAACTCGGGAAAAGGTTTGGCAGACATTCCCCCCCTCTACCCGAATATCCCAATCCCACCGGAGCCGGACTCTGGAGGTGATCCAACGGCAAGGAACGCGTGGATGAAAGCCGTCCGGTTCGCAGAAAATCAGAAGTCCGGATTGCACTCAGAGCGGTGCTTCATGAACCTCCAACTCGAGATTGCGAGAGCCTTCCGCGACCAAACCTTTTACTTCCCTCACAACATCGACTTCCGTGGACGTGCCTATCCGGTTCCGCCATATCTAAACCACATGGGCGCAGATCACGTTCGTGGCCTGTTACGCTTTGCCAAGGCCAAATCCCTGGGCGAAGACGGCTTGCGCTGGCTCAAAATTCACCTTGCCAACGTCTTTGGCTTCGACAAATTCAGCCTGGTAGAACGTGAGAAGTTCGCGCAGGACAACCTTGAAAGTATCCTTGACTCTGCCCGCAATCCACTCGACGGAAAGCGATGGTGGCTGGAGGCCGAAGACCCGTGGCAATGTCTGGCAGCATGCATTGAGTTTGCTGAGGCTCTCAAGTTGCCCGACCCCACCAAGTTCGAGTCTGTCTTGCCTGTTCACCAAGACGGCACGTGCAATGGGCTCCAGCACTATGCGGCTCTTGGCGGCGACGTCTGGGGTGCCCAGCAGGTCAATCTCGTGCCTGGCGAGAAGCCTGCGGATGTCTACTCGGCAGTCGCTGACCTGGTGAGAGAAAGCATCGCTCAAGACCTGAAGGGCGGGCACCCTTTTGCCCCGGTCCTTCACGACAAGATCACCAGAAAGGTGGTCAAGCAAACCGTCATGACAAACGTCTATGGCGTCACAATAATGGGGGCAAAGAAGCAGGTTTTACGGCAGCTCGACTCGCTCCATCCGCGCCTGGCAGAAGAGAGCGGCCACCAAACGGTACATCTTGCGGCTTATATCGCCGCCAAGATATTTAAAGCGCTGTCGACCATGTTTGGTGGCGCCCACGAAATTCAGCATTGGCTTGGCGAGACTGGCAGTCGCGTTTGCCGTGCCGTCATGCCAGAGCAGTTGGCGAAATTGATTGCTGCTGAGGACTTGGCATCGCAAAACGCAGTTCTTCCCAAGGGAAGGCGAGGTCGTCCCAAGTCGGCAAAGAAGGAATCCGCGACCGAGATACTTCAGCAATTTCAGTCCACCCTTATTTGGACAACTCCGTTGCGAATGCCAGTCATCCAGCCCTATCGGACGACCTCGGTTCGAAAGATCAAGACCTGTCTACAAGATTTGGCTGTTTCGGCGCCGAATTCTTCCGACCCCGTGAATCGACGAAAGCAGCTGCAGGGATTCCCGCCAAATTTCATCCACTCCCTTGACGCCAGCCACATGCTCCTCTCTGCTATCGAATGTGATAAGCTAGGCCACACCTTTGCCGCGGTTCACGACTCATTTTGGACTCACGCGTCGGATGTTGACTCCATGAACACCGTCATCCGTGATACCTTTATCAGAATCCACTCGGACGACATCATTGGCCGTTTGAGAGCTGAATTCAGGGCCAGGTATAAGGGGTCGGTCTACCTAGCAAAGATCAAGAGGAGCTCAGCGTCAGGGAAGGCGATTGTGGAGCATCGCAACGCGCACAAATTATCTTTGAGAGAGGAGTTGATAATGGAAGGGCGGCGCCAGATGCTTCTTGCATCTTCTAATCCCGACGAGGTCGAATTAGGGAAGAATATGGTTACTCCAGCCACCGTCTACCATGAGCTGTCTACGGAAGACGACTTGATAGAAGAGGGAGAGCCCCAGAGCCTCGACGCCTCCTCCAAGTTGGACGAGGACGTGGAAGATGACTTGGACAAAGCCTCGGACGGTGAGATCTCTGAAGAATCTATCGACGCAGATACTGAAGGGTTCACGCCGCCCAAGTCACGGGAATACGACTCCTGGGAGTTTTTCAAGCCCACTAAGTCGACCTTCTTCGCCAGGACCTTTGACGCCAAAGCGGCCATCAAACATAACAACGACATCGAGGTCTGGCTTCCTTTGACCTTCCCAGACCCCCCCAAAAAGGGCAATTTTGATGTCCGAAATCTCAAGAAGAGCAAGTATTTTTTTTCTTAGATTTGGCGGAATAGGTTCGAGGAGTTAAAAGTTTGCATTTGAAAAGCGCGCGCCATGGGTGTTGCGTTTTGGGTGGCACGGCGTTCATGTCTGTGGGATTATGTGTACAAAATCTACAGTCCTCATCAGGCGATCATGTGTCATTATAGCTATTTATGCAGCTTTCTTAGTGTATATTGAGGGAAGACGGGCCGGATCACCCACCATACTACATATAGATATATATGTGTGTATATTACATAAAAGAACAATTGCATACGAAGACCGAATTAACATGAAGAGTCTGGTCATTGCTGCATCTTCAGGTGCCTTTCCTCGTATGTCCCCGGCCTGGCCTTGCTTGGCACTAGACGTAGGTGACACCGGTCGTCGGTCCCATGTGGCTGAAGTTGCTTTTTTCGCCTTGATGGTTGGAATGTGGGATGAAGGGACCTGAAGGGCACAGGGAAGCCGCTGTGGCCAGACCAGGCGCCCGACATTCCTAGCAGCGTCATGTTTCGGCTCCTCTTCCTCGCCGTCTTACCTCAGGGTCTTGGGCCAACATCCAAGAATGTGTTGTCTCTTGGTAACCTACTAGCAACCTGCTGACATTGCCACTTTCCCCAAGTTTCTCGAGAAGTAGGAGAGTAGAGATTTGACATTGGAATATTTAACCATGGGTTTCGCCGCTTTTCCTGGTTCTATTTTCACCAAGAGACGCCAGACAACTAACTTACTCTTTGCCGCAACGTTCCGAACCAGCACCAAAACAACAAGGCGTTTTGGACATCCGAGCACTACACACATCAGTCAAGCTGAAATTACCTGTTCCAAATGCTAGGCACCGGTCCTCTCCTTTTGCTATGGGGTCTCATACTGAGTGGCATGGGAGGCGTCTCGTTCTGGTGGGGATCCATAACCGCTTTCACCCCCTTGGTTCCATCCCCTGGGCCGTGTGTGCTGTAAAAAGGATTGTGCTAATCGGGTTCTCCCCTTTTATATCTACAGCTCGGCCATCCCCACAGCTGCCCAAGACCACGACCAGGCTCAACCTGACGCGGCAGCTGCTAGAATTATACCGCCATTCCTAATCCCCCCCGGCTTCGGGCTCCCTCGGTGTCTCGCCCCGGGAAGACCGCCGTGCTATACGTATACAGCGACGACAACTCCACGTGCGTACGTTATGTCGTTAGTTGCCATGCGCAATTGCTCGTTGCCCTCCCTCTGAGTACTTGAGCCATAGCTTCACCCTTCTGACTTGTCAATGGGTGCGTCACTGTTATTAACAACATGTCTTCAAGTCGCCTGCCCGAAGCAAGCCTGTCCTCCAACGCTTGATCTTGTGTGCCCGCTCCTTGTCAGGATCACGACACTATCTGTTCCGTGCAGGTTAGTGGGAACTGCCGTTTGCATCTCCCATTCTTTCACAAAGCGAGGCTCACACAGCCGACTCTGACCAGCAATGCTTGCTGCCCCGTCACGCCAACCTTGTACCTGACCAAGCCTTGTCCCGGGTGCGTGACCACGTGCGTCATCCCCACGTCCACAGCCACGGTGACGACGGGGTGCCCGGCATCAACATCCACATCCCTCGCGACCTTCCGCACAGCGAACGCAGCCAGCCGAACAACCGTCTTCGTTGCTAGCCTGACGCGCGCAACCACGTTGACTCTAGTCACCCTGTCGAAGTCGACAGCCACGACGGTGGCATTCCGCGCCACGGCGTCGACCACAACGTTGCGTACCACGATCGTGGTGACCCGGCCCACGACGTCGTCGACGTCGAATACAGCGTCGCGTTCCACGAGCACAACCGCATCTACTCTCCCGACAACCAGGACGACGACGACCACTGGCCCAACAACCAGAACTACTACGACTACCCGCAGCACGACGTCAACCACCACGTCCCCGTCCACAAACTCGATGACTAAGACGACGACCACAACTACGCGCACGGCAACGTCCACGACTACCACTAGTTCTAGTTCGACAACCGGCGGCCGCGGCTGAGCCTCGTTATTATTCCGACCTAGCGCAGCCCCTGAGCAATGTTTTCGTAGAAAGGAAAAGGTATCACGAGAACGACGAGCAGTGCGTGGCGAAAGTGAGATCACAGAAGCAAGGGGACTGGTGCTGCCGCAGACAATATGTGTACACGCAAATCTGCTCTCCAGAGCGGCTAGCAGTAGTGGGAATTTGACTTTTATCTATTCTAGAACCCCTCCTGGCTGTGGTGGTTGGATGGTTCGTGAGATGAAAAATGATACGACATTTCTGTAACGTTCTGTAATCATCACAGCACTGTGAGGAGGAAATAACGCTCCCCTAAGTAATCCGCCAACTGGCACCGCCACCCGTCGCGTAATTCTTCTTCTTTTTTTTTCTTCTTTTTTTTCGTTTACCGCACCTGGGCGCCCGACAAGCTCTTTACTGTACAGACGCCGCCGCTCGCTGTCACGAGCTTCCCGAGGCTGTCCTTGCCCTCGAGCTCCTTCACGACGCCAGCGTCAAAGGCGACCTCGAGCTTGTCGGTGGTGGTGAAGCCTGGCTGGAAGGTCTCCCAGACCTTTTTCTTGGGGTTGAGGACCTTCTCGGGCTCGCCCTGCCAGCCCTCAAAGTAGACGCGCTCGCCGGCCTTTGCGTCGGCGGGGGGGGTGACGAGCTCGACGGGGCCCTTGTGGTCGTCGACCTCGCCCTCCTTGATGCGCGGCGACGCCGCCAGCACCATAGCCGACGACTTGATGCCGCGCATTTTGACCGGCTTGAGGTTGCACACCACCACCACCTTGCGGCCCTGCATCTCCTCGAGCGGCACCAGCCCGTTGAGCCCCGAGCACACGGTCCGCACCACCTGGCCCTCGTGCTCGGACGTGTCTTCCGTGCCGGGCTTGTCGCCCATCGCGATCGTCGACACGTACAGCGAGTCGGCTTCCGGGTGCTTGATCGCCTTCAGGATGTGGCCCACGCGCAGGTCGATCAGGCAGGGCGATACCACCGCCGGCGCCGGGGGCGGCGCGGGCTGCTTTGGCGCCTTCTCCTTCTTCTCCTTCTTCGGCTTCTGTTGCTTGCCCTCGGGGGCGGCGGTGGATGTGGCAGCGGCAACGCCTGCCGAGACGGCGGAACCGGCGGCGCTGGCAGCGTCCGTGACAGCCTCCACAACCTTGTCCTTCACTTCGACAGCCGCCTGCTTCGTCCGGTCGACGAGCGTCTTTACCTCGCCGGTGGCGGTGGCAGCGGCACCGCTAACGGCGGCAGCGGCAGCGGCCTTCTCCTTCTTCAGGCGCTCCTTCTCGGCCTTGGCGTCGACGGGCGGCTTGACGTAGAGCACCTCGTCGGCATTGATGGCGACCTTGTCGGCGACGTCGAGGCCGAACAGCGGGCTGTTCTGCACAAAGTCGACGTGGCGCACGATGTTGGGGCGGCCCTGCTGGCCGGTGCGCTCCTCGGGCGACCAGGCCTTGACGAGCGGCGCGACGGCCTCGTAGATGGCGATGTCGGCCTTGCTAGGCTTGGTCCCCAGCACGGTGCTGCGCGTCGACAGGCTGGCGTTGAGGGCGTCGAGGACGGCCGACTGGTTATCGGGGTTCGACTTGAGAGTCTCGGCCTTGGCGACCCATTGCTGAATCTCGGTCTCCTCGGCCGGGGTGTAGGTTTGGGCGTCGAGGGCGGCCATGATGCGGGGGCTGAACAGCGAGACGAGAGACCGGGAAGAAGGGTGTTGGCGCAGCGGAGACACGCTTCGGAGAGCGGGGCGTGCAGCTCGGAGGGAAAACAGCTTGACTGTAGCAGACTGCAACTGTGGAAAGGGGCTTGAATGGAACCGTGGAAATTGTTCTGGCTGTCGTTCGGAGCTGTTGGGTGACTGGGTTGGGTTGGACGAGGGAGCTTGGTTGGGACGATTTTTTGAATCACAAAACCGTTGCGGCGGGGCAATTCGTTCTCCAATGCCACTTCCAGTCGTTGACTCAACCTGCCAAGAGCGAGGGGCAGTTTTGGTGCCTTGAAATTGAGGCACCAGCTCTGGGGGCACTTTGCCCCCTGCCATTTGGGCTCGTGACGCCGCGGCTGCGCGCGTCCCGAGATAACGGGGCGGATTTCCAGTCGCGTAGATCGCGCGCGCCCTTTTAATTGATCGCCAACACGCCTGCCCACTTTCAACTGTCATTGCAGGCCAAATTGTTTGCTGTTTTCCGCTAGCAACCGCAACTTCGTGCAAATTACGGAAATCTCAGTATTCCGTATATGTGCCTTTTTTTCTTTTGCCTACTTGACCAATTGAGACCTAGATATCTGGAGTCCTCGGCGATAGGCCGTGGCCCGGAAAAGGGCGTTTTAGTGGCAAAAGGAAAAAGGGAAAAGAAATAGCGAGGCTGCCCCTCCGTACACAGCACACCCAAGGATCAAAGGCCGCCTCTGCTTTCGAATCCGCCACTTCGGCTGGAAACACAACATCCCCTGCTCGATTGCGATGCCTTATTCATCCTCGCCGGAACGCGAGTCAAGAAGCCCGTCGTCGCGACTCCCCACCAGCGTCCCGTCGTCCCCGCCCTCTGCCTCCCCGGTCGCCAAGGAGCTGGAGCCGGAGGTGCAAGAGACGGAGAAGTCCAAGATGAGCTACACCAAGCTGCGCGAGGAGCAGATCCTTGCTGCCGAAGAGGATAAGGCACGCGAGGAAAACATCAAGACAGAGGAGAAGCGCAAGAAGAGGTCCAAGAAGCAAGCATTGACCAAGAGGGAGCGCGATTCAAAGGCAAAGGACCTGGACGAGCTCCTTGCCCAGAGCGCCGCCTTCAGCAGCATCCTGACCAGCAAGACCAAGGTGCTTGGCCGCGTCGGCACTGCCCTCGACGGCAAGACACTGGGCGAGCACGACCTGACTATGGCCAAGCAGCCCAAATGTCTCGTCGGGGGTACCATGAGAGACTACCAGCTCGAGGGCCTGACCTGGATGTATGAAATCTGCATCCAAGGCATGAGCGGAATTCTGGCTGACGAGATGGGCTTGGGTAAGTCGCCGCCTGCTGTTATGCTCCGAGAGAAACATTGGGCACCGCTGACCCCCTATTGTAGGCAAAACGATCCAGACTATTTCCTTGATCGCGTTGCTGCGGGAGCAGGAGAACTACTTGGGGCCTCATCTCATAATTGCCCCTTTGAGCACTCTCTCCAACTGGCTCGATGAGTTCCACAAATGGGTCCCGTCCATTCCCGTCGTCATGTACCACGGCACACCGGATCAGCGCAGCGACATCTTCAAGACCAAGATCATGCGGCATCTTCACGGCGGCAGACCGACCGACAAGTTTCCCGTCGTGTGCACCAGCTACGAGATGGTCCTCAAAGACCGCGCCTCCCTCTCCAAGATCAATTGGGAGTTTATCATCATTGTAGGCTTGTCCTCTCGTCTCTTGCCCCTGCCCCGTCTCCGAAATGTGGCTAACATGGCATTTTTTTATCGCCAAATAGGACGAAGGGCACCGTATGAAGAACTTTGACTCGAAGCTGTTCCGGGAACTCAAGACGTTCACATCTGCAACCCGTCTTCTTATTACCGGCACTCCCCTGCAGAACAATCTCAAAGAGCTCTGGTCCCTCCTCAACTTTCTCTTGCCCAAAATCTTCCGGGACTGGGAGGCATTTGAGAGCTGGTTTGACTTTAGCGATCTCCAAGACGAGGAGGGCACGGAAGATTTCATTGCCGATGAAACGAAGCAAGACCTTGTCAAAAAGATGCACGTGGTGCTGCAGCCTCTGCTTCTGCGGAGAGTGAAAGCAGATGTGGCCAAGTACCTTCCCAAGAAACGCGAATACGTCCTGTTTGCGCCAATGACGAAGGAGCAGACAGACCTGTACAACGTCATCAACGATAAAAACATCGACACGCGATCATACTTGGAGAGCAAGGTCGTGGAACGCCTGACCAGCGCACCAAACAGCAGAGCTTCGTCGCTGAGAGGCACCCCAATCTCATCGAGATCAAGCAGTGTTAAAAAGGATACCGACGGCGACAGTGATCTGGCATCTGTGACAACTCTGGGTAGCCCACCCGATTCCAAGACTGTGGAAGCCGCGCCCACAGCAAAGAAGAATGCATTTTCCTTGATGATGGGCAAGCCTCGTCCCCGTGGCCGACTCCCTAAATCGGCTCAGGCCGCCAAGGAAGTTGCTACTGAGGCCGTGCAAGTTGAGCAGGACAAGGACGCAAAGCGAAAAAGCCCGCCAACTGCACCATCTCCAGCCCCAAAGAGTGCAAAGTCCAGCCGGCAATCGACTCCGGCCAGCACACGGGGTCGACCGCGAAAGGGGAAGCAGTCATACAGGGAGGCAGATTCGGATGACGACCTGCTCGACGATGACGATTTTGAAGCCAAGCTCGCAAAAGAGACCACGGAGGACCAAGTTCAAGAGATTGAGAGCGCACTAACAGCAGAGGAATTCGAGAGAGCGCAGACCCTGGACTTGGCTAGTAAGTTTCGACAGTTAACCACCCATCTGAAGTTTGGGCGCGGAGCATTGCTGACACACTACAGAAAAGGAGATTTCCAACAAGAAGCTCGGCAACCCCCTTTTGCAACTTCGCCTCATCTGCAACACCCCGCACCTCTTTTACAACCCATGGGCGACAGACAACGGCATACCTGTCGACGAGAGCATTGTCACGGGCTCGGGGAAGATGCTCCTCCTCGACCGGCTACTCCCGGCACTCTTCAAGAATAAGCACAAGGTGTTGATCTTCTCTCAGTTCAAGACGCAGCTTGACATTCTGGAGGACTATTGCGATCTCCGAAAATGGCAGGTTTGCAGGATTGATGGCGGTGTCGCCCAGGATGACCGGAGGACGCAGATTGAAAAGTTCAACACCAACCCCAAGATCAAGATCTTCCTCCTGTCGACGCGCGCCGGAGGGCAGGGTATCAACCTTGCCAGCGCCGATACTGTGGTCCTGTTTGATAGCGACTGGAATCCGCAACAGGACCTCCAGGCCCAGGATCGCTGTCACCGCATCGGCCAGACTCGCCCAGTCATCGTCTACCGACTTGCCACAAAGGGTACCGTAGAGGAGGAGCTGCTGATGAGCGCGGATGCGAAGCGCCGTCTCGAGAAGCTCGTCATCAAGAAGGGCGGCTTCAAGACCATCGGGCAGAAGATTGACATGCGCGAGGACTTGGACAGAGAGATGCTTAAAGCTCTGCTGTTGAAGGACGGCCAAGTGTACAAATTCTCAGGCGACAAGGAGGTTCTGAGCGAGCAGGATTTGAGCGTATTGTGCGACCGGTATGTTTCCCCGCCTGCTCTTCTCGCGAACACAACCCGAAGTCGGATCCGCTAACCGGTGAAACAGAAGCGACGATGCGTACGCGCGTGCTGCAGTTGGTGAGGGTAACGCAGATGGCTACCAGGTCATCGAAACACGGGCAACGGGGATAATGGCAGCGAGCAAGGCGAAGAAGGCGTAGCCCGGGTAACTATTTGCATTTCTACCTTTGTGTATGGCGATGGCGATGACTTTAAGTCTAAGCCGGCGTCACGAAGCGTATGGCAGCTTTCTACGACTCTATAGAGCACCGTAATTTCCTGATTATTTCTGCACGACAATGTTGTTGACAAGTCTCATGAATATACTATTGGGAGCGCAAGTAGATGAATGGCAGAGGCTACTCTTTATATCCGTCAACCACAGTACACCAAGAGGAATAGTAGAATCACATGTTGTTTCTGCAACATTTTCTTATCAAAATTATTAAATAATTTCTTTCATTTGGCAACAGTTTTAAATAGCAATTTAAATCCCAACATGCCCAGGCGGCGGAACCACGAGCCGCGCCGCGTCTCGTCAAACGACCGCACCAACCTGACGGCCGTGACGAGCAGCATGTAGCCCACGGCGGCTGCGGCCGACAGCAGCCATCGCCGGCTGTCCAGCGCCGTGTCGATGAGGCTGATCGGGTCTAGTAGTGTTTTGAACATTGTGTTCTTTTTTCCCTTTTTGCTTTGGTTTTTTCCTTGTTTTTTTTTCTTCTTACCTTGAAAAGTCGTAGTTGGTTCAGATTTGGAGCTTGGGTTCTTTGTTGCTCTTACCTTTTCTTTTTTTCGTAATTGAATGTATGCGATGAAAGCCAGACAAGAGAGAAGATTATTCGTCTCTTCTTTTTTCCTTGATCAGGGGGGGCTACTTGCCGCTCCCTAGTTTTAATACAGACGCACAACTGCTGTTCTCTCCCCCTCGTTTCTTTGTTCCGGGGCCGGGCCCGCCGAGACCGAGGCCGTGGCTATTGTCTACTTAGAACGGACTAGTACGGGACTCGGATCGTGTTGCTTTGTCCGCTTCGCCAAAAGCGCTGAGCTGCGAAGTATGTCTAAAAATACTTGGTGAAAGAAGGTCAAAGAGAGCAACTCGAGAGATAATCGGGGGCTTGAGCTCCATTTCCATGTTTGTCCATGGGAGGCTAAAGGGAATTGGCTGACACGTTTCATTTGGCTTTAGTAGGTATGTTAGGGAGCGACGATGCAAACCAATTAGATGGCAGCTGAGCATGAGATCTGCTGCGGTCTGTCCTAGGGGATTATGTCAAGATGAACAAGGAACTCGACTCAACTCATTGGCGCTTTTTAGCTGACACCTGTGGCTAACCCCGCCCGGATCAGGTTCATGGAAGCCATCTGCTTGAATTCTGACGGACTCGTGAAGCTATTCGCAGGTTTGTTTGTGCTTAGCTCATTCGCAATTTCGCACTTTAATTAGAGTTGAGCCACCAGAAGTTAGTAGCGGATCAGAGACGTCGTATTCTTGGCATTTAAGAATTCGGCTCGTCCCGCCTGACGTTTGGCTCCTCGTCAATTATACGCGGAATCCTTGATTGACCCAAATGAATCCCGAATGAGTCAGCCAATAAGGCGTGGTAGAGGATCCCGCCAACTATTCCTTCTGCCAGCAAATTATATTGCTCTTTTTATTTATAGCCTTGATAATACCTCATAGCTAATTAGATAGTGATCCTCATCCTAAGAAGCGGCATCATTTATGACGGGCTGGCCATACGCAGGCCAACTAGACAAGAAACCTTGTGAAGGCCTTCGTTATAAGAGGGCTGGTCCTCGCCGGTCCGGAATTAAGAGATATCAAAAGGTTCGACACACTGAACAACCCACACTCGTGCAGGATGATTCTCGTGTCTCTCCTCTTCTTCCTCGGCTGCACCGCCGCAGCGCAGGCCACAGACATCGACCCAGTACCCAGACTTACAAGCCGCAGTGGCACATACTCTGGAAATGGCTGCCCCCAGGGATCGGTAGCAACCTCCATCAGTACTAGTAATAGCACTACAGGGACTTACCAGCTGCTCATTTCACTGGACCGCGCTATACCCTCCATCGGCCCGGGGTCAATTCCCAGCGACAAAAGCAAGCTTTGCAGCCTGAAAATCGACCTGGGCCTCCCGGCAGGGTGGAGAGCGCGGCTCGGCGACGGCGGGCTCGACTTCCGCGGCTGGTTTTACTTGCCAGACAATAAGACAACGGGGACAATGAGCGCGCAGTATTGTTTCGCTACAAATGATAATGATGTGACTGTAGGTGGCGCGACTTATGAGTACTATCAACTCTACAACTAGAAATTCACTAACTCATCACCTCGCAATCAGTCGTCGTTCATTTTTTCCATCGTCGGGCCATTGGTTGGGTCCTTCGTCAACCACACAGAGAGCAGCTCGGGCGCCCATTCAGGCCCCTGTGGAAACGGGACGTTGAATGTGGTGAAGAGGATTTCCGCGACATCCAGGAGCGCGAGTTCAGGCTCAGACGGCTACGTCGGGCCGGACCCAGACCCGAGCGAGCAGGTGTGGACTTTTGTCAGCCGGATGCAAGTGCTCAAGTGCTGATTGGTTCTGGCATAAAGAAGTCTTTGCGTGAGAAAAAAAAACGAAAGACTGCCCGATCAGCCCAGGTATTAGCACATCTACGACTCCATAAACTTCAATACTTGCAATTGACAGTGTTATCTTGATTGCCCCTTGATTCAAATGGTCATATAGAAATTTTTACGCATTTCAGCTCCTTATTGACAACTCACACGCAGGTTCTTGGTACGAGCTCCAAGAATAGTCGTCTTTGTTCTGTCATTCTGGTCCTTCTGGTCTCCCTTTATTGACTTGCCAAAACCGGGGTGAAGTGGCTTTTCGTCTGAATGAAAGTACGTGACATTTGTACCATTTCCGAACAATGGAGAGCGCTGTTCATGTCTGGGCCTTGGTCCATGTATAAATCTGAACAATCTCTCAAATCCCCACACCAAGCCTGAACAGTTCTTTTGCTTCTAGCCCCAAGGTTTTGAACAGTTCCAAGTCCGACCGCTGAACTCTGACGCGCTCTCCCGGTGAGAGACACTGCTCGCTCCTTCACCGTCGTCGATAAACATTTCCTCAGCCAAACCTCTTATTTTCAATAATCATTGACCCCAAGATTCTTTTCGCTTGACTATATTACCTCAATCGCGCTGGGCCGTCGTGTTGCACCGCAAAGAGCAACCTCAGGTATAAATCGCCAGCTTCGCTTACTCCACGTCAACCATTTCCGCCAAGAAATAAACAAATATGCCTCCCAAGAAGGGCACCAAGGGCAAGCAGGCTACCGCTGCTGCCGCCGCCGCCGCCGCCGCCGCCCCTGGTGCCCCTGGTGCCCCTGGTGCCCCTGTTGACCCCGCTGCCGTCTCCGGCGTAACGCGTCGACAGACTCGGTCTCGGGCTGGCCGGTCAGGCGCGGAGCCCTTGTTCGCGCTAGACATCACTGCATCCGCTAGGGCTCCGCCTGTCGTGGTTCCAGCCTCGGCGCCGAGACCACGGGGACAGCCGGCGGCCCAGCCCGCAGCTGCCACCGCCGGTGGACGGGTCAGAAAGACTGCAGGAACAAAGGCCCAGAGAGGAAAGGCCCAGGGAGGAAAGAAGGGCAAAGGAGGAAAAGCCCAAGCAGGAAGGAAGGGCAAAGGAAAGCAGACCGCCAAACAAGAAGACGAGCCCGAAGAGGAAGACAAGTCCCAGGAAGAAGACGAGCCTAAGGAGGAAGACGAGCACGAGGTAGATACTAAGAAAAGCCTCAAGGTGGTTCTAAAGCTGAACCCAGACCTCCAGAAACGCAAGAGCAGAGAGGACGCCCCGAGCCCGGCCACTCCGCGCCACTCCGCCTCGGGGGCTGCATCCGGTCCCAGCCAAGGCCACGTTGGCTCCTCCAACCTGTCGTCCCCGGAAGCCGCCGGCACCCCCAGGCGTGCGCCGCCCGCCTACCCGCCGGCGACTCCGCCACGGCACCCCCTCAGCTCGGCATCCGTGCCTTTTATGCACAGCCCCGGAGCCAGCAGCGCGAGCACCGCCAAGTCCCGTGCCTCTAAGAGCAGCGCGCAAAGCCCCGTCACACCGCGCGGCTACCCGCGGGGCTCGGCATCAGCGCCGTTCATGACCAGCCCGGGGGCCAGCACCGTGAGCGCGGGCACGAACAAGTCGGCTGCCTCGCGGCGCAGCTCGCAGCGGCCGTCGAGCGCGCCCGGCTCAGTTGCTGCTGCTGCTGCCGCGCCCCCGTCGTACCTGGGTGCGAGCTTCGGTCTGCGCCAGCGGACGCCCAGCAACCACTCGGCGTCGACGCAGTCGCCCGGCAGCAAGAAGAGACCGCCTCCTGCCAGCGCCACCGCCGCCACCGCGCCCGACTTCTTCAACGCCGACGGCGAGTGCAGAGCGCACGGCAATGCTAAATGCTGGTTGTGCGAGCGCGCGGCCAACGCGGCCATGGCTAGGAGCACCGCCGAGCCGAGCGGCAAGCGGCACAAGAGCAACAGCAGCGGCGGCGGCAGTGGCGGCAGAGGACCGTCGCCGTCGCTGCCCAGCCTCTTGCCCGAGGGGTCCCAGGGGGAGCGAGAGGAGTCCACGAGCGGCGTTTACAGCGAGGGCACACCGCTCAACCCATTTTCGGCAATAGCGACGGCGTCGGCGCCGGGCGCGATGGGCCCGCCGCCGACGCCGACCATGTGGCAGCAGCCAACAGGAACCTCGCCGCCGCGGATAAGACCCGGCTCCATCTCGTCCTGGAGCTCCAGAGTAAGCGCAGCCGGAGCGCCACCCGTCACGCCTGCCGGCGGCGCGCGCGCAGGAGCAGGAGCAGGAGGCCTGCGGGCGAGCGTGACGTCGTCGGCAGGGTTCTCGCATTACAGCGTACCGGGGGCCAGGCCGGACGAGACGAGCCTGTTCGCGTCGCCGCGGCCCCCGCAGACCGCGGCGGCGCAAGATCAGACGCCGACGCCGGCGCCTCGGCCATCAACAGCAGCAGCACCTCCAGCCAGGGCCGGCGCGCCGCGCCGAAACAGCGCGTCGTCGTCGTCGTCGTCGGGGAAATCGTCGCAGGACCTGCGGGCGATCGCGGCGTGGAGCGAGATCGAGGCGGCCTTGGGCACGACGGCTGAGGAGGTCGACGAGTCGGAGGTGCGCGACCGCATAGAAAACGAGAAGCGTGAGGATGACTGGGATCTGAGCCTGGTGTATGCGCCGTCGCCGGCGCAGGTGCGCGTTGGCTCGCCGGACGGCACTGCTGAGGTGCGGCCCGGTACCGGGGAGCATGGTCATGACGAGGAAGAAGAGGAGGAGGGGGACGAGGAAGAGGAAGAGGAAGAGGAGGAAGAGGTCTTCCCTGCAGTCACCTCGACCATGAAGCAGATGGAGCACTTGGGAGACGACGACGACGAGAGCGGGCAGCCTTCCCAGCTGTTCTACAGCTCTGTGATGAGCGAGGAGTAGTAGATCGCGGCCAGCGAGTCTTGTTCGGCAGCATCAAAGTATTATTGTAAGTAAACAAGTAACGACAAAAGTTTCGGGGCAAGGATTTGGACGGCGCAAGCTTTCTTCTTTTTGGGGCGTTTGCTTGGATACTGTACCGTATAGCTAGGTACCTATCGTGTATCTTGCAGGGGTATTTCTATCACATTTATCTTATCTGCCGAGTTTCAGAACGCTGTATACGGCATGGAGAGGGCAGGAACAGACTTGAAGCAAAGCTGGAGCCTTGTATTTGCTGTGTAGATACGAACCGATGTTTTGGTTCGATGCGTCGTCTCTCTCATGCCGTTGGTTCTCTCAAACGGCTAAACTCTTTCCTATAATGGTGTGTCCTTTCGTCGTGTCCCTCCTCTCTCTGCCACCGGCGCCATGGAAGCAAATGTCTTCCTTCACCTGGCGAGCTCGGCATTTTTTGAGCAAAGTTGTTTCGGGGTCATCGTTTATTGGCCCTCGACTGCTGGCGTGAAGGTGTCTGGGACCTTGCCCCGACATGGTGCTACGGCAGCCAAGCAACCCCCTTTGAACCGACGTTTGAGACTTCAGTCTTCGACAGACGACCCCGCTCAAATCCCCATGTCATCATCGCTTCCGCCGTCGTCATGTATCCCGCTACCTTGTTCTTCGTCTTCCCGCCGTGCCGCCTCGGCGCTGGCGCCGATCTTGCGCACGCCATCGACCACGCCCAGCACAAAGCCCCTGCTCTCGGCCAGCTCGATGGCGCCAACGCCCGTTAGCTCCATCAGCCCGTTCTCAGCGCCGCCCAGCACCGAGGTACTACTGCGCATCTTAGCGGCGCGCACCTCGACTAGGTCGCGCAGCAGAGAGCGCACCTCGCCAGCCGGCGCGGCCATGTCGTCGCCCGCGTGCGCAAGCAGCGCCTCGGCCACCTCGAGCCAGTGGTACGGCAGGTAGCCGGCGGGCGCGCTGGCGGTGCACGAGGGCTGGAAGGGCGGGGACAGGATGGTGTCGGCGTCGGCGTCGGCGAGGCGGCGGGCGTGGCCGGGGTCGTGGGGGTTCGCGTGGGCCGGCGGGGGAGGCGGGGGCGAGAAGGTCTGTGGGTTTTCTTTGGTCTCGCGATGGATGATCTCGGAGAGCGAGGCGGGGTGCAGCCAGGGCGGCGGCACAATGTTGGCGCGTCGTTGCTTTTTGAGTAAGAGTGCCAACCACAGCGGGAGCTGGGCGCGGTGAGGCGGCCGTAGAGGCGGGGTTTGGCCCTGGAAATTGAACGAGAAGCGTTGGTTAGGGGCTGGCCGGCAAGGCGGCGAGATTAAGGGGTGAGATGGAAGAATTGGCTTACGCTTAGCAAGTCAATGCTTTCGAGGCGCTGTCGCGGGACGATGGTGACCATTTCCATCTCGGCCAGAAAGGCAACCTCGGCGTGAGTGAGGCCCGGGGGCATGGGGAGCGCCATTGCGCGCCGTCGTGTGATGGTTGTTGCAGTTGGTTATGTCGCGTCACCTCGTCATGTTCGTCGAGTCTGTCTTGGTTAGGTGCCCGGGCGTCGAGACGGCAGCAAGACGATGAGCATGCATCTGTCGCGTGTCGGTTCAGGAGACGCGCCGTGGCTTCAGCGACGCGGGGCAGAATTGTCGGACCCCTCAGGACTCAGTCGTCGCCCCGTCTTGGCATTCTTTAATTGGCCCTTGGGTATAACCCTAACCCGCGAATTGAACCGTATCTTTCGCGAATTTCCTAGTCTCGTTACAAGTATGCCGAATCTCTCAATTGGCACACTGAACTGCTTGAATATTTCCCTTGGATCTAATTAGCTCTGACCTACGGATCCGTATTAGGCACTGCTGCGATTCCCCGCAACCTCCCACTGCGGCCCAAACTATATCAGTTGAACATCGACTGCCCTCTCCCCACTGTTCTCTTTGGCAATCTACCACAAATACAGTAAATCATCAATATTGAACACGTCCCCGTCCCCTCTTACTCGGTTTCCCGTTTCTCGTGTCTTGTAAACCTACTCAGATAGTTCACAGACTTGTTGTAAACCTACGTAGTTACCTAGGTAGGAATGCAACTAGGAAGAGTAGGGACGAGTCGGAGGTATTTTGGGCGACGGGGCTGTAGGCTGGCAGCTGATACTCCTCGGGTCTTTCCGGCTCCGACTGAGCAATCCACGCAGCCAAACACAATGGCAAGGCGCCCACCGTTGTCAGCCAAGGAAACGAGTCAGCTTTTGTGGGAACTAGGCCGTCCGTGTTGATCTGAACAATCAAGACAATAATCCATGCGACGTGAATCAGTGACCAGAAGGCCAGAAACCTCTCGAACTCGGTGCGGCCCTGGAAATTATAATATCATCTAATTGTGACGGCGGGGCTCAGCACCTACTACCGCTGCACCACACCTTCCAAACGGATGCCAGAATTGCAAGCTGCCAGCTGCAATCTGTAGTAGGTTATAGTATGGTCATGCACCCGTAGGCCTGCTCACAGCGCCTACGGTACCGTGCCGTGACACTAATCAGCGAGAGACGTGGGTTGACCGGCCTGGGGGCCGTGATAAAAGAAGATGAAGAAGGAGAAAAAGAAGATAACCTGGTTGACTCACCATCATTATGCCCAGAAACCTTCGCTTCTCGCGCGATTCTTGAATTTGTGCGCCGACGACACAAGTGAGAATAAGATATGAGCAACTGTAAATAAATCTCACAGTGAACCACCCCGCATAAGTCCCATCTGGCGAACATGGCGAATGTGGCGACTGGTCTGAGACGTAGTGCTTCATCCAAAGGTATGTGACGAGGAAGTTGTAGACGGCACCCAGAAGAGCCGCCGCGAACTCCCACAGCAGATCGGGGGGCTCAATAGTTGGGCAGGTTCTGGCCTTGAAGTCGGCCCATTTCTGAGGGGGTGGTGTCATGCCGGGCGAGTCTGCTGTCACGGGCAATATTTGACCTTCTTTTGAATTTCTTTTGGGCTTGATGTGCGAAGATTGTCTGGATTCTCTCTCATACATGTCTGATTGATGAGGTACTTAGGTATGGCTGGTTTGATGCGTTCGGTTGATGCCGTGCGTAATAACTGTTGAGGTGGTTGGATGGGTTGATGAGGAAGAAAGATTCGTTAGAGAAAAATAATGAAGAGAATTTATACGTACCGCTAGACATTTAAGAGGCTTTAATATGCCTCGGACAAAAACTTTGATCGCGTGTGACGGCGAAAATGTTTGATATTCGTGCCAGGTCACCGGGCGATAGTTAGAATCTTATCGGTTGCTCATGAACTGAATTAAAGCCTAACATAAAAGGGAACCGGAGTCACCGTCTTCTGCTGATAACTCTCTTCGTCTATGGTAGCTTTCATGTACACGATATATCCGCCACCGACAACCAAAAGACAAATTATTGCAAACCAAGCTCAGTTGCGCCAACGCCGTTCCTTCCAAGCCCCGTCCCATGTGACTCCATATTCGCCAGCAAATACATTGGGTATTATCTTCAACCCACGGCTTTACAATGGACGGCTAATTAGCAAACACACACTCTCTCTCTCCCTCCCCTATCAACGCCTGAGCTTTTCATCTCCTCGCATAATCCTGCCGCCGCACCTCCTCCCTGAAAATATTGCGGTCGGCGTTCCCGAGCGCCGGGATCGTGCCCATGCGCGTAGAAGCGTTGTTGTCGACCATGCGGATCTCGAGGCCGCGCAGCCGCTGCGTGCGGCTCTTGCGCTCGCCGTAGCCGTCGCGCTTACGGCCGCACGAGAAGAGCTGGCCCATCCTGCCGGGATTGCGCCGCCGGAACACGAGGAACGCCACCAGCAGCCCCAGCGCCAGCACCCCGAGCGCGATCGGCAGCGCGATGATCAGCGGGTTGGGCATCGAGCTGCCGCCGCCTCCGCTTGGTGGGCCGATGAGCTGTACCCGCGGCCCGGGGATGCGCGTCTGGCTGCTCCCGTCCATCGTCATGCCGTTGCCAGTGTCGCCGTTGCCATCGCCGTCGCCATTGCCATCGCCGTCTCCGCCTGTGTTTGCCACGTTGATGGCTGGCTGGCTGATGAAGAGCTGGGCGGGCCGGGCGGCGCTGGCGCGGGTGCTGCCGAGGTACTCGGCCAAGACGGTCCAGGCGAAGCGGCCAGAGCTGGCGTCGAGCATGCGCGATGTGAAGCCGTCGGCGCCGCCCTTGTTGCTATCGTCGGGCCGCGTCAGGAAGTCGGCCTGCACCTCGATCATGGCCACGTTGTTGAAGGACGAGTTGAAGAAGGCCGGATTCCATATCACTTTGTGGTGTGATCTGTCAGTGTTGGCATCGGATATGGGTTGTGGGGGCGTGCAGCTTACCGTCAATGGTCTTTCCCACCTGGATCTGGGCTCCATCTTTGGGTGAGCAAAAGGGCCCGTTGCCAGCGTCGGCGTTTTCGCACATTGTGGCACGAGGATGTGGATATTCAAGGATGTGGATATTCAAGGATGTGGATATTCAAGGATGTGGATATTCAAGGATGTGGATATTCAAGGATGTGGATATTCAAGGATGTGGATATTCGAGGATGGAGACTATCGCACTATATGTGATTTTTGTAAACAATAACGAACAGAGGCTGCCAGAGCCAGACGAATGGAGCGCTGAAGTCTTATTAATTTAGAAAATGTAAGGAGGGATATCGCAAAGAGTCGCACTTGAATAATGGAGAGCGGGAGTGGGTAAAGGGAGGGGAGAGAGGAGAAATTAATGACATTGAGAACAGGGAAAAAACTGCGGATCTAGATGTCATAAAATATCCGATTGCGATCCCGTGCCGTCTTGTGTGTTGCGTTGGAACACGGCGACGGGACAGACGCATCCAGCCCATCAGCGATGCCCTCCACTTACCTACTACCTGCCCCCATCATTGTGATTTTTTCTTGCTTCAAGTCTGGCTGGCCGCCCAAGAATGGCGTGAGATTTGAGATTTGGAAAAGGCAAGCTGCATGGGTTCGGAAATGGCAAAATGCAAAATGCCGACGTGAGGCGGTCTCATGGCGGCGATCATCATGGGCAAAAGGCGAGGGAGCAGGGCGCCGTTGGCTCGCCACGGACCCCTTTTGGATCGGGTTGAAACCACATGGCACATGGGCACCCCCCCGTCCATCGTGGGGAACCCCTGGAACCCCTGGAACCAACCCCTGCAGCCCTGCCCGCCCAGAATGGACGACATCAATTTTTAATGAGAGCCCTGCTTGGAGGGGAAGAAGTAAATGGATTGGAGAAAAAAAATAAAATAAAAATATGATTCCTTCTTGTCGCCGAGCGCACTTGACTCATTGCCCAAAGCGCCGTGGCTGGATAATCTGTTGATGGTTCCGGGGACTAGGGGCGTATCGTGATTGAGGTTAGAAGGGCAACCCGAGTGGGCGCCGACTCAAATTGAGAGAACGACACAACCAGGAAGACCAATGTCTCTGTCGGCGATTTTGCTGTGATTTCCCACTTCGCAGCGGGACGGTGGGACTGCTGCGAGGGCTGAGGGAAAGAATGGAGTCGTGAAAATGTCCGGGCCCTTCTGCCCGTGTTCTATTCTACCGCGCGTCCAAACAAAACGAGGGGGCTGTGCCCCGCCTCGCTTGTTCCCTTTTCCCCTTCTCAGAACTAAGGGATGCTACAGACAAACTCGCTTTGGCGCCACCGAAAGGCAGACTTGACTTGAAACTGGGCCTCTGGCGCCCTGGCCAGGGTGAAGCATCATTTCATTGGGCGTGAAGAGTTACCCTAGTCTCAGATGCCGGCTAGGGCCTGCGTTTTTGTTTTTCTGTCCTGCGTGAGGGTTGGGGGCTCAGGGCTGCAGCCAATCATAGAACAGGGAAGAAACAGGGGCAACTGACCCTTGTGCAGATCTTGTCCAGAGACTATTTTGTCATATTGCCCCCGCCACTAACCACGAGCTTTCTCCTCGAGTGCCTATAACAATCACTGATCATACGTAACCGTGGTCTTTCCGTACTCCTTCCCACGGTACATTAACCGTCACTCGATGTCATCAGCCCTAAAAGGTCGCCTCGAGCTTAAAGTCGATTTCATAGGACTCCCTGCCCGTGACGGGGCTCATGCACTTGGAGAAGGTCGACTAGGACACGTCGCTGAAGTCGCCCTGCACGTGGCAGATGAATCGGGCGGCGGGCTCGGCGAGCTGCGCTGGTGGCTTGTTGTCGTAGCAGGCAACCCAGCTAGCCCGGGACCAGGCAGTCGTCGCCAGGCTCAAACTGCGTCGCCAGGTCGATGCTGATCTTCTTGGGATTGGCGTCGGGATGAACATGTCCTCCGGGTCGTGCACGCCCGGCCGGAAGACGTCTAACACCGGTGTGCCGTAATGCTGGCGCGCCAGGCGCACGGCGATGACGTGGTGGAGATCGTCGGTGCCGATTTCGAGGCCTCGGCACATGGCGCCCCAGGCTGCGGCCGACCACCTAGGCGATTTATCTTTATTAGTCCCGCAGCCGCCAACCTTTTTTTTTTTTTTTCAAAGAAAAATTAACAAAAAAAGGGGGAGGGGGGAGGGCCTCAACGACGCACGGGTGCGGGGGGAAGCGGGTGGCGATGCTACGCTCCGAACAGTACTCTTCGATCTTGGAGTAGAGATAGGGGTTGCTGCCGAAGCCGCCGACGACAAAGACCATCTAGGAATTCTTTGTTAGTAGTTTGGTGTGTGATATGGCTGATACTCACCTCAAGAGACTAGGTACCTAGGTAGGTAGGTATTTATTTACCTTGGGCTTTTTCGAAGAGGTTTTCATGACCGAGTCTACCTGGCCGTCAGTGAGCTCCAGCGTCCGGTTAACGCAGGGTTCGAACACCAGCTCCATTTGCTCTCTTGACATATTACATCAGTGGTTAACGACAAAACAAAGCCACAGGGTAATGCAGGTAAGGTAGGTAATTAGCACCGAGAAACCCAGGGTAGGTACTCACCCCTTGAGCGTCAGCACGTGTTGCTTGATATTGAGCCTTTTATCAGTGTAGATGCCGCACTCGGCTAGAAGGAGGATTTCCATATCGTCATCGTCGCCCGAGAAATTGCATTTTGCGAATTCAAACGCCTTCATCATGTTGCTGCCGTGCCTCGTTGCGCTAGGTGGGGTTTTTTTGTACGCCTCGCTGCCGATCCAATGCTCGAGCCAGCCCAGAAGCTCCCTGTCGACAAAAGTGGCGCCGCACTTGACGCCGCTACCGATGGCCGCCTCCTCGATACGGAAGTCCGGCTTTACCCGCGTAATCTTGTACGCGATGAGGTCGACTGTGCCACCACTGGCGTCGCACACGACAAAGGTATCGCCAACACCGAACTCGTCCTTGTCGTATCCCTCACGCATATTTTTAGCGTATAGATGGCTGCGGCTTCGGGTTCGGCCACCAGGCTCGTTTTGGCTGCAGCGAAGCCTGCGCTGCGCACCGCCTTGATCGTCTGGTCCTTGGCGCGCTCCGACAACCAGGCCCTAGCGCCGCCGACGACGGGCTCATTCGGTCAATGGCGTGACTGAGACCGGGCCCGTCCCTAACATTAGACGGACGCCGCGCTCCCCTGCGCGTCCGAGCGATTCTTTGTCCACAATCAAGACGTTTTGGAGCTCCTTACCGGGAACGACAGCCCCTCCAAAGCCAGCCTCAGACTTATGGCGATGCCGGCGGACAGGATCTCGACCAGGAGACGGTGTGCTGAAAGCGTTTGTGGTTTTGGTCTAGACCAACCCAAGCTCACCTAGCCAATCATCAATGTCAATCTTGACAACACTGGCATATTCAGTGCAGTGAGCACAGTGACTTGCATGCAGGCCACGTAATTATCACCTCCACGAGTGAGTAGCCTTATCAGTTCTTGTATGTAATTATATACGTACCTAGAGTAGGTGAGATAGTTGATTCACTGGAACGAGCACTCTGGCGCAGTCCCCATACCTAATTACATGTCAAAATACAAGCTCAAATCCTGTGATGAAATATCAAGCTTCAGTTTCTCATTCTGTTTTGAATCCCACTTCCTGTCACTAATTGCATGCAAAGTGCAAGTTCAAATCCTGCCAGATGAAAATACCCCAAAAAATCTCAATTTCTCATCATGTTTTGAATTGTGTACGTACATGAACTGAGGCACGTTGAAATATGTTTATCGACGCCGTCTTCACACTTGACTTTGTTGCCCGACCATGCCTCAGACTTCCAATCTCCCGGTTGTGTTGTGATCCAACTTCCACGGCCGGTCGCGGCTTACATCGTCTAGTCTAATTACAATGACGCCAAATGTCGCGATCAACCGAATAATTCGTGGACACGGTTCACGGCTTGACGACTCTTGTCGAAATAAAAAATCTGCATTGTAATCTATCTTAGTAGGCAAATTTCTACGTCTTGCTTCTATCTATACCTTGTCTCCTATTCGGCAACATCACGACGGGGCGGCAAGAGCGCACTGGCACAGTACTCCTCACAACTAAAGCATGGGCAATATCCCGACCAACACACCGGCACTTGTCGTCTTCCCCGGACTATGTTGCGTATGTTCGCCCCCTTTTCTTTCCATTTCCCCTCAAATAAAATCAGAACCATCCAGTGCTGAATCCCATGTGCCAGTGCGAGCGGCTCCAACACCAACCTCGACATCACAAACAAAAACAAATAGATCCCTCTCGGTCCTCAAGACCACGGACCGCAACTTCACCAGCTACGGCATCGGCGTCGTGCAGAACGGTCGCAACACGACCTACTACCCGACCTTCTGCAAGTCGCCGCAAGGCCTGCGCCTGTGGGGATTCTACTACGCGCTGACGGCCGACGGGCAGCTACCACGAGACGCTGCGCATGGGCGCCGGCATGTTCGATATCACCGACATCCCCGGCAGCTGTCGTACTGTGCGGTTGGTGTCTTCGTAAGCTTGGGAAGCTCAGAGGTCAACACGTTTGGCTGAGACTGGGAATTACGCGAGGAACAAGGCGTATATGTGCGTTTCTTCTGACTGAAGAAAGGAATGACAAGAGAGCATACGAATATCAAAGAGAACCTGCTGCTCACTGTAGGCATCCAATTACCTATTACCTTAGGTACTACTGGGTGGAATGCATGTGCCGTGGTCGGGACCGCCGAATTCTGATTGCTCAGCGTTCCCTGCTGGATCCACCTAGGCTAGCCAATCAAATTCAGTACCGAAAACTCCTTTCCTCCCATCCTCTTGGGAGGGCTAAAATTGCAGTGCATCGTCGAAATTGAAGACGACTAGTCAATCAAATTCAGTACCGAAAACTCCTTTCCTCCCACCTCTTGGGAGGGGCTAAAATTGCAGGGCATCGTCTTGGGACTTGGGATTGGTTGTCCGAAAACCTTTCCTCCCACCCTCTTGGGAGGGGCTAAAATTGTAGTGCATCGTCTTGGGATTGGTTGTGGCAAGAATATGGATTGTTGGGCTATGGATTGTGAATCCGGGTGGCGACTAGGGAGGGGCTCTTGGGGGCTAAAACTGCAGTACCGAAAACTCTTCCTCCATCCCAGAAAGTGGTGAGGGACCTAGACGACTTGATGGTCTGGTCCTCGACCTCTTCCTCTGGGCGGAGGACAAGACGCATGCACTTGGCTTGGACTTGTCGACGTGGATCTGCAGGGAGGATTTGCAGATCTAGATAGCTCTCGCGTTACCCCTGCAGAGGCTGATGCACACCGCATCTGCATCTGCCTACATCTAGGCAGGGTTTAGCAGCGCCTCTGCGTTTCCACCACCAAGATTGGGGGCTATGGATTGGGGGCTATGTCACTGGAAGAGAGGGTTAGCAGTGGCGCGAGGTAACGGGGCGAGCCTCATAACTCTTGGTGTCGAGTCACTTGCTGCTCGTACGTCTCCCTCCATACCCTCAAGGCATGGCCACGCTGAGCCTTTGTAGACTCGGCTGTCTCGGGCTCCTGGAGCGTTTGAGTGTTGCCCGGGGAGCGACCAGCTTCTCAACACGGGCCATCTGCCTCGAGGCTTCTCGGCTTCACGTCATGCCAGCTTGAGAGCTCAGGCCGGCCTGGGGCCAGGTCTATTGGCTTGGGCTATTTTCATGCAAATCATGACGTATCAGGGTGGGGTTGGCCACTTTGGGAGCTCAAACGGACGTGCTGGCGAAACGGGCTGACAGGGAGCGGCCGCCGCGCCTAACTCGATGCGGAAGTGAAGAAACCTCTGAGCTCGTCGTGCGCCCTGAAGAGGAGAGGACCCGTGCGTCTAGTGGGAGCCGAAGATCGCTTAATAATTAAGAAGCCGTACTTGCGGCGCTCCAGCACCTCGGCATGGCCCTTTCTGTCGGGTGAGTGGCACACGTCGACGATGCCCGCGCTGCAGGTTGAACTTCACCGGTCGCGTCAAGACATGCAAACCCTTCACTGGCCGCACCAAGTTCTGCGCCTCTGGGCGAATCACCGGCAACGTTGGCTGCCACAGCCCCACACCGGTCAAGAGTTGTTTCGACTTTGCACTTTCACCGGTCGCCTCGAAGAGAGAAGTGTTGCGGCAGGGCCCGTCGCGCGGGCTCGCTGGTCGTCTGCGTCCATATCTCGAGCCTATGAGCCCTGGCAGCCTTGGCCAAGTTTAGATGAACTGATGGTGGCTCCTCCGACGGCGCCTGCGTGGCCGTGACTCGGCCGAGACGAGGGCCGTGTCGTCGCAAACCTATGTACCTGTGCTGCTGCGGCTGGGAGCGCCGCCATATCAATCCCTCTCTCTCCCGTTTGTTTTTCTTCTTGTTCGTGCTGCTGAAGGTAATAATGAACCCGCGGGGTCAAGCCCAGCAGATCCCTCGAGTCAATCTCTAATTACCCGCCGTAAGCCAACCAGTTGCCTCTTCAATCGAGCAGCGACCCTGACACCCAGTCCTGTCCTGTAGCAAGCAAGCAATTGCTTGCTGCCACCACGATGAGCGCTTCATCGCCCCCTGGGACGCTTCGGGGCACTCTTTGCATCCTCCCCGCCGCCACTGACCTGCTTTGGAGACTGCGGGTCTCTGTCGACGACCGAAATGTCCACTGGGAGTTCTCGGTCTCAGCCCCTTTCCGAAATAGCGAGCGAACGAGGGACGTTCAAGCTAGAGCCAGAGCCAAAGCCAGAGCCAGAGCCAGAGCCAGAGCCAGAGCCAGAGCCAGAGCCAGAGCCAGAGCCAGAGCCAGAGCCAGAGCCAGAGCCAGAGCCAGAGCCAGAGCCAGAGCCAGGGCCAGGGCCAGAGCAAGAGCAAGAGCAAGAGCCATTGATTTACATTGAATTATTTATATTGTTATTAGCGCTGCTGTAGAGAATTTCAGGCATCTAGTAAATATGGCGAGGATGGCGCAAATACTAACCCAACTTCTGGGGTGTAGTACACGTATAATGCCGGAGGTGCTTATTTGGCTGACCCAGCGGCTAAACATTCAGGGTACCTCCATGATAGGTAGGGAGGTCTCTACGAGAGAGGTGATACTTTTAGGTTTCTACATTACGCCCCCAGCAATCGCCTCCCTTGAACTCTTCTCTGCCGAGCTATCATCTCAAGAAGCAGCACTACGGAGAAGAAAACGAACGAAAGAGAGATTTGGGTTTCTACATTACGCCTTCCGCTAGATTTCGCCTTCCTAGAACAGAAACCAAGCAGACACACAATCCAGCCCACCCAACCACTCCCTCCCGAGTCTTCGGCGTCTTCGGCCTCAACCTGCTCCGCATGAGGGATGAGACCATAGGAGCTTGGGCTGTAGTTCCCTAGGTATAAGGCGTTGGTGCTTGGGATGGCCATTGGCCCCACGAGCCACGTACTTGGCCCGTCGCTTGGTAGGAATGCGGAGGGTAGGGGTATCGTGTTTTTACGAGACTCTCGAGACTTTTGGCGTTGACCTGGAAGTCCCGAGGAGGACGATGGTCCCACCCTCAGTTGTCGCATAAGCCAAATTTCCGATGGGCCCGTGGAGGTGGCTCTTAGGGGCGACGAGTTATTGGCGGACTTGAACGTCTCTCGCTCGCTCGCTGTTTTGGAAAGGGGCCGAGACTACTGACAATGGGGTCTTCAGTATTCAGCTGCCGGGCTTCTTGGCTAGGGGAGATATTCTGAAAAAAAAACCGCCATGTTTTCCACTGTGACGGCATTCAAGAGTTGAAGTAATTGCCAACGAGTCAAGCAGGAGCCGCCGCCAACCCGCGAGTGAAGAGTCTACAAGTAAGGACCTTCCCTCAGGCTACCTCCAAGCACTAACATGGATGAAAATCCAACTTGTTGGGGCCTAGCCTACCTTCCATACTAAGGCCCGCAACAATGCAAATCGAACAGGGCAAATAAATCAAGTGCAAACATAAACAAGTTAAATAACGTAGGCTCATTTTTGATTTGCATGCACTTTTATTTAGCTAAGGTGGGGGGGCCCTTTTACAGAGGCCACTTTCTCCGGAATGCATGTGCCGTGGTCGGGACTGCCGTTTTCTGATTGCTCAGTGATCCCTGCGGGATCCACCGAGGTTAGCCAATCAGATTCCGCGCTCGGGCCACCATCTTATACCTACCTCGACCAACAAGCCTAAGTACCAGCCACTTCACTGTTATAGTCACCATGTCTTAATAAATACACCGCATCCTCCTCTACTTGCTTGTTTTCAACTTCCCCAGTACCTACACAGGGTTGCTACAGTGGGCTCGGTACTATAGCTGGGCGAAGCGGAAGCGGTAGTAGCGATTGGTGTGGACGGCCGGCGGCCAAGTGCAGGGTAGGTGCTGTGATACACTGCAAGTGCAGGGGAGGTCCTATGCCATAGGACAAGACTGTAGGGAGTCGAAGACCCTGTAGTCCAGTACAACAGTGGCCTGTGTAGGGCACTGAGGGAAGCAGGCTGACTGGCACGGGTCTGCAGCCTGCAGGACTCTGCTCAGTAGTCTACCTCGCAAGACTGTTCGGGACTCTGTCACGGCATGGCGCACTGCGGGCTCCGTATCGCTAGCCGTGTGACGTCTAGGATTTCTAGCCTTAGGGAAATGTACGACGGCCACAAACTCAGAAGTATCATCACTCTTTACTACTTTTTACATCCTTCTCGGTTTTACCGCTTCCGACATATGGCCTGACGGCAGTGTATAGCGCTCTCGGACGTGTCCATCTCGGCCGGCGCGTACGTCGCGTCGCTCGTCTCCTTATTGCCTCGCTCGAATAAGTCGTGCGCGCGCTTGAAGCCAAGCACGGCCCCATGGTGCGGTCCGCGGCTTGAGGCTGTCAAAGGAGGGGTCGAGGCGGACGGCGATGGTGTCGCTAAGCCTTGCATCGGGGGATACCCCGCCTAGAATTGAAATCCGATAGGCGCGAGATCGTCGAAGGAGGGCAAGACTAGCTGCCGTCAGAGCGGTACTCGAAGGAAGTTCAGCTGTGGGTGCCGCTGGAATTACTGACCTGCTAACGAGCTTGCTCTAAAATATTGGCACTCAATCGAGCATGATTACGGACAACTCGCGATGCTTACCTCTGTGGTCCCGGGGGTCGCCGTCGTGCGAGCCAGCTCATGAGACGGTGATAGGTATATATATGCAAGCTCCTCCCTTGCGCCTACTGCACGTGGCGACCTGTACGACCTGGACGGGAGTGGTTAGGCTTGCTAATTAGGCGCGGTGCTGTTTGAAGCAGTACGAAGTGAGCGAATCGTTCGCAGCCCGTTACAGCCGAGAGAACGCATGCCAGTAACACAAGTGCAGCGTCGGTTGGACCGCCGGAAGAGCCGCAAAGTGGGGCCTATGAAAGCGGAGGATTGGTTGTCTGAATGAGAAAGCAATCGGCGATATTACACATGTAGACCCCTCATTAATATACATACCCCTAGCTCGTCAGCTAGGGAAAAACTACGGGTAGAAGTTCCGACGAAGATACCTATATAAGGAATAGATTATGTTAGGCCGAAAGAAGTATTAAACTAGCAACCCCCCCAAGATACGCTTAAAAATCTCGTAATTTCCCCCGTCCTGGGCATCGTAGACGGCAAAAATGACGGACCGCCACCAGTTCCCGCCAAACTCGTCCTCGCGCAGCACCTCGCGCCAGCAGTGCGCCACGTCCTCTGGCGGGTTCGCGTAGACGCCACATCCCAGCGCGCCCAGCACCAGTTGCCGATGCCCGTACGACGCCGCCGTACGCAGTACCAATCGCATATTGTCCTTGGTCAGGTTGCGGTCGCGGTCGCGCTGGAAGACGTACTTGTCCGGATCGTGACGTTCCGTCCCCGGCAGCGCCGAGATGCGCCGCACCTGCGGCGCTTGGATCGCCGACACGGACAGTACGCTCACCACTGGTAGGTCGCGCACGTCCACGGCGTCACCCGCGGAGCCCGAGTTGAGGAGGAGCCGGTGGCCGCTGGCGAAGTCGTTGCGCAGCACGACGACGTAGGGGCTGTAGAGGACTTCGGCCTCGTGCGCCGACAGCGGGTAGTGGCGGCTGCACCGGGAGGCGTCGAGGCTAAGCGACAGCGAAGTGCGGTAGCAGAGTGACTCCTCCTGCGCCATAGCGCCGTTGAGCCAGCCGCCACCGGGCCGCTCGCGGTTGGCAAAGTTGGCCACGGCAGGTGGCGTCATGTCGGCGGGGCTAGCGTGCGGTAGTGTGTGCTTGATGGCGGCGTTGAGCGTGTCGTCATTGACGACGAGGATGCGCGCCGGCCGGCTGAGGCGCGGGCAGAGGGCCGGGTCGAGCCGGAGCGGGTCGCTGAGGGTGTGCTTGATCGAGTAGCGCGCGTCGTCAGTCCGCCCGAGCCGCTTGAGGAGCGGCGGGAGAACTGCCTTCGTGATGCGCGCCGTGTCACGGAGCACGTCACGCATCGACGGTTCGGCGCACATGGAACACTCTGCCGGGTCATCGCGTGAAGGGGAGCGGTTCGAGGGAGACCGGTTTAAGGATGGCCGGCTTGTGTGTCTCTGTGTCGGCACCCGACGCAGGCCTACGTGCTCGACTTGGTTTTGCGGACACGGGTGTAGTTGTTGGCGTTGGTGCCGCTGGTCTAGATGGTGCCGGCGTTTAGACGCTCCTGGAAAATAGCGAAAGAAATTCTTAATAAAGTCCATCTTTTTTTCGAGATAACTGTCTGTCTGCGAGTCGGTTGGGATTTTTCCCAATGGTTTCCCCCCTATTATTTTTTTCTTTGGCGGGGCAATTGGAAGTATGGAAATCCCTGGGTCCTGTTACTTTGTGAGGGGCCGGGATCTATCTGCCTTAGGAGCATGCCTGGAGTGGCTGCCTCGCGGCGTCGTCCCGTTTGGAATTTGCCTTGCCATTTGGCCGGTTCTGATTGATCGGAGCTATGGCCAACCGACTCATAGGATTTCAGGGCTGCCACAGGAAGGCTGCTCGAAACCCACGTGGGTCATTATAACTGGCTAACTTTGTGATGAGGCTCGAACTGAGAGCCTCGAGGATGGTTTAGCCGCAAGGCAACCATGGTGGCTGCAGAAACCCGCCCTGTCCTTCCTTATTCAGCACCTCTGCGTGAATTTTGCACTTGGATGTATTCGATCTATTGGTCAAAACGCGTCAACTGCTGTCCTTTTCACACGCGACTACAGTATGCCTAGCCACGGGGGGGTTGGGTGTTTCATTTCGCGTCGGGGGGGTATGGCGTTCGAGAAAATCCACTGGCGCGCAGAGCTGCTTAACCTATATTATGGTTCATGCCGGCGATGTAAGAGGCGATAAAGCCACAGCGAGCTGTCAGCCAGGATATTGATGTCCCTTTACCTACAACCGGCACCCCCACTGGATTCGCCATTGTTCATCTTTGTTGCTGGACTCAGGTTGGGCCTTGGCTAACCCCGTTGTTTATGTCATAATGTTCGGATGGCTTAGGGACCTGTTCGGCCGAGGACGCCATAAAAAAGACTCAAACTCTTCAAGTTCGGTCCGCTCAACCTCAGCTACAGTCGGCAGTATAGGGCATTTTCGTACTCGGGCCAGAAATTATCCTTCTGTAGCCCGGGCTTTCGCTCCTGCTCCTCCGACTTCAACTCAGTTTTATCCTCCTCCCATCGAAGCACCACCTCCGTATTACCCTTCCCCGAGAGACTACCCAAGAGGCTCCCCAAGGAAGCCCGATCGCCGGCAGGGTCGTCGACGGGGCCAGAGAGCTGTACTCTCTCGTCAATCCCAGTACCCCCCCCTCAACCTGAGAACGTCTCAGCTAGACCTAGTATGTTTAATGAATATTTATTTTGCGACGGCTTGTTGCTCCAAAAGCTGACCGTCGTTCACAGCCAGTGAGAAAATTACATTCCCGCGATAGAGACTACAAGCTTTGTGCGTCTTCCCCCTTTCCTAACACCCCCTTTCCCAACACCCCCTTTTCTAACACCCCCTTTCCTTACACCCCCTTTCCTAACACCCCCTTTTCTAACACCCCCTTTCCTAACACCCCCCTTCCTAACACCACCTTTCCTAATACCCCCTTTACATTAACTGAACAGCTAATTAACTGCTAAAGACGCTAAAAAGTTCAACGATAACTGGCTGCATCGGGGTAAAACGGGGGAGGTGTGCCGCATCTACCTCGCCTCACTCACCGATCTCAGAAGGTCGGCGCGTGGCCAGCGTTTCGCCAGGGCCTTGTGAGGAGTCCCTGGCCCTCCCTGTCGGCACTTTTAACGCTGACGCACGAGACGCTAGGAAGAATCGAGGCCACGGCGTATTCATGACACGGTTCCACGGCACACAACGAGCCTGCCGTATTGGCGAAGGTGACGGTGATATCGAGCCCTGCGACAAGCCAGAGTGCCACGTGTGCGGCATCCTGAAGAACGGCTTCGACCTCAAGTTTGCCAAGACCACGGGCATGTTTGGGTCGGGAATCTATTCGACGACGTGCTCATCGAGTAAAGCTTCCACAAGACGGCCTTGATGCTTAGCTTCTGCCTGACACTGTGGTTTTTATAGAGGCCGACATCTACGCAAAGAATAGCCACGTCCGGACAAACAGACACGTCATTCTTATCTGCCGTATTGTGGGCGATCGGCCTCAGTTGCTTACCAACGCCGAGGCCCATAGGCGCGGCCTGGACTCCAATTATAATTGTGTAAGTGCCCCTTCCCGGACTCTTGTGGTGTTGATAGACCTATGGAATGAGTTCAATACTGAAACACAAGGACAGGTTGAGGCGGTCCTGACCTCAGCGGGTGGTGGGGTACAGGTATGTTTCTTTTAGTCCCCTTACGTCAAATGTTAACTGATGAGTGAAAAAGTACCCAGAGACGGTTGTTTATGATGAGGAGCTGATTATTCCTGTGGGACTTGTTGTATATAAAAGAACAGGATGGTTGCCGTAATATCCGAAGCCAGGAACATAACGTATATAAACATGAGGGAATTCACCAGCGTCTGTGCGGCAAGTTCGTTAGTCAACACTCCTTTGTATTACAGCACTACTATAATACAACCCCTCTTTGTCTTCCACAGTGCACAAGTCGCTGTCAGACCCTCGACCACAGGGCAGAGTTCCCACAGTCTTGGTGCAGATTTGACTATAGGGAAGAGTCCTACAGATCTAGCCTTATTATTGCTTCCCTCAGCAACCTACTAGGCTCTGCTGTTGTACCCGCAAGTCTTACCCTGCACCACCCTCCAACACTGCTTCCGCTACGCCCAGCCGTAGTACCTGAGTCTACTGCAACAACCCTATGCGGGTGCTGCGTCCAGACTTGCCAGGGGCACGCAGTTTAATGTATACGAATCAAGCCGGAGATTGCACGGAATAGGTCTACTAGAAACTCGGGGTTTTTACACGGTACTATTAGCCCTTATACAACTGATCCCGTAATTCCATCTGCCCACTATAAAGAGGTGACCGTTATATCGTTATTAGTTGATGAATTATAGCTAGTGACTGGGCGTTGTAGGTGTTCAGGGGATCTGACCTGTCACGGCACGGTACCGTAGGCGCTGTGAGAGCGCCTACGGGTGGGTTAAGTAGTGAGGCCTAGCACGGACCCACAGCCTAAATCGGGTGCGGCTAATCAGGGCGCACCGAGTCTAGGCATCTAGATTTCTGATACATGCCGTGACAGGTCTAGAAATGTGAATTTGTAATAGTTGCCACACAACTTGACACTATTCACAGCTACAAGAAGTGTTCTCTGGCGAAGCTAGAGAACCACACAAGCAATACAATGACACGATTGCAATCCAGAGTGCCGTGCATCTAACATGTTATATTGGCAGAGTCCTTCAAATCCTATTAACCGTGACATGACCGTATCTACGGCCTTCGAGTAAGCAATATATCTTCTTTATACTCATGTATTTTGAGTAGTAATGTAGTTGATTACACTACCCGTATATTAAGACCTTGACCTTTGTTCATTCATACGCCAAACAACCTAACTCTTTGGTGCCATTACGCCGTGCAAACAGACGACCACACACAGTCGAGCCGTTTGTAATATATAGGCATGGCAGCTTTTAAGCCAGGCTCGTGGCCTTCATCGCCGCAAGTATGAACCGCCATAAGCTCGGCTTCCCGCCAATCCGAAGATTGGAGGTGTACAGCGCTAACGTGAATACGAGGGGTTAAGTACTATGCGGGTACTATTAACACCGAGAGAACATGTGCCCAGCCCGACATGTACTTGTTGAGGTGGTCTAGACTGCTGAAACTTGAGGCTACGTGCCCGCCAAAAACAGCAGTCCAGACCGCGGCACATGTTGTCCCTTTGGAAAACGGACTGTGTTGGTCCTTTCAGGTCCCAGGGCAGCCTGAAGAGCCTTTCTTATAATCAATTATCCCATGAAATATTCAATATTGTTCACTGTAACCCAGGTGTCCCCCCCCCCCCCCCCCCCCCCCTCCAACCTTTGTGAAAACAACCACATGCTTCAGTCGCCACATAATTAATTATCAATTATCTTGCCAATCCTCTCTCGTATGTTAAACTCCTCTTGGGAGCCCTTCCCGATCACTGTCTGCTGAAAAAGTGTTCTCCTCCCTCATATCTTCTGCCAAGCTAAAAGCCTTAGTTCAGAGCTGAAGATCAAAGACGGATGTTGGAATCACCAGGTACCGGTACTGGAAACAACAGGGCGTGCTGCACGCCGAAAGCTGGTGGTTCAAGTGATGGTAATTGTTGCCTATGTCTATCTAGAAGAAAGAGGTGGCCGTAGGCCACTTATATGGAATCTGGGACCCCTACGCCTCCACCGCCGCCTGTCTGGCTGATGAATGCGTTGCTACAGCCACCTCTATGTGGCTGGAATGGACGTTGTTCCAACAACGGATGAGTGGCCAATGATCATGAAGCACCTGCTAAAATTTACACCGATAATTGGGCCATCATTTGCGGTATAAAACCATTAACGACGTGTTAATTCTGACTCATTTTCCAATAAACTGCGGTTGATTTTTTCTATATTCTTTTCGTGTGTGAGAGGGTGTTATGGCAGTCATCGCAAGTCTTGGTCGGACCTATCGGGGTTAGGGTTAATGACGCAGTTTGGGCGGTGGGCTGGTTTTGCGGCAGAATATGGAACCACCACGCCCCGTGCCGAACCGAAGGCCAATTGAAGTAGCTTGAGCTTGGCCGAGCTCGCTCGCTCCCGACCTCCCAGCCAACCTTCTCGCAACATCCGCCGCGACTCGGCACTCGAGCTCCGAGCTCAATGTCGCCCCACACAGCTTTCCAGCTAGCTGTGCGTCCGTCATTACGAGGAGCGGCATTACTTTTCGAACGGTTCGTGGCGGGGCAATTTGTGGGCTCGACGACGACAACTGCGACGACCTTGACCTTGACGACCGCACCTTCGAGAAAAGGCCTCGCCAGCCTCTCCCTCCCGAGCAGCAGCAGACGAGGCCAGCCCCAAATACATACGCCGCAAGCGATATGTCTCCGCTGTAGCATAAAGGCTCTCCGCAGCCCCTCTTTCTCGACTCTCCCGCCGTCCAAACCACCCGGCGAACACCATGGCAGCCCCCCGCCGTCCTCCAACGAGACGACGTCATCATCCCCTGTCGTAGAGGACAAGGACGACGACGGGCGGCGCCCCGCAGCAGCCCAGACCGAGATCGAAGCCGAGACGACGGACAGCAACCTAGCTGCTGCTCCCGATGCCGCCCCCCACAAATACGAACCCGAGCTCCCGTCCCACGCCGAAGGGCAGCGGTCACACTTGTCAGCGCAGATCAGCAGCTTCATGGACAACCTGCAGACACGGTTCCTTAACGCGTCGCAGAAGCTCAACGACCTGACGGGCTACTCGGCCATCGAGGGCATCAAGGAGCGCAACGTGCGGCTCGAGGAGGGGCTGGCGGCGGCGCAGGCGCGGCTGCGCGCCGCGCGCCACAGCTACAAGGCGCTGACGGCGCACCGCGCGGGCACGCAGCGCGAGGTGACGACGCTGCTCGCGCGCAAGGACACGTGGAACCCGTCGGACCTGGAGCGCTTCACGACGCTGTACCGGCTGGACCACGAGCTCGAGGCGCAGGTGGCGGGCGCGGCGGCGGAGCTGACCGAGGCCGAGACGGACGAGGCCAAGCTGGGCGCGGACCTCAACGCGGGCATCCTCAAGCGCTACCACGAGGAGCAGATCTGGAGCGACCGCATCCGCCGCCAGTCGACCTGGGGCACCTGGGGCCTGATGGGCGTCAACGTGCTGCTGTTCCTCGTCATCCAGTTCTTCGCCGAGCCCTGGCGCCGCCGCCGCCTCATGAAGAGCATCGCCGACAGCGAGAAGAACGTCATGGACGAGGTCCGCCAAGAGCTCGGCGAGGTCCGCGCCGCCCTCGAGGCCAGCGGTCTGCGCCAGGCCGCCGCCAGGGACCGGCGTGAGAAGGACGACAAGGCCGCAGAGGCCGCCATGGTGTCCGCTACCTCAGCAGCGGTAGCAGCAGCTAGGCCCGGCAAGACATTTACGCCCACAGTGGAGGAGCTGGCACGCAAGGAGCCGCCTGCGCCGCCGGCCCAGCGGCCGTGGACAGAGACGCTCTCGGATCCGGAGCTGCTCAAAGCGGCCGTGGCGGACGTGTACAGCGAGCGGAGGATAGACATGCGGATGCGGGACGTGTCGCTAGTTGCGCTGGAGGGCGCCGTGGCCGGGGCCAGCGTGGTGGCGGCGGCGCTGGTCTTTATCTTGTTGCGCAGCGGCAGCAGCAGCCGGACGTGATGAAGACATTTTGCTCATCTCAATCCTTATAGAACCCTCCCCTCGCGGTCGAAACAGCCAAGCGTCTTCCAAATAAGTATCTACATGTATATATGTGTACTTTGCTCATGTACCTACCTGCGTCTTAAAAAGAAAAATAAACAGCTGTTAAAAGTTAAACACAGAACGATTGATCGGTGAAGTGCAAAGGCGAGGTAAGGGGATAGAAATGTGGACAGGAAAATAAATTAGCAGCAACTCCGAGAGAGGAAAAAAACAGCATTTGGTATTCTCTATCTTTACCACAATCTTCATCTGCCTTCCGCTAAACACAGATTCGATACGTCTTTTTGTCCTTCCTTGCTTGTCTCCCAGCCAGACAGACCGACAGACCGACAGACCGACAGACCGACAGACCGACAGACCGACAGACCGACAAACCGACAACACCCGGCGCAGCGCAGCGCGCACACTACCTATCTGCCTACACGAACCGATCATCTCAACGCACCGCGACCCCAGTGACCCGGCCAACCTTCCGTCAAAGCTTACACACTCTCCCTCGTGTAGTGTAGTGTAGCGCAACAACGACCTCCCGAGTCGTGCAGGTTCCCATCCCCCCGCACAGGTTGCCTCGGAGAGAGATAGGGTGAGGGAGGGTCATATCTTTGCGCTATTCTACACAAGACAACGAGTAGGGTGTAATTATGATCTAGCATGTAAGACCGCAAAAAGGGAGGGGGTATCCCGGCAGATTTTACAGCAGCGGAGAAAGGGAAGGAATGGCGCCTTTTTTCCCCCGAATTTCTACGGTAGTAGGCTAATGATGTGGACGTTGGTTATTGCATAGCCCACGGGCAAGCCAAGGCGGCACGGGCCTTCTGCCTCAAACGTTGGGGGGACCCGAATAGAAGAAATTTAGATATCCATCCAGTGATAAAAAAAGATGTCTTTGGCTTCGGGTTTGGCAAGGGGGGAAGCATAGACGGACGATAGAAGTGAAGAGAAGAGTAGAGAACGTCCCATCCTCCCCCCTCATAATTAACCCGACGAGGACAAAGGGCGAACAGCAGCGGTTTACACCCCACGTCTATTCAAAGTCCGCCGTGTAAGAGAAGCCGCGGAACTCTTCCTGCATGGCTTGGGAAAGTACTGTACTCGCATGTTAGTAAATAATTGATATACAAGCTGACCACAGCATATAAAACCATACAGCGGAAAGCAACAGAAAACACGTACCTGACTGCACCGGGGTAAGAACCGGAGTAACGCTCGTGAACTCGCTATCAAAGTTACTGGTATCGGTGGCACTCTTAATCTGAGGCAGGAACGGCGGCTGCACGCGCTTGTGGTAGATGTCGTCCCAGCTGATGTTGCGGAAGAAGGGCTGCGACATCACCTCCTGGGCGTCCGTCGGCCCGCTCCCCAGCCGCTGGTCCGGTTCGCGCGTGAGCAGTTTCTGCAAAATGGACACACTGTCGCGCGGCATGTGAATGGGGTACAAAGGTTCGTCGGCAAGGATAGCGTCGTAGATTTCGTCCTCATCCTCGCCGCGGAAGGGCGATTGCTGAAGCAGCATCTGATAGATTAGAACGCCGAAAGCCCACCAGTCCACGGCCCGGCCGTATTTTTTATCGAGAAGAATCTATCGTGTGAGATGCCCGTTAGCTATTATAGCAGCCGAAGGACATTCGGGGGAACAAACCTCGGGGGCCATAAACTCTGGCGTGCCGCAGAACGTGCTCGTCGTCGAGCCGTACCACATATCCTCCTTGCAGAGACCGTAGTCGGCAACCTTGATGTGCCCATCAAGTGTCAAAAGGATGTTGTCAAGCTTAAGATCTCGGTAGATAACGCCGTTTTCGTGAAAGTACTTAAGTGCAAGACACACCTCGGCAGCATAAAATCTGCCAAACGGGTCAGTAATGTGCCGTAGGCCCGAAATCAAGGAGATTCTGCTTACTGTGCCCGCTTTGTGCCAAACTGCCCACGCTGAATGTGTAACATGAGATCGCCACCACTAATGTACTCCATGACGAAGTAGACTCTAGTCTCGGTCTGGAAGCACGCATGAAGATTGGTCAAGAACGGATGGCGCTCGCGGTTGGCAACCAAAAAGACCCTCTTCTCCGACCGAATGCTCTCAACTTCGTCGTTTTCTATTATAAATTCCTTCTTAAGTACCTTGATAGCGTAGAGCTTTCGCGATACCTTGGTCTCGGCGAGCATGACCTTGCCAAAGTTGCCTTTACCAAGGACGGCCAGGAAGTTAAAGTTGTCGAGGCCGATCCGCATCCCTGTACCCGGGTCGGTTGCGGATGGCAGTGGCTTCTTGGTTGGGACTGGCACGCGCGAGGCCGAAGGCACCAAGGCATCTACGGGAGCAGGCGCCAGTTGAGGTTTGACTGTCGGCATTTGTTGTGATTGCTGGTACATTTGCTGCTGCGCTGTCTGCTGAGGCTGGGCTTGCTGAGCCGGACGACTCTGCACTTGGGGTTGAGTAGGATATGCGCCAATGTTTGCATAGTCCGCAGGGTTGTATTTTCTCTGTTGCTGCTGTGGCTGGCCGTACGGCTGCTGCTGTGGTTGCTGCGGCGATTGTTGCTGCACAGGTGAACCATAGAGGTCGTCATCCCGCGAGTCTTGACGACCACCATATCCGATCTGGGAGCCGTAATGGCCGGGACCAAAGTCTGGGATCGCACCCATAGACGACTGCTGAGGCTGAGGACTGCTTGCCTTGGCGGCCATCGCGGCCGCGGCTGCAGCCGATGCGGCAATCGAGGAGGACGTTTGAGTTCGTTCTGGGCCAGAGGGCCGCTGCGGAGTGGTATGGCTGTACATAAGCTTGGCGGCCTCTGTTGCTTCAGGCGACGCAATGGTTGGGGCATAGGATGAAGAGACATATGTTGAGCTCCCCTGTGTGCTCATCGAACCTTGCTTGCCGGCCCCTTGCCTGAGAGTTCGCTCACTCAAGGGCGAGCCTAAGGTTTGCCGGTTCTTTTTCTGGGATCGAATGCCTTCCAAGATCTGGTTTGCCACAGCCATAGACATGCCGCAGAAGTCGGGGACAAGGTGGACACACTGGGCGTGAGCGGTAAGACTGCATTCTGTACGTCATAGAGGTTAGTTTACACTGCGCAAGCTTGAGGAGATGAAGGGCTTGTTACCTGTGCATCTTCTTGAGTTCTTCTTGGACCCAATGGGAAGCATATAGCCACAATGACAGCACCAGTTGGCCGTGAGGTTGGAGAAGGGCTGGAAACGATGAGGTATCCTGTGGTTAATCTTCTCCTCGTCTGGATCAGTCTCGGCGTTGCTTTTGCTGATACACTTGGTAACGACGCTGGTGTAGCATTTGGTATGGCACGTGTACTTGCAGTCCTCGCACTGCATGCCGGCCGAGTACTTGAGAAAATCGCCGCAGAGGGCGCAGCGCATGATGTTGTAGAACTGGCGCTGGAGGAACTTGTGGCCGTACATTTCGTGAACCTCCTCCTTCCGCTGTCGGACAGCACCCTTGCGGTTAAGACCGAGGTCCATCGGCCGGGATTCTTTGTTCTCCTTGGCGAAGTTGAGACTCAAATGTATTTGACCTGTGGGCTCGAGGTTGAACCAAGCATCGATCGGTTGGGACATGACGGGGGCCTGCTGGGGTGGCGCGTGATACATGGTGCTTTGGTGTTGCTGCCCCGGGGACGTTGGTGGCCCTGCGAACTGGGGACCCTGTGAGCCCATCGGAAACTGCGGGGGAGGAGCCCTGGGACCCGATCCTAGACGGTCAGCCGAAACCCACCCCATGGTGTTGGTCTCGGCTTCGATCCTTTTGCGGCGAAGCTCCTCGACGATATCCGAGATCCGGACCCAGAGCAGAGCAATTGGCATGGGGTGCTCGCCAGGCTTGTCGTAAACTGTAAGCTCCACCTCGTTTGCCTTATCGACTTCGACGGTATGGAACTCGGCTTCCCATCTATCTGTTCTCGAGGCTCTCGTGCGCGCCACCACGTTATCTTCAACTTTCACAGCCACAAAAGTCTCGGGGGCACGGGAAAAGCGGCCCAGCGGCGAGTGGTCGACATCCTTCACTGCCAAGATACGAATGGAGAGCTGACCGCTCAGTGGCTTCCTCAAATTCGGCATGTTAATACTATCATCTGAGGGTGCACGAGGGTTAGCCACTTTTCAGAATCCAGAGCAAGGTCGCGCGGAAAGCCCATTTTCTGCAGCTTACCATCCGGAGATTCAACTTCCATGTCAATATGGAGCTCCTCGTATCTCTTGAGCGCCTGCTTGAGAATAACAATTTTTTGCCTGCTCTCAACCCGCCGGGCGGCGGCATCGGCACGGCTCTTTTTGTCGCCCTCCATCTGGTAGAGCTGCACCATCTTCTCGATGCCTTTGAGATACTGCTCCTCCACATTAAGCTTGAACTGGATCTGCGACAGCATCAGCTGAATCCGGGGCCCGAGATAAGGAGTGTCGAATTTGATAAGATCTGTGAAACGTGAATTCCAGTCAGCAAGCAACAAGCAAATAACAGCGCAGCTCTCGCCAGAGGGGAAGTTGCACACGCACCGAGTTTAGTGAAGTTGGTTCGCGCCTTGGGTATGGCCGAGTTGGGGGGCTGGCCGGGGAAGGGCCCGTGGGCGGGCATCAGCTCGCCGCCGGGACCGCCAGGCTGGCCGTACTGGCCCTGGCCGCCGTAGCCCGAGGGATCCCCATAGCCCGATGCGTCCTTGGGGGGGGGGCAGGCGGACCCCCGCCGTCGGCGCGCTGGTCAGAACTCCGAAAGGACCCTAGCGTGGTGCCGCCGATGGACATGTTGTCGACGGCGGACCCCATGCGGCGGATCTGCAGCTCGCGCAGCTTCCCCTCAAAGAACTCGAGGTTTCTCCGGCCCTCGCGCATCTGCGTGTCGAGTTTTGACCGCACAGCCTCATTGTTGGTCTGCTGGCGCATCAGGTTTGCGGCATTGATCAGAGCCTTCTCGCGGTCGATCTTGCGCGAGATATCGTGGACCTTCTCGTCGTCGTTCATCGCGGCGGTATTGGGTCTGCGCGGCCGGGCGCGCAGGAACACGTAATGATGCACAAAACTAGGATGCTTGCGGCGGCGGGGATCAGAGGGGTTTGGTTTCTAGGGTGAGAGCGGCCGCTTGCTTGCTCGCTCGCTCGCGCGATGTACCGGGCGATGCAAATATCGCACGCTGTCGCGCGCAGTAGGCGTGGGTGATGCGAATATGCGAGCGCAGCCTTGCCTTCTTTTTTTGCAAGCCGCACTCAGTCGGTCGGTCGCTCGTAGTGGAGGCGGTGATGTGGTGGTGGTGGTGCGAGTGGTGCGGTGGCAGCGGATGTCGTCACGGGCTGTGGTGAATTATGGCGGGGTTGTGTGTTTCGCATTTGGCAACAGCCCTTGTTGATGCGAATGGGCTGCCGAACATTCAGTACCCTGCTGCTCCTCCACATAGGTGGCCGGGGTGTTCGGGTGGGCAATGAGGGGGGCCGCTGAGGGGCCAGTTTTTACATTCCAGGCCCTACCAAGTTTGCCTCAGGTTTAATTTCCATGGAGGAGGGAAGAGAGGGGGGGGAAGGATAGGACAGGACGGACTGCACAGGACGGAACAAAAAGAAACGGAACTCGAGAGAATGCACCCAGGACTGAAGGGGATGCCGGGGAATGCGACACTGCCGATTAATTATCATCTGCGGTCCCCCGCCCTTCCGGGAGCTTCGCCTCCACCCAGAGCTCGAACGTATTGGTGCAGGACCGACTCCTCAGTGTTGGGTCCTTGGCTCTAGCCGGTCTGCGTGGCTTTGCCTTGCGGTGCCCAGCACGCCCGCATTTGGGCGTCAGCCATCGAGCCACAATGCACGGTTTCCCCCAGAGCACAGCTTTGCGGGCGAATAGGAGCTCAGGAAGGGTCCAAGTTCCTTTTCGTTCAATGTTTCACCTTTTTTCTAAGAAGCCGCTTGGTCCGATCCAAGGGACGGACACACAGCGTATCCACGGAGTGGAAGGAGCAACCTAGACACAGGGATTTGGCAAGTGCTGTAAATGTGGGATACTGTGTATTCGTACATGTACATACATACCTGACTAACCGCCTGGATAAGGCACGGTGCCTAGAATCTGGAAGTCTACCTTACCTGGTGTGTAGATACCCATGTACAGCACTGCTTAATCCGTCCGGCGGGGAGCACACATGAAAGAGAGGGCCAGGTTTCGAGGCCCAAGGCCGTGGTGCAGAGGATGAGCAAGCAGAGCGAGCCGTCTCCCAGTGAGGCAGTTTGTTAAAGTTATTTTACCAGGCGGCGACCCTGAACTTGAGTTCCCAACGTTTTTTGAGATGCTTTATTCGTGTCTTGCGCTGGCGCAGAGTTTAAAGATTCGCAAAGCACTGCATGAACATTCAGTGCGCGCTGCATGTAGATCTCAGATGCATGGTGTGAAATTTGGAGGGCGGGCAGCTGCGGGGAGTGCTTGAGCCAGAGCCACTGTGCGGCCCGCCAGCGGGCTCTGGCTTCGTAGGACTAATGTCTAGGACTATTTTCTCTCCTGCGGCCTCACAGGGCAACCTATCAGACTCAGACCATCCGCGCACGGGTGATTGGCGCAAACTGGGTTGCTCTTATCGGCGGCGCGCTCGGCGGGTCTTGGAAACCGCAGAGGCTCCAGGTTCCCTCTCGCCCCCCCAACAAGAGTCACAGACATCGTCCTAATAATCGGGCTTTCTGAAATTACAAAGACGATCTTCTCGGCCATCATGTCTTTTGTTGTAGAGACAAGCTCAACAGAGGATTTACAGTAGGCAACAACAAGGCCCAGGTTGCATACATTCTCTCACTCAGTAACCGGGCAGCTACTGCCCCGAGTTGCTGCTGTCGGTGCGCTCAATGTTCTGATCAGACCAGACCTGTCGTCATGCAACCAACTGAGCCCCTGACTGTCAATTCACTCTGGTCCGGTCTCAGGGCACCTCAGTTATTACCCGTCGGAAATCGGCGCTTGTTTGGGCCATCTGTGCGATACGAGATCCCAACCTACTCCGAATCTGCGGTGATCAGAAGGCTGGTTGGTTGCTCATCGTTGAAAACCTTCAGAGCCTTTTCCTAAAGTGGCTCTGGGTGGTCTTGTGATTTCTTAAGCTTGTTTCTGCTTTCGGGGCAAAACGCAACCTTTTTAGTGAATTTCACGTCTCAAAAGCCGTTTCTGGGCTTGGAAACCTCGCAATGAGAAACAGTCACAGACTGAGTTTGCTCGGGCCTCGTCGCCCGCTTCTTTTCAGTCCGGTCCGGACTTTGTTACTCTTACCCCGTAGCTTTTCCGGATTTCCGGCACTCAAGCCGCCTTGGACCACTGTTGTCTCATAACCGCGTTCTAGGGTGTCTTTGGGGAGTTCACAATATTTCGGCACTACCCACGCCTGCCTTTCTTCATATTCTGGCCAGCAAACTGAATCTTTGCCGCTGATCAAACCACACGACTTTTGGCTAACTAGAGGCCTGGATTCTTATTGGTTTGCTTGAAAGGTGTGCAAAGAGGGTCGAGGGCAATTAATGACGTGCAAACTAGACTGTTCAATCGGTCGAGGGAAACGAACCTCGGAATAATACATTCATTACTGATATCGTCTACACATTGCGTGCTTGTCAAAATTTACAGTGCCAAGGGATGTTTAGAGGTGATACAGATTTCTAATTTTATAGGTACATGCCGCGGAAAGGCTCCGTACCAAAGCAGCCGAAATAAGCAAGACACCGCTTTGCAACAAACTCCGAATGCGTTGCTATAACAATATCAGAATTCTAGATTACACGGTATACTCCTTTTGAAGGAGTTTCGCAATCGTGTTGAGCCTATTAACCGTTGTTAGCGTGTTTGTTCATGTCTCTTTTGCGAGATTGGCGAAAAGGGTGGAAGACTTACTGGATGTTGCTTGTGCCCTCGTAGATGGCGCCAATCTTACTGTCGCGCCAGAACTTCTCCGCCAGGCCCTCGCGGACGAAGCCCATGCCGCCCATCCACTCGATGGCGAGGCCGCTGACGCGGCCAGCGATCTGCGACGCGAACAGCTTGGCCATGGCGGCGTCGCGGACAAAGTCCTCGCCGGCCTCCTTCCTACGTGCGGCGTTGTAGACGAGCGCGCGGGCGGCGGCGATCTCGGTGTACGACTGCGCGATCTGGTGCTGCATGCCCTGGAACTCGCCGACCAGCTGGCCGAACTGCTTGCGGTCGTTCCACACGTACTTGACCGCGTTCTCCCAGGCGCCCAGCGCGAGGCCCGTCATCTGCGCGGCGATGCCGATGCGGCCCTCGTTCAGCAGCGCGATGGCGTACTTATAGCCGTGGCCCTTCTCTCCGAGCAGGTTCTCCTTGGGCACCTCGACGTCGTCAAAGTTGAGCACGCACGTGCTGCTCGCCTTGATCCCCAGCTTCTTCTCCTTCTTGGCAATCTCGAACCCCTTCATGCCCTTGTCGACGATGAAGGCGGTGATGCCCCTGTATCCCTTCTTCGGCTCCAGGTTGGCAAACACGATGAAGAACTCGGCCTCCATGCTGTTGGTAATCCACATCTTGCTGCCGCTGATGCGGAAGCCGTGCTCTGTCTCCGTGGCCCGCGTAGCCAGCGCGAAGGCGTCAGACCCGCTGACGGGCTCCGAGAGACAGAAGGAGCCGACGGTGCTGGTGGCCAGCCTGGGCAAGTACTTCTTCTTGAGTGCTGTGCTGCCCCACTTGATGACGGCCGTATTGACGAGGGTGTTGTGCACGTCGACCATGACGGACACGGACGGGTCGACACGCGCCAACTCCTCAATTCCCACAATGGCGGCCGTGAAGTTCATGCCGGCGCCACCGTATTCCTCAGGGATCTCGACACCCATCAGGCCTTGCTCGAACAGCTGCTCCACGACGCTCGGGTCCATTGTCTCGGCCTCGTCCATGTCGCGGACCTTGGGAAGAATAACATCGCTGGCGAACTTCTGTACTGCCTCAGCCATGGCCGTCTCAACCTCAGAGAAGTGCGTGATGGGAGTCGGCGACACGTCTGTCAGGTTAGGATCTCGGAGCGGCATCGTGGTGGAAAGAGGGCGGGCGCTGTGACAGCACCGCCGTCAGAAAGGACCATCAATCAACCCCACGCCTCCCGGCGTGTGTACGGAATAACTCACGACTGAATAAGGGAAATGGCGGTCGGTGGCCGCGCAATGCATGTCCTGGGCGTTGATGCTGCGGCCATGCTTCTCCGCACCGCGGGGCGCAACGCTCTTGTGAATGACCTCATCTTTTCGGTGAAAAGGATAAATATAAATCGGTTTCTGGTCAAAGAGAAATCACAAACGGTCTCGATCACGGACGGCCTCGAAGACGACTAGGACGGAGAGAGGGTCTTTATACTAGGAGGAGGTAACAGCGGAGTGGTTCGTGTACTGTCCTTGCTCCGCTGTGGACGGGCGGATAGCTATGAAGGCAAATTGTGGGGTCCCCAGACGCCAGCAGGGAACGAGGAGAGATAAACGGACTGGAGCTTATTCTTATTACCTGAGCGAGAAGGTCCCTCTCAAGGGGGAAGCGATGTGCAAGCAGCCAGCCAACAAGGCACAGCGTCTCGAGTGACGAAGCATTTGCCCGGACTTGCGCAGCCGAGGTAACCTTTCTGTTAGGTGCAGCGCCCTCCCACCAGCGGCCCTCTGCGGCCCTTGTTTAGCGCGAACGCAGGGATGGGTCCGGTGTTTAGGGGACACGCAAGGCCGACAATTGCCGAACCCCCATGCTATCCCATTAGGCTTCCCACGTGATCTAGCCCGTGACTCTCAAAACTTCTAATTGCGGAACCTCGAATTGCAGCAATGCGGCGCGAGACGAATCGAGAGCGTCGCGTCTAGCAATAGCAAACGAGCACGATGGCGACAGCACTCCTGCGGAACCTGGCGCTGCGGTCGCTGCTGCAACGGCGGCCATTTCTGACGCCATCATTACCAATCTCCCCTCTGTCGGCCGTCCGCTCCTTTTCCAGCACTCCGATTCAGAATGCGACGCTTAACCAGGTCTTAAGGGTAATGCCCTTCCTCCTCCCCAAAGCTTTCGTCGCTGTCCAAACGCGGACCTGATATCAATTGAGAGGGGGAGACTAACAGTTTGTGTCACTGCTCTAGGGCTGCCGAAAACCGCAACGAGCTCGTCACGCCGTGTCGCCGGCGCTGTCGGGGATCAAGGCGCCCCAGCGGAAGGGCGTCTGCATCAAAGTGGGCGTGACGCGACCCAAGAAGCCCAACTCTGGCGAGCGCAAGACGGCGCGTGTGCGTCTGTCGACGGGCAAGCTCGTGACCGCATACATTTCCGGCGAAGGCCACAACATCCAGCAGCACAGCGTTGTGCTCGTCCGTGGCGGCCGAACGCAGGACTGTCCCGGTGTGCGGTACCATTTGGTCAGGGGAGCCATGGATCTGGTGAGTTATCTTGCGCATTTTGACCTGTAGCCTTAATCTTGAGGCCTAGAGCTGATCGCCCATTCCATTACAGGGAGGCGTCGGAAATCGCATGACTAGCAGGAGCAAATTTGGGACGAAGAAGCCGAAGAAGGCATCCGTCGGTTAGGCATTGGCCATCCGGACGAGATGAAAGAGTTAGACTCGTCGCACAGGATTCCAACAGTCAAGGTTGCGTTCATGCTGCGGTGGCGGATCACCGATGTATAATGATCAAGAGACTGGTAGGCGAAAATGCGATTACCTAGACTCGATCATGATATGCTGGTATTGTTGTCAGTCGCCATTATGTATTTACCCCATGTAAAATATTACTCGTACTAATGCATATGCACTGGGATGGACCGCGTGAGTAACGAATGTTGTACCACTTCTAATTAACGCCAAATGCCAAAGGCCAAACTGAGCCCAGCCATGCTGAACTTCCAGAGAAAATCGGGAATATGTACAAACGAATGCCCCTTCCACACTTTCCTCCCGCACTCCCCCTTTTCAAAGTTCGAATAAAAAACTGAAGAGATAAAAGCGTAACAGATAGTTGGATAACCCCTTGCGCCTCCAATAATCCCTCCCGCATATTTTTTTGCCACGTCCCATGTATGACCCAGGGGTTTCGTTGTTAATGCTCAAACAAGAGAGAATAAACCGCCAGCCATTCATTAGAGATAGGGATAATACAAGTCTAGATGAAAGTATCCGCCATCATCTGTGTCTTACCCCCAAACACACTCAACTCGTACATATGTGCCACCCTTGTTTGCGAAGACCAATCTAGTCTTGCTGGGTCTCCCACCCTTCTGGCCTGTCTAGATCATTGATATCGAAATATCTCGCTGTGCCTAAATTAGAGGGACGGTGTTAGCAAACTCATCACATCTTCAAGACATGGGGGAGTTCACATACAAGAGTAGCCCTTCCAGTCAAAGTTGTCCTTGGGATTGCAGGTGCACTTGAGGTCCTGGCGGAGCTTCTCACCCGTCGGGCAGTGGGTGAATGGAACATGCCAGTAGGCGATGTCGTTGAAAAAGTGGAGCTCTTCCTTCTTTAGCATCAGAGCGGCTGCGATCGAGTGCACCGGCGCGTCGCCCCAGCGTTCGTAAAAGAAGCCGCCGTCCTGGTCGAGTGACTCGAAATAGTCCGTGTACGCCTTGGAGCGGAGCCACCGGAGGCTGCCAATCTCGAAGTTGGACCACTGGAAACTAGTCAGTGGCAGTGAACATGAAGACACGTGCAACGCTGCAGAAAAGTCGACTTACAAAGTGGCAGTGGTTGTAGGTCTTGCCGCCATCGTCGCTCAAGAAGCCCATGGAGTTGTCTTCAGCAATATGCTCCGGGTGGTTCTTCATGAATTTTTTGACGCTGTCCCAAAGCGTGGGGATGGTCTCGACGTATTCATACAGGCTGATCACGAAGCTGTACTTCTTCTTGTTCTCGTGCATGAAACGGAACGGGTCGTAGTGGACGTCACAGTACAGCTCGACGGACGGCTCTACGCGCCAGTAGTAGTCGTAGTTCATCATGAGTTCCTGGCGGAAAAAGAAGCCCGACTCGAAGCGGCACATATGGCGGTAGCTGGTGCTGTCGCCGTAGATAATCTTGCGCTGCGCCATATCCTCGCGCACTTTCTTCGCCCGTTCCTGGTCGATGTGTGGCGGGAATGACCAGTGCTCCTTGGGGATCAGGCCGTAGTGCGTCGTGCCCGAAACGAGGGAGGTCGTTACTTTTTTGAAGGCCTCGTCAAAGGGCTTGTCATTGAGGAAGACCCAGTCATAGTTGTACCGTCGGTTGAAGCGATCTTCGACTTGACGGATGGACTTTGCGATATCCCAGATGTCCGAGTTGCGAGCCAGCGTCACAAAGGTAGCATTCATGCGTGGTCCGCCCTTGATGCCCGCCAAATCATTCCAGCCGGGATCAGTCGGTGTTAGGGCTAGCGGAAACTCTGAGGCATCGCTGCCACCGCCATATGTCGGTTTCGTTGTCGCACCGGTGTCGGCGGCGCCTCCGGCGCTATCTTTCTTGGGTGGCCCTGTGGTGGCCGGATCTGGGTTCTTGTAGGGAACGTTGGGAACGCCGACAGAGACGGCGGGGTCTGAGTTTGAGACATAATAGAGTACTGCTAGCACCTGGGCAAATGTTAATTCGTGATCGCGATAAGCATATGTGGAGCGGCACCGTACACGTGCGCAATGAGAACAAACGTACAAAGAAAGCAATCAGGAGGTATCGCACGTAGCGAGCACTCCCAGTCGCCGCCATTTCGCAGGATGACAATCTAAACTCAGTCGATGGATCGATGAATGTTGCTGGCGTTGTAAATGAGAGCTGTAATATGAAGAAGATGGTGTCAATTCGTCGAGAAATCTGGGCTATCTCGGGAGCAGATTCGGAGGGCCTGGATGATTGAGTCGTGGCCTGCTGGGGCACTGGTTCGAAAGTTTGACGTGATTGGCATAAGGAACGTTACGGTCCGGTCCCGCCAAGCAACCTCGAAAAGAAGCTGTTACTGGTGGGAAGATGTGGTGATTTTCACCATGCAGGTGCAGCCCTCATGGTTCGAGAAATGTCGGGCTCAAGCGCAAAGCGAAAGACGTGGAGATGGAGAGGAATCTGGAAAGGAGGTCAATCAGAGATGGGGAATGTAAGTCTGCAACTGACGGGAGTGCGCACGCGTCCCCTGGTGGAGAAGATACGGAGTGAAAGATTGGATCCACACAAGGATCTGTTAGTGGTACGGTCATTAAGACACTTGACTTTCCACTGGTCCCTCCTTAACGGGCCGCTGCACAAAAATAGCCTTGAGGATATTAGCCAAGAACACCCAGCAACCAGGTCAGCCGCCCCTAAGCCCAAGGTCTGTCACGACTCACCACTGCACCCACCAGCGCATGTGCAGGACGCGCCACCCCCCTAGATTCCTACCTTACTGGCGATCTCCCAGCTTGTGGTCAAGGTTAACCGGCATGTTTGGTCCATAATCACAGTTTCGCCTGCTTGGGGCACTTGCGCCTGTCCTTCACGGCGTGTACTTGTCGTTAGACCGGATTTTCTATTCGCTGGTGTAAATGTGGAAGGAATCCCGAGTGTAGTTCCCGTCATCGGTCGTGGAGTAGGGAACCGATACTGGAACAGTGCAGCCTTCCGCCTGTCCCCATTGCGTTCGGCATCTGTCAGCCCAATCGCTATCTTTTCCGACCTCGAAAACAGCGACCCAATTTAATGAGAACTATACAAGGCAAGACTGGCCGAAATTGCTGAGACGGGCCGAAAGCTCATCCTTTTCACAAGGACCGAAGGACTTATGATGTCCTTACACTGCCTGCCCGGTATGTACGCCCCGCCACGGAGGCCGGTTTGCCTCTCCGAGAGGTTCCCAAGGGCACAACTGAGCAACACACGACAAACGATTTACGTTTCTTGAGCCACATTATCCGCTGGGCAATCTACTACTTGGCACACGGGGATGAGAGGAAATGGGTTAGTTGTCCTGAATGCACGGATTACGAATATGATGAGCTGGGCAGTGGCAGGTGAGGGCCAAATCCAGACGGGCCAAGTCGAACTTGAAATTGAGACAGCAAAAGTACGGAGCGCATTCCATACCTTTTATTATCTTAATTCTTGGTATGGACCTCTAGCATTCGGTCTGCAGAGAGGGCGTATCGACACAAATGTGAAACCGCAGGCAATGAACAAGCAAGTATAGCACGTCACATATCCGGGCATTTCCGTAGATTGGACGAAAGGGCAACTGAAAAGACAAGAGGTTCAATGGTAGCAGACTTGCATGAGAATCGTTACAAGCCTCAAAACGAATGGCACAAAGACAAGCCCCTGCCGTGTTAGTTACACAGCTCAGCTCATGGAGTAGCTCTAGAAGGCTGTAACTATTTCCATATTTTTTTATCCCGATATCAGTCTTTGTTGCTGAGAGGAAGTGTTTCATTCTCCTAGCAGCAAAGTGCAGCATAGCAAAGGGTCCGTCGCGGCTTTGCAGTTGGCCCTGGACGGAACGGCCTGTCCTAGTGTAGATTTCCCCCACCTCCACAATAGGTGGGGCACCCTCCAAAAGGGACCCCAGACGAAAAATAGATAATCCGCCTGTTGGCCTTGCACCGGATTATCCTCCCCTCCCGCATCCCACTTCGTAGCTGCCCTGGGGTCCCGTCACCAGCTCTAGACCCACAGGCTTGTTGTCGAGTCCTATTCCTCCCTTTGCGACACCAACTTACTCCCCTCTTCCGGTCGTCGGCATCTTTGCTCTCTCTAGTACATGCACTGGCTTCTTCACTTTGATCATCGAGACGTCGCGGTTTTTGGCCTGTTCTCTGTCCCGGCCCTCTGTGTGCCATCGTTGCCGACAGACTTTGGCTCCCAGATTGATTTGAGGCTATCTGACTCAAGTCGCATCGCATCACCATGATACTGGTCCGAGTTGGTTGCCTCAATATCCTCTCCCTCCACGTCGTAAGTGCTGCCTTTATCCACGTTCAATGCGCTTGTATGCGGCTATCCGTGCTTCTTTTTGTGGAAAACTGCTTTGCGCTGCAGCACGTAAATCGCCATTTCACTCTTCGTTTCCCGTTTCTGGAGATTGAACTCTCTTGCACCAACGTACACCCTTGGGATACAAGAACCTAGCAGCTCTATACTGTACCTTTCATGCCTCATGATCATCTGCTGGAGCCCCTTCGTTCGTCATTAATCTTGCACTAACACCACCTCGTAGTGATTTTCTCCAACGACGGTCCCAGAAGCTAGCTAAAGTCTGCAATCATGTCATCCTTCGGCTTTGACAGCACGCGCCATAACCCCGCTGCGACTGGGTTTTCTCAAGCCCGCAACCCATTTGCCGGGCTCTCGAACCGTGATGACGACGGTGACGCCCTCGAGTTTGAAGACACCTACGATGGCTTAGGAGATCAGCTAGACGAGACGGACGACGTTTTCAATAATGATACATTCGGCGACACGAGTGGCCTGACCTCTGCTCCGGTTGGCAAGGACTTTGACTTCTTTGGCCAGACCGCCAAGGTCGCAAACGCCATCGAGGAAGAGCATGTACGCTTTCAGCGTCAGCAACCGGCTTCCAAGGTCGTGCAGCCAGCCGCACAAACGTTCGCACGCATTCCCACCGAAGCCCCGGTATCTAGATACGCCTCCCAGCCGGTGCCCTATAAACCTGCGCGCACAGGGTATGAAAAATACAGCCAGGAACCAGTCGCTGAGCTTCAGGTTGATGCGGCGCTCTGGGGTGTTGCGCCGAAGAAGCAGCCAACTCCTGCTGCTGCACCGGCCCCAGCCTCAGCTCCCGCTCAGGCTTCTTCCTCAACCCCGGCGCCCGCTGGCCGGAAGATGATGAGTCTTGAGGAGGTGGAGGCTCAAATGCGCGCCCAGCCCAAGAAGCCGGCTCAACAAGCAACACCGTCTCCGGCGCCCCAGCCCCAAATTCAACCGCAGATTCCGCATGACAATGGCTACCAGTTTGCCCAGCCAGCTCAACCCCAGGCTGCTGGACAAGCGGATCACCTGCGGCCCAAGGAGCAATCTTTTCATCCTGGTCACGGACACCCGGTAACTATTCTCCAGAGGCCACAGTCGAAGCATACGCCGCCGGCGCAACCTCTTGTCCAACAGCCTGTGACCCAGCCTGCTCTTCATCAGCGTCTACCCCAACAGCCACCTAGTTCCGTTCAACCCGTTCAACCCACCCAGATCCTGCAAAATCCCAACCGGTTGTCTGGAGATGCCGCCAAGTTTGGCCTACACTCGCATCCAACGCCCCCGATTCCTGGCAACTTCCCTGCGCATCCTTCTCATCGTCAGCAAGGCTCGTTCTCCCGGCAGCCCCTCGCCAACCATTCAGCGCAGCTTTCACAGCTGACGGAAGAGGAAAAGATGGCATACATGGACCAAGAAGCCAAACGTGCCAAGCGCAACCACAAGATCTTTCTCATGTCTCGCGACAATGGCATTATGACACCGCAGGACAAGAACTTTGTTACTCGTATTCAGCTTCAGCAGCTGGTTTCCGCTACCGGGAATCCCAACGAGCATGGGACGGATGAGTCCCTCGCAGAAGACTTCTACTATCAGGTGCACAACCAGATACAGGGCGGCCAGCGCCAGCACCCGAGCCAGCCACTCAGTAATTTTGCTCAAACATATCTGTACCAGACTGGTAGCCGGCAGGGCGGCTTACGCCGTCACAACCGTGGACCCGAGAACCACATGCAACGAATGGAACAACAGGTCCAGCGTGCCGTTGAAGCTGCCAAGAACAAGCCCAAGAACAAGCAGCTTGTTATTGAGGGAAGTCTAGGGAAGATCTCTTTCAGCAACGCCAAAACTCCGAAGCCGCTGCTTAACATCAAGCGACACGATAGCTCTAGCGAGGCCCATCGTCCCAGTAGCTCGCACAGGAACGCCCATGCTTTCCACGGAACAGACAAGAAGGGAGAGTTGCACTCCATTGAGACCATATACTCTACGCTTATGAAAATGGAAGACCATGACCGTCTCATGCCTCCGCCTCCCTCCGACGACGCAGATACTGAAGGTATCCAGAGATTTGTTGCCTGGAGCAACGATGCGCAGGCCCTCAACAAGAAGCTCTGGAAGGCTCTTCGGGTTCACGACCACTCCGGTCCCGATAACATCCACCCGTTCATCGCCCTTCTTTCGTATGCCAAGGGTAAGAAAGCAATGCAGCGCATTTTCCGCCATTCCACGCAGGAGCAGCGCACGACCATCCTCACTCTCATTGTTGTAAACCTCGACAACCTGGATGTTGTTCGGAATGCTCAAGTTACCACAGGCGAGATGCAGCTTAATTCTGCCATGCGTGAGAACGTGGAACTCTTCTCAGTTGCCGTCATGTCGACTCTGTTCACTTTTATGAACGAGCTTGATCTCGACCTTGTTGCCGGGGTGCTCGGTCTTGTCTGCACCCGGAACGTGGGTCTCATCGCCAGGAGCAAGATTGGCGTATCGATGCTCACCATGATCCTCAGCCGTGCTGAAATTATCAAGCATGGAGGAGGAGGCAGCGAGCAATCTTGGCGTGCTTGGTACATATATTCCCCTTCTGTTCAGGGGACGTGCCGGTTACTAACATTCTCACAGGGATGCCACATACTCGCAATTCTTCGACCTGATCGAACCCTCGCTTCCCCATATCTTCCCAGGGACAGTCCATTCGGGCGAGGATGTCTACGTCTGGCAGCTTCTTGCCGCCATAGGCATTGGAGCTGGCCCTGACCAGCAGCAGAGACTCGTACTTGCTGTCAAGGATCGTGTCATGGACACAGTTTCCCTTTCCAAGACGCTACCTCAAGACCTGGCCTCTCAGCGCCTCCAAAACGTCAACCTCTTCATGCGTTCGATCGGCTTGGATGTCGAGCTCCTCCAATGAGGTTGGTCGCATATGCCCGAATGAGTCACCGAAGGTACTCTAGCCTTGTTTCCTGTTCGGTAGAGCGTTTTGCTCTGGAAATAATATAAATGCGAGTTTTTGTCTGTCGAAAAGTTGTTGCGAAAGCTGCTGGTAGAGTTTCGGTATTAATTATTGGCATCAAGGGGCCGCGAAAACATGCATGCTGGTTTTGTTTGGTCTATTCGACGTGGAAAGGCTTTGCCATAAGAATAGTCCATCGGCGACGACACTTAGTTAGCGAATGAGGTCTCGTTGAAGACGCAGATTTGCCATGGCGACTAAAACGTTACCAGTATTGTATGGATATATGTATATTTAAGACCTTGGTATTAGGGACCATCATGAAGCGTAGGATACCCATCGAGACAACTAATATGATTACGTCGTATTTCGCGAAAATGGTATGATGGCGTTTCTTAACTATATGAGCCTAGGCCCATGAAGTCTATTCCCTGCCCTTCCCACGTGTAAAGTACCACCGGTATCTATCGTATAATGCGAAATACTGTCTATTATAGCTCCACGGCACTAGAAGGACCGGCAGCTCTGCCTCGAGGTGCTGCCCTTGTTCTTCCACCTCTTGAGGCTCCAGCAGCCGCGGCAGGTCGGCCTGGCCGTCTTCGGGGCTCCTCGGTCTTCTCTTCGGCCTTGACCATCGTCTCTTTCGCCTTCCCCTTGGGTTTGGGGACGGTCGGCCTCGCTGGGCCGGGCTGTGGCAGGGCCTCCTCGCCGGGCTTCTTGTCGGTAGCCGTGATTCCGCTCACAGCGCGCAGCAGCTCCTCCTCGCCCCAGTCTGTCTCCAGGTGCGCTACCCTGCTAGCTAGATTGGGCGCGCCGCTGTCGTCCGCATTTCCGGAAGAGGGCCCTGTGGCAACCTCCTTGCCCTTGCCCTTGCCCTTGTCTTTTGCGCCTGTGCTTTTCTCGTCGTCCAGTTCGTTGTCGGTCTCGGGAGCCTCGGGAGCTGGGCCGGGGGCTCCAGACGTGCGCAACAACAGGCACTCGTTGTAGGCTTGCCACGCCGACTCGTCCTCGTCATGCACCCACTCCATCCGCCGCCACGGCTCCGTCTGCACCGCCCACAGCCGGTCCGCGATCGTCTCCGTCGATGCCCCGTCCTCGTCCATGGCCGCCTTCACCGTCATGTGGATTGCGCGCACCGCATTCGCTTTGTCTGCGGCCCCGGCGGCGGGTCCGCCGGCACTCGGCCGAGCGAGCCGTTCCTGTTCTGTGATTGCGTCGAGATGGTGGGCGGCTGGACGGAGGTGCACGAGTGATGAGACGGGCGTCAGATGGATGTTTTCTAAAGTTGAAGTGACGCTCCACGTTAGAAGAGTTTCCAGGTAGCGTTGGGGTTGTCGTGAGCTCTAGACAGATAGGTAGGTGGGCACTTACTTCCTTGAAACACGCCGACCATGTACGTCGTGTTGACCTCCTCCTTGCTGTCGTTGCCAATCAGCGTCTGCGTCCGGAGCACCTTGTCCTGGCGCATGGCCTCGGCCCAGGTGAGCTGTCCGCCGCCGCCGCCTTCGCCGTCGTCGTTCCCGCCTAGCCCATTGCCGACCCCCCCTCCGCCGCGGCGCCCGCCACGGCCGCCAGCGCCGCCTCCTCGGCTCGAAGGCCCTCCAATACCAAAGCCGCCCGCCAGGCCCAGGCTGCCGCCCTTCTTGGCCTCCATCGACTTGTGCAGGGCGCTACCCCAGGCCACGCCCTTGCCGCGGTCGTACGCCTGGCCCGTCTCGACCGGCACGTCGACCTCGAACATGCCCGTCTCGGGCTTGACGCGGATCTCCCCAATGCGCGGCGGTCGGATCTGCGCCGGGTCCGACGACGTCTTGTTAACGAACTGCATCACCACTAGCCTGCGGTGGGTTGGCAGTGGTGGCTTGACGAATACCGAGTAGGTCGCAACCACGGGGTCGTCATCGTCGTCGTCGTTATTAACTACCGCGGATGTCCCGCCGAGGATGAGGGGCGGCGTCGCAACCACGGGGTCGTCATCGTCGTCGTTATTGCCTACCGCGGATGTCCCGCCGAGGATGAGGGGCGGCGTCGCGCTTGTGATCGACATGGTGTGCTAATCTCGTATGTTGTCCCACTCCGAAAAAAGTGGCGTTGGGGGTCAGCCGCAGCACTGCGCAGAATATGGACCGATCTTGACGGCGTCTGTTGAAGCCAAGGAAAGATAATTCTAGAAGGGATTGGAATAAATGAAATTAGCTTTTTTGCTGTTGCTGGAAATCTGTCAACAGGATAGATGGGTATCCGATAATTCAGTGCCGTTTCTTTGCCCCGCGCATCACAGACCTAGAACGCGCCTGCACAGCTAAATTAATTTTTTCCCCGTCCCGGCAGGCAAAGCTCGGGCGCTAAGAAGCCTTGCGTGGTGCGTAGTGTCCACCGGGCCGGGGAATCACAGCCCCGACACCCCACAATGGCGCGCAGTAAATCCTTTACAGGGGCTCTAAAGCCTAAGTCCTTAGCGGCTCAGCGGGTAAGAAACAAAGTGGCCAGGCGCTCCATCAGGCGAGGTCTAAGCCTCTGTAGACAATGTTGGACTCGTCCCAACCTCCATGATCATGAGTCTGTCGTAATTAGAACCGGAGTTTTCCGCTAGAGCACACACACAGCACCGCAGCTTGGCTCTCGGGACGCATCGGCATCTAGAACGAGCGCAAAGCGGCCTGAGACCCCTGTGAAAGAGACGCCAGTCTGATTCATATGCCCAAGCCCAGCCGGAGTCCCTGGAGGCTTGGTGTTAAGGCTTCAAAATGTGATGCTCGCCGGCTAACCGCAAACAAGACATGCTCCCGCACCCGCATCTCCAGTGTCGACTGTCGACGAGCCAACGGGCGACATAGGTGATATACCTGTGACGACTAATTAGCATTATCGGTAAGGAGTAAAGCGCGAGGCGCCTCACTGCAAGCGCATTCACCAACGGAACATTCCGTATCTCGCCGTCCATCCCCCCATTCGGTTCTTCCAAGCTCGAAATTGGCCGTCCCGTCCTTACTATGTACGCGGAAGTCAGTGTCGAAAAGTAGGCATAGCCCGAGTGTCGGGTGTCGGGGTCGGTCACAAAGTGTCCCTCCCCGTCTGGGGCTGCTCTTGGCCTTCCACACCTTACTCAGTGCCTTACCTAGGTGAAGAACGGATAGTTGCACAGAATATCCCGCCGGACAAGTGCTGGTGACACGGCGGTTTCCAAGTTCCAACCTCGAACGAAGTTGTCAAACCTAGGCAGATACAGTCAGTGCTTGGTGGTGCCCTCCATCCTAGATAAGCAGAATATCCCGTCACTCGGGTCCAAGCAAGACGAAAGGCCCCACCCGTACTACCGAAATGCAACCTAAGCAGATACCATTCTTTTTATACATACATTAAAAACGCACTCTCTCTTCCATGCCCAAGGTGGTACTACCGTCACGCTCGGCACTTGGTTGCAGGTGCCCGACATGGAGGCCGTCGATGGCCTAAGGACAGTCTCCACTCAGGCCGCGGGAAGATCCACTCGACATGGATGTTAAGGGAAAGAGCAGCGCAGTTTTAACTCGGCTCCGGGGACTGGTTGGGGCTACTGAAGCGATTCACGCATCCGTCCGGTATTGCCAAGACTTGAAGTCGCTAGTTTCGACTCTTCCGAGGTCCAGCGCTCGCTGACACTTTCACACAATTTGGAGAGTCGGAAACCCAGGCGCCGCCGTCCGTCGTCCAGCATCGCATCCATGCCCATAGATGCCGTTAGTGTGCCATCTGGGGAAACCGGTGAACAATCCTTGTCCGGATCTCTCTTCATGGCCTGATCTCGGGTTCCAACGGAGTCACAGAAAGCTGGCTGGCTTGGGTTGCGTATGTACCGGGATAAGCATCCGTCCAGTCCAACGCCGCGGTGCGCACAATAAGGTAAGTAAGGAAGGTAAAGGTACCCGGCCTTCCAGTTGGAAACTACCTACATCCTAACGCCTGTAGGTTGGTGCCGTCCAGTTCGGACGCTTACTTTCAGCCCATCACCCACACGGGCCTCTCAGAAGTTCTGTTGTCGGCGGTCAGCCAATGCTTCCAGCCCCAGACGAAACCGCGGGCCCGGAAGCAATCCGCGTCCAACGAAGGATGCGATTGCCCAGAACAGACGAGAAAGTCCACAAATGGCAACGAAACCTCGTGGCTGGAGGCTAGGCCAAAAGCAAAGACGCCCGCTATTCACCGACGCGGTGACGAGTAGATCTGCCTCTGGGACAGAATCGGAATGAACTCCGAACGAACGAGTCAACACTCATGTCCCAGATTATTCATCAGGCCAGAAAGGATCTGGAGCCAAGCGACGCCGGATGCAGCTTCCGCGTACGCCACCCAATTCCCGGGAGCCACAGGCCAGGCCTAGGCCTATCGGGCTTTAGAAAATGCCTCTAGCGGCGGCACCAACGAGGTAACTCGGGGCCTGATCAGATCCTGACCGCACAATAAATGCAGCCCCTCCCCAGAATTCGATGACTAGCGCTCCCTTGATTGAGCTTTGGCGATGGGGGTGGTTGTCGTCTAGTCAAAGACGCATTCTCGAGCCGAAGGATTTGTCGTCGGCCTCACTGCCGTCTCGGCTTTCTCTGCACTCACGCACAAAAGCCGCACGAACGCACGCGCCGACTCGAAGCCAGTTATACTCAACTATACATTCCGTCCACAAATACATACAGCACGAATGTTGGGGAATTCTAACTCACTTTGGGCCGGGCCACCATGAGCTCCGACAACTCGGGCAATGGCACCACCATCCAGCTCGCCACGGGCATCGGCGGTGTCGGCGTCAACATAGTAATTTCCACCTGGATCACGTGGACAATTGCTCTGGTCTTTGTCGCCCTGAGGTTTTACACACGCACAAGGCTTGTGCGGGTACTCTGTGCATCGGACTGGGTCTCGGCTGCCTCTCTGGTATGTCCTGTCTTGCGGCACCGCACCACACCAACCCACGATCGGGGTGCTAACGACGAGAAAAGCTAGCAGCCTTGGCAATGTGCATCAGCAAAGTCTTGGGTCAGTCAGCTACCATGTCTCTGAACATGCCGGCCGTGGTCTGACTTGGCATCTACAGAATGTGCACATGGCACTGGAAGGCATAAATGGGACATCGACGTGAATGTCGAGATGAAGGATTTTCTACAGGTGTGAACCCTCTTCCAAAGAAGCAGCATCGAAATGTGGCGTTCGGGGCAACACGGTTCAGAGCTGACGGATTTAATCATGCAACAGGCGTGGTGGTTCACTTTGTTTACTTACCAGCTCTCGCTTGCGCTCACCAAGGCCTCGGTCTGCTTGCTCTATCTCAACATCTTCACCTTTGCATGGGCCCGCAAAGCCACCTACGCTGTTCTAATCTTCGTCGCTGTCTCAAGTCTCTGGTGCCTCGCCTCCTTGCTCACCGCGTGCATCCCCCTCCAAGCCTTTTGGGACCCTACCGTCAAAGCGTCATTCTGCCAAAGTGGGAAAGTGTGGTGGACAATCACGGGGTATGTACGCTTCACGTCTTGCGAGAGGGAGACATATCCCTACGGCATCGGACTGCTGACCTGTCTCCCCTTGACTCAGCCTACCAATTGCAACCGACGTTCTAGTCTGTATCATCCCCATCCCGATGGTGATTCCCCTGAAGTTACCTCGGCGACAAAAAGCGCTCGTCGTTGGTATTTTTACTACGGGCTTCCTGTGAGTCCAAATTCCAGCGGACCAATCAGTCAATTCAACACCAACTTACTCGTTCTCTTTTTCCTCAGTGTCTGCCTTATTTCCTTCGTCCGCCTTGCCATCACAATCCAGTCGGCCAGGCAGCCCAATCCCGACTACACATACGCCCGCAAAGACATCAGCTACTGGACAATCATTGAGGTGCATGCCGCAATCTCTATCACTTCCATCATGACCCTGAAGCCACTTATTCTCAAGCTTTGGCCCTCTCTATTACAGACGCAAAACTCTGACACGAGTTCACGTATAAACGACTCTGACCCGCCCCTCACCATTGGATCCAAGCCCTCGCGTAGCAACATGAGTACTGCTCGTCCCGAATTATGGTTCGACGGACCTGCAAACGCCGACGCCAATATCTTCATGGCGGACCTTGAGGCGCAGCCGCGAGCACGGGCAAGAGCGAGACCAGAGGTGGCGTCAGCAGAAGACGAAGACCAAGAAAACGACCATAACGACCACGATTATGAAGCCGAGCACCACAGCGTCATAACGGAGCCCAGAACCAACTCTGGACTGACGGATAGGCTCGATACTGCCCCCACAACACAATAAATGGCATGAGACAGACCAAGTCTGGTATTTTCATAAGAGATTGCTTCTAGTTTGATACCCCCGTATCTCCATCGACTCCTGTTCCTAAACTTTCTCATCGGACAAAGCGGCGCATACGGCCTGGCATGGACGCCATGGTCAGGGTTTCGGAATGGTTTTCTTTTTACCCCGCAGGCTAACGGTGGCGTCGGGATGGGCTCCCTTTGTTTGTTTCTCTATTTGTTTACAACTTTTCGTGCACATACTATACCTTAACCTTTTCCGAATCGGAAGCAGTATTCACGACTGGTAACCCCCTTTTGTGGGAAGGGAGGGGGAGCTTGGTTTTATGCCCAAGCCCGTGTTTTGCGCGTCGGGTGGATTTTCAGCACGCGTGGCTGGGCCGTTTCTTTTTCTTTTATGTTCTTTCGTGAGCGTGTTCTCATGCCGCACTCGGGTTGGGCTACGGAAGATTCCGATGTTGAATTCTCAATACCGCGGCGATACCTGGGATATCCTATTCATATTCTCGAGGAAATCTAACACGAGAGCATGGAGTTGCAGAATAGCAATCTCCAGCCTCGACTGAAGCTCGGAGAAAAACCATGCTTTAAAATGGACCTTGAAATAAGACGCGCGCTGTGGTTGGCAAAGTCTTTGGTACAATTCTCGAGGAGTGATCTTGATTTCACATTTGCTGGAATGACTGGCTGAACGTCCCGGGGAGGCAAAGCAGCCCTGTTAAGGCCTCGGTTGATTTCTGTCTGGGGATGGCAGAGGTCATTCGGCTTCGTTATATACATGGACTAATGCGGCTGAGAGTAATCCCCGAATAGTGACAATTGTCTGTTTGATGTGGCGCTTATTGAGATTGTGTTCAGATCGTGGGCGCCAACCCAAGGGATCCCACAAGCGTAGAAACGAAACACTTTCGATGGCACCACGGCTTGCCTTGAACGATCCATCCGATGGCCATCTGCAGACAGGGAAACCGAACCTCATTACATCCCGACACCAAAGCCATGCACCAAGGGAAGGAACCCATCTTGCCCACCCTCTTTCCCCACCAAAGTACAGCCCAAGATAGTCTTTGCCACCACCACACCAACTACCTAGGCAACAGGCGCCCGACTACCAGCCTCGGCCAGACATCTTCTCCTCGGGCCGCAGGGTGGCGTTGCTGATGCCGCGCATGGCCTCGCCGTGCTCGATGCTGGCCTCGATGAGCGCCTTGGGGTCCGCGTGGTTGGCGACGGCCTTGACGATGGCGCGGGCGCGCTTGGCGGCGTGCTCGGGGTCGGTGGCGTCCTTGAAGATGCCGCTGCCGACAAACACGCCGTCGCAGCCGAGGTACATCATCAGAGCAGCATCGGCAGGCGTGGCGACGCCGCCGGCGGCGAAGTTGACGACGGGCAGGCGGCCCAGCTCGGCGGTGCGCTTCAGCAGCGCGGCGTCGCACCCCAGCTCGCGCGCCAGCGCGGCCACGGCCAGGTCGCCGCCGGTAGCCAGCGCGGCCTTGGCGCGCGCGATGTCGTCGCTGACGGTGCGCATGTGCTTGACGGCCTCGACGACGTCGCCGGTGCCGGCCTCGCCCTTGGTGCGGATCATGGCGGCGCCCTCGGCGATGCGGCGCAGCGCCTCGCCGAGGTTGCGGCAGCCGCACACGAACGGGATGGTAAAAGCCGACTTGGCCACGTGGTACTTGTCGTCGGCCGGCGTCAGCACCTCGCTCTCGTCAATGTAGTCGACGCCCATGGCCTCGAGGATGCGGCACTCGACCACGTGGCCAATGCGCGCCTTGGCCATGACCGGGATCGTCACCGCCGCCTGGATCGCCCGGATCATCTCCGGGTTCGACATGCGCGCCACCCCGCCCGCCGCCCGGATGTCGCTCGGGATCCGCTCCAGCGCCATCACCGCGCACGCCCCCGCCTCCTCGGCGATGCGCGCCTCGGCCGCTGTCGTCACGTCCATGATCACCCCGCCCTTGAGCATCTGCGCCAGCCCGGCTTTGACCGTGAGCGCGTCGTCATGGCCCGCGGCGGCGGCAGCGGCGGCAGCGGCGGCGCCGTTGGTTTCGGTAGACATTGAGGATTTTGGGTGGGGAGGTCTTTTTGTGGTCTGAGGGTCTTGGCCCATAGAGGGTGAGAAAAGTGACGCCCGAAAATGTGACGTCGGGAGGAAGTGTGTTTTGTTAATTTGATGACGCTAGTGTCTGCTGGTGGCGAGTTCGCTCCGTCTCCTCGGCTCCTCTGTCAACGGAGGGTCAGATAATTATACTTTTTTTCACCTAAATGCAGTTGTGACTCGACGTCGAGTGGATAGTGCCGCAAAGGCAAACTTGATAAGGTAAGCCGTGCAGATGTAAGGTAGTAATGTGAGGAAGGTAGGCGCACTCCAGTCCATCTAGATCAGCAAATGCGTTCCCATGCGTGGTCACTCCAGGTAGGCTTACAGGAGGAGATGACAGTGCGCAATGCGCGGTGCGGCTCGGCCCAACTCTGTTCTTTTCCGCGGTGTCCGCTCCGAGGTCAGCAAACGCCGAGGAGCCATATACCCGATCTCCAACCTCCAGGGCCCAATCGCCTGAAGAGAGTTGGAAAAAGGAAGTCGTGATATCTGCGGTTCCCTCATTCAATATACTGCAACTGCGATCCATTTCCATATATGCCGTGACTTGGCCTGCAGTCAATTGGGGGCTAGAGTGCCGGCTCACACCAATCAGCGCAATAGTAGCCGACCGTTTTGGGTAACGAGCAGCCACGCCGCACTGGCGCTCCATGCTTTGCTTTTTTGCATCAACGACAGACAGACTACCATGAGACCACGGGATGCACACCCACGCCCTTGTCAGAAGCTTATCTCGTCAATTGTCAGCAAATGAGGCGGGAATGCCTTCAGAAAACCATGAAAGATTCGTGGGGAAAAGCAGCTTGAACTACCTGCAGGCATGACCGCTACCTCCGCTATCCGACTTCAACCGCCTACTCCCGGGTATCCACACCGTACCAACTCTGTCTCCCCCACACGGTACGGATAACGACGGGACTTGCTCTCAACCTTTGGCCCCTCTCCCGCCCTTTAGCGAAGACGCAAGAGAAAACTCTTTTGTCTGGGCAACTTCTCGGCATTGCACTCACTCACTTGTGGGAGGGGCCGTGTCCCGTCTTCGCTTCCATCCCATGTCAGCTGGCTTGGCGAGGTATTTTATTGCTGCATCGAACTTGTTACCTTTTGACCCCGCGATAATAATGCCAATTGTATTCCTGCGCAGGTCGGTCTGCAGAATTCCTCAAATGCCTCTTCTTCCTCTGGCCGTTTGACCTTCCTATTCTCCCAGTCTGTGCCGCTGGGCCGCCGGCAATCTCGGCCAGTGTCCCAGTGTCCCGATAAGAGCCCGCCCCTGGTGCTGGTGCTGACTCAAATGAGGAGCCGACTTTAGTCAAACTTGAGAAGCCAAAGTTCTGGATAGGGAAAGGGACCGGGACAGGAAGAAGAGGTTGCTCGTCTGGGTGTACCTTGACTTATCTGGCCGCATCATAAAGCAACTCGACGGCCAAAGACACCCGGCATCGAGTGCCTCAAATCGACTTTTACACTTGAGCTGTAATTACCACGGCTGAACAGAGTTTTGGCCGTGATCGAGAAATTGAAAACGAAAAGAAACGGTTGAGAATGACGAACATCACCGTCGGCGTCTTGGCTCTCCAGGGCGGCGTGATCGAGCATCTCTCGCTGCTGCGAAAAGCTGCCGCCAGTCTCCCCACCCCCCCCGCAGACGATGTCAAGCCAATCAAATTCTCATTCATCGAGGTGCGCACTACGGAGCAGCTAGCCCAGTGCGACGCTCTCATCATCCCCGGCGGCGAGAGCACCACCATGGCCATCGTTGCTCGGCGGCTAGGTCTGCTCGAACCCCTGCGGCAGTTTGTCAAGTATATACGCCTCTCCTATTGCAGCTGTCCGAATTCTCCGTTGTCTCCCCAAGTTCGTCGCCGCTAACCCCTTCTGCAACAGAATCGACTGCAAGCCAGTCTGGGGGACATGTGCTGGCCTGGTCATGCTCGCCGAGGAGGCGAGCGCCACCAAACAAGGAGGCCAGGAGCTCGTCGGGGGGCTCGATGTGCGTGTCCTCCGGAACCGCTACGGCACGCAGATCCAGAGCTTTGTGGCAGACCTGAACCTGCCTTTTCTCGGCGGCGATGCGGGGCACGCCGCCGACGTCGTTCCGCCTTTCCGCGGCATCTTCATCCGCGCGCCCGTGGTGGAGGAGATCATGACCCCTTCGCCTCGAGCGACGCCAGGCGCAGGTGACGACAGCAAAGAGCTAGTAGAGGTCTTAGGCGTGTTCCGGAAGCCTGGTAGCGGAATCAGTACCGCTGAATCGAGCAGTACAGAAAGCCAGAAGGTGGATGAAGATATCGTGGCCGTGCGGCAGCGCAATGTCTTTGGCACGAGCTTTCACCCGGAACTCACTAACGATACGCGCATTCACGCCTGGTGGCTGAAGCATGTCGTGGATGCGTCGAGGCAGAGGAACCCTTCTGTTCCCAATTCGGTGTAAGGGTATGCGGTGAGGTGTGAACCACGAAGGCCTCGAGGTTCGGGGTTTGATTTTGGAAGATCTAGAGCTATAGATTTCTACGTGTCGGGAAGATTTCTTAGAAATAGTCTGGCGCAGGGTGCTCTCTAGATATCATGCATATAAATTGGCGATCATCACGTATGTTCTCCTAAGTTTTACATCGCTTGTATACAATATTCAATCAAAGGGCATCTGATACGAGGGATAGGGGTGTATTCGCGGCTCGGCGCAAACCTCCACCGCCTTGTGAGTATACCTATTCAGCCGGCACTCCCCACTCTCGTGTGACACTCAAGCTTAGGCCAGATCAGCCAGATCAGCCAGTTCAAGATGCGTGCAACTGTCTGCGGATAGATACTCACACCCCAAGACACTCGAACGATAACTGGTGTTCGGTGTGTCGCTCCTGTCGCAACTTGGCATCGTGATGAGCATATGTCAGTCTATGATGGCTCACAAATGGCTCAAGGTCGTACTAGCTACTTTATTCTGTGTTTTGGGTCAGGCGGAACTCCAATCACCCACTAGCCCCAGCCATGCAAACGAAGCATCGACGCCACCGCCAACAACGTGCATAGCCCAGTCACTCGCCTCGCCGCACCTGCGCCTAACCTCGTTCCGCCGCACGATGCCGCACACCACGGAAAGCGTCGACGGCGTCGTCGAGTTCGACCTGTACAACCCAATGAACAACTCAACGGCCCACTGCGCCGCCAAGTACAGGCTGCCGAGCGCGTCAATTCCCGCGACGAGCTGCGCCCCGGCTCCTGTCGCGGGGCGAGACCTGACCGCGACGAGCTTCAGTTTTGATAATGCCGCGGGCGACGGACGGCTACAGGTCAGGCAGACGTGGATTTGTGTTGGCAGTGACGGTGCATCAGATAAACAGTACGTTGGGCTTTTGAATTCTTGGATTCATGTCAAATTACTGGTGCTATTAACTGACAGTTTTTGTTGGGTATGTTAGAGCAGTGTTTACGGGCACGGGAGCGGCGGAGCCTGACGGCGAGGCGGCGCAGCAGGGCCAGATTATTTGGTTGAGCGTGTTGCCGAGTTGAAAGTTGAAATTGTCAACTCAGTCATATCTGAAGTTGAAGATTAGTTGGGGTTGCATGCCAGAAAAAAGAGCCTTTCAGTCAGACATGTTCTCGTCTCGGCGCGTTTTTCTTTCATTCGCATTTGCCATTTTGCAGGTTTGTTATCGTCTTTCCAATTTTAAACATAATTAATATTGGATGATAAGTTTTAACGCTCGGAAGCGAGACCGAACTGTCTGTTGGCAAACGAGCTTTAACAATTGAATAAAATTGAGATCATCGTTGGACCTTGCCTGCACCTTCTTGAACTTGATAGCTCCTGATCAGGGGCGGACTTCGGGGAAATTGTGGTGAATGCGCCAAGTGAACAATGCTACCGGTTGGCGACAGCTGGCAGCGCGCAGTTTATCCTCGGGAAATGGTGCGGATAGCCAAACGCCACGTGCGTCTTCGACCCTGACCATTCTCGCACTGAATTTGACTGCCAATTGCAATCTCGCGCCGTCAGACTCGCTGTGACGGATCAAGGCACAGCGCTCCAACAGTCATTGACAGCAATCCACCACCAAACTATCGCCACAACCACCACGTCCACAGCCAGCAGGTCGCAGATGCTGCAAACATGGCGCCGCCAAAAGGACCTCAGATTCATGTCATGCAGATGCAACTGCCTCCGGCCCCGCCGCCGCTGACCCCACAGCAGATTCAGCAGCGCGAACAGCAGCAGGCTCAGCAGGCCCAGCAGCAGGCCCAGCAGCAGGCGCAAGCCCAAGCCTACGCACAAACACAAGCACAAATACAAGTCCAAGCCCAAGCCCAAGCCCAGGCACAAGCCCAGGCACAACCACAACCACAAGCACAGTACCAGCAGATTCCCACCACGCTCCAGCAACAGCAACAGCAACAGCAACAGCAGCCCCAAAGGCCAAACTTCCAGATGGCTCTCCTCCCCCCGCCCCAGGACCGCCTGTATCCCACCTTCGAGGCGCTGCAGGCGGACCTCAAGGCCTTCACCCGGTCGCAGGGCTATGCCATCGTCACCCTCTCGTCGCTGAACCGCGACATCGAGGGCCGCTACCGCCGCTACAACCTGTGCTGCGCCAAGGGCGGCAAGAACTACACGTCGCACAGCAAAGGCCTCCGCGCCGGACGCTCCACCAAGACGGGCTGCCCCATGCGCATGAAGGCGGTGCAGGAGAAGGCCTGGCCCTACGGCGACAAGTGGCACGTCATCGTCCAGTGCGCCGAGCACAACCACGAGCCCTTCACGGGCGAGCCCGGCGTCGTCGTCCCCGCCCAGTTCCGCAAGATCGAGCAGGACGGCATGCGCTGGCTAATTATCATGCACCGCGAAGCCCAGCTCAGCCTCCGCCAGCTGACCATTGGCCTCCGCATCTCGTTTGGCGAGAAGTACCAGTACGTCAAGAAGAGCGACGTCCGCAACATGCTCGCCAAGATCAAGCGCGACGAGGACCGCAAGACTGCCGCCGCCGCCGCCGCCGCCGGTCTGCCCGCCAACCTGCCCTACACCCTGCTACCGCCCTCGCACCAGCCCCCTCCCCCGCCGCTCCAGCACGTCGAGCAGATGCCGCCGCTGCCCGAGGGCCTGCAGGTGCCAGACCCGGATCTGGAGTCTGATGATGAGGATGGCGACGACGATGACGAGTAGTGGCACACTTTGGTCTTTGCGCGAGGCATCTCGGGCGCGGGGCGGCTAATCAATTTTTTTGATTATGTTACTTCGGTAAAATAAAACCACGTTGTGACAGCAGTCTCCGAAGCCCATTCATCCAGCGATATGTCTGACTGCAATGGTTAGGAGTCGTTATGGAATTATATTGCGTTGCAAAATGCGAGCTGACAGAGACTCAACAAGGGTTGCTAGGCCCAGCCGTGGGCACCAGGTTGTTCATCACGGTGTCCTCCTTGTTGGAGCTATGACTGCCTTGTACATTGCGAATAACGAGGTCTACGTGCGCATGTCTTGGCCAACGGCAAGGCTCTGTTGATGCCGTTTAATTGTTTGACTTTTTGCTGTACCGTGGCAAATACTTAACTGTGATGGCAACGTAAGGACCCCTGTAGGGGTTTGTAGAAGAGGTTGAAAAAGCGTTGTTTTCTACATCAAAGTAGGAGCAGTGCAGGGGGGTGTCCACAGGGCCTTGGAGACTCTATGTTGACTGGGGTTATTTTCCGCGTCACATCAACTGTGCTCATTTTAGTCTGTGCATGATGATGGGCATGAGCCATTTCGCTTTGGTTGTATATCTAGCTGTAGAAGGCGCTCCTATAGCAGACAAAGGAAGCCATACCTCAACCTCTCACCATGGACCAAACCGCCCAGGGAAGCGACACGGTAACGCGAGACGTGCTCACTGACGACGTCGACGCATCTCCGGGTCCCGGGACAATGAAGCTCTTCTAGCAGCCTGACTTCGTTGTTCGTCGCATTCAGCAGCGCTAGTTGCTCCACCACCGCTTCCCAGTGCTGGTTCTGGAGAACATCCTCGATAACTGGTTCATCGACCTAGAAACACTCAAGAACTTGAGCTTTAATTGCTCGTGGTTCCGCGAAACAGCTGAGGACCACCATCTCCCACGCGCTGGCGTCAAGTTCCGCACAGTAAGGGCGGTACAGATGCTCATCGCCAGATTGCGGGCTCAGGAAATCTATGAATTGGCTGCTGAGAAGAGTAGGAAGGCGAGCCAGAGGAGGAGGGCGGGCCAAAAGTTCATCGCCCCTACCGCCACCAACCCGCTCCCTAGCGAGCAGATGGACGACGTTATCCGCAATATTGGCCGGCTCAAGCTGGCAAACCCTCGCCCGTGCAGCTAGAGGCCATTTTGAAGTTCCAGGCCTTTGTTCACAGCCTCATCGGAACTGAAGGGCCCTTCGACCGTTTGGCAATGTACTACAGAACGAGCCTTACGAACCAATGCCTTGGAAATCGGTTTACCAGCTCGGAGAGGGCAAAATGGGCCTGGGCATGAGGTTGGATGAGGCCGAGTTCGAGTGCGGCATCCTCAAGTATGAGCTCGGCGTCATGTTGAGCCATATCCGTGCCTCGCAACGACCGCGATATTACGTTTCAGAACTAGTCAGCTTGTATGTTAGCCGGGCCGAAGACTACCCCACACCTCTCGACAATGTCCTGGTCGCCGTGCCCTCTTACGTCTTCCGCGACAAGGCCTATAAATACTTTCTGAGCCACGTCATATTCCCGGATCATGTCCAAATCCTGGACAAGCTACCAGAGGCCTGCACGTATTTCCCCCTTCATCTCTTTCTCCACCCATTTCTTTCTCAACTGAAGACATGTGGACTCCGGCTGATGTGGTATCCGGGGGTTCCTTTGGTAATCACAGCGACGCTCTATTAGCCAAACCCGGCCACATTCACAAGACCTACCGGCCAATACTACTTGGCATATCCAAAAGTGGACTAGATACCTAGCCGAAAAGGAGATGATGGAAGACGAGCGGCAGCAGCACAGCTGGGGGGTAAACACGGCCAGAACTAAGTCTCTTACCGAGAGGCAAACACGGCTAGAACCAAGTCTCTTACCGAGACTAGAGGAAGCGCTTGGCCTTTGTGAAGCAAGCAATTATGTGCAGCGCCTACTGCTCTCCAGCGTCACATGCTCAGATGTTGGGGCTCACTCAAACCGAAACGAATTGATTTCTGCTTGTAACTGTAAAGAGACACAAGGTAACGAAAGAAAGTGGCGATTGAATATGTCCGGCGCTGCCAGCCTCGGTTGGTCCTCCTCTACCTAGGTAATAACACCTCACAAACACAAAAACAGGCAGTCCTATGCGGTGAACGACTTCTTGACCTTCATGTTGGCGTTGGCGTTGGCGCCGCCCATGCCGGGGAGGAACTTTTGCCCTGTTGGGTGAAGACGGGTTAGTATCGATTTGGCTTGTTTCGGGGTGAAGGAAGGACGGTAAAAGAAAAAGACATACAGCCGTCAATGTTCTCCTTGACAAAGTCCTTGACGGTGCACTTGTTGGCCTCGGTCATCTGCTGCTTCTTGATGGAGCCGCAGCCGTCGTAGAAGCACTCGGACTTGTCCATGGCGCGCTGCAGCGCGTCGCCCTTCCAGCCGAACATGTAGTCGGCGTGGGTGCCGGCGGCGGTGCCCTCAAACGACCACACGAACGGGTTGGCGTCGGTCGACGGGTTCCACAGGTCCGCGAACTTGGTCGTCTCCCACGTGATCTCGAACGTCACCTGCGGCACCCGCACCGGGTGCGACGACGGGCACGCCGGCGCGTTGTCAAAGTACTCGGACTTGACTGTGTCAAACATGTGCGACTGGTGGTCCGGGCTGTCGAGGTTCTTGCCGTCCCAGCACCTAGACAAGTCGTGCGAAGTCAGTGGACCTGCTGTGGGATCAGGGGTGAAATAGGTATGCAGGAACTTACGGAGGGAAGTGGTGCGTGGTAAAGATACCGCCGTTGCACTTTCCGGTGGGGAAAGTGGACAGCAGGGAGCCGCGGTTGCCGCCGGTGATGCACTGGTAGCTCAGGCCGGCGTGCTGCTTGCTCGTCACGGTGGGGCTGCCGACCGTCATGCGGAAGCCCTGAGAGCCACGCGAGTCAACGCCGGACACGAGAAGGACAGGAAACCGAAACTCACCGGCGGGAACGCCTTGATGGGCTGCTGCTTGAGGTTGTCCCTTGACAGATCAAACTGGGTGTAGTAGATGGTCAGGCCGCCCTGGGCGCCGTTGGACCCCCCCAGAAGAGGCTGGACGGGCTGCGGCATGACGCGGTGGTAGGTGCCATTCTTGGGGTCCTTGAAGTACATGTGGGCAACCCAGTAGTTGGAAAAGTCCTCGGCCATCTGGCAGGTGGTGCAGGTGGCGCGCGACGCGACATCGCCCTCCCTAGCGAGCAAGAGTCAGTATTCGGATCAGACCGGGATGCTGCTCGCTCGGGGAATGTACATGGTGGCGTTGAACGCATTGCCTCCCACAATCATGTGGAGATGGGCAGACGGGAGAGCGCCGGGCTGGGCCGCCGGGTCGAGCCGCTGGTTGGTCAAGGTCGAGCATGGGAAGCGGAGGCCGGCCTGGGTGGCCGTGATGAAGGCGGCCAGGAGCCCGAGAGACGACGTGAACGACTTCATCTTGGCGGTGCCGAGGAGGATTCGTAGGCGGGCAGGCAGGGCGAGCTGGTGTCAGTCCACGGAGCAGTGGTCGATGGCCAGAGAAGAAAGCCAAGCAAACTAGCCCAAGGGGGATGGGGGGGGGGGGGGGAGACCCGCATTCGGTCGACCACTCTTTTATAAGTACGGGCACGCCTGCACAGAAGGCGTCTAGAAACATGTCTTTCGGAACCGCAACTACCGGCACGTTATTGCCAGCTCGTCGCGCTTGCCGGCTTCTCGTCTACGGGGGTAATAAACAAGAGAAAAAGCTGGAAGCACATGGCGGCCTACATGGTTGCCGGCAGTGACGGGTTTGGCGGAGAAACCAAATGAACTCGCGCAGGGCCTGGCCAATGGGGTGCACTCCATATACTGGGTATATATCCAGATAGCCGGCAGACGGCGAGCAGGCCCTTTATACAGAAACAAGCATCGTGAATGGCTCGGCTGCTCGGCTGAATCCGCACACCCTGGTTCCTGCTGATGAGAACCCTCCCCCTTTTTATTTATTCGGCGTCTGCGTCGAGGACGGGAGTGGCTGCACAAGTCCGAAAGAGAGCGAGCACACGAGGGGAAAGGGGAAGGATGTGCGGCATCACCACCATCCTTTTCGCTGCCTGACCACGCCTCTCCTCGGGAATCGGATCCTCGGCCTCTGTCCAAAGTAAGAGGGCTACTCGGCCTAGCATGGGTATTTTTGGAATAGTCGCACACGTCATCGTGTTTGAATGCTTGTCGGGGATAGGTGTAAACAAGATGTAAATGACTGGTAGTTGGAAGAAGGAGGTAATATCCGCGCACGCCGTCGAGCACCACCGTGACGTCCCCGCACACGCCAGCAATCTGCACGTAAGGCCCGAGTGGTTGGTTTGAGTGTTTGTAGAGCGAAAGGTGCGGCTCGCAGGTCGGCAAGTGTAATTACTTCGGTGGTCGAGGACGATGATTGTGCCGGCAAGGTTCACAAGCTCAAAGATGTAAACATGAATCGGACTGAAGGTGATCGTCGTAGTCACGCGGCCGGAGACACGATACTGTACCTCCAATATTCCGAGTGACGATATTGCCGTCTAAATTCCAGACTGGAATACTCCAAATTACTCCATCTGATCTCATCTCATCTCACATTTCGAGTGGGATACTGTGCATCGTCCAAGAAAATTTATCTTGTCATAGTCCGAGGAGTGAGATTGCCGTGTGAATCCCGAGCTGGCATATTCCAGGATATCAAACCACGTCACATCCCAAGTTCCGAGTTGCGATACTGCGCGCCATCCCAGAAAACGTATTAAAACATTCTGAGCCCAAATCAAGACGCTTGCACATAATTCAGACCATTACGCAGCTCTAAAGCACAGAGCCTGGACATTCTGGATGCGCACAGGTTATAGGAGTGGGCCTGAAGGGTATGAAAGAGGGAAGGGGTAGTCTACAGCAGACACAATCAACCACAACAAGTTAGCAGTGCAATACTCTTTCAACCCCTATTCCCCTTTCAACATGGCCAGTTGGCCTGTTTCTAACAACGGGGCAGACAAGAGCTGTCAGAGCAGATTGGCAGATACTAGGAAGCTTGTTTCCCGGACGCCCATTTCTTTGGCCCTTGGGCCCTCCTGCAAATGAGGCTTATGCCTAGGAGGATGCAGAACTAGTCTTTTTAGAGGCCTAGGTCTAGACTAGGACAAACTCACAGCTCTAATGTCTGTTTCAAACTACGGCAGGCATGGCCGTAGTAACCCAACAAGCCACGTCTCGCTCAGTCAAGCTCAACTCAGACCAAGGCGCCGACTTTTCAGCTTTGAAGAAGAGGAAACAGAAGCTTCTGTCATTTTTGGGACCTGTAATGGCCGTTAAATGCACAATAGCATGCGTATTGCGTGACATGACACAGCTCTCATTATACCCTTGTCCTGCCTCAGCTGGAATACGCATTAAACTCAGCTGTTACTCAAGACTTTGTTTGCCTGCTTTCGAGCCAGAAATAGTACGGGTGATGTTTACTTATCTCAAAGCTTGTTTGCTTGGCACTCCATATCGCCGGGACGCTGACACCCAACGAACCACAGTACGAACATAACGGGCGAGTTAAGAAGCTAGTGGAAGTGGATGTCTCTTGGCAAAGCTTGCCATGCCCACATTCCGCACTTCCGGAAGAGCCCGTCTGCCATGTCTGGACCTGATGACTGTGTATAGACCTTGGACAGTCTTGATAGTCTGTCTATCTACGAGCTATCCAGCGTTCTCAGCAGCTAACTTTTTTACACTAGGGAGGGAGATCTTTACGGGATATGGAAAAGGCTTATGTGGTGCTCGTCGACCCGAGAGACTGTTAATCAGCTAAGCTCTCCCCGCCTGGCTCCAGCCCTCTTTTCCTTTCCCGATCCCATCATCATGCCATGCCACGGCCCTAGTTTAATGCGCGGCAGCAGACTCAGCAGAGGGCGAGTACGCTATCTCGTGCACTTAGGCTTGATGGAAGTGTTAGATCGGCCGTAGGCTTGATGGAAGTGTTGGATCGGCCGTGTTGACGTGGAGAGAAACCAGGCACCGGGTGCGGCGGCCAGGGGGTGGCGAACTGCTGGGACGCCTAGCCAAGCGGCCAATCCGCTAATTCTCTTGACCTTCAGACCTGTGAAAATTTGCTTGTTCTAGCATCGGAATGGCAAAACGTGCTTGGTTTTGTGAGGGCAACGGTTAGCCGACAGGCGCTTGCCGAGACTGGTCGTCATTTGGCAGGCTGTTGGGGTTGACTCTTTGTTTTTCTGCTTCTCCTTCGATGAATGGCCGCTAATGAGACGCCGGACAAAAGGAGGGAAAAGAGACAGCGAGACACTCTAGAACTACAGAATGTGCTGGGCACAGGCCAAACCTGGCCCCTGCGGATTCACCCTATCCATGCCACATAGTCTAGATTTCCCGCCTGCGGGCCGATAGAATTTAGCTTCCCCAAGCAATTCATCACCTTTCATACATCGCCGTGCCTCGCATCCAGAACATGAATGATGTCTGGCCCAAAAATGATGATCGATGTGCTAATTGAGTAACAAAGCCCGCGAATAAGATGCCAGTTCCCGGCACAATAAAAGTCCACCATGTAATGTCCCAAATCCGACTGGCTAACTAATTATGGAGTGTAACCGTTTGAAATTGGTAATGGTAGGTAGACACCAACGACTTGTGGAACACGAGACGGCCCTGTCCTGTGGACACTTGGTTGTCAATGCGGAACTGTCTGTGGGCTGCAAGCTAGCTATTGCAAGTCAATCCTGATTCCCAGTCATCACGATGGCGTCAGCATCCTTATCCATTTTCAACAGGGGCATGTTGACTGACCAGATGGCAAACAGCTTCCACCGCAGGTCGGCCACCTCGCGCCGCGCGTTCTCGAGCGCCGCCTGCGTCTTGTTGAGCTGGTCCAAGCCAACGACATCCGCAGGCGTAGCCACCTTGGGCTGCTCGCCGGGCGCGCTCTGCTGCTTGAACAGCCAATTCACACTAGCGTCCGCCTTGTCGAACGCGAGCTTGTACGTCTCGTACGAGAACTTTTGCAAACTATCAACATCATCTTCCCCTCCCCCTCTCCCTCCCCCTCCCCCTCTCCCTCTCCCTCCCCCTCTCCCTCCCCCTCCCCCTCTCCCTCCCCCTCCCCCTCTCCCTCTCCCTCCCCCTCTCCCTCCCCCTCCCCCTCTCCCTCCCCCTCCCCCTCCTCCGCTCGACGCGCCGAGTATGTTCACCAGCCGCAGGATGTCGTCCTTGGTGGCCTTGCCGTCGCTACTGCCTGCGCCTCGACCGTCCCCGGCAGCCGCCCCGCGTCCCACTTGACCTCGTACATGGCCGCGTGGCACAGCGTGCGCGCGTCGGTCCGTGCGCGGCCGCCTTCTTGCTTGAGCCATGCCGCGGCTGCTGCTGCCTAGCCTGGTTGCACGTTGGGGTTGCTGTCGGGGTCGTAGCCCAGCAGTCGCATGTTGCACGCTGCCATCCGGTCCCCGTGCGACGGCACGTCCGAGTCGGCGAGTTGTGCTGCTGATGTCATTGGGTCGTCGTCGTCGCGGGAATGCCATCTTCAGGGGGGGGAAGGGGGTCAGTGGTGATATCTCTTTTCTTGTTTTGTTTTTCATCTGAATTTTTTAAAACTTGACAGTGAGCTCACCCAATGACGCTGTAGTCGGCCTCGGCCGCGTCGACGTACGTTGTCTGGCCGTTGCGCTTGAACTCGAAGTTGTCCACGATAGAAAAGATGTTGGTGTTGTGGACCTGGTAGTCGGCCAGCAGGGGGTTGGCCAACGCTGCTAATCCCATCCCACCCTCGGCCACAACCACAGCCTCGCCCTCAACCCCAGCCTCGGCTTCGCAGCAGCAGCAGGCCCCGCGCCGAGCCCGCGCCCGCAAACGCCCGTCTATGCAGCCCGCATCTACCCGCGCGAGACATCGCCCTTCCCAGCCGACCTGGCCGCCAACAGCGGGTTCGTGTTCCGCGACGTGCCGTTCGCGTGCGACCTCATCTTCGCCGTGCGGCGCGCGTTCTTCCGCCCGACAGCTACTCCCTCGCCTCGCTACAGTTCTCGATCCCCGTCGGGCCGAGCCGCGGCCGCGTGCGCACTAACGCCGCGCCCAACATCATCGACGGGCCGGGGCTGGCGCCGGTGGCGTCTGGCGCCGCGGGCGCCTGGAGGGTGCGCATGCTGAGCAACCAGCGCTGGGTCGGCGTGGTCGAGGCCGCCGCCGCCGCGCACGTTGTTGTGAGACTCATCCCGCGCTCGCTGCGCCGCGCCGAGAGCGTGCGGGTCAATCCCGAGCTGAGTTTCGTGTTGAGCGGAGTAGATACGGAGTGGGTGGCGGATGCCGATAATGCGGAGCTTGCGCTGCCGAGTGTGGGCTTGGTTGTGGCGGAGGTTTATGGGGCTGATGCGAGCGGGCCACGCATGCGACGAATGTGCGCGTCGCGAGGAGGACGGGGTGGCGCGAGTGAGTGTGGCGCGAGTGAGTGTGCACGCACGCTGAGACTGAGCTGAAGGGGAGGGGAGTGATGGGATTGGGGTTAATGGATTTTTGGTTTTTAGTTTTGTGGGATTGGGGTCAATGGATTTTTGTTTTTTAGTTTTGGAAATGTGATTTTGAGGTAATTACATGGTGTTTATGTTGACGGTTACATTACGACGTGCCCTTCCCGAAACTCTAATCCGGCAAAAACCCCCCTCTCCCCCCAAATAAACAGCAAAAAGTAATATAAAAAAGTGAACATGATAATTTTTTCCGCCTCCACCAACACCCCCTGATAACATACACAACCCCCTGAACTCAGAGGACGCCGCAGCCGGTAGCAGCCACCAGCGCGCCAAACAGGGCCAGCGCGTAGGCGGCGCTCGTGTGGTCGAGGGCGCCCGTCGACATGTACCAGCGCGACTGGTCGATCAGCGGCTGCGAGATGGACGGCGACGCCTCGATGACGAGCGCGCTGACGGCCAGCACCTGGCCCATGACCAGGCACGCGCTGGCCGCGACGCCAAGCATGGTCGACACAGCGCCCAGCGCGCGGTTCAGCACCTCTGCCGTGGGAGGCCCAGGGCTCGTCGCTGGTTTTTCGGTGGAAGCAGCGGCAGCGGCAGCGACGGGACGCGCGTCTTCGGCCACCGGCAAGCCGCGGTAGCGCGGGCCTATGCCAGCCGACGTGGCGGCCATGACGGCGTACAGGGCGGCGGAGAGGAAGGCGGCGGCGGCGAGGACCGAGGCGGCGACGTACAGCTCGGCAGCAGTCACGATTTTGGGGCAGATGCGCGTGACGTCGAAGAAGTCGGCGCGGCAGGCGTCGAGGCCCTTGGCGCCGACGAAGAAGGCGCGCTTCTCGCAGCTCTCGGCAAAGAAGTCCGGGTCCGTCTCGTTGCCGACCGTGGCCGTGCAGCTGAAGAAGGGCGACGCGTGCTGCGTGCGGTTCGTGAACTGCCCCGATGTCTCGGCGACCCCGACGGACAGCCGGTCTGCTCGCACAAAGTCGGGGCTGCCCATCACCGCCAGCGTGAGCGCGAAGGACACGACGTACAGTATTGGCGGCAGGAACAGCGCTGCGAGCGTCGCCAGCTTGAGCACTGACAGGCGGCTGCCGCTCTTGGGCGCGAACCGCGGTCGCGGCCACCGCATCGCCATGCTGAGGTTGTGGGTTGGTGTTTGGTGTTTGGTGTTAGTGAGGAACAAGTCAGTGACAAGTTCACGCACGAACAAGTCAATGACAGGTTCACGCAAGAGGCTTTGGTGAGAGGATTCAGAAAGACAAAAGGTGGCGACAAGATTGCCCGTTTCGGAGACGCTGAGAAACGCCGTGTTCTGGTCTGACAGCTCTTAGTCTCTGTCCCTTATCTCTCGCGCCATGCCGCTCGCCCCCCTGCATCTGGCCGTCTGCCAAGCAAATGTGATTGTGGTCAGCCCAGCTGCACCCCTCGGCAGCTGAGCCGCCGCATTGGGAACACTATTGTAGGACCCCTGTGGCGGTCAGCGGCCAAGCTTTCACTTTCTTTTTTTTTGATCCCATTGCTCGCACTGTGCAGTCCTTGGCTCTATTCTTGGCTGTTTTTGGTCTTGCCATGGATGGGCGCCTGGGGAACAGCGCCGGCAAGGTGTCTGCGCCGTCTCGCCGCCGTTCACGTGAACTACACGTCGATCGGTATTTGCCTCGGGTACGGTGAAATCTGGGACATCTCAGCCTCTTTCGCTATTCACCCGTTATCAAGTGAGCTGCCGCGCACGCAATGGCCTGGAGAGTGCATTCGTGGCATCTGGGCATCCCCATCGGGGACAGCGCAATCCACCTCCTCGTTCAAGAAAGAGGGGGCCAGAAGCCAGAAATCCACCGCGCAGTCTTGATCGATGGCGGCAAGCCCATGGCTGCAGCTGCTGTCGTCATCAAGAGAGTTGTTGGATTCAGCACTTCAACTTTTTCTTCATTCATCTCTCCTCCTTGTTCTTTTTGGTCCTGCCAGAGGGCCTCTATTATAGTTGTAAATGGTGGCAATGGTGGTGGCAAAAGTAGCCACACCAGCTGAACTGGCCACTTCATTTCAGCTCCCCTGAGCCTTTTTTCACCTCGGATGACCACACCAGAGCTCAGCTGGGATGAGCTCTATTCCACATGCAACCCTTGTCCATCTGACAATAGCCAATCCAACAAGAGTCATCGAACACATTGATGAGAACTACGAATTCGCCCTTAACAGAGACTTTGAGTACCCCTATCCGTCTGTGCAGACAAGACGGACTCTGCGCTTTGACAGCATCGTCATCACTCACTGGGACTTGGACCACTACGAAGACGTCTTCGGGATCCTCAAGGCGGGATTCGAAAAAGCTCCGACGAATTTAAAGACAAGGTCGGGGTCGACTTCGAGGGCTCGGACTTTGTGGCTATCTCAACTGGTACTGCAAGTACGCGAGGGCAGACGACGCCACGAACCCAGCCAGCTGGAACGTGTCGACCAAGTCGACCAACAAGTCGGACGCCGCTGCAGTGGCTAGTTTCCAGCCAAACGCGCCAAAAGGCTACGTCAGACGGATGCGCACGACGCTGTATGCCGTCAGCCAGACGCTGCTCGGGGCCTTTCCCGGGGCAAAGACGCACTACGCCCAGTACCTCATCCCAAACCTGGGCCCTCTTTCTCCCGGCCAGGTCGAGTTTGCCACCTTCAGGCTGGAACAGTAAGTCCCTTGCCTACCTGGGTCAAGATTAACAATCCTTCAAGATTGACAATCCAAACCCTGGCGCAGACAGCACAACACAGTCACCGGCACCGCGACCGTCAATAAGACGAAGGGTAAGAAAGATTACTTGTATCTGCCCAACCTGACGCTTGTGGTCCACCAGTCCGACCGCTACCTTGGTTGCGATCTCTTTGCAAGCCCCGGCGAGGCACTGGGATTGCCAGGTACATGCGGGGGTCGTGACAAGTTTGTTATCACGGGGCCGGCAGTGCTGGTGCAAAGTTTCAATTTGAATTCGCGTCCTCCGAACCAGCCCCAATCGCCTTTACCATCATCGCAGGAGACCAGCGCTACCTCGGCTCGGTCGACTTTTCAGACAGGCTCACGGCCGACGAGCCCGATGCTAACCTGGATTTCTCAAACGGCAAGGATGGGAAAACGGTCAAGGCGCTCGGCACGGGTTTCAACATGCCCAGCGTCGTCGCCGAGCACGCTAAAGAGTTGGAGAAAATGGCAGACCAGAGCAAAAGGCTCAAAGCCCACGACAGCGTACCGAGAAACGCGGCCTCGATTGTGGCGCTGGCCATCGCCGGCATAGGCAACAGCGGCCGCCCGGAAGAAACGTTTGGGGTGCTGCATTACACGGGCGGCGATGTGAGTCTCTGTCTTCTCGTGTTCACACAGCAACTCTAATCAAGGCGACTTGCTGTCCAGGTCCTCTGGGACACCGAAGTCGCCATAGCCCGCTGGCTCGTCAGAGACGTGCGGCTCGCACAAGCCACGGGGCACGTGAACCTCGACTTCAAGATCGTGCACGTCACGGTCAGCTTCGGCAGCGGGAACGTAAAGCCGCCGGCGCTGTCGCTCGAGCAGTTCGTCGTCGCCGTGCGCAGGCCCGGGCTGGCGCAGGGCGATGTAGGTGCGGATCTGGTTGTCGTGGCGCTGGCTGATGGCGCGGCGACGGACGAGATCGCCAAGCCGGCGGCGGCCACGGGCAACGCGTGGTTCGTGCGCGCCGCCGCGTTCCGCTTCCGCGTCGAGTCGAAATTCCCTGTCTCGGCTGCCGCTATCGATAGCGACTTGCTCAATTCCAAGACGGGCGCGGCGGTGCCCGCGGCAGCTGTTGCGGGGACCGCGGCGCCTATTTTCGCTCGCCTGACGCAGGCCCGCGACCCGCTGGTGTCGAACCTGACGGTCAAAGTCGAGCGCGGCGAGCGCGACGAGGGGGGCGGGTGGCGCGTGATGCCAATTGTGAAGAATCTGCCCAAGGGTTTATGGGATCAGTGTGAGTTTACTTTTTTTTTTAAAACAAAACTTTCCACGAATTATTTTGGAGTTTCTTTGCCGGCTGTGAAAGTGGTGAAAAGGGATGAAAAGGGGTGACGGATAAAAGTGGGGAAAGGGGCAAGAAAACATCAGAAGATAACCCCGCGCCATCCCAACAGACAACGCCAAAGAAGATCCCACCGCCTCGCGCAGCGGCGACAACCAGATCCCTCAGCTTCTCGGGGGTGCCGGCAGCGACACCATCGCCCACGTGGTCGGGTATTTGTTCACACCGCCACGCCCGCACCTGCCGCCCGCCTCGGCGACGTTCCCACCCTTCAACGCCATCGACGCCATCTCCGAGGGCGTGTTTGCCGAGAAGAAGAAGGAGCTGCCCGGAAACGATGCGAAGACGCAAAGATCGCCGGACAGGACGGCCTTGTTTTTCAACGTCGCTTCTGATGGTGGTGCTGCAGAGGACGGAATAGACGACGACGAACGCCGCCCGCCGCTGCCGTCGTCTGCATCGCCTGACGGGCGGCCGCTGCCGGCTGCTGCGGCGAGGTTGGTGCCCGACACGAAGGGGACGACGTTGTGGGACGGCGCCGTTGACGATGTTGACATGCAGAGTCTGGCCGACCTGGTTGCGCTGGGGTTTGGTTGGACTGCTCCTCCCGTTCCTGTTGCTGCTCCTGCTTCTACTTCTGGTTCTGCTCCTGCTTCTACTCCTGCTCCTGCTCCTGCTCCTGCTTCTGCTCCTGGCGTTTCAAGCCTGCCAAGTGGTACACTAGTGCCGTCTGCGCTAGCCGTGGCTGAAACCGAGGGCCTGCTGCCGCATGTGCTCAGCGCTACGAAGCCGGCGCGACTGCTGGCCGAGTTTGACAAGTACTACATAAGTTATCCGTAGGTTTCTGTTTGACTTTCTAGCAAGGCTTGAGGAACAGTAATTATCATTAAGACTTTCAGATCTAATTAGGGTACAGCGAAATCTTTCTGTGCGTCGACCTTAGCACGGTATAGACGCTAGGCAGCACAGTCTCGATGCTAGGCAGCATGGTCTAGATGCTAGGCACAGTTAGACAAATATACCTAACAAATAAAAGGCACGGCCGCATACGCTGGTCTCAGGATCTTAATTCATTGTAGAAGCTGCAGTTCCTAACCAAAAACATAAAAGAAAAGAAAAGAAATCGAAAAAGAGCAATCTGATCAGAGGGAAGACAAGCCGCGGCACAGATACATGGTCCAAAAGGGACACAAAGGAGTAAAGTTGTATAGGTTTGTATTGAGTAATGTAAAGAAGAAGAAATGCCTTCAAGTGCCCAGGGTCGCAGCATTGATCTACAGTACTTCTGGATGGCGACAATACCACGTGCCTGCACAACGCGGGAAGGACATTCCGTGATCCACTAGAGACACGCGAGAACGCCGAGGGACTTGTTGGGGACGAGACGTGATGGGGTAGAGGGGTGAACTATCGGATGTTCCAACCCCCTGACCGGGTGGGCTGTTTTTTGGCTCGACGACAGGTGAAGGAAGTCGCCACAGAGGCACGGAGCTCATCCCCCTTTTCAAACCAAGACAGGCGAGACTAGTGGGTTGACATGGCTACACACCACCTCGTCCTCATCACAGCGCGTGTAGGCTGTCTGACGTCTGGGGGGGCGATACGAGTAGGTGTGCAGTTGAGGAAATAAGGGTATCGTGTTAATCGGGCGTTGCTCGACCTTCAGAGAAGACTAGTGTGGCTCAGAGGCGCAGGCCGCCTCCACGTCAGACTTGGGGATGGGACCAGGTAGTGCCTGTGCCGTGGCTACAAAGTGCCTTGCTGTTCGCATCAGATGGGACGACGGGATGCGGAGGACATGGGCCAAATGGACACAGACCGGCCCGCCACGGTTTTGCTAAGCAAGCACATGCCTCATAGAAGTCGCTTTCCCAGTCGTATGTTGCCAACATCAGCCTCAATTACTACCCTCGCTTGTAATTAAGTATTGATCCCATACGTATCCAAGCCAATGAGAATTGCAGATCTAGATTCAAGAGTCTGTTGGGTCTGTTGGTGGCTGCCGAGCGTGTTGGACGCGGCCTGCGTCTGAGACTGGGTCTGGGTCTGGGTCTGGGTTTGATATTGGAGGCCCGAGCTGCCATCAAACCCGGTGGCATAGGTTGCTGCCGAAGCCGCGTCGGCGAGGGAGCTCGTGGACGGCGCCACAGCTGGGGCCCCCGCCGACAATACTCCTGTCTTGACAGTCACGGGATACGGCAGACCCGAGGGCGGACCCGCGGGCAGAGCCAGCGGAGGACGTCCAGAGGCCGGGTAGGGGAGCAGGCGGTCGGCACTTGTGGCGCTGGGCAGCGAGGCGGCGACGCTCGAGAAGGAAAAGTCGGGCGAGTCAGCTGAGACGGTGCTGACGGGCCGCTGGACGAGGCTCGCGCTACTGTAGCCGTAGGGCGAGTCGCGGCCGCCGGTTACACAGAAACGGCATCAAGACTGACTAAACTGAACTAGCCTGGTAGCGGACACAAAACAGTTTCTCGCACCGTGGCCTGGCCTTTCCAATTCGGAAGAGTTACCCGCCGCGGGACCTTATGTGCCGTGTCTATCGTCCAGTTGACAAACAACTTGACGGGAATACTTCAAGAAGCCTCCACGGCGCCACGTTTTTTCTTGCTCCCAGTGCCTCTCCAATTTCCTGCTCCTCGATCGTCAAAAAAACCCAAATTTGTCGCATTCAACCGAGCCTGCTGAGTTTTTCCGCCGCCTCATAAACAACCCACAGCTCAATTCAAACTGTCTCATCGTCAGCTTTTCTTTTTTTAACCCCCTCCACACACCAAATAAAGTAACCGAGACATCTCACAACCAACATAACCCGTCCGACACCATGCCGTCCCTATCAGAAATGAAGAAAGAACTGAACCTGATGAGAGCCAGGTCCAACGCAGCCTACAATGCCCAGGGCAGTTTGCACTACGCCAGGGAAGCCCATCGTATGAGCGAGAAATACAAGGCAGCAAAAGCTGTCATGATTAGGGACGCCCAAGGACGCCCGGCTCCGGGAGTCCGCAGAGCGCCGACGGCCGAGAAAAAATAGAGCGACCAGACTTTGCTTGTATGCCCGTACAGTACGGTAGAGAGAGCCATTGTGAATGCACGCTGGTCATGCCGTATTAGTTCTTTTCTTCCATATTCTGGACGGTGTACGGGTGGGTGAGATGAAGGGGGGGTGGGGGGGTTGCATGCTGGCCATGCGGTTGGGTCGGGTTAAGTTGGCTGGGCTGCCGTGTACTACCAAGCTCGGTAGTCTTTGTTCCTGAGGAGCTATTTTGCGGGCCAATGATGGCAATGGTACTGTACCTCAGGTCGGTACTCGAGTGCCTCATCTCCACGCAAGGGGCACGGGCAGGCTGTGGGCGTGCGGGGCCAATATGTAGTACATACTTATTTTATCACGCGCATTCATAGGGCAACGGAAATGGAGCATTTGATGCAGGGAAGTAAAGCTTGAATTGTCTGAAAAGGTCTGTCTTTTTGTTTCCTTCGGGAGGGCCAAAAGTCTCTCTTTTATAATTATGAATAGTGGCAAAATCTAGTGGCGAAGAATCAAGTGGCAGCTTCTAGGTCCTTCTTTTGCCCACTAATCGCTATTGTCGTGATATATTTCGATGTTCATGGTCTAATTGTTGGATGTTTTGGTAGTAGAATGGCTGTCAATCCGTTGTGGGTGGTCCGTGCGGTACCTTCAACTTTCTAGCCAGCTCCCCCTCCTAAAATAGCCCACTTTCTTCCTCAATCTCGCAATTCAACCTCAGTGAATCGTACCTACGATTTATCGCTTTGCAGCTATAGAAAGGCACGCTGAATACTTCACCATTATGACCCTATCAATCCCTACTAATATATCATTAGGAACGCGTGTTTTTCGAGCCGCCGCCATGGCTGCGGTCAGAGCAGGGTGGGCGGCGATATATTCGACACCCCTGTACGAATATTTCGCGAATATGATACGCTGAAATCGACAGAAGCTCTAGTGGGGTAAACGTTAAAAATTAGTGGGATGAATACTGTAACTTAGCGGGCTGGCGCTAAGCTACAGCGGGTATTTTCCCTTCACGTTTTGCTGCCAGCTCGCCCCCTATGGTGCCCGCAACAGCAGTCCTCATCTCGCTAAGTTTTAGTGCATATTCGCCGAATATTTGTACAGGGGTATCGAATATATCGCCGCCCACCCTGGCCACGAGCAAATTCAATTTGCCATTCCCCTCTTGGCATGCTAGGAACGTATACTCGCCTTCGGCCGAGCCATTCCGCAGAGGCGTCACGGGGTTGCGCGCGGTGCCGAGGCCCGGGGAGGGCTCGGCCGGCTCGACAGCGTGCGCGCCCTTGGCATCGACTAGTTGGAAGCTGAACTGCGTGCCGTACTTGCCTTCTCACGAGGACGCCTTAAAGGCCGTTAGGTTTGAGCTGAGATGAGGCTAGCACGGCGAAATTGGCGAGGTGGGTGTCGAGGGCGCTGGCTAGTGCGAGGGCTTTGTCGAGGGCAGATACGGTAGGGGCGCCGCCTTTTTTAGGTCCCCTAGATGGCGGTGAGACTGGTGTTGATGTCGATGCCGTTATCACCCTGCCGGGTGATTGTTCCCAGCGTGCCGCTACCGGGACTGGCCGGCGCAGATGGCTGGAGCGGGAGGTCGAGAGTCTTGGGCACACCTGTTGAGCTCGTTAGACTAGACTAGAAATGGCAGCAATTTTTGGGGGAGGTACGAGGAGTCCAAGGACTAACTTGAAGGAGTAAAGGACGAGACCGCTTCGACCCTGGCCTAGATGGCGTCGCGTACCCAGAAGATAGTAGTGCCGGTTTGGAAGCCAGACTTGGCTAAGCGGCTTGGTGTCGGAGGGAGCCGCATCTAAGCCACATATGGGCGCAGGTGGCGCACATGCTAGACCGTTTACAGCCTAGACTGTGTCAGCCGAATGCCGCATAACTATGGTATTCAGGTTATGCCCACCTTTCTGAACCTTTCGAATACAAGCAATTTTTGCCCTCGATTGATGCAGCGTTATATGTGACACTTTGCTGTCTTCTTGGCCACCAGGCTAACGTCGGCGTCGAAGGTTGCGAGATGCTGGCGCATGGCATCCTGAGCGGCAGAGGCATCCGTGAAGTGGGCGACCAGGACCAAGAGAATACTGGAGCCATCGTCAGCTACGCTGCCATCGCTGATACTGTACTCGGCCGCGGCAATCGTGGGCCGAATCGACGTGCTGACAGTCTGTACTGCCATCTTCTGGCTAAAGATGCCTGCGCTCGTGACTAGCTGGGCTATCGACTGGGACCCTCCGGGTTGCCGCCAGCGCTTCACGTATGCCATAACACTGACTTACAAGTATTATTGTTTCATAATGTCTTGGTCTCAGCTATGTACTCGCAAGCCCTAAGATCCGAAATCTTATATTTCGAAAGCACCTTGCCGCCAGCACTTGCCCTAAAATACCGACTTACATATATTATTCATAGTGCCATGGTCTCAGCTGTATGCTTGCAAGCCCCATGGTTCGAAATAGTGTGCTCTCGGAAGCACCTTGCTGCCACAATTTAACCTGATATGCCCACTTACATATATTATTATTCATAGTCTCATGGCTCAGCTATTCACATACAAGCCTCAAGGTCCGAAATTGTACCACTCCGGGAGTACCTTGCCGCCAGCACTCGACCTAAAATACGGAGTTACGTGTGCAATTCAGGATATGCTGGTCTCAGCTATACACTTGCAAGCCCCAAGGTCTGAATGCATCTTGTCCAGGGAACCGCTTGCCGCCAACACTTTGCCCAAAATTACCGACTTAAATGTATTGTTCATGTGGTCAGACCGGCGTGGCGTTTGGCGTCGAACTTTGTTGCTGGCGTGATTAGCGCCGTGTGAACGCCATGATGAGGTTCGAATCCCGTGGGCATATGTGATTAAAGTAGACGCCCAAAGTTACTCCTTCTTTGCAGTTTCAATCGCGTCGGGTATGGCGTTTGGCAAAATCAATTGGCGCGCAGCCGCAGAATCCAAGATGTATTGTTCATGGTGTGCGAGTCTTAGCTGTATACTTGTAAGCCGCAAGGTCCGAAATTACCGGCTTCCGGGCGCTCCTGGTCGATAACGCTTATCCCAAAATGCCGAATTACATGTAATGTTCATTGTGTGCTGGTCTCAGCCATGCACTTGCAAGCCCCATGGTTCGAAATCGGATTATTCCGGAAGCCACACACATGCAAGGTCGTGTGTTGCATTGGTTCTCATTGTCGCCATGTTGGTTGGGTCATTTCGATGTTTGTGACTAGATAACTAAGAGCATACAAATCGTGCAGAAGAGGGTGGCCGACCAATTGGATCAATTCCGTCGATTCATATGGCTGCTTCCAATGAAGCTGAAATCCGTCTCCAGTCCTCAACAATGTGTACTGTCTCGTCGCCCATGCGAAGGCCGGTCCATTTCAGCCTACATGCGACAAAGTTGGGTCTTGACCGCCCATTATCAGCTTTGCTCTTCCACAAGGTTCTCATTCTGGTCGTCTCGTGTCTCCGGCAGGACAAAGAGCTAGCCACCTGTTGGATCTAGACTGAGACTGGACATGAGTCCGCTAGCGTTGTGGACCCTGCCAATGAAGTACCGGCCTGGACCGGTCTGGATGCGGTGCGGAATACTGTGGATGCTGATTTCAGGGGTCACGGTGAGACACGGTCCCGATTAGCTCCAGCCAGTTCTCCGGAGTCAAGGCCGCCTCTGCCATTACCGCCATTGCTTCCACCTCCACAGTTCCACCATATCCGCTTAAGGCGTTTCGTTTGCCTACACCGGAGTCGGTAGAACTCGATAGCTCGTAGCGGTGGACGGCAGCGTTGAGAGTGCCTGTGTTGGCGGCGGTGTGAATTCCGTTGAGCGCGGACGGTCTGCTTGGGAAGACATGTGCCGGCGTTTAGCCGCCTCCCTTGGCCTGTGCAAAAAGCCTCGAATTAATCTCAAGCCAATCACAGAGCAGCTGAGAACCACTAACGCGGGTCTCTTTACGGATTGGAAAGGTGACACGGCGAGGTATCGCCAATAGTTAACGACGTTGGGGGTCGACGAGGCTGGCAAATCGCAAGTGAGTATTTCTAGTCGACAAGGCTCTGGACTTTCTGCACGGCTAAAGGGAGGCTCCACGATGATAAGCCGACAAAGCTGAGTTGTTGAAGACCCCCGTCAGCGTAGTAATCACCGCCGTGATGCGGTGGAACAGTGGCCGAAAGAAGCAGTATTCTGCCATAACGATCTTACGCCTCGCAATCTAATCCTCCAGTCCAGTGAAAGTCCCGGCGGAGATACGATATGCAAGCTTGCCGCTATCATCGATTGGGAACTTGCTGGTTTCTACCCTCCATCATACCAGCTGAGCTTATAAGATACGTATTTAAGCGGCAGCAATCGACATCTTTCGTTTTACTTACTGCTCAAAGAACGAGTGAAAGACACTGCTCCTCTCTCTCTGTCGCGGGTTGCTCTCTTACGAGCTATGGAACTTATCTTTGAGTCTCAGCAGCGAAGGCTATTGGAGGGCACGAACATCCCACCCATATTCGAACGAGATCCAGGGAGGTGCTGCAATTATCCCGGGACAAGCATCCGTACGTTGGCTGGAAGTGCGAAGCGGAAAGGGGATCTCTCCCTGAGTTCTCGCGGGACGATGCTCAGAAACCGGAAGATGATGTTGTTGCAGAGATGATTGGTAGAAGATAAATAAAAGCTAACGTACGTGATAAGCGAGCTGACCGGACAAGCGAGCTGACAGTTACAGCAACAAAGACCACCAAAGCCAGACTCCCCAATATCACAAACAATCAGCCAATTGATCAAAGGCTACAAAGTGGCTCTCAATAGTGCAATCTTATTAGCTGAGGAAAATCGGGTCCTACGCGTAGAAAACCAACGCCGGCGGCAGAGGAAGGAGAAGCAACGGCGATATATAGCCAAAGGTGGGACTCTTACCGTTGCAGACGGTCTAGATAAGATCAGTCAGTTAGACAGTCAGTCAGGTCAGGCTAGAGTAGCTAGTTAGACCAAGAGTAGTGCAGAATCAGCTGTAGTGGCTCAGGGTAGTGGGGAGGGTTCTGGGCACGCCCAGGGCAACAAGGAGGATGCTAGGCCGGCTCAAAGTAGTCAGGACGGCCAAAAACGCCGTCGGGCGCCTCCTAAGTGCAGTATTCGTGGTGCCCTCGACCACAGTGCTCAAATTTGTATTAATAAGTAATTGGTGGTGGTTTTTTCCTGTGTGGTAAGAGAGGGGGGCAAAGTGGGGAATTTTAGCTCGCATGAGTGATATGGCTCGCTAAGTGGTAGATTACGCATGGCTGGTGCTTTGCAGCAATATAGCAAATGCACCAAAATAGCAAAAATCGTGAAGTTATCGTCAAAATTCGCTCAAATTCGCTGCAAATTGAAGCTCTTCAATCGCTCAAATGGAGTCCCTTATTCATCAAGCCCTAGAGTATATTCAGGCCAATCCTGGGTGCAATATCTCGAAGGTTGCGCGCAAATTTGGCATACCTCGTACGCACGCGACTGCGACGTATGGAGGGCCACTCAGCACATCTAGGGCTTCCTGCATACAACACCAAGCTTACCCGACCTGAAGAAAAGACGCTCTGCCTCTATATCCACAGGCTTGAGAAGATCAATCTCGCTGTATGCCTAGAATACGTTAAGGACGCAGCAAATTATATCCTTCAGGGGCGGACTAGCGTTAGCGATCCACCTACGGTTGGCTTTTCTTGGACCACGAGGCTCCTGAAGCGCCACGGTTACTTCAAAGGCGCTAGAAGACGATGAATTCCGATCGTCAAGAGTGTGAGGATATTGAGAAGATGAACCAGTATTTCCTATAGCTGAAGAAGGTTATTGATGAAGAAGGAATCCAGAAAGAAGATATTTGGAATATGGATGAGACTAGCTTTCGAATCGGCGTCGGTAAAGATCAGCTTATTGTTACCAAAAGGAAGAAAGCGCATTACTTTAGCTTGCCAGAAAACCGCGAGTCAGCTACAGCGATTGAAGCTATTTCGGCTAGTGGGCGTGTTGTTCCTGCCTTCCTTATCCTCGCTAGTTAACAGTATTTGGCGCGCTGGTATCAACAACCTGAGCTTCACGATGATACCGGTATAGAGACGAGCCCTTTAGGTTATTCGAACGACGAGACTTCTCTCGATTGGGTTAGGTATTTCGACGAATATTCGAAGAAAAGTACGGTTGGAAAGAAGCGCTTGCTTATCCTCGATGGCTACGGCTTACGTTACACAATCGAGTTCATCTAGTATTGCTACTATAACAATATCCTTCCCTTTGGTTTACTGCCTTACTTAACGCACTTTCTTTAACCGCTTGACGTCGTCGTCTTTCAGCCTTATAAGCACTACCACGCCAAAGCACTTGACGTGGTGGTTCGTGACGGTCTTACGAATATAACGAAGGTCGAATTCCTCGCTTGCATCGAGGATGTGCGCCGCCAGGCCTTCAAGCAATCGACAATCCTATCAGCGTTTAGGAAGTGTGGTATCTAGCCGTTCAACCCGCTGGAAGTCACGCAGCCGTTGAGCCAAAGAGTGGCTCAAAAAACACCCTCACCACCACCTATGGAGCCGAATTCCTCACCATTTGGTACGCCTTTGACCCTCAGGCAGATAAATAATGTGGCCTGTAAGCTTGGAAAGGTTCTAGAGGAAGATGAAGAGCTAGAGCCAGAATTTGCACCCAATATAGAAAGGTTTATCCGTGGGAGCCTCACTTTGGCTACTGAGCTTGTTCAAATAAAGAGGGACCTAGGGAAAACACGTTATGCTGAGAGGGTCGCAAAACAGCGTAGGGCACTCAAGAATAGCTCCTTGCAGTCAGGGGGGCTATTAATAGTAGACCAAGGTCATCGCATGGTACGGCAAAGGAGGAAGACGTGTTGGCGAAGGCAAGGAAGGTCATTGAGGCCGCGGAATTGAAGGCCAGAACTAAAGCGAAAAACACGTTCAACGAAGCTGCAAAAAAGGCGCGGCTTTGACGATTGACTAGCAAGCTGAAACCAGCTGAAGTCAGCGAGCTAGGAAGGCTTGCGCGGCCACTACGTCGGTTTTAATCTGAATATAGCCTCATTTTTGCTATTTTGGTGCATTTGCTAAATTGCTGCAAAGCACCAGCCATGGGCTGGTGCTTGAGCTTCCGAAAGTGCCAGTCACGTGGTGGGCGGAGCACGGGTAGTGGGAGCCCATTGTTAAGCTCATATTACGTAAGGGCGTAACCCTGAACCTCTGATTGATATGTTGATTGGTGTTGGGTTCGGCTTGGCCAAAATAACCTTTTAAGGAGGCCTTGGTGGGGCAGTGCCCCCCGCACGACCATTTCTGGTGCAAGAGCGCCCTAAGTTCCATCCCTTAGATGCCGACTCGGCATCGGTCAAACTTAGCTTCTGAAGTCATAGTTCTCGAGCCATGAAAAGCGAATTATTTGCAAGTCAGATCGCTTCAATTGGTTGAAAGTTATCGAAAAATTGGATTTTCGGGTGCAAAGGTTTGACTAATTCCGAGTCGGCATCTAAAGGTATGCCTGCAGGTTAGGAGAGAGTCTTCGGGACTTCCTGCTACCGCCGGAGATACCGAATGCACTGTTAGCGAAAGCGAGCGGTTTAGCGAGAGCAAGTCATAGGTTTAACCCGGCGCAACTGAGGGCCGACCCGCGCCAATCCCATTCCTGGACTTTTTTGACCAATCCCATTGCCACTTCTCAGTCTCTCAATGCGAATGCGAGTGCGCGAGACCAACGCGGAGGAATTTCACACCATCATCATGGAACATTTCCACGGGCAACCATGGCATCAAAATACTATAAGTATTTTCCACGCTGCCACGGAAGGGACACTATTTCTAATGCAAGCACAAACACAAGCAAAGACATCCCAATTACCTATCGCAACAAGCCCTCAGCTCATTCTGTAACGCCTGCTACTGATCGGAATTAAGCACGTTTCAAAATCAGCCAATCAACATGACCTCCACCCATTTTAAGGTCATCGTCGTCGGAGGTGGCCCCGTCGGTTTGACGGCGGCCCACGCGCTCTGGCGCGCCGGAATTGACTTTGTCCTCCTCGAGAGCCGTCCCAGCATTGTCATCGACGCCGGCTCCAATCTCGTCCTTCTGCCCATGGGCCTCCGTCTGCTCGGCCAGCTCGGCCTGCTTGAAGCCCTCAACACCGTCAGCTCGCCCCTTGGCCGGATCCAGAGAACCGACCACGTCGGCTGTGACATCGGCGATGCGAATTTCTTCGTCCATTACAAAGAAAAGCGAGCTCTCCCCTTGCTTTTGCTCGGAAATAGGCAAAACTAACATGAATCCAGTCATGGCATCGCCCCCCGCGTCATCTCGCGCCTCGACCTCACTCAAGTCCTCTACACCACCCTCCCATCAGAGGTGCAATCTTGCCTGCTCCCCGACAAGCGCGTCGCCACCATCACCACGACCCCCAACTTTACGACTGTCAATTGCACCGACGGCACTACTCACACAGGATCCATCATCATCGGTGCCGATGGCGCCCACAGCCTCGTCCGCCGCCAGATGCGCGCCCTTGCCCTTCAATCCGGCTCCCCACCCGACGAGGTCAACCCTGAGCAGCCCTTCCTAACAACCTACCAAGCGATATGGGTCCGGTTTCCCACACCAGCTAACCTCACGCCAGGCGACGCACGGGAAACACACGGGGTCGGCGCAGCGGTGCAACTATTCGCTGGTGAGGAGACGTCCGTCATCGGAGTTTACGAGCGGCTAGCCTCGCCGACGACAGCGCGGCTGCGGTTCGGCGCGGCTGAGGAGGAGGCCTTTATCGCGCGGAGGGGGAACCTGCCTATCTCGGCGGGCTTGACGATTGGGGATGCGTACGCTGCGCGCGTCCAGGCGGGAATGGTCAGCCTGGAGGAGGGCGTGGCGGCTCATTGGAGCTGGGATTCGCGTGTCGTCCTGGTGGGCGATGCGGCGCACAAATTCACACCCAGTACGGGCGCAGGCTGTAACAACGGCATGGTGGATGTTGCGGTTCTGGTCAACCAGCTTCGTAGGTGCACTGAGGCAGGGCTGGGCGCACCCAGCAAGGCGTTGGTTGCCGAGGCACTCGCCGCATACCAGGAAGGGAGGTACGCAGAGGTGGTCAAGGGGTGCCAAGGCGCGGGACAGGCGACGGCGACGGCGACGTGGAAGAACGCTGTGTTCAAGTTTGTCGACCTGCACATCTTGGCGAACCACAGGGTGCAGAAGATGTTTATGGGTCGGGCCGCGCCGGCGATTGCTAGGACACCGGTGCTGGAGTTTATTGAGGGCGTGCCGATGGCCGGGGGGAAGGTTGCTTGGGCAGAGAATGGTGTCCAGACGAGAGCTGTTAAGGCGGGATGAACTGCGACGGATTCAAGTTGAATTTTTTTTCCCTGGCTGCGGGTTTAGACTACTATTTTTTTTCCCTTACATAGTCATGTATTGGCGATCGTTTCTTTATTTATATTTGTGGTGGCGCGGGCGCATTAAGACATTCTGAGGACAGGGCATAGTAGAGAAAACGGTTCTAGAATAGAGAGTTATTATACTTTCGTATTAATTTCTCCTCAATATCACTGCAACTCTGCCTAGTTTTCTTTGCCGTCGTATTTGGAGGGATGAGGCATAAAGCTTTAATTAACTTGCCCAATCACTAAAAGAGACTTGTAGAGGTGGTGAGCGTCGCCCTCGTAGCAACTCAAGCGACATGTTGGCGACACTATTCTCAAGCCACTATAAGAAGAGCATTCTATACAGCTAATAAGAGCAAAGTGTTTCTCAGTATAACGTGTTTGATAAGCGAGTGGCAGTGACAAGCGAGTGGCAGTTCTCACTACCTCATTACAACTACCGAACGAGATACTAATACTACAAAGGAAATAATTAACTAAAACTACTCAGAATCTGATTCCTCATCCATTTTCGTATCTTCCTGGCACGTACGAGTTGTGTCCTATTTTGCCGCAATTGCTGCAGTGCCTTAAACCTGTTGCGTTGCTCCTCGCACGACCACCCCTCGATCGCTTTTCCTCCTCTACCAATGCGTGCGCATCCCTTTCGGCCAAAATATCGCTCGCATCCTGCATAGTTAATGGTCCTCCTACCCGGATACGACTTTTTTTAGCTCTCCGGCGTTTGCTTAAAGCTGTATTTGCTTCCTCAAGCTCTCGTACCCGCGCTTTCATCAACACCATCTCGTGCATAACCTTTGTCGTACCCTTTACAATCTGATCAAGTGCCTCAAGAATTGGAGTTGGTGAGCTACCTTGATGTCTGGTAATACGATCCTTGATGTGTGTTGATTGTAGAGAGGCCTCGGTAGCATTTCGTGGCGTTTGAGAGACCCAGCTGTCGTACGAGACCTCGGGGGGGCTAGTCGGTGTCGGCGTACGAAGCTTGATATCCAGCTGGGAAATCACCTTTTCTGGGTCGAACGGAACAAGGCCTGCCCCTCGAAAACCTCCTTTTACGTTTTCAGGTTCAAATGTTGCTTGGAATGCGTTGAAGAAGGCGAGGAAGAAGTCGGGCTTGGTGATATGGTGAATATGGTTGCGCATTAACTTCTCAATTTCCTTGCCGTAGAACCACTTTAATATACGAAAACACCCAATATCAAGGGGCTGAAGTAGATGAGATGAGTGCGGAGGCATGCAAAGTGTAATAATGTTATTTTCTTTGCAGTAATCCTCAAATTCGGCCGAGTGGTGGCTCTCATGCCCATCCAGAATTAGGAGTCGCTTTCCACCTATCGTACGATGGCGAGAATGTTGGTCAAAGTGTTTGATCCAGTCAAGACCAATCTGGTTATTCGTCCATCCAGTTTCTGAGAGATCAATTGTCCACTCGGGTGGGAAAGGGCTGTTGCGATACCAACTTTCGAGGTGGACTTTACCCGCAACCACCACGTACGGAGGGATAGTATCACCACCCGACCGTACGGCCTGAATCACCGTAGCCCATTCCCGATTACCAGGCTGGATCTTCTTCACCCTCGCACGGCCTTCGGACGAGGTAACAACAAGGGTTGGTGAGATCTGGCCCATCATGAACCCAGTCTCGTCAAAGTTCCAGATATCCGACTCGAGGATCCCATATTTCGCGATTGTATTGCGAACAAGGTCAAACCACGCGCTAATTATCTTCGGATCTTCGCATTTGGCTCTCTGGTAGTCGTACGGACGCGTCCAACGCGTCCGGAGCTCTGGCTGTCGTCGTACAAAGTTTAAAGCCCAACGCTTTCCGACGCGTGACGCGTCACGCGACGCGCGTAGCAAGTTGGCCATATCTTCCACCATATCGTATCCAGGCGAAAATCCTTGCTCGTATAGGTTGAGAACCCTTCGTACGATAACCTCCTCTTCAAGAGGGTCTAGTTTCCGAGAGTTGGCGACGGTATCTGCTCGAGAGGAGATTCCCTTATATCGCCGCTTGAGTGTGTTGTAGGGTACCGAATAAGCCTTTGCAGCCGTCCAGAGATTGAGTTCCTCATCGCGCTCCATAGCTTGGAGGGCAAGGATGATTTGCGCTTCATTTCGTACGATAGGCATATTGTGTTGTGAAATTAAATCGTGATGTTGCGCAAGAGGTGAAATTGGTGAGGTGGAGCTGCCACTCGCTTGTCACTGCCACTCGCTTATCAAACACGTTATATAATGAAAATTTTATCATTTTTTCATAGTTGAGCTAAATATAATAGCGTCGAATCCTGACATCGGCTTTACGCCTTAGATACATGTGTGGGAACTACCAGTCAACGGGATAGATGCACAGCCTCAGTGGCTGACCAGCACACGGGCCGCTATGCGGTACGTGTCCGAGGCGCAACCATCACGTAGCCTCTGGGCATCGCCAAATCCAATGCGCACTCTGTTACCGTAGTTCGTGATCCTTCTACATAGAGCAGACTAGAATACAACCACCACAACCACCCCATTCGCATCGGTTACTGCAGTGACTATGGAACGAATGACCTTGTCATTCCAACAACATGCCTTGAAGTGGGGGACGTACATAACTTCAGCCAGCCGGCCGGCCAGGAGTTAACTAAGAGAACTTTAATAGGCGCCGAGATTCCTAGCTATATACTAACAAGAGCAAACACACATTCCACCCAGAAAGAAAAACACGTAGGAAAGCCTTTATATGGCCGGGCCGACTGCATGCAGGTCGGTGGCCTCTCGATCAAACGGAGGCTGGAACAAAGTGACGACTGGCATTAGTGGTGTATTATGGTTCCTTAGGAAAGACGTTAACAGTCGGTGTTAACTAAATATTCATTCATATTATTCGCTTGTGGAAGATGAGTATTAAAATTTGCTTGCCTCTCCTGATCGAACGAAGTCCGGGTCACCTATTTACCATATGTATATACGGCGTGAAAAAAATGCAAAGCCAACGCAACGCACTAAAGAGAGCCACCCTGGGCCAGACTGGGCCCGCACCCTGAGTCAATACTAGTAGCCACCGTAGAAGTATATATTTTCTTGCTTTTAGTAGCTATCTTTCCTATCAATTTCCATAGGTTTATATCTCCTACTACCACAATTAATATCGGAATCTCGACGTATTACGACATATATATTTGTTAAATTGCGTGCTCCTGGCAGCTGCACAGGGTTGCCGCAGTGGGCTCAGGTACTGCAACTAAGCGTAGCGGAAGCGGCCTCGTAGTTGGCGGTCCAGGGTAGGTCTTGTCGGGTGGTGCAGGGTAGGACCTGCGAGCAGTGCTTGCTTCACGACGACCATAACATAAAGATATTGAGATGACTTTCGAACCGTCGTGTTACCATTGTCCCGCTGGACGTTGACAAGATGGAGTTGGACGCGCAGGGAGCCGATGGTGAACTTTTTCACCTGTGGACTAAAGCTTGAGGCCCCGATACTCCGCCAGGTCCCGTTATTGATAATTAGCAAGAGATAAAGAAGTCTGGTCCAATCAGATCCGCACAAGGCAGTCACGAAAGCACAATATTAAGGTGCCTTTTAAAAGCCTCCTGTGAAGAATTTGTCGCGGTAGAGCGGATGTTAAAGTAGAGTATATAGTGCTCAAGGATTCTCAGTGTACACACGCACACCCTAACCCTAGTGCACTGAAGTTCCAGCGCCGCCTGGTTTGTAGCGTATCTTGCGGAGTTCCTCGCGTGCCTTGGATCCCTGGTTATCATCGTGATAGACGGAGGTCAGAACGGCGACCATTTCAGCAATGTTGCGAAAGGGGTTTTCTGTCGATTGGTAACGTCCAGCGATAACGTCGTTAGCTGCGCCCTTGGTCAAGGAGTTGAGGACAGCCATTCTACTACGCTCATTCTTGAAGGTTTCGTCGTCTTGCTCCATCTTGTCGGCCAACTTAATAATCCACTTGTCGAACTCTTCTTCGTCTCCATCGAAGTTGCCTGGGTCAATCCCTGTCTGGCGGGCTCTCTTGTCGTAGGCGGGGTTGAGGGCTTTCTGGCTGGTTCCGTACGGCTTGAAAGCTTCGAGAGCGGCGAAGCCAGTTGGTTTGAAGTTGCTTCCTCCGAAGGCGCTGTTGTCGGGCGTGATCCCGCGCTCGTCACGCGCTGGAGGGGTCAAACGGGCGTTGCTCTCCAGTTGAGTAATGCGTGACAAGGCAGCGGCGAGCTGGGCTTGCATGTCCTGTTGGTCGTTACTTTGAAGCATATTGTCTTTTACAACGAGGTCTTCGGGTGCGGGGTCGTAGTATTCGGACTCGTCGCGTTCGATGCTCTGCAGGGGTTCGATTGACTTCTGATTTGCAGAGACTTCTTCTTGTGGGCGCGCAGGCTTGTCTTGCTCTGGGCGCTTGGTGCTCGTGACAGGCTCGTTTAGCTCTGGGTCAGTGGAGGCTTCTTGGGGTGTAGCGGGCTTGTCTGGCTCTGGGCTACCAGGCGCGACGCTGACTTCGTCGTCGGATTCGTTCGAGGACGCTGGTCGGTCTTCAGCAGGGCTTCCTTGCTCGGTTGCTGTTGCCTGTCGTTGAGATTTTCGCGTCGCTGGGCCGTATTCGATTTTCTTCGGCATTGACGATCTCGGGTCTGGTGGTTCTGCGGCCTAGTTTTCCGTCGTGCGCAGCCGACGACGTGAGTGCAAATGAATGCGGAGGATTTTAAAAGATATCTTTTAATTGCTTCGCCAGCAATAAAGTGGAGAGTTTAGAATTGTGTCACGACCAGGGCAAGGCATTGAGGTGAACTCAGTCCATTGGGTGCTATCGACGAAGATTCTAAACTGAGGAGGGAAAGAAGGAAAAGTCCGACAACGCGTCGCGTGCTCGCGAATAAGTTTGCATCTATCAGTGGGGTAGGTGGGGCCTCGAGGAGGCTTCTGATAGGCCCGTGGGTTCTGGGCGGCTCTGGCTGCTTCAGGGCCAGTTTGGTGGACGGGTCCTCACAGCTTTTAAGTTGTTCCAAACCGTCTGCGTAATTTTAAGCCTGGGCTTCGAGCTGTTGCTGATTGTGGTATAGTCAACTGTTTTCCTCTTCAATACGCTGCCTCATTACTGTGTCTATTTCTGCTCTGTTTCTTAATTTGTAAACTTCTTGATAAAGTCTCTCATTCTCTTTTTGAGGTTATCGATCATGGTACGGAAGCTGGGCTCTGGTGCAACTGACTAAGAGAATTTAGTTATGACTCGGATATGGATTTGATGTATAAGACATACTGAGATGTGCTTCTGTGTTACACATTGTGGGCTGGGCTCTACGGCTTCGAAAGTCTTTCCAAATTCTTTACAGAGGAGCCGGTATGTACTAATGGAGTGATCGCTTAATTTCTTAAAGAATACCTTCGCAAAGAACTCTTCTTTACCGGGTAGGACTCTCCACATATAAGGGTCATTCGTACGAGGATTGAGGCGGACGTTAGCAGGAATTATCTTAATTCCTAGCCGAGAATCTAAACGAATTAGCGGGTTTCTTAAGACGGAAAGACGTGGTCATACGAATGTGTTCTGAAAGCTTTTTGCGGCATTCTTCCCTCCCAAGCCGTCGATCAGTATTGCTTTGTCGTGTTGAAGACATTTTAGTTCTAATCTAGTCGTTGAAATTGTTGCGGAGCTTAGCCCTACCCAGCTTAGTCACATGGGCCAGTTACCCCCGCATGGGTTTTCGCCCACACATTTAGTACGGGGATTTTCCCCTTCTGTATTTTCTTCATCCAGAAAACCTTCCCACTTTACGAGGTAAATGAATTTTCTTCCTTGCTTCCATCTAGCAAGCAGCTGCTCGACTTTCCATGTACCTTCATCTTCATCAATTGCAGCTGGGGAGCTAGCTCTTTCGCCACCCTCGCTCTTTTGGCCGGCACAAATTGACTCTCTTGCCGTACTTTCTACGCGCCTGGCGCTCGATATTTTTGCCTGAAATCCGGTGTTCGCCGAGGGACTACGGATAGAGGTCGGTGTAGTTTGGAGTCTTGGATCAATATATCCCATTATGTCGCCAGGTGGAGATAAAGAAGTTAAGTGCCCTTCACCTAGACTCTCGGAGAGTGAGAAGTTGGTTTGAGCTTCAGCATTTAAGTCCCAAGGTTGTGCATCGCTTCGAATACTGAGGGTGGTATCCGATGGTGTTGTTAATGGAGAATCATGGTCGTCTTCAGTCTGAGGCGCTGAATCCAAATCGTCGCCTAGTGGCGAGAGCGAAGTAACTGTACTAGGGTAATTTTTGCCGCTCTCCCATGCGCTACTATCCTCGGTGCTGTAGAGTTTATGCTGGCTTGATTTGTTGATTGCTGGTAGACTCTGTCAAAAAGCAAGAGATATCCGCGGTGAAACTGAAACTCCCGAACTTGAGGCCGTGATATTGGAGGGCATGGTCCCGTTCCCGGAGAGTGACGGCTGGGTGGCTCCGGTAAGGAGAGTTGGGAAAGCTGTGACTTGTACGGAAGCGGGAGAATCTGCCTTAGAGTGGTTTGCCTCATTGACGAGCAGCTCCAAATCGGTCCCACCGAGATGTGTGGTTTGTGGCGGTATTTCGCTGCCTTTGCTGCTTCTATAGTCTGCGGAACGACTGTAATGCCCTGCGGACATGGCTGGCTGGTTTTGGTCTCTTATTTTTGCCGTCTCGTCAATGAAATAGTGTTTCAATTCGACGTTGCCATCCATAATAGGCTTCTCTTTGTCGCTTCGCTTCGGTCTCTTGGCTCTTGCGGTTTCTGCCTCGTACTCATCCTCTGGCATCTTCAACACGCTCGATTCCTTGGTAAAGTCAGGAAAATGAGCATCGAGAAGATGAAATTTTAGATACTTGGCTGAGTCGAACATAGAAACGCATCCAAAGTGCGGGCATTTCATGGGCGTACCATTATCAGCAATGATCTGGACATATTTCTCGTAGCGGCGGTAAACGTGATCCTTCCATGGACCTCTCTCCAGATATTGATGCAGTCGCTTCTCTGATGGTAGTGACGGATCCGCCATGCAAAACACGCAGTAGCCTGCGGTGACAAGAGCGCCGCCATAGACCAGAGGATCGCATTGAACGGGCAGTGTTTCTGGACAATTTAGATGCGTTTGGCAATGATTGCTCCATTGTGTTTCCCCGAAAATCCATTTGCTGCAAAGGAAGCAAAGTTCCACAAAGTCGTCGTGGCTTCTCTTGTAGCAGCTGTATACGTGTCTCCAGTCTTAGGTTGTTAGTGTATCCGTGCAGCTGTTGGTAAGCTTGGCTAATTTCCGTAGGCGTCCTAAGTTGGAGCAGCCACATTTCTCTGGTTCTAAACCAGGCCGGAACTCTACTTCCGCTTCTTTCTCGCAAAGCGTAACCATACCTCGGAGAGCGCTGAGGCTAGTTGTGCTCCGTAGCGTGTCGGGCTTGAAGAGAGAAGATGCGAGGCGGTTGCGTTCGGGCATCATGAATCGGACTCGGTTAAAAATGCTCCGGCGGTAGCAGGGCGAGGAACTGTCCTTTCCACTAGGCTGGTGGGACTGAGCTTTCTGCCACTTTCGGACTTCTTTGTGGGTTAACTCTCGTCTTTTGGCGTAAAGCTCCCTGCTGCAACGGCGACGGGAAGATGGGTCGGCATCACGCCGTCCTCGTAAAGCTGCGAGCTCCTTCTCTATTTCGACAAACTCGGGGCTACTTTGAAACTGTTCTTGTTTTTCCGTAGGGAGAGACTGCCATAGCTGTGGATTGCGTGGAAGCGTCAAGCCGCGGAAAAGATCGTTAACAACGCTCCGCACCTCGGCCAAAATAGCTCCCTTATCCATCTGTGCCACTATTATTGGGTTGATAATGGTTGTTGTAAGTATTGGGATCTTTTTGGCCGGCATGCTTCATTCGCTGGGCAATGTGAGGACCCGTCCACCAAACTGGCCCTCAAGCAGCCAGAGCCGCCCAGAACCCCCGGGCCTATCAGAAGCCCCCTCGAGGCCCCACCTACCCCACTGATAGATGAAAACTTATTCGCGAGCACGCGACGCGTTGTCGGACTTTTCCTTCTTTCCCTCCTCAGTTTAGAATCTTCGTCGATAGCACCCAATGGACTGAGTTCACCTCAATGCCTTGCCCTGGTCGTGACAGGCAACGGTATACAGCTGATCTGTGAGAACAGGTTAGCAAGTCAGACTGAGGAAGGGAAAGTCTATGTACAAACCTATCCAGTATAGATCCTCCGCCCTGAAGTCGTGAATTGTAGGCGGACGAGGATATCCAGCGCGGAAGCCTAGTTGTCTAATGCGCCTGCTAAATGCATTCGCCGTTTCTATCTTCCCTGGCGCAGCTCTTGCAGACATGCTCTTGAAGAAGGGTAGATCACGGATGCTCTCCCTCCACTGTAAATGGAGCATCTCTCCTTCTAGTGGTTGTATGGCGAGAAGATCTTCAATCGTTTCGTAGTCTCTGAACGCTTTGGTGACGACGAGAGTAGCCGAAATAGAAAGCATGGGGTTACAAATGAGAGGCATCGGCCCTAGCCCTTCATATAGCGAATGCTTGGGCCTATAGAAATCTAATTTAGTAATCGTCTAAATAAACAACCATAAAAGTTAGTTTCTCACCGTTTGTCAGAGGCATTTGTCATATCCTTCGCATCCCGAACTAGCTGAACGGCGAACTCTGCATTTCCGTATTCGTTGAGGAAAACTCCAAAAGTCACATCCTATGGCAAGTGTCCATTAGCTTAGGCGACTATTGAATCTAATATTGAATAGCCATTACCTTTATATTAGCCGCGACCAGATCCTACACGGCAAGTAGACTCGATGTACTCGCCGATGCGCGCAGAAGAGCATACGATAGTAAGCATATCGGCCCAGTCGTACACCCTCGTTGCAGGCTTATCGTATACCACCCAATCATTCCATAGCTGCCTTCCTAAATAAAGAAAGTGGCTTTTCGTACCAAACCTTCTTGTCCTCTTATTCTGTACCATCCTTTTACCATCTCTTTTAAGTATTTCGGGCAGCTCATACTTAATAAACTACCGCCAAGTTAGTTAGATTTGCTCAGGTCCAAGAGACAGTACGTACATTTGTAACCGAGACTGTAATGTTTCCCGGAATAGCATCATTTTCGCGACGCCAACCAGCCATGAACTGCTTCCAATATACCATTACCGTCCCTTGCCCTGGATCAGGGTTGTCTTCAGCACCGTCGATACTGAATGCAACATCTTTCATAAAGTCTTTCAAGGACATGAGATCGTAGGCGTTGGCATTGGGATGGTCTTCAACATATCTATAGGAAAGTTAGATCATAATGCTACACTTTCTTTGACGACAACTCAAGGTTCTCACCGGTTCCATAGGTCCAGCATGCGGCGGTAGTCTTTTAGTGTTTTCTCAGTTGGCTTCTTGTGAACTATAGCACCGTTGATTCCCTCAGTGCAATTTCCGGAATCATTCTCCTTTCCCCGCCGAAAGAAGTCCGTAGGACTCTTCTTCCGCGGCATTATGGAAGCACGTATAGTATAGGTTGGGGCAGAAAGGGTGTAAGGTATACGAGAAATATGGGAGAAGGTTTGGCTTGAAAGAAGGTAGGAACACAACGGATATAAGGAATGCGAGAGAAGTGTCGCGCAGCAGGTAGGGACAGAACGAGCTGCCTCTTTATTTAGTGGGATGGAAAAGAATAGTCGTGCAGTAGGTGGTAAGAGCGGAACTGCGTCTTTTATCTATTTGGGGAAGGAACAGTCGCGCGGTAGGTAGTAGGACAGAGCAAAATTGCCTCCTCATCTATAGGTTACTCAGTGTAAGGTAAGATTACGATAACTAGAGCTTTTCAAAACGGAGAGTGAATACGCTATACTCTCGGGACCATTTCTGGGGCTCCGTTTTAAAGGTTATTGCTAAGGCGAGGCAGATAGAATGGGTCCTGCTTACTGGGCCCTCTTTTAGGCCATTAGGAGAGCGAGGCCCAGAACTCGTCCCCGAGAGAGTCGCTTAAAGTTGACAATTGCGTGACATGGTGAGCGTAGGCTGAGCCGGGGTGAGCCGAAGGTGATCCGGGCTGAAGCGAGGCTGTTTCTTGTCTAACCGTCCTCGGACGCCAAGAGAATTCTGTTTTAGATCCCGACTACCTAGGTAGTCGGTATCTAAAAAAATTAAGCCTCATCTGAAGATAGTTGGCTAAGTCAGGCTTGCTTCATCCTCAGCTCACCTTCGGCTCACCATCGCTCATGTAAGGACACTGCGCATATAACCCTGAGGTAGTCGGTCTCTAAAAAGAATTTTCTTGGCGCACGAGGACGGTTAGCCCAAATCAGGGTCGCTTCAGCCTCGGCTCACCCCGGCTCAGCCTCCGCTCACCATACCACGAAATTGTTAACTTTACGCGACTCTCTGGGGGACGAGTTTTGGGCCTCACTACCCTAATGGCCTGAAAGAGGGCCAAGTAAGGCAGGGCCCATTTGTCTACCTCGCCAATAGCAACAACCTTCAAAACGGAGGCCCAGAAATGGTTCCCAACAGCCCGGAGTATTCACTCCCCGTTTTAAAAGTTCTGTAGTCTCATCTTGTACCTGTTGCCTTCGGGCACTAGCTAGATAAGGAGGTAATTCCGCTCCGTCCTACTGCCTACCGCGCGACTGTTCTTTCCCCAAACTAGATAAACGACGCAGTTCCGCTCCTACTACCTACCGCAAGGCTGTTCTTCTCCAACACGCTAAATAAAGAGGCAGCTCGTTCAGTCCTACTACCTACCGTGCGGCTGTTCTCTCTCGCGTCCCTCACCCCTTATATCCCTACTCCTTGCTACTGGCCAACCCTTTCTTCTCCCGTATTTTCTCGCATACCTTACCGCTATTTTCTGCTTTCACATTTAAACGTCAGCCTATACTATATGTACTTACACAATGCCTAGAAAGAAGAGCCCTACAGAATTTTTCGCCGGGGAAAGGAGAAGGGCTCGGGAAATTGCACTGAGGGAACTGACGGCTCTATAGTTCACAAGAAGCCAACTGACAGAACACTGAAAGACTACTGACCTATGATTAACCTATGGAACCGGTAAGAACCCCAAATTTCCGCCAACTAAAGGCCAGCGTGATTGTCTAACTTTATCATAGATATGTTGAAGACCATCCTGGCGCCAATGCATACGAACTCATGTCCTTGAAGGACTTTATGAAGAATGTTGCATTTAGCATTGAAGGTGTGTACCGTCAAGGTCTGGGATGCGGCGGTAGGGATATGCACGCAAATACTGGAGAACTATAGCGATTATGTCAATTCCTCGAACTTTATTACCTCCTGGTCAAGCGACCCGAAAACCCCGTATCGCCAAGACTATGGTATAGGCTCGGACAATAAGTGGATTACGAGGGACTCAGAAAACTGGCTGAGGAGGACGGCCAACGGATGTTGTAGGTAAAACGTCACGCCTTTTGCAAGGGCAATAGTGCCGCTGGCAATAGACTCTGAAACTTTAACTAGCCAGACGATCCTTGCAATATATCTATCTTGTTTTTATCGCCTGGATTGCCGTCGTCCAGGCTTCGTGACTGCCCCCGACATCAAAACAATCTTCAAGTTCCTCTCCATTTTCGTGTTCCACTGGGCACAATAGGGCAAGCCCCCGTGCAGTGCATTGTTCTATGGAGAACTCAAGGCTTGGGAGATTATCACGAATTAGAGCGAACAAAGACCTCCAGTGGCTAATTCCACCAAAAACCCCTACTCGGACCAAAGTAACGCTTTGGAGTGTTGCTTTGTGCCTCCAGATAAAGGCTGCAATACCCTGTACGCTACAATCTACCAAATGGAGCCCTAGGCATTGTAGATTCGGTAGTTGAAGCTTCGGTGCGAGCTGTTCTAACCGGTTAACGTGTGGGCCGAAAATGACGGGTTTGATGATCAGATCCAGTTGTGTGAGTTGTTGAAACACACCAATAAATGCTGATAAGTCGTCCGCCCATCGGTTCTCAGCGCCCCTCGTTGCCTCGGCGGATACAGCTAGTGTGAGCTCCGTGAGGCTTAGAGGGAGGTTTTTATAGTATTGGAAATGCGACTCCGAGGGTCTGAGAATGTCTGGTACAATCGCATCCTCAGAGAGGCCAGTTGTAATGGCAAGGCTACTAAGAGCGGCACCACTCGTAACGATGGCTGTAAGGGTGATGCGAAGGACTTGGCCCACAAACGGAACCTCCTCATAATCGTTTATGGCGTTTGTTGGCGGTAGACCTGTTTGTCGGCTATGCGCTACTGCACCCCAGGGCCGGTGCATGTTGCTAATGACGACAGCCTCGATGTTGGTAAAAGAAATCAGCGCCTGCGTAATGTAGGCCTGCGCAAGGCCGGTCATTATGTGTTTCTGCTCTTCCCACAGTGACGTATAAGCCACTTTATCCAAAGGCGCCTTATACGAGTCTTGAGGCGAGAGAATCCCTTCATCGGTCCCCCGACCTTCCTCTCCAGGGCTTTGGTCCTCCTCCTCGCCGGATGAGTGTGCATCATCTATGCTACCCACTAAAGATGCGGCAGGGGATCGACCTTCTTGTATAGCCAGTAATATGTCGCCTTCATGCCGTGTAATATGAAAGTCTAGTTCCGGGAACTGCACGAAATGATCCGTACAGAGTTCTAGTGTTCTCACAGCAGGACTGAAGTCTGGATGCCGCGCAATCTCCGCGAGGTTTTCGAGGCTGAGCCTCGAGAGCATTATGTAGCGGGTCTGGAAGTACCGGCGGATGAAAGCTGGTAACGTAGCGAATTTTGCATACTTGGACGTCAACCGGAGGGCGGAGAAGCCTTGGGCGTCTAGCCCGTCAAATATGAAAGCCAGCACCTCGTTGGGAAGCTGAAGAAGTCCCACCATTGTATCTGAGATGATCCTTAAAGGTATGTTCGAGTAGAATGGAGCTTACAGCTGTGCAAGCTTTGAGGGCAATATATTGAGGTGGGTTGAATGGTGCTTCGGCTGAGATTTAGGCGGGGTCAGGCAGTGTGCTTGGGGGAACTCTGAGAGTTCTGTAAGGTTCTTGTTGGAAAGCTGGCCCCAAAGTAGGCCCAAAATCGTTTCAATGTAAAAGTCTAATTGTGTGTAAAGTCTTGGGATAAGTCCTGGGGACCTCCCAGCTGGGGACCCCATTTTACCCTGAAAAAGAGGGGTTTTCCTGGGCTAGGCCCAGAAGGTTGCCCTGCATGCGCCTCCATGTCAGACTGCCGGCGATTTCCGGGCTTAGTCAGGGCCTCGAAAATCCAACAGTTCTTCAGCGGCGGCTCGACCTGACACAAATAAAGTACTGACCAGTTAAGCACGGACCAACTCGATTGCCGCATTTGCTTTTTGCATATGATCTAGCACATGATCTCACGACCTTTCTCTGCCGAACTAGCATTGCGATTTTGCGGCGAGCACCAAGCGAGCCGCAAAATCGCGTGTAGGCCCATACAAAACCTGCAGTTAGAAAGTTCCTCTAGGCTTCCTTTAGCGGGCCGCTTGTCGGCAGGTCACTCGTTCCTTAAGGGACTGCAAGGCGCCTGAGGCGGGGGAAAAAAAGCGGAAAAAGCAGGCCCTCCTAGACAAAAGCACGGGCCAACTCGATTACCGCTGTTGGCACTTGCACATGACCCAACACGTAGCCTCCCGTTAGTCTCGCGCTCTCCCTGCCCAACAGCTCGGGCTGGAACGCGATTTTGCAGCGAGGGCGTCCTCATCACTGGCCTTGCCTGGAACAAAAAGAGAGAAGTGGCTGGTTGAACATATGATGGCCCATTGAAGATACAGAATACAGCGAGGTCTGAAGTTTCAGTAACTTTATTCTGCCGATTTTATTTCTTGACCCAAGCTGCAGAAAGCGGTGAGCGATTTCTTTTGGTAGGGACGTCCCCGCTGGCCTGTGTTTTGTCGCCGCGTGTCGCCCTGGATCATGCATTTGACCCACTAAATACCCACTGTCAAAAGGAGCAGAACTCCCCAAGTTAGTTTATAGCCAAGATTAACAGCCTGGTTGACAAGGCCGGCATCGCCAAAGAGGACCGCAAGACCATCCTCTACGAGCATATCCCCGCCGACCTCGACACCCGCTTGTTGCGTGACTCGAAAAACCCCTCCATGTCGTACGAAGACTTCTCTCTCGCTGTCGCCGATGCGGCCGAAGCTCATCAACGTTCGTACGAGCAACGGCGCGAGAACAGGCACGCCCGCCGCGCGCGCTCCCCGGCTACTCACTCGGACATTAGGAAAGAACGTCGTCATTCCAATGACCGCCGCGACAAGGCCTCAAGCAAGAAAGAGCCTAAGCTCGACGCCAAGTCGGGTGAAGCCAAGAAGGAAGAGCTAAAGAAAGACGGCTTGTGTTTCGTCTGTCACAAAGAGGGACACCAAGCTCGCCATTGCCCCGACCGCAAGGCTGTCTTGGCCAATATACTGGCCCTGGATCAAGACGAGAAGGATGACGGACCTTCGTCTGACTCTTCTTCCCTATCCTCTCTCGAGTCAAAAAACTAGTTCGGCTATCGGAAGTCTCCTCGATAGCCCACATACCACAATTAGCTAAAGTCGGCAGATCACCAAAATCAAATACATTCACCAAACAGGTCAACCTGTTAGTCGATGGCATTGGTCTTAAGACTCACGCTCTTTGTGATACTGGAGCCGATATTTCCCTTTCTATGACCCCGAAGATGGCCAAGAAGCTCGTTGACAAGGTCGGAGCGAAGATGGAACTCTTGCCTAAGCCGCTGGTACTTGGTGATTTTAACGGGACCGCCACCGCTCGTGCCACCCATCAAGTTCGGGTCACTCTCGAGATCGACGGCAGACGTTTCCCTCGTCAGAAGTTCATTATCATCCCGACCGCCAATGATGTCTTTATAGGACAGGATTGGTTTACCAAGCAGAACGTGTGGCTGCACCCCGCCTCGCGTACTCTTCGCTGGCCCGACGATACTCCTGCCCTAGCACAATACTCGCCCAGTATCCTTGTCGATCCGAGCACCAGTTCTATTGACATGCATGCCCAGTCAGAGGTGGTCCGCCGAAATCGACTGATGAAGGTCGAGGAACGCAAGCTGAAAGTGCAAAAGATTCTGCAAAATCCCTGGCGCAGGACAAATACACAGACAGTAGTAGCCGCTACGACTCCAGCGGTCGCAACGGAACAGAAGCATAGCCCCGAGATGATTGCTTGCCTCCGCGAAATTGAGACCGACCCTCGCCAAGAGAGATGGAAAAGGCAGAAGATGCCCCAAACTGCCATATCATTGGATGGAGTCTCTAATCAGCCCACCGTGAGCCTCAATGCTCTCACCGTCGACCCCAAGGCTTGGAACAAGACCTTCGACGGAAAGCATATCCCGTTCCCAGCAGGAGAGGATTCTGAGCATATTAACAAAGTGCGCGCCAAGCTACCACGCGAGTTGGCTCACCTGGAAGGATTCTTCTCGAAGAAAGCCTCAACGCAACTGCCTCCCAGCCGCCCTGGCTTTGATGTGGTTCTTGAGCTCAGTAAGCCGCTAGAGGGAAGACCGTCCCGCTACCCTACGCCCTTCGCTTTCTTGGGACTCGAAAAAGAGACCACCGACGAACTACTAAAGATCGGGTTCATTGAACGGTGCATGACCGATAAACCTGCTCCCACCTTGTTCGTGCCTAAACCCCATTCAGAAGAGCACCGTTTCTGCGTGGATTACCGCTGGGTCAACGACTTCATTAAGGGTCGACAAGTGTTAGCCCCCGACGTGCAAGGTACCATCAGCCGCTGTGGGCGAGCCAAGCACCTGACCAAAATCGACATCATCCGTGCCTTCAATCGATTGCTGATGGACCCCGGTTCAAGGTACCTTACCGCCTTTACCACTCGCCAAGGCACCTTCCAATGGAAAGTCCTGCCCTTCGGGCTGAAAGTCGGGCCAGCTTGGTTCCAAGCCTTTATCAATGCACAACTCAACGAGTTACTGGACCTCTTTGCTAGTGCCTATGCTGATGACGTTCTGGCCTATTCAGAGGGCGATGATGAGGAACACTTCGAACACGTTGAGGAGATCATCTATCGACTTCACAAGGCCGGACTCCAAGGCGATATCAAGAAGTCCTCTTTCAACGTGACCGAAGTCGACTACCTAGGTATGATTCTGGAGACCGGAAAAGGAGTGCGAGTGGACCCTGCCAAAGTAGCCGCCATCCTGGATTGGGATTGGGACGACTTGACGTCGAAGTCCTCTGTTCGATCATTCCTAGGCCTCTGCAACTTCATTCGGATCTTCTGTTACCACGCCAGCCAAGTTGCCGAACCACTCACCAGGCTGTTGAAGAAGGACGTTGCCTTCGAGAAGGGACCCGAGCAAAAAGCCGCCTTCGACGCACTCAAGAGGCTTGCTACCGAGGCCCCAGTTTTGGCATTCTACAAGCCAGGTTTCCCAGTGAAAGTCGACACCGATGCTTCCAACAACGCCACGGGCGGTGTGATCTGGCAGCAGCAAGAAGACGGAGAATGGAAGCCGATCGGATACTCGTCCAAGACAATGTCCGCCCCAGAGCAAAACTATCCCATCCAAGACAAGGAGCTTTTAGCTGTGGTCAATACCTTGAAGGACTTTGAACCGGCCCTATGGGGAACCAAGTTCTTTGTACAGACTGATCATCAAGCTCTCATCTATTGGTCTACTAAGAAACTGCTGTCCGCCCGCCAGATTCGCTGGTCGTACTATTTGGCCAATTTCGACATCACCTTCCGTTACCGCCCAGGCAAGGGTAATGTGGCCGCCGACGCTCTCTCTCGCAAAACCGTAGACAACCCGACGGTTAAAGCACGAGAAATCCAAGATAGAACGTTCGCCTTGATCCCACCCGAAAAGATTGAAGGGCTGCCGAACGACGGTGCGAGATCAATCAACGCCCTGACCTCTACGGAACTTCGTGGAGCGGATTTGGTCGATACTATCATTGCCGAGAACGCCAAGCAGAACTTGGGTCGTAAAGAAGGATTGTTAGTTGTTCCGGAGACCACCGCCGACGGAAGCGTCTTTCTACGGACTGCCCTGATTCGAGAAGCCCATGAACCTAAGGCATTCGCTCACGCCGGACAGAACAAGACGGTCGCCCTATTAAAGAAGGAATATTGGTGGCAGGGCCGTAATAGCGACATCAAACGGTACATCCGAAACTGCCAGAGCTGCCAAAGGAATAAGGTCAGACACGACAAGACTCCCGGACTTCTCCATCCGCTGCCGATCCCAAAGCACGTTTGGGAGCATGTAGTAGTAGACGGAAAGAACATGCCAACGGACGACGAAGGCTATGACTACGTTTGGGCTTTCATCTGTCGTTTCAGCAAGCTAATCGCTACCTTGGCCGGACGCAAGACGGATACCGCGGAGATATTAGCCGCCCGGTATTACCATTATCTTTACCGCTTCCTGGGAGTCCCTAGCCAGTGGATTAGCGATAACGCCGGACCTTTCATCTCCGAATTCCTCGATACCCTCAATAAGCTTACGGGCACCAAACATCGCCACGGAAGCTCGAGACACCCTCAAACGCAAGGAAGTATCGAGATCACCAATGCGGAGTTGGATCAAAAGCTGAGGTTTTATGTGGACAAGTACCAGACCAAATGGCGAGAACACTTGCCTGCCTTGGACCTGGCCCACAATGTAGCCTACCATTCAGCTATTGGAATGTCTCCGTTGGAAGTAACGTTGGGAACCAGCCCTCGGAATCCCTTGTCTCTGCCATTGCCCGAGCTAGACCTGTTTACCGATCAGCAGAAAAAGGCCTTGGATATCGTCAAGCAAACCCAGCGAGCCCAAGACCTGGCAAGACAAAACGCCATTGCCACACAGGCCTTAATGGAGGCTCAAGCACACAGGCCTTAATGGAGGCTCAAGCTAATAAGAAGCGTCGCCCCGTTGACTTCGGTGTGGGAGATTCAGTATATGTTAGTAAGAAAGGATTCTCTACCGAAGCACCAACAACCAAGCTGGATTCCCAGAACGCCGGACCTTGGACTATAGTCGACATGAAAGGCCATAGCTTCGTCCTTGATACTCCGTCATGGTACAAGGGAAGTAAGGTCTTTCACGCTGATAGGCTGAGAAAAGCTTCTGAGGACCCTTTACCTCAACAACGGGCAGAACCGGAACCCCCTGTAGAGATCAATAGAGAACCCGAGTGGGAGGTCGAGAAGGTTCTGGCATCGCGACTGTTCGGTCAACGAAAGAAGCTCCAATACCAAGTGTCTTGGGTCGGCCTGGATCCCGACGAAACCTGGTATCCAGCTGGCGATCTCAAGAACTCTCCATTGCTGCTGGATTCCTTCCACAAAGAACACCCGGAAGCTGCTGGTCCGCCAGTGAGATTACAGCAATGGATACGAGACGCGGCAGACGATGCTTTCAGTCGCGATCATGAGGATGATGAAGTGGCGGAACACGATGCGACGGGAAGGAGGACAAAGAAGAAGCATGCCACCAGGCATACTTGAATTGCCCCCGCAGTACTCTTTCAAGCTTCCTGAACGCCAAGCGCTCAGAGCTTGGAAGGGGGTAATGTGAGGACCCGTCCACCAAACTGGCCCTCAAGCAGCCAGAGCCGCCCAGAACCCCCGGGCCTATCAGAAGCCTCCTCGAGGCCTCACCTACCCCACTGATAGATGAAAACTTATTCGCGAGCACGCGACGCGTTGTCGGACTTTTCCTTCTTTCCCTCCTCAGTTTAGAATCTTCGTCGATAGCACCCAATGGACTGAGTTCACCTCAATGCCTTGCCCTGGTCGTGACAGTAAGCTGGCTACGGAAACACAACTTCCTTTCTGGGCACGCCGCTGAAGAAGCACATCCCCGGAAGCCAGCGCCTGATCCTGAGCCTAGGCACTCGACTGTTCTGATCTTCCACACCCACCTTGAACGACACGTGCCTGGCAACGTCATTAAGGTCAAACTCGCCAGTGACACCCTCCAGGCGAGAAGCCGTGAACGCCACTGTCTGTGGCAGAGCAGCAGTATTATCCTGGTAGGTTTCCCCGACGAACACGGCCATGTAGGGGCGGCGAAAGCCAGGGTCCCAGAGGCAACCTAGAACTAGCGGGCCACGCCTTCCGATGGCCTCGGCAATCTCTTCCGCTATGGTGTGCATGTACCGCTGGGCAAAAGATGGGCTGCGTTTAACAAGTTTGGTATCGCGGTCGAGATAGTTGCGGATAAGCTCAGGCTAGCGTTGTTTTGCTTTAATTGTTGCGCGTTTAATCGGACGGCGTACCCGCAGCAGTTGGCAGTAATAGCGAGCATGTCCTAGGAATGACGCATCTCCCTTTTGTCGATGTCGGTGATAATCTGTGGCGTCATGGGCTGCGAGCGTCCGAGGATGTACGTGTACTTGCCAGCCTAGTGGAGGATCTGACGTAGAGTTACCTCCGTCTTCAGCATCCAGATCGATGCCGAGGGGCCGCAGTGAGAGTTAATGTTTTTCAAGTACCCCAGGCAGAGGCGCGTCGCCTCCCCCAGAAAATCGACGTAGCTAATGCACAGCTCTCCATCCACATTGCCAAATATTCGGTTACCTTGGCGGGTCCGTCTATCTTCATTCCAGTAGCCTTGCTTGAGGCGGTTGAGTTCGTCGGGATGCTTGATGAGTAACCTCATTCTGGTACCGCCCATAACTTTCCTGGAAAATCCAGCCGCGCTGCCACCACTTGTCGTTGGTGATCTGACGCAGCACTTCGACGGCCATCCGCACTTCCCGTGGGCTTCTCTTCCGTGAGAGTCGCGCCTTGGACCCAACCCCCGCTGGTCAGCTTACCCTGGAGGAGGTTTGCCAGCATTTTCAGTTCCCAGGTTGATGTAATTGGTCTCCCCAGTAGTCCGACAGGGTGGCTGCTGAGTTTGTATACGAGATCCATAACGGTCATCCCCTCTCTCCTTTGAATGCATGCCGGGTGTTGAGTACAAACAGGATCCTTGCAACTGCCGGTGTCTTGAACGATGCTGTGTTGGTCGATTCAGATATAGTCAACACCGACTGTTCGCGCGTAGTTGAACGTGCGGTCGAGGACACAGTTCCGAACTTTGGATGGGTTGAACACCCGGCTATGCGGCTCTTGTACGAGATAAGACCCATTGGACTTGCTCTCAAGATTCGTGGGGCTCCACGTGTAAGACAAAGCGACATACACAGGCCTCGGAACCTGAGTCGCATCGATCGCCTCTATCTCCACCCTGACCCCCACGGCAGCTAGTTCGTTGTCTCGGCGCGGATATTGAGGCACTCGTAGGCATCTCAGATTCTCTATGAACCGCAAGGTTCTTGGGTCAACTGTATCGGGAACATCTTGAATTTCGACCAACGCCGAGATGATCGACCGCCCCTGCTGTCGTGCAATGTCAGAGAGACAGTCTGCCCTGTCGTTAATTTCCATGTCGAATGATTTAACCCTATCTTGAAAGGTTGGTTTGGTGAAACCATTGTCGCTGCGGAGAGAAGAGAGGCAGGCTCTTTTGTTGGGTCGCGTTACACTGCTTCTAGGCAACCCATGGAACGCATGTCCATCTAATCACGCAAGTTCTGCGTATCTGTACCAATTAGAGCCAAGTACGGAGAGGGAAAAAGTGATAGATAGCAAATGAAGGCGGGGGCTTGGGCGGCATAAGGAAAGCCGTGCGGTGAATGGTAAGGCGGATCAAAGAGCCTGTTATCCTCTAACTAGGTAGCGACGAAGATAAATAGTCGCGCAGTAGGCGTCTAAGAACAGACTAGGATTCCCATTTTATGTAACTAGTCAATATGGAAATCACAGTTTCAAAGCTTCTCAAAATGGAGAGCAAATACGCTGGCTACCAAGCCCACTTCATGGCCCCCTTCCACTCAGACATGTATATACCAGAAGATGCAACCCAGCTGTGAATGCTACGCAAATGAATGCAGACTCAAAGCCGCCAAAGAAGACGATACCTGAGTGGATGTAGCGGATAGCTCAAGTTGACAAGGCGTGAACAAGTTAATTGCCAAAGGCACTCGGCTGGCTGAAGTCTTCGGACGCTGTCGAGACTCAACAGACGTAAAAGAATGAGTATCGTAATTACAATCAAGGGCGGCCGAAAGAAACCATTTAGACGCAAGACATCTCCCCCAATCTCATCACGACAGCTAATTATACACTCGTATGTCCGTTCCTTCATCATCACAAGTAGTTCGCACAGAAGGCGTTGAAGTCCGGGCCAAACTGCTTTTGGCAATTGGAGTTCGAGTAGACGTCGCTCAATGCGCTGCTCAGGATGCACTAGATACTCACATAAAACGTCAGCGAAACACACTTTGGACTTATTGGGCGACATGTTCTATCTTGTTTACCATATGCTGCTGAATGGGCTCGACGCCTTCAAACACGCGGAATTGGTCTTGGCCACCGGCTTGCTCGCAGAATGGCTGCACCGACGTCTCCTTTGTGGCAGGGTTGTTGCAGTTGCACATTTGGGTAGCGGTCTTGCCAATACCCCCTCCGGGGGGAGTGCCACCAAGGAATGGGTCGGGGATGCCACTGCCGTAGGGCGGGGGGTAGAAGCCTATGGTAGGTAGGAGAAAGGGTCAGGGACGGCTACGCTGACAGTAATTATAGAACCAGAGCAGACCTACCTCCAGCAGGCACGGGGTGGGCCGAGACCAAACCGACGACCCCGAGCGAGAAAATGGCGAGAACCGCGTTCTTCATCGTACGACTGTGAACCGTGTTATGCGTTTTGTGTGAAGGTGCGAGAAGGTCTACAGAATAGGGGAGGCGGAATGTGTTCTGTCTCGAGCCTATTATACCTGGATTTTTCAAAGCCCCCCCCTGTGGTTCGTCTTGATGGAATGCCCTGGGTCGGCCTCCTGGTCTAACTACTGCCAGCATCACCCGGTCACTTTCACTACGTTACCTCCTACACGCAACAACTGTGGGACTTCGCTCCGCATTCTGATATTTGTGTGTAGGCGAGCGGTTGCAGTATGCGGGATTTTTTCTCCGCCTCCGGGCACACATTAGCCTATAACGGCTTTTACAAGGCTTGTTGAGATGGAGGGTCGACACCAACCTCTTCGCGGGCTGTTTTAACGAAGCAATTGTCCTCAACGATAATCTGCCCCGTTTACCAGCATTCTCTCCTTTCTGTTGGTAACGGACAGCACTGGAGCCATGGCACCGCCTTCACACAGGTATTCGGAGTTGAAAGAAGACGCGCTTTCCGACCAAAGCAGTGCGTATGACGGACAAGCAATTGGAACACGGCGACAGTGGACTACCGCGCGATGGATAATCGTCCTCGTCGCCTCACTCATATCCACAAACATCTTGACCATGATTATCACATCGAACGTGGCGCACTCCCATCACAAGGCCGCATTCGTGCCACCTTATGGCATACCGCCCTTCTTCAACAACATCTCACTTGATCTCCAGCCTCAGCGCATCTATGCACCATTGTACGACAGAGATCACAGTCTGTATCGCAAGCACGAGTCGCCGGAAACCGAGGTGGCTTGGCGGGAGCTTACACAGCTTGGTGCGCATGCTCTCTCCTCTTCTTCCCTTCACTAATATCCTACTTTCGTTCCCAAACGCCCGGGATGCTAACATGCCGCGTCAGACTCCGGGCTCCTGCTGCTGCCGAAAGAACAGGCCGCGCAAGTCGGCATCGACCCGACAAGGCATGCGTACTGGAACAACCCCGAGAAGGGCCTTGTCGGGCATCCGGTCAGATTGGAGGCAACACACCAGTTGCACTGCCTGGTACGTGGCCTGTGTCTGCTCTGCTGCAAAGACTCGGAATCTCTAGAGAAATGATTACCTATGCTGATGACGGGCGATTCTTATTAGAACCTGCTCCGGCGCTTCTCGTACTTCCACTACAACTACACGAACGAATACGACGCGCCTCTCAAGGACGTGCCGTACCACTACAGGAGGATACACGCCGGTACGTCTAGTGCAACTCCGTTAGATAGATCGGGAGGCATGTCAACAGAATCGCTGACTCCTCATGACAATATCCGCAGACCACTGCGTAGATTACCTCCGCAACCGTTTGATGTGTCTCTCGGACATGGGCCTGATTCCTTATTTTTGGCTCGGTCGCGACGGCGACTTGGTAGGAGACATGTCGCGTACATTTACTTGCCGCAACTACGAGTCTGTGAGGCAATTTGTCAAGGCCAAGGCGGAACCGGCGGACGGCAGGGTCAAGCCGGAGGCTGGAGATTATGTCTTGTATGACTACATTTGACGGGTTACGAGGCTGTCCGTGTTTGCAGTTGTAATTAATGGAGGAAGGTCTGCGATACCTGTACCAAACTGGAAGACCTTTATCAGGTTAATATCCGTATACGCTTGGCTTCGAGAAGAGATTCCCACGTGGTGTAGGTCGCCTGCACACAGTTTTTGAACACAACCCCTGAACCCCTCATGGGGACTTGAAATCAGCAACCAGTTGCGGAAGGCAAGGGATAGAGATAGCCAAACTAGGGAGCGTGTTTCATTAATTGTTGTCACACCCAGTCTCATGTAACGTGTGCAGCCGAGTCTTGGCCGAGATAATTACATGTCACATCCCTCCGGCATATTCTCCGAAAGGATTGTGGTGCCTGCAGGGCACGCCGAATCATCTGCGTGGAGAGAGTGCCTGGATTACTTTCGTAAGCGAAGCGAGGACGGGGTGCCCAGTTTCTTGACACAAGGCCTGATTAGATTAACCTCTGCGTTGTGTCTAAATTGAAGGCGGCGATAGTGCTCGGCAAAATGATGCGGGGGCAACATGTTCAGTATTATACTTTCACCCAGGTAAACAATGCGTATAATACCAGCTAAGCGTTTTCTTCATATCCCGGGACAAGCTTTCCTGTTTGGCAAGATGATTCGGCAACGGAGTTCGGCAAGGCAATGCGGCGACGCAGTTCGGTATTAATAGCGATGGCCGGGTCTAATATCGAAAGGCCCGCGCGATTGGACCGCGTAGTGACTTCAATCAGCCGCCTTCTCCCAGGGGCCGGGCCCAACAACATCTAAAAATATCACACTCTGCTTCCACAAACGTAGACCCCGCTTATATCGTCCCAGCGTCTGTAACTCTCTCTGTCCTCCCTGATAAGTACCTAGGTAGGTACATATCCCGAACAGGGCGGTTGCTGTGAACACCGCGAGCTGGACAGCACACGTTTGGTTAGCCCTGACTGTTCTGGGGCATGCTAGGTTGTCGGCGAGTCGAGCGCGTTCCGGGATTATATGGTGTATGATAGGTGCGTCGCTAATCCGTCTCGTTATCTGTTTTAGGTCCAGTATCGACACCTCGCCGCTGGCTTTCCTTATAATTATCTAGTTCATCGTCACTACCAAACCCCCTTAGGGGTCAAAGCTCTTCGTTATCAAATGTACCTAATTATCTTGAGTTGTCGGTTTTTGGGGTCATGAAATCTGTGACGGCGTTTAGCAACACCCACTACCGCTGCACCACACCGTCCAAAAGGATGCCAGAATTACAAGCCGTCAGGTTGCAATTCTATAGTGGGTTATAGTATCGTCACGCACCCGTAGGGCCTCAGCGCCTACCGCCGTGCCGTGACAAAATCCCAATTCCCCCTGAGGAAGTGCAGCTCATTCCGCGCGGGCACCAATGGGGCGGGAGGATGTTGCATATGCTGTGGTTGAGTACCTTCCTTACCTTACCTGACTATCTGCGGCCGTCAAGTCAAGGCCACCACCCACTGAACGTCACGGTTGCCAACCACATCTGTTCCCTCTCATCCGGGACATCTCAACCTCAACGCAAACAGCCGGCCCAGCCCTCCCAAGACGGAAAACGGGCCAGTAGCAACACGACACTGCAGGCATCCACGCTCGGGTCCGGGTTTTAAAGCAAATATTCTTGCCAAAGATAATTAGACAGAGACGTCATGTTCATGGATCGGAAGCCGGCGGTCTGGGCAATGTGTGTTCTTGTGCCCGGTTGTTGTGGCGGTGTGATTCTTTTCGCGCAAGTGGGAAGACGGGCTAATTCGCCGAGAGACGCGCTCGATGGGGGCGGAGTTTCTGAGAGGGGTGGTTCCTGATGAAAGTTTTTGCACTTTGATAGATAAGGCTGTCGGATACATACCGCAGACTAGTAAGAAGTGTGCGTCTCACGTCGTGGTGACGCCAGAGGGATGACTAACTCACCGCCGACTCAAATCTGACGATGAGAATAAAGCAATGCCGCATATTCTACAATTCTTGCTTCCCACTGAAGTTAATATAAAATGACAAAAAAAGTCCATCTCATAATTAACGCTTAGCTAGGTATTAAACAGAAAGCCTGACCATCAGCAGGCTTGAGCCATGCTGCGGGCTACGCCAGACTTGCGTCGCTAATGGGAGTCCACCCCGAGACGGCAATCTTACGGCGCTTCGGATCCCTAAATGCCCTAAACCTCCTCTATCTACAAGCCGAGTTGACCGACCTGGAAAATGCTCCGCAGAAGGAGGCCAAAACCGACGCCGGGTCGGGCCATTTTGACCGCACGCTCTACAGCCGGGACTGGCAGAGTCTTGCCGAGTCGGCAACAAAACAGAATGGGTCTCCGAGACGATGGGAGCTTGTGCTTCAAGTCAGAGAGAAGTTGAACGAATACAGTTAGGTCTAGCTATGCTCTTGGGGGTCTGGGTTATTATTAACTGACCCATGCCAGACCAGGCACTCCATTTGCAGCACAAGATCGCCAAGATCGGACCGCCCAATAGGCAGGACTTTGAGTTTCTCCAAAGATAGATGAGCTCGCCATCAATGGGAAATGTCTATCTGCTCGGCGCTGACAGTGACGTCTGGGAGACCTTTGATCCGGCAGAATTGGTTTGCCTTCTGCCCCGACAAAGCGAGACTCGCGTTGTTGGACTTATCAGCGATCGGATGCTGCAGCGCATCACGCTGTTGGATACCTTTTAAAAAAGCCGGATGCGTCGGCGATGCATGGTGACATCGTCCGCTACTCCCAGGGGGGCGTCGAAAGGGTGTGCACGGTGGTGGGCACGGTTCTTGGATCTCTCCTTCTGGTTGGATCCATCCTCGTCCTGTACTCTGTGGGCAGCATGGAGATGCGGCTCATGACGATTGGCATCTTCACCGGCGCCTTCTCACTGAGTCTATGTCTGCTCACAAATGGACGCATGGTTGAGGTGTTTTCGGTTACCGCCGCGCAAGTGAAAAGGTTTCATCTGTGTCTCCAAGGAAATCTTGACCAATCTTCCCGGTCCTACTCCTGAATCTAGAAAACTAACTTCCCAGCCTGATCTAAAACAGATTTGCTGCCGTTCAAGTGGTCTTTGTTGGCAGTAACGGCCTAGCTGTCGTCACCTCTTAACGACACACAGCACCGAAATGCCCCAATGTCGTCGACCTTCCCGGTCACTTTCGACCCTCAGTTCCCGCTCCATCCTTCTCTTCCTGCTCCTTCTTTTTACGCTCCGCCAGCGCGGCCTTTTCCTACTTTCGTCGCTCCTTTGCGGCAGCGACGGCCGCGTTGTCTGCTTGAAGAAACTCTGTCAGATAATGACGGGGGTAATTAATGCACAGCGGAAAGAAATTGAAACGCACCCTTGGGCCTCTTCTTGTGCTCCACGAACGGCAAGATGGCCGACTCGTTGACGCGGAGCAAGTCCCCCGACACAATGTACTGGGCACCGAACAAGACGTCAAGGTGGGGCGACTCGGGGAAGACGTAAAACTGACATTCGTGGACGCGGATTCCCCGGGGGTCGTGCCACTTCCAGGCCAGGGTGATGAGGCCACAGGCCTGGATGAGGCGGCCACTGGCATCGCGGACCTGGGGCAGTCGGGTCGAGCTGAGATCAAGTGCGCCTTGCCCAGGCGCTCGACCAGGCGCTTGGAGATCCAGTTTCCGACCTGGCACTGCGTGTCGAGCAGCGCCGTGGCGTGGACCCAAGTCTCGTTTTCGTCTAGGAGCTTGATGTCCCTGTTAAAGGCACCATCGCTCGAGGGCTAGGCGAGGGAGCCTTCCGACTCTTGCAAGTGCCTCCACCAGCCGTGCAGGGTGTTCAGGAGGGCCCTTGCCGCTGCAGCAGAGCCGTGACGCTGGCCAAAGGAGGATTCCAGACCGGAGGGGGTCGTGGTCAAGTTGCGATTGGCAGCCTCGACCTCATTGAGGATGATGGTCGAGACACGGAGGGCCTGGTACCCGCTGGCGGCGGATCTCATCTTGGCCACGTCTGCGGGCGTGGCGGCGGGTCAGGAGTTGGTGATGCCCATGAGAACTGCTAGAGATGGTGTTATTGGGGGCACTTGACGGATGGTTTAGTGGGGAATAAGAGGCACGTGAGAGAGTGGTTGCTGGTGAAGTGCTGCAAGGAACATCACTACCTATGCCCGGGGCCAATATGATCAATTTATATCGATCCACGGGCCGGTTCTGCACGGGCGTGGTGAGAGCTGACAATGGGGAGGTACAACAAGGACACACCTCAGGGCCAATCACACTCTGTAAAATCTAGCACCAACCAACCACAGCAGGATTAGGGGACCCGCAGGTTGTACAAGTGGGGCCCCCTTGTTCCCCTGTTGGCACCAAGCGGCATTATTTATTTTGTTCTTGAGCAAGACTGTGCTGATACAGTAAGTGCGCCGGTGCTTCTGACACCTTTCGAATCCATGTTCTCTAACCCTGTCTTGGTATTGTTGGTATTCAGCACAGTCTTGCTCAAGAACAAAATAAATAAGACCAGAGATCCTTTCTTATTCAACTTCCCCGACATCCATCACAGTATATAGTCTCGTCCAAGTCACCCAATTTAAAAGCTGAAATCATGCTCTGGAAAGCCCAAACTCTCGCCCCAGTTAAAAAACTCCTCGAAAGCTCCCTCCATCCCATCACCAACAAAAAGCCCATCCTGCCACGCATCTCCATCATTCTCCCCCGTCCCTCTCCCAGCCCCTCTCCCAGTCCCTCTCCCAGCCCCTCTCACAGTCCCTCTCCCAGCCCCCATCCCTCTCCCTCTCCCAGGCCATCCTCATAAGAATCACAGACATCCAGCGCCCCAAAAATCCGCCGATCCTCCCGGCTCCAGTCGCGATACTCCCGCAACATCTTCACAACCGCACGGTGCCCCTCCTCCTCGGCCAGCCTGACGGCCCGCAAGTACCTCTAGCGGCGCACGCCGCCAGCGGTGTCGACGCCTTCGGACAGCAAGTACGCCAGCACGTCGATCTTGCCGCTCTCGGCCGCCTGCTCTAGCGGCGACGGGTCCAGCGGGAATCCGCTGTCGCCCGAGGACGAGGCGTTGACGCCCGCGCCGTGCGCGATGAGCAGCTTGACCATGGCAATGTTGCCGCTGCCGGTGGCGACGGCGAGCGGCGAGGAAGAAGGACAGAGGTCGGGCGACACGTGTGCGCCGCGGCTGAGGAGGTGGGACACGAGCTTGATGTCGTCGTAGAAGATGGCTGCTTCGAGGGGCGTGGACGACGAGGGTCCGGAGGCGAGGGCGTGGATGCGCGTCTGCGGGGCGTTGGGGTCGCCGCCGCCGCCGACGAGGATGTCGTAGACGTGGGATTTTTAGCCGCGCCGGATGAGCTGCGACAGGATGCCCGAGTGGTTGGGCGCCGAGGGGAGGAGGAGGTCGACGGTCGTCTGGTCTATCAGGCGCGCGGCGATGACAAGGTCGACGTGGCTCGGCTGGTATCCGCGGCCGAGGAGGATGGGGACCATGGCCGGCTGCTTAGCCATGCAGGCAGTCCCTAGGATGGTCGCTCCCGGGGTGGTCAGGGCATGGTCGTGGCGAGATCTAGGGCCGACGCCGAACACTTCGCTGCTGTCGTGGCGGAGGTTGAACCGGAGCAGATAGCCGGTCCTCTAGCTTGCGAGGGGGTATTTCTCGGCTGGGGAGATGCTGGCGTCAAGCAGCCGGATGACCCGGTCCTCGTCCCCGAGACAAACGGCGGCAGCCAAGGCCATGCCTTCCAGGAAGGCCGTCCACGCTTCGTTGGTCTGGTGGTAGTGGAACCGCCCGACTCCGCGTCTGCTGTCCAGGGTGATATCGAATGTGCTCGAGGATGTTGCCGAAGAGGCCGCCACTGTCGCAGCTAGCAGGGCCGCAGGGTCATATCGTGTCAGTCCGGTCTCCATGATGTGGCTGACGACGTTGATGTGTCTGATCGATATGGCTAGCGCCAAGGGCGTCTCCCCCGTCTCGCTCAAATACGACTAGTCGGCACCGGCCCCGACGAGGAGCTTCGCCAGGCTGAGATCACCCCGGCGCACGGCGTTGAGCAAGGCCTTGGCGGTAAAGGCTTCCCCTTGGGAGACGACGAGGCGTCGCACCGTCTCTTCGCGGCCGGGCAGCTCCGGGAGGAGCGGTTCCAAGCCGACCAGGTCCTCTGTCGTCGCTACGGCACCCTTTGCTAGTAGAAACTCCACCATTGGGGCGTGTCTTTCGCAATGGCAGCACCAAGGGCTGTACGTTCGGACCCGATATCCAAGTAGCCGTTGAACGAGTAGTTCACGTTGGCGCCCTTCTCCACGAGCATGGTGGCCAGGGGCATATTTCCAAGGTGGGCTGCGATCTGGAGAGCGGACAGAGACGAGGCGGCAACCGGGTTCGGTCTGGCACCCCTGGCTATGAGAATCTTGCACACCTCAATGTCTCCAGCCCACGCGGCTTCCGCCATGGCCGTCGTCGGCAAGACACCGATGCCGATTCTCGACTCGGCATCGAGATCCGGGACCCTCGACATGACCGCCGCCATTGTTTCTCAGTTTCCGTATATAATAGCAAAGAGCAATAAGAGCAGAGGATTCTGAAGTCGAGCTCCGAATCCTGCGTCCATCTTCCCAAGGCGCTCCAGGAACCGGTTGGCGGCTACCCACCAGCCCGACCCCTTAACGGACGCCTTCGGGGGCACATCAGGTATGCGACGCAGCATGTCGATCATCTCTTCTTCCGAATACCCGTCCTTCTAGTCGACCCAGACCTCGTCTAGCAGAGACCGCGGGCTTGCTGGAGCATCCGCGACCTCCAGCGGCGATGACGGCGTGCCAGCGGCGGCGTGCTGAGCGTTACTCTTGTGATGCTGTAGCGAAATAAACCCCGAAATTTTTGTAAACGCCGCCCCGTGTTCCAGCAGGAAGTCCACCATGTCCGTATCGCCCGCTCGCAGCACATAGTCGATGGGCGCAATGATGCCCTCGCTAGAGCTGTACTTGTCTTTGATACCCACCAGGAGCCACGATCTCCGCAGATCCAAGCCCGCATCAACCAGCTTCCGCAGCGCCTCGATCTGCCGAAGCCGCACCGCACTGGCGAAGAACCTGCCCACGAGAACCTGTGCCGTCGATGTCTCCGACTGCACGAGCTCCTGCAGCACCGCCCCGGCTGCCCAGAGAAAGTCGAAGAACTGAAGCACCTGCGTATCTGTCGCTACCCACGCGGTGTCGGTCCAATTGCGGCGTTCATCTTCGCTGAGCAGCGGCGAGTCCAGATGGTTGGAATAGTAGAACAGGGCGAGCTCCAGCCATGTCCGGGCTGCCCACTGCGTGCCCTGCTGGCAGATAGACTCGGCGTGGATGAGATGCTCTTGGGATTCGTTCTCGGGCATGACGAGGCTGAGGCGGTTATAGATTCCGTCGGCCTTTCGGCCGGCTGTGAGGGAGGCGAGGTGTGGGCCCAGGGAGCGGAATACGGGTGTTGGCACTTTCGTTGGCGATGGCGATAAGAGAGAGATTCTGGAGAGAGCGCTTTCCAGGTTCGAGATGATTGCTAGGGGTTTATGTCAACACATGTCAACACGGGTTGGAAAAGGGCGGAGGGGGGAGAAACAGTGTCAACTCACAATGAAACTCTTGGTTGTGGAATTGAAGCCACGGGAGGTTTTGGGGCCATGATGTACCTTCCAGGGGAGGAGGGGTGTACACAGTCAGGGGAAGACCGCTCGGTGGGTGTGGGCTTGGGGCTGGACGCACGGATTAGCTTTTCAGTCCGCGTCCCATCTGAACCGAAACAAAGTTGCTCACATCGATACCGCGGCAACTTTAGGGTCGGTCCTTGGCAGTGGTTCCTCATGCCCTTGCGGACTTGTTCCGGGGACAACCGCACACCTGAAAGAACCACACACGGGCCGCCTCCATCGCTACTCGACAGCTTCCGCTTTCGGGCCTGGTGTTCCACGTAGCGCCATCCTTCCTTGGGGAGGCTCTTGTAGCAGCTCCATTGCTTGAGTTTGTGAATTCATTGTTGCTTGCTGGTTTTGGCTTAGCATTTCTTCGTGATTCTAGAGAGGCCCCTGCTGGGACAGGAAGTTTGACCTCCTTACCTAGGCGAGAATCCATGGCGTTGCGCCATTTCTTGCATCACCAGCTTCAGCGACTTGCCCTCGAACAGGTAGAGCCTCCATATTTCGCGCTGGTGGCGATCCCACTCGCGTTCTTCGGGGCTTGAGGGGGGCATGGAGGTCTGAGGATCGGAAGGTGCTCAGCATTAGAGTTAATGTGAATTTCTTGGGTCTTGTGGCCAGGAATTCGTTTGCCACACCCGAATGCAGCCCGACTTTGGGCACCACTGTGATTTGACGCCACGTCGACCCCGCCCTCGCGGTCGGGTCTTGTACAACCCGACTCAAAATGCCTTCACAACCATTTGACCACACAGCTGGAAATTGGTATCAACAACTCAAAGCGATACTACCCTTATTTCCAACTACCACCATTTTTAAAATTTGCTGCAAGCCATGAGAGTGTGAGAGTGGTCAGAGCGCGTCTTCAAGCAGCCACTGATCAGTCCCTGTTCCTATACAATACCGTATTTGGGCTCCGATATTTAAGTAGGAGTTGCACTTCATAATGGGAAAAAGAAAAAAAACACCTCTGTGATGCCTAGGCAAGTAATTAAACAGCTTCTGGCCGAGGCTAGGCTGAGACTGGTCTGAGCTGTGCAAACGCGGCGAGAGATCGCGTTTTGGAGCTGGTCGATCTGGGAAGTGAGTCTTTTGGGTTTTGGGCTCACAAAACACTATGCTAGAACATATTATCTATCTAAAGCCCCAGCCCCCCCCATTTCTACGAAAAGCATTTCCAGAAAAATGAAATCGAGATTGGAGGCGTGAAACGTCAGTGCAACAGTTGCCGCTTATTTTTCCCGCTACATGCGGCAGTTTATGCTGGACACCTCGAGATTGTGAAGTTGCTGGTGGCGAACGGCGCCTGTCTAGAGGTGCCTGGCTGGCGGCTTCCTGAATGCAGATCAGTCCAGAATTTCTGTTGGAATTTGTCAAGCAGAAGGGCCTCGAAGGTTCTAGATAGAGACTTCGCTAACCACTTCGCCACCATAATAGTAGTATAAGAAGGGGCTTTCTGGCACTGCCAGAAAGCTAGAGAGAAGAACACACATCTACAATCCATCACTTAAACCATCAGCTTTCGGCGTACAGTTACGCCCTGTTGATTCCAGTACCGGTACCCTGGCGAATCCAACAGTGGATCATATATCCAACCGCGCACTTCCTCTTCCATTCGAGGGGCTTTTTGAGTCCAGCTTTTTATTCGCTTCGATAAATGCCGAAAACAGCTGGAGTTGGCTGGCCAATTACAGGAGAATTTGACGCTAGCATAATAAGACAACCGATTAGATAGGTGGAACGATAAGGTCAATCCGCTGCCAAGAGTGCCAACCAAATGTTAGATAATCTTGGACTAGAGAGTAACTAGGCTTGCTAGGTAAATACTCGGCGCACCCACCCCTAATTGTAATGCCACCCACCCCCCTTTGCCTTAGCAGCTGTATCCAGAACCCGCTTTTTTAGCGGCAAAATCGGTACTTCTAGATACTGCCCCCCATACGTAGATTTCGCCTTCCACATGCCGGTCGAATGCGAAGAGGCCTGAAAACGCGCTTTCCGGGCTTTTCGTCAGTTGTGTTCATTTTCAAGCTTGGTCAGCGGCTCTATTGACTTGTTAATTGCGGATGGCTAGGAAAATACGATAAATCTAGTGCAAATCAGGGTGTTGCGCTAGCTGTTGCCTAATTCGTTCAAATGGACCAATTTGCATACAGTCAAGTGCATGCATGCATGTGAGGCCGATTGAGCAGAGTGGTGATGTATTTTGTGGTGTTGAGCCTGTCAACCGGCATAGCCAACTGGCTCTGTTGACTGGCCGGGAATCCCTCAATCTAACACAATTGGATTGAGACAGCCGCCATCCGCATTCCAGCCAATTAAGCGTGGATCAGGATCATTCTCGTCCGCCGAATCGTATAGCCAGATCTCTTCGGCAGAGATTCCTGGTAAATTCAATCTCCTGCGGTGAGCCTTACGGGCCTTCCACGATAGAAAAGTGTTAAAGTATGGCGATACTGAGAGCCCTATGGTGGCTCTCTGGGCAGGGCGCTGACCTGCCAGGAGTCCACTGAAGGATAGGGGTTGCGGTTGCTCTAGCAACAGACCCCCCTGAGTGCAGGTGGGTCAACCACCATGGTAGTGCGTGAGGCTATTTCCAGATTGTAAACAAGCCTCCACAGTACCCTCTCGAATCCCCAATAGGTCTAGGGACACGTAATCCAAGGCCCACAGAAGACAGTAGAATACTGGGCTCACTTGGACCTTTGGAACTCACTAGAATGCTTCCTATAGACCTATATTAAGGTCAATCGATTCCTTATAATTAGACCTCCTTTTCCTTCTCTTCAAGCAAGCTAGTTACCTGCATGCATGTCAGTTGCTGCAGTCAATCACCACTCCTTTGTATCATAGCTCTCCTATAATACAGGTCCTCTCAGTCCTCTACAGCGCCCACTCTGGCCCTGAGGCCCTCGACTAGCGGCACAGTTCCCACAGTCTTGGTGAGGTAGACTACAGGCCCAGCCCTACAGTCTTGGTGCAGGCTTGACTCCTGGAAGCTCCAGTCGAGTTGCCGTCTTCTTGCTTCCCTCAGTAGCCCACTCAGCTTACTGTTGTACGCAGGTCAACAGGTCTACCGACCTACCCTGCACCACCCACTTCCGCAATGCATCGCCACAGTACCTGAACCCCTGTAGCTTCCCTGTGTGGGTGCTGCTCCAGGCCTACCAGGAGCATACGCAGTTTAACAGTAATAAACACCGAAGGCGAAGGTATCTCGGCGGTAGCTAGGTATTTAGCGATGTGACTGGCCAGGTAAATGTAGTCTTCCTGGGTCTCGCCGCTCAATATAGCTTGGAAGATCGGTGTCACGACCAGGGCAAGGCATTGAGGTGAACTCAGTCCATTGGGTGCTATCGACGAAGATTCTAAACTGAGGAGGGAAAGAAGGAAAAGTCCGACAACGCGTCGCGTGCTCGCGAATAAGTTTGCATCTATCAGTGGGGTAGGTGGGGCCTCGAGGAGGCTTCTGATAGGCCCGTGGGTTCTGGGCGGCTCTGGCTGCTTCAGGGCCAGTTTGGTGGACGGGTCCTCACAATCGGTATTGCGGTACGCTCAGGAACCATTAAAATACCAAAGACCAACGGCATTCCTAGGTTATTGACTCTATATGTGGCGTTAATCATAATGTATTCCCCGGACTGGACCCAACGCCCGTTGTTGGTGCTGGGTAACCTAGAATGCGCTCTTGAGTTTAGTCTCTGCTTTGTCGGTATAGCCGATGCCCTAGTATGCCGTATCGTTAGGAATTGGTGGTTTAATAAGCTGCTTGACGAAGGCTTGTGTGTCGGTATATTTATCTATTTTTATTACTTTGAACTTCCTTGTCTAGTTATAAACGTCTCGCTTATTAAAGA